CACGTTGCTACGTTCCCACGTTTCCTAATGTCGAGTTCCCAAAGTTCGCTCTTTGCTCGATACCCAGAAAACCCGAGATCCACGACCCACGAGTGTAATAGCACACACTCCCGCTTCCATGGCTCAGCCATTCGCTAGTGCTTCGTCTTCGGCAGCACTGTGGATCCCACGATCGGATGTCTCCCTTTCTCCAGACGGTGCCTGTCCCACGATCTTCCCTGCTTTTTTCTAAAATCATTTTTTTTCCCCGAGAGCCCTACCCAGACTAGTCATACTTAGGCCTAGTATATGCCGCCGTCGTAAATTATCCTTCCCCTCTTTGTCCCTCTTTATCCATCTTTGTCCAATCTTTCCCCTACACTCCTTAACCCCTGTCGCTCTTTCATACACCTTTGTACATTGCAATTGTACTCTGTATACCACTAGTCCACTTCGCGATAGTGTACGATCTACCTTTTGCGCCCCCCTTCCCCTACCTTCTTACGCCTTTGGGACATTTCTTTATTACACGTTCATTTTTTTTTGTTTCTCATTTATTTCGTTTCTTTTATTTTCTATTTGTTTTTATTTTATTTTTTAGCTTTCGGGGCGTCTCATTTCTCTCCTCTCGCCTTTTTTTTCTCGTCCCTCACATCCCCCCCCCCCCACTCCCTATTCACCTTTGGCCTGGTGTCTGGTTTTTGGGACCCCCCATGTGGAAACCTCGACTTTCGCCCAGATCGGAGTCCAAGGCTGGGAACGATTCTAGTCATCTTCATCTACGCGACATTGGCTTCCTGGGGCGATCCAGGAAGAAAAACCTTGGTGAGTATCATATCAGTCCTGGTTTCCCATTCTGAGACCGCTTTCCCCCCGATGACGTTCTAGATGCTTTTCTAAAACCCACCCCTGAAGACGTTCATCTTTTCTTTGCCCAATCTTTTTGCATTCTTCACACTTCTTATATTATCCGCATTGCTCCTGGCCATCCCCGCATTGCTAATGAGACTCCTGTGACGTACAGAATCACCATCGCGGCCGGAAACGCCGTCCCGCTCCACGCTGCGGTCCTTTCGTTCATTTACTCGAGGCAGAGACCGTCCCGAAAGTACAGTTTCAAACTACACCGACGTCACGGCCTCTCGTCCTCGAGCCACCTCCAACGCTGGAAATTCCATTGCCTCCGGATACGCCGACTCGGCTCGTCAACCGGCTCACTCGAACCTCTCGCGCGCATCTTTCATTTCAAGATCCGGTTATCCCATAGGTCCAATGGAGGTCGATCGCACTCGGACCCGGAGGGAGAGAACCTTCGTCGGCGCCGAATGTGCTGTCTGTGAGGAACCGCTGGAACATACCTTGCGGGGCGAGCGCGTCCTCCAGTTGGCATGCAGCCATGTGTCCCATGAAGCATGCTTTTACGAGTATATCCGAGAATTTGAATCACAATTTTGTCCGACTTGCAACTCGCCGCTGAGCCTTGATACGAGCCGAGGTGGAAATGTTTTGGATATTGGTCTGTTCCCAACAAACATGTGATTACCAGCCACCATGACTGACTAGTCTCTGCAGAGAAAATTAGTAAAATTGTTCGCTCGGCGACTATGAGCGATACCGCTACGACGCGCAGTGGCTTGACGACCCCAACTCCGTGGGACCATCCGGCTAGTCGCCGGCCGCCTAGCGATAATGGCAGGAGCTACAATCCTCCGCAGCTCACTTATAGCCGACAGGACAGTCGACGAGATAGTCGCGACACTAGCAATCAGCGTGAGCGCGTGGAGCGCTTGACGGTCACTTCTCAGCCCCGCCAACCGCATTCTCGGAATGGTAGTGCCGCTGGCTCTTCTGGCGAGTATAATGATGGCCAGCATACCAGCAGCGGACGACGCCACGATTACGATGTCCAGGCCATGGAGTCTGACCTGAGTCCCCGGCCGGGCGTGATAAAGAACCCTATCCCCGCCCCGATTGTGACCGTGCGAAGCGAATTTCCGACAATGAACCGATCCCGTCAACAACAATCTCTCACGTGCTTGATCACCGTTGAAGTGCCCGAGGGCAATTGGCGTCCTGACGCAGATGATCTCCGCGCGCCAAGCGGCCAGCAGTTGCTCGATGAGCCGTATTCTGCGCGCTTTGGTGGTTCGCAAGATGCTCGGTCTATTCAATTCGAGCCGTCCGAGAACTTGGAAGAAATTGCCGAGGAATTGCGAAACCGCGTTGACAATTGGCATGGACTCGAGTTCAATCGGTTTGGCAAGCTCCGCTTGCATGGACAAATGCGCGTTGGCAAGGATCGGGAATCATGGCAAGAGTTGGAATGTTACCTATTTGGGGAGATGCTTATTTGCGTCAAGGAGAAGAAGGTTGCGAGTGGTCATCATTACGAAGACCAGACGGGCAAGCAGAAGGCTACACGATGCACTTTGAAGGGATCCATCTTGATTAAGAAACACTTGAAGGCCATTGAGGCTTCCTCCGATGAGCCGGTTCTTACTCTGAACCTGTCAGTTAGCGAGCTTCCCTGCTTCTTCCTCCGCTTCCAGAACCGAACCCAGCTTGAAATGTGGCGTCGTTCTTTGATGGATTTACACCCGGTTGAAAACCTGAATCGCCAGAGCGACTATGATTTGGATATATCAGGTACCGAGGATGATGATTACCGGACCAGCCGCATCCAACGACAGGCCTCTATCAACTCGTCGTACGGTGCCGGCAAGTCAAATAATACCGCCATCACCGATTACACTAACCCCGATCTCGAACACCCCTCGATTAATTCATTCCACATTCCTATTGATATCGTCGTCGTTATACCCGTTTCCTCATCTATGCAGGGCCTAAAGATTACTCTGATGCGCGATGCTCTCAAATTCCTCGTCCAGAATCTCGGTCCTCGAGATCGCATGGGCCTGGTAACATTTGGCTCAAGTGGTGGCGGTGTTCCTATCGTGGGCATGACTACCAAGTCATGGAACGGATGGAACAAAGTCTTGGACTCCATTCGCCCTGTCGGCCAGAAGAGTCTCCGCGCTGATGTCGTGGAGGGTGCCAATGTTGCCATGGACCTCCTGATGCAGCGCAAGTTCAACAACCCGGTCTCGACCATTCTTCTGATCAGCGACTCGTCTACCTCGGACCCGGAAAGTGTTGATTTCGTTGTTTCTCGTGCTGAGGCCGCCAAGGTCAGCATTCATTCTTTCGGTCTTGGGTTGACCCACAAGCCCGATACCATGATTGAGCTTTCAACTCGCACAAAGGGATCGTATCTCTATGTCAAGGATTGGATGATGTTGCGAGAGTGTGTTGCCGGATGTTTGGGTGCTTTGCAGACTACTTCCCACCAGAACGTCAAGCTGAAGCTTCGTCTACCGGAAGGATCACCGGCTAAATTTGTGAAGATCAGCGGTGCTCTTCACACGACCAAGCGTGCTACTGGTCGGGATGCCGAGGCTGCCCTCGGCGATCTCCGATTTGGTGATAAGCGTGATGTTTTAGTGCAGCTGGTCATTCAGTCTGACAATGTCACTCAAGACCACATGCCTCAAGATCCATGGGAAAGCCTGGTGTCTGGTTTGGAGGCGCTCGGTGGCGGACTTGATGGCGACGAGCAGCGGGTGATGAGTGTGGAGGAAGTTCCGTTGATCCAGGCTGATTTAACCTATGGCGACCTTCTCCGTGATGGACACTTGACTCACTCGCCTCGCCCGTCCCTCCTCGCTATTACCATGCTCCCTCCCAACCCTAAGTCTCGAGGCCAACGACCATCCACCCCTCCCATTCCTCCTCATCCCTCAATCGTGCAGCGCCGAATGGAATTGCTCACATCGGACATGCTCACTCGAGCGCTTACTCTCGTCTCGCGCGGCCAACACGACCGCGGCCAGCATTTACTGAACGAAACGCGAAGTATACTCAAGGGCCTCGGCAAGGGCGGCCTGCCGCCTCTGCCGCCCACTGCCTCACGGCCCCTGGGATCCAGCGACCCAGGCAGCCGAGGCGACACGCCAAACTCCAGCTCGCCCAACACGTCCGTTTTTGGAGACAGTCACGCCTCCTCACATTCTGACGCACCCACGATCACGCCCCAATCTGCCATTGACTCTCAGACCATGACCGCCCTGAATGCAGACCTCGACTCTGCCCTCGAGTGGATCAACCATCCTGCCGTATTCGGGCGCGACTCCCGGAAAGCCGTACTCCAGAGCATCGGGGTGATTTCTTCGCAGCGCGCTTACACCTACCGCACACCCTCTGAGGCCCACTGGGCGCAACGAATCTCCGGAGTCCGCCGGCTGACCGACAAGTCCAAAGACTGGCGTGAGATGGGCGACGATGCATTGACCGAAGAGTAAACCCTTGTCGATTGTTTGGTTTTTTATCACTATTTTTCATGTTTTCCTATACGTTCGCGGAGTCGGTTCATGACTTGGCAATTTCCTCCGTCTATATTCCCCCACATCACCTCATCGCTATTCCATATTTTCATATTGTTTGCCATATTCACCCTCATGTTCGTCTTTCTTGTTCTTTTGGCCATGATACCACTTTGTTCCCACCATGACTGTGTAGCATGATACCAGGGGCTTCTTTTTTGATGTGTCTCCGCTTATGCTTATCCTCTGGGTCCCTCTGGATTGGTGCCGTGTTTATACATCTGTTTCTCTGCAATTGCTCGGGCGGTCTCGGGGTGCGCGGATGGGATGGGGTCCTTTCTTGATCTTTTTGGCTGGATGTGTTTTGAAAATAGCTGTGACGATCAACTGCATTTATTATATAGCCCTTGCATAGTTGCTTCCATTGATAATGACATGTATGGAAGTGACATCTGATTGAGCTTGCGAAGTATGGCTTCGGCGCGGGCGGTGTGTAATCGCCGGAAGTGGCTTCTTATCCCCGTGCGACTTGGCCATATCTGATGATCCGATTCCTTGAGTACTCTCATTTTGACTCATTTTCAGCTTTCACGCCCGCCTTTCTTTAAGTCTCTGTACATAAAATGCGACACTCCTGCTGAAATGTTTACTCGATTCTCACTTCGCGCTCTCCGCGCGCATATACTCCCCGCCGCGTTGGCGCAACGGTCCTTTGCGCAGACCTCCGGCCTCGCTCCGCACATCTCACGCGCGACACAAAACATCTCTTCCCAGCCCTCACGATGGTTATCGAATCAACTACTTCGAAGATCTACATCAATTCACAAGTCTATCTCAGGTCCTCGATTCTCCTCCCACCGCGCATTCACCTCAACCCCACACCCTAAAGCCCAATACAACCGCTCGAGCCAATACAACCGTTTCAATAATCGCGGCTCCCTGTTCTACACCCTAATCCAGAATTCAAGACCCCATCACTTCGTGATAATCGGCCTTGGCCTCTCAGGCATATATCTCTACAACACAGACGTCGTCTCCGTAAGCCCACCCTACCTCACTACTACCTACCATAAGCACCGCTTCAGAAAATGAGTTCTGATTACGAGGAAAAGGAAACTGGTCGGCGCCGCTTCATCTGCGTCTCACCCGCGCAGGAATTAAAGTTCGGCGAAGAAGGATATCGCGAAGCGCTCAACGAAGCCCGTGGCAAGATCCTACCTGATCACCACCCTCTTACGAGGACCGTGGATCGTGTATTGCAGAGATTAATTCCGCTTGCGCCGATTGAGGGAGCAGACTGGAAGGTCCATGTTATCAAAGATGATGGGATGGCGAATGCATTTGTTCTACCGGGGTATGTTGATCCACTTGCATGATTTGGTATTGGCCCTGTATCACTGACCGTTTGATGTAGAGGGAAGGTATTCGTCTATACCGGCATTTTGCCAATTTGCGAGAATGAAGATGGTCTTGCTGCTGTCCTGGGACATGAGATTGCACACGTTGTTGCGAGACATCCTGCGGAGCGGATGAGTAATAGTTTCCTAACTCTGGGAGCTGTTTTTGCGGTTTCGTTGCTTTTCGATGTCTCTGGGCATCTTACTTCACTTTTGGTCAATTTGATGTACAGCTTGCCGAATTCGCGCTCGCAAGAGGTAAGTCTTTTCAGTTGTGGTGAGCTTGTCAAGCGTTGAGGCTAATTGCAGTTTCAGGCAGAGGCGGATAACATAGGGCTGAGTATGTAGGGATACTGGAGGATTCATATTGAGATGCTGACTCTTCTTGAATAGTGATGATGTCCAAGGCTTGCTTTAATCCGGAGGCTGCTGTGCGGTTGTAAGTCTTCTTTTGATTATGCTCCACGGTCTAGACTAATGCTGTACTAGATGGGCACGAATGCAAAAGCAGGAGAAGGGGTCTCCTCCGCAATTCATGTCCACGCATCCTTCGGTCAGTAAGATGAACTCTATCGTGATAATTTTTTTACTAACTTTTCGCTAGAGCTATAACAGAGAGGAAGCTATTCGTGGATGGTAAGTTGCTTGACTCTATTGTTTGACGAGTCTCAATTGCTAAGTGCTATAGGCTCGAGAAAGCCGAAACGATCTACTCGGACAATGGTTGTGGATCCCTTGGAAAGTATGGTAAGTTCACGACTCCTTCCTCTTGTATTTGAGCCTGAATTGACTTCCGTAGTGCCGGCTTTCCACGATGCGGCTCATTCGTACAAGCCTTCTTATGTGTGGTGAGGCGATACAACAAGTAATGGAAGTTTTGTACAATTAGATTCAAGTGATGTCAATACTAATCTCAACTATTGCTTCAAAATCGTTCGCTTCCCATAATAAACCCCTTTTTCACCCAAGGAACCATCGAACTAGATAGAACGCGGGCGGAGAGAACTGGCGGGTTCCCCTCGTGCAAACATCGCAAACGCACCCAACTCCCCGTCGAGCTCCCAAAAATTCCCCGGCACAACAGTGGTCATCTACATTCCCCCTCCACCTCGTCAAATCAAGTCGTATCCCCCGGACACGACCTTTGACAATGTCGCTCTCGATACCTGGGCCCTCCCAGGCCGGTCTCTTCAAGGCCGGCTACCAGAGGTATGTTCGACCTGCATTCATGTCCCACACCTCCTTATCTCGACACCCTGAATCATGCCTTGGGAAATTGAGCTAATGCAATTACCAGCCACGACGCCGAAGATGGAGCCGTCATCCGTAACATCGAAGCCTGCCAGGCTATCTCGCAGACCGTGCAGACCTCCCTGGGCCCCTACGGCCGCAACAAGATCGTCATCAACCACCTGCAGAAGATGATCCTGACCTCCGACGCTGCTACCATTCTCCGCGAGCTCGATGTCGTGCACCCGGCTGCCAAGCTGCTTGTTATGGCGAGTCAGCAGCAAGATGCTGAGATGGGCGATGGTACCAATATGGTTATCGTCTTTGCGGGCGAGCTGCTCAAGAAGGCGGAGGAGCTCATTCGCATGGGATTGAAGACCAGTGATATTACTTCTGGTTATGAGAAGGCACAGAACTTTGCTTTGAAGGTCCTTGAAGGTACGTCTTTTAGGAGATTTGAGATATGAGATTTTTTGGTCGACATTGAGGGGTTGCGAGTGTGGTCGTGGAAATAATGCTGATTTTTGGTTTTCCTACAGATCTTGAGGTCGACCGACTTAAGGATATGCGCTCAGTTCCGGAACTCAGTAAAGCGCTGCGGACGGTTGTGGCTAGCAAGCAGTCTGGTACGGAGGATACTCTAGCTGCGTTGGTTGCGGAGGCTGTTCTGGCTGTCCTGCCCAAGAACCCCCTCAACTTCAACGTGGATAATGTCCGTGTCGTCAAGATCATGGGTGGCAGCTTGGAACAGTCTCGTGTGGTTAAGGGTATGGTGTTCGGTCGGGAGCCCGATGGAATTATCAAGCAGGCTCGCAAGGCCAAGGTCGGCGTTTTCAGCTGCCCCATTGACACCTCCCAGACCGAGACCAAGGGAACTGTTCTGCTGAAGAACGCTCAGGAGATGGTTGACTACACCAAGGGCGAGGAGGGGCGCTTGGAAGCTGCCATTAAGGAGCTGTACGACTCGGGTCTTCGCGTGGTTGTTGCTGGTTCTACCGTTGGCGACCTTGCTATGCACTATCTCAACCGCTTCAACATCCTCGTCATTAAGATTCTGTCCAAGTTCGAGCTCCGCCGCTTGTGCCGTGTCGTCGGTGCCACCCCTTTGGCCCGCCTGGGTGCCCCCATGCCCGATGAGATGGGCCAGGTCGACGTTGTCGAGACTACCGAGATTGGTGGTGATCGTGTCACTGTTTTCCGTCAAGAAGACGCCAACGCTGTCACTCGCACTGCCACCATTGTTCTGCGTGGTGCCACCCAGAACCACCTTGAGGACGTCGAGCGTGCCATTGATGACGGCGTGAACGTCGTCAAGGCCATCACAAAGGACCCCCGCCTTGTTCCCGGTGCCGGAGCCACCGAGATTCAGCTCGTGGAGCGTATCTCCGCATTCGCCGACAAGACCCCCGGTCTGCCCCAGTATGCTATTCGCAAGTACGCCGAGGCTTTCGAGGTCATTCCCCGCATCCTCGCCGAGTCAGCCGGCCTTGACGCCACTGAGGTTCTCTCCCGCCTGTACACCGCTCACCACCGCAACGCCACTGAGGAGTCCTCCGACGAGGAAGAGGAGGGCAGCTCATCTGAAGAGGAGGAGCCTTACTGGACTACTGGTGTTGACCTCGAGGCCAGCACCTCTGCCGGCACTCTGGACACTGTCGAGGAGGGTATTCTTGATCTCATGGCTACCAAGAGCTGGGCTATCCGTCTGGCCAGTGAATCTGCCCGGACTGTCCTCAGCGTTGACCAGATCATCGTGGCTCGACAAGCAGGTGGCCCTAAGCCACCTGGGCCGAACGCCAACTGGGACGAGGATTAAATGATTGAAGATGGCATGGCTTCGAGACCGTTGGGACGGCGATAGATCTCCGTACGATATCACGAAAAAAAAAGGTCGCCTGGTGTGTATAGCAGAGTATGATAATACATCCATACATTGGTCAATGACTCTTGTAATTCAATTAAGAACTTTGTCTGGACCGAACCATTTTTAGTCGTTCATTCTCATATTCGCTGCGCATTATAGCTGTGCAAATCGTCGTGATCTCTCTGTGCACCTTTGTACAAGCTTACATAAGTATCACGTGACACCGAGATTTTCCCCGAAACTCTTGTCATTCTTTTTGCTCTCTATCGCGGCCGAGCTGTCTCTTCCATAACCCCCGGAATTGTGAATTGATCCAATCTCCCTTCCGAGCTCAATACTCCATCTCCGCCATGTCCTTCCCCACCCAGGCCGCAGCCCGCGTCTGCAGACAATTCTCCGGCTCCGTCCGCCCATCCTCCCTGCGCATCGCGACTTCATACACAGCCCGCCGCACACCTGCCAGCCGACGATGGGAGTCTACCGAGGCCGCGGCTGCTGCTCCTAGCAACCCCAAGATCGCACAGATTGTCGACCAGATCAGCACATTGACTCTCCTCGAAACTGCCGACCTCGTGTCTAGCTTGAAGGTTTGTTGGCCCAATCCATTGATTCGCGTACACACGTCCGCAATCGTCAATTGAGACAATTTCTTCGAGACTTGTACTTCCCTCTATAAAACTGGGATTAACAATACTTTACCCAGACCCGCCTGAACATCCCCGACCTTCCCGTTGGTGGCTTCGCCATGGCCCCCGGCGCCGGTGCCCCCGGAGCCGCTGCGGCCGTTGAGGAGGAAGAGGCCGCGCCCGCCGCCGCCGAGAAGACGTTGTTCAACCTGAAGCTCGAGTCTTTCGAGGCCGCCTCCAAGCCCAAGGTCATCAAGGAGATCAAGAACATGATGGGTCTTTCCCTGGTGGACAGCAAGAAGTTCGTCGAGAGCGCGCCGAAGGTGTTGAAGGAGTCTGTTCCCAAGGAGGAGGCCGAGAAGATCATCGAGACGCTTAAGGCTATTGGTGCTAAGGTCATTATGGAGTAAAAGGTCGGAGCTTGCTGAAAATCGAGTGTGGACTTGGATGGGGCTGATCCTGGTTACATGGATGGCTCTTCTCTCATCTCATTTCTCCTTAGTCTCTTACATGCGGCTTTGGCTTTGAAATGGCTGGTTTATCTCGGCGAGGATCTGGACGTCATCGCCTGGTCGTGTGAGAGCAAATGTACATTATACGCATTGTGTTATGGACCCCTGGTATAGAGGGCTCGTTTGATTAATTGATGCATTGAGCATTTTCAGATCCCATATCTCTAGATCGTAACCTCAATTTCTCAGAATTGGCAATTTTCGTAGACGTTGAACTGATCACGTTGTGCAGATCGAGTCCTTGCACCACATTAAAAGCGGACCCGAGGCCTACCTCCGCGATTTCTCACTCTCCGCCTCAACCACCATCTGCTACCCACACCATACGCGCACCTCGCCGATTGCAATCGCCATTATGAGGCCGGCGATATCCTTACGGCAATGGATAAAGCTCCGCCAGTCTTTGTCTTCCGTCGACGCACCACCAAACTCTCCCGCGATCTTCCTCACCCCATCCGCAAATCCTCTCGCTCTCCGAAAGCAGATCCCCGGCTCTAAACGAGCATTCCACGTCACACAAGCCCAAAATGCGGCGCGCAAAGCGCTCAGGTCACCGGCAGCAAGAGCGAAAGAAAGAGATGCGCTCCAAAGCTACGCAATGCCAGAGCTGATGGGGTCTAAAGTCATGAACAGAGATGGATTCTTCATGGTTTGTTTAGGCGAAGCACTGAAATCGGGACACCAGGATCAATGGTACAAGAAACACTTCGACTCGATTCCGTTCGAGTATGATAAAGCCATTAAAGACGGGTTTATCCCCAGGGCGATCAGCTACAAGACTTTCAAATCTGTGAAAACAAAGCTTATGGATGCGGCATTATCAGCTCGGCCTAATGCACAGGCCATTCGGGCTATTTCTGTCGGTAAGTGGTCGCATCTCCTCGAGTGTGCAGTATGTGAAGTGGTTGAGGTACTAAACCCGTGATAGATGTCAACGCTGTGTTCCGCATTGGCTATTGCGCAACTCGCTTCGAGCCACATCTTCGAGAGTGGATCATTTCATCGTGTGCGATGGCGAAAGCGCGCATTCCTCTAATTCTCGTCACAAAGAGAGCCATGGAGCTTTCTAAAGTTCCATCGCGCACTGAATGGACTACCGAGATTGAGAAGCTCGCCGTGGAGCGATACCCTCCTGCTCTGGTGCTGCACGCAAAAATGCTGGGTCTGCGCGGTGAACACAAGGACGCTATTGATCTTCTCGAGCAAGAGGTGTTGCCGTTCATTACTCCCACGCAGCAGTTACCAAGGTTTTTCGACGACATTATGCTTATGGGACAGCTTGAATCACCGTGGAGACTATACGCGCTGCTTCTGGCGCGATACGACGCCATGCACAATGATCCGGAAGTTCGAAAAAAAGTCCGACGAGGCGATTAAAACGGCAGCAATAGAGTACCATGATCCCGATGCATTGTTGGAATATGCCTTCATGATGATGAATGAGAACAACCTGGACGCTTACGAGGAGGCCATGTTGAAATCTGCCACTTCTGGAAATGGCAGTGCCTGCTTATTCCTCGCCAACTTCTATTATCTAACCTTCCATGGCAAGTACCCCACCCGCGGCGAGAGGGCGAAGAAATTTGCTAGTGGAGAGACGGAACCTGCCAAGGAAAGGGCAAAGGCAAAGCCGTCTCCTCCGGCTCCTATTTCTGAGAAACAAACGTCGCAATGGTGGACATGGGTTACTTCATTCTTCCAACAGTCCATGGAGCGTGAAGAGTACCGAGATCTTGCCCAAGATTGGTATTCACTTGCCTGGTTCCATGGCAATAGAAGAGCCGCGTTTATGTTGAGCTTGTTGCATCGCGAAGATGGTAACCTTGAGGAAGGATACAACTACCTCGCGGAAGCGGAAATGGAGAATGACAAGTACTTTGCGGATCGGTTGTTGGAGTTGAAGGCGAACTGGCTTGAAAAGGAGTACTCGCCCAAGGTTCCCAAGAGAATGCTGGCTGTACAGTAGCTCTGTGTGGTTCGAATGTATATGTGAAATATCTGTGTATATCTAATGCACTGTGTAAAGCGAACATCTTTTGTATGATATGATCTGTACGAGCTTTGAAACTCAAGAACAAAACTAAATTTCGTTCCCTTGTGCCGCCGAAGACTCAGCTCCATTCTGGTCTCCCTGTTCTTCCTGATCCCCTAATTGACCCCTCTTCAGAATCTCCAACAACTGATCCGCCGTGAGATGGTCATTCGCCGCTTCCATTCGATGCGCATACTTCAATCTCCCCCTTGAAAAATCCACTCGCCCCCCTGCTAATTGGTAGGACCACCCATCAATGCGCTCCACCCCTTTTTCCATCTCTGTTTCATATCTCTGAAGAAGGCACTAGGAAAAGATAAGCTCGAGTATGGTGGCGGCTCAGTGAACCCGGTCCAAGTCCGTTTCATTTCCAATGTCTCGTATATCTTCGCCGAGGGGTCAGAGTATAGAGGGAACATATCGGCAGTCTCCTCGATGTATGGGCCGATTAACGTATGGTCACCGCAACCGATGATGATGACCTGGGCTGGTTTGGCGTGGTGCGGGATAGTGTCGAGCAGCCTTTGTGTAATCTTACCAGATAAAGTGCGGACATAGTCTTGGTCGTACATGCAAAAGAAGTGGCGGACTACAAGGGCAAAGAAGGTTAGTTTTTGCACCCAACAGTTTATTACTCTTCCGGCTGTATCTCGAAATAGCTGGGTGACGAACTTACTAAAAATGACAATAGTAGTCACAGAATCTCCTTTTCCAGCAACGAGCTCACCGAATCGCACTGGCTTGCCGTTCTTATCGGCAATCTCGAGCTCATATGCTTCGTGCAGTGTCTCGTCCGCTAGGAAAGTCGGGTCCGTTGATACGTTCGCGTTGGTCATGTTTCAGAACAGCATGTCCCCAATTTCAAGTCCGGGGTAAATTTAATTGAAGTTTAGAAGAATCTTCACTATGTTTCGGCGGCGAGAAATTTAACTTCGGCTAGGAAAGTGTCGTGTTAACGTGGTTGTAAAGCCAATTTGTTGTCGATGACATCATGACCTTTAACCCGTGATGGAGGCAAATTTATCGTTTCTATCAGAATTCAACAGTACTCCCACATGTGACAAATATAGATGGATGGAAACTGGCGGTAGTTTAAAGTGGCCGTGACTATAGATCTCTTTCCGAAAGGATACATCATGGAAGATGGCCGGAATATTTAGGAACATTCATCTCATGTACATTTTTTTTCTCCATAAGTAGTTCTATATTACTACTTGCAAAATTTATTGCTCTACCAACTTGAGACAAGCATCTCGATAGCGTAACAGCTTAACAGCCCTTCTACAAATAGCGCTTTTCATCAATGTGACTTACTCGTAGGGGTTGCTCACCACGGCCCTCCAAAGGTATCTCTCCGGGGTCAAGCGTATATTTGAGTTCATCTAAATTAGTACATATGTTGAAATATCTCGTGAGATCTACAGTGGTATTTCTACAAATGCTGCATGATCGTCGCCAAATCACAAACTTATCCAAGCCTTTACAACGCTTTATTACTGTATACCTTAGAAGTTCGAATCATATCGTGATTAGTTCACTTTATCAACATCGAGAGATTCTCGGAATCTAGATAAGTGACATTGTCTATGAGGCCACCCAACGAAGTAGAGGGCGCAGAGTTATCAGACTTATTGCTATGAGACCTAAGCCTAACTCAATAACCAAACAAATGGTGGCTTTCCAGACATCGTCTATGAAAGAAATGTTAATAAGCGAGGGCCTCGAAGATGCTGTATTCCGCAGCGGAATAAGAGCAAACTGACAGGTGAGATTTTGAAAGGCAAAGGGAATGAATGGAATCCGCACCAATTGTGCGGAACCTGCACTTTTTTTTTTCTCGGTGTCAGTTCACTATAGCATGACTTAGACAAGACCTCAAATGAAGTTGCAAGACTCACAAAAATCCTATGCATAACGTCAGCCCCAGGAGAGCCTTTGTTCGCATACTCATTTGCAAGCCCCAAATAAGGGGTATTGGGTAAGCACCTAGCGTAAAGTCACATATTGAAGCCACTATACTTTGCACATAGGCTGCAATCACCAACTGGGATGGTTGGAGACATGCGTTCGGATTAGTCTGTTCCCAGAACTGCGAGGTAGGCCTGCATGCAAGAATGAACAGCAACCACAACCCGATACTGATCATCCATGAAAATGACACCACCGCATAGAGGATAAAGCGGCGTCGACGATGAATTGTGAGACTGAGAAGTGAGAGAACTAAAGAAGTTCTCGCAAATGCAGCGCCCCAAAGGTAGGCAGTTTGACCTAGCCACCACCACTGCACAGTCATTGGTATTAGATGGATTTCAGGTCAATGAGTTGGGAAGAGATGGTTCTACCATAATAGCTGTGTCAATATTGGCCAGGACTGTGAAATCCTGTTCATCTCTTCCAAGACCATACAGACTTGCAATCATTTCGCAAACTGTGAACCAGGATTGAAGTATCTAATAGATTCGAAGTATATTAGAGAATTTTGTATACCGTTATTGGATGGCTTGACTCACCATAGCTATGACCATAGTCCAATCATCCCATCCAATATATTTGATGATTTTCGACCGTGTAAAGCATCGAAGAGCCACAAAAAGCAGGGGTACCACCAGGAAGATGCACGAGATAATGAAGAGGGCCTCACTGCGGCCTTTCAGTGGCTGCATTATCCCATATCCATATTGAGATAACGGGCGGTGGATTGCAACATAAGTTCCGGAAGGCTTTGAAACATTCGACCATACTCATGATTGCCGATAGTTAGATGACATCAAGACTGTCAGTGTCCCGATGTATGGCAGAACCCCCGGATTAGACTCATTTTAGGTTCTGCCAAGAGCCTGCCGACATACCAAGAAATATAAAACACTCACAAGTAATCAATCTACTTGCCCGTCAATGCCGATAAAAGAGTCCACATGAAACTCTAAAGAACTAACCAAATCATTGCATGGTACCTGAGATGAATCTTGTTCAACTATAGTATGAAGAGTTCTTCAGCGATGTTTCAGCAGTGGATGCCTTGGGTCCAGGAAGCACTCGGTATCGAACATTCTTACTGCCATCGTCCCTTTAGCTCTTCACCGCTTTTGACCAGCTTGGCTCTGTCTCTCTGCTCTGTGGGAGTTCCTCCGAGATCCCGGGTTAGATCCTCCGAAGTACTAAATGGATCCTTCGCAAGTGGCCATCATGCTCCTCGACCCGCCCTCTCGCCTCCCACGCCTTTTGTTCACCTCTCGAACCTATCAGCAAACCCGATTCGCTATTAAACGTAGATCCGACTTTCTTTCTGGTTCCTGTCACTATTTCTCGAGCGTTGACAAGTTTAATAGAATGTAATCACGGACGAAGTATAATCGCAATTGTAGAACAAGCTGTCGATGAAACTTCTACCAAAGACTTTTAACGTATCGCGTGTTCAGCGTCGCGAGATACGATATCATGGACATCCTCTGGTGCCCCTCAATTTAACGTGGCCCGTTAAATGATTAATCTCTGCGTTAAATTAATGCTGTTAGGGCCAGACAAGAGTAATTGCATGTTGATCGGCAAAGCCAATTCCGAGAATGACTGCATAGTAGGCAAATCTTATCAATGTACGTCAAGGTGGTATAATGGCGTGGGGTTGGTGGGCACCTCGCACGGCTAACGGGATACAATGTCCGACTTGGGATATTCAATCCAGTGGATCCCAGCCTCAATATGAGGAATGTTCCCTTCCAAAAACCATGGAGCTCCTGGTATCTTTACAGCCCCGTCATACCACCACGTGAGCGGGCCGCATCCCGTCAAAGATATCATGCAAGCCATCAAAGCAACGGGATTTATAAACCAGCTCTCGCCTCATCTCGGGCCATCTCAGTCAGAATCTCATAATCCACAGCTCCAAATTCCGGAGATTAATTCCAAGCACAAGGACAATGGATCAATATGATGTCGCGGTAGTAGGACTCGGTGTTCTGGGAAGTGCAGCAAGCTACCAAGCGGCCCTCAAAGGCGCCAAAGTCCTCGGCCTGGAGCAATTTGAATTCGGACACGTCCAGGGCGCATCGCACGACACATCGCGCATCGTCAGAAAATCGAATTCCGAGCCGGAGAATGTGAAGCTCGTCAAATCTGCCTATAAGGACTGGGCTGAGCTGGAGAAGCTCACTGGTCAAAAGCTGTTGACCACGACCGGGGGCCTTTTCTTCCTTCCCAAAGATGCTCCATATCCTCTTGAGAGCTATGTGAAAGCTCTCGGGCAGAATGATGTTTCACACGAGGTTCTGGACCACAAGGAGGTGAAAAGGCGATGGCCTCAATTCAACGTCCCAGAGTCTGTCGACACGGTGTATGACCCGGACAGCGGCATTGTCCACGCCGCGAAAACAGTAATGGCAATGCAGTACCTCGCACGCTCAAAGGGTGCCACTCTGAAGGATAATACTCCTGTGGATCGGATCACTCCCCAAGTCTCAGGGGGTGTCGTGATCGAGACATCAAAAGGAACCTTCCATGCAAAGAAGGTGATTCTTACAACCGACGCTTGGACAAATAAGCTCCTCGCACCGCTCGGCGTGCACATTCCACTCAAGGTAATGCAAGAGCAAATCACCTACTTCAAGCCAACAGACCCCTCTGCCTTTGGACAAGAGAAGTTCCCGGTATGGATCTGGGGCGGACCGCAGACTTACTATGGATTCCCGACTTATGGCGAGCCAACTATCAAAGCGGCGCACGACCAGGCGATGAATCTCATGACTCCTGAGAACAGGACCTTTGTGCATTCCACAGAGTTATTGCAGGAGTTATGTAGCTTCCTTCAGGAGTTAATGCCTGACCGGGGTCGCCAGCCTCTTCGTACTATCACCTGCCAGTATACCATTACACCGGAGCGCCGATTCATAATTAGTCCGTTGGAAAAGAACCGGGATGTTATTGTGGGACTTGGTGCCGCACATGCGTTCAAATTTGCACCTGCTTTTGGACGCGCTCTTGCGGAACTGGCGGTTGATGGGGAGACCAAGGAGGATATCTCCAAGTTCGGAATCCCCAAGGACTCGAGTGGAACCAGTAAGCTTTGAGTCTTTGCGTAACGCTTGTCATGGCCGATTCTTATTTGTCAGTTGCTTTGATGAATGAGATTTAGCTATTTTAGCGCGTAAATTGATGCCCTCTTCAGACCCGTCAATGTGAGGAGTCTAACAATATAACCAAAAGAGAGTCGTTTTCACAAGATTTACTTGGGAATTTGAGAATATTCACATAATTCTATTTGCTATTACTCGTTAAATCATAACGTCAACCGCAGAGCATCTATCACCCAGCACTTGAGCAATTTTTCCCAACCGGAACGGAGTCTAGTTCATCAATAAAACACTACGCTGACCCTCAACAACAGCCTTCGTAACCTCATCTAAGGAGCCCGCAGCCGCAGCGAAGAAACCAAGGAATGCCTTGCTGGGAGCTAAGACACGACTTAGGTATTCGGGGTGGAACTGCACACCCACGAACCAGGGGTGATCCTTGATCTCAATGATCTCCATACGCTCGCCCTTCTCGTCCTTTCCGATGAAGGACAGACCGGCCTTCTCGAGGTCTTCGACCATCTCGGGGTTAACCTCGTAGCGGTGACGGTGGCGCTCGGAGATTTGGGAGACGTTGGGACCGTACAGCGCCCGAAGGCGGGACCACTCGGTGCCCCTTTGGAAGATGGAGAGGTGCTTTCCCAGACGCATAGTGCCGCCCATTTGATCCTTGTTGACCTGGAAAAAATTGGTTAGTATCAAGCGTATATTTGGGAAAGTGGTTGACATACCTCAGGCATGTAGATAATAGCGTGATTCTCCGCGTGGGGGTGCAACTCCTCGCTTCCAGCATCCTTGATACCAGCCACGTTACGAGCATATTCAATGACGGCAAGCTGCATGCCGAGGCAAACACCCAGGAAGGGGACCTTCTTGGTACGGGCCCACTCGATAGCCTTGATCATACCGGTGGTAGCTCTGGTACCGAAGGCACCAGGGACGAGAACACCAGCTGCGGTACAAATGGCGTGCCAGGCCTTGTGGAAGTCGGCCGGGTTAGACTGCAGAACCTCGTCCTCGAGATGGGATGAGTCGACCCAGATGACCTCGACCTTCTTGTGGCAGTACATTGAAGCGTGCTCGAGTGCCTTGGACACACTGATGTAAGCATCCTTGAGAGCAGTGTACTTGCCAACCAGCGCAATTGAGACAGTATCGTGAAGGTGATCCTGGCCACGGGCAAGCTCGACCCAGTCCTTCCACATGCGACTACCTTGCTCGATCAGCTTGGCGGGTCTTTGAACAGATGCGAGACCGAGGTGTTCGCCAATGGTCTTGATGAGCTTCTGCTTCTCAAGTAGGATAGGCACGTGGTACGTAGTTGCGACATCGTGGACTGCGATAACTTGCTCGGGGTCCATGGAGCACATGTTCGCAATCTTCTGAATGGTCCCATCCTCGAGCGGGCGCTCGCAGCGACACGCAATCAGGTCTGGATTGAGACCAGCGCTTCGAACGTCGCTGATGGCACGTTGGGTGGGCTTGGTCTTCTGCTCACCATGGATCACAGGCACGTAGGAGACGTGGATCTGAACGAAGTTGCCCTTGCCAGCGCGTCGCTGTAGCTGGCTGATAGCGTGAATGAAAGGCGCGCTCTCAATATCTCCAACGGTTCCACCCAACTCAATGATACACACGTCGGGCTCGGCGCCAGATTCGTCAACGGGGATCTTGGCAACGCGCTCAATCCATTCCTGGATAGCGTTGGTGATGTGGGGAACAACCTGAACGGTCTTGCCGAGGTAGTGGCCGATACGCTCACGCTCGATAACTGACTTATAGATCTTGCCTGTGGTGATGTTGTGGTCCCGAGTAAGGGTAGTGAGGAGGTATCGCTCATAATTGCCAAGATCGAGATCCATTTCGCCGCCATCGTCCGTCACGTAGACCTCACCGTGCCTAAGAATCGCCCATTAGTATCTGATACGGATTCCGGACACTGAGAGCACTTCAGACTTACTCAATTGGCGACATGGTACCCGCATCGATGTTGATGTAGGGATCAATCTTAATGCTGGTGACGGTGAGACCGGTGGTCTTGAGGAGCAGACCAGTGCTGGAGGCGATAATGCCCTTGCCAACACCGGAGATGACACCTGTACACGAGTCAGTGGTACAATTGAAGACCGAGCGACATTTCCGAACTTACCACCAGAGACCAAGACGTACTTCATTGTCGCGCGATTGATCTACGAACTGCAGAAGATCGCGGCAGAAAAAAAGAAATGCGGCGGAGAAAAAAAGTCGCGCCGCACGCTAAGCCTGATTCGGCGACCCCAGAGTTATCGCGGTTCCCAGCTCGAACTAATCTTCATGTATCCAAAGCTATGAATATCTCGTGTCCTTTAAATACTCTGGGCTCAAAGAAAAAAATCCATGCACCTGTTTCAGGGTCAATCACAGTTCAAACACGATGATCAGAATACTGAGAAATGTTTCGCGCGTAAATTGAAATGTACCGATAAGGCAATAATGGGCAGCCCCACCATACTATGCCGAGTTTAGGTACATGAAGTATTTCAAGGTCGTACGCACGAACAGGGTATTGAATTATTATCATGCGGATGAAAAGCGAATTCGATGCCGCCACGGTCGTGTTGTTGAAAGTTGCTTACACTCTTTTTTTCCAGACGAGAATGATGTTGCTGCAACGTACTTCCATATTGATAAGACTAAATATGCAACCTTCTGTCTGCCCTAAGCGGAGACTTGCAACTGGCAGGCGACGTCGACTTCGACAAGCTGTGTGCTATGTGATGATTCGAGCCGGTAATCAAATTGGAATATCACCAATTCGTATACGATCTTCTATCAGGGGCTTTCATTAAAAGAAGAGTATGAAATTATTGAGAGAAACGGATCTTGAAAAATAATACCGAGATCAGAATAAATTTGCAGCTTTGATTATTAGGTAGACCACTAAGACCAAGATTCTTTGCATAGCTTGCTCTTGCTCGTAGCCAGCTGAGCGATTGATGTCAAAGTTGCACCCCCCAAAATGTCAAATACGGCCATCTCTGATTGCAATTCCTTCGCAAACCAGCTCCGTAGTTCCACCGCAACAAGCGAATCTACTCCATACTGATGCAATGGCTTATTGGAATCGATATCCCCAACAGCGATCGACAGAGCTTGGGATAGCTTCTGCGCAATAGCTTCCGTGACAAACGTCGTAGCGCTAGCCAGAGACTCGGCCCGTTGAATTGAAGCACTGACTGAGCTGGATGCGCCATGACTGCCACTGACTACTCCGTGGGCCGTGAGTTGTCGGAACATTGGCTTCCTCAGCCACGGTGCCTGCGTTGCGCGTGGTGATAGACCCACTGTGACCTGGCAATCCGAGATGCTTTGTAGGGTAACGCGAGGGTCGCAGTAATAGTCCAACAGGGCATGGAGTTGAGATTCAGTCACCGGTTCCAGACCCATGTTGGCGATCAGTATGTCACGCAGCTGTGCATCCTCAGCAACAGCGCCCGCAAAATCAAATACGCCTAAGTCGAGAGCGGTGGCTTTTTCGCCCAATCCTACTCGATGACGAGCCAATGCATCTTGGAAGGTGTTTCCAGCGGCATAATTGGCCTGCCCAATCGTTCCCACAAGGCCAGAGATGGATGGTAGCATGATGAAGAAGTCCATCCCATGAGGCAGATGTCTGTGAAGATTCCAGGAGCCTTGAACCTTGGGTGAAATCGATTCATGCCATGAATGGTGAGATATATTTTCAAAGAGCGCATCCTATAATATCAGCCCTAGCCCTGTGCTAATAGACATCATAAATCAAGGGAAGCTTACCCGCAACACCATCGCGGCTTGGATGCATCCTTTGATGGGAGGCATCTGGGATGTATACTCGTGGAGGACATGCTGCAGTAGCGTTCCGTCCGACACGTCACATGCGGGAGCTACCACATCTATACCTTTCCCCTTTAAAGAGTCGATCAGGACACGGCTCTTCTCTCCCTCGCCGCCTGAACGTGACAGAAGCAGGAGATGGCGAGCGCCTCGATCCGCTAACCAGTTGACGATGTTGCTTCCCAGTCCACCTAATCCTCCACAAACGACAAATGTTGCATTGGGATCCAAGATGTAGGTTGGTTTCGTTCTCAACACAGTCTACGCAAGAATTGAATTAGAGACACAACAGCAGATTTTCAGAAAGAAGCTCACCGTCACTTGATCATGCGGACGCATGTCCAATATCATTTTACCCACATGCTGTCCGCCTTGCAAGACACGAAAAGCTTTCTCTATCTCGCCCACTCCATGCCGATGGATGGGCTGAGACGGGTGCAGCTTCCCTTCTTGTACCAAGGCGAAGACCTCTTCCAAAGCGGCGACACACACTTCAGGCCGCTCGACTGACATGGCAGCAAGATCAACACCGCTAAATGTCACATTCCGAAGAAACTGTGCCATAGGGAGACCCTGGTTTGACAGGATGTCCCTTTTGCCAATTTCGAGAAATCTGCCGTAGGGCGCCATGCACTCCCAGGATGCAAGCAGACTTTCTCCGGCCAGCGAGTTCAGAATGACATCGACGCCTTTGTTGCCTGTGCGGTGCTTGATAGCATGCGCAAACAAAGTCGACCGACTGGAAAAGATATGCGATTCAGGAATCTCATAGGTGTCCATGAGAAATTGCTTCTTGCTTTGAGAGCCCACGGTCGCAAAAATAGTTGCACCGACATTTTTCGCGATCTGAATCGCTGCTTGGCCGGTGCCACCAGTACCTGAGTGTATCAAGACAGACTCTCCAGGTTGAATGCGCGCAACATTGTGCAACGCTACATACGCAGTGGCGTAGTTCACAGGCAAGGCCGCTGCCTCTTCAAAGGAGATACCTACAGGAATCTTCACAATGGGTCCATTTTCTTGGACGCGGATTGAAGTCGCGAAGCAGCCATCTCCGAGTGCAGCAACTGATTCTCCAACTTGGAATTTTGAGACGGCGCTACCTATCCGACTGACGATACCTGAGCACTCGGATCCGGTGTGAGTCGCCTTCAATTGGCCAACTGCGATCAGGACATCACGAAAGTTGACTCCAGCGCACTTGACCTTGACCTCAATCTCATTCGCCCGCAAAGGCTGGTATGCAGAGGAATCCTCTATAAAGTTGAACCCACTGATTAGGCCTGGAGAGGTGGCATCTAGTTGCAGCGGCACTTCACAGTCAAACTCCTGGACTTTTTGCTGTTCCTTGCTTGCTTTTTGTGACATGACCCCATTGAGCTTGCAGGGAGTGACTACTCGAGGAATGTGAAGAATACCATCCTGCTCAAGGTATTCTGTGTCCGCATCTTTGGCTGCTCCAGAACTTAGGAATTGGACAAATTTTCCAATTCGCTGCGATGTTTCGGTCAAGTCCTCTACAGACTCGAGGGAGAGAAGGTGCAGCTTACGCCGCCCATCTTCTTCCATCAAGACGCGAAGTAAGCCCTCAGCTAGATGGTGATGTGGCTTAGCGGGCCATATTCCTCCTCCCAGGGTGATCCACAGCCCATGCAAGGTAGAGGAGAGAATGTTTTGAATTTGTTCGAACATCTCTTTCTGGATGTCCGCCAACACCGGACGTTGAAGCTCGACAATGAAGACACGGAGGGTGCTGTCGCTTGTTTGGCCTTCGAGTGCCTCTTTAAGAGAAACCACACGCACAGGAGCGCAGTCAAGGAACTCGCATTGTTCAGCAATTGAACTTGCCTGAACGATTTGATCGGCCTCGATCGGATCGTAAATAACCTCAATCGCCGAAACTGAAGGGCGTTTCTCATTTTCGACGGCAGTAGATACTATCAGTCTGCATTCCGAACTTTCGTTGTTAGAGTCTGGTAGCGTGATATCAACCCCAGAGTATCCGACGTGTTTTAAGAGCTCATCCCATTGACTCTCATCAACAGAACGCCCTGATTGGCAACCTGATTCCGAATCTGCGCACTTAGTCTCATTTGCATAGACTTTACGGATCAAGTCACCGACTCACCTTGCCACCATTGCTCTAATAAGCCGAACACGAAGGTTGAGCGATCATCTGGTGTAGCTTCGTCATAAAAAACGAGTTTACCATCACTGAAAGGTAGGTAAGTGATGAAAAGATCAGCACGAGAAGTGGTTCGTCACTTACGACTTCAGAAGCTTTCGTGCATTTTGCAGTATCGTTTCAAGAGTGGAAGGCTCACGAGTGATCTGGCAGAGATATCAGGAATCAAGTTCAATCAAAGCAAGAAGCGGGCATACCATCGGAGCCACAATCATGTCGTATGTGCCACGTTCAAATCCTTGACTTTGAGGATCTTGACTGATATCCAAGACTTTGAAGCTCATCTCCTTCACTTCGGCAAATTTCGTTTGCGTTTTCGTGACATTTCCTGGCGATGGGTCGGTGTAATCTAGTCGCACAAAGCGTGAAGTGTCTTTGCAATTGTCCAAAGCTTCTATGAGAAGCTCTGTCACTGAGCCTAAACCACCTCCGATCTCCAGTATCGTCATCTTCGGATGGCGATGAGAGAACAGATCGAGATATCTGACCAATCCACGGAGACCATTGGATTGATTGACCTGGTCTATAAGCGGAGATCGAGGCGACACAGGAGAAAAACAACTCACAGTCTCATTATAGGCTTCGTTCAACATATCTCCGCTCCGTAAGTATTTTGAGGGGTCCAGCTCACCGGCTACGAGCTTGGTCAGATTCTGGGCAACAAAGGCATAGAGGTAACCTTTTTTTGTTTCTTGAACACGAGACTCCACTTTTCGAACATAGACAGGATCAGCTAGGTGATCTCTCCATCCATCAATAGCGATTGTAAGCTGGCCATCCCTGAGCAGCTTCTGACGGTTGATCAGCCAGTTATGGTACTTTTTTAGATGTTTTTGAGAAGCTTGTTTCCCGTTCTCTGACAGATGAGCAAGGGTTTCCGTTAGTCGCGCTGCAATGAGAAAATCCAAGTCACAGTCAAGGCTATCGTATCCAGAACTACTGGTGGATTCCACCTTGCACAGCCGGGTGACTTCAACGTCACTCAGGAGATTCAGGTCTGGCTTCCACTGAACCTGATGGCAGAGACTATCAACAGAATCCTCAGTACTAACGATCACATCAGTTGTGCTGACGATATTCATCCGAAGGCCTTGGATAGAAACCATAGTCTTTTGTTGATTCTCATCGAGTGCCACGATACTGGTAGCAGGGCCAAGAAACTGCGACACTTCCACATATGAGCTGTATGTGATGAATTCCTGGCAGACTGTCGCTTGGCTATCCACCCACAACCTGTCGATGTGAGTAGGAACAGCCGTAGGAATTTCATCCTTGTCCGAGGGGACCGCGACCCAGATAGATGTTTGAAAAATACAATCCAAGGTGGTTGGATGAATCGTATCTCCCGAGGAAGCAGAGAAATTCCGGATGACGGCCGTCACGTCTGAACCAAGATCACTTCGGGACAACTCTGATACCAGCTGAAATGCTGTACCATAGCCATATCCTGATTTTGACAATGTGTTGTACATCTCCTCACCACTCATTTTTGAGCTGCAAGCTGTCAAGGCATCCGCATGCGCCTTCACTTGAGCTTTCTGGAGTTCCACCGCAACCGTCTTGTCTAAATCTTCTTCTTTGTCGCCATAGACAACCTGGATAGAACCTGTGCAGTTCTCCGTCCATGTCTCGTGTTCCAAAGTACAGACTTTGAAATCAAACCATCCTGATCGGTTGGACTGCATGTTTCCGGCCGGGCGTAGATGGAAGCTGGTCTCAATACCCTGTGCGCTTAACGGAATGCGAATCGCCGCCCGGAATGTCACGTCCTGTAGATTAAAACCAGAGATTGACCTCCCATTGTCTGCCATCTGCTTAGATGCCTCGATGGCCATCACCAGCATTCCTGCGCCCGGGTAGAGGATCGTTCCATTGATCTGTTGGCTGATTAGTGGTCTATTTGATTTTGGATGCTCACAAGTGCGACCTCACCTTGTGATCTTGGACCCATGGCATCTCTGACACGCGAATAATGTTTCTCCACCGGCCCTCCAACAGGTTTTGGTTTGGATCAGGAAGCCCCAGAAGATCATTTCGGGGGAAATCCCGCAAGCGGTGGTTCTTGCTAATCCTGCTCTCGTGCCAGTATGACTTCTCATGGCTGAAGGGATACTCTGGCAAGTCTGCTAGCGCCTTGCAGGTCTGGTCATCCTTATTCATCAAGGAGAGATTGATCGGATATCCAGCAGAATACAGGGCACCGAAGACAGAGAAGACAGTATCAATGGCAGAAAGATTCCGCACCAGCAAAGACAAGTACTTGACAGCCGATGCCTTGTTCATTTCCTTCAGGATATCCTTGCACGCACCTTGCAGCACGGAATGGGGCCCCAGCTCGAGGATATGATCAATTTTGAGTTTTTTACGATGGCTGCCATCCAGCACCTTTTGAGGGTCCGAAGATGCAGAACAGAGAGTTGACAGACCCTTGGAGAACCGCACAGGAGAAATCATATTGCGTTCCCAGTGAGATGCCTGACAAGGCTCGTCTGGGTCAATCCAGTCGCCGGTGATTGAAGAAACCATCCCTGGCCGTGATCTGGTGAATAAACAGCCTCCTTCCAGCTCACCCAGAGCTGCTAAGTACTCAGAAGCGATTTCCTTCATTTGGGAAGAATGATACGCCAGATTGACCTTGAGTCTGCGAGCAAAAATCTTGTCATTGTCCAAGTGAGCTTTCAGCGCATCGAGCTGAGCCTCTTGCCCAGAGATGGTCACACTCTTAGGACTGTTAATGCATCCAACGGCAAGTCGAGGGACCTCAAAGTCGCGACTAGCTCTTTCGATATAAGGCACAACATCATTTTCGGAAAGCGCTACTGCGAGCATAGAGCCTTTGATCGCGGCGCATTTCTCCAGGCGACTGCTCAAGTTACCCCGGTAATATGACACCTTCCAGGCCGAGCGTCTGGATATCGCCCCAGAGCAGTATCTGGAAAGAATCATTCAAAAAAGCTTCCCAGTGGAAGATGAGACTCCTACTTACGCAGCTGCAACCTCGCCAGAGGAATGACCCAGTACTGCCTTGGGGACTATGTTGAAGAAACGCAAGAGATCCACCAAGGCAATCTGTAGAATCGTACACAGAATCTGGCTGTACTCGGTACGATTGACATTTGACTCAACTTCAGATTTTCGAAACTCATCTGCAACACGTCAATAAACCCATTTTCATGGAGCCTGGACACATGTCACGTACCCACAGGGCTCCATTCGCATCCTAAAGACTGAAGATACTCTCCGGCTGCTTCGATGGACTGAAGGAATACTGGATATATGTCAAGTAACTCGCGTCCCATGGCATACCATTGGGCACCTTGCTAAGAGAGTGTCAGTGAGAAGATATGAAGCCATGAAAGAGATGTACCCACCCCAGAAAATATCAATGCAAGGTTAGGTGAATCACGGGACAGACAAGGTAGGCCAAACCGGTCTCCTAGTGTACTCAGATCGTCTGAAGGCCGCATGACGGCAAATGTTCTCCATGGTAGGTGCGTCCTTCTCGTACCCAGGGTATAAGCGAGATTTTGTAGGAAAATTTTTCTATTGTTGATGATTTTTGCTGAGAAGAATGAACGCCAGATATCTTGAACACGAGGAATGCCTGCTTCATCGGCTGCGGACCAAACGAGAAGTTTAGGTGCGTCAAGCTCGGCCACTCCACTAACACCATTTGTAAGTAGGTGGCGTGTGCCATTAGAATCACAATCTTCATTGCAAGGTGTGGGATCAAGCGGCAGCACTGTATTGTGATTCCCTTCTAGTTGGTTGAGACGAAGCGAGTGATACGCATCATCCAGGACAAGATGCGTGTTGGAGCCTCCGTATCCAAAGGAGCTAATGGAGGCTCTTCTGAGTCCACTTGTAGGCCATGGGAAGGCTTCTTGGGGGAACTGGAGCTGTCAGGTTCATCCATTTAGATAACGCAGCTCTACTTACCTTGAGATTCCAGAATTCGTCGTCAATTCTGGGATTCAGGTTCTGTAGGTTCTCGCTATTTGGCGGAATGACCCCCTTTTCCAAAGCTAGTATGACTTTCATAATTCCGGCCATGCCACTGCATCCTTCCAGATGACCGACGTTTGATTTTACGGAACCTCTGTGGAATATGTTAGCTTCATTGGGTTAAAGAGATCAGCGCGCGCACATAAATAAGGGCTCGGTCGGCGAACGATATGAGCGGAAAACAGAACCAATGGCCTTGGTCTCAATCGGATCTCCAATAGCGGTTCCTTACTGATGTGAGTCGAAGTACCACGCTGGTTAAATCCAGCGATTCTTACCTGTTCCGTGCGCTTCAAAATACCGCGTCTTTCCCATGTCGAGACCGGCTTGACGATAAGTTTCCCGGATCAGCGATGCCTGCATATCGGGGCTGGGTTGTGTAATTCCTGGGGTTTTCCCATCCTGGTTGGATGCAGACGCTCTGATGACAGCGCGAACAGTGTCTCCATCCCGCACAGCATCTTCCAAAGTCTTGATAACTAGAACACCCACACCTTCACCACGGGAATATCCGTTCCCAGATTGATCAAAGCTAAAGCAACGGTTTTCCTCGGATAGAAGGCCAAGATTGTCCATCATCAAGGTTGTCTCCGCAGCTAACATGAGATTCACACCCATCGCAAGTCCCTGTCGCGGTTTAGTGTAGTTCATACTAATATCTCCGATATTGCACCTACCATTGTTGATTGACCGCTCCAAATCGACTGACAAGCGAGATCAACGGCCATCAAACTGCTCGAACAAGCCGTGTCGACAGTCGCGCTGGGACCTGTAAGATCAAAGAACCAACTGACACGGTTTGCGAGCATGTTCGACGTTAATCCTGTAATATTGTACTTGTGCATGTTCAAAGGATCCTTAGAGTTCATCATTATCCAGTCATGTCCTGATGATCCTGCGAAGACCGCCGTCTTTGATTTTGCGATGCGCTGCATTGGAATTCCGGCATTTTCCAGCGCGTGAAAGGCCGTCTCGAGCAGCAGCCGCTGAGGAGGCTCCATCGCCTCGGCCTCGGCAGCGGTGATGGAGAAAAAAGGAGCATCGAAACGACTCAGGTCATCTTTCAGAAAATGCCCGCCGCGTATCGACAGGCTATCCAGCCGCTCGGTTACTGGACGGTAATGGGCATCGATGTTTAATCGGTCCTGAGGAAACTCTGTCATAGCACACCGGCGCGACATTATCATCTCCCAAAAGGCTTCCGTGGTCACTGCATCACCAGGAAGCCGAAATGATAGCCCGACAATAGCTAGTGGCTTGGGTGAATTCTCAATTGATTCCATCATGGTGGTGATTGCTCGGCTGAATTCGCGAGTCGACAATGTATAAGAGGAAAGATGGAATTTTATGGGGAAATCGAAATGAATCGTCGTGTATTATCTTCTTCTTAAAAATTAGGGAGCCGCACGATGGATTTGGTCCAGAAAGGTCGCTTCTTGCATGTACGAGACTAGGCACCCAAGTATCGGCTGAAAACCTCTGGTAATCGATTATAACTCGGACGTAATTTACCGCCACGAAACGACCGTCGGTAAGAATTACGGTATGTGGGCCGTGTCTTCCCAATGGACAATTCTGGATTCTTGGAACGAGGCGTAATGGATTCTATCTGCATAAGCCATATTTGCATGAGATGTAGCGCCCGCAGATGACAAATGTACGTGCAGCCCTTTATTGGTGACAGGTTTCGACACCTGGCATTGGCGTGTGAGAGATGATCTGACGGGACGGCAATCTATGCAGCTTAACTCCATGGCGTATCATTTGTTGTCCATTCCTCACCTCTCTTTCCAAGTTCAGCCGCAGCCCTCTATTCGAATCCAGTGAAAGCATTGTACCGCCCATATCTTAACCTGGTAATCATTGTGATCTTGGAAATCACCGGTTTACTATCTTCTCGTCGGCCTTCTGTCTCTTTGCCAGATTCGTTCGTCGAGATGCGTTTCTTGTGGCAAGTCACCTTTCAGAGATCATATTTCATCTGCTGACCGTCACCGCCCAGCTTGCATGGAATGGGAAGCAATGCTCGTGTGAGTTTGCCGAAGTATATTAGGCGATACTTGACTAATCGCGGGGGGGGGGGCTTCACTTTACAGATTTTCAAACAGCAAACAGGTAAGAATCTTGAGCATTTAAAAATGAGAAATAGCTAACGAGTCCAGCTGCTTTGCGGTATGAGCTTGGTGAAGGCCACAGCTACGACTTTGTCAATGGGCCGGTTCCATGGGAGATGGATCATGGTAGGCAAAGCCGAAGATGCTTGGGTGAGCGGACTGACATCACGATAGACCTAGATGAGCTTGCGATGGGTGAGGAGCAAACCTACGCTATTTGTGATCCAAAGTCGGCCTCCTCTTGCATAGGCGCGATGAAAAACATTGAGCGATACATTGAAACTGAGGGTCCTTACGATGGAGTCATGGCATTCAGCCAAGGTGCCAGTATCATCCTTGGTTGGATGATCAACAAGCAGCGAGAGGCCAAATGGGTCAGCTCGCAGCAATGCCCTTTCAAGGTGGGGATTTTCTTTTCCAATCCCTGGAGAGTGTACGATGGCAACGCGCTAGCGAATGATCAACTTGTTTTCTTGAATCCTGAAGACTTTGAAGGGCTTCTGGATCTGCCTACTGCGCATATCTGGGGTTCGGCGGACAAAGCCTGTGCGCTGGCTCAGGCCATCAGTACTTCATGTGTGGCCGATAAACGATCAGTGTTTATCCACGAGCGAGGGCATGAGATCCCGGCGAAGTCCGATACGGTAATCCTGATGGCCCGGGTGATCAATCGGGCGATAGCGCAAGCAGAGCCTGTAGAATGATCAAAGAAGTAATGATGTCTTTACCGAGTCAATCCATTTGTTCGCAATCATTTTTGTTTGGCGCTTGTCGAGACCTGTAGACCCGCTGTTATTTGGAAGCTCAACCCAACGATGAGTCCAAACGTGACTTTGGGCTTTGATTTGGGCTTTTTCCAGCGATGCGAAAGGTGAAACTTTCCTTCCCAACAGTGCGCTGGCAGGCGCCACAGGAGATGTGGCAAGCGAACTGCCGAACCGGCCTCTCCGAGAGATCCTAGTGTAGATCAGACGAGCCAATCTGGTGTATCTGATGCCCAGTATTTGTTCCATGGTTTTCGTGGACACGGTCGCGACACCCGACGACTCGGTCGGCCAGATAATTGGGTCTCAGTGAATCTCGTATTCTGACAGAAATTTAAAGACATCCAGAATTAGTATTCCTGGCGTTTCTACGTAAGCCGTGGACAACACAAGCGGTCAATAGGAGCCACTTTTGTGAGTGGTCGCTAACATCTCCCCTATCTCCCATCCTATCGCCTCGCTGGATATGATCGGTTCTGGCCAGGTAGCTGACTTTTCCAGTTGCAACTGAGCTGGGCTGTAAATGCATCTTGACAGGCCTATTACGCCCAGTCATGTCCAGGATCAGCCGCTGTCGAAGACGGTATGTGATATATGGTAAAATCATTCACATACTATATCAGCTAGGTTCGTTATCGAAATAATAAACGTACGAGATACCAAGTTGGAGGATACTACCAGAGTGATATTTTGACCATGCAATCGCGAATCAATATCTCGCTATCTCAATACCTCTTCTCCCGCCTAAAAGAAATTGGTATCCGATCCGTTCATGGTGTACCAGGTTCTGATTGTCCTCACATCCTCGCCGGAGAAGAATTAATGTCTGATACCCACTTAGGAGACTACAATCTGGCGTCTCTTGACTACGTAGCCAAAGCTGGGCTGCGCTGGATTGGCAATTGCAATGAGCTCAACGCCGGTAAGTCTCTTGTCCATCCTCAATAAGACAAGACTGACGCTTTGCAGGATATGCGGCTGACGGATACGCTCGCATTCATGGAATTTCCGCCCTGATGACAGTTGCAGGAGTCGGGGAACTATCAGCCTTAAATGCCATTGCAGGAGCATTCGCTGAGTACGTCCCCATTGTGCACATTTTGGGACAGCCAAGCCTCGCATCACAGCGACAGAAGATGTTACTACATCACTCATTGGGCGATGGGAATTTCGCGGACCTGGCGCGAATGTCGGAGAGAGTGACAGCTACGAGCGTGCAAATAAACTGCGGGAAACAAGCCCCTCGGTTGATTGACGATGCAATCGCTCACTGCTGGAAATCTAGCAGACCGGTCTCAATCATTCTCCCTACCGACATGGTTCATGTTCCAGTTCTGGCTGAGAACCTTGCACGACCGCTCGACTTATCTGCCCCCTTGAACGATAAAGCACTTGAAGCCCACGCGGCTGACGCAATTTTTGAAGCTTTACGGAAGGCAAAAAGCCCGCTTCTTTTGGTCGGAGGCTATAATGTACGCTTCACGAAGCGACGGGAGGTAAGGCTGCTAGCTGAAAAGCTGGGACTACCTATTTACCTATCCGCATCTGGACGTGGCATAATAGACGAGCAAGATTTCAACTTCAATGGACTCTACTTTGGAGACTGCTCTGATTCAGAAGTGATGCAGAAAATCCGGTCTTCGGATTTAATCATCTCTATTGGCAACATTCACTCTGACTTGAACGTTGCATCTTGTTCATGGAGCTTTGATCTTTCGAAGATGGTTGAACTTCGGGACGAGATGATTCACGTACAGGGCAAAGCGTACCCAGGTTTGAATAGTACGAGTCTTTTGCAGGCCATCATCCGCTGTTCAGTCGATCCGGTTCCGAAGAAAAGACGCCTGAGTCCGGCCTTGCCTTTGTCAAATCTTGCTCTGGAAATGGCAAATGAACGGATGCCTTTCATATCAAAAGCGGCCATGAGCCAGGAGCCGGCACGGGGAGACAGACTGAGAAAGGGCGTACGAATGTCGCATACGATGAGCTACAAAGAGGGAACGAACACCATGCGCCATGATTGGTTGTGGCCTATGTTGAGCGACTGGCTACGCCCCGGAGACACTATTATAGCTGAGACCGGTACCTCGAACTTCGGAATCTGGTCTACAAGATTTCCCCCAAGGTGTCAACTTTATCAGCCAGTATGTATGGGCCAGCATCGGGTACTCCCTAGGGGCCTGCCAGGGAGCTGCTGCCGCTGTTCAGGACTCAAGCCAACCCGATCGGCGGACAATCCTCTTCATTGGGGACGGGAGCTTTCAATTCACCTGTCAAGAATTGAGCACGATTATTAGATATAAGCTGGCGCCTATTATGTGAGTTTAATCTTCTCGATATTAGTGAGATGCATACAAGGACTGATTTACTCAGTTTTGTTATCTGCAACAAAGGATACACGGTCGAGCGGCTAATTCATGGCTGGAATGAACCTTACAATGACATTCAGGAATGGCAGTACCGAAAACTGCTGGAGGCCTTCGGCGCAGATCGTGGATCATATCAGACTCATCAAATTTGGACGAGAGCCGAGCTCACTGCTCTTCTGCAGGATCCATCTTTCAGTGAAAGCCAGACTCTCAGAGTGAGTTTTATTTCCGACTATTATGTCCCGACATTTGGAGTGCTAATGCTTCCCTCTACTAGTTTGTTGAACTACACATGGATAGGGATGATGCGCCGTCTAACCTCACGACACTTACTCAGCAGCTTGTGGCGCGGGATTCGCAAACCCGAAGCTGAAGTTTGAAACAAAGAACAAAGCTTAGTAGTTGGAGGCCCATAATGAGATCTCATAAAAATAGACAATGACCAGATCAGATACAAGAACCGGCATTCTGTGTTTTCGAGAATCCCATGTAGCCGTCTTAAGAGGTTAGAGTAACACTAAAGTGATCGCTCGGGCATCTCATTGTTTTAAATTGGAATGTTGTTTTTGTATTACCGTAATTTTGCCAGTATATGCAATACACGTTCCCACGACAATCTTGCGCATGCAGCTGTTCTTCAGCTAAGCCACTTATCTATGCGAGGCTGCAGTCAGCGGGAATACGTGGATGCGCAAAGTCAGCTCTTCCGCCACCATCATTTTTCAGCTCAGTCTGGGAGAAAAAAGTACGATTGATTTGACAGCTTCTGTGGCAGGCACACCTGTCAAACATTCGCCCTACATACTGCAAACTTGCTCCACCTTAACAGCTTCGCGCTTGAGTGTCTATGAAACTTCGATTGCTTCTTGCATTAAATACTGAGCATTCTCCATGGCAGATCTTTCGATAGTACATGGGTTGGGAGAACCGCCCCTCTGGCCCAAGAGGCTTGGAGATCTGATCGAGGATCAAGCTACCAGCTTCGGCGACCGTATTGCTGTGGTGACACCATGGCAGAAGATGAGACTTTCTTTCAGAGATTTGGCTAAGAGTAGCAAGATTCTTGCCAATGCCATGGTTCGAGCCGGCGTGCGACTCGGTGATTGTGTTGCAGTTCTGGCAGGGAACCGATACGAGTATATCCAGGTGTTTTTGGCAGGGGGAAGAATCGGATGTCCGGTACTACCGATTAATAACGCTTATACACCAGTGGAAGTCTTGAGAGCCTTACAGAGAAGTTGTGAGTCCAGCGATTACCGTTGAGGCCAATCATGACCCAAGGTTGCTGAAACTGACCCAAACGCAGCGTGTAAGTTACTTTTCATCGCCTCCAATATAGGCCCGCGTCATTTGTCGACTCACCTTCAGCTCCTCACCTCCTCATCATCGGAGAGTACCCTCCCTGATCTTTCTGGGATCGTTGGCTTCGACGTCTCTCAAAAGGACCAAGATATACGCATTCAAGCATATCGGGAATTCTTAGCTTCCGGGGAGATGAACGAAGACGACGACGGCATTTTATTGGAAGCGGCCCAACGTATAGTGCGACCTTCGGACAGCCTCAGCTATCAATTTACTTCTGGCACAAGTGGAGAGCCGAAACTATCTATGCTGTCACATCGGTAAGGAGCTCTACGTTCAGGATTACCAAGGAGGTTATTGTGTTAAATCTTCTAAGCGGTCTCGTCAATAACGCGCGTCTCGTCGGCGACGCAATGCGCCTGACTCCGGAGGATGTAGTGTGCTGTCCGCCGCCATTATTCCACACATTCGGACTGGTGCTCGGCTTCCTCAATGCATTCACCCACGGCTGCGCTATCGTCTTCCCGTCAGATATTTTTGACGCTGAGCAGGTTATCGATGCGGTCTCTAAGGAGAAGGCGACCGCGTTACTTGGCGTGCCCACTATGTTCGTGGCCGAACTAGAAGTCTGCGAGTACAAAATGCTGGAGATCACGACGGTCCGAACTGGGCTTGCGGCTGGCTCGCCTGTGTCGGAGACGCTTCTTAGCCGATTGGAAGACAAATTTGGTGTCAAAGGCATGCTGATTGCTTACGGAATGACTGAGACCAGCCCTGTGACTTTTATGACTTCGCTTGATGATCCCAGGGGCAAGGCAATGACCAGTCTGGGCAGAGTTCTTCCTCATACCTCTGCTAAAATCGTCGATGAGAATGGCTCCATTGTGCGGCGTGGAGAGAAGGGTGAACTTTGTACAAGCGGGTATGGTTTGCAGACAGGGTACTATAATAATGAAGCGAAGACCAAGGAGGCAATGCGACAGGATACAGAGGGAATATTGTGGATGCATACCGGGGATCAGTGCTACCTCGACGCCGAGGGCTACTGCCACATCAGCGGCCGGATCAAGGATATCATTATTCGAGGTAATCCTTCCAAGATCTTCAATATTTGTCAATCGACTAACGCTGAAAAAAGGCGGAGAAAATATGTTTCCGCTCGAGATCGAAGAGCGACTGTTACTTCATTCGGCCATAAGTGAGGCCAGTGTTGTTGGAGTTGCCGATCATAAATATGGCCAAGTGGTTGGTGCCTTCTTGAAATTGGCCACGAACCAAGTCAAACCTCGGGATCAAGAAGTGAGGGACTGGGTTCGTGCAGAACTGAGCTGGCATAAGGCTCCTCAGCACATCTTTTGGGTTGGCGAGGGAGGGGTCTGTCCGGACTTCCCCAAGACTGCCAGTGGCAAGCATCAAAAGCATGTCATGGAAGAAATTGCTAACAAGTCTCTCTTTGGGTCTCCATTTGCGATCAAGGACTTCCCCGCCCGCTGGGGATATTCGATTTTCGGTCTGTCGATCTGCTTGATTCCAATGGCATTGTATCTGTCAATAGTAGCATGATAGTAAATCAAGTAAGAGGGTCCACTCTTTTTTACAACACGTTGTTCTGCATGACTTTAAAAAAAAAATGTAATAGGGGCGTGGGAGAAGTAAGGACTATTTTTGGGTCCTCATGTATACTACCGTACCCAAGGTGCCCACGTAAGAGCTTTTGGTAATCATCTACTTTTACGACAAGAAATCACTATGGCCAAGCAATTCGCTGAAAATGGCCTACGCAAAGTCTGTACGAAAGTAGTCTTCAATTCATTTATCAGCAATCGGCACAATAAGATCGTGCTGTACAAAGTGTAAGAATGCAATTAGATCCTTGCTTGAGCATACGCCATCGTTGTTACATATACATTGATAAAGCGATCGCGGAAAACGATCAACAACTCAGCAAAACTGTCCGGAATACGACTAAAAGTTTGGTTCAGGCAGAATTTGACACATCTACTTGTATATACAATGTTTCACAAAATTCAGTGTCATTGTGTTGTCCTTTCAATCAACATCTTTCGTTAATATACTCCACAGCTCTGTCGGAAGCGCTTCAGTGAAGACGGTCATCACATTCTATTCCATGCAATCATCAGGGGCGTGATGACATTAATTACTCAGTCGAGGTAATTACCGCTGTCGAATTCTACAAGTCTTATTTGAAGTGATTCTAGCTGCTTTCAAAGAAGATACGAGTCTTTTCTCTTTGACTTCACCCCCGTATATTCAGCGTCATGCATTGGGAGTAGCAGCGCTTTCATGTTCCCCATGTACCATGAACGGGATTGAATTTTTGTCCAGATTGGCACCTTAACTTGAATGCATCATACTGCAGTATGGGGATTGATGACTGCATGAACTGGTTGGTCTATCGGATGATTCAGCATTCTGTGTTACAGACACTGAGTCATTGCAGGCAAGCGTCGAATTCCTTGCCTCCTCTCTTGGCGCCTCTCCTTGGGGAATCACGTAGGGTATTATACATAAAGATATTACTTTGCACTCATCATGCGTCAATTCAGCTGCTTGCTAAGTCCATCCTGCCAGGAGAGTTCCTCTGTCGCCGCAGCCAACGGCACAGTCGGGATCCAAGTCGCAACAGCAGCGACAAGAATGAAATGCCGCTCCATATCTGCCGATGATGACCCAGGGTAATGCGAATTAGGGGGGCAATAAATTTGTGAGGAATATACTGGAGAAAGGTCAGTTTCCTTTCATCGTCTTGGACATACAATTATCCTCGCTTATCTACTAGCTTTCGCACTATCGTATTTCTGTATGAACGAAACAGGACACCTGTGTAATGAATATGATACTAGCGACAGCGAATGAAGATCAAGGGCTTCTAGCCGAGCAGCAAGACTGTCTTGGCTCCGCGGGTTAGTGGCTCCACCTTTGAGTGCCAAGGCAAAGCCATGACTGTGGGGCAAAGGACATTCACTATGCATTTTTTGGCTGCATTGTGCGAGAATTCTAGCGAAGTCCATCACGTCTTTGCATCATCGAATGCCAATGACTCTTTGTGTCGCGAGGACGTTAAAGACTTCACCGCGGACAATGAAGGGTACGTCCATTGAAGAATGCGAACAAAGGTCTCAGGTGTCTCAGATAATTGCCGTGCATACAAAGAGTCATTAATCTTAATCTCATTCATTTGTTAGTCATGATTAGTTTTATCCTGGTTTGCTTGCTCAGTGATTATCATATAAAGCCCCTGTTGATCAAGCACTCTTGCTCGAAGATACAGGATACATTCGTGACATCAAGAGTGGACACCCCATACGCATAGCAGAGTATCGATATTCGGTAAGACTGCGAATCTCTAATCTCATCTACACTGTACACTCTGGCTCCATATCATCTTCCTCGCCCTTCAGGTCAAAGGTTCCAAATCATCATCCATTTAATCAAAGTCCGCCATGAGAGCATCTGGAAGGTCAGTGGCTAGCACGTCGGATTATGCCGAGACTGAACACTCTAGGTGGGCTGCAGCAAGTAGGTCATCGACTTCCGGCCCACCATACTCCCACCCTTCTTCCTCTACTCGATCGATCTCAGACTACAAGAGCAAAGCTACCACCAGGTCCCCAAGTCCCAGCCCAGCATGCTTCAATTCACCGGCCTCTATCTCATCACCTTCTAGTACATCATCTTCCAAGTCATCCTTGTCGCTGAATATTTTTAGCGTAGGGAGAAAGGAGCTCGTTGAGACCATGATGAACCTCAAGCAGAATGACACCAGCGGAATGCAATTTAACGCTGCGCTGAAGGATCTGATCAAGGTAACAGGAAAGGTCGCGGAGTGGGAGACAAGAGCCACCTCCAATGATGGTTCCTTGATTGTTGATTTATGCTTCCTTCACAGGTGCCGGGTGATTAAGAGCGAATTGGATTCACTTCTTCGAAAATTACCAAATCGGAAGGATTTCAAGGCCGAAGACAAAGAGATTTGCAAAATGCTTGGATTCCAGATCGGTAGACTCAAAATACACTCTTCTGTTGAGTCGCGAGACTTTGATTCTCGGCATGGACCAGACTTCCGGGTCGAAGCAGCGGATTCATCTATGGCAGACTTTACTTCGAACCTTTACGATCGTGAGTTGAGGAAGAGAGCGAGGTTTCCGAAGGACGTGCATAATTATCTTCTAGATACTTGGGAGCGCCTGCATCTTAAGTACCCTGGCTGCGCGTGTGTGCAGTGTCGCGACTTCAAGGTACGATCCAGTGTACACGCTAGAAATGTAGTACGGAAATATCGGAGATAATTTGTGGCTTGGGATGCAGCTACAACTGTACCAGGGAGAAGGAATAAGTACATGAATGGGAGGCGTTGGTGAGAGATGTGTGCGAGTCACCAGCATCCTCAGACTGCTAGGCACTTTTCATCTTCTGTCCAATGGCATTCCAACTTGATCAGATAGCTAGACTCATGGATTCCTGTCTTTTTTGCCTTCAGTCACTATACTTGGCTCAGTTTCATTCACATCTAAGCTTTTGTTTTCTTTCTTTCTGGTATTAGATTAATGTTGGAGTTGATTAGGAGAAATCTGTATTTTTGGCCAGGAACCTTGCAGGCACATGTGCAGACTATGTACTATCCCTACTAAGCTATAAGCGCCATTGACAAACTATGCTGAGGCAGTAAATGGTGTGAAATGACACATGGCAATCAGAGCTAAGGTCGGCCGATCTGCCGCTCAACTGCAGATGATCTAGTAGCTCGTGGATAAAAGCAGATTGCCGAAGGAACCGAACGCCAAGATCCCTGAACTCTCGGGAATAAATCTCGGGAATGATCATAAGGAAAGACCTGGGGACCCTTGGGTTTTCGGTGTCCCCTAACAAAGGGCCCCATATATAAACCTGTAAGACCGGAGTCCGTCGCTAGAGAAATATTCCATCTTTATCTATGGTCCACAAGAAAGTAAAATTGGCCGAGCCATTGAGTTTGGGACTGGAAACCATGTATCGCCACGTGGGGCCAAAGTGGAAATAGCTCTCTCAGTGTCGGCCGGGGAAAGGTTAAGAATTCTGGGGTACCGTGCACACGCCCTGCATGGAACGCACTGGACCGTCGGTTCTGCGACGGTGCCCCGCCGCCGGCGTCTCTTACCTTCTTGAAGCGGGAATTATTCAACACCCGATAATCATGATCAATCCAGTCAAGTCACGAAGCTTGATTAGATCTAAGCCTTCGATGCGACATTGTGGCGCCACTTGGCTCTTCTTGGCTAATCTTGACGGAGGGACCCTTTTAGGGGGGGGGGGCGGTTTCGGGCTGAACCTGCTTGGATTCATTACCCGCGAACGGACCCTCTTATCTGCCCATTCCGTATCCTTTCAACGTGCACAGACATCGTCCTTTTATCGCCTCCAACCGTGGGTCTTGGGCTTCTTGATATTCCACGTGTCGCATGACCTGTATGTTTTATCTTTGCTAGCGCGGGGATTCAAGGTCATAGGAGCTCGGCGATTAATTCCACGGGTGTTTTGTCAATGGCATTGGCAATCGAGGGTGATAGATGTGATAGATATGACTAGCATTCAGTCCAATGGGGGACCGGGCAGGGATAGTAGTCTCGCTTACATCGTCTTCCGCTATCTTGGGTATGAATCTCCAAATGGTTCTCGATCTGTTCCCGGGTTCGGCTTATCTTGTCTCCTCGGCCACTTGGAAACTCTTAGACCCTTGGGGCCCATAGGACCCCGCCTGAGAACTGTTGCTTTCCGGGGCTGGGAACGGCGTCCCTGTGATTGATTGCCTGATGTTTCGTTCTTAGCGAATTGTCAACTATTCCAAAAAAAGCCCTGCCAAGGGACCAGGAGCTTTGGGTTACTTAGTGTTATCTTGGCATGGTGCTTATGCTCATCCACGCTGCGGATATTCACGGTTGGGTATCCGGCATGGATTATACGAGAAAGCGCACTATCGCACGAGAAATTTGCCATGAACGAGTAAACCCCAATCCAAAGTATGAAGCTTATCTGAATGAAGACTGGAGTGTGGGCGCCACTTCGCCACGCGTGGCCAATGTGCAAAGTATCAGCGTTAGCGCTATCCCCTCGTGCGCTCTGTGGCTCCTAAAGCAGCCATATCCGGCTAGAACAAGGAGTCTTTTTATTTTATTTATTCCCATTATGGCCATTGCGCCGTGGCGGTCTCAGCTATACACCAAGCTATATAACCAATTGCTTGTCCCAGAGAGGCTGAAGTTGCCAAGTGGTTTGAAGGTCACGAGTTGTGTTACACAGCTCTACTGGTGACATTGGACCTTGTTACCCCCTCCTTCTTCACTTCGTCTTCAGTGAGATCTTTAGTCTCTTCTGTTCAAAATGTCTATCCTTCCTGGCCTCGCGGCCCCGACAGCTCCTACTGAGCAGATGCGCGAACTGGGCGTCGATGAGGACGAAATCCGCAAGATGTCCATCGCTGGCGTTCACCCCGGTGTTCGTCAGCGTCAGTGGGGCTTGCAGGCTCGTCTCGATCCCACTGTGACCTTTGAGGAGTTCACTTACTGGGCTAAGGTCGAGCGCGAAATGGAGAAAGAAGAGTCCGACCGCTACAAGCTTTCCACGAGCGGCCAAGGCTTCATGGGAACCATCAAGAACTATTTCACAAGTAATGCCTATGAGGACGCCAAGGTTCGTGATGCCCAGGTTTTGGAAAACCAAAACCAGGACCAGGGCAACACTTGGTCAGAGAAGAAGGCTCCCGATACAGAAGAGGGTGCTCTTAGCCCTATTGCTCCCGCTGGCACCCACGACTTCGACGCCGAGTGGAGGCAGGCTGCACGCGCCCTGCGAACTGCTGGCTGGGGAACTATCTTCTATCTGATTACAACCGATATTCTGGGTTGGGGTCAGACCCCCCTATGTCTTCTCGAACGACGGTTATGGTCTTGGTGCTGGTATCTTCCTCCTGATGGGTCTCGCCGCCGGTCTCTCTGGATGGATGATCTGGCACGTCTTCTTGGGTCTTGATTCTTCCCGCTTCCCAGTTCTGAGCTTTGGTGACCCCTTCTTCCGTCTTTACGGTACTACTTGTCGCCATGTCATCAACTTCACCCAAGCCCTTCAGATGTTCTTGACTGTGGCTGTTGTCCTTCTCGGCCAGACCGGTATCATTGCCCAGCTCGCTGGAAGCGTTAACCTCTGTTTTATTGTTTGCGCTATCATTTCGCTCGTCGTCAGTATTGCTAGCGGCTACATGCGTTCCCTGAAGCATCTCGGCTGGTTCTGCAACTCCGCCGTGTGGATCAATGTTGTTTCTTTCATCATTGTCTGCGCTGCCGCGGCCAAGTATGGTCCTGACCCTACCGCCGCTGTCCAAAACGGTATTCTCAACAAGGACTGGGCGACCAACCCCGCGCCCGTGAAGACGTTCGCAGGCGCTCCTCCTGCCGAGTACCAGCCTACCGATGCGAACCCTTTCGCCGCCAAGTTCAACGGAATCAACAGCATGGTTTGTAAGTTGGCACATCTCACTTCGTAAAAAGCATGCGTTAAGGCAGTGTGATTAACTCGATTATATAGATGCCTACTCCGGAGCTATCATGTTCATCGCTTTCTTGTCTGAAATGCGTCATCCTATGGATTTCTGGAAGGCCATGCTACTCGCTCAGAGTTTCATTACCGGCGTGTACATCTTCTTCGGTGCTTTCGTCTATTCCTTTTACGGACAGTACGCCTATGTCTCCATCACTCAATCCGTCAAGCCACTCAACCTCCAGGTTGTCGGTAATGTGCTCTCCCTGATCACCGGTTGGCTCGCTGTCTGTAAGTTTCAACATTTTCCCGCTCCTCGATATTCCATCGACTGACACAAGTCTTCTAGTCCTTTACTTCAACGTCGGAATGAAGACAGTATACCTTGAGGTCGGCCAGGAAATCTTCAACCTGCCCCCGATTACAACCAGGAAGGGCAAGTGGCTCTGGTGGACTCTTGGACCCGTCTATTGGATTATTGCTTTTGTCATCTCCATGTCCGTTCCCCAGTTCGGCGCTTTCACCAATTTTGTTGGTGGCCTTTTCAGTCTGAACTTCACCTACTCCCTCTCTGGAGTTATGTGCCTGGGCTACAAGATTCAACAAGCTGCCCGGCTGCCCGGCGAAGGCTTTGACCCCGTGACTGGTGAGACCACCCGCCTCGACAATGGATGGAAGCGCTGGGCGCGTGGCTTCCGCAAGAGCTGGAAGATTAGTATCCCTATCCTGATCTTCACTGGCTGCGGTTTCGCTGCGTCTGGCATGGGTACCTGGGCTGCTATTCTTGCCCTGGAGTCGGCTTTCGGGTCTGGTGGCTCCGTCTTGACTTCTTGGACCTGCCTCAACCCTTACTATACTGGTTAGAGGTCGATCTTCGGTCTTGTTCTCATAAGTTTGTCGCTACAGATCTCGTTGATTCAAGTCTAGGCCTAATTGATTTGATTTTTCTTGTTTGCCTACCAGGGTGCTTAGTTCTAGGAGCAATTCACCTCTCACCTTCGAGGCCATTCTCTTGGAGCCTTGTTTGGAATACTCATTTATTTCCGAAAATACTGCGATTTGTATTAATGAATTTTAAAACTTTTTTATCAAGACACTACCTGAACAATGCTGTGTTAATCTTCACTTTGTGACGAGACTCAAGAGGCCAGACGACAAATCTATACGCTAGTTGAATATCGAACAAACATTTCCCTATGCAGGAGATTGCCAGCCGATATTAGATGGAAAGAATTTTCGGTATCTCCCAATTCGGGGCCAAAAATGTGAGAATAACCTGTCAGCGAAAGCTTCAACGAGGGGACATTGGGTATAATGCGAAGATGTCCGATAAAGTTGAGTGGTAAACATTCTGTCCGGTCCTTGGCAATTGAGAAACGGTGCTCTTAAGGAAGATGTAGCAGCTTATGCGATATAAAATGCGTAGTAATTTAAATTTGGTGAGAAAATAGGTTGCGAATGGAAGCTTCCGAACCCTGAAACTAGATGCTATTCCCTTTAGCAACCGAGAGAAGCTCCATTGAATCGACTTTGGCTGACAGTTGACGACAAAATGCTGATGTTTTGTCGTTACTAGACCTTAGTTCTTTAAGTATGCGTGACATGATCATCTAAACTACTAACTCTTCGTCATACAATGAACCCGGACGGGAAAGATCGAAAGGCCAGACAACACATAATCTCACATCACGGACATCACCAAAGAACAGTCGGATATCCCCGCAAGAATCTACCCAATCAAGAAGAAAACGCCATCCATCTAACCCCCGCCCAAATATGACTTTGTCTCCCAGACTCAGCAAACCGGGTCATAAGACATCTATGCAACTCCAAAACATCAGTTTTGAGATACCGAATAGATTGTATCAAATATTTTTTTTCTTATAAGGAACAGATACTTGGCTTGACCCTCCAACCCCATTATTCCATTCCATGCCTTTTTCTCCCCTTTCCCTTGCCCTTCCCCCTCGTCTTCAATTCCACGAAGCCCAACTCCTTCAATCCCTCTGCCAAGATTGAAGAGTCTTGCATCCCTGGAAAGTCTTTCGCCGGATATACACGGAATGGATCCGACCATGCCTCTGCAAGGATAGGCATCGACTGGCCCGTATCCTCCACAGATCCCCAATTCATAAGTCTGAACTGTAGTCGGTATGTGCCCGCCGAGCGGATGGAAAGATCAACGAAAATGAAGAATGTAGCGGGTTGGTGAAGTTTTGATGCATTGCGTAGGTTACTGGGTCCAGCGAGTTCGGAGGGGCTTTGAGAGTATTCGAGAGAGGGATGTGTAGGTGCGGAGTTCGGATCAGGGTCTGCCTCGACGTAGAAGGGGGACATGAAGGCTTTGCCTGAGAGAAGGGGGGTGGAAAAGTCGTCGTCTGCGCGGGCCACCCCGTCACTTTCTCTTTCTGGGTCTTGATCGTCTTGGGTTGGGTTGGATGAGTCTGATACGGGGAATAGTAAGCAACCCACTGTAAAACGCGGGTCTTGTAAAATGTCCCGGTCATCTTGGGACTCGGGATCGAAGTCTGAGAGGAGGATTTGCACGATTGGGGGTGGGTCGACTGGGCGGCGGTCTCGGTCGCCTGCGCCGCATGCTCGTGCCGCGAGGGGTTGTTGACGGATATGAAGGTGATAGCGAGACTGGGTCGATTTTCGTCGGGGTGGTGGTGAAGGTGATGATTGAGGTTCGTGGTGAAGGAGCTTATCGAAACCATGGGGCATGCTGTAGTGTGGGTTTCTTTTTGGTTCTTCCGCGACAGGTGGCGCTGACGCAGGAGCTTCTGCAAGGATACGAGTACTGCTTTCAGAGCTGACCGGGCTTCCCGTAAGCGTTAACCCGCTGCTGTGGCTGTTTACTCCTGCCTGTCAGTATAGATTCTTACACTAGGTGAACTCGCGCATGAGGTTTTCACATTTCTCACATGAAAGAACCGCTTGAAATCAGCGACACTGCACACGAGTACGAAGATTTGGCAGGGAGAATGGCTCGATCGAAAAAGGAAAGCAAAAAAGGAGGGACTTTACTGGGACTCCAGATCGTATGTCCGCATTCGATGACTATACTCGCGGCCCTGACTCAATATCGGACTCGGTCTTTCTTCATAGGGAGCAGAAAGATAGCCACGCAGATCAATAGCCGAGGGCTCATAATGGTGCGTTCGTAGCGGAAGTGTACGAAGCATTGACGGCTGGTTCATGTAGAGGTGCTCTGCTGATACCATACGTCGCAGGTCAACATCTTTCTCTTGAACATTCCCTGACTGCCGGCACCCGTGGGCCATGTGGTGTCGTTATAAGCGGGTGTTGATGACTGGCATCTGGCGGTAGGGTGTGTCGGGGATCGTGCCGATGATATGGGTGATATGTCCCAGGTGTCTGGGCCGGATGGTGTGCGTGAGACCCCGGATCGATATAAAATGTCTCGGGCGGGGGATACCCACATTGCGACGACGGGGTCCTCGACATCTATGGGAGAAGAGATAAGCTGGGGCAGGTGTGCGACCGTTTGCGCTTATATTCGAGCCGTATGCCGCACGGGGATTCAGCTCGAAGGCATTGAATGCGACCCAGGAAGCGGTCAGGTCAGCCACACCCGCGCGGGAGGATTCGAAGTGTCGGAAATACAAATCCTCCTTTATTATACGTCGCAATGTCGAAGACCGCGGGAATGATGTAAAAAGATTAGAAAGATGCATATCCCGGATCTGCCTGCGGTCAAGCGAACACATCGGATGAACCGCAGGGAGGTGTAGCCCGTCAACAACGTGATAGCATAAGACCCAGATTTCGGTGTGATTGACGGCTGCCCCAGAGCTATGCAGGGGGTATCATGTTGGAAATGGATTGTCTTGGTATTTTTCAGCTTCAGGATGGAAAAAGTCAACGCACGTTCGGATTTTCCCTCCTCGGTGACCCCGGTCTGCCAATCACCCTTAGTTATTGTGACAGGGGAGGTGGGCTATCGAGTGTATCAAATTTTTAGCATGACCCCATCCGAGCTGGGTCCGGTACTACTATTGGCGTTAAGCATCCACCGAAGGCGTTGAAAAGGGAAGAGCCGGGGGGAACGGGCCGAACAGGCATTTGGCAGTACGTGGGTGTCTCTATCGAGCTTGTGCGTGGGAGGAGTAGATGAACCACTCGGGCCCGTTCCTGACAGCAACTGACGCCCGAGGCGAGCTGTATTGTCATGAAAGACGGTCAACGAATTTCCAGCTTGGAGCCGTTAGTGCTTAAGGTGACAATTCTCTCCACGACTTGGGATTCTAGACGTGGCTTTTGACTTTTATTGAATCAGGGCCAGTCGCCTGCATCCCAGGCCGGGATGATGTACCCAGGCAAAGAGGAGCGTTCAAAAAATTGGACCCCGAGTCATGCATACAGTAGTTCGGGAATCGAGATGGACAATCTTTACCATCTACAGACATATCCACGATCAAAATAAGGGTACAAATGGGCGCCTGGACCAACACTGAAGCCTTAGTCTTTGTTTTGAATCTCTCCAGATTAAGAGCCGTGGGCCCAGGGAATGGCGGGAATGGCGGGACTGCGGAACGGCGGAACAATTGAACGGGCGGCAGCCTGTGAAGAAAAAAAATTTTTACAGTGCCCCGCTTGATAGACTGGGCATTGTTCACAGTGGTATCAGAGGGAATATAGCGAACGGGCAGTCTCATCGATGGACTCATGCCTGAGTAGCCCTCTAAATGGGTTTCGTTGTCGAGACCGATTTGGTATCATGACTGCTGTGCCATTTAGGGGGAGTCCAGCCGCGATAGTGGCTGAGAGACCCACGGCTGGGAAGTAGTTTGAGTGAGGGAGATCTTCCACGAGACCCACAAAGCGGATCGTGACGGCGCGGCAGCAGCATTCGATTCATCGTGATTGTGGACTTTTGATAGTCGGGTTTGGTCGGTTTTGGTGCGGCGCAGAATTAGCCCATGACGGAAGTAGAAAGCTTCCGGGAGCCCCTGAAGTATTTCCGGTTGTGAAGTTTCCAGGAATACAAGGGTGATTAGCGTTTCACGCTAGAAAATTTTAACTCCCTCGCGTCCCGTATTTCGGCACGATCTGCTTGGTAATCTGATCAGCAGATCCACCGAAACGCTTTTAAGATCTGATCGGCAAAAAGGCAGCCATCCTGGGACTTGGAGAAAGCGGACCACGTCTGGGTCGTTATTTGACGCCAGACCTGTCAATGGGTCCAAGCGCCGAGGCAAAGGAGGCAAGTTTTCCACCGTGAAAATGTCGTGATCCACACCTATGTAGCATGAGGCGTGACCCAAGCCGCAAGCGCCTCACACCAGCCCCATACTGTTTCTTTGGCCACAATTCGCACGTAGGGGACAGCCCTTGACGATGGAGCCACTGGTGGTTTTTTTGCGCGGCAAAATCCATGATACGCGGATCCTGATCAGAATCAAGACCGTCGTCGCCATTGGTTCTACGAATGGGTCAGGGTTCTTGAGACGGGTCGGCAAATTCTCATTCCAGACCATCGTCGGATATCCAAAATCCATGTACCTGAATTTCGCGTAAATAGGCAGGCGCAATAACGATTTGCTCTATGGGTAAGCTCCTACAGAACAAGAGATCTTCTCTTTGAAAAGTTGATAGAGTGTCGATCGGCTTTCAAAACTGCCCAAATTGTAGAAATCTCTCGGTCATCATTTGAATGTGGCAACCAGTTCGTGGCGCGGTACAGTCGCGCAGGTGAGTTGCCATCGTGGAACAGAAGCACAAAGCTCCCAGCTGCTAAGACAAATTGACATTGGTATTTTTGTCGGACGCGGGTCTACAGTCTCGCCTCTGGCTGGAATGACTCTGTGACCAAAGTTGCGTTGAGTGCGTACTCGAAAGACTTGGCCCCCTATTAGTAAGCTTGTCGGGGGACCGAACAGATTCCAGATCCACGTAGTCGCTGATCAGGGCGGCTGTCGATCCGGGAGAACTTATGCGTGAGAAGTTGTCAAATGGAACATTCCAAGTTTGAGAGCTGAAGAAAAATCCCTGGACGAGGTGGCAATCGCCAGGGTAAAACCAGGGCGAAAAGACAGCGGTCAAATGAACCCGGTATAGAGGAAACTACCGATAACCACTTTGTTTTACGCTTACTTTCAGGAAGAAATACACTGCTGGCGGGGTTTACGTGTGAGATTGTCGTGTTCATTTACGCTCACGATCCTTGGACGTGCAGCGGTGTTCGCAGCCACGTCTGCAGAGTGTTCCACCGCCCTGGCACGCTATTGAAGTACTAAGTCCACGCTTGGATCGACATCCAGAAAGTAGAGGCTATCCGGATCACGAGGAATGCGAATGGCAGAAAGAGGCGAAGCATTGGGCATGTCCGAGGGTTGGATGTGCATCACTGCCCCGAATGGAGAACCTGATGGTGCTGCTCCGCGATCGACGACACCGTAGTTTTTCCCAACAAAGAGAGCGATCATTTCGCCATACTGGCGGTCCCATGCCACAATGTATCCAGAGGACCGCCATTGCTCATCTGGTCCGTATCGCATATCCAAGGATCCCAGCTGCATGAGGTGGAGAGCTCTGGTCCCTGCTTGGGGCACACCATTGACAATGGTTCTCGCCCGGATGAGCCCGAGAGATGCTGGTGACCAAGTGCTAGACTCCATAGTCATCGCTGCAAGGGGAGAGTCTGAAAACTCTATTGGCGAGTGTTCGACGTACCACCGCAATTGAAGGGTTGGAAATTTTGAATGGAACAAGTCCAGCAGGTCAGGGTCGAAATTGAGATGGGTGATCATTTCCTGCTCGTTCCCCGTCTGATCGATCAGCATGTCTCTCAACTGACTCAAATCACTGCATAAATTGGAACATCCTTGAGCTTGGAGATCAGGGTAAAGTCGTGCTGGCTCATCATATCCAGCGGAGTCGCCATCAATGGTGAGCAAAGGTTGATCCTGAAAACTTGCCCATGCTGGGTCTGGTCCAGTGCCGACATGGCTCTTCTGCTCCATTGACTCTCTGCTATCTTGCCATTGAATGCCCAATCTTTGCTCCATATCTTCCATGCGGACGTTGAGCAACTCTTCGTAGTGGTCGCCTTGAAGTAAGTCAGGTAGAGCCTCGCCCACGATCGGGTCGTCGAGTAAAACATTTATGCGTTGAAGATTTCCGATGTAGGGTAATGTATCTCCGCTGCGCATCGAGATATCCTCCAGCAACTTTGCAGCAGTATCTGACCGTCCGGCTTGTGTCAAATTTAGAATAACACTGTAGGCCTCGTGACAGAACCTCTCATTTTGCGGATCAAACACGTTCATAAACTTGGTCCATGTAGCGTTCAAAGCCTCCACGCTTTGTAATTTGGAGAGCAGGCACAGGTACAAAGCCCAATTCTCATGTTCTTGATAAGGATCTCTCAGTAAGCAATCGGCCAACCTGGGCCGCATTTGTCGCGTGTGTTCTCCTTCGCCAGTGATCTCAGCTAGCAAATCGGCTGTGTTGTGACGTGGATTTTCGAAGATAACGGCCTCTATTTCAAACAGGAGCGTCTGCAAGATCCGCCTCGAACTAGTCTTCCTACTGAGCGTCGAGGAATTTTCGGATCCTCCCAGTTTCTCATATAGATGCAGAAACCACCGTAATGCAGAAGGGGATAGATTCAAAGCTGCATAGTACATACCAAGCTCAACAATATTGGGCTTGATAGGGAGCTCAAGTCGTTGGAGTCTTGCAATGATATCACTCAATGTTGCAAGTATCTCGGTGTATGTCACATCTTGCTGGCAACGTTTCAGTGCATTTCCCAGTACCTTGCATTCTCTTTGTTGTAAACGGTCGGCTCCCCCATTATCAATGACCAATTTGGAAATGACGTTTCTCAGTGAAGCCAAATCAGCCACTGATTGAAGACGGCGTCTCTCTGTCGACTTGAATAGCACATCCACGCCCTTTAGAGCGTTCCATAATTCCGCAGGGGGATTTTTTGACAGCCACTTTGAGTCAAGAAGCTCGATTGTTAGTTTTCGCAAGCTTACGTGGTTCTCGTTTCCAGCGTCTGGGGTTTTGAGAGATGTGAGGGCGAAGCGGAGCAGCTCTGCGGAGGTGGGCTCATCAGATTGAGCGTCGGTGCAGAAATTGGGATTGCGCGGTGAGAATTTGCGCGTTATTGCTTTCGAGCCAGGTCTATGCAGTGTCTGTCGCTCAAGGCCTGAGAGTAATCGGCCAAATAGAACTCCCATCTTGGAACACATCTAACTCAGTGCGGAGGAAGCATGACCCACGAGTGGAGAACATAAACTTGATAAGGGGCTTGTCTGGGGTGGCAATTCACGGGCGGTGAGATGTGGCGGTGAGGCTGAGATGTCGTCTCCGCTAGAGCCTGCGCTTAACTTCCTCAAAACTGCCCACGTACCACCAAATTTGATAGTACACTCGCTCCAGCATGCTTCGAACACGAGATCAAGAGTTCTCTACAGAAGAAGGTTCAAAATATGAACAACCTGAACAGACCGAGGCTACCGTCAGCGAAGACCCTACCCCATCCGAGCCTGAGGATGGAAAGACAGAGGACAATGCTGCTTCTAAGGCGCGTGAGAGGCTGGCACGCTTTAAAGCTTTACAAGCTCGAGCTGTGAGTACACACTCTGGAGCTTTGCTTTACCTTCTTCGCGTCACAATACTGACTCCACACAGAAATCGGCAACGGAACGCAACCTGAAAGAAACTGCAGCAGAGACTCAACGGCTGTCCACCGATCCTAATTTAGCCAACTCACTGTCACGCAAGCATGCATTCGCCTCTCACAACCTCCTCAAGGCGGACACAGAAGCTGCGGGCGAAGACTTCGAGCGTAAGCGAGCTTGGGATTGGACCATCGACGAATCAGAGAAGTGGGATCGACGCATGGAGAAGAAGCAGCGACACCGCGACAACGTGGCATTTCAAGACTACACTCAAGATGCGCACAAGGTCTACAAGCGGCAGATGCGAGAACTCCCAGCTAACCTGGAAGCATACGAAAAGGAGAAGTTGGCCGCCATCGAGAAGGCTGCTGCCAACGGCGACCTTGAGATTGTTGAAACCGAGGACGGCGAGATGATCGCGATTGATAAAAACGGCAGCTTCTACTCCACAGCTGATAGCGTGGGCTTCACCGACAACAAGCCAAACCGTGCTGCTGTGGACAGACTAGTGGGTGATATCCAGAAGGCCGAGGAAGTCCGCTTGAAGAAGCGCAAGGAGCGTCGTGGTGATGAAGAGGCAGACGTAACCTATATCAACGACAAGAACAAGCAATTCAACCAGAAGCTGGCTCGTTTCTACAACAAGGTATGTCGATTGCGCTCCTTTGAACACAAGAGACCGCTGCTAACGTTTCAACAGTACACCAGCGAGATTCGGGATAGCTTCGAACGCGGTACTATGATCTAATGCGATATGAGAATAGAGATAATATACATCTTTTGGGCACTTTGAACGCTCGGAAAGGGCCAGTCATCATGGCCAAGAGTCCGACGGTTTGACCAAGACTTGTCTTCAGTGCGTCTTGCCAAGGGTGCCACTCAGAAAACTGTCAGCTGGCTCCTTTACAGCATGCCTTTTCTCCAAGCCTTCGTTGCCAGCGCCTCAATCTGCTTTGTTCCGACAACGCCCTTTGTTGTTTCCTCCTCCAATGCCTCGACCACGGCTTCGGCTACGACATCAGCCTTGAGCGGCTTCTCCGCCATTGCTCCGAGGAAACCAAGCCTACTTCCCATGAAAGTGTTAAGTTCAGAGGCGACAAAGCCACCTAGGGCGATCGGCAGGGTGAACTTCCTACTGGAATCATACAAAAAGCCCGGACGAATGAAAATGCTTCGGAGGTCGGGGAGAGTGGATGTGATGGTAGCTTCGGCTTCTCTCTTTGTATTAATGTATCGGGCTGGAAGCACCGGTGCACCCGCGGCAGCGGATATGTACACAAAGGCTGGGACATGCTCGTTCGAGGATTCTTGGGCCAGCGCGATAGCTACATCATAACCGAATTAGCCCAACCCCAGCTTTGAATACTATCAATTACGCCATGACGTACCTGTATCTCTGTTCATGAGTTCATAAGTCAACTGACCATCCCGCTCCTTTGGCTCCAGAGCTTCGCCCTCCTTTCTTGAGAGCAAGTCCTGGCTTCCCAGCTTTGACGAGCTGAACGCCCGTCGTAGGCCACTAAGAATTGGCTCACGCCCTTGCACAACACCCTTGTAATCGGCCTCGAGCAGAATTCCCATGGAATGCACAACGGCAGAGGCACCATTGAGGAACGGCTTGTAGGTTTCCGGCTTCAGCATGTCGGCTTTAGCCCAATCGATTGAGCCAGCCCAGCTGGGACGTTCAGAGGAATCTGTGACGGTTTCCCATCGTGGCTCGCCGGAGCGACTGAAGATGTCAGCCTATCGAACAATAAAGCTATCATAGTACCGAATGAGATAAATACCTCAACGAGGTCACCGTCCATCCTCTCGCGGCAGCAGATTTGCAAATTCGGGAACCTGGAGCAAATCGTCAGTTTCCTGAGCTTTGGTACAGATGCATTCCATGTGGGATGGCGTGCAAACCTAGGAAGCCACTGCCTCCGGCCACGACAAGTCTTTTGGCAGCCATCGTACAATGATGAATCTACGTAGCGGTAAAAGTAGCAATATGCAGTCACAGGAATCACCGCAACAAGGAGTTGGTTGCGGGACCTAAGCTATGAGAAGCTCCGGCATGCCGTCACACGGTCACGTGCACTGTCAATGCCATCTCCGGCGCGTTGATTTCACTCCGCCCTTCGCGAATCCTCATTGGAACCGAACCATCTTTCCTCTCTCCTCCGGTCCCCGAAATGCCTTCCAATCCAGGAAACAAGCGCGTCCGAGTGAGTATCGCAATTCTACAGCTTATAGCCTTGAGGGTCGACTAACAACGCATTCCAGGGCGTCTCCGTCTTCCGCCCATTCAGTATGTCCAATTCACAGCTCCGCCCTCCATATTGTAATTCTTATACTAACTTCCGCAGTCTTTGGCAGTGAAGCGCAACCCTTCGACCCGGAGAAAAAACCCGCAAACTGCCCACCTGACCACACCCACCAATGGCGCATATTCGTGAAAGGCGTCGACGACCAGGACATCTCCTACTGGCTGAAAAAGGTTCAATTCAAGCTCCACGAGACCTACGCCCAAAATGTCCGTACAATCGAATCCCCACCCTTTGTAGTTGAGGAAACCGGCTGGGGAGAATTCGAGATCCAGATTAAGCTCTACTTCGCCCCCGAATCGAACGAGAAGCCGCAAACCCTATGGCACAGTCTGAAACTGCACCCCTACGGCCCTGACGCGGAGGGTATGAAGGAACGCCGGGAGGTAGTTGTTAGCCAGAATTACGAGGAGGTTATCTTCAATGAGCCTGTTGAGCCTTTTTATGAAATTCTTACGGGCGGTGCAGGTAATGGGGTGCCGAGGGGGAAAGGAAAGAACTCGAAAGTGGGCGCTCGCACGGCGGAGATTCCTGTGGGTGATAGTCCCAAGAATCCGTATAGTCGGGTGACGGAGAATAAGGAGCTTGATCGCATGGCTGAGGCGACGAAGACGGTTGAGCAGATGATCAGGGAGGAGAAGGAGCGACTGGTTGAGCGAGAGAAGCGGTTGGCAGAGTTACGCGAGAGTGAAGGTATTCCGGCCAACACGAAGAGAAAATGATCGGGCATCCTTTACAATGTGATTATCCGACGTAGGGCCAGGCAGATGTTCGATATGGGTCTCTTCGCTGCACTCTCCTCGCCGGCATTGCATTGTCAAGCACTTCCAAGCGCGTCAAATCACTCGCGCTTTCCGACGATGACTCAAATCTGACGGGAAATCAAACCATGCTCCCTGGATCACCAGATCATAGTCGTGGGCTTATCTTTTCTGCGCACTTTGAGGCCTCATCACTGAGTGAACACAGAAGGTTCCTACTGGAGCTTTCTGGAACTGGTCTTCTACATCAGTTCTTTTGAGCCGCATCAGACGGACTCGCGCCTATGGCATAGGCGACTCTTCTTCACCGTCGTCTTGCAAATCTCGCACTCATGGAACGCAAACCGCCATCCCATCAACCCATGGGGAGGCATTTCTCCGTCCAGGCAAGCATATCGGGAATGACAGCATCATTCATAATCGATCCAAAATATTCACACCAACTGTGTCATAGCCCCAAAAGGTTCAACATGGCGAGTACTGAACCCACTCATACCTCAATCTTCAATTCGATCTCGAATGAACTACGAATTTAACGAAGACACTCGAAACTATCATAATATATATTCTAGAACAAGTCTATGTGATCACGCCAGCGCGACCCTTTCTAATGTCCTAACAAGCAGCGTTCTTCGTAGTGTCTCTCGTCTGCTTCAAGAAAGGAATCAAGCTAGTACCACCAGTCCCATAAAGACCGGAAGGCTTATTATCCTGCAACCCGTCCACCTGGGAACTTGCGGTCGCAAGATTAACCTTATCGCCCGTGTGCTCCACTGGGGGGCCATTTCGCGCCGGCATGATAATGTATCGCGTGACAATCTGGATATGCGCATCTCTGAACGAACTGAGAGTCATGACGGCTGCGTTGTAGGCTTCCTTTAGCTCGGGCTCGCCCTGTGCGGAGATGACATAGTCACGGATATTGCAGAGGTCGGAGAGTTTTTCCAGGAATTGTCTGTGGGGGGGCTGGCATGTAGTTTCGCATTTCCTTCTAGAAATTAGTAACCTATCAAATTACAACGTCTTTTTAATCGCCAAAAGATTTCTCGGGAAGAGAATGTACCTTGATGTATCCAGTGCCTGGCTTGATATCACCCGTGGCGGAGTGGTTCACTCCGAGGAAGATATCAAAGGTTTGAATCAACGAGCTCTGGGCGTTACTACCTCCGCTATATTGATGCCATTCGCCCTGGCCTTCGCCGACATCATAGAACACACCATTCGGCAGACCTGCTGCAGCCATGTTCTTGCTTCCGGCGAGGAAAGGCCGCAGGACATAAAAGAAGACGTTTGGGTCATTTTTCTCGTACATTCGTATGAGCATGGTGGTGAGATCTCTGAGGCCATCGCTAAAGCTGTAGAGAAGAGCAGTCAGGCGCTGGGCATCGTGAACAGTAGCGGCACTAATGGCATCCAGCATGAGCGACAGGAGACGGGCACCCTTGCATTCGATGGCGACCGAGATGACGATGAACCATTCTTCGTCTTTCGTTCCGGTGAATGAGGTGAGAAGAGAGACGTTGTCAGGGTCTGTGAGGTCTGCCTCTGGGGTTGTGGTGAAGTTCCAGAGGGTGAGGGCTGCGTATGTAGCAGTTGGGGGGAGACCGAGACGGGATGAAATCTCGAGAAAGGGCTTGGAGATGGCAGGCGGTAGAACCTTTACAATGCTGTTAGGACGAAAACGAATCTTGGATAACGAGTCTATCTTACCTCTGCGGGCTTCTCGCCTCCCCAGATGTATGCGTGGGTTAGGAATCCCAAAATGGAGTATGCACGCCGCCACTCTGGTTCAGATTTCAACTCTGAGGTTGTGAGAACAGGCAGGCTGTCGATCAGTGATCTTATCTGACCGTTCTTGATGAGAGAAGGGAGGTCTGCTGCTAGCCTTTCCCATGAATGGTAGTAGGAATGAGGGAGCCTTGACAAAGGCAGGCCATTCGGGGAGGAAACCATGTTCTGAAGAGATAGCATAGTCTTCGAAGAAGAGAGTCGGAGATGGTATCATGGCGAAGGGTAGAGTCAAGAAGAAAGCACAACAGCAAGCAGTGTAATGTAGTTTGCAATGTAGGGCAACAGCATAAACAATAGCTCGGTATATGGTTGCTGAAAGTAAAAGGTCGATGTTTGCGGGACCTGGCCAGACTTGATATAGGGTAATGAATCCCAGTCGAAGGCTGATAATAACTAAGAATAATATAGAACGTGGGTTGACTGGCGGCTTGCATCGGCTGTCATTCGTTGTTGCCATCTATGAAACCCGGATGTGAGGCGGATCGATATCCGTGTTCCGGCCCACTGTTTTTTCTTTGCGTGAAAGTGGTGATGTAACATGAGCCTCGTACGACTTGACCTCAAAGCTTGTTGTATTTATGCAAGGAGACCTGCTGGGGTGTTTATATCGTGTCATAGGATTCCATTGTGCTCTTTTTCCATCGACCTGGCCCGGCTATACTAGAGAACATCCTGGAGCCCCGGGATTCAAATACCGCCTGGTCAATGTTTGCCCCGCCAAGCATCGGGTAGTCAAACTTTCACTTCATATATCCTCAATTATATGACAAATATCGAATAAGAAGAGCTTTAAAGCCTTGAAAATCAGACTCAGCTTTTCATTTGGGACCGGAAAGAGCGCATGCGCACGGGAGGAAGCGGAGACCCCAGCCACGGCTTCTTTATCACTGGGGCCGGATCGTGGAGGCGGAAGCGGAAGCGGCATCCGTGTTACCATCTCCCAGTTCTCCGATGTGACAGAAAGTTATAAAGTGCATTGAAGTCTGACCAGACACTTGATCTGTATTTCTCAAGTCAGTCCTGTAGTGTGTGTGTGTTCATCTATTGCCCGCCGTCACATCCCTCACACTACATCCATCAACACCATGACTGTACAGACCACCAAACCTGTCTTCCCCACCGAAGCGGCGTCGAAGGAATACGCTGCTTCCCTCGATGCCGCCGAGCCTTTGACCAAGATGCGGGAGGAATTCATCATTCCCTCCAAAGCCAACCTCGCCAGCAAGAAGCTGGCCAAGCCTGGTATTTGCTCTGTCCTGTACTCTCATCATTGATTAGTCTAACGTTCGAAACAGGTCTCTCGTCAGAGGACAGTATCTATTTCTGTGGAAACTCACTCGGTCTTCAGCCCAAAGCTGCGCATAAATATATGGAGGCGCAGCTGGACACATGGGCGTCCATCGGTGTCTGCGGGCACTTTACTGATCTTGAGGATTCCCCGCTTTCGCAGTGGCAGTTGCTGTCTGACCAGGCCGCAGCGTCCATGTGCAAGATTGTGGGCGCCGAGCCGTCCGAAGTTGCTGCGATGGGTACTTTGACTACGAACTTGCATTTCTTGCTGGCTAGCTTCTACAAGCCAACTGACACTAAGCGCAAGATCCTAATGGACTGGAAGGCGTTCCCCAGTGATCACGTAAGTACATTTTACGAGTACCCTGCATATGCATGTCCTTCGTTTGCATCATTCGTATCTGATGTCTGAAGTAGTATGCTATTGAATCCCACATTGCGTGGCATGGTCTTGACGCGAAGGAGAACATGGTCCTGATCGGCCCCGAGGAGGGCGAGTATGTCATCTCCACTGAGAAGATCCTATCATACATTGACCAGCACGCCCACGATGCCGCACTTATTCTTATGCCTGGTATTCAGTACTACACCGGTCAGCTGTTCGATATCCCATGTATTACCAAGCACGCACAGGAACGCGGGCTCACTGTTGGCTGGGATCTGGCGCACGCTTACGGAAACGTGGAGATTAAGCTACACGAGTGGAACGTTGACTTCGCTGCTTGGTGCACATATAAGTACGGCAATGCTGGCCCCGGCGCTATGGCTGGTCTTTTCGTGCACGACCTTCATGGCCAGGTTGATTACAGTGAGGGTGAGGATGAACCTAAGTTCCGACACCGCTTGACCGGGTGGTATGGCGGCGATCGATCTGTACGATTTAAGATGGATAACAGTATGTTCTCGATTTCGCGCGTTATACAAAGGATACTAACCTCTTCCAAGAATTCAAGCCCATCCCCGGCGCTGGAGGCTTTGTGATTTCCAACCCTTCTGTCATTGACCTGACGACTCTTTGCGCGTCATTGTCCGTCTTCGATAAAACATGCATGGCAGACCTACGCCAGAAGTCTATTAAGATGACCGCATACCTGGAATACCTGCTCCTGAAGGATACCACCGACGAGACCCGCCAATTCCAGATTATCACCCCCTCAGACCACACGGCTCGTGGAGCTCAACTTAGTCTTCTGTTGAAGCCCGGTCTTCTTCACAAGGTGGCCGAGCGTTTGCAAAATGCAGGTATCATCTGCGATAAGCGCGAGCCGGATGTCGTGCGCGTCGCTGCTGTGCCTCTTTACAATACGTTCTCTGAGATCTTCGAGTTTGTCAAGGTTTTCAAGTCGGCTCTGGCAGCTTGAAGGTGGTTTGCATACCATATCGCATTTACATGATTATACCATAGAGACCAAATTTCATTCATGCATACATATTTCACTGGTTTTCAAAAGTTGCCGATATTATCCCATGTGTCTCCACCGCGAAGGAACTCTTGTCCTTGAGAAAAGAAGTTTGTGGCGAGGATGGAGAATTCATCGTTCGTAAGAGTCAATTGCTGCGGTGAGACCAATGAGCCTGCATGGTAGTCATGGGCTCCAGGAAAGGCATTATTTGCTCCTAAATTAGGAGTTGTGTAGTTGGAGGCTTTTTCTTCGCCAATGCGAGTTGGTGCTGGTAAAGGCGACGTCTGCGACACTTCGGCGGCCACAAGGGTTGGTCCTGAATAAAGAGAATCTCCGAAAAGACGCCTTGCAGAGTCCGTGTCACTGTTGGATGAATACTCCAGGATCTCCCAGAATTTGGAAAGATCGATGAGGAGACTTTGGTTGTGGGCCTCTGGATCAGACTGGTATGTTGCTGAGACGGCATCCTCCAGATGCTGCAACCGTTGCGCCTGCGTCGAAGTAATTTTAGTTACTGGTCACCGGTTACTGTAAGTAGCAGACTTACCAGGCGAGCCATATGAGGCCACCTCTTCCTATTTGCTGCACAAATCGGACACACTTAGTGAACGTCTCACGCTTCTGCTCTCGAATTGTGGGATTATCCGTAAAGCTCAGCTGAAGCTCGATAGTCGCCACAACGGCAGCGCTATACCCCAGTAGCGGATCAGACACCAGAAAAGACCTCTCCTCGAAGTAGTTGATGAAATGAATGATCCAGGTTGTGTGTGACGAGATCAGATCAGATGTATGCTGGAGGAAGATCTCAGGGATGGTACTGCGAAAGGTTCGCAGACTCAATGACAAAAGCAGGGGATGATTGAGGAGACACAGAATGGTGTGATACATGAACTGATTCAAGAACCACGGTCCCCAGTACTCTCGATGAGCTTGAAGCTCATCGATTGATCTATCGCTAAGGTTGGCCGGTTTAAATCGATGGGTCAGAGGCATACGAGTCTCTAAATCCATTTGCAATGCAATGATCTTTGAGTACTCGGAATGAGGTGACCACGGAGGGACATTGCTTGGTCTTCCGCGAAGGCGCACATATCGTGCAGTACGAGCGAATACTTCGCTTAGCATTATCACATAGGCCATTATACCTTGGTCTTGAATGTCGCTTCTTCGTACATCCACTGTGGACGGGCCTGGAGACATGCCGCGTGCTGGCCGGGTTGGACTTTGGGGGAAAGAAGGGCCTCCCATATCAGGAGTATCGGCAATGGTGAATTCTTCACCGTGGAGTCGCTTGAGTAAACAGATGCTCCAGAAGCATCGTCTTCGCTCTTCGCGGAAGATGTTGCTTGTTGGGGTGCGAGGCTCGAGGGCAAGATTGGAGCACCGTGCAAGGTTCATTGCGAGGCTACTGTGAATACTGGAACGATGTGTACTCCCATCTAACAACGACGTCAGTCCAATCCAGTGGGGTATTGGTCGAGAACTTACTTGTAAAATCAACCAGACTCAAAAGACATAGACACTGTAAAGTGGACAGCTCAACAGGACCTTCCGAGACCCGTCTCATCACGAGGCCACGGGCAACTTCAGCATAATTATTTACCAGTTCTGTCAGGTCTCTAGTCCTGTGGTAATATGGTTCCGAGAAGCGAAGACTCAATGCCAACATAGCATAGATAATCTCCACATCTCGTGTCTGGAGACTGGCAAGAAAACTGCCTCTATGAAAGAGGGGCAGAGGCTGGGACTCGCAATAAAGTAAATAGAGCTCTGCTATAGGTGTGATGTCCTCCCAAGGTGGAAGAATCACGGTTGAATTGGGTCCAAGATTTGCCGAGGACTCATTTGCAACTGAGCGCTCATCTCTTGAGCTGGCACTAACAGAATCCTGGTAAGCTTGGGTCAAATAGTGCAAATGGGTGTCGGGACATCCATACCCTAGGTGATCAAGTACAGCTCCTAATTTGTCTTCTAGGCTGTGTAATCTGTCTTCCTGTATTGGTAAAAGGTCAGTTAATCAACAGGCTCTTGTTGAAAGTCACAAGGTCTGACCAGTGACTGATATGCTGGTGCTCCCGAGACACTCAGCCTAGCTGGCTCGTCTGAGGGCTGGGGACGACGTCGCTCGTCCGCATAAACGCATGGTTGCCGTAGTCTTGCGCACAGAGAACAGACCGGCTGCTCTCCAGGGCACTTTGCCTTTTTCCGTCTGACATGATCGTTAGCCGGGTTTGGCATAGCAAGTGGATAGCATCCATCGATCGGTGGTCCGACCTGCAAGGCTCGCAAGCCTGTCGTACCCGCTTAGCAGGTCGCTCTGGATACGTGGAGTCCGTTTCCTCCATGGTCGAAAATATTGGCTAGAGGCAAGAAAGTGTTCAGGTCTCTAGAAAGGAAGGGTCATAAACCCCAGTGCATTTCCAAGCGGAAGTCTCGTGTTTATATCTTGAGGCAAGAGATGTGACCACGCAAGACTTGGATCCCCCAAGGGAATCCAAACTCCGGGATTGAACAGCTTGAAATTAAAGAGGCCGCAATATGTGTTTCCGTACAAATTGATTGAGTTAGAATGCGTAAGATTAAAACTGCTTTGGCAGACGCAGGCTTGCGATGCCGCCCAATCTTGCTGAGTAAGCATCTTCACGCCGGTTTGGGAACAGAAGTGAAGGGAAGCAGTGTGTAATGTTCTTTTGCCTGTTTATCCTGGGGTCATGTTTCTAAGCCGACTATCGTGGAGGTTATGATCGATCCTCTGACGGAAACGTTACACATGTGGGACCGTTAGAAAGACAATATGCAATTATAGCGTCAAGCCAATGACAGTCGGGATAAAGTGAGCTGAGCCTGATCCTTTTCAACGTATGATCCCACGGCTCGAACTACGCTTCTAGAGAAAAAGAAAACACGTAAAGGCAACAACCTTCGGTTCGCAGCTGAGATTGATTTATGTACAACCCAAACCAACTGCTTGCGAACCCATCTAAACCACAACCGGAGTAGAAATACACCGCCAAAATGAAGTCAATCCCTCACTGCAACTTCAAATGTCATTTCTTGTGAGGAGTGACGTTTAGATCCAAGTCTTGTGACCCTGAGAGCAAAGTCAGTATGTATTCGTGAGATCCCCAGTCGCGGATTTTCGAGGATCGTCCGCTCTATAGCAAGGGAAATAGGTAAGGAAAGACGTACGAAGACCATACGGCACATGGCGTAGGTAGTGGCTATAAAAGTCGAGTTAGTTCCCTGATCATCGATCTTCAAATTCAAGGTTGTTCCACTCACCAGCACCGAGACCGTAGACGGAGATCAGGTAGGGGTACATGATGTAGCGGGAACGGGAGGTCTGTTTAGCGAGGTTGTATTAGATTGGGGCGTCATTGAATATGTCTAGACGCGAATCGTTCAGTTTGGACTGACCTTCCACCATTGACGCTTGCCGTCGTGGTTCTGGAACAGACGCTGGTAGTAGGGGACACGGTTCTCGCGGAACACGAAACTAGAAGTAGGACGTGGGTTAGCAACTCTCATTCATGTCGAGTGTCAAAAGACAGTCCGCCAGAATTTCAATTGCAATTGCATGATCGCAGACACTATCAAAGATTGGCGAAGTGAAATTCGATCGCACTGGCGCACGGAGTGCGAATGGAGACAAGAAAAGGTGCAGGAGTCGAGGGAGACGTACCCGGCCATGCGAGGCACAGTGCGGAACATTTTTGCGGTTGGAGGGGAGAGAGGAGATCTGGTGGGAAGAGATGAAGGGCCGTGGCACGATGTCGTCGAGTTCGAGAGAGCTTCCAGGTCACATGACTTCCCTCTTCTTTCCGTGCTGAGTCATGCAGCCCAAAAGGGGAAGGCGTCATCTGTCGAGTGAAGAATGCCATCATTGGCTTTCGAAGTCGGAGAATGGTCGACGGACACCTTCTCCATTGCACGCCCGATGCGCCCGGCTCTTCTTCGACTCCTGAAGAGGCCGTCCGCCCTCTCCATCCTCGATTCGCTCGCGGCTACCCCGATTGGGATTGAGCATTTGGAGTCCAGATACACGCGTCTGCGGTGCCAGTCGCGATGCGCTCAGGAAGTATCTCTCGATGAGACCGAGGGAAGCTCATCTACAACGAAGCTTGGGACTAAATTGCAGACGCATGGTGAAGGACGGCCCTTTGGCTTTAATGTTTACGAAATCGAACCATCGAACGAGAATCATTCCCCCGGACCTCTGCAGCGCGCGGACTTCTCACACGGAACGGATACTGCGGATCGCTCTAGAAACTGTCTCTGGTTACAAAAAGAGCAGCTGGATTTCGAGTCGGATATTGGACACACGAAAGACATCGGAACACGTCTAGTGGACAACGCGGCGCATCGGCACGACTTCGAGCTTTGGGAGGACCTGTTGCGGTTTCGCCAGCGTCATTATGGTGACAAAGGCACGCAAGATATCTGGGAGGCCCTGACCATTCGTTTGAGTGATGTCAAGCTTCCTGTCACCGGCGACAGGGCAGACTTCTTTTGGCAAAGCTTCGTGGACATGGGGCTGAAACGAGATCTTTTTCTCAAGGATGTCATGGAATATGCGATTGATATCTGGCATAGCGAAGGTGCTTGCTGGAGCCAACTTTATCTAAAAGTCGTGGGTGGTCTTTTTGACCTGGGTTTGAAAAAACAAGCTATGAAGTGGCACAAAAAACTTCAAAGCTGCGGTCTTGCTCGCCCTGATGAAGTGATCCAGGTTCTCCCGGCAGCAATCCGACCAAAAAAACTACTAAGCAGCAGAAAATCGTCGACGAGTGTTCAAAGACCACAAGCCTTCCATAAACTCTCGTCCGTGCGAAAACTGCTCATTTCCATTCCAGGCCATCAGATCTATGGTCGAGCTATACTAACCCTTTTACAACATGGGTTTGGCGAAGATGCCATCACGATGCACGAATATCTGGTGCGAAGCGAAGATCATCCTAACACCTTGGATGAACTACAGCCACTCATGGAATACGCAAAGAAATTCGGATTTCGGGAAGAATTCGAATTACTTCGAGATTACGCCAAAGCTCGGTTCAAAGAAGAATTTGCAGCCGCCGAACGAGGTATGAAACCCACCGAAAGGACTGCTTTGAAAGGTGCAGAAGGCGGTGCTGTCAGAGCAAAACCCTTCAAAGATGACATTGGGGCCCGGCTTTTTGCGACACGGGCCCTTAATTTTGATATGGTCGTTGGCACGATGAAAATGCTTGGCGTATCAGCCATTGGGCCACGAACTGTACGTGAAATGGCCATCCGAGCTCAAAATAGCCAGGATATTCTGGACAAACTCAAAAGGCTCCGGCAATCCGGAATTTCAATCGGAGACACAGTGTTTACGCGCCTGGTCCAAAAATTAGCTGCACAAAATCGTGATATCCTACTTTCCGATCTTCTGAGCAGTGATCAACACCCCGACGTTCTCGAAGATGTTGAATTACAGGAATCCCTACTTGTCTCCTACTACATTGCCCGTGATTCACGCCAATACAACATGTCTTTAGCGGTTTTGGCAGAGCTATATCCCGATGCCCCGGACCTGCTAGACATCCACTTCCGCAAACACATCGCAGCCGGACAATTTGACGCCGCTTCCAAAGTGGCAGATGAACTGGCTTTGCTTGGAAGGCACCTCAACGAAGTCAGTGTGGACTACATGGCAGATAAAGTCCTCACGGCCCGCCGAATGAACTCTCGACCACCGCCTGGGAAACTACTGTCAACCGCAGATGAGGTGATGTTCATTTTCAAGATCTTACAGCGCGTGGTTCCCGCAGGAGGCTATGTCAGTGCGGCATTCTGGGTGGAGCTCTTGAAGCGGCTTGGCATGTCAAACAAATTCGATGAGCTTCGAGAATGTTGCCTGTGGCTGGCCCGTGAATATTCTCCTACAACTCAAACCCGACCAGGCAAACCGTGGGATTCATCCAAACCTGCGGTACCCTTGCCTGTACGAGATGACCGGATGCTCAGACTCATCTTCTCCCTGCCATGCAGCATGCGATCGTCCACTGGGGCTTCATGATCCGTGTGACCCCAAAGAGCGAGTCAAAACTCGCCTACACGGATCCCGCCACAGGGACTAAGCTTGTACCTTGGATCCGGGGCATCCTACTGCTACGAGAGTTGGAACAAGCTGGTCTTGGGCTCCGGAGGTGGGCGATTCGCAATGCGGCTCGGGCTCGGCTGGCGATGCTATTCAGCCGATGGTGTCCTTCTCAGCGACGTATGACCCGTATGCTGCGAAGGAACAATCCTTATAGTCTCCAACGAGTTGCAGCGGATATTCTTCATGCCTGGGGTGATCCCGCTCTATTCCACGGGATGGAAAAGAACAATGCCAAATCACTGGTCAATCCGCGGCGTACCAAATATTCGTTCCGTCGCACTGAGCGAGTGAGATTGCCACGGAAGATGCCGCGGTGATTCTATGTACATAATTATACCCTGTCACATCTCATAGTAACATCAATTCAATCTCGAGGCTGACCTGTATTGGCCACGGCAGAAGCCAACTCGCGTCTATGACAACGAGGGCTGTGCAACGTCAGCGCTTCACAGCCATCCTGGGCATTCGTACTCTACCACGCCTAGGCTTTTGTAATAATTAGGCGATCACAAAGTCAGTTGGCGCAAAATCCAATGAAAAGTCCAGCCGCCAGCCGGGCGGTGCAGATCCACGATCTAAGAATAGTTGAGACGGCAACGCGGCCTGGACCCGCAATGGATCGTCACTCTAAACATTCCATGTCAGGGCCCTTATTACCTTCCCTCCTCCATCTTCATGATCACCATATACCAGCATGAGATTCTCTTTGTTAGCCCTGTTGCCTTTGGCGCTTGCCAACCCTCTCAACAAGCGCTCGACCGCGTGCAACAATTCCCCTGACTTGTGCTCCAAGTCCTACGGCGAGATCACTCACCTCGGCGCCCACGACAGTCCCTTTGTACGCGACTCCAGCACGAGCAACTCTATCGCAGGCGACCAGTATGATCTTCTCTGAGTCTTGTCGCGACCTTTTTTCTGACCCTTCTCCCGCACACAGATACTATGATACCCCCACACAACTGGACGCTGGCGTCCGCATGGTCACAGGCCAAGTACACAAGAGCAACTCGGAATGGCGTCTATGCCACACCAGTTGTGATCTGCTCGATGCAGGTCTTCTGAGTTCCTGGCTGGGCGACATCAAATCCTGGCTCGACAACAACCCTAATGAAGGTTTGTTTACTTCCATACTATGATGCGGAGAGACGACACTAACCAAGACCCCGCAGTCGTCACAGTGCTCCTAGTCAACTCAGACAGCGCATCCGCCTCGGACCTGAACACCGAGTTCGAGACAGCAAACATCACCAATTATGCCTACCAGCCGGACTCCTTGACCTCGGCCCCATCGTCATGGCCAACCCTCGAAACCATGATCAATAACGGCACCCGCCTCGTCGTTTTCGTCGCCTCGCTCACAACCGACGACAGCTACCCATACCTCATGGATGAGTGGAACTTTGTCTGGGAGAACCCTTACGAAGTCACCTCCGCCTCCAACTTCTCCTGCGTCCCCGACCGTCCCTCGTCTGTCTCCGGGGATACTTCAACTGCTCTCTCCTCCAACATGCTCCCCTTGATGAACCACTTCTTGTACTCCTCGGATCTCTCATCCCTAGGCATCGAATATCCGAATGCCAGCTACGTGGCGACCACGAACGCTGCGTCCGGCGGCACCGGTAACCTGGGCAGCACAGCGACGCGGTGCAAGGCCGCCTGGAACGGCCGCCAACCTACGTTCATCCTGGTAGATTTCTTCAATCAGGGTCCTGCCCTCGACACAGTCGACAACCTGAACAACATCACCAATGCCGTCGGCCGTACATCACTCACCACCTCCGCTGGAGGCTCTTCGAGCGGCGGGGCCACAATCAACAACGTTTTCAAGGGTCTAGTCGAGCTTGCCGAAGCTGCGGCCGCTGGATCCACTCCGACCATGGGGAACTGGATCTGGGTCGGTGGAAATTGGGGTAGTGTGCTCGGAGGCGGAATCTCCCTCTAAGCATGGTAACCCGTTACCATGTGAGATGTGTTTTATTGTGCAGCGTTCTTTCGGTTCTCGGACATTCCTTGGGGTCTTTAGTCTCGCGTGTGGGTAAGACCTCGCCTGGTATATAGAGCATTGGATCTGGATTTGGACCTGGACAGGGATGTCGGTTCTTGGGTACATTGGCGGTGGACGGCCCCAAAGGGAAAGCCTGGCGTTATGAAAGATTTTGATTTTTGGTTTCGAAGCTGGAATGACTGGAATGACCCTGTACTTTGTACTAGAGAAATGGAATATAATATCGAGTGGATACATCTCTTCTCCGTGCCAAGGTGACGATTCGATTGCGCTAGACACAGGATGGAGTTCTCCTACAGAGGCTCCTTACCCAGCAACTGCCGCACCTTGTTTACCTTGTCCTCCGCAGTCTGCGCCTTATCGGTCCTGCACGGGCCCAGCCCAGTTGTCAGTATAGTCCTAGTCTGTAATCTGTGATACTGGATCTTGAATTTGCGGGAATTTGGAAAAAGCCACGGTCGGTTGATAGCTCACCTCGACCCAACGCGAATATCGGTCTGAATCCGCACGATCCCCTGCTGGTGGAGGAGGGTGTGTGCCTGTCCGATGACCTGGTGTACTCTGTCCCAGGAGCCTTCTGTTGGTGACACAAATGACACGCGATTAGCTCTTCAGTATCCGACGAAGCGCGTTTGAGGCCACAAAAACGTGGGTGGTAAGATAGGACGTAGAGTGATGTGTGTGGCGCAGCATCCGTCGTCCCCAGTACTTGGCATGTACCTCGAGGTACATAGATGGAGAACAGACGGAATTGAACGGTAGAGATCACGTACCCAGTGTCGTCCCTGCAGAATGCATGGTGTACTTGACACCCGATTGCTCGATCAGCCTCTGGACGTCGGCGATTTGGGCCGAGACTGAGGCCGAGGCTGTGCCGATCTGAGGTCTGTGAGTTCGTGAAGATGACTAGGGTAGATGCGTGCTTACTGGGATCAGACAAAAGTCCGCGGTGCACTTCTCGGGGGTAGGGAGGTCGGTGAATGCCATTGTGTACGATGTTGAAGGTGGGAGAAGCGGGGTGGAGAGATCTGGACGGGAGAACAGTTGCAATGATGAAATGTTACAAAGGTCCATTTACACCAAGGACCCTAGGAATTGACCACAAGAAATACATGTATCTTTTCGCACAGGACTTTCGCACAGGGCTGAACCCAGCACTGATCGGTTACTTGATCAACGGTTCCTCCCCCCCCCCCCGACTACCCTGAACTCGCTTCCTTTTTTCCTGAATCTCAAACGTTTCTACCTCTCAACTCTCTGATTGGGAGTGATCGCCTCCAGGGGCAGCGCCACTTCACCCCCACCACTGGGACTAAACCCTGCACGCCATCCGATCCCTCGTCCTTCGGGTCTCGAGCACCTGGGACGTTCAGCGGTCTGGCGGTCTAGCGGTCTGTCGCCGTATTCGCGTCACCGACTCGACTCATCTAATTCATCGGCGCCACGCAGTCTGATACAACCCGGACTTTCCAGCTCACTGACTCGCCCGTCAGGTTTAGCTCCAGCATCGGCACTGCATGCACATCCGATCGGCCCAGTAGCTTGCTACTCGCGTGACCAATAGCCGACTCATCCCAAATCTCCACTACCTCACCCCGGATCCATGGGAACCAGCTCCGCTTAGGTACTCCGAACATCACAAAAACCATGCTCCCGACCTCTCTTTCCCAAGTATCATCCCCTGCGAATGACCAATTCCAGTCTCACTAGAACTCCCGCCGGGAGTTCACCTGTCTACCTCGCCGAGGGGGGCGCAAATATTGTCTATCGCTTCGTCTCTGCACCGGTCAAATCTCTCACGAAGGATCCGAACAGACCATTACCTTCACTTCCGATTGAAAGTCTGGAACAGCGCACTTTACCAGCCTCCTTCCGAGGCAAACTGCTTCGTCTGCGCAAGGAAACCGCCGCAGATCTTTCATACAAAGAAATTGTCCAGAACTTCAACAATATCGTGCGACCGCTTTTCAAGCCCGAAGAGCTAGTTGATCAGGCTCTCATCCGGCTCCCGGATGGATTAATCCAGCGCTGTAATGAACATCTCCACATTGATGAACTAAGCGGCAAGCGGCCGAAGAAGCGACACGGTGGATACCTGTGCCTCGACGAGCCGTTTGGGCTCCTCATTACTGATATGACGACCGCCGATGACCCCAGCGCTACGATGGCTGAATTAAAGCCCAAGTGGCTAACCCAGTCCCCGTCCGCGCCTGGAAATGCCCGGAGGTGTCGCACCTGCGCCTTGAGAGAAATGAAGAACCACGAAGCGCGTAGAATGGGGCAAACTGAACAACGCTCCTTCTGTCCCCTGGATCTGGTATCTGATCATCCTGAAAACGTCCTACGGGCAACAAAGTTCATCAAAGGATGCAAGGATCAACACCGACTCGCCAAAATACTACTCCGCAATCCGATTCTGCAAAAGCTACAGTCTGAGCAAAGGCGTCGAGACGAAGTCGGCCTACTTGGTCCTCCGGCTCTATCTCGGGACATGTCACTTGATATGACACTCCGCGACTGCACAATGTTCATCAAGGTATGTCCCGTGGTCCCCGCCCGAGAATCCCATGTCTAACACATCTATCAGATCCCTCGAGACGAAATATCTCCCGTGGAAATCCGCCTCGGCGACCTGGACATGAAGACAGGCGCCGGAGGGAAATCCAAGTACTGGCGCGATGTAGAGATCAAGTTGATCGGTGGAGGCTGGTATAATGGTAACAGCCAAGAGGCTAGTGACTGTGCGTTACATCGGGCCAATAGCTCAACATGAACCCCTCGGAGGATAATTAACGTTACGACTCGCCTTTCAACGCGTTTTCTTTGTCGGTGGGGGCATGGTGTGCAGTCTTTTGTATAAAAGCCCCAGGGTTTTCTTTTCTGTTCTTACATTCGATGTTTCCACCTATGACACTGTAGAGAGGAGGCATTTATAGCGTGCGTACTGACCGGGAAATCTGATGTTGTTCGCGGGGACATACGGCTTTATTTTATTTTTTTCAAAGAATTTCTGGAATTGTTCAATTTTGGAAATAGGGAAGCCGAAATAGAGATTATCATTAATTCGTATCGAACTGTCAACAGACCTTTCCCCCCACCCCCAGAGTCTTTATTATACAGAAACTTCAGACATGTACCGTCACCAGTCGTGTATCGATCCTGCTGCATATATCATCGTATCCCGAAAATCAGAAAGAACTCACCCATACCAGTGCGCACCATAAATTGTGCCGATACTAGTTGGTCGGAAAAGAAGCAGGCTGTGACCCAGGCTGCCTATACTTGCCAGCGGGCATCATACGAGTCAACTTATCCATTGAACTCGGCTCAGCGCGCAGCTTCAGCGTCTTGCTATCCCGTAGCCCGCCGATCATACCACTGAAGGAAGCTGTAGAGGAGGTAGGTCTTGTGGATGAGCTGAAAGTTGATGCAGTGAAGCTGTATAGTCTCGAACTTGTGGGCGTGGCGAGGCTCGAAGCCACCAGGGAAGAACGTGCCACTGATTAGGTGCTTGGTAATGTGTAGCTGTGTCTCGTCGAGGTCTGAGAGGAGTCTGAGATCATGGAGGAGGGTCTTTGGTTGTGGGAGTCGGGGATCAGTGATTGATTGGGTACGACGCCGTGTTGACCCTGGGCCATGGCCGTGCCGGTGAGTAAGGCGAAGAAGGTGGTCGTGAGAATGGTCTTGAAGTACATGTTGGTTGATGACTTGGGGTGGATTTTGGGATGTGGATAGGAGTGTGGATGTTCAAGCTTTCGGAGGAGCGGGCTTTTTTTTGTATTTAGCTTGCGTTTGGTGATTTACTTGATTTTATAGTTGGTCGCACACCCTTACATGGTAGAGATACATGAATGAGTATAGTCGTAGTTTGAGATTAAATGTCTTATTAATTTTGTCTTAGGCAGTGCAAGGGTTGGTAGTACGAAGATCTGAATGGTTGCATAACCTGTCGGGTAAGATCTTCTGTTTTTTATTAGGCAACCAAAGTCGCTTTGAGCTCCTAATACAGTGTGGTAGAGACAGAGTATTTAACGGAACTTAACATTGGGTCAATGGACTTTAGTAAGCCCAGTCAAGTCGAAGACAGCTGCACATTTGAAGCCACAGCAGTTCTAAAGACAGAGAGTGACTAACGCGAAGGGCATTCAGGGAGTATTTCGGAATGACCTCATTTGTTTTCACGATTGAATCGACAGCCTCAAAATCAAGCTTATCGGCTGCCAGCCCTTCCCGAAAATCAGTAAGGGCTTTTGTATGCGCTGATCCGGCCATTGTCTTCATCACACCACTTGCGCGGTAGGAGTTGGACATGCGTTAACACGCCCGCTAACACAATCTGTTGATGAGATTAATCTGCGTAGTTAGAAGTGGATATAGCTCATGATATGCTTTCTTTGCTATGCCACAATAAGAAAAGACAGAAAGTATAGTACTATTCTCTTCCTTTTGTAAGATTTATTGTATCATTTCTATGGCTGCATACAATGTCCTTAGTGTCCCATCCGGTAGCCTTCAAGAAATGCAGGCGCAGTATAACTTATGCATAAATTTCAATGAAGGGAATCTTACATATTAACAACAACAAAGCTATGCGACATCGTATAGCAAAAAGAGTATACGTGTATCCCAGTCAAAGACTTACAAATTCCGCTGCGTACATATTTTTCTCGACTGTGTCCACCTTGCAAAACTCACATTCATTGGGCAATCCAGCTCTCTAGAGCTCATACGGTCCGTATGCTTCCAACGAAATCTCATGGAACGCTTCTTGCTCTCGGATCCGTGACATCTGGAAGACGGCACTTCCAAGCTATTCCAAGAGGGCGTGGCATCGAAATCAGGCTGACTTGACTCTCTTCATCGACGGCCTGGGGGTCGAAGTAGGGGACATGCGAGCGCTTTGAATTGGGACTGAGCTGGGGATCGAGATAGGTGTCGCCACAATTCGCCTTTCCCACGACTTCGAGGGCTGGTTCGGTCTCCAGTGGTGACTATAGCCATCTGAGGGCATAGCCGAAGACGCAGCAGTTGATGACGTAGGCTGAATGCCAGGAATGATGCTTCCAACTTCAGAGAGAAGCTCGACGTTGCGTTTCTGGCGACGAGGGGCCCACGTCGGGCTGGGTTGAGCAATGTGCGAGAAGCTGCTCGAGGAGCTTGCCGGGGTAGCTGTCGGGGTAGAAGAGCCTACGAGGACCAGACTTTCCAAGTTTTCGAGAAGTGTAAGGCTTCGTGCGCGAAGTCCATTCGGAGCATTCCTTTTGGGAAGGTTCAGAGAGCCGACGTTGAGCTTGGGAGCGCCGCCGTCACTAACATCCTCCGCGGCGACCGTACCACTCAACAAAGCGACGACAGAGGTGAAAAGAATGTTTTTGAACAGCATTATTATGAATATAGCTTCAGCGTAGTAATGGTTCTTTTGAAATGTTCTTGATAAAACGGTATCGGTTGATGGTGAATGGCGCTGGAAGAGGCATATACGGTCACAATGTGAGTTATGCTAGTTCAAGAGGAGCCCCTCAGGAGGGTCACAGAGCTTTATAGCATGTCTAGGATATACTAGATAGTGACTTGCGTGACAGACCTTTCACAATGCCGAGTCATGGCTGTCGGTTTTTTTTCGAGAACGTGAAATTGGCAATGCTTATCACGTCCACTATAGTTACACGGCGCATGCATGATTGACCCTGCAAAAAGCACATATTGCTGTTCATGTTCTGCGAGAATAATCTATTGGCCAATTTATTGACTGTAGCCTGCATATCGGCAGATACAGTAAACAACTGACATCAACAACAGCTGCTATGTCCCTACAGGACACGGGAAACCTGGCTCAACTGTTCCTCAAACATAGGCCGTTGCTTGAATAGCTCCATCAATGGTAGGAATAATTTGCGACCACCAGAAGAACTCAGTTGAGCTTCGCGATCAGCCTTGAGCTCGTCCCAAGAGACCCATTCCCACCCGGTGCACTTTTCAGGTTCGAGATTCTAATTGGCGCTTAGCTATGCACAAGAAAGGGGAACTCAAAAGCAAATAAGAAAAAAAAATGTATGATGCACTAACCTGAGGCTGCGCTGCCTCGTGCGCAGTCCCAGCCATGAAGATGGTGATGTAATGCTTGTTCTCCTTTTCGAAGACGCTATTCACGGCGGTTAAGAATTGCAGGTTTTGGATCTGCAGACCCGTTTCCTCGAGCAGTTCGCGTGCGGCGCAAGTCTCGAAAGATTCACCAAATTCAAGATGTCCACCGGGGAGAGCCCATGTGCCTGCGAGTGTCAGAATATTGAGATTGTGTACATTGCCTGGAATTATGGGACTGTGCTCCAGTATGAGGGTGAACAGCTTGTGCTGCAGTGGCTGACTCACCGGCTCCGTGGCTTCCCTTTCGCTCTCCGAGGAGGAACTTGCCCTCGGAATTCAAGACAAAAACACCGACTCCCACCTTTGGGTCCATGGTGAATCAGATACCAAGCTAGTTGTTGGATGAACAAGATGCGTCAATATTGCGCTGCAAGGGCTTTCGTGGGGCAGAGCGGGGTCTGGCGATCGGCAATAAAAGCTGGAACGAGACGATCTAAATACCACCCTTGATTCACCGTACCTGAACAACTACTCATGATCGGCATTTGGAGGCTGAGGCTGAAGGTGACTCGTCACATTTTCATGTCAACTTTTTGCCTGGGGCAGTGTCTAATCACTGCCTCATCACCTTGGGGAACCCATAGCCCCGGAATGACTCAATGTCCATGGGGCTTATGGCTGTGCTGATGGCGAGAGAAGTCTATACAGGATACTCAAACTGAAGACCAGACCTTTTTAATATCACATCGTACATACTGATAGGTCTTCCCCCACGCCCATAGCCTCTTTCACCTGTGCCAAGTACGCATTGGCCGATTCAACAGCATTCATGGCAGCACTAGACTGGCCAGCCATATCCAAAGCGTAGCGCGCGTGTTTAGAAGCAATATTACTGTAAAAAGAGGCTCTCTCTACGCTCATGGTAAGCAACTGAGCGTATACCGTATGAATAGGCGACGTAGGAAATCGGTGTGGTTTCAAAACACGAATCAGCTGGATTGATCAGCAAGCTCATCAGACACATGGTTCTGCTCCAAACCACTGTGGAGTCTGGCCATGATAGTTGTCTGAAGACGTGATTGTCCTTTAAAGGCCTTGTGATAGGCTTCGCCGATGAAACAGGTCCCAACTGGACATCACGAATAGAAGATGAATAAGACCATCCACAGACAGAACGTTCATTTGACCTGTCTATGTACATGTCGACGCGCTGTTAAGATAATCTGGGTACATTTCAATGACTGAGACCTTGAGACTGTCCGCTGATGAGTTAGCAAGATATTACTTCTGGCTTCGTTTCTGAGGATGTTAGGACAGGCGCGACTGGCCTCATGTAGACAGTGTAGGTGATGGACTTTTTGTGTGACGATTCTTTGAACATTGTGATCATTGCAAGAACCTGTCGGGCTTAGGCTTAGGCTATTAATTCATGCTCATTTAGATCCAAAATACCAATCCGACAAGATGACTGCAATCGCCGCTACCTACCATCTAAAGTTAGCATACCACAGCCCGAGAGAAACCGAAGTATTAGATTGGAGACCCACTAGTGAAACATCCACGCCAGGCATCACGATCAAATCCAAGGCTGGCCGATGACCTCCTCGCGATGATTTCCTCAAATTCAATTTTTCATTGTGCTGGACACTCTCGCGCACCTCCGCGATTCTCCGATCATCATCGACAATATCAAAGAAGCTCAGCACAACTCCATGTTTCGTGACGCTAAGGGTAAGCTCCTTATCTTCCGCGCGTTTCGTTTCACTAGCAGCCATATTCTGGAAGGTAAAGTTCATGACACTTCCATTCCAAGAGAACTGAGGAGCAGCCTTTGCCACTTTTACGTCCCCGCCCCGGGCAAGGTAATATACCAACGAGAGGCGAACGTAGCCAGCGCGGACGTATGAAGCTCGAAAAATGGTAGGCCAGAAGAATCGCGAAACTCGCGACACGGGCGATCGCCGAATTTTCGTCCAGTTACGGTGAATACGGATGCACCATCTTCGTCGGTGATTCTGTAAGACACTGCAGAGCGTGCATCACCCTGTGGCTTCAGGACTAAAGATCGTTTGGTCGTTGCGATCTGCTCATTTCGAAAGGCGATCTCGCGCTCTGGAGACCTTAATGATTTGCGAGGAGTGGGGCGGAAGTTATGCGACATGCGCGCGTCGGAGTAGGAAGTATAAGACATGGTGAAGTGATCATGCACTCGTGATGTGTTGCCTCAAGTAGGCGGAAGCGGAGGTTTTAAAGGTACCAGGGTCATTAAATGGCGCATTAGTTGAGAGAAGCTGGTGCGTCACTGCGCCCCGATGACTTGAGATACAAGGGAAGCCGTTCGACCCGCGCCCGAGTCTAATTGGTACTGGTGGTGCAACGGTGCACGCAGAAATAGACTGGTTTGGGTTTAGTTCTTGTTATGACTGGGCTACGGGCAACAGCTGAAGTGGGGTCTGATTTAGGAGAAATGGCGCAACCTGAACCAGTTGACTTTCTGAAAGCCTCGTCAGACCCATGACTGCGACTAGGCTGGGTTGTATTCGTTGTGAAAGTTTTAGTATTTCCCGTATACTTGCTGTATAGAGTATGAGAGATCTAAGACGAGATTGATGCGGAGCCTTCGAAAACAATTGTACAGCGTGGACGACAATTTGGAGAATGACCAAAATCGCTAGAGCATCTATTTGGAAAATTAAATTTGTCAACTCGTTATTTTAGTTCAGATCGAGCAAGAACTGATCTCCAAATGCGGCTCGGTTACGAACTTGTGAAACAAGCCAAAAGAAGCGACCTCCGGTGAGTAATGCGCCTGTTCTCACCTCGAGACAGGCAGTCATTGTCAATCTCCTCGTTGCATCTGCGAAGCACAAGAGCCTACCCAACACTCAAGATGGCAGCAAATTTTGCAGTCAAGTCTCTAGATCATCTGGTTCTCACAGTCCGCTCCATTCCAGCAACCGTGAATTTCTACACGACGCATTTGGGGATGCGCCACGAGGTCTTTGCCTCACCCGCCGACCCCGCCATGCAAAGGTAAATTCCAAACTCTTGCATTTTCGACTACTAGATTCGATTTAACACTCAGGAGACATGCTCTTCTCTTCGGCAGCCAAAAAATCAACCTTCATCAATCAGGCAGGGAGTTTGAACCCAAAGCGCACAACGTCATGCCGGGGAGCGGAGACTTGTGCTTTTTGACTGACACGAATGTGGAGAAAGTACTGCAAGCTTTTCAAGAAGCAAAGATTGAGGTAAGAGAAATATCGTTGATTTTGTCTGCAGAATAAGCTAAAGATGTTCATTGTTCAGGTCTTAGAGGGAGCCAAGATCGTGCATCGAACCGGGGCAGTTGGCAAGCTTAGAAGTGTCTATGTGAGGGATCCAGATGGGAACTTGGTTGAGTACGTTATAAAACCCATTAAGGAGCGAATCTTAGCTGACCGCACTTTAGAGTTTCAAACTATGTATGATCTCTTTTGCCCACATAGAAATGCAATTTATCACAAAACATTCTCCATCCATGAATTCAGCAAATATATAAAGTTCAGCTTTAGACCTTCAAAGATTCTAAATCGTTCGTCCGTGAACCACAATTAGATTATGTGGGCAAGACTCAGGCCAAGGCTGTCATGAACGTCGGAAGAGCCATATCTTGTACAAACGAGATCGCTCCATTGGTGCCGCAAACAGTTCTTCCCCTTATAACAACTTGAGTAAGTCAATGCCGTTCACTTGAGCTTCCATGAACCAGAAAATAAGGTACTGTGGTCATTGCAGTGGTACTGAAGCCCGCTGTCGGAAAGTTGTTACCATTTGCAGCGGCAGTAGCAGCCGTCTCATATCATCTCTGACGCCAAGGCCACTCTGCAAGTATCCTCACTAACCACCTTTGACATATAAACATTGAGCTTATCACGTCTACGCCAATGTTTAGAAGGTTCCGCTGCCTCAAATAATGTGCTGTAGTTGGATGTCAGCGAGTCAACAACATCTGAATCCAGCACGAATAGTCGTATTCATAATAGCGATTGAAGTAGTACTTGGTCTCAGAAGATCACATTTGGCGTATCTATGGTGGTTTGAGCCAATGCCTTGTGACTTATGCCGTTTTAATATGCAGTGTAACGACCGATTGCAACGTGGTATGTCTGACAATGACCTTGAATTCTTTCCCAAAATCGACAACAAGACATGAAACGTGGAGTTTGCCTCGCGTTCTTCATGCTCGCTGAACAAGCGACAACAATATTTCATTTCGAATCAGGAAATCATCGCTCTAAGCTCTCTATTATTTTACTAATGAGCGAAAAAACAGTAGTCGAGCATTCTCCACCGCGTCGCGTGGACGGGACATGACGACATTCTCCGCTCTCAGACAAAAACGTTGAAAACGTGGGTAGGGCAGGCCCCAAGAGCCCAATGCATTATAAGTAGAATGTTCAATTGAAAGTACTCCTAACTTCCTAGCATCATCGAGACGAGGAAAGCAGCGACAATGTCAGGAGAATCGCTTACCAGTGATGTTTCTCTTCACCTGCTCTCGAAGCCAGAAGCAGCAAACCTAACCCATAGTTCAGCACGCCGCCCTTAAGAAACGCGATCAGAGCCCACATTAATGTCAAGCCTTTGCGATCCTATCGCAGCTCCAGTGATGATACCCACCAATTTTCCATTTTGCCTCTGAACATCTTTGGAGAAACTTGACACACCTTTACGTTTCAAGACGGGTCTCTGAGTAGTTTGAAAATTCTTCTTTTCTGTTATGTTGGCTTCTTTTTCTGAAGGATCACTAATCTGTGATTTCACCAGGTTTTCAGTATCCTCGCCTGGCCCCGTTTCGATATCGTAGACTGTAAACTCGTTCGGACACGCTTGTTTACGCGTCTGTTGGTTTGCAACTCGGAGACATATACCAAGACAGTTGGGACAATAGTCTCGTAGTCTTATATCATAAAGCCTGAAGTGCCGCTTTTTTAAACTTGAAATGAAACGTACATATTCGGACCCAGTCACATTTCATTCAGTTTGTCTCGCAACCCATGAAGAACAAGACACCCTGGTAGCTTAGTTGTACAAGGTTGGCATAAATATCCTTCTTCGATTCCTTGTAGGCGAATCACACTGAGAACTCTTGAATTCCTGCACCAGACCTGTTGATTTTTCTCATTTGGGTATACATTCAAATCTAAGTTGCCTGCTTCTCAGTTCTATTCACTTTCCTCTGGCAACACCTAGACTATGTCATGTATGCGTGATCGATGAGAGCTTCGACAAACAATGCAAATTATACTCAAGTATGGTAGGTAGCGTCAAAGGTTGCAAACTCAGTGGCCGAGTGGGAAGGGGGCTGGCTCCATGAACGGCCAGTTGATCCGTCCGTTTTCTGTTAGCTTACTCAGGACTTTTGTCCTTTGATAGGACTTTCATTGCCTCGTAATTTTTCTGGACTTTCTAAGAGCTTATCCTTTGTAAAAATTCTGTCTCAGTTATTACTAAAGTCCTTTCCGGTGAATTTTCGTGCCGACTACGCCAAAGCCCACGACCAAAAATAATCTTATGGGGACTGAGTCACAATACGCATGCCCCTTCCAGCCTACCAGACAAGACAGGAAGGCTGGCCTCCCAAATTTGCTTCGCTGGGAATTTACCATTTTCTATTTCGGTTAAGGTCTCTCAAATTTGTATTCTTTGAATGTGAAGGCGGCTATCGTTTTGTCCACATCTGAGATTGTAGGGCCGCCTGCAACAGCCAGTAAAGGTACATCTTACTGACCTACTCTCGAGGCATGTTTTGGGCAACGAGAAAGCTCACAATGTATCTTCTAGCCTATGAGCTGGAAACCCGCTTCATCAGCGGATTAATCATGAAAAAGGCTGTTTCATATGCAATTTGCCACAAAGGCCGTCTAGAAGCGATCATACAATCCAGACTGCTACTCTAACGCTAACTCTTTAGGCTAAGCCAATAAATTACTCCTTCTCCTGGGGACGAGCATCCCGCAGGCCTTCACTCGCCGATGTCGAGATGGCCTTGCCAATCTTCTCAATCTCCTCGAGTCTTTCCAACCAGAAGTTCCACCTATCCATGCTCATCGGTCCCGCCGTCCAAAGCCTCCCCTCTCTCTCCAACGCCCAGGACTTCTCACCTTTCTTCGCGCCCTCTCTGAGTCTCTCCCCGGCTACCTTGATCCACACCGCTGCAGCAGGTACCTCAAAGTCCCACACTGCATCTTGGCATTCGAGTGCCTCGGAGATGCACTCATAGCCCCAGCTCAGTGGCAAGAGGCCATCTTCAGCGTTCGGTCCAGGAGCCGCCATGGCACAAGATGCCTCCACAAAAGCCAGGTGCACGTGAGCCTCGCGCCTCTTTGCTCTTGTGGCTGGATCCCGCGTCGCCAACGCTTTGCGCCAGTGGCCTTGTTTCCATCCATCTGACCACGAGTTGCCGAAACTCCTGAGACCTTTCCAGACTGGCTCGCCATCTTCTTCGTCTGGTAGCTGGCTCAGTTCCTTGAGCAGGTCAACTAGGGCGGGCGTGTGGCGTTCGGGCAACTCACAAAGCGCGTCTTCGATTATGCCCAGTACGCGGTCTCTCAGGTCGATCTTATTCTCGGAGTCATGAGGCTTGGTCATGGCGGCAGCTGTGTCGGATGGCTTGGAATCACCTTTTAGGTACGCTTTGAGAGCCGCAGCTTGATAGGGATGCGCCCCAGTCTCTTCCTCGCCGTCCATAGGTGCAGTGTGTCGGTCGAACCAAGCGTCGTCGGCGGCGGAGTCGAAGCCATCGAGCTCGATCGATTTGCACGTCATTTCTTGAATACTGGTGTTCATGATGACGGAGCTTGAGGGCTCTTGAATGAATGATGCTTAGGCTTTTAATGTGTTTTGGAGATGAAAAGTCACTATAATGCGCCGCTGGGATAGGCAATATGATGGTTGTGTTGTGTTGGAAAGAAAGTGCGGAGAGTTCGCAATATCGAAAAGTTTGAGAAGAGTGGCAACTGGGCAGTAGAACCTGAAGTTGAGTCAACTACCCTGATCATGATCGAGGCGCAGTATACTCCGCTGTCCTGTTGTAACCATAGCCTTGTGCCGTGACATCATTAGGCAGCCCATGTTTGATCTGCCGATCATCCAGGCACGCGGGGCTCACAAATAAGCCGCACCGGAACTAGCAAAATGCTCGACACTACAACAAACATCTCAATCTAAGTATTCACACCCGCAAATTGCACTTAATTTTCTTTTTTATTCGACCGAGTGTTTTGAAAGAAATTTGATGAAATGAACACAAATCTATTGGCTGAAAAGACATAGGCTCAAATCGTGCCCATTTCAGGTAAGAGACTTTGGGGGCCGCCAAGCGGCTTGATCCAGTCAACCGCATCGATAGCGCTCAAATTTGAGACGACATTACCTAAAAAGTGTAATGCCTGGTCTGCAATGATAATATGATCTTGTCGGAACCTCCATCACACCGAGACCCGACCAATTCAACATGCAGGTTGACATCACTGGAGAACGATATCCACCAGGATTAATAGGCCCATTCACCCTCTCACGGCTGATATCCCAATAGAATCTTCCTAGGCTTGTGTACAAACGAAATATGTCAGTGCGCAGGGTCCGAAGTTGAGGGTGGTCAAAGCTATATGCAAAACTATTTTCAGAGCTTCTAAGTAGCCCGCACCCATACACTACCCCATCGGCATTGAAACTTCAACTTTCCAACAAACAACCATTACACACACAATTGCGATGGGAATGGAGGAGCTCCCTTGTGACAGTAGGAGTAGGGAAAGTCACTTCCTTCTACTTCGGGCATGGTTTGGAGCACCCCGCCTGGTAGCATGTATTCAATGCAAGCTTTACCGGTTTATAGAGTCCTATCACTAACACTACTCCGAAACAACCTCCAAACTAGGGAATCATAGCATCATAAGGTAACATTGGCCCCAATCCTCGCACGATATCAGCTTGCTCCGTAAGCCGATCGACGCTCCGACAGGCATATTCTGCAAGTCCGTCACTGTTAGTGCAAGGCTTTCACTCAGCCTTGCCAATCCCATCAATAGCTATAAGAGAGCCCTTTTCCAGCTCGAAAATGGGAACAGCAAGCACTCAGCAACCATTTCAGTATCAATAGTTCAATTACGATCCGCCAGCAACCGTCATCTACTCAAGTCTTCCAACCGCATCAATGAAGTTCACTTTGGCAACCGCCTCTATCCTCTTCTTGAGCCTCACCTCCGCTCTTCCGGCCGAGGACATTGTGAATCTTGAGGAACGTGCGGAGCCTTCTAACGCGCCCATTGATGTATGTCATTCCTCAGTCAACTTGAAGCTCTCCCATGCCGACTGATGTCTCTTGCAGTGGGATGGCCCCAATGCCTCCGCGTCCATCAAGTGCGGCAAGAACACTTATGACGGCCACGATGTTTACCTTGCCACGCAACATGCCGTGAACCTGGGCTTGCTGAGCCCCCCGGAAACGCGAGGCGCGAAGAGCTACCCGCACCCGTTTGATAACAATGACAGCAAGGGTGTGCAGCTGCACTTCCCTGATCACTGCCCAGAGCACGACCAGAATCGGAAGGAGTACCCGTTGGTCAATAACGGGCCTTACAACGGTGGCAAGAACAATAAGAAGTACGGGGATGAGCGCGTCGTGTTTTACTACGATGGTAAGGCGCAAGGTGTTGATGGTCACCCGTTGGTCTACTACTGTGGCTTGATTACCCATGAGGGTGCGGCAACGGGCGGTTTTGTGCAATGCCCTGATGGAAAATAAGCTTGTGCCAAATTATATACTCAGACTTTCGAGCGTTGGAGAGGGTCTGTGGAAGGGGTTCTGGAGGTTGTTGCTAGAATTATATAACAATGCATCTGCCGCCCTCATGTCTCAGTGTTGTGCCCATTGATATCTAGTGTATTTTCAAAGGACCACTTAAACTTCAAGATGTTCGCGTTCCCACAAGATCTTTTGCCCATACTGTTATGAAACTTCTTCCAAAGGGACTAAATGATAAAAATCGATACCCAATAGTATTCTACATCGCATCGATGGTTCGGTTGAAAGCAGAAAACTGAAGAAGCTGCACGAGCCCAGCTAGATCCCAAACAAATATGTACTTGTTTATGGACTCCAAAGGACGATGTACATGCTTTTACTTTTATAATCAAGATCTTCGATTAGATTAAGGTGTATAAATATCCGGGTATAAATATCCGACATGGAATTCAAGAGTATATTCAGTGCTCTAGAGAGCAATAACAAGACCCAGCAGGCCAGCGGCACCAGCAAGGCTCATGGCAACACTACCGGTGGCGATGGGAGCACCACCAGTAGAGGTGGAGTGGGTTGCAGTGGCGGAAGCAGAGCTAGAGCCAGAGGCGGTAGAAGTAGAGGCCGAGGCAGATTCAGCCTTCTTGGATGCCGCAGTCGTCTCGGCAGCAGAATTGGTGTTGGTCATGACAGCGCCAGTGGAAGTAGCCTCGGCGGCTGTCATAGCGTTGGCGGTAGCAGTGGTGGTAGAGTCGGCATCGGCAGCAGTAGTGGCAGCAGCAACGTCGAAAAGGTCGGCAGTGCTAGCCCACTCCTTGACGCTGGCGGGCAACTGATTATACCACGCGGGCATAGTGCCCGCGTCGATCTCGGCGAGCATCTGGGACTCCGAAGTGGGGTTGGCGAGATTCTCGTACCATGACGCAGGGATTGCGGTCTCCAGAACAGTCAGGATGGAGCTGGGAACATTGGACACGGCAGCATCGAGAGGGCTTTCAGAGTCCGAGTCCGAGTTGGTGTTGGTGACGCTGGAGGAGCTGGTCTCCTGAGGCGCCGGGGCAGCCAGGGCCAGGGTAGAGAAGAAAAGAGCGGCGGCGACCTTGTACTGCATTTTAACGAGTGTATAGTGTAAATATCTGATAATGAGCGTATGGAATAAGAGGAGGATCGATCCGAAGAAAAATGAATTGGGAGGAATTATTTAACCTCCGTCAGCCCGGCCAAACAGCCTCATCTCTCATCTAGCGCTTACAGGGTCCAAAAACCAAAACCCAGGGCCGGGACCATACGAGACCCCAGGCCTGGACTCTTGGAGCCTGATTGGGGTCGAGGTCGCTAGATTTTGCTGTTTTCACTCCGCGAGATCCCGCTGAGGCTTGGTTGCGCCACCATTGGACGCCAGGTTCCAGACCAATTTCTTTTCAGGAGGTTTTCTGCCTACGGACCGAACCCCTTTTCTTTCCTATTCCCATTTTGTATAAGGGGCATCACGTTTTTGGCAGAACTTTGAGGCACGAGTCAGATAAGCCTTTTTAAGCCTTCGACAGTGCAGGTACTTTCGCGTAGGGTCTATCTATGAGTTAATCTTGAACTGCACAGATTTCATCCACTGTTCATTGCGGGCCTCAGGCACCGAACGTGAGGATGACACGAGACGTAAATGTGATCAAAGTAGCAAAGCAAAGAAGACGATGAAGTATGAAGTATGAATCAACCAGATTGACACCTTGAGCCTCACAAGAAGATTCGAATCGGACTTTCGACGACAATCTCTGAGCTGATGCGAAATCGGTAATCCGTAAATCCGAAGCTCGGATTTAAGATGCGCAGAACATGCGCCTCACGCCGCGACTCAAATATCGAGAATTACTTAACCAGCGGAAAGACGCCGTCAATTTGTCATATCTACCATTCGCCGCTTTATACATAAAGACATACACCCGTGTCCATTGGCTATAAAGTGCAAATTTTTTCCACAATGGCAACTCGCATCCTTCGCCCTTCCAACATTCACACCATCAGCCGCGCATTTGGCTCCACAAGAACACATCAATACTCGCAAGCTTCGCGCAATTTCACAGCACCTCTCCGCGCATTCTCAACGACTCATCGAAATCAGGTTTCTAGTACTATGGCCGACGCACTCGTTCAGGCCGCCCAGGCCCGCCGCACCATTTACAAGCTCGGCAAGAACAGCCCCGTTCCCGACTCCAAAGTCGAAGAGCTCGTCAATGCCGCCATTCTGAATGTCCCCAGCTCTTTCAACACCCAATCGACACGACTGGTTGTTGTTCTGCGCGAGGAGCACGAGAAGCTCTGGGATATTGCCATTGAGGCCTTTGGCGGACTTGTTGCTAGCGGTGCTGTTCCTGAGGAGGTGTTCAAAAACCAGACTTTGCCCAAGTTGCAAGGATTCAAGGCTGCGCATGGAACTATCCTCTTCTACGAGGACCCTGCGCACATCCAAGGCTTCAAAGAAAAGTTCCCTACCTATGCAGACAAGTTCGAGCCTTGGGCCGACCACTCCAACGCCATGCACCAGTACTTCCGTAGGTCCACTTCTTCTCTGGAAATCGAGACCCTTTTTTTTGCTGATAGGATATAGTGTGGACTGCTCTAGAATCTGTTGGCTTTGGCGCCAACCTGCAGCACTACAACCCTCTGATCGATGCCAAGGTCGCTGAGCAGTGGAGCTTGCCTGCCGAATGGCGGCTGGTCGCTCAGCTAGTTTTTGGTAGCCCCGAGGCCCAGGCTGGCGAGAAGGCTCAGAAGCCTATTGAGGAACGGGTCAAGATCTTTGGCAAGTTGTAGATTGGGCACTTGATGTCTTGGTGATATTTTTTGAAATTTGCGCCATGGCGTATAGATTATAGATTATAGATTATAGATTTACAGTTAGAAATTTGTCGTACAGACTCACCGGTACAAAGTTACATGTCAAATCGTGTTTCAACGCTCTCCATTCTCCACTTACAATCTACGAACGGGGTTAACTCGGTCCGTCAGCATGGCTTTCTTCGAGCGAAATACACATCAGCATGGTAGTTGCTTCCAAAGTCACTGAGCCTCATCAACTAGCCTATTGATCGCCTCGAGGTCGAATAGCATGTGAAATGCTGAGACTTGAATTATGCAAGCAAGCTCCGCGTGTCATGGTCGAATGTGAACTGGATTCCCCATTAATCTACGCTCTTTCCATACCGTTCCTCATACTCCAGCACAAAGCAGAACTTTCCTTCGTTTTTCATGCAAAACTTCCCTACTACTTCACGAGATCCAACCTTTAACTTCATGGTATGTCCTCCTTGAGAGTTATTCCAATATCGCACTATCACTCAAGTTAGAGCAGTCCCACATGCTGTCCCGCATGCTGTCCCGCATGCTCAGAATAGTGTGTCGTATACACATCTGGAAGTCCATCAGAGCTAGAGGGGTCTCAGTCCAGAGAGAACAACGAGTATAGTTATGATACTGCTAGACTGTGAATGAGTCTTGTTTGTACTTGGGGATTTAGTCTACTACTGGGACCCGAGGACGCCAAGACTAGACGTTGGAATGCAAGCACATCATGCAGGACAACGAGTATTGGATATCGTTCGCAATGAAAAGACTACTGACAATCGAAAAGAAAACCAACACAGCCATGATCCCCCATCAACATCCCCCTTCAGCCCAACCTCCTACCTCCCATTTCTATACCAAAACTCCCTCCCCTCCCCAAGACACTCGCCCACCGTGACCACTATCATTATCATTAGCCAAAAGCCATCCAAACACCCCAAAACCACACGATCAGAGAGAACATACTCTTCAAACCCCTACTCTCAATCTCCCGAAGCATGTTGTCCACAAGAACCTGCACGGTCGTCTGGTGCGTATCATGCGCCAATACAATCGTGCCACCCGCAGCAAGTTCAGCCTTGAACTTCTCAAAGCTACGCCAACTAACCCCAGGTTCATCGTTCTCGTAGTCCTTCGTGTCGACACTGGCCCCGATAACTCTGTACCCTAGCTCAGCCATTGCAGAGAGGGACTCTGGGGAGCTTTGCAAGAATGGGAAGCGCATGTAGGTAGGGTAGAAGCCTAATAAGTTCATGTATGTGTTTTCGAGGGTTTTCATTTGATCAATGACGGCGGAGCGAGAGAGGGATGGTAGGGAGATGTGGTTGTATCTGTAAGTTTTCCAAGTGACATGTTAGTTGAGTTTCATTTCGACTCGAGGGAATGGGTCAACGGACGAGTGTGAGCCGAGCTGGTGGCCTTCGGAGAAGACCCGAAGGACAATGTCGGGATATCCCTCGATGCTGCCTTTATTTACCCCGTTGAGGAAAAACGTTGCGCGTGCATTGTGGGCGGAGAGGGTGTCTAGGATCTCGCGGGTGTATATCCAGGGTCCATCGTCGAAGGTCAGGGCCACTGTTCCTGGAACGAAGCAGTTGTTGAGGATTGCACCGATAGGCAGTGCGGAGTAAACATTGCCATAGGTGTTGTGGGTATGGTTTAGGCTTATGTTGAGGGGGAGGGCGCGGAGCTCGTGTTGTGGTCGAGAGATCACTGCTGCGTGGGACATAGTTGCCAAAAGAGAGACTGTGGTCAGAAGGGCGAGCAGCATTTTATTGATGAATGAAATGAGTTACTCGTTGGAAAGATAGATGTTGAAGGGTGAAAGTGACCATGTTGGCTTCGAGCATGAGTATGTTGAACGCGGGGCAAGCACAGCATCGCGACTGCCTACGGCTGGAACATGGCCATCGTCTGGTTGACGTTTAACATATAAAATTAACATTGAAGAGATCATCCACCCAGCATAAAATCCTCCGCGTATGAATACATCTAGGGGCAAGGTATCAAAAAGAGGCAGAGTAAGACAATTCCCCTCACCTTCAACTGTACCACAATGAGGTTTGCGAATGGAGGGGAAAGGAATGGTAATTCGCCTTTGAGTTCGTGTCCAACAGCTTAACCACGGCGGGTTTGCTTCTTCTGAAGACGGCGTTGGTCTTTCGCGGTCTCGCGCTCCAGGAACTTTCGCTGCTCATCGGCGGTCATGCTACGCAGGATGCGTTCGCGCTCCTCCTTCTTGACCTTCTCAGCAGCGATCTTGCGCTCCTCGGCCTTCTCCTCTTCTTCGACACGGCGCAGCTTCTTGATCTCCTCCTCGCGGACATTGCGGAGCTTGCGCATCACCTCGCCGCGGAAGTGGGCGGCGGCAACGAGCTTATCGGGGAGACGCAGGAATTGGGTGAACAGGGGCACAGTCGCAGAGTAGGCAGAGGAGAGATTGATGGACAGTTGGATGCGCTTCTTGGGAATGGTCTCGTCGATCCTATTGAAGGTCAGGATTGCCAACAGTTGCGGGTAACATATTCGACTCGACATGCGCCGAGGTCAATATGATCGGACTGATACTTACTTGGTAGGCTTGTCGACGGGCTGGTCGGACACAATCAGGAACTCGAAATCGTTTCCAGCCTGCTCAATGGCTTTGATAAGGTCGGGGTAAGCATGGTCTCGGTGATCTCGGCGCTTTCGGACATGACGGTGACCCAGGAAGGAAGCTTAGGGTGATCCTTAGAGAAGGTGATGGAGGCATCGTAACGATCAGTGCGGAACTTGCGCATGTGGCTCTTGTGAACAACAGCCCAAATGAAGCCATCATAGGTCGAGTTGTTAACCTTCAGAGACGAAGTATCCTTGCCAAGAACGGGAACAAGATCCTTCTCCTTGCCATCGAAAGTGTACAGCATAGCCTCGTACTTCTCAGCGGGAGCCTCCCAACTCTCGAAGAAGAAGCTGCCAGCATATTCCATGAAGTAGTGAATTGGATTGTAACGCTTGGGCATCTTGAGCGCAATGTCCAAGAAGGCAACGTTCTGGCGGCCAGTCGCGTAGGTGGAGAACTCATTGGGCGACTTCTCCTTGAGGCTCTTCTCTGGGTTGGCTAACTCCACAGTGACGGCCTCACCCTCCGCAGTGCGCGCAACACCGTCGAACCCAACAACGGCGAACTCTTTCTGGAGAAGAGGAACGTGAGCATTGGCCCACTCCTTCGCCCTGCGACGGTTCTTGCGTGTTCCCCAGACGTGGAAGAGAACGATGATCAGGATAAAGGGCATGATCATGGCCTCCTGCATGAAGTCACGAGGGGAGGTGCGCTCCCAGACGCGGTACCATGCCGTGAAAGGCACGGCATCGGTGCTCGATGCCTGGATGGTGGTCGAGTCGGCGACGAGGGATGCAGGCGAAGGGTTCGGGGCCTCGACGAAATCAGCGAAGTCTAAAGAACGGTGTTAGAACATCGCGCACGAGGGCAATTGAGGCGCAAAGGTATTTTTACCGTCATCAGGTTTGGCAGGCCTCGAGCCTGAGCCGAACACGTTCTTGAGCATGCCCGCCATGGTGTTAATGGAGTTGGGATGGTGGGTAGAAGGGAAAGGAGGTTGAGAGAATCGGTGCGGAGCTAAGCTGCTTCTAGCGCCCCACGGGACTTCTCCAGTTTTTTGCCTCTCGGGCATTTACATGACAGCGCAATGCACAGATGTGTGTAGTATAGAGAAATAAAATGATCCCGATGCCTATTCCTGTCCTATATTCCAAATCCAACCCTGAGTCCAAAATAGTACACAAAATGCTCGAGTGAGTGTGGTATCTAGCGAAAAGAGAACAGAAAGACGCCAACCTGCAAATCCAAAAACCCAGTTTTGTATACAATCCCGCTTCCAAAGAGACGAATGAAAAGTCGTAAGGGTCATTAAACTTCGAGCCAAGCTCGATGAAGGAAAAAACACAAAGGAAATTGAGGTGGGAGGTCGCAATCTTAGTGGCCATAGGCTGGGGGAGGAGTGTCATCCTGCGCACGCGACCAGAAGTTACTGCAAGCATTGCCGGTCATCATCTTCTCCTCGCGTATTCGGCGGGCGATTTCACCAGCCAATCGCTCAACTAAGAGATTATCAACAGGTTCTTCGACCTTGTCGTCCTTGCTAAATGGAAGAATGGAAGCGGGAAGTGGTGGCCGGGAAGGTCCAGCGTCGGTCTTCTCATTGGGATGACTACCGCGCAGGGTCGGGCGCGGAGTGGTCTCAACTTCCTCGGCTTTGGAAGCACGGATGGTTTCAACGGAGTATGAGAGGTCTCCAGCCTCATTGGCTCCCTGACGTTGTTTCTGTCGACAGAGGCTCGCCCGGTGACGCTCAGGAATCGGAGGCAGGACAGAGTCCATCTTAGGAGTCAGCGGGGGAGTAACCGGGTCATCCGCTTGTTCGCTGACGATAGGCAGAGGAGCAGAGTAGATAGAAGGAGGGCTGCTAGAGTCTCTCATGGAGCTGTCGTCGCTCACGCTCATGGCATCATCGGTTGTCTTCGGGCGACGCATGTCCACAACGCGTCTCTTGCGCCTGCGAGAATGAGCCTTCGAGTGTCGGCCAGCTCCCAGAGTCAAGCCGTAGCTATTGAACGATTGGGCGCCCACGGAAGGACGGCTGTGCAGAGACGCGTTGCTGGCGGTTTCGTGGATTGATGACGACATGCTACCGACTTGAGAGTGTGTTCGGGAAAGGGCGGGACTCAAGGGAGAGACAACGCTGCAGGGGCATTCGCTGGGGTCAGAAGGAGAAGTCCATGCTCGATACACGACTTCATTGATGGAAGGCGTGAAGAGTGACAGGGTCCGTTGCGAATCCGTCAGAGCGGCAAGACGAAGAAGGTTCTTCTGAGAGAAGAGCGAATGTGTCTCGACAGAGGAGTCTAGCGATAAAGAGGCAATCTCTGTCTCGTTCAGAGCGTTTCCGAGAGAATCCACGGGATCTTGGGGGGGACTAGCCAAAGGATCCTGGCCAGGACCCTCGCTTGATACCGCTTCCGTGTTGTCCGTCTCGTTCTGCGCATCGTCGCCTGCACGGTATTCCGGAACCCAGAGTCGGAGAGACAAGCGATGAATGATAGCAGGTAGCTCATCCATAAACAGTATCCGTAATTGGGCCTCGATTTCTTTCTGGAGGAAGTCGCGCACGAATGGGATCGAATCGAATGTCGACGACACCTTGAGGGACTCGAGTGGATCATTGCGGAAGACGACGGTAATGCCCTTTTGCTTAGAGAAGACAAGAATCACGAAGCCAGACAACTTGAAATCGGATAGTGTGATTTGTAGAGGAATAGTGAGCGGGGTACTACAAGCGTAACGTTAGCGAAGGGGACAAGGAAAGAAGGACTTGCAGGCGCGCGGGCGCATGAGCACAGCCGAGATAACATACGCAGCGGCGAGAGGTTGGGGCGATGCAAAAGCAGGCCTTGTCAGAAGATATGTATTGAGAGGATTTGCCTGGACTCGAGTCTTGAGGGTCAAAAAGGCGTCGCCAGAATAGGACATCTTGAAAATTCCACGGAAGCGGTCCTCGGCGAGGTCACCAATCTCGAGAATCTCCAGGTCTGGGGGCATCGAGCCCAGGTTGAGTTCGGTGACAATAATGTCATCGACGATGATCGGGGGTTTGGGGGATTTATTGAGCGCGGCAGTGAGCAGTTCTTGGGCGCGCGAGTAAAAACTCGCGTCCGCCATCAAAGGGGACCAGTTGAAGTTGAACGCCATGCCCGCGCATTGGGAGAAGAATGATGGTTAGAGAGGGTGAGACGAAGGCGAGGATGGCGAGGTCAGGAGGAACGTGAAAATGGAAAAAATCCCGAAAGCGAGCCTTCCCGAAGTCGCGTGCCCGGACCACCCACTTGAGCTCTTTTTCTTTTTACTCCCTGTTCTTCCCCTTTCGAACTTGTGTTTCTCTTGAACTCTACGGTTGATTCGAATCTTCTTTTGACACCGTGTGTTCTAGAGAACAGCTTCAGTCTCTCTCTGACGTGTTGTTCATGGGTAACGTCATCCCAGGAACTTGCATTTCCTGATCCGACCCGCTCCGACTACTATTCCCACTTCGTCACTTCTGGGCCATTCACATTCCCCTCTGCGCCCGTGGCCGCATAAGTCCAAGCGCTATGCCCTGCTAAGCACCCACTCGCCCGGGGAAAGGGGGTCTCGACGCGACGAAACATAATAAAGTGCCGGACGCCCACTACGCGACCGCGGGCCAGAAACGGCCTCTTCTGTGTAGATCCAACTCTACTCCTTAAGTCTAGTCCACGTTCTGTCTCATCTATCTGAAAAGCCTATGGATTCATATGGCTGAATACAGGAGTAAGGGGAACTGTCCCGCATATACATGTCTGATGTTCTCGACTTGACACCTCGTCATATATGGTAGCGAGACCCCACGAAAATGGTAGTTAGCCATACGTCGCACAGAATTTTCCAATCTCGATGTGGAACTTTGTCATGAGACCATCGGGGAGATGCGGACGAGCGACAATTTTTGGCCTTGATGATCACCGGAATTAATTTCTGTATTTCCCATGAACAAAGTGGTTGTGTGTAGACCTCTCAAGCCCCAAGGTTGAAATCACATAATTACGCCCAGGATATCCACAAAGCTCACACAAGGCCAGAGTCTTTTACTCTTGCTGACTACCTTATCTTTGAGCTATTGAAATTACAGTCCTAATCCTAATGCGTTTTCGATCAAGGAGGTAAACTGATCATGCGATATTGCGCCTGAGCAGTCGCCTCTGTGGCCGTGGATTCATGCTGCTTCACTGGCAGACGAACATCAGGTATTTCCCAATGGAAATGCCAAAGTCACAAGCAAGCAAGACTAGTGACGCATAATTCCCATGGAACTTCTCTCATACAACTCTCATAAATGGTAGACCAGGGAAGGGAGAAGCAGCGTACTGACTATAGGGAGTATAGCTACGGCCTACGATTGGCCGAGAGCGAAAGATTGATTCACCAGAGCAACCACACGCTAAACTCCTTTGGGCTAAATGTCAATACAGTTTCACGTTCAGCTTTTTGTCACTTCCCTTTATCGCTTGTCTGCTAATGTCATACAGCTGTTCCGCCTGCGTGGACTCCTTGCAGATATTGATACTGCGAAATAGCTCTATCACATCACAGGTGCCATGTCTTCTCGCTCATTTTCCACATTCGAGGGTCACGCGACACCGATGCAATCGCCAAAACCCTCTACCAGAACTGTCACTCAGCGCAGAGTCTACGGCAAGCGAAGGAACAATGCCGCCAGAGCCGTGTTCGGAGAAAAGAGTCCCGTCAAGGAGACCTCCTTACCACTCACAAAATCAGACAATACTATCGACGCTTTACAAGTAAAGCTGGCTGAAGTGACCATTCGAGATCAACCCGTGTCTGCATCAGAAATTGACAGCGCTGCGGCAGACAGTGAGACGGAAGAGGGAGATGCTACTGTTGAATCCTCAAGCCCCGCTGCCTCCCAACAATCCGACTCGACTCCGCAAACCTCGCCCGGAGAGCCACCCGAAGAATTTCTCGAGAAGCCGAAGCCCTATGCAACCTTGGTGGAGGTCAGAATAAGCACCAGAACCCACCAACGCACACCGCCAAAAGCCCAAGAGCAATCGAGCATTCCTTTAACGGAAAGAAGGGCCCCGCGACAAAAGATCCCCATCGGTCGGCGCTCATCTGGTGTCGTCCACGACACCAAAGCCAACACATACGTTCGCCCGATTCTCGACGAAGCAGTGTCCGCCCTCGCCTCACAAAATATTCAAAAATTCAGCACATGGGCATCTCGATCTGCGACTATGTTCCATGTGGCGAAGTTAGCAGAGGGTTCATACGGCGAGGTATATAAGCTGCACCTGCGCGAAGAAAACAGTCGGCCCGCAGTCTCCAAGTCTAAATTAGCCAAACTGCAAGCCTACGGTGACGGAGTATTCAAAGTTGTCCCACTAAGAGCGCAAAGTGGTCCGGGTTCGAAGAAATTTACCACCATAGACGAAATCGTGTCCGAAGTCAGGATGCTCAAATATCTGGATCCAATTCCTGGATTTGCACGGTTCAGAGAGATCCATGTGGTACAAGGTCGCTTTCCGGAGACTTTCCAGAGCGCCTGGGACCACTACAAGAAGACCAAGGATGATTGCATGAACCCGAATCCGTCGAGCAAGAAAGCATATCCTGATACCCAGCTATGGGCTATCGTGGAGATGGATGATGCGGGATGTGAGCTCGAAAAGTTTAGTTGGGCATCAACCTTCCAGATCTACGATATCTTCTGGGGGGTGGCTATGGCGTTGGCACGTGCCGAGGAGTATGCTCTATTTGAGGTTGGTTCCGCTAGATTCCGAAATCTAAATTGTGATATTGAACATCTTACAGCATCGCGATCTTCATTTGGGCAATGTCTGCATTCGGTCAACTCGACCGAACGGCTCGATGGAGCCTCCTACTGAACTGGAGGTGTCGCGCCTTCAATCGTCTAGTGGGTTTGGCTTTAGCTCCATAGAGACAACCATCATCGACTATTCTCTTTCACGCGCTAATCTTCGGCTTGCTGATTTGCCTGACGATCCTGAGGGGGTGATTGAGATTGCGTCATCGGATCTAGACAAGAAGCAAATCTTCGATGCCGTGGGTCGCGATGAGGATGAGATCCTGTTGCGAAACACGTATAGACAGTAAGTCACGCCCGCAAATCTCTTGGACGGATGACAGGGCCTTAACAATACTCCATAGTATGCGTGCGACAGTTTATACTGGAGACCTTGCCGAGGTCGCGAAAACACCTGATATCAAAGGCATCTGGGCCGAATACGCCCCTCGAACGAACCTTGTCTGGCTCCTATTCATCTTGAAGAGCCTTCTCAAGAACAGGAAGCCTGAATTAGCAGAGCCTATCATGCCAGCGCAGAGAAAAGCACTTGCACCCTGTTCGCCGAACAAGAAGATGATAGAAGGCGGGTCTGTGAAGAGCAAATCGTTCAAAGATCACGATGCTGCGGGATCTTTAGTAAAAGAGCGCCAAACAAAGGATCTCTCCGTACGAGTCGCGAAGCTCAAAAAGACGTTGGAAGATAGACTTTACTCTGTCCTCGAGCTTCTGGATATTGAGCACGGTCGTGAAGATATGTGCTGTGCGGCTGATCTAGTCGCTTATGCGATGGATTCACAGTGGCTGGCCGAGGAAGACTTTTTCTGATTTCTTGTTTTGGGTTTTCGTGATACCCAGGTGTCGGGTTTAGCATGTCTGGGAGTTGTGCATTTGGGATGGAATTGTTATCACATATCTTGGACCTGGGTTGCGTGGTGTCACTTGTGAGACACATTTATGGTCGAGTCATGGAAATGACAGGTTTTCACTTATAGAAATAGATATACATCGATTCTTGATTCAGTATTTTAGTTACGAATCTTTCAAGGTTCTTGAAACACCGAATCTACAGACTGATAAAGCCATCGGTTTTTGGATCGATTAGTCAGCAACTGAGCGGAGTTCGCAGGAGCACGTCGATTCAAGCTTAACATTGTGATAAACGCGCTAAACGCCTTTCGATACATAGATCATACCTTAGGTTGGAGAAATATACCATATACTTGAGCTGAGAATCTTAACTGACCGTTCGGTGAACAGCAAAGCTCAACAACGAGTCAAAGCACATCCTGGCCAGCAATTTAAAACAAAAGCCATTGGACCTGACGAGGCTTGTGCCAGATCTCCAGTCCAAAGAGAATGCATGATTGAAACCGTCCAATTCATTCGAAATCGAAACATTGAACTCTCGATTCACTCCAGAGCCCTTTCCGCCCGGCCAGAGTCCCAGAACGCTCACTCAGCTCAAACTCCAACATCAAACCTGCCACAGCAGGTCAACCACCCACCATGCCAATCACTGGGTACAATTCGCCCCTAACTCAACCCTCACTCGAGAAATTCAAAGAGAGTAACTAACACATAAACAAAGAGTATACTTCATCCCCGCCCACCCAAACACTACAACAGCGCTCCCAGCCCTAACAGAGCGCCTTCGCACCGCATACCCAGAACAAGATCTCGTTCCTATCGGCCGCTGGGCCCTAGAACACAAGCTCATGCGCGATACGCCAGGCCTCCTGCCTCAATCTGGAAAATCTACTAAACCCCGCTACATGCAGTTCCTCTCTTTAAGTCATTACCCTATGCACGGCTTCATTTACACCTCTGAGCCCGAGACTCCTCATCCGGCTGCTTCACCAACTCCTGCTTCATCAGCCACGCCTCGTGGTGGTGGTCATGCGGGGGGAGTCATCAATGGTGATGACGGTCGTGCCGCCATCCTCTTACCCCACACTATTCCAACACTTCGTCTATGCCGCACAACCATTCTGGGCGCACCGTTTGACCATGTCTGTGCCCGGTGGTGTGGTATATGAAGTTGGTGATTTCATTGTACGGATGGGTGATGTGCGACAGACGTATCCCATTGCTAGGGTGCGTGGAACGGTTGTTGAGATTGAGTGGCGTGGTCCGTCTGTTATTGAGGGGTTAGCTGGGGACGGGGACGATGAATTCGGTTTTGCGGTTGAAGAGGCGGATGTTGATGCTGAGTATGTGGCTACGGCAGAGTTAATAAGGGGGGTTCTGGAATCGTGTCAGGTTTGAAGGGGCGAGGGAAGCGATTCTCGTCAATGGAATTGGGAAGGAGATTAAGGAGAAGTTGAGGAGGGGGTCTGGGAGGAGAGAGAAGGTCAAAGATTACGAGGATGGGAATGGAATGAAGGTTGCGAGTGAGGGGGAGGATATTGACCCGTCCATTGGGACAGATCTCGCGAGGCAGTATATGGAGGTTCTGAGGTTTAATCGGTAGATTGGGTCAGGCCTGGAAATATTTTGTCCCAGATGTGTGTTATGAACGTCCACGGAACTCGAGATTTCAGATTGATGGGCACTCATAAAAGTCCTAATCATATGTTCCTAGGTACGAACAGCCCCAGGAAACAGTCATTTCACCAGAATGCGTGAACCGCATTTCAAAGAGCACAGCACGCTTGATCATCAAGACATCCAAGTACGAAACATCGCCTACAGAGACAGTGGAATCTGAAATGGACATGGGAAGGGTAGTAGAAAAATATCCTCGTTGAATAAAAACCGCGACTTCAGGTCAGGGAGAGACATGACGTGAAGATTATTTTTGCATCATGAGCTGGACGAATTCGTTGTCTGTAAAGGAAAATATTAGCAACCTGTTCTTGTCGTTCCCGGTCCCGTGTATGACGTACAATCGATCCGGCCATCGCCATCCTGGTCAGCCTCGCGGATCATCTCATCCACCTCGTCATCGGTCAGCTTCTCGCCGATCGAAGTCATAACGTGGCGCAGCTCAGCAGCCGAGATGAAGCCGTTGTTGTCGCGGTCGAAAACCTTGAAGGCCTCGCGGATTTCCTCCTCGGAGTCGGTGTCCTTCATCTTACGAGCCATCATGGTAAGGAACTCTGCGGGCGGACATTAGTTCTGTGAGCCTGATTGGTAGCGAGACCGGAGTAAATAATACCGGGGAAGTCAATGGTGCCGTTGTTGTCGGCGTCAACCTCGTTGATCATGTCCTGCAGCTCAGACTCGGAGGGGTTCTGGCCCAGAGAGCGCATGACAGTGCCCAGCTCCTTGGTGGTGATCTGGCCTATTGGTCATACGTCTCAGTATATCTCTTTCTGTAGATTTGAGTGTCGCCGATCGCCAGCAGTACCGCGACGAGCTGTCAGGATCGATCGCACTCACCATCGCCATCCTTGTCCTATTATCCGAAAAAAAAATACCCCGTTAGTCAAGTGTTCTCTGTATTGTATGGTTCTCAATTGCAGTCACTCACAAACAGGGAGAATGCCTCCTTGTACTCGGAGACTTGCTCTTCGGTCAGAGAATCGGCCTAGAAGGGAGCGATGGCGCGGTCAGCACGTGTATTGAACCGCCTGGTCGGACTGCCCCGCTATGCGGGGAATCTTCCTCCAGGCTGGCGAATCGAATTCAGGAACAATCCATGGAGAGTAACATAGCGGAGCGTACCATCGTGAATGAATATGGTGTTGGGAGGAGGATGTAGAGGAGTTGGAGAGGGGTGGGGGAGAAGGAAAGTTAAGGGGAAGCCTTACGAGGGCCGGGTACATCGCGCCGTACACAAAAATAGCGTACCTGGCAAGTACCCAACCACGTTGCCCCGCCCTGAAGGCGGTCAGCGGACTTGCCCGTAGGGAACAGGGCTGAGTTCTGTGGACATTGCCAGCTGAACTCTCGATCGACCTCGATCAGAGTGAGCTATTACTCGTTACAGTAGTACAATTTGCACTCACTCTAGGGTCAATTTGGCGGTCTATGCTGATTGTTCTATGTTGCTGAGCCAGTTGAGGATATGATGGGCCGCTCTAGAAGCTTGGTTTTGGCCCTTGGGTCTGTCCCGCTCCATTTCCTGCAACAACAGGCCGGTCTAGCAGCCCTACAGCCAAGCCCGAAACCCATGCCAGATTAAGCTAGATGCTATCATTGGACACAAATGAAGCGGGGAAATCCTTCAGAGACTGGTTTGAAGTTCAAGCTACTCATAAGGCAGCAATGAGAGTGTTTTTACGCCGATCGGAGAGGCTTAGCCCATAGCACTTCCCCCGCAGATATATTTGATGGGTGTCAGATGAGCATTCGAGGCCAGCTTCTACATTGACACTCAGTCCTATTGATTCTCAGTTGGATATCGGCTATATTACCCAGGCTGCCTAGCTGCGAATGGCCTATGATTCGCTCGAAAGACCCCCCCAGATTGTACCCCTCATTCGTCGCCCCAGTGACACCTGTGAGCTGGCACATGGGGTGTTCGGCTAGTGGCCCCCGTGCCAAAAAACGCGATGTTCGAGTTCAAGGACACTAATGCAAGCACATTCTGACTAGAGTATGAAAACATCAAATCAAATGCGACTTCGAATGAGGTTCTTTGAATTGGACTATTTCAAACCATTACGAAGAGATTGCGAGGTGTACGTATTCACTTCGATGACCTCGCATGCCTAGGTTCACGGCTTTGCAGCCAGCGCGTATCTTGGTCTTAGCAACTCTGCACCGCGATGTATTTACTCCCTACGTTATTTAGCATGCTCATCCTCACTCCAACCTTGGAATGCTCTACTGCATGCCTGCAGTTCGGCTGATTCTCAATCTCACTGAAAAATTCTCCTGAAAATATTAGAAGTTTGCTTTCTCATGACATCCACCGTCAACTCCAATACTTCGAATCGTTACTTCCAGACATTTTCTGATCTTCGACGCCATTGATGGTTACAACAAATCTCTCATGAAAAGCTCAAAATGGGCATTCACAGCCTTCGAAGCGAATCCACACCTTTCACTAGCAACAGCGAGTGAAGCGCCAACCACTGCACCTGCAACCCTATCAATAACCCTCTTAGGGCCATAGCTATGCCGTCCGTCGACCAAGTCACTACCTGACTCTGGGAAAAAAATAAGCGGTGTCACTTTCTGAATTCTTGTTCTTCCGAGTAAGCCTCAACGAAGTCTTTCATTTGGTGTTCCCAACCGAGGAGTTATTGACATTCCGTTTTCATGTTTTTTCCTAGTCTGCCACAAAGAGACAAATGTAGTTCAAAGTGTGCCACGCAACGGCAGAGGGTTGGGTCGGGAGCAGTGGACTCTCGCACCAATCTCTCCTTTGAGATAACGGTGAGTTTGTGAAGAAGAACTTCAAGACCCGCGATTGGGGCTGGAGCACTCGCGAGAGCTCTTTCAAAAGGTATACAGTAAATTGATGTGGCCTGTTGAGAGGAACAATACCGACAGAGGGGGGATCATCACAATGCGATACTCGGGTTAATCGCGTGCAGAAGTGCTTTGCAGTTCCTTCGAAATCAGGATGGTTATCACTCAATTTGAGCTAACTTTGAATGACTTATCATTCCAATGCATGACGGGTGCTGTCATAGTATGGAGAAAGAAGAACATAAGGTTGTAAAAGTCGGAGAGTATCGCATTCGATTCTTGTACAAGGCATGGAATCATCTTCTCATCCTGAAAAACCTGACTTCGATCCGCTTGCCCAAAAGATTGGTCAGATGCTCACTGATTCAGGACTTGTGTCGCAGATCTCTGCATCTTAGCTTGACAGGCATGACGTTCAATGCCGCCATGAGCATCGACTGTTGTAGCTGCAGTCAAGGTCAAATTACGGGGCATGATTTCAGCCACAAACTATGAGCACTGAACCTAGAATACCTAGAATCAGTCTGTGCACCAACGTAATATTGACGAAATGTTAACGTACCAATTTTCATGGATTTGTTTGCAGGCTTAGAGTCAGATTTTGCACTGGCACTTTGTGACTGAGTTGACTCCAATGCCAGATTCTTTAAGAGTCTTTCCATCCACTGAACCCATTGATAACGCTGCCGTCTAGCTGTGAGCAAAGACAGGATGTCCAAGTCATGATTGATGCACGCATTGATCGTCACGTTCACCAATTTATTCAAGCACAGTAGTAATCTGAGTTACCATTCCCAAACATGCAATCCGAATTCGCATACCTTCAAAAGCTAAGAAGGAAATCCGGTGAAAGGGACACACAGGCCGATGCGTTGCGCAAGAATCTCACACACAAATACACGTGCAAGGAAATCGGGTATGGGAAACCCAACATTAAAATCCTGAGTACTCTGTCGTAGGCTGAACCTGCAGCCACGACCACACAGTCTCTCGCAATTGTGCTTCCTCATGGTAGTTTTGCACCTCGGTGAGCCTGATCACTTTTAGTATCACGGACCGAAATTAGGGGTTATTTTCACGATACACTTTTGCTTTCCAGGCATGAAGAGGATAATTAGCCTCCACCGATCTCCAATCAATCTTTTTCTCGGCCTCTGGCTCGTCCGTCGGGTCATGATAAGGTGCCAGGTAAGGCAAAGCAAGGGCCTCTGATGCCGTCGCTCGCTTGTAAGGGTCGAGGACGATCAATATTTCAAGAGTCTCGATCGCTGCTGCGGTTGGCATGAAATTCTTTCTAATCGACCCAATATAACATACCTAGTGGATCACTGTCTGGAAGAACGGAAGACAGTGGTTTGCCTTCGCTTTTTGGAAGTGATAAAATGAAATTTGGATTCTGTCATGAAAAAGTGTTATCAGAAGCCCATCGGAAGCCATTTTCCTGTGTCATTCGATAAGTGGCCATCGCCGCTTTGGAGAACTTTTGTACCGACATTTTTGGTTATTTCATTGATTAACATATGATCTGGTGGCGAGCCAAGCAATTTCGTAATAGCATGAAGTTGATGAATGGAGTTGTCACCTGGGAAAAGAGGCTTCCCCACAAGCATTTCAGCGAAGATACACCCTGCACTCCAAATATCAGTTTGCCCATGGTAGTTTTGTGTTGAAAATAGGAGTTCGGGCGCTTTGTAATGCAGAATAGAGTCATATGCTGTTGTGGACGAATTTTGAACATGTGCGATCCCAAAATTGCATATCTTGAGATCACAATTCCGGTTAACCAAGATTTGACTTGGTTTCAAATCATGATGGAATACTCCTGCTGAGTGAGCATATTTCAAACCCCGCTAATGGTCTCGTCAGCCAACTGATGTAGTGTCAGAAGTAGGTGTGTAGACAGACCATTATCTGGTAAAGAAAATACTGAACAAATTCTTGGTCAATACCCTTGGTGCTCAATAGGGTTCTCAGATCGGTTTCCATCAACTCTGAAATCAGGTAACTATTCAACTCATTAGAACATAGACTCAATATCACAGGTGTGGGACAGCAAACATGTCTTCCGAAGGCGACATAAATATATCGACCAAATTGACGATCTGTTTTCGTCAGTGCTATGACGCGATGAGAAGCTCCAGTGTAGACGCACATTTTCATGCTTCAGATGTTTGATTGTGATTATTTCTCTGAACATACGCTTCGCAATGTTCGCAGTTGCGAATGGCTCAGCGAATTTCTTCAACATGACGTTTTGTTGAAGAATTTGGTCCCTGGCGGAACTTCAATCAAGGTCATGTTAATCTTCAGTCTGACCAGGTCTATACTTCCTTCGCATGGCAAATGAGAGAGTGACCTACTATACAAACCCAGAAGTATCGACCCTCAAAGGCTTCAGTTCAGCATATCTGAGGAGTCAGAGGTTAGGAGGGTCGCCGAGTGAAGTAAACTGCTGACTTCATACCTTGCCGTTACTTCGACTAATTCGTTCGACACGTTATGCGGCACAAAATACGCCATGGCGTTAGCCGGGGGAGGGGGAGGTACAGTGAGGGAAAGGGGCCGTTGCGGTTCTGGGAATTGCAATGCTCGCTCGGCCAACCCCCAGTTTGTGTTGAATCGCCGGCTACAGCTCGAATCTTGCGAAATTTCAGCTGTCACGTGTACGGACTTGGTACTTGAAGTTTGGCGCTAGTATTTAATCTCTTATACAAATTGCGCTTGATTGGTTTAATTGACATCCGAGAGCGCCCCGGGACGCACCTTATTCGGGGAAAATTTCTCCGTCCAGCCAAATGCTTTTAGGTGATTCGCAAAAGGGCCCAGAGCCCCACTACGAAATCCCCACCGCCTGCACTCAACGGCATCCAGAGGAATATCAAACATGGTTCTTCATTCGGATTGTTTCCAAAACATGCAAACTATAAGAGTGGGTAGGTCACGCAAACCAGCAAGGTACGGATCCACTAGGCTTTGAGCCAGAATGTATTTATTCAGCATGCCATTATCTTGATAGCATGTTGACATTTCTCTGAAGCTCTCTGATCACAACTTGGCTCCCCATCCACTTTCCTTACAACATAGCTTGGCTTGTCTCATCTAAGTCTATGAGGTTCTCTGGCGTAAGTAGGCAGTAAGGGCGGACTTGAAGTGAAGGGGCTGAATTAATGGAAACTGGCATTCTCATCCCTTACCTTAAGCTCGCTTTTGTCGCAATCAATGTCCACCTCAGAATGCAACCATTCCTATTGCAATCTTACCTGGTGCAGGGTCGCCGCGTCCACGGTGCGATACCAGCCTATAGGAACGTACCGCAACCAGAATGGTCTAGCCATTTGCGATTTGACAGGGCCCGCAACGAATCATCAGTAAAGTCTGTCGAAGAGAATGACGGAATATGGAGATATGTGGAAGAGTGATGAATTAATGCTACGAGAAAAGTAGGCTAAGTAGACTACGAATAAGGTCGAACCTACAGACCTTCTCAGGAATAGACGCGGAAAATCTGATAGGACATTATGCGACTAGTGATCAAGAAACTCAAACAATCAATCGATGGATTCTTCCCAAACCTCCGTTCACTGCGCCAGACCCCTCCAAGCACAGTCAAGATGAGCTCAGCAGCCTCAGTTTGATCATTATCACTATAACGGAGAGTTCCATTGGAGATCGAGTTCGCTAAGGATATCTCCTAAACTGTCCAAATGTCAATACAACTTTAGGACATAAATGGCGAGCGAGCAGTAAGTCATTCGTGTAAATCTCACACTCACGACTGCTGCAGCTTCCGAAGAGCCACAGAGTAACTACAAAGAAAACGGAGTAGAAGAAGAAAGAGAGACGCAATGCTCTCGTTGGCAGTGGCTTCTCAATCCACGGCGGAAGTTGTAAAACTCCTCTGGAGATGTTTTGGCTCTTGAAACAGCGCGCCGAGCCTTGCCGGACATCCGCAGGAATATACGAAATCAAGTGGGAAAGAAAGGCAGTGCGTCTGGGGTATTCCTCCTATATGCTGATCCTGATGATGGATGAGGTTGCCTGGACTGATTTACATTTATGCAAAAGTCGTCGAAACACGACATTGAGATTCCCAAAGTTGAGCATATGATACTAAAATACAACCCTATGATACTATCTTACAAAATAGGATATATATTCCCACCACTCAGACACCCTTCTTAATAGCCCAGAAATAATTCCCCCAGTCTTCAGACCCAGGCACGATCTTCCACCCAAGCCCGGGGACATAGATAGTCCCAACACACTTCCACTGCATGCCCGCCAGGTCCGCTGGCCCACCCCGCTTAACTCCCGTATCAGCAGCCCGCATCAACCCCTCCTGCGCCCAAGCCTTCAACTCTGGTGGATTGACGAATTTGCTCCACTCGTGCGTACCACGAGGAACAACACCGATCGGCCACGGCGCCTCAGCAATAACCTGGTTCAAAATCCAAGATGGGAACGTGCGGGCGATTGTAGATCCGATCAGCCAGCCGCCTGGTTTGAGGGCTCGAAGGCAGTTCGCCAGGAATTGTTGTGGTGTTGTGGTTGAAGGATCGATGTGTTCAATGACCTCGAAGAGCGTGACGACATCGAATTGCGCGGGCTTCTCCGGTGTCGAGCTGGACAGAACGTCTTCCAGCGTCGTATTCAGGTATCGGAACTTGCCGCTGCGCAAGTGCGAATCAACTGTTGGATCCATGCGTCCGTGTTCGCGGGCGATCTGGACAAGTGCTGTCGAAGGCTCAACGGCTGTCATTGAGGCTGCGCGCGTGGGTGTCGGGGATGGCGCGGAGGGGTCGAGGGGAATTGTCCGCGCAAGTGATTCGGCGAAGATGCCACCGCCGCAGCCGATGTCGAGGTAATGGAGGTTCGCGGTGTTGGATGTTGGGTCTTGGATTGCTGGGGGCGGGCTATCTGCAAGGCAGGTTGCGATGAATTCGTGGCGGAGAGGGTTGAACAGATGGAGGATTCGAGACGGGCCCATGGGGTCCCACCATGAGCTGGCGAGGGCAGAGAAGTGGGAGAGTTCATCGGGGGAGACGGAAGATGTTGAGTGCCAGCGTGTTGTCGAGGGATTGCATGGCTTGGTTGAAGGGAGAGGGGAAATCTGGCGGAGACATGACGAGGGCTGTGTCACGGTCGGTGTTGCGCGGAGGGCGCGGAGAGGTAGAGAGCGGGTGCGAAGGGATGCCATAATGACAAATAACGGACAAATTCGCCTCAGACCAGGTGGGATGGGGTATCAAGGCCCCCGGATTTGTTTCGATTGCTCAGACGAGCTTTGCGCAAATGAGTGCTCGGACGTAGACCTAGGGGTTTGGATACAGTCAGTATGCTTCTTGCGTTTCCCAAAGCACTGCGCGAGCTAACCTAACATACAGATAATGTCAGTGCAACCCCAATCGCTGTTGACGTCTATTGCAGTTTGAAGGAAGAATGGTGAAGCTATCCACATCGACGAATCTCCGAGCCGAGACAAACACGCCAAGGCCGTTTGACGGGCCGATCCCATCCGTGTGACGAAGTTCCAGTCCAAAACATTAATAGACATATACACAAGTCATCTTGTATTCCAATGTTAGTGGAGATTGGTGGTGTATTTTCAGCAACACGTTGCAGCATCCTAGACGATTCAGGTAATTTGAATCGCATGGCCTGTTGTAGAGTATGTACATCGCGACTAAAACAGCGATCTATGTAAATTCAAACGCCAATGGTATCATGATCAAATCAGAACAAAGCATGCAAATGCAATCACTCAAAGTGGCAGATCTTCAAGCTCAAGGCAAAAGACATTCTTGGAAATCGAGTCCTCCCTGAGAAACTGCAGTCAAGTGTGGCAAGGAGTCAGGATGTTGACTATCTATTTCACCCATTTGGTGGCCAGTTCGACCAGCAGCTAGCGTGTCCCAGCCTTGCTCACCAGCCCATGAAGTGAGTTGGTCAGACACTGGTGCACCGAGTGTTGGAAGGAAGTTGCCCATAGTGATAGTGCAGTCAAGTCCTAGAACTGTTTTACAGCGTTCCAAGAGCGATGGAAAGAGGTATGAAGGTGAGCCCCGAATCTGCGAGAGTGTGTGCAAGATACCCCAAAGAAGTTCCCTGGGGTCCACGGACGACTCGGTCAGACGGTGCAGAGATTTAGAGCCCAGGGAACGAGTCACATCGGCGACTGAGGAGCCCATGTCGAACAGTTTTTGCTCCTAAGGTTCCTCATTAGCAGATTTATTGGACAGCCGTTGAAAGAAGCATACCATGCCGATACCATGGGCATCAACCGCCCCTTGAGATGCACTTCCGATCACACTCATGACAGCTTTGCCTACAAGTACTGGCAGATGGAAAGGCAACACCCCATCATCTCGTGCTCCAGGCTGTGTGGCATGGCTTATAGACAACTTCCACATCATCGCCTGCAACCACTGCTGTGTGATCAGAATATCCACTTGTTGGATTTCAAGGACCCCATCCAGTGATATCGGCTTGGAGAGGCTTGATTGAATCCCCGATGTGGGTGGTTTCTCCAATAGCCCGTCGCCACCTCCAGCAGATACCCAGTCATACAGATTGGGAGTAAGCTTCTCGAAAATGTTGATCAAGTTGATGAATCCATAGGCTAGAATTGGGTCTTCCGAGCAGAGAACTTGCGGTTTGTGAATGGTACTGCGGAGCACGACCGGCTTGGATTGCTGTAGCGCGTAACCCCTGTTAACTTAATTAGCATCGGTCCTAGAAAGCTGACAAAGCTACCCACCTTTCTGTGATGAAAAGCAACCAGAATACGCGCCGCCTTTCCTCAGCTTCCTCGGTGTCAAGTTCCGCATATGTTGACTCCCGTTGTAGTCCCAATGTGAACGCCATCGAGGTAGCCTGACACAGATAAAACCAAGCATGACTCTGCTTGTCCATGTTTCCGTATGAAGCAAACAAGAAGAAAGAGGTCAAGAGGGTCTCAATACTGATGTCTTCCACAATATCACACTCCTGTCGCGCCCGCACTGCTTCGGCTAATAGTTTTTCGCCAGAAATTAAAGAATGACCCTCACCTAGGCTCTGAAGACGAGCATGCTCTGGCACTGGAGTAGCACCATCCAACTTGAGTTGAATATGAGTTGCTGTGCACAAAGAGGCCAAAAACGCGTATCTTTGGGGAGAGAGTCGTTGAGGCTGTTGACTATCCAGGCGCAGTTCATCCCCACGTACCACAGGCATAATTGGGAATAAATATTTCAAGTAGACATTGACATGCGCCAATAGGATTTGCGGTGACAGACGGCGAGCATGGGGAAGTATCCGATCATTCGCCGATTCCACCGTAGATTCAGTCGAGTCTGGAGAAGAGACCAGTTCTGGTGGCGGAAGTTGTGAGAGAGTATCCGCTATGTCAAGCGGCGCATAGAGTGGATCATTGATGGCAAATGCTGGCGACGAAGGCGAACTGAAGCCATAGGGAGACTCAGTGTAGCTTTGTTTCCGTGCATTTTCGTTCAGGTTTGACAGTGGATGGATAGGCGCCAGCGGATACAGCGTTCGAAACTTAGGGCCTTTGCGCCGGAGCACATCGCTATATGAGCAAGACAGCAACAAGCGTTGGCATTTATCGCAAGGCAGTTCACGCGAACATTTGATCTTGCGCCGGCGACAGTTATCACATGCCTGTTTCGAGGGCGGGTTGGACGGTGGTGCAAGGTCCATGGTTGGTGCGTCTCAAGGCGAAGTAACGTGGTGCATGGTAAGGGTAACGTTTTGTGAGTCGATGTGAAAAAGATCGAAAATATAAAACAAAAGCACAGAGTATCTGGGGAAGGCGCGGGGCCGGTTGAGACCCCGCAAAAGGACCCTGCACACGATGAGATGAGGCCCTGATACTGGGGACTTCAATAGCTCCTTCTACCGTTCCGGTGAGATCCCATGGGATTCGTGCCTAACAACTACGTATGCCCTGGCTGTATTGAATGCATCTTTCATGCTACGGGGGCTAAAGTGTTGATCTGGAGCCAATAACAGCAGCATGCCAAGTCGGCTTGTTCAAATGTCCAATCAATTCTAGATTTCATGATCGGTCGGTAGCTTAGCCCAGACTGTACACTTCGTCCATCTGGCAAACCCCTGTCTATCAACTCGGGGGACAAAGGGTCAACGTCAAGACGCAGTCGGCTACACTTGACATCGGCAAGTCTCGAGGCCGATAAAAAGATGCGGGGAGAGGGGGCATTGCGCGATTTTTCGGATTACAGATTAATCCTGGCCGAGCTAGCGCCCACATCACTATACTAGACCTCAAGCCGTCTCCGCAGTATTATATGGGACCACCTCCTTTCGGGGGGTTGGCATCCAATCATGCCACCAATCCGGCCGCTGAAGGCGTTCAGGTTGACACCCATCAGACTTGGAATCAGATGCCGAGATTGCGTAACCCCTCGGGAAGCCGAGGAAGACATCACAATCACCCCATCCCTCATCCTCACCCACCTCGAGAAACCCGGCTCTCTTCTCATCCGGGTGGAACGTCGGAGTCTACCGCTCTTTGCTTCAGGCCCAAGGATGGAGATTTCCAGAAATCCCCGAAGTTCCTGCAAGCGGGTTCCCCGATATTCCCCAGAGGCCGGTTTTGAGTCCCCGGATTGCCTCATAGGCATCCGAGTTCATATTGCATCACTCACCTTTTACTTTTCTTCAGTGGTATCAGCTAGAGAGAAAACATCCACCGGTGAAGCCACCTTCGGGAGCCTTGTAAACCTTAGGCCACTCCCCCGCTTTCCCCGGGTTCATGTTTGCAAAAACCCTTGGTGCTAGATGCACCCTCTAGGCGGCTTTTCACGACTTATTCCACGGTCATATAATCAGTCATAGATGAGCCTGATAGCTACAGTATACCATAGTCATAAATCTCACTACCGAGCCGCGGCTTATACGAAAATCGTCTCCACTGTGCACTTGGAAAATGTACAGCAAAGGGGCTCGGGCTCGGGCATTTATCGGGCGATCGGCCAATTACCGCCTTGGATTCCTCCTTGCTCATCACAACCCACAGCACGAAGTGGATGAACTCTGATCCTCTGCTGAAGCTGCACTCGTCGGGTCTGAGCTGCCTTTCTCGGTAGGCCATCCAGGCTTAGCCACGCTCAGTGTAGCACGGACTGGAAGTGGCAAAGGCCGTGACGATCGCCCCCGCAATCCCAGACTCATCGAGGCTCACTTCCCCGCAACAAATAATCAGCCACCCAGTACCTGAGGAATGTAACGCTGTCGCCAGCGCGTCTCCGCCAAACACGGGGATTCAACGGAAATATTGAAGCGCGTTTGTCCATCGGCATGCCTTCGGTGTTTACTCTTCGGGAAAACGGTTGTGCAGTGCTACGAGTGCCCCGGGTTGTTTCTCAAGACTATAAGAACAGTGGGACAGAAAGCCATATTCTAGCTGTATCTTTCCGCATAATTCAACCATCATGGTTGGCGTTGTGGACTTTTTGGCCGGAGCCTGCCTTCTCCCGGTAGTCTATGGCGCAAGTTCGACGCCCTCGCCAAGCCCCACCACTAGCTCCGCTTATCACCAATTCAGTCTCCCTGCCTCTGCTGACACGGGAGCGAACTTGATCGCTAATATCGACGACCCCGAGGCTGTCAATGCTCAGTCTGCCTGTCCGGGATACAAAGCGTCCAATGTGCAAAATACACCGAGCGGGGTCACAGCGACCTTGCAGCTAGCGGGGCAGGCTTGCAATGTCTATGGAACGGATATCGAGTCCTTGAACCTGACGGTCGAGTACCTTGCAAAAGATCGATTGAACATTGTCATCACCCCCAGTCACGTTGATGACTCTAATGCCTCTTGGTACCACCTCGATGAGCATGTTGTGCCGCGTCCTTTGGCAGACAAGAGCGCCTCGAACGTCGGCAACGATCTCGAGTTCACATGGTCCAATGACCCTTCTTTCAGTTTTACGGTGAGCCGCAAGGACACTGGTGATGTGCTTTTTGACACCATTGGCTCGGTTCTGGTGTATCAAAACCAGTTCATCGAATTTGTCACTGCCCTTCCCGATAACTATAACTTGTACGGTCTCGGAGAGCATATTCAGCAGCTGCGCCTGCTGCCGAATGCCTCTCTCACCATCTACAACGCCGATGCCGGGGACCCAATCGATAGGTGAGCCTCTCTAAGCTGTCGATAGACTCTGCGCTAGCGATGAAACTGACCTTTATCACTTTAGTAACATATATGGAGCCCATCCATTCTACCTGGATACCCGTTATTACGAGACCGATGACCAAGGAGGCCGGACTTTCGTTTCAAGTGATGATGCGGACCCTACCAAGGACTACACCTCCAACTCACACGGTGTGTTCCTGCGCAATGCCCATGGCCAGGAAATTCTCACTGGAGCCCAGAACCTCACCTGGCGCACGTTAGGTGGCAGCATTGACCTGACCTTCTATGCTGGTCCGACTCAGCCCGAGGTCACGATGAACTACCAGAAAAGTACCATTGGTCTGCCTGCTATGCAACAGTACTTCACCTTTGGCTATCACCAGTGTCGCTGGGGTTACTCCAACTGGTCTATGGTCGAGGACGTTGTAGCAAACTTTGAAAAGTTCGAAATTCCTCTTGAGAATATTTGGTAAGTCTCAAACAACGATGCTTTTTTCAAACTCACGTGAAACCAACACTGATGCGCTAATAGGAACGACATCGATTATATGAAGACTTGGCGTGACTTCGACAATGATCCCATTCGATTCTCATACGCCGAGGGGCAGGAATTCCTGGAAAAGCTGCACAAGAGTGGCCGTCACTATATCCCTATCGTCGACTCTGCTCTCTATATTCCCAACCCGCACAATGCGTCTGATGCGTAAGTCCCCCGCATGCTGCTTGAAAGTCATTCTGCTGACCCAATCTCAGCTATGATACCTACACTCGCGGTGCGAAGGACGATGTCTTCATCAAAAACCCGGATGGAAGTACTTACATCGGTGCTGTCTGGCCTGGATACACTGTATTCCCTGACTGGCACAACCCGAAAACCGGTGCCTTTTGGGCGAATGAGATTGTCACCTGGCACGACAAGATTTCCTTTGACGGTATCTGGATTGATATGAGCGAGGTGTCATCATTCTGTGTTGGAAGCTGTGGGTCTCATAACCTTAGTCTCAACCCCATCATGGGTACTTCTCTTCCTGGAACTCCTGGAAACATGAATTTCGAATACCCAGAAGGTTTCGAGATTACCAACACAACTGAGGCGGCTTCTGCTTCCGCGGCATCGTCGAGCCAAGCCGCAGCTGCAGCAGCTACTGCTGCCAGTACGTCGTCCTCTCAGGATTACCTGCGCACGACTCCAACTCCCGGTGTGCGTGATATCAACTACCCTCCATATGTCATCAACCACGTTCAGACTGGCCATGACCTCGCTGTACACGCCGTGTCTCCGAATGCGACGCATTCGGATGGTGTTCAGGAATATGATGTGCACAACCTGTTTGGCACTCAGATCCTTAACGCCACTTACCATGGTCTGCTTGCTGTCGCCCCTGAGAAGCGACCATTCATCATTGGACGCTCGACCTTTGCTGGCTCTGGTAAATGGGCAGGCCACTGGGGTGGTGATAATTTCTCCAAGTGGGCATACATGTTCTTCTCTATCCCTCAGGCTCTGTCCTTCTCCTTATTCGGTGTCCCTATGTTCGGCGTTGACACGTGTGGCTTCAACGACAACACGGACGAGGAACTTTGCAACCGATGGATGCAGCTGTCTGCATTCTTCCCCTTCTACCGAAACCACAACACCCTTGGCGCCATCTCTCAGGAGCCCTATCAATGGGAGTCTGTCATCGATTCCTCAAAGACAGCCATGAAGATCCGTTACGCTATTCTGCCTTACTTCTACACTCTGTTCCACCTAGCACATACCACCGGATCAACCGTCATGCGCGCACTGGCCTGGGAATTCCCTCATGATCCCTCACTGGCCGCAGTCGACACCCAATTCCTCCTTGGTCCCTCAATCATGGTGGTTCCAGTCCTCGAGCCTCAGGTTGACACCGTCAAAGGTGTCTTCCCTGGCGTGAAACAGGGTGAAATTTGGTATGATTGGTACACCCAGACTGCCGTTGATGCCAAGCCCGGTGTGAATACCACCATCCCCGCTCCTTTGGGCCATATCCCGGTGTTTGTCCGGGGTGGAAGTGTGCTTCCCATGCAAGAGCCTGCCCTCACCACCCGAGACGCCCGGAACACCCCGTGGTCCCTTCTTACCTCACTCAATGGCAATGGTACTGCTTCTGGCCAGCTTTACATTGACGATGGCGTGAGCATCTCGCCTGACGCTACCCTCGACGTCAAGTTTCACGCAACCAAGTCCAGTCTTAGCGCTATGGCTTCCGGTGACTGGAAAGAGACCAATCCGCTTTCGAAGATAACCGTCTTAGGTGTGTCTCAGAAACCTCACAGCGTGACTCTGAACGGCAAGTCTATCCCCGCCACGGCCGTGCAGTACAACTCTACTTCGCACGTCTTGTCGGTGGGCGATCTGCAGCATGCTACTTCCGAGGGAGCATTTAGCAAGGACTGGGTTCTGAAGTGGTAATGATATTACGAAGAGGAACTGGGGAGTGATTTGTATGGCACAACAATTTAACCACCAATGACAACGATGATTATATCCCAAGGCAAGAGACAGCACAGGCCACATTCGTAGATTACTAACTTGCAAGCTGAGAAACCTCTTCCAAACTCGAAACAACTTCAGCATTTCACCTCTCAATCCTTACTTCCATCATGTCTCGGCCTCGCCAAAGAATTTGGTCCTGATCAAACTAGCCTAAGACCAGATAACGACCTCAATCTCTTCGGGAGTCGGGCCCTGAACTCGGACCCTCAAGCCCGAAAATTGAGTAAGTGCTGGTGTCTTGAAACGAGACTAGATTCTAGAATGTGGCGAGTGCTTACCCCGTAAATCCGATTCCCGAACAACCCTTAATTTTTCATCTCGCGAAACAAAATCCACAAATTACCCCACTCAATCAATATCAAAGATGAAACGGATTCCAGTCTTGATAAGATGGCTAACGCGACTGTGAAAAAAAAAGGTGAAAGCTGTATGCTTTTCAGCCCCAAGCCTGCAACAATTACACTAGCCCCTCAGCTTGTTGCAACCCCATAGCCACCCTAACAATTTGAATCTCCACTTTATCACATATCATGATTTATCTACGGTGTTCCCGATTGCAACCCGAAAGGAGTTCTTGTTGCAGGTATCTGGCGGTGCCCACCGGCTCCTCAGAATGGCGAACTCGACGGAACTCGCGATCTGAATATGACGCCTTACTCTCGACAGCTCATATAAGTAGTCTCTTCCCAGATTATCGGCTTGTGCTTGAATCGGATCTTTTGAAATGCTGTCGCTCTAATTGACTTTGCTTTGGACTTTCTTTCTTCTGAGCTACCTTGACTGTGACCTAGCACGGGCATTCACTAGAATTCCGCAGCACTCTTCAGTTGTCATTCTTCTACGTGATCTGCTTTCTTTGATTTCATACCTGAATGTGTCGAGCTCCGGGTTGATTCCTTTCAGCTTGTTCCCCGAGCCCAGTCTGGTTAGAAACACAGTCATTCTCCGACATTCGTCATTCTTTTCGGAAACATTCTTCTTCGATCAAGTACAATGCTTTTCTCACGCCTTGCATTGCTAGCTGGTCTAGTCGGGTCCGCCGTTGCTGCTTCCCCAGCGGAATGGCGCTCGCAATCAATTTATTTCATGCTTACGGATCGGTTCGCGAGGACGGATGGATCGACTACTGCTAAGTGTGATACTGCGAATATCGTATGAGCCTCGCTGATGGGCCAAGGGGCAAAGCGAAATGCTAATATGGCTTCAAGTTGTACTGCGGTGGTACCTGGAAAGGTATCGAGAAGAAGGTGCGTTTAGTTTGTTAGATTTCGGGCGAGATATTTGAATGCTGATTCGTCTACAGCTGGACTACATCCAAGGAATGGGATTCACTGCCATCTGGATTACTCCTGTGACGGGCTAGATCCCCGGTGATGCTGGTTACGGTTATGCCTATCACGGATATTGGCAGCAGGATATGTGGGTAACGCTCGAGTTCCAACGACATGACAAGACTAATTGACACCGCAGTTACTCCCTGAACTCACACTACGGTACCGCTGACGATCTCAAGTCGTTAGCCTCCGCTTTGCATCAGCGTGGCATGTACCTGATGCTCGATGTAGTGGCCAACCATATGGTGCGTCTTGAATATCTGAGTGGAGTATTAAGGGTACTGATAATAAACAGGGCTACAACGGTGCCGGCACCAAGATGAACTACGAGGTCTTTCATGACTTCAATTCGTCTGCAGACTTCCATCCTTATTGCGAAGTCAATGACTATAACAATCAGACAAATGTTGAAGAATGCTGGCTTGGCGACACAACTGTCGCGCTGGCTGACCTCAACACGGAGTCCGAGAGCATGCAGAACATCTGGTATAGCTGGGTTAAAAATCTTGTCAAGGACTACTCCAGTATGACTTACCCTTGATTCGCTTACTCTAATATCTAATGCATTAAATAGTCGATGGCCTTCGTGTCGATACTGTTAGACATGTCCAAAAAAGCTTCTGGCCTGACTACAACATAGCCGCAGGAGTTTACTGTGTCGGCGAGGTATTTGAAGGCGACGTGGACTATACTTGCGGCTACCAGGAAGTCATGGATGGTATTCTCAATTACCCAACGTAAGTTTCTGACCACATGCAATTTGTACTCAACTGATAGCTTGTAGGTACTACCCCCTCCTTGCAGCCTTCAAGTCCACAAGTGGAAGTATGAGTGATCTCTACAACATGATCAACACTGTGAAATCCACGTGCAAGGACTCGACTCTTATGGGATCGTTCATCGAGAACCACGACAACCCTCGGTTTGCTTCGTATACCGAGGACATTTTCCTCGCCAAGAATGTCGCCGCATTCAAAATCATGGCGGACGGCATACCGATCATCTACGCCGGCCAAGAACAGCATTACAACGGGGGTAGCGACCCCTACAACCGTGAAGCTACCTGGCTTTCTGGTTACAACGAAAATAGCAAGCTATACAGGCTCATTGCCAAGGCAAATGCCATACGCTCGTGGGCCATTTTCAAGGACATCAACTATGTTACTTACAAGGTAAGCCTTCAGCCTTCCCGGTTTCTGAGTGCTCGATTTAATCGAATTTCAAAAGAATTACCCAGTCTACAAAGACCAACATACCCTTGCCATGCGCAAGGGTTACACTGGAAAACAGACCATCACTGTTCTCTCCCACTTGGGTGAGAACGTAAGCGAGTATACGCTTTCGCTGCCGAACACCGGATACGAGGCTGGTATGGAGTTGACGGAGATCTTCACTTGCAAGACCATGACTGTGGATCAGAGTGGCAATGTGCCTGTTCCCATGGCTTTTGGACGGCCGAGAGATTTGTATCCCACCTCGTTGCTCCAGGGATCATTGGTCGGATGTTAGGTTGTCTAATTTCCTAGCTGAACAGTAAGTCTTGAGACCTGGAATTGAAACTCAGGGATTGGCTTAATCCGGTCTCTGGGCTATTTGATTCTGGATCAGTAAGCTTCATGTATTACGATGAAGGTTATGATATTGATTAATGTTTTGTATACTTTGATTGTATTGCATTACTGAGATTGAGAATGACTACAACAGACGCCTCTCAGGGTAACTAGTAACTGCCTATCATGCTTTGTTGACTAGCAAGACTGAAAGATGTAGCAATGTGTTTAGTGGGGCACCTTACTACCTCGGTATTCAGGAATGAGCCCATCTGTGAATGTCGTAGCCGAAGACTGAAAACTGGCCTACCCCGACTCGAAACGGCAGACGAGGAACGTTTCAAACGATTTAACCCAGCGAACCATTTTATTCAAACAAAGTGGAAAATCCCTCCAGCCGGTGAGAGCTCAAGACGTCATGAGAAGCACCAAAATCTCTCCTAGGACAAACACGCATCGAGCCGATTAGTGGCGGCCCACGATCTCGCTGGGTTACGGGTAATGATCTGGTCGCAATTGCCGGATGAGGGAACCCGATGGATTCAGCCTTAGTCACAGTTGCCGAGGTTCAATGTCTACTGCACTCGCTCCGCATAAGCCTAAAGCAGGCCATTTCTTATTCACATTAAGAACGGAGGGCTTAGAGATGGAGTTGGCCCTGCATCTTGTTCTCACAAGGGACTGGTCGATGTCAAAAATATCAATTAGGACCTCGGCCCGGACCGAAAACTCAGACAAATAAAACTGATGAGTTTCTCTGACTTTTTCATTTGAACTCACAGCGTTCCTTATTCAGATCTCTCAATTACTATAACATGCTCGATATCGGCAGTTGCGGTCGCTGTGAAGCGACCTTATCACAACCTGTCAGCTTCACGCGTTTATTTTACCGGAGAAGTCTCCGCTTCTTTGTTAAAGACAAATATCCTGTCTTTTGTGCACATACACCTCAAACTTCAGTTCGCAGATCTCCTGTCTCAATTCTCTGATCTTGATGACAATCCGCTTCTCCTTCCCTGATCAAGAGCCTAAGTCACAAAAAATGATGACGATCCCCATAGACGTAAGTGGCAACCGTATCGCCAACATCGCGATCAACGCGCAGAATAGATGCCTAAGCGCAAGACCCAAGCACCCAAAGTTCGATTTTACTGTCCCGCAGAATACCAAGGTTATTAAACATTTGCATCTTAAAATTAAACCAAGAATGCTCATATCGACTTCCATCATTAGCCGTTTACCATTAACCGTTCCCAAGAACCTGGATTGCTCAAAGTTCAAATCAAAGCGTCTCCTCAAAAGTCATGAATCATCCTTGGTACCAAGGCCACAGGCATCGACCCACCAGTGGGATGCGTAGGCGGCTGAAACATATTCTGAGTTTGGTACGTCGGCTGCGGTGGGACATACTCAGTCGGCATAAGGTGATCAAAGCACGCATATCCCTCCACAAGAGTCTCCATGGAGCCCGCAGGTATTAGCGTCGACAGATCGATGTTCGCTGTGCGTGGCGCAGCGAAGAGATTACTCTTCATGACATCTGCGGCAGGGGAAGTCGGGTCCGAAGCTTCTCCATAGCGGCGCTGGACTTCGCTGACGACGTAGGCGATCCGATATGCAATGTGATCGCTGTTCGGAGCGAGATGCAGAAGGAATGAACGCACTTGATCAATTAATGGGTCGGAGGGATTGTAGTCGCATAGTGTCAATGCAGCGTAGCCGAGGATGTAGTATACATTATCTATTAATCCCGGCGCGGCAGAGAAGCGGGTCTGCAGGGAGCGAGAGATGATCAGACGCGCGTTGCTGCATATCTCGGGCGCTAGGCGGTCGGATTCCGGTTGGAGGCGGGTTGCTGTGCGATGAAGGAGAAGTTGACTGAACCAGAGGCTTAGTTCGAGTGTTGATGAACCTTCATTATCTGTTTCCTTGTTTAGATGGCTGCACTCGTAGGAAGCTGAGAGAGGGCCCTTACTGAGAAGATGTGCCCATTCCATCTTCCAACGCTCGATTTCCTCATATTCAGGCTCGACAAACCGGAGCCGATGGGGGTTATTTTGGAGCTTCATTGCAATGCGGTAGAGTTGAATTTCTGCAAGGATTCTTCCATCTTCGGAAGTGGCTCTGGGATGATCTAAAATTCGGGTGCAGAGGTCGAGGTATTGCGGCTGCACGTTGATCGAGCGACCGTAGCCGAGAGCAGAACTGAGATACGTTAGCGGAGCCCATTATAAGCTTGGGGTAGACATGCTGTAAATGTGTAAGACAGAATGTGTTCCAGATTCGTAGCTGAGACAGAGTCTCGTCGCTCAAAATGCTTTTATCAAATGGTTGGTTGAGAAAAGTGAATGATAGTAGGGCGTGGTTTATTGAGATCCCGCTCAACAACCAGCCATCCATAAATCCCTCCTTGTGGCTGGATGTAGGATATAGACAAAGAAGGGCCAACGCCTGGAGGGAGTCATTAGACAAGGGTGTTTTGCGCCACAAAGCTTTGGTCACGGCATGTTGCACTTGAAGTGAGATCTCATGCACGGTATTTGAAGGCATGCCTGGCAAATACCGAGAAGCTAACAAGCAGGCAGTGTTGAAGAGGAGCGTATCTGTCCGCTGGATGCCGGATGAAAGATCTATTGAAACCCAAGGGCCGAAATATTCCACAAAGCTGCAGGTATCATTAGTCAATGTCATTGGCCCCAAGGCTGAGTGGATGCGCACAGTTCAATAAGCTTCAAGGACAATTTAGCATCTATAATTCCCTGGGAAACAATGTCGCCCAGGAGATCGACATCAGTTGGATAATTATCACGCCCGTTGAAACACTCCATCTGCAGATCTCGAATGAGTTGGACCGGTTTGAGCGAAAATGAGGGCACCTGGCCATGTTCGCTTGACGAGTCGTCCAAACTCCTGGCTACATGCGAGTTGGGGCTGCCCGAAGCATTAGATGACTGATTAGCCATCTGCCGCATCAAGTTTATCATCTCGCCCATGCCGCGTTCCAGCGAGACCAGTCGCTCCTCGATCGAGGGAATGGCGGCATTAGCCTCAGACCATGTCGACACGTTGTCCTGGAAGAAGCGATCTTGAGTTTCCGGCAGTTCGCACTCGAGTCTGCCAGATAAGTCAGCGTCACGCACAGCTGATGATGAACCTAGCCCCAAATTTCTCAGATTTGGGCTCATCGGCGCCTTCCGGGTAAAAATAGAAGGGAAGCACACGACTTCCTGAGTCTCCGGAAGGGTCGACAATTAAAGGTAGTACCAACCTGAGTGAAAGGCAGCGACGACAAGCATGGCCACGGGGATCCAGGTCGCACCGGGTCTTCAGCTTACGACATGTATTGCAGGCAGTCATAGACCGGCGAATTCGCCCTCTAGGCCGGTTATCCTGGCCGACCGATTCGATTCGGTTGCCATCATCGGTGGCAGCAATACTCTTTGTCTCCCAGGACATGTTGCTATGGGCAGGCTCAGTGCGCGTCATGACGGATGAAAATAGGATTTATAATAAGGTAATCATTCATTCGGAGAGCCCGAGAAGTGAATAGGGGGGGGGAGAGGAAATGGCTGAGGAGTAAATAGAAAGAAGCAAGAAGGGGAGATCAACGGATGGACCCTTTTTTAGCCAAGTTTCAGATTCACGGAGATCCTTGAGGCCTAGGTGGAGAGAGCAAGGCTTATAACAGATAGGAAGAGCAAGACCTCATAGCCAATTGCGACAAGCCGCTGGTTGGTGATGATATCGTCTCCGCCAGCGTGCGCAGGTACGTGATCCACTTGTAGCGGACCTGGGGTAATCACAAGGCATCCACCAATCCCGCCATGGCCCAACAGGCTTCTAGAAAAAGTAGCGATGACCGTGCCTTGCTGCAGACTTCCTGGAGAAGAGAGGGGTCGATAGTGGCGTATTGGTTCCTTCTCCTGACCCCCTGTAGTTAAGCCGATGTGAGCCGTCTAGAAACGATCCGGGAGGGGGAAGTTGGCACCAGTCTTCGGTCTTCGGTAAAATGGGTACATGTCCTTATCGATGGTCTTTCCGTATCCCTCTTATCTACACTCCATTCACACATCATTTGTGTAAGAGATGAGCGGAGACGGGAATCCCCGAACCGTTTTAGACAGCTAGCGCTACTGTCTAGGCAATTGGCCCATCTCCAAGTTTCCAACCCCCCCCCTAATTTCTGCCAGCCTGGAATCATGCGAAGTGGGGTCGATATCATATCATTAGGTGGGTCGTGGATGGGAGCGGAAGTGGAGAGCAGGCCAAAAAGAAACAAGAAGGCTCGGAGATATAGCATAGCATGTGCAATTGGCCCGCAGCAATCTGGTCGGCTTAATGGCCTTGCTTAGGCTAATCAATGATTGGTGCCAGGAGGAGGGTGAAAGCAATGCGACATTGTAACTTTCTAGACCCGGCTAACGCCGGATCTGTACCCGGATATTGCATGGGCCCCTGCTAGCCTTATCCGTTTAGCGACCGAATTCAACATCGAATCGAAGCGTGCTGCCATCACTAGCAACTATTGACGAACTCCTGGAAGAGCACGGTCCAGACACGTTGCCCGAGAGTCTCTTGGCAAGCCCTGGGGGAACTGTGTCCCGCCGCCACCGCCTGGAAATTCGCCGATTCTCCTGCACCTCGGAACAACAGTTAAACACGCATTATCGACCCAAATGAACATTTTTTCGCCCCCCGGGGTCCATCTAGACTCAATCGCGGTGGACCGAAATCAGCTCGCTAGTTAGCTCGAAACACATGCCAACGGCCATCACAAAGTCTTTTTTTTAATCGCGCGGTGCTGAGTGGTTCTGAGTGGTGCTTGCGAGACCAAATAGAACATTCATCCGAGGTTTGCCTCTCAGGTTCTCCACCGCTTGGCTCCACTTAATTCGCCGGGACAATATAATTTGAGCTCCAGACGGTTTAGTGCCTGCCCGTTTCAGAAGTAGCGCGTTGTTAGCTTTCCACCACGGGACCTCGATCGAAGAAGCGGTCAGAATTTCGTGGATTCGCTCGTGGTTGATCAAAACCTTGGTCCCTCAAAGATGGTAAATTCCGGGGTAATTCTCCATCGCGTCGAGGACTAGTGGGCTCGAGTCGTCAGACAGTTGTGACAGCTTCGTGAGAGCCAGATTCAATCTGGGTACCGTGCCCATAGCTGGCAGACCAATCTTCATGCTGGATCTCATCGGCAGCGTCAACGGGGATCAACTGGACCAGAGTGATATTCTACATCCAACTTAGGGAAGTCCGACGCAATATGAGTTTTGCCAAGCTTGTCCCTGAGGTCTTGTGTTGAACTCAAGCAATGTCTAGTGGGAAGTGGCCCGAGGCTTGCGCCGGTGTCGTCTTCGTGCTTCGTATCCAACATAATTGCAATACGCAGACCCCGGCTACGGCCCACTTACGAGAGGTGGACACGAAGCGGAGATATAACCGATATACATTAGTGCAGGGTATTCTGTCACTCTCTCTTGTCAAAGTACGATGGCTGCAAAGGATGGCTGGAACACTTAAGGAAGGCTACAGCTGAGCGCCGAGTGCGCTTATGCAGGCCATCACTTCCGACAGGAGGTCAATATGGCAGGCCAAGCTTCAGGCCTGTCATTCGAGCCAATGATCGCTGAACAACATAGGCACTCTTCCAATCACGGAGCGCCGTGAAAAGGCGTAGCTCCGTGGTTGGATGAGGCTATATGCCCTGTCTACTTATCATTGGCGGATAAGATATTTCCAGTTACTTTTTCTGCTTCCACGAGAGGCCGTCAAGCCATCTACTCCGTGGCTGCAGGGGTGCTCACGTTTAAGATGATTAGATGACGACGTATCGAAATCGTCTTCGCAGCCCAGTTCCTGTTTAGCCACTGATGGAGCTTTGGATGCAGATAAGGAATGCTGCGCCTAGGCAATGACAGGCGGGCTAACCCGTCCACCATCGGGGATGTATGTCTCAAAGATAAGAACTCTCGGCGTTTGAACAAGATCATTCAAATGCCTCGTTTTGGGGCTTCAATTAGCTGTTAGTGGGGGGAAAGGCGCTTTCGCATGTGATAGCTTGAAGCTCTGCTCTCGATCTCTCTCATGGAAAAATACATTCCGGCAAAAATAGGCGATCACAGCTAAGCGCCCGGGAGCTCAACGTGAGGAACGAAATTGAAGCGCCGTCTCACGTCATTGATCATCAGGCTGCCCGATCTGCAAGACATGAGTTGCGTACTTCCATTGCGACTGAGGTACGATCGATCATACGATCATGCCCGGGTAGAGGCCCTGTGAGCCATGAATCTTCTAGCGGTCAATTTCCCTTTGGCTGAAGCTAAGCATATCACGTCTTTCCCTCCGTGATACTCAACGGTTAAGAAAAATGGCAGCCTTGCACTAATAAGTCGCACTACCAAAGACCCTTTTCTTGGCTGGCCCACTTATGCCTATCTTGACTTGGCGGGACTAGGCAAGCTTCACCTAAAAATGAAACCGACCACAAAGTCAAAAACATATAAAGTGGTGACCATATTCCCCACTCGAGTGTTGAGAGTTTATGAGGCTTGGAAGTCTTCCGTGGAGATGATGGCCATTACCTGGTCAATTAAGAAATTCAATGCTGGTGGAGAAAATCGGGCAAAACCTATCGGGACCGGCCGCCGAAATGAAAGTACCTCCGCAACATTCTGTTTCGGGCAAGGCTACCGGAAAGGATTACCGTAAATCCCTTATGCTAATCTGAGTTAGACAGTAGACATTTATCTCATATCAGAGAAGAATACTAAGACAAGCATACTTGAATAAATTACACACAACCCAGGAGTTATGACAACACCTGCTCCTTGATTATATTCCACGGCTATATCACCGTAGGTCATCCTCACTTGCCGTCTATCAGGTTCAAGTAATCCACTGTAATTCATCGAGTGTTACAAATGTGGATTCCTTTCCGTGAAATACCTGGAACATGTGCTCTCGAAAAAGCTTCAGGTATCGCTAATTGCTTATAGCATGTAATGAGTAGTTCGCCCATCTATCGAATATCTGCACTCCTGCACTTCTGCTGGCGGACTGTCCCGTAGATCTTGTAAATGTCAAGCATAATTTTCTGCTTTTTCCATGCCATACTTCTTTTGCTAGATCATTGAGTCGGGACTCCAAGTATACACAGATGAAATCTACCGACGACTCTGTCAAAGAAATTAAAAGTGTCTGACAAATTCATACCCAAGTTTAGCTGTCAGAAAGGCTAAATCTCTACAACCATCCCATACGTGACGTTCTTGCTCTAAAAGTAGATCTCTCTGTTGCTATTATCAATGAGAAGAATCATAATCTGCGGATATTCTTATGTGTGCTTGAGATTTATGTGGTGTACAACATAAGTGACTTCTGCAGTTTCAGCCCAGAATTCAAGCCTTTCACCTTGAAATGTTACGTGGAACCATACAAAAACGGTATACCGTGTGAATGAGTGATTCGTATTCGCCAGACAGGGGTATGGAGAAAGTGAAACAACACAATACACAGAAATACTAACCATTGGAGAATTTCCGTCTTTCTGACATGGTCGTCATCCTCGAATTGATGTTCTCCTTTGAACTTCAGTAGATTCAAGCCATCCACAGAACCGGTCTGAAATAGGGACTGAGTAGAATTGCGTCAGTTTCCAGATCATCCAGCGGAAAACGGAAGAGGCCCTGGCGCCACTCTACTAGTCGCTGCAGCATCTGAAGCAATTTGATTGACTTGCAGTAGGGCTACTGCGGGAACTTGTCGATCAATGCTCCTGCCGCGCTTCGCGACCGTTTACAGAGCCTACGATTGCCGTAAATTCACGGTCGAGTCGATGCCGAAGCACAACCCGACGCAGTACCGACGGTGAATACGCCACTCTCCCAAAAAGGCCTTTTTGAAACATGATCAGCTACCTTCTTGCATACCCTTGACATTCAAGGTCTGTCTATGAAGATATTTTACAGCTATGAGCCTATTGAGCCCGGAAGGCTCCGTAGCCGATTATTCTAGCACCTTGAGGATATATAGCACAATACTTTCTGAAAGTTGAAAGCGCATGTGATTCGAGAGCAACTCACTTGTCTCCTCATCTATTCCTTCATTTAAGGCGGTGACTAGACATCGGGCTACATCATTTATTACCCACCAGGAAACACTACTTCTACTTTTGCATGATCCAGCGAGAGCCCCTTTGATGCGAGCATACGGTGGCATTTGAGGTACAATTGTAAAACCACCTACCCCTCAGACACACGCGCCTTGTTTCTGGGCCCTACATCACGCTGCTTCATTTTGTCGGATCGAATTGTCCATTTCTAAGTCTTGATTCCCGTAAAAGTTTTTCATGTACAACACAGCATTTCAAAGTACAGTCTTGAATCTCTACTTCTTTGCCCCTCCTTGGGTGACATCTCTGCGGATGAGCCAGACCTGTCCTCAGTGGAGATAGCTATCTTTCTATCTGATGAAAGTCAAGTACTCGCCACCACCTCCAGCCTGAGGATCGCTCGTGCATCTTCATGCTGATTCAGACCATCGACAGAGTACTAAAGGGTGAAGTCTCCGCTTTCTCTAATGAATTTTCATGACTTCCGCTGTACGCGTTTCTCTACACTATCAATTCCCAAATCTCAAGATCTCTCTTATTCCCCTATTGTTTTTGATATCACCAATCGACTTTTATGAAAAGGGCTGCTAGCTGATCCGAACTTTAGTCTCCTCTTCCAGACTCTGACGCTATATGTTATCTAAATGTTTCTGCGCGGTGGCCATGTTGAGAGGTAGCTCATCCAACCTCATCTTTATCTCCGCTTCTTATGCCTGTCTTCAAGAGTTCTCCCTTTACCAAGCCGAGTGTGTCGGGTACTCAGCAGTCTCAGTTGTCCGTCACCACGTGGAAAAATCTGGCTCTCCAACCCAGACATCCTCGTGTGGTGTGACCCCCCTTGTTCATACACAGCTAGTGCTCATGTTTCGATGTATCTTTGCAACGATATTACCAGATTCTCTCATTCAGACTTACGGTGAAGATGAGAGCTCATCTTTAAGGGCTCCTCTGATGTGCGCTTGTCGTCGGCCATGATGTAGATAACGTCTGACTCGCTACTTAGGGCTCCATTTGTATACTATCGGTGCTCAACGCGTAAGGGGATCTCTAAAGCTATGGGATCACATCTCCTAACATCGGTTTGTTCTATAAAGTCGATTGCTCCCCTTCGCATAAAGTAAGGGTTCGTTGCAAAAAAAAAATGACGTCACGACTGATCTTGTGGCAGGCTTCCCTCGCGACCTTGGTGCACTATTTCGTCAGATGATGGCCCTACATGATTTAGTGAAAGTGGTAGTGGAGGCTAGATCGGTAATGCGATCGCTTGTGTAACTAGGCATGATTCCGACATTTTAGACCATCATTTCGGGATTCTGACTCGGCTTGTCGCAAGGGCTCGGGTTCGGCCCCGCGACAACCTGCCTGTGTTGTGGTTTAGATGCCGAGATTAGCTAGCAAGTCTGCGTACACTGATTATGATTTTGAATTGAAATGCCGTCAATGCCGAGCCAACGTGGCAAATTTCAAGGTCAGTAGGAGCAGGTTTCTCGCGGCGACGGTAGTAGGCCACGGAAGACAAAGGCTGATTGATAAGAGAAAAGTGGTGAAATTTTCTATAGTTCGTTTAAATGCTTTTCCGGGTTGACGGCTTGATCGTTATCGCTCGGGTGGGATGACGATTATCTGACCCGTATATTTCCGGAGTTGGCGATATCTATGCCCTACTGGGGCCTCATACGATATACATACTAGCATTGTACAACAGGGGTGAATCACCGGATAAATTATAGCCATCAAAAAGTTCGCCAGATGTTCCATGGGCGTATTCAATGTGTACTACGTCAATCAGATTCCCAACGGCTGAAACTTGATCTGGTCTATTCCATGTGTATATAGATTGCGCTTGGTAAAACGAAAATATCAATTGCAACAGCTTGAGCTGAATTGGAGACTTGAGAAATTCCTTCACATTGGTTTACAACATCACCGAAAAAGAGACCCAGGCTAACACCTGGAACCACATCAATGGCACAGAGGCGGACAAGTTCGATCGCTTCTGGGTCTCGGAACTATACAAGGGCTGGCCGGTCTATCGCGATCCTTCTGAATGGAACCATTATCGTGATCTCTTCGTGAAGGAGGGAGCATTTGTGTTCACAAGTAAGTAGTGTTCAGAAGCCTAATACATATGACAAATAAGCTAACGTGGTGGTACTGTAATCCAGCATAGAGCGGCGGACTCACCATCGACGTTTTCATCACTGCCTCAATCAAGGGACGGGCGAACGGCGACTTCATCATGCACCGAGAGAATGGGACACTTGTCGATCTCAACCCAGCCACTGGTCGGGCTGTCGGTAAAATGAAGGCAACCATCACACAACGGTTCAACTGGGACGGAGTAGAATTCGACGTGGAGTGCGATTGCCACTTCATCAACTTCTGCATCAAAGAAGGGGGCGACTGGAAGGTGGTTTATATCAAAATTATTCCACGAGAAGGACCGCCTTCCCCCGTTGACGGCAAAACTGTGCCCAATTTCGACCCCGAAGAAATGAAGGAATATACTCCGGGATACCAATATCTCTCGGTCGCACAGGCACATCTGGGTCATCCAATCCTCAACGATTTGCCAACCATGAACAACGCATCATTTTACTAGTTGTATGAGGCAATGGATGCCTGGTTGGAGGCACGTCCAGCAGGTGACTTGTTGGAGATTCCGAAGGATGCATCACCGCGCTACTGAGAAAGTCACTGGTTCTTTGATGAATTGAATCAAATGTGTCATCTACTTTGTTTCTCGTCCAAACTGGCATTTGATATTGTATATATAGCAGAGTCGATAGCGCCCTGTCTCAAATTTGAATGGCTCTCTCTCAAGAATCATCAAATTTGTCTAATCCAGGAACAACCCATCTCGCCATTTCAATCTTTTCTCACAAAGTCCTTTCGAGCAATATCATTGTTCAGTGTTGTCGCTGCAGGCGCTATTTTGGCAGTCATCTAACTCCTTCGTACAATTTTTCGAGATATTTGATGAAAACCCGCCCTAGTCTCAATAAGATCGACTTCGTAGTACGGCGAAGCTGAGTAGGTAAATCTTGCTGATATTCTCTTGACTGTTGGTGGACATGTCTGCCGAAGCCTGATATTCCACACAAAGGGATAGTTTCAAAAAGCATTCCATGATTATGCTCCATGATCATCTGGGCAAGTATTTGATTGTTTGGTGGGTATTATTTTGTATAGAATAAAGTAGGCTAAAATGGAGGCTATCGGGTTATGGTGAGACAGCTGTTGATCATGCGGGCCCTCGGGAAGGCTGAAGAGGACGGTTTATCATTGAGAACAGGATACATCTTATGAACGGCTTAGTTCCAAGAGTCTAAATGATTTGAAAGTGGCCTCAATTCCTTAGAACGAGATGTTCAGCTCGATACAAGCCCTTTCTTGTCAGATTCCGGTGATATCTGCTAAGATGATGATATGAGTGCCAGGTGAACAGCTCTGTGTACTGCTGGTTTCAATGAGTCTGGCATTGAAATTTCAAAGCTTCGTTTATATACGTACAAATTGGCTGGTGTCTATGCATGCGTCCTCAACAAGGCAGGTCTGGAGACCAGATCTGTATAACCTTCCACTAAACATTATTACAAATTTGATTACTCGCACCTATTGTCTTATACTGGACCCTGTCGCTTTTCAATTATCAATTTCCACCCCACACCGAATCTCATACCTCTCTTACCCTCCAAATGAGCTCTTATGTCATCAAAATAGACCAGATGCGGTTGCCAGGCTCCTTTTCTCTACTCAGTAAGAGGTAATAGAGGTTGAAAAGCTCATTTTCGCCGAATGATTCATGCTTCTAGCCTTTTCTATTGGATACCAATAATGCTGTAAAGCTTCCATTCTCGTTCAAAAGCCACGGGCTTGAAATATAATGCACACCGTGTTAACCCACCTAGAAATGAATTTTCATTTCGGTCTAAAACAGAAGTTACGAGTCCAGCTCGAATTCTGCTGCTGTAAAATCATGGCAAATGAGGGTGGATTTTCGAATCACTCGATATGATGCTGTCATCAGGATGATGCACTACTGCTACAGTCAAAGCGCTACAAAGGGAGAAGGCGCCGCGTATAATGGGTCGACTTTGTTTTGACAAATTATCGCGCTGCCTTTTGTGAAACTTTAATTGGGCCTTTGGTCTCCAGATGTTGAAGACAACCTCGTATCTGCTCAGACGTCCGTGTGGCCGTCTTCTGTCAGCGAGTCTTGTGACCTCTCAATTGCCACAACATTACCTAGACAAGATAGCAATGACATCGACAGAATCTTTGCGTAATTGTGTTATAGAGTAGAAGGCGCCCTATTAGGGTGATGGAGTGAAGTGCAGTGAAAGGTGAGTATAAAATCTTTGTCACTATGTCCCTGGCAGAAACCTCCATCGGACTTATCGTCAAACGTGTCATTGAGCTGTTTGAGATCCGTGCGATGCGTTACTGGTTGATGCTGTGATTCAGTACTCGATAATATGATGCCCGAGCCGACTAGGCCCAATCTTTCTGGTGACATAAAGTAGTGCCCAATCAGGCACTAAATACGCGGGGATATCCTCAGGAAGCGCCAAAGTCAATGAAGCGAACCAAATTAATTTGGAACATATCAAACCCCTCATAATCCCTGACGTATTGCACCTGGAACTCTAGACGCCGCATCCTCGCCACCCATCCAGATTGGGATACCTCCGCGCTGCATCATTCCCACGGAGCCGACAGAAAGCAAGACTAGATCAATGTAAATGAACTCCAAAATTAAACAACAAGCGATTTTAGGCAGATATTCCAGAAGAAAGACACAAGCTCAAGCGAATCCCCATCTCACGCACCAGCATTGGCTAGACTAGAGCACACTATTGAATGGACTACGCTGGAACGGTGGGCCCTAGTCGATCCTCCCAACATCCCAGAAAAAAAAAAACCCTCACCCCCCCACTCTGTAATCAATAGTCTGCAATTGATACCTGACAGAAGTGTTGCCCGCATAAACAGCACCGAAAGAGTGTTCAGAAAGTAACACCTTGAGAATAGACAGTAAAATGGAACTCAGATACCGAGAACAATAGGATTCAACGTTCTCCACGTTACACTATCGCCATGGGCGCCCCCCCCGAAAAAGGAATAGCCGCCCAGCACCGAAGGACGAACCCTTCGACACGTCAAATCAGTCGACATCCTTACTCCGAACAAATCATATGCAGCCCGCTAACGCACGCTAATTGGCTTGGTCGATCTCACCGACGAACACCTCGCGAACTCGATCTGCAGCGCGATCGTCATAGCGCGATCCTGACATGAAATAGCTCACATTCTTTGCCCAAGTTGACAGCTCGCATGCAGGTCTAAGCTCCCCGTCGAGCTGTGGGAGCCGGACATCGTGCACTAGAAAGTTATGGAGGAAATGGTGATGGTGATTTTTTCACCGCTATATGATGGATCCCTACTGCAAGGCTGCTGCATGTGCAGGGGTGGAGGTGTACCTCCGGTGGCTGTGGTTCGTCTAAGTCGAGATACTTCTTCCTAGCTGCGTTCCCGGACGAAGAGTGATCCAGGCTTGCATAACCGTGTCTGCTCCCCAATACGTGCATGTGGTATCTCTTTTTTTAGTATACTTTTTTTTCTTTTGTGGGGAGGCTGTGCTTCTATTGTTTGAAGTGTTACATTGCATGGTATTTTGCCTGCTCAACATTTGAGGTCCATGGTTACTTGCACTAGGCAACCCCCATCAAGGACTGGACTTTGAAGTTTCAGGATTGTGAAAGGGGGAGTTTGATTTCGGTACTGCAAGTGTTCCCTAATGATCCTCCTCGGCAGTAAAGCCGAACGCCCGTGATAGCCCGATGTCAGTCCGGCTTTGTCCTATTTGGTATTTATTGGGGGCGGGGAGGGGGGGTCTTTTTCTGTCTTTCCCCGGTTGGCTTTCTTTTTTTTTGGCATATCGGAGATAGCCCGGACATGGAAACACTAGAGAAACCTTGGTCAACGCCCAAAAGCGTCGAATTCCAAATCTCGATTATGATGGACCAGCCACAAAGTTCATAGCTCCGGGCGAGCAAGTGTCTCAGAGACGTCTGAAATAAAGGCACAAGGGTGAAGACTTTGCGAGTCTCTGGGTCCGCGTATCATAGCGGTTTCAACTGCCAAGTCCCTCTCCACACTGGATCCTGGTCTCGCATGAGATCTACAAAGCTCCCGAGGATTCTCCTTGTGGACCAGGATCTTGAAAACTTGCTCGCGGAGGAATTCACGTGGCAGCCCTGGACCGGGGCGCAAATTTACGGAGCCCGAGACACGCCCGTCTGAACCTTATCCCAGTGCCCCGTTTGAGATGTCAAACACCAACCCACCACACGTTTCTCTATTTTCTAGTGAGCCAGATAGAAGGTCAATCTACTGGAGATGAAGAAGCAAGGGAAAGGATCCGACAATATCCTAGAGTCACGGTAGTCCGTCTTATGGGAAAGAACAATCTCATCTCATCTCGTTTCGGTGGACGATATCTAACCGCGCGAACGAAAACCAGACTTTAAGCGCTGTCAAAAGGGGCAGTCACCCCGATTCGGACTCGGGTTCCGACGTCATGAGAGTGGAGAGGGCAGAACAAGACGAGCAAATCGAGCTGATCTCGATCGCCATTTGGAAAAAAAAACACCCCCCAGTGGACTTGGCAGGTGGGACATGTGGGAAAAAGTGGACAAGGTTGGGATGGGCGATCCATGGTCTGCCAAATTTGGGCTAAGCCAGTATTTGCGATTCGGCAAGTGTCACGGAACACGCGCTTCGCTGCGCCTCTGAGTGGCTCTGATCAGCGCGCAAGTGTTTTCCGACTACCCTTGTGTGTCAGGTTCAGGTTCAGGTCCAAATCCAAGTGTCCAAGGTTCAGGTTGGAACAAGGTCGTTTATGGGTCCGGTTCAGCTGTGACGTTTATGGAAAAGGCAGGACTGTTCAGCTGAAAGAGTATCTTCCAAGTCAGACTAGGGGTTTAAATATCGACAGGATTGGCTCAGAATTGTGGCCCACCGTATCGCCATTGTAAGGCATGATCCACGTTTCCCGCCATGCAGGCAATAAGTTACGGGATCGTCACTGCTGCGGTGGATATTGATGTGCATCTTGAATCTGGTTCTATGTTTCTCATTACCTACAGAGATTTGTATTGTAGCCGATTCATCCGACGTGCATCAATCTTGAATCTGCGCTTTTCATTAAAGGCCGAACTGAACGCCAGACTGTATATGCTGTTCGAGAGGGCGCCATGCGACTCGATATAGAGTAACATGAGTATAAAACAGTGAATGCCATGCAGGAAGGTTGTAATGCAATAAGTGATTTTCTCCAAAGACCCCTTGTTTCCCGGTACATCCCGCTTGGTAACATCCAATGTGTGTAAAGGGTATCAAAAATGATATCTCGCGGCACTTGACTCTGTCGAGTACCCTGTAATAAGAAAAAAGCAAATGATGACAAAAATGCGGCGATCTCATAGTGTCAAAGAGGATGAAGAAAGAGAGAATAAGACAATAATCCAAATGCCAGTTTATCCCCTGTTCCGCATACCCAACTCCGTGAACTCGTGAAGATAGAATTAAGAAAAACAAGAGAGAAAACTCCCGGTCGTAAAAGCGCATGAACGCTGTCGATGCCATGGGACCATTTGAAACGGAGAGAAAATTAAAGGCCGTGCTTGCAGGTGAAGAAAGCTGAAACCGACGCCCAGCTCCACTGCCGTCAAGGCATTTGGGAGGGAGGAGGGGGGCGATTGTTTGGGGCCAGACGTCGCAGGAAGAAAAAAAAAAAAAAAAAATAAGAAACCAAGACGCTCAGAGCATGTTTAATGATGAGGCGAAGGAATTTCCGATCCCTGATCGATGTCGCTGAATGGAGAATGACGTGACGAGTCCCCGTCGCCACCAGTGCGCATTTGGTTGCGCAAGGCTGGTAGTTGTCGCCGCCTCGCATTAATGAACCAATTGCTAATCTATTGTTGGGTGTGAGCTCGCCATTCCAAACACTTGAGGCTTCGTGTTCTTACCTGGCTAATCGACAGACCTGTCCGTGTCATGAACATCTGCTTGTCTTCTTCACTGGGGTATGGGTGGTCCAGGTGCTCGTGGAACCAGGCACGTAGGATATCGGTGACCGGTTTCGGCAGGTTGCCACGGCGGCGTTTTGTCTTGGGGTCGATTGTTTCGCCCATAATTCCAAAATTGGCTTGCGGGTGGGCCATCACATTGGGGGAGCCTTGTTCAGGGTCGCTGGGATAGGCCATAGACGGATGCACATAGGGTGCGGGTGGTTGGCCATGCATCATGGGTGAGTACTCTGCATTCATTCGGTCTGGAATATGTCCTGGGCTGGGTTGCCCGCGATAGTCGTGTGTGAAGGGATCGGATCTTGGAGCCATACGGCTGTCTGGATATCCTTTGCGCTCGGGCATCGAGTGTAGGTCCCGGATGGGTGGTAAAATAGGACTAGGTCCCCGCATAGACGTAGGCTCGCCCATCGGACGTTCGGTACGGGTGGTATATTCGCGGTGGTCGTCGTAGGGCATCTTGGATGGGGCGTTTGTTGGATAACCTGGGATGGATTGGGGATCGGCCATCTCATGCCTTGATGAAGGGCGGTCTTGTGACTGGCGCGGGGTGTGATATGAGGAGGAATCAATTTCATCGTGAAGGTGGGGAGGGAGAAGCTGAACTTCTAGTAAGTCAAGTAATTGAGACTCTTCTTGCTTATTGTCTTACCTCGCGGAATGATGGAAGTGTTGGCGGGTGACCGGCCGACGCCCTGCTTGCATAGGAAATGGCCATGTCGGTATCTTCGTCCGTCTCCCGGGACTGGGACATATGACGAGATTTTTATGGAAAAGACCGAGAAGTGTAGAAGGTTCAACGTGTGACAGATCTCAAGTATACAGGTCGTGTTCGACAATCGCGGGTGGATGCAGATAGACCTAAAAGGGATCTCTGATCGATAATCAGCCCACCCGAAAGCTAGATGGGAAATTGGAAAGAAGGGGGCAATGATAGGAAAAAAGGGACGTAAATGGCAGAGGGACAGGATAGGAACTGACCTGGGAAACGGGGCTGACTTTACGTTGACATCGCCGGCCAAGATTATGCAAGGTTGGGGAATGAGCGTGCTTTTTGGGTCTCCAAATCATGCGCAGGGCCGCTGTACATTTTAATAAAAAAAAAATTAAATTAAATAAATCAAAAAAAAGACGAGGCACCCGGCTGTTACATGTCCATGGTAAAGTAGGAACAGGGGGGGGTGGGGAAGAGTGGCTCAGAAAAATGACGATCGTGGGCGCAAGTGGGTACAGGGAGCCACAAACTACGGAGCACCAGCACTCCGTGTCCTCAAGGCATGCAGAGCGGGGATGCAAACCAAAAACACTATGGAGCATCCTTAAGGTTGACCTTGACAGATAGCGCCAAGGAACCCTCTCTGGTTCCTGTCATCCTGGCATAGTCCGTCGTGCTAGCGCCAGGATCTATCAGGTGGGCCTTCATGAACTCCTCCACCCCCGGGCTCGCGCTATTTGAATTAATTTTTTTGGGAATCTTGTTATTTGATGTGCCTTTTGGGCCAGAGTTTGACTTAATTTTCATTATTCTTTCCTTTTCATTGAATTTTGGATCTCGGATTTGGGACTTGGGTTTTCTTTTAAATCTTTCCCTTTTTTTCTTTTTTTTTTTTCTGTTGTTTCCGGTTTGCTTTCTACCCATGCGGGATCCAAGGATCACATTGGCCAGGGCTCTAGAGTTGACTTCAGCCGCAGGATCAGATTGTGATTTCAGAAATGATCCGCCGGTTACATGGGGGCGATCTGACCTAGGAAAATGGGCGCGGTCCAGAATTCGGATGTAATATGTGCAAAGAAAAAGAATGAGAAAAAGAACCAGATGATTCGATGTCGCTGCATACCGATACAGTTTGGGGAAAGAAGGTAGGGTAGGCTAGGGTATGCTGGCAGCAACTGCCGCGGACATGAAGGGGGGAGGGGAAAGTGGAGAGTAGAAAGGTGGGCGACATTCTGCCATTCACCATGGACCTGAGTCAGGCTGAAGTTAATCAAATCATGTACTAGGGAGGGTCAATTTTGATGAATGTCCCGGGCGAAAAGAAGCTAATACGAAAAAAATCAAAATAAACCAAAATTCAAAAGAACACAACATATGATGCGGATCGACCAGAAAAAGAGGCCATTCACATTTCAGAGGGAAAAGATCATCGAGGTTGGGCCCAAAGTATCCACATCCCAGCTGGTGTCAGAAGCGTCTGAGAAGAGTATGACTGGCTACCAGGTAGATCGCGGTCCCGAGGAGCTTAACCCGAACTACGAATTAGCACCTCGGGCTCGATCCTGATCGGTGGAGATCGATCAGGAAAGACTCGGAGGGGCTGGTGGTATCCATGGTATTGGGCTTGGCGATGCCGCAGGATAGGTCAGTGAGATCGCCTAGGGGTTCTTCATTCATTGCTCCACTTCCTTCCAGATGAATCGTCCCACTGGCACTGTTCTCCGAGCAGTCTCCTGGGTTTCCTCTGAGCTGAGATCAGGGAGGGGAAAAGACTATCTTGCATATGACTTCTCATATCATGTTTAAGGGAAGGGGAGAAGGGGGGAGGAGGGGGGGGAGGGGGGGAGACTTGGAAAATGCGGGAGAGGAGGCTGGGAGAGAAAAGGACTGACGTGGTCAAGAGAGGCCCGGGATTTGATTATCCCTCGATGTGACATACGAGTCGCTCCCACTAACCCTCTAGCGTTGCTTTGCCTCGATCGCTTCGATCTGCCATGCAGCGTGCGGCTTGCGGCTCGCGTATCGTGTACCTCTTCTTTCGTATCCAGTCGCACTACAGGGTGCAACCGGATCAGCTCGCGAGGCTAGGTGGTTACTAATGCTGTTTTGTTCCTAGGCTCTAAGCTGACTCGGCGGACCAAAGGAATTACGGTAATTCATCGCGAGCCTGTCATCGAAGATTGCCCCCAGTGGACCCCGAGCCAGGCCATGACTCCTCCAATCAATCCGTGCAGCAACAATAGGAATACCCACTTGCCCGGCCTGGTATAGGACCGCGAGCCGCCCTGCTCCTACGAGAATACTTGATTTTACGGGTAGAAAGCTGCAGTCGAGTCCCCCCCGTCAAACCTCCCCCAATGTGACACCAATTGAACTCCGGTGCCATGATATCTCGGATGGGTTCCGCACTACATAAGTTGACGCCATCCGACCCGGGGTTTCCAGGACCCAGAGTTTGTTACCCAACACCAGGTTAGAGAGGGTAATCACCCCCGGGCCGCTTGCTGGATGCCACAAAGGCTCCAGGGTCAACATTCAAATGATCCACATCGGAGCCGGACATGCCATGGAATTTGAGTCCTCGTGGAGACTTGGATCTGGATCTGGATCTACCCGGTTCGTCACGTCATTCAAGGGCGATCGGGGTTTGAAGCAGCCGTAGCCCTTGCGGATTGGGTCTAACCAGGCCTCTATTTCCGGAATTTGTCACGTTTATATTTGCTTTTTTTTTTGTGATCTTTGGAATCTATTCTCTTCTCTCGGGGACGATCGAGGCCGACTGCGCAAGCGAGGCAGAAAAAGAAAGCACGGGACGGACTCCACCGCGACCATCCTCTTGCCACCCCCAGGCACGAGAATCGGAGTGACGGGATCGTCCATACCACACAAGATCCGAGATCGTGCATGAAACGGAGTAAGGATGCAGATCATCGGATTTTGCAGGGGTTCTCTCTGATCGGCGGTCCTTCGTCAGGGCCCGAGGAATGAAGGAAACGACTCGGAAATACTCCCACGCATACTACATGCAGGAATTTGGCATGGTGGAACGCAGCTATCCCGGTACTTGGGACTAGGGATGAGATCGGTTTTTTCTAATTCAATTCTTTCTTTCATCTGCTCCGCCACAGACAACTGTGATTCGAGCACCTGCGAAGCCGGCGAAGACGAACCTTATTACTCGGCGACTTGCATGGACTTTTCACGCGAGATCAAAGCACGAGGACTTCATACCGGGGTCAACGGCACAAGAAATAAAGTACAGTAGATTAGTGCCCACGGCCCTTATCGATCGTCTCCTTCTCATTTGCTAGGGGGGTTCTGGGGCCATCTCGATCTTGGATCGGGCTTCGAATCTCAACTGCATCGGTTGCTTCGCGAATATCAATCCAAAAATGTGAGGGGTGGCGTGTTCAGATGCAAGGACGGCTTTTGGCGCCTGCCACCTGTCGCCTGTCATCCCAACCCCCTGGTTCTCGGGCTCCTGACATTCTCGGATTTAGTTACATTCGCTTTCTACATCCATGTAACCCGGTTACTCCGGTCGCCGTGTTTCCTGCTTCCTCCCCATGTGGCCCCGGCCCCGATCTCTCTTTGGGAAATTCAATGTCGACTTCAATATCGCCGACCGCGGGCGTCGTGCCCTACTTCTATGATACCTCTGCGGCCCACCCCTCCCCTCTTCCCCTAGTCATGTGTTATGGGTTGATCGCCGTTCGATCTGCTGTGTGCTCTCGTGGCCAATCAAAGTGCGAGATCGTGTAGTTTTGCCCAACAGAAGTTGACAGGTCACCCGTACCAGGGGCCCGTGTGAAGGGAATGGTTCATGCACGATGCCGGGTTCTTATTTCGCTCCTGGGACGATGCTATCTCCACTTTCACATTTTCACCGCGTTTGTGCACTGTCACAGTCCTCTTTTGACACCGCTTCCTTGTTGATCGCGAGGCTTGATGTGATCATCATGCGGACGCGCCATTTCTGAGGTGTGGACTTGGCGTTGGTGACCTCATCCTGGCTCGGACAATCAATATTTCGGTCGCTAACAGTGCTTGGCGGAATCGTAGCAAATAAAGAGAACTATGGATGTTGATTTTGACCACCGCAGCCGAGGTTACGCGCCGGTCGTCAACGCTAAGCTTGCTTTGCGAATGAATGGCGACTCTGCGGTTTCTGACACATTCTAACTCTGATCAGAAGCATGATGTAGCTAGATAGACAAACAATGGAGAAATTTGTTATGGCAATACTGACTTCGTGATACACCGCATAAGAGCCGAAGTCTTCCGTCCGGATTTCCACGCCTCCTTAATTCGAACCTTTCGAATAGTTCAGGTTTCCAATTATCGATAAAACATTCGCGTGATCCCCACGTTCAGGTCTCCGTAGAGGGAGTGAGTGCTCTGACCACCAATGACTCTACATATCCATCTGGGAGGTAAGGTATTCATACCCGAGAGACCTCCAATGCGATCCAGCAAACCCGATACCCCGCCTTTCGGTTGATCAGTCCTTGGGTTATATCCGCCACCGGGTCGTTCGGTGGGAGGCTTTGATGCCGTTTTGGTTCCCGAAGCAGCCGTGCAAGCCCTGGAAAGGGTGGGAGATCAGGCATAAGCAGGCTACATGTCTTCTCGTATTGACCTCAATCAACATCGTCAGCAGAACTCCCATATCTTTATTGGTTGACTCAAGCACATGAAAATTCTAGTATGTCCTGAGTCTTGACCTGTCATAGTAGACACGTCGCAAGAAGTAGCATAGCAAACTTGTTCACTACTGCGGGAAAGTCCAGTAACTAGAAAGATTGCACATCTCATGCTTCCTCCACTCACCATGTTAGCTGCTTCGATGAATGGTGCATGTGTCGCTACCCGATGTGCTACCGCATGCAGCTGACTTTATTGAATCCCATGCTTCCTTTGGGCATGCTTCATCTCTCTGTATATCAGATCTCGGAAGGTTGAAGGTAGTTAAGGTCTCAATTCAAAGGCAAATGCCCTGTTCACCTCCCAGACGATTGACTTCAAATGACTTTCCAAAGACCTCCCGTAATCTCCTATTTATGCAACTCTTCCCAGCGTGTTTAGGTGCGGAAATCATGGACTGCAATGGCAATACGTTTTATTGAATGGCGTTGTTCCTTTTAGTCTACACTCATTATGACAGATCAATGCAAAACTCCCCCATAAAGCATCACCCTCAAGCCTTTTTGCCCAACTCAGCGGCCCGCTCAGTCGCCGCCGTCACAGCCTTATCAACAATCTCCTTGAAACCCTCCTTCTCAAAAGTCTGCAGCGCCGCATAGGTAGTACCATTGGGACTAGTCACATTCTTGCGCAGCTGACTAGGCTCATCCTCAGACTCAACAAGCATCTTACCCGCACCAAGACAAGTCTGCGTAGCCAAACGCGTAGCCTGGTCCTTTGAAAGACCAAGAGCAGTAGCGCTAGAGACCAGATGCTCAACCATAGCAAAGAAGTAAGCCGGACCGGATCCTAATCCCACAATCAGCCAATTGCTCATCTGTCTCATCGGGTGAAACACTGTATAAAAAAGGAGAACAAGAAAGGACAAGGAAAAAAAAAATTGAAAAAAACTCACCAGACAATCCAGTCACAACATCCAACAACTCCTCCCGGTCAACCCATTCCAAAGCTTTACTGACACTCGCCAAAAGAGCCCCAACAAGCTCCTTCTCCTCACCAGTGACACCCTCCCCAGCAAAAGCACCACTAGCCCCCTCCCCAACAAGCGCCGGCGTATTCGGCATAACACGCACAACATGCGGTGTACGCCCATCCCCAGTCTTCGACCACCCTTGCAGCGACTCCAGCGTAATACCAGCCGCAATACTCACAACAACAGGCAGATCCTTCCTAGAGCTCCAGCTCTTTCCGAGCTCCTCGCACACGCCTGCGCAACCTGCGGCTTGACGGCGATGATCACGATATCCGCCTCGGCGCCTGCAGTCGCGTTGTCGGTGGTGGTTTGGACGCCGATCGCCGCGAGCTTTTCGCGGTTCACGTCCCAGGGCTCGGAAACGATGATGTTGGTCTTTGAGACGCCCTTGGCCGTCAAGCCGCCGATGATGGCGGAGGCCATGTTGCCTCCGCCAATGAAGGAGATTTTGCTTTCTTGGAGGGTAGGCATGGTCGATTGTGTAGTGTGGTGTGATGTGGGTTTGGGTTTCCGTTGGAAGCTTTCAGAAGTTCTCCCCCACCTTTCGATGGTCTTATCGATGTGGGGCACGGAGGTACTGCAAGGACCGATGTCGGCTTGGGGTGGAAATTGGTCTATTCCTGGGACGATTTGGTAAGTTATCAAAGGGAATTGATTCGATTGACCTTTTCACTCCTAGAAAGGGCATATTGATGGCTGCGTGTTTGACTCTTTTTATTCATCACGGTGGATGTCACGTGATATGCCACTCTCGCGCGCACCGGCCCGGGTAACCGGCCTCTGCGTTCTTTGAAGTTCGATTCTGGGGAAAAGTAAATGGGGGGAAATGAGTCACAGAGAAAAGAGGATGTAAATCATCTAGAGGGAGATTCTTCAGCTTCTTGTTGCAATGTGCTGGAACATAGTAAGCATAGATAGATGACATTCTACGAGTTGACTCAAAAATGGAATATCAAATGTTTCAGATGAGGAATCGGATCTGTATCTAAGGTACAATGAACAGGTGAACTCCCCTGATTGTACCAGACAAGCAAATGACAAAGGTCGAAGGACCTTGGGGATTTAGTGGGATGTACCATGAGTGATAACGACGAAGCCCAGAAATAAAAAGACAGATGAAGGACCGCCCCGCTAAAAATACAAGAAAAAAGATAAAAAAGAAAAGCCTGGCAGGTTGGGACCCAGCTGGACGTCATATGCGTGCCCTGAAGCTGATCCTTTATCAACCTGAATGCAGAGCAAAGAAAAGAGTCGCAACGATGTGGATGGTCGAAAGATGGTATGTACAGATCGACGATACTGGCGTGGTCAAAAAGCCTCGTCGAGAAATCATCGAATTAAGGCAGTCGGACTCGGCTTGAAATCGCTAGTGATCGATTACCAAGTCTCAGCGATGTACTGGCCAGCCTCCTTCTTGCGCTTCCAGAACAGCTCAGCTTCTTGAGAGTTCAAGTTACCCTTTGCCATCGCTACCTCGACTAGAGCAGCCTCAACGCCTTCACCCATGCCTTTGCCGCTACCGCAAACAAAGACACGACCATCAAGGGCGTTGATCACATACCAAACCAGATCAGCCTGATGGCGGACCTCCTCCTGGACATAGCGGCTCTCCCCACGACGACTCTGCACAACAGTGCGAACCTTGTCCTCGTGCACACCCCATTCACCGCTGTACAGCTCATCTAGTAGGGAGTCGCGCACGCCTTGAAGCACCCACACCTTGTTGGCACAGTTGGCAGACTGCAGGCGACGCTGAACGAACCCACGGAAGGGAGCAATGCCGACACCGGCGCCGATCAGGAGCATGGGTCCATCAGAGGCAAATCGTGTGGCAAGAGGGTTGGCCATCAGACCGCGGAACATGGGGATGTGGATGTCATGCTTCTCTCCGGCTGCCTCGGCGGCAATTGCGCGCCGAGCGAGCTGCTCAAGGTAGCCAGAGCTGACACCGGTGCGCATACCGCCCTTCCAATCATGAGAGTCGGCGACTGTCACGGCGACTTCAATGAGTCGGCGGCATTCAGTACCCTTAAACTGGCAGGAGATCTGAGGGTCCTGGGAAAGAGAATAGAAGCGGGGCATGAGAGTGTTGAGCACGGAGAGAAGGTGATCCAGAGGAGGCTGAGACGAGGGGAAAGCGTGGAGCAGCTGGGACAGGCTGATGTGGGAATTGGTGCGAAGTTCACAGAAGGCGGCTTGGCCCTGGGCGGACGAGAGGAACTCCAGGATCTTCTTCTCATTCGCCTCGCTGGTGTACTCTGCGAGGAGTCTAAACAGCGACTTACTCGGGGCGTAGCTCTGAATATCTGAGCACCAGGTCAGGACCTCGCGTCGTGTGGTAACCAGCTCGCGGGGCTTATCGTCTCCCCAAATGGTGGGCCAGCGGCCCTTGGTGGTGCGCATGAGGACCCTCTTGTCTCGCAATGACTTGGGCACACCTAATTTATCAAAGATATCTTCGACTTCCTCGGGCTTGTTCATGGGGCACACGCCAATTGCGCCGCCAACGACGAAATCCACCATCCCGCTCTCAGCAGGGTAATCGGTGACATCAATATCGAAGTGATAGGTGCGCTTCTCCGCACCAGTCTTGGTCAATTCACGAGCATGGTGAAGAGGAGCCCGATAAACATCATAAGGCGGATGGGGCTGTACGAATGAGGGGGGATGGTCAGCCGGGCCGAGTTCGACCTTGGCGGTATATGCGGGGTCGGATTTGAATGACACAGTTTTCTCCGGGAGGGGGGGCAATGTTGGAGAGGTCACTATCCAGCGTGAGGAGATCCAAGGTCAGCCCCAGGCTAGCAAATGCCTTGTTGTCGGGAGTGGTGATCGAATTGAAACCCGAGATAGGACCATCTACCGGCCGCAATTTCTGTCCTCGGCAGCATCCGCCACCACAACATGAAGACTGGATCTTCTGTGTACCACCTGTGCCGACATTCTCCAAGACCCTTCTCATGTCCTCCAAATTCTGGGAGATCAAGATAGTCGAGGCTCGGCGGCGACGGCCATTGGTCTCGTCAAGCTCTTTCTCGCTCAGGGATTCGGGAGGTGTGATTGGGGTGGCGGGGGTGGCGGGGGAGTTCGAGCTGTTTGTATCGGAGCTTTCTTGGGACGAGACATTGAAGTTGATGTCTGTCACAGATAGTGACCTCACTCCGCGTGGTTCTTCGGGAATCGGGTTATCGGGGTGGGAGGTGGACGAGACGGGGATCTCTGGGAAGGTACCCTTGCGGAGGCGAGTCCCCGTAGAGGCGATAGTTGCCGACGGCATAGCTGATTCAACTGCGTGAACTGTTCAGGTGAAAAGTGTGAGTTTCGCAGTAGCAGTCTGGGTCAAGCTTTCGACGTACCCATGGGGTGTAGAGGTGAGCCGAGGGCCACTGGAGGGGCTGTCGGTAATGGCCGCCGGAGGAGAAGGGGGAGACGGGGGAGACGGGCGCGGAACGTGATGGTGAAGACTTAGAGCCTCGGGGGCATAGGAGAAGCTGTGAACAGATAACGTATGGTTCTTTGAAGAAGGGTGATCGATTATACGAAGTCGGGACAGGGTCTAGAGGGGAACCGGCAAGTTGGAGTGAAAATTACGGAAGTCGGCTTGTGGAGCGGAACCGCACGCCAGGTTTGGGAAAGGAATTATCTGATTTTGCCACATTCTTCGTCGGGTAAACCTTTTCACTCAACATTCGGGGAGGACTTGCTGACTTGGGGAATCGTATCCATCTTGCCCCCCAGATCGACCGTGCATTTGGGCTCCGTTTGATTTCCATTAGGTATTTTTTTACTTGTCGGTCTTTTCCGTCTTATCAGATCTTGGCTTTCTACCACACCTTGGCTCATGCTACGGATGTAATCGCGGTGAAGCCGCTTCGTAAAGTGGGAGTCACTACCAGGTCTATCTGGTTTGACGAAAAATAGACTGCAATTGCAAGCAATCCTTGTCGGGGACACCTGGTGTTTACAAGCAAAATTATCAAGGACACGAAAAGGAGGTTCCGGAGTGGGCCGACACCGGATAAACTTATCAATCAATCAGATAGCGCATGTCACACCACATCGGGTCCTTTACACTTCCTTATTCGTCCCTGGCGACCCCCTTTCTTAGGGGGTCAACAGGGATGGATCTCATCGGTCCACTTTCCGGCCTGCCGGTTATTGCACCTTTCTCGATTCAGACTCATGTCCTGCCACTCGGGTCGGGCATTTCCGACGGTTGGGGTCCTGGTGGATGAACCGGTACCAATGGTGGGTCGTTCTAGAAACACTATCGATTCCGCTGGCTCGATGGCCTGAGAAGAAACAACCCATGTGCTCGGCCTGCTTTCGCAATGATCGTCAGATCTCAGCTATTGAGCCGGGAGCTCAACTGGGCGCTCAGCCGAGCCAGACATTCTTCCTGAGACTGGAGACCTCGGGCTACGATTCGAACCGGTTGATCAGGGGGGCAAAACTTGAATCAGCCTGTGAAACCTTCCCACCTCAGGCAATGCTCGCTAGTTTGAAACGATTTCCTCGGATCATTCAATCCTGTACTATGGAAGGGCATTCTGTGACGTGCCCCACACTTTTAGTAAGAGCCCCCTTGAGCAAGACTGTCATGTCATGCGAAAGGGGTAATGGGAAGATTTTGCGCTATTCCGAGAGGTTTTGATGAGGCATTCATGCCCGATCTCCGATCACGTTCTCGCCGTATGTCACATTTATCTAACTAAATACAAGCGGAGTACGCCAAGTCAAATTATAATCATAAGAAATTCAAATCCCTGCACAACCCGAGGTCAACCTAAAATGCCACCCCGACCTCTCGCTTGACTAATGCTACAGGCGGAATGAAATGATGCCGCCCTCTAGCCCAATAATAGATCGTTGCCGATCCTATGACGCCAACATACATGGCCACACTCCAGTTCATCGTCTCGCGTGTCACGGGCGTTGACAGGGGAAGAAAGCAAAGACGAAGAGGGGGAGTAGGAAGCATAGCGCTCCGACATTCACCGCCAGGCCGTATCGGCCCAGTGACCAACGGTGAGGTGGGAGAGATTCTCCACGGAGCCGCTTCAAGAGCACGCAGCCAATTGACACAATGTACGCTGACATCAAGGACGTGATTGTCAGAGATATGATGGCATTCAAAGCTACCTGGGATCCGATGTTGATCATTGACAAGAGAACAGTCACTGCCAGCGACACCATCACGGAGTTGAGAGGGATGTTCCATCCCGGTGTTACCTGTTGTTTCGGTCAGCCAGTCTCTCTGTAAAGCGTCGAAAATCATACGTAGGCGAAGAAGGATGAGAAGGGAACACCTTCATCCCGAGCGAAAGACCACAGCTGTCGTGATGCGGTCGCGACTTCGGTGATGGTGCTAGCCGTGAGGGTTACTATGAGGACGGCTGTCATGGCGTTGGTGGCTGCTAAGCTGCCCGTCGTGTTGTAGAAGATTTGAATGAATGGGAATCCCGTCGCACTTTCTAGCACAGTTTCGACTTCTCCGAGGGTGAAGCACAGCGTGACAAGCATAATGAATCCCAATACCCCGTTGACCGCCACTGAGGACATCATGGCCTTGGGTAGCGTCTCCGAAGCGTCTTTGATCTCCTCCGCTGCACAGATTAGCACGGAAGCAAAGATCTCGAGAAGAGGCGGATCGACTTACACATGTGGACAGAGCAGTCATAACCCAGCATGGAGGTGATGGTGGTGGAGAGGCCCACTAGTGTTGCCGTCCCAGCACTATCCCAACCACCACCATTGTTGAAGTGGGTGAAGACTGCATAGGCATTGTTCCTTGGTGCCAGCACCCACAGAGGAATAATGATCGCAAACAATCCAATGACATGGATGATCAAAATCAGCCCTTCCACAAACGGCAAGTTCTTTGCTAAGAAAGTGTTGAAGATGATGGAAAAGGTCGAAATGGCAATGACTAACATAGTCCCATGCCAGCGCTGGAAGTCATAGTCTGGCCGATTCAATACGATTAGGCCCTGTATGATAGTTCCGGCCAGGTAAGCAATGGAGACGATTGCACATTGCCAACCCATCGCAGAGAGCCATCCTGATAGAAGTTAAAGCAAACTGATCGACACCATGTCAACTCTGTCTTACCTGTCATGTAGCTGAGGAATTTCTGTCCTCTTCTCGGTGCGAATTCTGACACCCAATGGTACTGTCCACCAGCTGTGGGGGCCCTACGCAGGCCATCAACACTGTGAAAGTGAAGGACGGATGTACGACGAACTCACATCGAAGCCATCTCGGCTATACTGGCATAAACAAGTGTGAATCCCAACGAGACTCCAATAAATCCCCAAATCAACCCCGCCGTCCCGCCGTCAGTCAGTCCAGCTGACAATAATCTGTTTGCGATTAGCATTCGCCTTCAGGAGACCACTAAAGGCCTAGAATAAGATCAACGAACGTCAAAATAACCTCCCACGTACAAATCAAAGTGCATCCAAACCCAACGATCGAAATAAATCGAAAATTTCTCTTCACATCATCAGCTCCGTTCCGTCCAAGCAACGTCCGGTCTAGACACACTCACTCGTAAGACTTGAGCCCTCCCCAACGCATTCATATCCCTCTTATCCGCAATCGTCCCCATATACTTGGGCGCAACAAGCCCCTTTTGAGGAAAATCCTCCTCGTCATGGTCATAATCATTAGCAGTAGCAGTCATTTGGGAATCATTCCCAGACCTGAGCCGAGACATCATGCGCGATTAAAGATCGAGATCAAGATCGTCAGCAGGGCAAAACCTCCGACAGGCTCGAAATCAAAGCTGGAATGCGCAATTGAACCACAATTTGTACCAGTTTCATGGAACACAGCATGCAGTCCGCGACACAATTTTCGCCCGAATATATAAGAGGGAGAACCCCGGTAACGACAACTCCAACCAGGACAAGTTTTCAAGTCTGAATTTGAAACAGGATTAGAATTCAACTTCCCCTGGTCAGTCCCGATGAAGCAGGTCCCTAGAGAAGAGTCTAGCGTCTAGAATCTATCGAGGTCCATGCCAGGCACGGTAGCATTGAGCGTGGAAAAGGGCGTGGGAGCAAGGCATGGTCAGGGGAATTTCGGCGCCATGTGGAATCCAAATCAGATTGATACATCGCTTGTTTGATGTTAGACAAGAGTATTTGGAACTGAGCTTGGACCGCGCGATTCATGTAATTTCTATCCCTTGGTGAGTCGAGGGTTGAAGAATGGGCGATGAAGCCATCGGCGCCTTGCATGCCAAGGAGGGGGTTACGTGCAGGAGTTGAGGGTGGCAAATTGTCTGCTGTTGCCGCCTCGCGTACCTTTTTATTGCACACATGAATGTATGCCGACGAGAATTATTATGGTCGACTGATGAAATAGATCAACCATCGAGCATAATATTTGCTTGATTGCGTAGGTTGTTGGGGCATCGGCGACCCTGCAAAGCATAAGCCCTATACACCTTGAGTTCACATCGGCACCCCCCCGAACACTTGAACATTTCGGATCTATCACTCCCGCATCCCTGCGCGGATCACCCCCCTTTAGTTCCCCTCCCCCAGACCACGCCACAATCTCTCCTCGCATCTCCATCTCAAAGTACGCACCACATGGCCTATCGGAGCCCATCCCCAATTCCACAGACGCATCGCTCAATTGGCCCCAGTGCCAGAATAGCAGCGGCCCGCTTGGCACCATAACTCGGATGATCGGCGCCGGACGTGAGGGTTACAACACTAGCCATTCTGGAAACTCTGATATCAGACCACATGTTCCTACATAATATTGAGCCAGCGTCATTCTCACTGGGGAGCCTTGGAAGGGATGGATGAAGAACTCGCCACGGAAAGTCACCGAAGGCCTTGCACCCATGGCGGCTACCAGCACATGGGCGCACACTAGCTAGTCGAGGGTTTTATTGGATGTGGTGTTTCTGGTCTTTCGGGCTGCAGGATCACTGGGATGGCTCTATTGTATATAGGCTGCTCGGGTGGAGCTTCCGGGGCTTATCCAGGTTCCTCGAGGCCTGCTGTGCATGTGGTCATCATTCATGGCCCTCTCGTACTCCTATTTCATCCATTCGAATTGTGGTTATACTTTCCATGATCCCCTGTGCACTGGCTTAAGTCTTGGTGTCCTGTCATGGGCCCTTATGTGCCCCCAGGCCAGTCAGCTCCTTTCGAGGTAGTCGATGAATATCACCATGGCGCATGGATAATCATCACTGCTGCACTGGGGCTCGTGGTCTCACTGGTCTGCTTTTTGATTCGGCTTTATGTGCGATTAATGCTGATTCCGCCCTTCGCGAGGGACGATTTCGTGTTATTGGGCGCTACGGTATGCTGAGCTGAGCTGATGCGTTAAGAGTTGAGAAAGAATACTAAAATCGAGAAATCATTATAACAGGTTATGGCGATCATACAATCCTCACTGATATTCTACGCATGTTCGCGCGGTTTCGGTACATCCATTACTTTGCTGGACGATATTCGCCTGAACCAGGTCCAAGGAGTAAGTCGATAATCCAAGCGGTGACTTGTGGAAACTAAACAGTTAGTTAATTGCAACAAGCGACATCTTCGCTCTGATCATTATCTATCTTTCGAAATGTTGCGTTGTGGCGATCTATCTCCGTCTTACGCCCCAGAAGCCACATAACAGAGCCTCGTGGGCAACTTTGGCACTTTGCACGGCTTGGCTAATCCCAGCTGTATTTATCTTGTTGGTCAATTGTGAGCTGAACAAACCATGGCGGACACAGGGTGGACAATGTTTAAATCTGGTGAGTGTATTGTGGGCGTTGAGCTTTCGGCAAATCGATCTATGATATGTCCCGAAACATGCGTCTCGAAATATATCACGAGGCTAACACAACATGCAAGTTCAAACGCTGGCAATTCATCGCAGCAGTCGACGTGATTACCGAGCTCATAATATTCCTCCTGGCGGTGGTCCTCCTAAAAGGCCTCTTCATGTCCATGAAACGCAAGCTAGCCATTGGCTTCGCATTCATATTTCGATTCCCGTGAGCCGACCACCGACTCCCCACTCATACCCTTACGGTAATCAAATATTGAAATTACTCACATCGTTTTTTGCAGTCTAATCATATTCACTCTTCTCCACATCTCGACCCTCCACTCCGCCCTCGCTGAGCCAGACGTAACCCTCGCCGCCGTCGAGCCCACCCTTTGGCTCCAAGTCGAAGTACATTATGCCCTCGTCGCGTGCAGTATCTTTTGCCTCCGTCCATTCATGGCAGCCGTCAGCACAAACTACGGAACAGCCGGGGACTCGAATTTGGAAAGTAGTGTATCCGCGTCACAAAGCAAGTCGAAATCGGGGTCTGGGTCTGGATCGGGATCTGGGTCCGGGAGTCGCAGTAGGAGTCTATGTCGGGTTCGAGGGAAAAGGGCTGGGACGGAACGGGATACTAGGGGCCTGAGGTCGGCTTCAAAGGAGAAATTGTGCGATGGGATTGTGAAAAGTGATCAGGAATTTGAGGGGAGAAAGCGAGAGGAGATAAGGGCGCCGATGCGAAGTTCTATGTTCCCGATTAGTGAGCCTGGGAAGAGCTTTGCGCGTGTGGAGAAGAGGAAGGACGGGCGTGGAGTGGGACCTGGTTCAAGGGAGGATGTGGATGCAATTGAGCTGATGCCTCAGACGAAAAGGCAAAGTCGGATCGCGGGTGATGTAATGGAGGAGGATTCGGACGCAATGGTGATCCGGAAAGAGGTCCAGTATTCAGTGCAGTATGAGTATGATGAGGCAAGAAGGAGGGGCCAAGGGCCTTCGAATAGGATCTCGAATGATGCCATGGCTTATGTTTAGCTGAGCTTTGTTCTGTGTACAATCAAGGAAAGGAAATTTATTGCAATATTGGGTGTTCCCGTTCTTTTCTAAATGGTCGGAAAATAATGAATATATACAGATCCAAATGAGAGTGATAAGGATTCATAAACGCCGACCTTGGAGTCCCTCATGATGTTACTTGAACGCTAATCCAATCAAAAAAAGGTGATCCTCATCCAATATACCCGGAAGGCCGTTTAAATGGATGTGCCTCGGTACTCCTGCGGATGAATTAGCGCTTTGCACGTCAGCGAGCAAAGATCAACGGAACTTACAAAACGTACTCATCCAAGCTGATATGATCGGGCTCGGAAAATATAAGATAAAGATATTTGAGAGTCTCAGCAAGCCAGAAACTTTCCATCTTATCGCTATGCTCAGAGACAGAGGTGCGCACGTCCTGGATAGCAGAGTGTCCATATTTGGTGCGCGTCGCCTTGTCGATATTCTGAAACATACGCCATGCTGCATCTTGAAGTGACTTGTCGCCCGTGATTCGGTACATGATAAAGACAGATTCGAGGGCTTCGGGTCTGTTGAATTATCAGTCAAAGTCCAGAAGTATCGCGCAAAAGTTTTTAAGACCAACCTGAGCTTATAAGTAGGATCACGCAAGCTGAGAATACCTGGTGGGATACCTTCCAGCTCAACGACCTCTTGAGCCTTCTTGCGCTCCTCAGGCGCGCTCACTGGCTTCGCCATGATCTCCTCGTACCACCGGTTCTCGTCCCAGGGACACTCGTCGAGGTCTTCGCAGGCGGATACCTTCATGATCTCGGGCATAATACCGGAAGGCATTTGGTCGTAGGCCCAGATACAGCCATCCGTAAGTCCACGGGCGATAGTCATATCGTCCTCTCGGTCAAAGACCTTGGCACCAATACCAACCATTCCACCGAGGAAACATTTCAAGTGATCCTGAACATACTGAACACTATGCATCCCGCCGCCTTTTGAAGACCAAACATCTGCAGTGAACAGGACCTTTTCGCTCTCGTTCTTGGTCATGATCCTGAAGAGCAAATTCTTCTTGATCGCTTCCATGGCATTGTTGTACATGTCACGATACTGGTCTGTTTGGGCGCCGAGAAGAATGTGTTCTTTGGGAAGATACTCGTAGGCCGAGTCAGCGCACCCACCGAGCGAAAAATCGCTCGAGTCGAATTTGAGCTGGTCCGCGTTGACCCATACAGGCCAGAGACCAGGAATGCGAGTGGCGTTCTGGCTCGATTCAAGCTCATCTGTGATTCTTTGAACGGCGTCGAAGTATTTCGGATCGCCAGTGATTTGGGTTAGGCGGGTGAATTCCACGCTGAAGGAGCCTAGTTCGGCCAAAGCCATCCGTTCTGATGGTTGAATTTCCTCGCCTTGGGCAGATCTGCAGCATGTTAACATCTGCGCCTGTGGTCAGCTAGTAATTTGACTTACTTGGACCATTCCCAACGCATCTGGGGCATGCGGTTATGCGTATCAAAGCAATTGAAGATCATCTCACCCAACTCCACGGCTTTCTTAAGAAGAATGGGATACTTGCCCTCGGTCAAATCGTGAGCAGCAAGGAGTCCACCCATATATCGAATCACGATTTCAAACACGTTGACCTCCCGACTAAATGTAGTCGTGAAATCGATGTGTTGTAAAGCTTCCAGAGCAATATGGAGTTCCTTGTCGAGTCCCATGATGATAAGAGCATCTAGAGAATCAACCAGTGTAGCGCCCCACCCACTGAACGAGTCTACGTATCTCCCACTGCTGGGCGATACCTCATCGCGCATCCACGCGTGTGATTTATATCCATTCCACGCGTGCACAAAAGCCTCCTTAACGGCCTTTTGCCTCTTAACTCGTTGTTTGCGTTCACTTCTCGATTCAGGCGGAAAGTCATGTTGAATGCGGGGAATTGGTACTGGTTGTGTTGGTAAAGGAGTGTATGAGGTAACAGGGTACCTCTCGGCTGAGAAGTTCAACTGAATGGCGTTGGGCGATGAGAGCTGGCTGTTGAGAATGGGTGTGGGCCTCGAGTGATATAATTGATATTTGTGGAAACGGCTGAGAGGAAGCCAGATCAAAAAGATGTAGGCGACGGCGAGAAAAATAATAGAAGATGTGAGAGAGCGGCTTTTGCGGTTGGCAAGCATAATGAGGGCGGGGTGAGCGGCGCTAGAATGCTAGGATATTGACGTTATGAAGATATTGAAAGAGTGGCGGCCATCAGATGCAAAGAGTGGACAACCTGAATAGCTAAAAGAGTACGGAAATCACAAGGAGAGAGAATGGCCGTGAGATATCATGCTAGAAAGCTTTTGCTCGAGAAACCAGGGATGGAGGCAGGAAAAGAGTGTCGTGTGGGAAGCACGTCAGACACCAGCGGGATGGGGAAGGATCGGAGGGCAATTACTCCATTGATCGCCAGGGAGTTCTGATACTCTTTCTGACACGCGTCGCTGGAAACATAGCCAACAGCATTGGCATGCAAAGGGGGGCCATATGCACTCCACTCAGGCAAAATGGCACATTCAGTAAGGAGCTGGCGATGCAGGGTCCAGCGTGATTCTTGGGGGAGACGGTCTAGAACCTGCCGATGTACCAGGTACATTGAGAGTGGGTGAGGCCAGAGCAGGGTCTTAGGTATCCTTTACTCTTTCTGTTTTGTTAGCTGTCAAGTCAAGCTCCACTTGTCCCCTGAAAATGATCTGATCGGGTTAGTTGCGTTTAACTCGAACGCGTCTGCTGCTTTGATTCGTCTAAGAGGACCCATCTGGTGGCTGAGCTCGCAGCCGTGCAGGTCTCGATTGTCTTCTTGCGTTTTGGCTGGTCAAGCTTTGTACAAACCTTGGCATGGAAAACACGCGATCTGCTTTCCATTGTTTGGTCTGTGCCACTACAGGGATACGATACAGTATACTGCAGTAGTCTTCCGTCTTATGGAAGGACTGGGTCGAAAAATGGATCGGGAACCGCTTTCTAAATCGACTTACGTAAACACGATTGAATAAGGACTGCGACAGATCCGTTCATTCCCAAGAGAGATAGTAGACATTAGCAAAGGGGAAAAGCAGAGCAGGCATCCATGGCCCAAAGCGCCAGAACACAATATTGCAAAGCCGTGCAAGACCGCGCAAGTACAGAGGGAGATGATCAGCAAAATTCGTTTCATTACAACAAGTGCCCAAGTCCCAAACACTCCCCAGTCGTTGCCACCGATGACATCAGCATTTTTCAAAACATTCGAGAGACAAGGATCAAATATGAAGTAGATCGCGATTTCGGAACCTGTCCTCCACCTAGAAACAAGCTAAGGGACTAGACTCAGTGGAGCCAGCGCGGTTGAGCTGCACCATCAAAGGAGGTCGTTCCCAGAGCGAGAAAGACTTCTGAGCAATCCAGCCCATGGACTCAGTCTCGAGTTCCAGGTCGAAGTTGAAAAGGACCTTGGTAAGAATCAAGCGCATTTCGGCGTTGGCAAGACTGTCCAGAATTATAACATTAGCACCCTTGGACAAGTAGGACAGATGAAGTGCATTGCTTACTGCTGCCCAAGACAGTTACGAGGACCATGAGAAAATGGCCGGAATGCCTCTTTCTTATCAGACATAAAAGGACGAGATTCAGAGCTATCAAGCCAGCGCTCAGGGACGAAGGTATTCGGGAGCAGGAAGTTGTCTGGTGAGTGAAAGGCTGAGTACAACGAAATTGAAACAGATACCTGCGAACCGTTAGCTTTTGAGATTAGTCAATTTAGACACTGAGGGTCCTGTGAAGTCTCGTCAGTGGGATGGTACTTACTCCTCCAGGTACATGTTCGCCGTTGATGAAGGCACCGCCCTCAGGGACAACCCGAGGTAGCATGGCTGGGATGGGGGGGATAGATGCGCATCGTCTCCGCCAGAACTGCTTTCAGATAAGGCATATCCGCGATGGCCGACAAGGTAATGTCAGAGGCTTTGTCAAAGTTCCCACGGATCTCACGGACCAATCGAAGGTACTTGTCTCGATGAAGAAGGAGATAGTACACACACCCAGACAGCAAAGCAGCGGTGGTCTCACTACCTGCCAGCACGAAGACGGCAGCATTGGCATCAATTTCTGAAGGAGTTAAACCCTTTCCATCCTTGCTATGCTTGAGGATGTACGAGGTAAAATCCGGGCGCGTAGTCCCAGATTGGAGACGGCGACGGACCTTCTCAACGCTCAAATTAAAGCTATCCGTTCGTTTCTGCATCAGGTGGCGCGGGATCAAGAATACGACCATCGGCAGAAGAACAGGATAGAACCAAAAGATTTTGAGATATGAGCTGGCCTTGACGGCGTCTAGGATGATCACAACCCACCAGTGGTAGCGGTGCTCGGCGAGACAGCCAAATGGCTCGCCGAAGGCAAGATCGCCGATCAAGTCGAAAGTTGTGTAATTGAACCAGCGGGTCAAGTCGACGACGAGAGACTGCTCTTGGCCCAGCAGGCCTGCGAGCTTCTGAATGAGCATGTCGGCGTAGGTATGTAGAATACTTTCCTGCTCGCTGAGGGCCTTACTGGAGAAGGCGTGGGTCAAGAGACGACGCATTCGAGTGTGCTGTTCGTCATTGGCCGTGATGATGGCATTCACTCCGTTGGGGGTAGGTGTGTACAGAGCGGGATCTTTGCAGAAAGTCCGATGGCCCTTCTTGCGATGGCCGTAGATGTCCCTCCAGGCAGGCGCAGCGCGATAGACAAGTGAATTGGGGGCAATCCGGACGACGTCGCCATATTCATCATGAAGTTTCTTGATGGCTGAGTGTTGTTTACCTTGCACGTCCCAAAGCAAATGGACCAGCGGAGTGATAGCAGCCAGCTTGGGGCCGGGATAATGGCAGAGCGGGTGAAAGTATAGAGTATAGATCGTCCAGATGGTGAAGTAGACTCCTAGCTAAATTCCACGATTGTCGTTAGTTCCAATTAACACAATTGGTTCTTGAGATCGCTCACCAAAATGATTGCAATAATAGGCACAATCCAGACACACGAAGCCTCCTGGGAGACCAGGTTTCCAGACTTCATCTTGAAACCCCTTCTGAAGCGTTTAATGAATTACAGAGGTACAATTTCAAAGGCTTGGAGTCCGAATCACGAAAATGAGAAGGTGTTTAGGAGTCTCCGGTGCATTAGGTCCGTAGAGTTATGGAATCAGCAAAGGACTCACAGCGATGGGGTGGAGGGGTCGACTTTCTTTCAAAGGATCAGTCAAGTCGCATGGAAAGCAACTAGCACTAATCTGGAGTGGGAAGGCGCAACTTATAATGTAGCTGACGCTCGAAATGATCGATCCTTGACAATTGTGTACAGGACTCGAACTTTGTGAATTTTCCTATCTTTTACCCTGAGTCTCCTGTAGTTGTTCTTTCAATGCACTTGCTAGACTAACGAATAGCATTTATTTTCATGCGCCCTTAAATCAAATGGACTGGCCCTTAGACACTTCTTTGCGGAGAATCGTTGGGAAGCCGTTATGTGCTCGAATGGAGGATGCACCCAGCTAAATCACTACGACAAAATCAACTACTCTAGCCTATTTCAGAGAGACCGGAGACTCCTATCGTGTCATTTCTTGGCTTCGATACTCCGACAACACAAAAGTGAGTTGGCATGATGTTGTTGCGGGTCTGTTATATCATTTTCTTTATTCACCCAAGCCGTTTGTCCAGGTCATGCAGATTGCATGCAAGCGATTCGATCTAGAAGCCCATGTCGAAAGATGGAGTACGTAAAGGCTGAGATATGGCTTGATGATCGGTTGACGCCGCTCTAATAATTGAGTGATCGAGGAAAGACATAATAGCCCGAGAATTTATTTCCAAAGAGTTCTATTGACATCTGTATGCAAAATTACAGATCGCCAAGCTGATAGTCATCTAGTCGTAAATCATAACCGCTCTCTATCTATTGGTCGAGATAATGTATATAGGGAAAAAGCGCCCGTGGTCACAGGAATCAGCTGGCGACAAGGAAACTAAGCAGACTGCCTGCGGTCAATCCACCCACAAGCATCATGCCCATGAACCCTCCTGCGGCCTCTCTCTCATCCTCTGACACCCAAATGCTAGCGCCCATCATGCAGCTAGATGCTAAGTAGCCATTGGTTGCGCCGAAGAAGATTTGCACGATGCAAAGATAGAAGAAATCGCTTTGCACCACGGCTCCTCGGCCGTTTATGTTGCAGAGTAGATAGAGAGGAGCGAACCCCAAACGCGCAATAGAGAATACAAACGCTATCCAGGGGCGGTGCGCGAGAGAGAAGCGAGGGATCGCCACGAGCATTCTCCCGCCAAGATCTCCCATGTTCCAGAAGAGGAATCCAAGCGGAATGAACACAGATGGGTCGTACATTCGGGATTTGGCCGGGTCATTAACAGACCTAATCTCCGTGGTGAAGACGGGGAAGAACATCATCGTGACTGTGAAGCACAAGAAGACAGACACCGACAGATACCGCAACTTCTTGAACAGCATCCACAAGCTGACCGACTTCTGGTCTACCTGGTCATCCTCTCCATCGTCGTCTTCATCCAGGGCCTTTGACTGCACACTAGGGCGGCGTCGGAGAAGATGAAGGAAAGCTAGCAGGGTGATTATAGACACGACTGTAGCAGTTAAGAAATAAGTAAAGGCCGATTTGGAAGACGACTGCGGCGATCCGTTCTGGCCCGGCTTCCTCGACACAACTAGCACCGAAAGAATCTGTGCAATACACGGCAGAACACCAGCCACTCCCTGTCCGCTCATAATCGCCTGCATGTACTCTTCTCTGCCGAAGCCCGCCACGTAGGCAAAGACACCATTCTGGTTGAGACCCGTTGCAAAGCTTGCGCCAAACACCATGATCATCAAGAATGCAAAGTAGCCACCCACAGAGACGTCTTTCATAACGATCGTTGAAAAGGCCAGAAGAGTGAAAACGGCGCAATTAATAAGCAGTGAAAGCGTTATGCGCCCCGGGTAGGACGCATTCTTCTGCATTCGGGCGAGGATATACGCGGCTGCAAGGTTCGTGACCGTTGAAACGGAGAGAATGGAGGACTGGTAATGTGTGGCAAACCATTCACTTGATTCGAAACGGTCGTGAAAGTAGGGTGCTGCGGCTAGGAACATGTTCCTGGAGTCTCAAGTTAGCCTGCAGAGCCCCGCATACATTCCTGGGATGGTCTTCGGGAGTATTTCGCCGAGAAACTTACCAAGCCCATAGCATGGCCACTCCAAGGAGGAAGAAAACGCTGTACTCCAGTCGGGAGAATCGGGATGACCGTCGGGAGTCATCGTGGTCGCCGTCCTCCGCGGAGTCTTCCAGTGGCTCGTAGGCCGACGTTTCAGTCATAAGTCTGCGAACACGGTCCATGATCGATAATTGTGTATCTCTTCAAAAGATATTTGACGTTGAGAAAAAAGCTCCTGGAACCTAGCGGGAGCTGGTGAGTTCCAGGTTCCAGGCTGGGAGGTTGCAGCTGAGATGATTCAGCGGGGACGGGCAGATCCGCGTGATCCACTTGCGGATTGCACATGGCGGAGAACGCGAACTACATGCGAACACCTTTGAAGGTAATGAAATGATTTATTAGTAACAAAGAACTAATGTAGTATTTCGGATATTCGTTGTTTTGTACATAGTTGCCAAAAAGAAAGAGAGGAAAAATTCTATCGCCAGGAGGATCAAACATGCTAAAGGAGAATGAGAAGAGAGGATTCAGTGAGAAGATGCAAAGAGTGCCCCAGCTTTAAACGCTAGGGTGTGGTAGAGGGTAATGATATAACACCGTCTATTCCTTTTTCTCCGACTTGGACTCTTCGAATTCTTCCTCTTCGACTTCGAGATCCTGCTCCATGTCTTTATGGAACTCGTAGAGTTCATCCGGCTGCACGGCGCGGGCCTGCGGAGGGCTAACGGTGTCGCCACCACTCATCTGCCATTCCATGAGCTTAGTGAAAGCTCCATCTGGACGGGCGCTGAGCTCTTCGTAGCTGCCCTGTTCAGCGACTGTGCCGTCGTTGCCGAGAACGATGATCGAGTCCGATCGCTTGATGGTGGAAAGGCGATGGGCGATGCTGATGGTCGTATTGTTGCCACGCAGGAGAGCGGCCAACGCGCTGTTGACAAGAGTTTCAGACTCAGCATCGAGGGCCGATGTGGCTTCATCGAGAATCAAGATATCAGGGTTCTTGATCAGAGCGCGTGCAATGGCAATCCGCTGCTTCTGTCCACCAGACAACTGCGCCCCGCGAGCGCCGACATGAGTGTCGAGTCCATCAGGCTAGACAAACTGTCAGTGAACAATACTGAATAGAACCTAGTCAAGTTGAACTTACGAAATCGCTGATGAACTGGCAGTTGGCTTTGCGCGCTGCAGAGACAATCTCGGAGCGAGTGGCGCGGGGAAGGCCATAAGAAATGTTATCGGCGATGCTTCCAGAGAAAAGCACAGGCTCCTGTGAAACCACGCCGATCTTGCGACGAAGGGACTTGGCGTTGAAGCTCTTAATATCCTTGCCATTTATCAAGACTCTACCCGCGGTAGGGCTGTAGAAACGAAGCAGAATAGACGCAATAGTCGATTTGCCGCCACCGGAGGGGCCAACGATCGCAACGTTGGTTCCCTGGGGGATCTCAAAGTTCAAGTCCTTGAAAATGGTCACGGCAGGTCGGGTCGGGTAGCTGAAGGATACGTTCTCAAAGCGAATGGGACCACGAGCAGATTCCACCTTGAGACCCTTAGTCGGATGGATAGTCGGCTGGCGGTCTTGTAGCTCGAAGAGTCGACTGGCAGCACCAACACCCTTCATGAGCTCCGAGTAGAAGCTGGAAAGACCGAACATGCTGGAACCAGCATATGCAGTGTACATCAGGAATGATGTCAATTCTCCAATACTGATGGCACCTGATTGAACCATACCACCTCCGACATAAAGAAGACTCAGAATTGTCATGTTACCCATCAATCCAGTCTAGTAACAGTCAGTGGATAGTTCCGGGAAGTTGTGGATCTCGAAAGAAGTACTTACCGTGCTGAAGAAGGTCGCGCTGATCAAAGATTCCTTCTTTCCAAGGTCAAATATCTTGCGCACTTGTTTGTTATACCGGTTGACTTCAAGGATCTCGCCCGCGAAGGATTGACTCGTCTTCACGTTACCCAGGCGTTCCTCGGCAATCTTAGTGAGCGAGCCCAGGTTTTTCTGGATTTTGCGACTAAGATTTCGGATAGCTCGTCCATAGAAGAGAGCACCTAAGCCAATTGGCGGAAGCAACAAAAGCAAGATACTGGAAAGTTTCAAACTGGTGTAGGCCATGAGACCGAAACCAGCGGCGCCACTAACGCCGGCACGAAGACCGTCTGACAAGTTCTGTGTGATACTCTTGCCCACGATGATAGTGTCAGAGCTGAGACGGGAGATGAGATCTCCGACCCGATTAGCGTCGAAAAATTCAGCGTCCTGCACAAATGTCTGGCGGAATAGCTTGGAGCGCAATCTTGCGACAATGCGCTCACCCACAATCCGGAGAATGATGATACGACCATAGTTGGCACCCGCTCCAACGAGAAGGATTCCACCCAGAGCGCTGTAGAACATGGGGAGGCTCAAGCCAAACAGCTGGTTACCACCTTCCTCGACGCTCTTGGTCGCAGTGTCCATAATCTTGCCAATCGAAAACGGAATCGACATGGTGATGGACGAGGAGATCAGCAAGAAGAAGAATGCAAATCCGAGCCACTTGGCTTCAGGTCGCGCAACCTTGATTAACCGCCAGATCTCTGCGAAATTAGACTTCTTGCCACTAACGCCATCTTTGGCCAGCTTGGCTCGCAGATCGACCTGTGCAGCCTGTGCGGCTCGCTCAGACAGTTCGAACCCTTTGTCTTCCTCCTCTGTTTCCGGTTCGGAGCGGTTTGTAAGTCCGGGGTCATTCGGCGAGGATTTAGACAATTTCGCTTGGAGTAAGTGTGGCGTGGAACATAACAGGCGTATTTGAGAAGCAATCTGAGACGTGTGTGGGCTGTATTGAGGGCTCTTCTGGCGAAGCAGGGTAGGAGCCTCGGCTGAGCGGAACGAGATGGCGTGGTTGCGAAGAGTTCCGGAGGCGGTTGAGTATAGTCGACCGTTACCGATGAAGTCGCCAGCGCGGTACGAGAATCGGGTTACCTGCGAAAACGAGTCGTGCAGGATGGCGCTTTGCGTCCTTGAAATCGGTCGAGGGCTGACGCCCGGAGCCCAGGCCGGCAGTCGGAGACTGCGCATCTTCGGAGATGGATCAGACTGTCGTCGTCGGAATGCTTTCAATTGTAGTGCGCAAGATTGTCAAGGTCAAGTTTTGGGGAAGGCCATTATATAAACAAGAAATTAGGTGCTCACTCCATTACAGCGTCAGAGCATGTGGAGAAGAGGGATCGCAGCCAAGTTCGGCAGTCCGATCTCCGATTCTGCCTTATTGTCCGCTCATGGAAGCTGGTCGAGAGCTTTCGATGCTTCTTTTTACGTGTTTGTTGTATCCCTGATTGTGTTTATCTTGGATGGTACCATTTTACTCGGTTACCAATTCTTAACAAGATCCCAAGGCTCTCTCACGCTTTCACTCTAACAACATCCCACATTCCTTGCCTTACGCCAACATCCTACCCCACCTAACCTTCTTGCGATCGTCGCAACATAGCCAAGATGGTTCTTGACTACAGCAAGTGGGACCAGCTGGAGCTGTCCGATGACTCTGATATTGAAGTTCATCCTAATGTTGACAAGAAGTCTTTTATCCGCGCCAAGCAAGCTCAAATTCACCAGCAACGAGAGCAGCGCCGCCATGATATCAAGACCCTGAAGTATGAGCGCATCATCAACGATGGTCTGCTTACTCGCATCGACAAGCTTCTCGAGTCTCTCAAGAAGCATGAGGACTCCTCCGCATCTCCCGAGCAATTCATCTTCCAAACCATCATGGAGTTTGCAAGTGACCCCGCGGAAGACCAAGCTCCTACACCCCCGGAGGGCATCTACCAGAACGAGCCAGAACAACCGAAATACTCGCAAATGATGAGCTCGCTCGTGGACCAGGTCAAGAAGGATCTTGAGGAGTCGAAGCCTGACAACCTTTTCAAGGCATACATTCAAGGCGTGCAGGGACACAAGGACAAGGTCCAGGGGCTGCAGACACAGCTGTTCGAGAAACTTGCCCAGCTTGAGAAGGAGGAGGGTAGCAAAATCACCAGTGACAAGCTGCATGAGGGCTTCAACCAATCTCACATTGCCAAGGCCAAGGCCGCTGAGCAGGCTAAGGCTACGTCGTCCAAATCAACGGAGGTTGAATTGTTGAACCCCGGTGCGGGCAGCTCCGCTAGTAATGTCGAGAATGGCAATGATGATGATGACCCCGCAAATGTGGAAATCAGCCCACTGGCAAAGAAGTTTGCACATTTGAGACCCAACGACTACAGCGCCTATCTGCAGTTTATCTCCGAGCACCCGGAAATTGTTGCCGAAAAAGAAACAGACGGGCTCTTGGTTGAAGCCTTCAACAGCCAAATCAAGGGCCAGGAAGAATACGCTCGTCAATGCGTTCACCAAGGCCTGCTCTTGCAATATTGCCGTTCGCTTGGCCCTGACGGCATCAAGCTCTTCTTCACCCGGTATGTTCCCGTCAACTCATTGATCCTTGAAGCATAGCTAATTTCTTCAGCATCACAAACAAGGAGCACCGCGCATACACATTGTTCAACAATGATGTGCGAGACACCTACAACCGCATCAAGACCCGCTCGGCAGAGCTCAGCAAAGAGACTGGCAACGACCCTGCCGGCGTCGAGCAAATCCAGCTACACGCTGTGGACCCCAACACCAAGATCACCATTAACATCCCTGCGGCAGGAAGCCAAGACCCCGTTGAAATCGAGGCTCGCAAGATTTTCGAGGCCTTCTCTCCGGAGCTGCAAAAGGCCCTTGCGACCGAGTCTCTGGACGAAGTGAACAAGGTGCTGGGCAACATGTCTGTCGAGGATGCAGAGGTTGTCGTTGAGCAGCTAGGTGAGAGCGGTATGCTCAGTCTGGAAGAGGGCATTATCGACGGTACTACGGAAGAGGGTCGCAAGAAGCTCGCTGAGATTGAGGCAGAGAATAAGCTTGAGGAGGTCCAGGAGGTTGGAGAGCCCGGTGGTGACGTTACTGAATTGGATTGAAAATAGTTATGGGTGATGAATTAAAGTTGCCGATGTCATGAATGAATGCATTTGATCTTTATTCAATGAGTTATTCTAACTTTTCGATGTTACATGACCAGCAAGCCAGAAGAAAGTCCTTGATTCCAGATTCTATCTGTGTCCCGAATCATTATGGAATTGGACGTTCGTCGCTCATTGTGATTTTTGCGGCCCAATTTCGTCATGGACCGGGGCCTTATCTTTGCCCTAGAATCTGACTTTCGAATGCATTCATGAATATTCCTTGGTATTAACGATGCCACTAGTCTGAAATACTTAAATTACACAAATCCCCTGAAGACCTCGCTGCATGGAGTGGAAAATAGAAAGGAGAAACAAGGCAAACGACCTCCAAGGCGAGGCGACTGAAGCATGATGGTTAAAAGCTAAAGAGCATGATCACTGGGAACTAGTCACCTCACAATCGCCCAGAGATCGGCAATGACCTTGACAGTAGATCAGAGCAACCTAGATCCCGCTAGCACCCGGAGCTTCCTGGTCCTTCCGCAAGTCGATCAACATCTCGCGGAAGCGCTCCTTGCCCGATCCGCTGCCACCACCGATAGCGCCCTTGCCAGAGATATCAACCAGCTTCGCAATGCGCTCCCAGCTGGTGCCACCAGCAGAGGTGTCCTCCCGGCTGGCCAGGAATTGTTCGGCTTCGGTCTTGGTCTGGGCGCGGTGCTTGTCTGACTTGTTGTTGTAGGACACGTAGAAGTCGTCAATGTCCTCGCGAGCCTTCTTAATAGTGGCCTCCTTCTTCTCGTTGGAAACCTCTGCGCGGCGCGCAATCTCCGCATCTCGCTTCTCGCGCCATTCCCTTTATTGGTGAAAAGTAAATGTTAGCCGGATGACGTGGGCTGTGGGGACGGCTCATGGCGTGCAGTAGATCTCATGCGCCTGTCTGCCTAGGAATCTTTGAAATCTCCTTACCGAACTGCCTCGGACTCTGCCTCGGTTTCCATGGGGTTCACATATCCAGAAGTTGGGAAGGGGGAGCCGGAGCCAGTGATTGTACCGCTGGGGGCAACACGCTGTGGAAACACTCAAGTCAGCATGGGACGCACTCGGAATGATGTCAATCCGTACCTCGTTCTGTGTGTGTGTCTCAACTGATGGGAAAGAACTCTCAAATTGTCCGAGCTCCTCTGCGGGAACCTCGTCGCCGCCCAATAGGTCATCTCCCCCTCTAGGCCCTCAGCCACGTTGTCTTGAGGGGTTGCGAATTGGTCTGCGTCTTCGCCGAGAGCGGCGCGCTCACGGGCAAGGAAGTCATCGTCGGCACTGACATTGTTCTCAACAACTTCAGTCTGGCCTAAAATCACGTTGTGAGTCTTAATTGCGCGGACGGGCTTGAGGCTCCTGCAAGCGGGTGGATCTTACCCTCAGAGAAGTCCTCCAGGGAGGGGAATCGGTCGGCCATTATGTGGTTCTTTGTATGCGCGCTATCAGGGATGAGACACAGTCAAGATGAAAAGACCCTAGTTATTTGTAGGATAAGAGTGAGGTGAGAAGAGAAGCAAGTAGTTGACAGTTGTTGCCGGCGAGACGCTCGGAGCCCCGTATACTGCCACCAGGGGCGGTGAGTAGCTCTTGGTTCTAGCGAGTGACAGCTTCAACTTCGTACTCTGTTGCTACTACGAATCTGGGCTAATTTACCATTTGTGTTGAATGGTCCGACTCCACTTACTTTATCCCAATTACTGTCATTGTCATCACTGTGGGCTTCAATTGCTCTGATAATCCACCTATCACCTCTCTCCCAATCACGATTGTCGCGTCTCGGCTTCTCATACCCACGCGCTCCCTAAGCTGATATTGAAATCTTCCAATCAATCAACCGATCATGGCCTACAGCGATGATCTCGTCAACTCAAAGCTGTCGACTTTGCAGGACACCGCCGACAGTGTCCCTCACGTCGGCGCTTGGCTCTACTTTCATCGGTATACTCTTTCCCGTTCTTCCGCCGCATAAGAAACACGCTGACTTGGAAGATTGGTTTGCACAGACGCTTCGCCAAAAATAGTGTGCGCCTCATTTTCCAGAGGCTTCCCGACTCTCCACCTGCCAAAAAAATCGCTCTGATAAGCCTTCTAAACGGTGCGAAAATGAAACATCCCAGGCTTGGTTTCGCTTCATCAGCTAATGACGCAATAGAGCTTGCTCAGCAATCGAAGGCACGAGGTAAAAAGGAGTTTGTGCTCGCTATCTCACCGGTTAGTTATGCGCTGCTGCCCCGACACGCTCCGGCGCAACCTGACAAGAAAACAGATCATCGAAGAGGCCACCGTGATCACATGGAAAGGAGCGCCGCAATATGTTCAGGCGAAGTTAAGGAAAACGTTTGACGCATGGCTTGACCGCAAGGTATTTGACATGCCAGTCTTGGAAGCCATCATGGCTCGCATACCCGGTTAGTCAACCGCCACTTGATCCTCTAGCTGCGTTGCCGTAACTAATTCAATACCAGAATTCAAACCCAAGAAAGAAGACGAACAAACTACCCAGAAACAACCTCTCGGCGGTTCTTTATTCGGATCCACACCCTCTGAACTCCAGCCCCTGGTTCCTCTTCAGGTTGCTCTCACAAAAGCTGCCATGGCCTCTAACACTTCCACCGACACTGCATCTACGGAGTATAAAAAACTGAACGATCCCAATTCTGAGCAGCCCCCGCTTCCACGTCAGGCAGCGCAACTCAACCAATTGTTGAGAACCTTGACTAGCGCCGAAAGCTCCGTTTCAGAGGTAATCAAGTCACGGCGCGCGCTAATTGAGGGACTTGAGAAGCTCCTCACGACCAACCGCTCCGAATTGACGAAGGAAGAGAGTATCGCTTCCGACCTCGCAGAGAAAAAAGCTCAAACGGATGCCAAGAAGCACGAAGTCGAAGATGCCATCGTGCGCGGCTTTGACGACACACAAGAACCCGGTCGACCGACGGTCGAAGCCTTGACTCCCCCTCCAGTTGAGGCCATCACACCTGTAGGATCCCCAAAAGCCAAGCCATCGCAAGCTTCCCATGGTCCCTTCATGGACGAGCCTGAAGAGCCTCTTCCCGAGGAATTCTCTTTGCCCTATAGTGGCCAGCCCGACGATGGCTCTGCGTTCCCTGACCTAGGCAACCTCTCCCCTGGGGGTAGCAATGACTTTGATCTCGGTGCCAGTGGATCAGGCGCAAAGCGGCGCAAGACGACCCACGGCGAGGATGATTATTCGCAATTTGCAAGTGGAGAGCTGGATGAGGATGTGTCGGCTTTGCTGGCTTCTCAAGGGAATTAGTTGAAGCTGCTACCTATTTTTCCTTTAAGAAGTTACTCCCAACTTCTCACCGTGTTTGTAGATCAAGGAATCCCATCTGCCAGTTGGGGACTTTTGAGGCCCCAACGTTGCCTTTTCGAATGCGCATACCATCAAGTGGCATACTAGCAAGTTAATGATAATGGAAGCAAATGGAATGTCACTGCCACGTGCTGTAGTAAGAGGCATGGATATGGCCCTGGTGAGGATGTGAAACAGAACATTTCTGCGGTTGCAGCATGAATCCCAGGTGGGCCACCGGGGTTCTCCGGCAAGAAAGAGAGTATCTACAGGTTCGATTCGGTCTTATTTGTATGAGCATGACATGAGTTTGAAAGAAGTGGGGTGATCTTTGATATAAATTAGGTCTTCAATCATTCGTATTAACTATGTTTCGAGGGTATGAGCGCGTGAAAAGTGATCATCGAAGTATATGCGGGTCCATCCACCGGTCCCTCGCAAACCGACTGGACAAGCTATATCTCCTTGCCCGAGCCTCTGAAGCCAATAAAGATCGAATATTGTTCGAAGACTCTTCGACAGGAGGTGGTGGAGCACTAGAACGTTTCGGTTTCACGACCAAGACAATTATGAGTCCAATTACCACCAGGGCCAAGAGGATCATTACTTTGCGCTTAGTGGTGCGCTTTTGGTAGTTTGTGGCCTGATGGATGTTAGTGACCGATGCAAAATTCAAGTATATGGTTGGGAACCGTACCACTTTGAGTTCCTTGTCCGCGGCTTTGACCTCGGTTCCCATTCTTTCCACGTTGTAGTCAATGCGGTCGAGCATAGTCCCTTGGTCGATGATCATCGATTGTAGTTCCCGGAAGATGTCTGATAGCTCGATAATTCCCTTTGCAATATCATTGATCTCGCGCTCTCGCTGCGCAATGGCGGCGTCATTCTGGCCCGTGTGACGCTGGGATGTCTGCTGCAACATGGTCTGCGAGAATGACTTATCGGCGTCGGATTCCATCAAGGAGGGATCTGTGTACGGGTTCTGGACTGGAGTTGGGGCGTGGTCGAATGGCGTTGAGAAACCCTCGAGGTCTCGTAATTCTGCACGGTGCATTACTGGTTAGCCTGGGTCTCCGAGCGCTGGCATGAGACAGATTGATGGAAGGGAGAGTCTTACTCCTCAAGTAAGTGCTTTGCTTCTTCCGGAATCGAGCACTCGACTCCTGGACTCTCGCGGCTAAGGATATTTGGATATTCTTGGCCATTGTCTCTTCGCCGTTACTCACTCCACCCTGTTGCTTCGAGTCGCGCACCATTGTCTCAATCCGCTTAATGGCTTTCTGGCAGTCATGGAAGCTCCGAGTTATTTCCTGCGTCAGATGCTCAATCACGCCCTCGTCTTTTTCTCCGGAGATCCTCATCGCCGAACCCGGGAAGCAGGTGCTTTTGGTGGAGCTTGTCCAGTTGTGAAGACTTTAGCGCAATATCCGCTAGGTGCTCGGAGACTTCTTCCTGGATATCGACCCAGCGTGGTGGAAGCAAATCCATCTCAATCACCATATCACCATCGTCCTCGAAGCCGCCTGTCTCGGAGATCAGGCGCCGGCTTTCCTCCGGCTGCGCGGAGGTTTCGAAGCCATTGGACGGACCGAGAAATCGAGGCTTTTTGGAGGGATGATGTGCAAAGGACTGTCGGTAGGATATGTATCTGTTGCGGGCGAATTTAGTTAGAATCCTGAGGGGTCGATACAGCTGCTTGGGATACGTACAGGTTGGTGCGATCCCGCCACATCGTGAGCGGGGTGGGAGGTATTCCGCGTGAGAATTATTGCGAGATAATCAAGGCGGATGCGAATATCATGGTCAGCTGACGAGGGCGAGTCAGAGATGGTGGAGGTTGGCTGGGTCGGAGTTGGATGATGAAGCCGAGAGTTGACGGAGCTCTCCCGCAGGGGTCAAAGGTACCGTATCCGCGCGGTACTGATGGGTCTGCCCACGCATCTGGTGTATAATGCATTTCCTGTATGACACATATAAGGCTATGTCAGGCACAGGCTCTGAAGGCGCATACCAATAGGTTTACAGATTCAGACCGTTGGCTTTTTTTCCACGGGTCATCTTTTCTCGACTTTCAGAATTGAGGCAACCAGCAGATCTTAAATAGCAAAGCTTTCCGGCCACTGATAGATGAATTCCCCGCAGGTGTAGGACTAATCGTGTCTACTTGCTCGCATTTGCTATGGAAAGACAAGAACTACACCTGTTTAGACCGTCTGCCAAATGCAACTATGCATGAATGCATAAATTGCTCTTGGAAAAGCTAGAAGTGAGATAAGTAGGTAAACATCCTTCTTAACTCAGATAATCGTTTCATCATTGTCATGTTGTGTGGCGTCACTCTCGGCGAGATCTATAGATGGCAACAGGGGATCAGGATATTGGAATTAGAATATCGCTGCGTCTTTTTCATTGCATTGATATGTAGATTTTCTACTTAGATAGTAGAGAGCAGTTCAAGAATGTCTGAGATTCCGACTCCATCCTATAATAATGAAGCTGGTACTATTTCCCCAACACCCAAGGCAAGCATATACCTCGTGTCGCTGATGACGACTCATTATCCGAACTGACGATGTATAACACCTCCAGAGTATGAATTTTTTGTTTCTGTGAAAGGGACAAAGAGACCATGTGAATTGTTTGATTCGGGGCTAGTGGACTATGGCTTCCACACTTGTGAATTTATTGCTGAAGTACCATCATGTTTCGCCCACAGGTTCCATCGCAAAACGGACCACAGATCGCGGGACCAAATCATAAGCACCAGGTATTGTTCAAACGATTATGAAGCAGCGCATCATGATGAAGCTCGTTCAAGTTCATTCCAGTCATTCAGTCATAATAGAAAGATACTCGTACATCACAAGAAGAGCAAGAGACATCCCAAGGACCCTACTTCCTCCCCTTCCCTTTGTTCTTCTTCTTCTTAACTTCAGGCTCAGGAACACTGACAGTGCCCTGAACAATGTCATCACTCTGCCCCTGCAGGCGCTGACTCCCACTGATGAAGAATGTAAGATCCCGATTCTGCTCTTCAAGATCCGTCTTCTCAGCCTTAAGCGTCCGATTCTCACTGGTGAGGATCTCAAGTCTTTCCATAAGACTCTGGTTTATGGTCTTTTCTTCGCGGTAATCCTTTTCCATAGCACGGGCCATGGCTTCAAATTTATCAGCACGCTTCTCGAGCCGAGTGCGATCGCGCTCGAGACTGGGTATTGTCTCTGAGGAAAGAGTTTCAAATCTCGTCTGCATCTCGATGAGACGAGCGGATGCGGCCATCGCTGCTTCTTCGGCTGCTGCGGCTGCTGCACTGGCCTGTGATGCCTTGTCAGCTGCGCGTTCGACGACTTCTTCAAAGTACGCTCGCTGGCTTTCGAGTTGACTAGTGAGTAGATGTGTATATTCGACGCTCATGTTCTCGAGCTTCTCACGCGGTACTGCATCGCCCCAGTCCGGTGGGTCGAGTGCGCTGTGGTCGGCGGCGGGGAGCTCAACCAACTTGCCGTCGGATTTACTCTGGATGATACGGTGCACATAGGCGTCCCCGACGTAATCCCATACGCGCTGAGAATTCAGATCAATGGCGAAGGCGTGCGCGGTTGCTTTCCAGTGGTCAAATGCGTGTGCGCCATCATAGCGGCCACAGCCGACAGTGCCACAGATCAAGCATGCCCAAAGATTATCTTCAGTGTGGCAGACTGAGCACTCAGCTGGTTCTTGATCGCCGTCGGCTGCCATCCCGCTTTTGCGAAAGTCGTCCTGTGTATAACGGCACACAGGGCAGCCGCTGCCTTTCCATTTTTGGAGACACATGCAATGGAAGACGTGCTGGCAGATGATTGTTAAGAGGCCGGTTGTCTCGTCCATTCGCTCAAGACAGACAGGGCATGTGGGCAGCTCAATCAGCGCCGGTGTTGGTGGCGCTAATGGTTTACCGGTAAGCTTTGATTGCCCAGCAGATGATTCGTTAGGAGAAAAAGCAGACGGCGAGCCAGGCTCGACGACCTGAATCTCAACCGACTTGACAAAAACAACGTGACATGTCTCAGGCTGTACACGGTCATGTTAGCCTGCTTTCCTTCTCCCCATTGCCGGAAACAAAAGACCCAAACGTACCTCCATGCTGTTGAATACCTTCCCATTCCACTCCTTTTGCCACTCTTTTGCTTTCTTCGCACTGCGAAACTTGAGTAGGACCATATATCGATTGGCCCTTGGTGTCCTGATCATGCGGAAATGGCTAACAGAGTCCCTCGTTTTGTCACCCACGAATCCTAAAAAGTCCGATGGCGACAAGTACGAAGGAACCGCTAGAATGCACAGCGTCGTACAGTCCTCTTCTTCAACCGAGGCCGAAGCCGTAACAGGGAATGGATAGGAAGCTTCCTTACCCCGGCCGCGAAGCTGCCCTGTGTTGGCCCCACTCATCAACGGCTGATAGCCAGCCTGCCGCTCACCAGGATGTCGTGCAGCGGCAGCAGAGCCTTTGAGGTAGGTTGGGTAGTCGTCTTCATTACCAGCGAGGTAGGGAGACTCTTGCGCATCGCGGTACAGGTGAACGATGCCGAAGACGCTATCGGCGACTTTTTGGTCGAGTGGAATGTATCGACCCTTGGTGCGTAAGCCACCTAGGATATCGGTCCCAATACCTGCTGCGACAAGGTTTTCATCGGTGGTGGAGAGGCTACCGTGCTTCGAGCTGCGTTTCGCAAGGCCATCTTCTGGCGCCACCATGTCGATGCACTCGATGACGATGGCGCCGCAGCGGATGTCGGCTTGTGTGTCCTTTGCCGTTCGTGTAGAAATATAAGAGCTTGTAGAGATGTGCGGTCGTTGTGTTCTTTTGTCAAGTGTGAGGTTCGTAATCGAGGTTTGGTTGCTGCTTTGGAAGTCGCTTGGGCCTGGTAGTGGGCTGGAGCTTGACAGCCCGGATCGCTTCTGAAATGGTAGGAGAGCTTCCCACGCGGATTCTAGGACCAATGATGAAGCTTGAGATGATTTTGGGCTTGGCAGAATTTCGAGACTCAGGTGGTAAAAGTAAGAGGGCATCCCGGGCGATGGCTCACACGTTTGAGCGCGAGATCCTGACGCCGTCCGAGTTGCTTTCGCGATAAGACGCGGTTAGTCAGCAAACCCGGATTGCCTTAAAAGCCATCGTCGCGCCATCTAAATCAATTCAAACCGATTCCCACCAGAGCATTTATGGAAAGTGAAATGGTCCTTCCAACTTACAAGTGTGCCCTCTCCTGTTCAGTCATGTAGCCCAATAAACGTTCACGATTCGCTGGACATTGTGGACTTACCACGCACGATCTGAAAAAGGGCCCCAGTAGCTTCAGTCGTAACGATTGTCAGTCTACTGCTCTTTGATATTCTTTGAGCACATCGAACTTATTGAATAATTCTTCGTCCAATCTAGCCCGCCGGAACCAATCCGGTGGCTCCCATTGCAATGCAAAGAGCGTGATATACGCGTCATCGACATCATCCGCTGTGTAGTTGACCAGACAACAATTATCTTCCTGGAAGTTGGCCGGTAGAGCAGGTGAAAGATCGAAGTCTCCAAGTCCGGGTGGGTTCATTTTGGGCTCTATTGTTTCAGTGGTGCCGGAAAAACTGTCAGCACTAAGAGCGTCTCCAGGAGATATATTCTAACGAACTCGCTGGGACGATGGCAGCGAGTGCCTACAGTTGTGTTTCTTCGCTGGGTCTCGTATCGGCCGAAGGAATATGCCGTGCCTGTAGTGGAGTTCTGGGGTTATATTCTTGATTGGGAAGCTGAGAGGGAATCCAGACGCCCGTTAGCATAGGAAATTAATTCGGCAAGAGCGTGTGGGAGTCTTTCTGGGTCAGATTGACTTAGGAATTCCCCATTCACGTCACCTACTATGTTGCGTGTAATTTCAAAATACAGCTACACTTAAAGTACGACTACAAAGGGAAGAAAAGTAGCTAGAACGGCAGTAATGCCACGTTCAATTCATAGATAGAAAGTATGACGGCTCTAGGGCCAGAAAGGAAAGAGTGCCCTGAAACCAAAAATGAAAAGGAAAGAAGCCATAGCTTCAAAACCAACCAAACGCCATGCAGGTCACAGACCCATCTGAAGTCGTTAAAACAGAATCCTCAGCATAAATCCGGGATCCCTATTTACTGTCCGCCGCGAAGACGAAGCACCAAGTGGAGAGTAGACTCCTTTTGGATGTTGTAATCGGACAAAGTACGGCCATCCTCAAGTTGCTTACCAGCGAAGATGAGACGCTGCTGGTCCGGAGGAATACCCTCCTTATCCTGGATCTTAGACTTGACATTGTCGATGGTATCAGAGGACTCGACTTCAAGCGTGATGGTCTTGCCGGTCAAGGTCTTAACAAAGATTTGCATACCACCGCGCAGACGGAGGACCAAGTGGAGAGTAGACTCCTTCTGAATGTTGTAGTCGGAAAGGGTGCGGCCATCCTCGAGTTGCTTGCCAGCGAAGATAAGACGCTGCTGGTCCGGAGGGATACCCTCTTTATCTTGGATTTTGGACTTTACGTTGTCGATTGTGTCTGAGGATTCGACCTCCAGGGTAATGGTCTTGCCGGTGAGGGTCTTAACGAAAATCTGCATACCACCACGAAGGCGGAGGACGAGATGAAGGGTGGACTCCTTCTGGATGTTGTAGTCGGAAAGGGTGCGGCCATCCTCGAGCTGCTTGCCGGCGAAGATCAGGCGCTGCTGGTCAGGGGGAATGCCCTCCTTATCCTGAATCTTGGACTTGACATTGTCGATAGTGTCGGAGGACTCGACCTCAAGGGTGATAGTCTTGCCAGTCAAGGTCTTAACGACTATGGCCGAGTTAGTACAGTAACAGTAGAGTGGCGGTGAGAGTGAAACTTACAGATCTGCATACCACCACGCAGGCGGAGGACCAAGTGGAGAGTAGACTCCTTCTGAATGTTGTAGTCGGAAAGGGTGCGGCCATCCTCAAGCTGCTTGCCAGCGAAGATAAGACGCTGCTGATCCGGAGGGATACCCTCCTTGTCCTGGATCTTGGACTTCACATTGTCGATGGTATCGCTGGACTCGACCTCAAGGGTGATAGTCTTGCCAGTAACTAAGAGAAGAGAGTTAGAAACCAGTCGGGTGGCAACGAACGTGCCTCCGCGTCGCGGAGGCAACGATAGCCGGGAGGGTACTCACGAGTCTTCACAAAGATCTGCATGGTGACGGTGATCAAACAGAGAGTGATAAAATGGAGGAGGACAGGTATCAAGAACAGGGGGGATGCGCAAAGAAACGCGAAAGGTTGGGGAAAGGGGAAGGAGGAAGTTGGGAGAGACAGGTTTATGTAGGAGAGGGGGCGAAGACTCTTAGTCAGGAAGCCTATATTTGGGAAACGACTGGAACCTTAGAGATGCCGCGTGCCGAATGAGTCAAAGTCAAGAGGCACCGGCCAGTCATTGACGCCACCAGTCCCATGTCGCGGTTCCTGCCTTAGAATGCTTATCCTTTCAGAATTTTCTTTTTTTTACAGGTTTGCCTCTCCATCCTAAATCCGTTGCCACGGAGCACTCCGGGCTATACGAAACGGCCCGAATCCAAGCTCGATGACGTGTGACGTCTTATCGCGAAAAGAGGGGGTGGACCCGAAATAGGTCTCTAGCGCCATCGAGGTACTCGGGAAACGGGGCTGAGACCGGTCAATCCGGTGGATTTGCGCCCCATTACGATAGCCCGATAGCACGATAGCGGCTAGCTGAGAAGGTCATGTGATCGATCACGTGGGAGGCATTGGGTCAGGTGATGCCGGATCCGGCATCGGAGCTCCCTACGGGGGACTGTTTACGACCAAGTCTACATTCAAGGGATATGTCTTTTCTTTGACTGGTATGCATGAAAGCTATATAGACACGATCCCGCGGTTCGTTAAGACAGAGAACTCCAGCCTTGCCGAGCGCCGTGTTCCTCGGCACTTCGAAATAAATAGAATATTGCGAGCGATCAAAGATAGAATGCGACACGGTTGCTTTTACCCGGCCCAGGCGAGGCACAGGCACTGTCGCGGGGAAAGAAGAAAAAAGAAATTTAAAATTCAACAACACACTCGGCCGTACACAGGTCATAACATTCGTGATCCTCGTTCATCGCTGGAAAGCTATGCGAGAAAGGTATACCACAAAGACAATGGCTAGGAAATAAAAGACAGTAATGGCTTGGAAAGACAAAAAGAGAAGAAAACGGTCGGTTTCTTTGGAAAACCAATGCAAAAAGAGATGTCGGGGCAAAAAAAGACACAATTCACTTAACACGCATCTCGCCGAGAGAGTTCATAGAGAGAGAGAGAGGGGGTTTAAAGACGAGTTCGCGCATCGTCATGTCGGAGGTCGGCGTAATTTCTTGTTCATCCAGGGCATGGGCATCGGAAAAATGGTCACGGGAAAGCAAGAAAGGGCTGGACGAGAAAAATTCGCGGCGGGAAACAGAGATCGTGAATAAACATCATCGTCGTCATGCGCATGCGCAACATCTGCTCGTGTCTAGTTGGCGCGAATCACAAGTCGGGAGACGAATTTGTTGGAGAGGCAGTCGAAGTCGCTGCGGTTGAATTTGGAACTTGAGCGGCTGCGGAGGTAGGTCTCTTTTCAGGGTATTAGTGGGTGTCCAACAGGATTGAGGGGGGAAGAGGGGAAAGATGTATTCTTACCGTGCTGTTCAACGTGCTGGCGAACCTCGGTCATGGTGTTGCATACGTTGGGGTTGGAGTACAGCAGCTGGTGGTGTTTTTGCGAGTCCCACTCAGTGAAGGGGGGCAGCTTTTGTGAGATTGCTTGGAACAAACCAACAATGACACCGACGGGGGTGGTCTCCATGTCGGTACAGAATTTGTCGACAGCAGCCTGGTCCGGTGTGCGGTAGGCGGAGTCGAACTGCATCTCCTCCCAGACAGCCAACAAGATAGAAGCCAGGATGAAGATGGTCGGCCAATTTTTGAGCTTATCACCACTGTACACACTGGAGTACAAGGCAGAAAGCTCTTCCAGAACATCTTTTTGAAGCTCACGCCACATGCTCGCCATAGCACACTTGATCTGGAAGTTGATCATCACGGGGGGCCATGGTCTTGCCACGGAACTTGGAGCCCGGCTCCTGAATCTGACCAAGGAATCCTTCCTCGCCACCCAGTCCCTCGACCATGGTGACGTGCAAGGTCAGGTTGTAGGCAATAATCAATTTCAATGCCTTCCGGATGACTGGCAGCTTAGTGCGGTAGTAGTAGCGGAAGGCAGTCTTGAGCATCTGCGTCAAGAACGGAGTGCCCTCAAAGTAGTCGTCGACGAACTTCTCAAAAGTTCCGTTACCGTCAATGTGACGGTCGAGGTAGTCAGACAACATAGCGTGCGAGATGCCCTCCATACCAGCGGAGAGTTTGGCAGTCTCGACTTCGTACTGCGTGGGTTCGCGGTGCATAGTCTCGACCCAGTCGATGGTGAAGCACTGCTCGTCGCGGACGTAGACCTCACGAGCATTGATGGGCAAAATTTGACCGTAGCCATGCGTAATGAATAACGTGCGCTCCTGGTCCGAGAAGCCCTTGATGTTACCAACCGAGAAGCCCATGGATATATGGCGTTCGTAGTCGGCCTTCCAGTCCTTCATGAAATATCCAATCTCCTTGATGTCAATACGAGTGCAAGGCACCTGCCACAACCGAGCATGAGACGGCTGGCAGCCTGCACAGGGCTCGCCCTTGTCACAGGTCTTCTTGAGGAACTTGCATCGCAAGCATGCACGAAGCTTGCGAATCTCGCTGGCCTGCTTTCGTTGGTCGGGCTTCAGAGGACCCTTTCGCTTGCCGACTCGCTTCTCAGTCTCGGGCTTGCCGTTCTGAGATTGCTTGCGGACCTTGGTCTCGGCAGTCTTGGCGGCTATTGGGCTTTTGCGGGATGGTTTCCGACTCGGAGGAGAAGTAGAGGACTGAGATCCAGCTGACCGCGTGGGAGAGGTTGATTTCTTAATCGGCACTGGGATAGGGCGGACCATGGCACTAGGGCTGACCGCAGACGGAGAGCGGGAGCCGTGGGAGGAGTGCTCATCATTGGCGCGGGGAATGATAGAGTTGCATATCGGAGATGTACCTGACAGGCTCAACGAGTGACTGTGGCTGTGGGAGTGGCCATGGTGGTGGTGATGGTGGTGGTTATAAGGCAATTCCATATTTGTTTCCGAGCTGGGAGAACTAATGGGATTGGCGAGATCAACGAAGCTGCCGTAGGAAGTGGAATATGAAGACTCGGAGAGACTGCGGTCGTGGAGAGTCTGGGTGGGGTTGACAAAAACACCCTGCTCGGGGAAACCAAAGTCGAGGGAACGGCGGTGGTCGACCGTGCTCCAGCCATTGTCGCTACTCGAAAGGGAACGGACCTCGAGATAGGTGTCTGTAGGCGAGCTGCTCTCCAGCATAGGGTGCGGGGCCGAATGGTACACATCCTGAAGCCCATGTGGGAAGGTCATCAGATCGGCCTGGAAGTCATGATAGGTGAAGGGCACCATATCTCCGACGGGCCCGACAAAGGCAGATAGGGACCATCGAGCAGGCCGGCGTTCATTTGGCCATGAGGAGCAGACATGAGATCCACTGGGGACGACTGAATGGCCATGGCATAGCTCGAGGTAAATTGGGGCGCGGATGACGGGTCCTCGGGCGAATAAGGCAGCGGCTGGTGCTGATGTGGACTGTGGTGTAGCTGTTGGAATTGCCAGTCGACCATCAGATTGTGGTCATGGGCCACCGACTGTTCCAGGGTGTGACCGCTGGTTTGAAGGCGCGAGAGATCGTGGGCTTCGTCAGACCGGGAGGGGTTCTGATCTACCGGCACGGGCCATGTATGCTGAAGATAGGCTCTAGAATCATAATCGACGCCGAGGAGGCCATCACTAGGTAAATCGACATTCGACATGGCGTCTTGGAGGTCCAAAACGTGGTGTTTAGGTGAGGGAGAAGGGAAGGGGAAGGGCCAGCCTGGATGAAAAGGCCTTCTTCAGAGAGTCACACAGCCATGGGGGAGACCGCGAGTGAGGCGGTGGGGGGGACAAAGCAGCGGTGAGCAAGTGATGCGCTAGGGGAGAATCGTGTGGAGAGTGGGGAGGCTGGCGGTGATGTGTGCATCACAATTGGAGCACCCGCCCTACTGCCACGCCGTACCATTTCCTGGCCTAGTTTAGTCTCTGCCGTAGTCTTCGTTCGACTCTCTCAACATTACTGGATACCCTGGGTAGCCCGGATCGCAAGGCCCGGGTCCCATGATCTTTCACTCGGAATGCGGACCGGGTAGCCTTTTCGATGAGATTCTTATTCTTATTTCTTGTAGCTCTCGGGACGCCTGGCTATGCTCTCAGGTGTGTTTACCCTATCCACATCTATAGATTGATGGTTGTTTACCCCTCCCATTTTTGGGTACTGTTGAGGTGGAGGACCGTGGGAATCGTTGGAAAGACACACGGGAAGCCAACGGAAAGGGAGATCAGTGGATCCACGAAGAGAAATTCCAAAAAAAAAAAAACAATAGAAAAATTGTAGAAAAATTAGACGAAAAAGCGTGGCAATAAGCCTAGGCCCGTGCTGCGGGTCGATCTGACATCGGGGATCGTGGATGATAGTCGAGTCCTTCCTAATCTGCTCCAATCACCGTGCCCAGTGATGAGCAGCACGCCCGTGATTCGCGCAGTCCAGGGTTTACCTCGAAATAAGGAAACTAGACCTCACGGGGAATCATGGTGGGGGCTGCCTATGCAAGTCGAAGGCAGAGTGATTCCTGTTGGAGACGACGCTGATCCAGTATGAAACCAAGTTCGTTCTTGTACTCTATCAAACCTTGAATCTCTCCCTCGGGAGAAGCGTTGGGGAAGGAGGTTCAAGAAATGACAGGTCATGACCTCGGGGCTCGTTCTCTTCCTCGCACGGAGGCTTGAGGCCTGCAACAAGCAAGGGAGAATAACAAGCCACTGGCAAAGCATTGCGGTCTTAGAGTACAACGGCACCAGCCACCGTCGCGTGCAGGAGCCCAAGAATTGGATCGATCACATCGCATGGCATGTCACGATTGGTTGCAGATTCACTGTTCGCCTCTGACATGCGGAGCATTCAATAGCTACTGCACGCTGTCATGACATGATGCATGGAGGCCATTATCCCTCATTGGGGGAAGAGCGTTATGAAGTTGCAGTAGAGCGATGTACAACATGTTCGTAGATAGAACGAAAGAGAGAGGGGTTGGCGGGCGGAACAGCCAAAAAAACCCCCCCCCTCCAAAAACCAGGAAAGTGGGGAGAACAATACCAACGTCAAAGTCTTCCACAATAGCAACGGCAGTCACGTTCCCCCTATTTGGACTGTGGGAGTCTGGTCCCGATGTGCTCTTTGTTCCGGTGATTCCATCGATTGAAAATAAAAGGGTCCCTAAGTCCATGCCACTCACAGTCGCGGGGAAACACCGACGAGTTCGATTCCCCTCTCAATCCGCATCGATAGCGCGGGAACAGACGCGCCCAGGGAAGCGCCCTGCGAGCTCACATCCGGCCGGGAAAATGTCCAGCCAAGAGGTACCTAGACCGGGGATCCCAGCCCTGTTCACGCAGCCGCCGCCCATCCGCGACCCGCTCGTGACAGAGTCTATCGATCTGCAAGACGCGACCCTTGAGAAGTGTCTCCCGTTTCTCAAGGGCATCCATAGTAATCAGAAGGGCCCATTCAATGCATATGGCGTTCCTGCACTCCAGCGTGACGATCATGTAGCCTATCTCTATGATGCCCTGGAAGATTACCCCGCTGGCTTCGTCGCCATGGATGCCAGTCGCCCGTGGATGGTCTACTGGGCCTTGGCGGGGCTGTCTTTGTTGGGTGAAGATGTTACTCGGGTTCGTCAACGGTAAGTCTCATTGCTTGTTTCATGATTGACGCCACCAGTCTTTTTTGGTGTCTTGTTTTGAATGTGCTCTTACATGCGTGGTGCTAGCCCATGCAGTTCCGGGGAACTTCTCGGTGGCTTGGGCATCACTGGCATGGCATGGCATCAACTTGTTCAGAAGAACAATCGAGGCTAATGCGGTTTTAGCGTCATCGAAACACTACGGCCGATGCAGAACCCTACGGGCGGCTTTGGTGGCGGCCATGGCCAAACATCGCATGTTGCTGGAGCTTACGCCGCTGTTTTATCGCTGGCCATGGTTGGAGGCGAAGAAGCCTTCGCGGTAATCGATCGGCAGTCCATGTGAGTTGTCTTCCCAGAATGTAATGCATGCGTCTGACCCGTTCCTAGGTGGCGATGGCTGGGCCGATTGAAGCAGGCGGACGGAGGCTTTCGCGTTTGTGAAGGCGGGGAAGAGGACGTGCGGTAAGCAATTTCATGTCTGTGAGGCTCGATCTAGGCTCTGACTTGTCGTGGCAGCGGTGCATATTGCGCTATGACGATCATCTCGCTTCTTGACTTGCCCCTGGCTCTGCCGCCCCATGCGGTAGCTCGATCTGCAGGGATGGAAACATTCACGGATGAGCTTCCTAATTATTTGGCGAGGTGTAAGGCATGTCGTTGTTGGTGGTACGGACGCCGGTGCTGACAGATTTTGTGCATCTAGGTCAAACCTTCGAGGGAGGTATCTCCGGTAGCCCTGGTGTAGAAGCCCATGGAGCATATGCTTTCTGCGCATTGGCTTGCTTGTCGATCATAGGTCCCCCGGAGGAAACAATTGCCAGGTACGAAATTTCCGGCGACCACTAATGACGATCGATGTGATGCTGACCACTTTGAAGATGTATGGATCTGCCCCTCCTTCTATCATGGCTATCTGCTCGGCAGAATGCTCCGGAGGGAGGATTCTCCGGAAGGACAAACAAGCTAGTAGATGGATGTTACAGCCACTGGGTCGGCGGATGCTGGCCACTGCTGCAGTCTGCAATGGATGGAAAGCCGCTATCTAGCGGTCCTCCCACGCAAACCGTGGGCAGTTTGTTTAGCCGTGAAGGATTAGACCGATATATCCTCAGCTGCTGCCAGTCTCCGCACGGCGGTCTTCGCGATAAGCCGGGAAAGTGCGTGGCCGGTCTATCCTTGATGATTTTACAGAGATGCTGACCATGATCCCAGGAGTCCGGATTGTTACCACACCTGCTACGTGTTGACGGGCTTGAGCGCAACTCAGTACAGTCATTACCGCACAGACACCAGTGCTTCGTCCAGCGAGACGTTTGCATCCGCCTTTTCCTGGAAGTCCACGCCGATCCGCAAGGATAATGTCTTTGAGAAGAGCGACCGACTCACTGCTTTCCACCCGGTTTTTGTCATCCCGCACCAAGCCGCTGAGCGAATGCGTCTCTGGTATGAATCTGAAGCCTTCTGAGACCAAGCAGCTGCGATACGCAACACATATTTCCCACATAGGATGAGCTATGTTAGGCCACAATGATAGATCCATGAGCTATGAGACCCAAATGAGTGCAGGATGGAATCGGGGACCGAGAGCTTTCGGCTATCAGAGCAATTAGCGATGAGCCGTCAATGAATGACTAGCAGAGCCCTAGACAGGTGAGGGTTTCCCCGTGCAAGCCACGCGGGCGAATTGTCAAAACGCACGGGATTTACTCATCGGGGCGGCTGAAAGAGGTGCAACATCGGGCTCGGAGCATGTATTGTCAATTTTCAAGTTTTCACTTCGAACTTTACCCTAGTAACTCCTATGATCTGGAGAAATCGTAGATCACTGTTCGCCATCAGACAGACCGAGGCACTGCACGAAGCCCAAGAGGGCAAAAGTCCCAGTCATCACGGGCGCATAATAAATCAACGCCTATCCCCCACCGCAGTGCCAACTCATCACTGCGTCCGAGATGCCTGTCGAGTAACTTTGTCTGTTCGAATCGTTCCGAGGGGTGCGTGCATCAGAGTCCACAAGTCAGACGCGTTCTGCACAACATGAGGGGCCTTGGCGCCTATCGCCGCTCAGGCCGTGGACGGTGGATTTTCCTGCGCGGTTGAGATGAAGATCCCAGGACTATACGTTTAGGTCTCAGAGAGTGTCTTCTGCGCCTAGTGCGGGGGCTATTTCCCATTTACCCCGAGTTGAAGCACCACTTGACATTGACTCGGAGAGATTCTGAATATTCCCAACCAGGGTTCAGGCTGCGAATCTCGATGCTTCCGCTTGATCGGCGGATTGCAGGGGGCTCAAAAAGCCGGGCCCACGAAGGCCGGTAGTGTCCTCAACTCGGCTCCATTCGACTGGCAAGCAGCCATGCCAGCGCATCAGTACCTTAAAATCCGCCGAAAGACGGGCGCACATCCAATTGCCCCTCAGAGAGTCAGAGGAAGACAGTGCGGGCTTTTTTGCCTTGGTGCCCCGGTCCAATCTCTTTTCTGCGTGCCGCATTTCATGACACCGAGCCTACCGATACCCTAATGCGACCCAGGTTTTTACATTCCTGGCAGTGTATACCTAGGTATCCCAGGTATTCCAGGACCCCGGACCCATGTTCAGGACAGAGAGTCAACAGGTATCGAAATCCTGTGTTCCGTGTTTCTGAGTTCTGCTCCAATTGAGGGCAATCGGACAGGGGAAAGATGTTGCTTCCTTCGTCTATCTCTATCCCGATCCGGAGAAAGGTACTTGCTCATTGACTGACACGTCGGATCTTAAGTTAGGTGTCGAGCTAGAGGACTATTCGTCTTGATTGCAACCGTTGCCTCTTTCATTGTGTACTCTGTACACGGGACAACTCACGGTATGACTCTTTGTATCAATTGCCCCACCTGTTTCCAGAAGAAGTAATTAAGTATAGCTTGAAAGAAACTCCCTGAATTTTTCATTACTGGACTTTTCTCTTTTCCTGGTACCGTGTAATTTTTTTTATTAACTTGTTGTGTGGCTTCCAATGTCTCCTTCGATTTACTAAAGGCCCTCTCTCCTCCTCTCCTCACCCCCTTCGCACAATCCGGCATCCAAAAGATTCACTGTGGTTGGCGTCTGACCAAACGTCCTGGGTGTGCTTCCTGTCTAGCCTTGCGGCAAATAAGACCCTCAAGGGTACTATTGTCGACTGTTGGGCATCACCATCCGCATATCTTGTCGCTGCACCGACAGCCTCGGCCTCAGCCCTACCCGCTCCCCGTCGCAAGTCAGCCAATCCATTCAATGCTGTCGGGGTAGCCGCCTCTCGCGAAGTCGTCAGTGGGCACCACATCCGCTTTTCCCTTCTTGACTGGTCCAGATCTCACCCGAGATGTACTATATCCTCTACCTGGCAAGTAAGTAACCCCGTCTCGCATGGCGTCTTTTCCCCCCATCCCTAGAAGCCTAGCTGCACTAGGGTATGACTTCAAAATGTCCTGTTACTTATGACGGAAGGCACCCAATTGACAATTTCCGAACAGGTCTCTGCCGCCGCCGCCGCTGGCCAGAACCAACCTACGAAGCTTACGCCACATCTGGCGGGTATACGTGCGTGGCACGGGTCAACAACCGCGAATATCAGACTGATAGCACCCACGAATCCGAGACCCTGGCGCGCGAAAATGCGGCCATGCGTGCGTACCTGATCTGCCGCAATTTCTCCGTCAATGATGGCATGTATCCGAGTGGTCATAAGCACGGTGGCGCTGTGCAGGGGATTCCTGTTGCAATTGGCACGGGACGCAAGACCAGTCGCGATGATGATACTGATACCTCTGTCAGTAGTGGGGGGAGCTGGAGTGGGGGCAGTAGTCCCGAGCGCATGATGAGGTTGGACGCGGAGGGACAGGTCGTTGTTCCTGCGAGTGTGGCGAGGAGGGTGCTTGATTATGCGAGGAATTAAGGTATCAGGGGCTCAATCTGGTGATGTGTTTGAAGAAGAGGGGGAGGGGAGGGGCTATTTTATGTCTCCTGCAGAGGGATGGTGGGGGGTTACGACTTAACGGCTTATGATGATACTTTTTCGCGGCTTCGTTTGCGGCTCTACTGAGCTTTCATAGATGAAAATGTGTGACTGTTGGTTGATGCTTTGATGATCTGGGCTTGAGCCATGGCTGTGTTTTGAACTAATGGTACATAGATGGTGGATTGGTTTCGAGCTTCAACATTGGGTCTTCTGGAATTTTGCATCATTATGGAGATCAGTGGTTAACGATGGCTTTGTGCGACTGTGCGGATCTCTCAAGCGCTGTGGACATGATCTGTTGTGCTCTTGATCTTCATCTTCATTTAGCGTGGCTTGTTGGTCGATGGGTATTCCGATGACGATGTGATGAACATTTCTATAAACTTTCTGGCTCTCGATTACGATTCAAATACATTCGTTTGCTCTCTTCCGGTTTAATATATAACAATCGCTTGTTCCTTGGTCGGGACATCGCATTGCGGGAATGCATCAGAGTGGTAAAATCTATGTTCTCCATATTTGAGATCGGCGTTGAAGATCCACGATATGTGATTTCGTAACAACTATTGAACACTAGAACGCTGAACAACTATTTGTGCAGGTGCATCTGGTGAAATCCGATGTGCCTTCGGCGCATCAAATTCTCATTAACATCCCCTTGAACAACCAATGGTTCTAATCTCAGCCACTCAGCCCACAGTAAGCTAAAGTTGGCAGATCTCAAGAAAGCATAGGGGAAGCTGCGATTTGAAAACAGAAGACTAATGTTATAGTCTAGTTCCTGGCTGAGCCAATCAATTCAAGACACTGCAGGTCCTGCCCACGCGACCTTCAGATTGAAGTTACCTGTATCTTATTTTAGATTACTTACTGCGATTTTACAGCATATTAAGCGATCTAAGAGAAAGTAATCATTGGTTTCTACGCGTTGTAGCATTGCGAAAATTGTCGCAATGTTTATTTTTCCTGTCAATTCTAAACAGAAATTGCATAATAAGCGCTGACAGGAGGGATTGGCTTGAACGCATCTCTCTGCAACTCGAACGCCGGTTCAAAAGTCCAAGATAAGGCAAATACATATAATTCAGGAAGAACAGGCATGAAAGAACAATTGCTTCAAAGCTCCCTTGTAATTCTGTAGGACTCTTATCATTCATCTGTTGATGCACACTGCGCAAGCACCTTGTTGAGTGCAGATTGAGGTGTATCTTGTTTCAGGAACCCCATTCAAATATGATTGAGATCAGCAAGGAGACCAAACAGACGAGCGTAGTCGCGTTCGCATTGAAGGACTACGAACGGTGAGAAACACTTGGCAGCGGTGTGAGACGTGAATATTCACACAGATGTGAGGCAGAAGAGCAAGAGCCCGAAGATAAGGGCGTCTGTACAGCAGAAGCAACCCCTGCCTGGAGATAAACAAAGTTCTTTAGATCTGTTCCAGAAAGCATTTAACCTTTCACCAGCCTCAAACACCGCCACAGCAGCCCAAAATCCGCCACTTATCGACATGACGTCACGCCGCCGATCCAAGGCAGCGCCAGATGACATCGAGAATTGTTGCTGTACCTGGACCTAGATCTGGCTTGGGCCTAGCGGTCTTGACCGCGCACGCCCAAGTCTTCTCCACAATTCCTTGAAACACCTTTGCGTCATGAAGTAACCGCGCCTCACTTTTCTCTCTTCTCTCCATAAACATACCTACGGATGTCCTCTAGCTCCCTCACTCCGCAATATAACTATCCATACTGAGCGAAAGGACAGACCACTCACATAATTCACGATGCGTCACGCGACACGAAGCTGCGCGCCCCTCGTGTCGATGGCAAGACACCAGGCGCGCTGTGGTGGAATACCTGCGTTAGCTGGCAGATCGGGGACGATTGCTCTCGGTGGATATCGCCAATTGCACCTGCTCTCGAACGATCGGTTTGGGAGGAACAATCCATCCCGATGGCGGTTGTCAACCTCACCGACGTTATTCACACCCAATGTTGGAGCTCTTCAGGGGCTAGGACAGACCCAGTCTCGCTTCTTCAAAAAGGCAAATTACATCGAGAGAATTGGCGACAATGAAAGGACCGAAGATGTCCTTGAGGCGCTTGAAGTCAGGGATGATGAGCCGGACACCAGCTCTTCACCGAAAGTCCTCAATGCCAAAGGAGAGAAGCCATCCACAGAGCGACAGGATGCCAAATGGTCTGAAGACATGACCAAGGGTAAGCAGCAATCCATGGCAACACAATGTGCACCAGCTGATCGTCATAGGGAAAATGCTAACGACCCCTTCCCGACTCTTCAAATTGATTATTCCTTTGACCACCGTCGACACACACGGCAACAAAGGTAAGTCAGCTTTTCCCTCTCTCTACCGCAACACAAAACTGAGAGAAATTAGGACTCGAACCGATCGCCATATTGGTCCACCCGCACCAACCACTCTCCTACCTCGAGCGCCTCATTCAATCCGAAATTTCCCCCAATCGAAGGCAAAAATGAAAAGCTCCGTCCGCCGGCCGTCTCATTCATTGCCTTACAACACGAAGATAACGCAATCAGACCCCGCAAGCGCATTGATGATGACCTGAGTGATACCAAAGGCGGAAACCCCGATGAATACCACAACAAACCCGTCCAGCGCCGCCGATCGCGTGAAGAAGACGCAGAAATCTACAGCTACCCCCGCAAAACAGATTCCAGCCTCGACCCTCTAGAGGGCCAACCTGAGCGATTCGTCCGATGGTCCCAGGCGACCGAAGTGGGTGATTTCATCCGCGATGCTTCCCGCGCAGGGGAGTTCATCGTGACAATCGAGGGTGCGCCTGAGGGGTTAGGTCAGATCCGGGTAACTGTGCCCTCGTTCCACGAACGGACATATTTCCTGCGTCTCAGGTTGCGGAAACTATCCCGTCGCATCCAAGGGATCGCAGATATCAAGCATAAATGTGACGAGCTCGCGCACCGCGGGGCGCAGCGTGTCGCGATGGGCGGATTCGGTATTCTGGCTGTTTGGTGGTACAGTGTATACAAGTTGACCTTTGAGACGGATTTGGGGTGGGATACCATGGAGCCAGTTACATACTTGGTCAGTTTATCCACGCTGATGGGAGGTTATTTGTGGTTCTTGTACCACAATCGGGAGATCTCCTACAAGTCTGCGTTGGACTTTACAGTCAGTGCAAGGCAGAAGAAGTTGTATCAGTTGCACAATGTGGACTTGCAGCTCTGGGAGAATCTGATTGATGAGGGCAAGGCTATTAGGAGGGAGATCAAGAGTATTGCGGCCGAGTATGATGCTGAGTGGAACGAGAGGGCGGATGAGCAGGATGAGAGGGTCACAGAGGCGTTGAGGTCCAAGAAGGAGGAGGAGGACGACAAGAGGAAGAATAAGAAGGATAAGGACGTTGAAGCCGATTGATTGAGTAAAGGCTCGGGAGTTGGATATCATTCTGGTTTAGATCTGGTTTTAGATCTGGTGTCTCTCTTGTCTACACCGAATTCATAGCGCTTTCAGATTTCTCTTTGTAATTATTACTTGCATTACCCTTTTGACTATCCCCGGGATTCAACTGATTATATTCTCATCTCATTTTTACCAATCATCAACTTCTAGGCACTGCCTAGTATCGATCACAACGTTCCATTCCGCACCGGGTCATAGTACCCTTTCTTCGGCAAAGTCGTGTCCTCAACCTGTTTCTTCCCTATCCCCAAATAACCCCATTAGCCTTTTCTCATCAATCAACAAAGATCGCAAAACAATCAGACTTACCATCAGTGACAGCTCCACTCTCCCCCTTCCTCCGATTACGATTATTGCGCACATCTCTCGACCGAAACACACTATACAGCAACCAACCAGCAACCCAGTTCGGCCCGTACTCGCCATTTGTGCCGCCCTGGTCAAAGCATCGCCGCGTCATGGGGCTTGCATTGCGCCAGATCTCCATAATAGCGTACCGCTGGTGGTCAGGACGGATATGGTGCCAGAAGAACGGGGACGGGTGTTTGGGTCAGCGCGAACACTGTCAACGAGGTAGGAGGTATCTTGGTTCATGCGATTGTAGACGATAATAGCTTCATCCTGGAGAAACTTAGTTTCATTTTTTTTGGGATCCGACGAGAAAAGGACATATTTCGAGGGTACTGGGCATAAATGGGCTGGTATAGAGCCGGGAGACGGGATACTTACTCGCATGGCGCGGTAGAAATGCTCATCTTGTGGATTGTGCGCATTCAGATTCAGCGCGTGCATGAATTCCTCTTTCGAGACTCGGGGCCCGACGGGCGCCATGGTGTTAGTGAGGGCGCGAGGTATATAGAGTAAGTTGTAGAGTCGGAATATGTATACGAGTGTGCTGCTGAGCTAGGGAGTCCGGGATGTCGTGTACACCGGATCAAGAGTATATCTCGAAGAATCGCTTATCAAACTTGGGAAGTAAGATGGAGTATGGTTGCGTGGATTGTTTTTGGGTCCTCAACTTCCAGCTCTTTATATCGTGAACAACACCGCCCCCCAATTCAAATTCGACATCCCAACGGTGATCTCATTCAACGGTCGCTAGTGCCGTGACTTGCAGGCCGTTGGGATAGTCAAGGATGTAATGCAATCAGATTGCCCTGCGGAACGGAGCAGGACGAACGGATAACAGACAATCGGAGGATGAGGGCAATGCAATCGAGCGAGTGGGTAGGTCGAGGCGGAGGACAGTGCAGATGGGCTCTGTTCGTTCTGGCGGACAGGGAGACACTCGGAATTAAACAAGATGAATGACTAGCCTCGGGAAGTAATTCGCACAATTCTAGGATATAAAATGGAAATAATAAAAAAATAATGTCTAGGTCGAACAGAAAGGGTAGGGTGGCAGAGTTAAGCTCGTCCTTTTTCTTACTGTTTTCGGGTATTTGAATCATCCAGGATGCGCATCGATGCGTCTGTAAGATTCGTCGCTTCTCTTTGGCTGTGCTGGTTGTACAATGTGTCTGTTCGTCCATCGTACACCCGTTGGCTTCCAACCCCAGACTACTCATGTTGGACATGGGATTTTTGTTAAAGCTGTCAGATTAATTTTTGGACTCGTCTATATGAGTAGAGGGCATAACGCTTAGAGGTGTATATCATATTGTGTTAGACACGACCATATGCACCCCTAGATACAGAAAAGAAAGCTGGCAAACGGAACTCTACTAAGACCATGAGCTCGATCTGCAGGAAATACATCCTTTCGCCGAGATGTTCGATCCGACACAGAATGTGCATCATGAGACATAATCTGGAGTCGAGGACTAGGCGCTGTGGACAGCGTAGGACTTTCGAAGGAGACTTCCCGAGATCAAGTCCACTATCCGAGACAGACAGACGGGAGGTTTATGTAGATTTGGATGCAGGGAGAGTCTTCGAGCCAAGTACAAATCTAGTTACAATCAAACATTGTAGTTTGGCCGAGTCAAAAACTTTACATACATTCGAGGGACGTATGCTTCTATCCGTAGTAAAAAAAAAGCCCCCCCCTATCTAGGACAACATATCAAAATAAGCACCCTTCTCTAAACTTTACCTCTCTTTCTCACGTCTGCTCATGACTCGACGACAACGCTCCCACTCACGATAGCTGAAAACAATCATTAGCCTCATTTCCATCTCCAGCGATCAATAATCCCAATAGGGCAGGAACCTGTACCGGGCTGCGGCCCAGCAAGCATGCCGTGTGACGCGCCAAGCCGCGCCCAGACACCGATTGAATCACAATCTGATACTTGACAAACCGAGTAGCCTGCATACAATCCACAAAGACCAGTCCGGCCAAAAGGCTGCATGGATTGCGGGGAAAAGGATAGATAACGTCCTATCCGCAAGACACAAAGAACCATATTCTTGAAATCGTTTGTTCACCCAAGTAACCAGGCCCAGAACGGCAGGACACAGAGCCTCTCGTCCAACATGACCACATGCGGAAAGAGTGTAAGACAAATGAGCCGAAACCACAACGTGGACAGCTCTGAAATCCCCGGATGAAGGAGTGACAGACCACTTTCGTGTATTCCCTCGTCCTGGGAGGGAATACAAGAGCCATGTGTCTACGAACTCCAAAGCAAGGGGAGGGGGATACCAGGAGATAGAGAGTCATGTAATACTGGCAACTCAAGAAACAGAGTGGTAAAAACGGGGTGACACAGACTCAAAGTCCCTTTCGGAGCTTTTCTGGTTTTGCTTTTTCTTTCGGGACTGGCTGTAATATTCAGTCGCCCATCGAACAGGATCCGGATGTTACCATAGTAAACACGAGGCCGCGACACGTCGTCCGCAGCGTGGATTCGATGCATGTGGCCGATAGTGAGTGACGCTATGATAGAGCACTTTTACTTGAATCGCTCGACAAGTTGCCGATGATCTCTCCAGATGATCTCGGATGATCTCGACGAACGATTTGGGGAGATGATAGAAGAGAAGAAAAGAATGAGCCGTGAGTCTGGTCATCGGAGGGACTGATTTGCCGCATGGATTTCAACAATCGACTCGATCAGATGCAGGTCGCCGGGCCTCCGATTTTCAATCGAACCTTACCCATAGCTTCAGGTGTGGATATGGGCTCGGGTGGAGATGCAGAAATTCCCCGGGGAAGCTGGGGAGCTCTTCCGTGACCCGATTATGCCATATTGTCCGTTGGATGGAGGCTTTGGCGTGGATCTGCACTTGGATCGGGTCTTGACTTTAATAGAACTTGCTGGGGATTGTGTGGCGAGCTGCTGGGTTGTTTGAGTCTTGTATTGGGTCAGACTCGAGGTGAAGCAGAGAACGAGAAGTACCGAGACCCCAAGCACTACATATCTATATATGAACAGAAAAAAGAAAAAGAAGTGATCCTTAAGACAAAAGTAAAAATAAAATGCTTGAGATTGAGATTGAGATTGATCTACATGATCGACTGCGCCAGTGCGGCTCTGGGGGAGTCGATTCAAGCTTATCGAACGACTCTTAGACCCGCGGTGGCTTACGGAAACTTTCTGAGGCACCAATCGTCCCCCTGGATGCATGGTCTCGGTGGAGCAGGGCCTGGTTCTAGCCTGCATCTTTGGTCTCCGTGGTCTATGCACGTCTACGCGCTTAATTTGTACTTCCCCGGTGTGACTCTCCTCCCGGTTCTCGAGAGCCACAATAGAGCCGGTCCTCGGAAAAAAAAAAATAGGGTAACATGCACGGCGTGGAGGAGTTGGCCAGGTAGGAGCCCTCGGGTTCCGTTCAAATACTCTTCAAATCCCTCTGGAAAAAGTGCACTGTCGCTAGTTTCCCCCACAGATTCTCGACTGACCGTACCTGAGGATTGTCACCAACAGTCGAGCCGTGGCGGGTTGATATGTACGTCAAGAAAGCAGAAACTGGAACAAATCAAAGGCCCTTGCAATGCTGCGTCCGTCGCTAAAAGAGAAAAGCAAACTGCGAGCCGCTTATTTCTTCGTGGGCTCTTCCTTCTTTTCCTTCTTCTCCTTGTCGTCCTTGTCGTCCTTGGGCTTTGGCTCTTCTTTCTTAAGCTCCAGCTTCGTCTGTTCCTCCTTGGGTTCTTCCTTCTTGGGCTCCTCCTCCTTGACCTCCTCGCCGTAGTACCTGCGCAGGAACTTCTCGACCTTGGCATACTCGACCTTGACTTCCTTCAAGGTGGTATCGATTTTCTTCAAAGACACCGTCTCGTCCGGCTCGTCTGTCGAGCCGGACTCGTCCTTGCCGGCGCCGTAATGCTGGATCTTTTCGCAAGCGTCCTTAACGTTAGTCAAGCCCAGGGTAGCCGAAGAGCCCTTCAGGAAGTGACCGAGCTGTGAAAGCTCCTCGAGCTTCTTCTCCTTCCTGTGGGATGTTAAGACTGGGTCTGCATTGACAAGCTGAGACACTTACAGTGCGTTCTCCATTTTGTCGAATGTGTTGTGAGCCTGGTCGAAAAAGCCGTAGACGATGCCCTTGCTGAAATCCCGGTCATCGTCATCATCCATTTCCAGGATTTGCTCGAAAGTGCTCTCATCGATGAGCTCCTTGACGTCAGAGAGCTTGGGAGGAGCGCTCTTGGGCTGGTCATCTGGTTAGCATGCGATATGCGAGGAACGCAGCGAAACATACCGCCTCGGCCTTGCTTTCAGGGGGAGCCATGTCGTGAATGTGGGGGAGTAGAAAGTGCGAGGAAAGGATCAACTAGTCCACAGCACGGTTCGTCAGGTCGTAGAAATCGAACTCCGGTTGCCCGGTCTGACAGTGAGTCCAAATCGAGGAGCTCGACAGATCTGTGTAAGTTCTTGGTCAGCCACATTTTATCTCCACGTGAATGCCACATCTTGGGAGGCGCAAAGGGAGGAATCAGATCGGCTTGGAATGTGATCCCAGGCTGGGACTACGACCCCGCTTCATTTCCGAAAGAGAACCGTCGAAACGTCGAACCGTCGAATGTGACCCTTACTAAAGCCAAGGGTGTATTACAGATCGAGCGTGTGAGGTGTTAGATGATCACCGGAGCGGCAGGTATGATACTGCTCCGGGTCAACGCGCGGGTCAGGGGGATTAATGGGACAAGCCACCGAGGAACGAGCCAGGTCTGAGTGGTGGTGCTTTGAAGCGGGCCAGCCCAGCCGGAAGGAGAAGGGAAGCAGGAGGGGCTTACTGTGCGAGACCGCAAGCCGAGGGGACAGGGTTGGGAGGGACGAAGAGGGAAAAGGAAGTAAGTGGAGGAGTGTGTACACGCCCTCATAAGTCAAGGCTTGGCCCAATACACCCGCGCATATACTCTCGACCGTCGCGGGGGCTTCCAGCAGCGAGAAAGAGACCCAGGGTCCCACACGAACGGGAAGACAAGAGAGATGCGCGAGTATGAAAAAGGAAATAGAAACTGGGTCGACACAAAGACCCAAATCTCCAACAGAAAGGGCAGATCAATCGGGTATCGCGTGTGGAGGGAATTTTATGTCAGGGCTAGAATGGGCGAGGAGGGGCAGAATGTCAAACGCGGATTGGAGTTCATCCCACCTTTCGTGTTCGGATCTGTTCTGGAGGCTCAAAGCTTCTCACGGCAACCTGGATACCTTTTTATGGTTGTTCTAGGAACAGGGAGGAGGTTTCACCACGCCGGGAGAGGACACGCGAAGGGAGGAAGGGAAAATGGGGTTAGCGAGGGAAAGGGGAGGGCGGAGAACGTTTAGGGTGGGTAATTATCGCGGCCCTTCACAAACCGAACGAGCGGAGGACAATGATTCCTTCTCCGCCCTCCCGCCTTCTGACATCTCCTAGTTCATTAATCTGATTGAAACACTGTTCATTTCTAAGTCATCACTATGCTAGAGAGAGAGAGAGAAAGAGCTTCTTCTGTTTTCACAGCAAGTGGCTTTCTCACTGGCGGAATGTCTTCTGAGGCCTCCTGTATACTTGGGAATTGTGCGCTAATACGCATCTGGACTGATGGCTTGTACTTGGGAGTTGCAAATTTTCTTTCATATTAATTGTTGGCTATTTTAAAAAAAAAAAATGGGTGAGCCTGGATCATGCAGGGAGTCCGAACGACTGTATGCTATCCCTCTCAGGCTGCCGATTTCCGGTGACTCCCCCCAAAACGGCTTTTGAGACCGTGAAACCCTCTCCATCTTCCAGAACCATAATCCCTGTCTGCGAACTTGAAAACTGAAAGCTGAAATTTCGAAATCTGAACTCTGAGGTCATGATTGGATCATGGCCCCTCCGGACACCTTCCACCATTAGCGGTCCGTGGAGGGAAACGAACCCCGGGCCTTCGATCCACCGGAACACCATGTGAGCTCTGAGATCATTTACCCCCCCTCAGCATTTACTGGATGGGTACATTCCGCGAAATGGAGAGTGGGGAAGAAACAAAAATACTGGGCCCTCAAGTGGAAAGATGGCTAGCGAAGCGATAGTCTTGACCAACTGGGGCCAGAGATCTGGCAGCGGGCAGGGGGTGCAGCCGCAAAACGACATCATCGGCCCGCCGATCCCAGACCCAGGCACGTCACTCCCTTCTCTGCAAATGATGACGGTTGGTTGCTATAACCCCCGAACCACACGTGGAACCCATGATAGCAAGCCACCAGCAAACACAGACAATCTCCACTTGCGTTAGTTGATAGATAAGGGTGGGAAATGGTCATACGGTCCATTCGAGGTAAGAATAGTGAGCCTAGTGTTAATATCTTTTAGGGGGGGTTTTTTTTCTTTTTTCTTGTAGCCGCAGTCCCGAAGGGGCGAGAAGGTGGGGGGGGGGGGGATTGGGAGGCAAATGAGCCATCACCCCAATCAAGATTTTGTGTCGACAATGCATTGGACCGCGAACCGCGAGAACCTGACCCAAATCCGGAGACGGTCTGGGCCCTCGTCGTCCCAAAGCCAACAAACCGGAAGGCCATTTCTCAGTCCACCTGGACCGTGTCAGGTTGCATACTTGCATGGTTTCCGAAGTGGTCAGTGTGGGCACGGCATGTTTTCCCTTCCTATGAGCTTGAGCTGGTCGGGTCGGATTGATATCGGAAGGGGTAAGCTGGGCCCCTAAGACATGAGCCCACGAGCCATTATGCTGTCACCGATGACGATGCTGGGTGGAATTGGACGTTTAGGCGGGATCACATTCCTGGGGTATGGATTATTAACATTTGACTCCAATTGAAGGACATCGGTGAACTCTCAGGTACGGAACCACCCAGAAAATGAAGCATCCATCTCTCTGCGGATTTACGCCGACTCATTTGTTTATATAGCAAAGGGGGGCTTCGTGCTCATCGTGGCCATCTTCTGGTTTTTCGCGTGAGGTGGTTCGCTTCGAAACCCGAAGACCAATCATAGGGCTGGTATGCCGCCATGACATCATAACGGATCGGCCCACCGATGCACGCCGCCTCTGATGTCATTTGTGTCGATTACATAATGGGAAATAATACGGCAATCTACATCTACAACTCCAGCCTCACGAGTCCGGGGTTATGTTGTTCTTGCCACGTCTACTCATTTTTCCCCTGCTCGGTCCAAGCTGCTCCGCCAATATCACGGTTTTGTAAATATGACTCTGATCATGATGTCAGGCTGCAGATGACCGTGCGACCTAGGGAGTCTAGTGTCCTGTACTACAGTAAAAGGGGCGCACCTGGGATGTACGACGGACGTCAGCCCCTCGCCGAGCACAGTCACGGCTCTAGCTGGGTTTGGTAAATCTTGTCCAAGGCCAGGATTGCTATGCTACACAGCGAAAGCAACAGCCACACCCGCAACCGCCAATGCCATAACATGCCGTCTCGTGACCACCCTTCCAACAAACGCCATTCCCAAATGGGCCATCAAAACCAGCCACCGACTGACCGAGACAGATCCCGTCACAATCTGGGTTCAGCAACATGACCAGCATGCAGAATCAGCAAGTCGGCCCCGCCGACGTTTGCTATTTATCACAACACGAGGCGACAGGGCGCCTGGTACCGGCCACTAGTAGCACTGGGAACTAGATCGTGCAGTGGTGGGTAATGCACAACACACCCCCGGGGCAGTTTCCACGTCGTGTATTGCAGGGTGGGAAAGTCTTCCGGTTGGTTTCTCACGGCCAAGTAACCCCCAAACTAGAAGTAGTCGTAAAGGCCAGCAGAGACTAGCAGAGGTCAAAACCATGGCCAGCATGACTAGATCAAATCCGTCAATGGAACCACGAGCTCGGCCCCGAACCTCGCCTTTAGCAGAATGTCGCAGACACGATTGCGAAGAGCCATGACACCTCTAGGGGCTCCGCAGAGCCCACGACTAGCCCCAGTTAGAGTGAAGGTAATCTGCATTCTGGAGCTTGCCCTCCCCCACAAGTTCTCAGCGGCTTCTGGAATGCTTATGTAATGATCCGAGGTCCCCTTCCGATTCAACAAAGTCGAAGCTCTCGTGAATTCCCAACAGACTTCCCCCTCGACCCAACTGGGGCTTCAATTGACCCAGACTCGACGTCGCATCAATTCGCAACCACGCCAGTCCATCCGTTCACCCGTCGACAACCAAAATGTCTTCCTCTGCGCCCACGGGGCTCACAAGAGCCTACCTCTTCACCTACAACACTCTAAACCTCCTCGCCTGGGGCAGCTGCGTAGTCTCCGTCGCCAGCCTTCTCCCGGCTGCCATCTCCAAGAACAAGATCCCTTCGATCTTCAATGAAACATTCCACCCCCTCCTGCTCACTCAATCCCTCGCCATCCTCGAAGTCGTCCACAGCCTCGTCCGCCTCGTGCGCGCACCCTTCGTCACAACCGCGATGCAAGTCGCCAGTCGCCTGCTTCTCGTCTGGGGCATCATGGCGCCCTTTGGTGGCGAGATTGTCGGTAACAGTCGTACTCAGCTCGGCGATTACGCGTACCTGGGCTGTGTTGCGGCCTGGGGAATTACGGAGATCATTCGCTATGGGTTCTTTGCAATCACGCTTTCGGGGAATAGTGTGCCGAGCTGGTGGACTTGGTTGCGGTATAACACTTTCTATGTGTTGTATCCGATTGGTATCTCGAGCGAGTGCACACTTATTTACAAGGCTCTGGGGCCGGCGGCGGAGATTGATCCGTTATTCCGGTGGGCGTTGATCGCCATTTTGGTTATCTATGTGCCTGGTATGATTTTTCTGTTACTTGAAAATTGTCTGTGATGGAGTGCAGGTTTTGCTGACTTGTTTTCAACTTCATCTTAGGCTCCTACGTGCTCTATACCCACATGATTGCGCAGCGCCGAAAGGTCCTTCGAGGAAAGAAGCGCAGTGATTAGATCTGAGGTGATCGAGTTGCCCGATGCATTGTGCTGATTGCTGGAGAGATACGGGGACGGTAGTGTTGTCATAGATATTGACCTCGACGTAGAGATCATTGTATTTAATATGTAGTTGCATAGAATATGTTCACGGTTGGCTACTTCGTAGGACCGGGTGGAAATCTCTAAGGAAGTTTATGCTGATCCCGAGACTACTGCTCCCTTGCAAGCTTCAGATCACAGTTCCATGATATTTTGCTCTTTGAGCTGAAAGACCCCGGAAGCCCGAATAATGGAAATAACTCGGAGAAATGAACATCCATTATTATTGTAGCCAAGATGGCCCTCTAGAATGGGCTCGGCAGCCTTGTTAGCAAGTAAGACTACTCTCATAAGTCCCGCATAATATCTTGCACAGCCTTCGCAGCAAATCTCTTCCTCTGAGCCTCTGGCATATCAGCGCTCATCTCTGGAACATAATCAGCACAGCCCACTCCTATGTTATACAGCCAACATACCTCGTATGGACTGCATGCGTAGCATCAGCGCCTCGATGGACTCAACCTGATCCTCCTCATTCTCACTCTCACTATCGTCATGTCTATCCCCACCACGCTCAATAGCCATGCGCAGGCCAAACATTTCACGCTCCAATTCATTGACTTCCTCCCCGAAACCTCGCGAGTGTGATTTACCACCACTCATAAACTCGTCAAAGTCGTCTTCCATATCGAGCTCGTCGGCATCGAATGAATCTCCGGAAGCTGTCCAGTCGTGAGTTTCGAGAACTTCCTTGATACGCGGCATGCCCTCGTACTCTATACACCATTAGAGCCATTCGTCAAGAAAAACTGCAAATAAAACAAGGGACAGGATGGGTTGTGATACCTCCGAACTTATTCCTCGTAACTTCACCACCTTGTTCCGCAGGGTCCCACTCAATAATCTCCCATCCAAACAACCCCATATCAAACATCTGGTCCTCCCACCACCCAACCGATAACGGTGCCGTGTCTTCCCCCAGCTCATCATCTCCGACGCCCAACCCCAACTCATCCTCGCCTGTCGTCGCAGCTGTAACTGTAGCCGCAGCTTGTGCTGTACCTGACACACTCTTCTTACCCCCAACAAGAACAAGAATACCAGGAACATCACCCATCCCTCCCCTCTCCTCATCAATAACAGACTTTACAGCCCCGACATCCCCCATCAACTCGCGCACAGCGCGCACATCCTCCCGATCCGCGATATCCGATTCGTTTCCCGTGGGATTTGAGCTCAGTTCCGGCGCATGCACGCAAACAACCAATGCGCCGACTGCTTCGCGCACAATCTCCGCTTCACCGCTGAGAAATTCCGTGCGCCATTGCTTTGAGCTTTCTGTTTTCTCGAGGAGCGGGATTTCGTCAACCCATAGGGGGATTTCGGCGGTGTAGTATTTCGTTGAGAGGCGAAGAGGGCTGTGGGTTGTGTAGCCTGCGAAGGAGGTCGTTTGTGTGGTGGGTGTTTCTTTGGATTCAGGCTCTTTCTCTCGTTGTGGGGGGTTGGTGATAGCGACGCCGGTGAGGGAGTGTAGGAGAGGTGGAATTGTTGTTAGGGATTGGGTTGTTGGTGTTAGGATCAAGAGCCGGCGGGGGTTGGTGATGGTTTTGACTTTTGATTTGTCCGCGGATGCGGAGGCCGAGGACGTTGTCATTGTGGAATAATGGGTTGCTCTCGAAGTCGTGGGACAGATAGTGGTCGTCCACAGGCAATGGTTAGTGGGGGTTTGTAGAGAGGAAGCTCCCCGCATGAGCGAAAAATGTTGCGGAGATGCGACAAGGTCCGATAGGTTATCGGTATGACCTTGCTATTACTACAGCATACTTGGAAGTGTTTCCAATATCTATTGAACATTACAAAATGCTTTGGTCTTAGGGATTTGATTACAGCCTTGGTGTATATATTTCTATGAATTGATTGGCTTTATGAGCACAGTGGCTTTTCAGCTACCAATGCAAGAAATGAAAGCCCATACCCCCCCTCCCAGCCTTGAGCTACCCGGGAAGCAACAATGCCACGATCATGCCATAATCATACTTATACTTCTGAAAGAGCTTCGATTGCCTCGGAAGCAAAGAAACTCGTCGAGTCGGGTATTCAATCATGAGTGGGAAGATAGAGTCCTCGCGGACAAATGCTCAGCGCAGCACGAAAGCCCTCGAAATTTCCTTTGGATTCTTTGAAAAACGCAACAAGTATAAACGCCAACCACTGAAAGCTGCTCTTGAAACCGCGCTCTCTCATTTCATTTACCCTCTCCGTGTCTGGCCCCGCGCGCGCTGCACAGTAGCCTTACCACGGGCCAAACCGACGCCGCGTCCGCGCACGCCTCGTGAGCGGAACATGGGAGCGTTCCTGTAAAAAAGAAAAAAATAGACGAGTCAGTACTAATCATTGGAATGTGGGAACGGACGGAACTGAAGCCCCAAGTAATTCAATTGACCGGCTGTCCACGTACCTCAGCATGTCCGGCACAATGAAAAATCGCACATGGCTACCGCGAATGTAGACCTGGTCAAGATGCGAAACACGGCCGTCGCGTGCTGTGACGGTGATATCCTTCAGTTGGACGTTCATGTTATCCTCGGCTGTGAGAGAAGGACATTGTTAGCGAGATTCGACTGGCGCGAGTTGAGCAAGTTGGATCGTCAATGAAAGATCAATCGCCCTCTTCGTCATTAGGATATATCAAGGGCCCAACCTACCTTCCAAAAGCTTCCCTCGGTAGACGACACCGGATGTGATCTCGAGCGTCACGACGTGACCCTGCAAGACGAAATTAGCGGTCTGCGCACGCGATCCAAATGACCCCCCTTCAACGGAGAGTTGTCTTCATCCCACCAAAGGCAGAAATCACAATGGATCAGCAGAGAGCAAGAACACACCTGCGCTTCGTTCAGGAGCTTGATCGGGATACCGATCGTGCTAGTGAGCTTGCCCATTTCAACGGCGGGTTGTGCGATACGAAACGGAGGATTCGATTCGTAAAGGCGAGAAATACGTTGCCACGACGACTAAATCAATCTGATCGCGATCAAGAAGTGGAAGACGAGAGGACTTGGCGGGTGGTGGGACGACGATGGAGTTGGAGGATCGAAAGGCGAGTTTTGCGGCCGAGCTCTCCCTCCTTTCCGCTTTGGGCGTCAGACCCATTCTACAATCTGTACTTTACCAGAACTTATAACCTTGACTCTACCCAACCTAGGCCTAGTCTAGGGGTCAAAAGAGAAAACGAAAGAGAGGAAATGGCAGGCTCACCAAATTCCAACCTTGCAGCCTTCAACCTGGCCGTGCAAACCCTCCTCAAACAACCGGCTCAATTCCTCCCACACCTAACCATCCCGACCTTCACGCATCTCCCTGAAGAACTCGGTCCACATCTGATCAACAAAGGCACAGAAAAGCCTCCACGAACACCGACAATCCGCGCCCTAGTCTTAGATAAAGATAACACCCTCTGCGCGCCCAAAACCACAGCCCTCCGTCCGCAAATTCTAGCAAAACTTCAATCCCTCCGCACGTCCCCAACATCCCCTTTTCACCAAAGCCGCAATCCACACTCAATCTTAATCGTTTCGAACCGGGCAGGGAGCCACCCGTCCTTCGAGCAAGAGGTGCATGAGCTCGAATCGCAGCTCGCGCATCTGCAGATCCCCGTGTTCAGGCTTCCGGAGGGGACAGCGAAGAAGCCGTTTTGTGGCGATGAGGTTGTGAAGTGGTTTAAGAAAAAAGATGTTGTTCAGTCGCCGGATGAGATTGCTGTAGTGGGGGATCGGTTGGGGACAGATGTGCTAATGGCTGGTTTGATGGGGTCATGGAGCGTTTGGACCAAGGAGGGCGCTTTTGAGGTCGGAGAGGAGGGCAAGCCTGAGAGGAACTTGTTGGAGAAGATGGAGGTTTGGATTGAGAGATATCTTCGGGAGAGGAAGGGATTGAGGGCGCCGACGCCGAAAGGGTGGGAGTCGTAAGGTCAGGAATCATTGTATAATATTTGCATTGTGGGATTACTTGTACGATAGGATGAGTTCCATAGACCAGTTCACTGGTTTCATGTAAACTGATGTAGGCCAGAAAATATGCCACTACAGAATCGGAATTTAAGGGCAAAAAGAAGTATTCGATTCGGAGCCTAGCGTCAAATCTCCCTCGTTTACCGCCAGAGCAGCGCCAACTGCAGATGCCCCCAGGATGTTTGAACCCAAGGATCAATTGAAGTAACGCCGTCATCAGACCCGAACAGGTACCGACATGGCAATGGAAGCGAAAAGGCTGACTCCAAACCCATTACTAAACCACGGGAATGCAATCCAACGCTGGGATCCATCTTGAAACCCACAAGACAAAAGTCACAAATCACACAAAAAAAGGAAAAAGGTAGGAAGATCAGGGAGTCGCCGTCCAAGTCGGTCTGTAGGGCATAACCACGTAAAAAAAAGATCCTGGCCAGTATAATCAAAGGCTCAAAAAAGGGGTGGCCAAGATAAGAAGAAAGAAGAAAGAAGAAAGGAGAAAGAAGAAAGAAGAAAAGGAATTGACCAGAACACCCGGGATTCCATGAGATTGAAAGAGCAGAAATTCGCTGCAGGACCGGCCCCAGAGTAGAAGGGTATTAATACAACGCACAAGACAGAAGGGATATATGTCACGCAATGAACAGAAATAGCAACCATTCCATCGGAATTGCTGTCCCGGTCATCGCCAGCGAGACACGAGTTCTCCAAGAATGGAGTCAACAACCATACCGCTCCTTCCCACTCAATGCTAGTCGCAATCGACGATTCATCAGGGACAATGAGGATGTCTCCGAGATGGAACCAAGAACCAAAACAAAAGCGCCACAATCACTCCAAAGTCCGTGAAACATAAATATATAAAGAAAAGCTTCAACTTCGAGTCCCGGAAGGTCATCTTGACCCGGAGGGCAGGCCTTGCGAGTTGATTTCGTCCAAGTTAACCATCCCGAGGGTGTAATCCAACGCAGGAGACGCATGACCAGACATACCGTGCATCGGTAGCTCAAAAGTAGGAGCATCGTGCGAAACCGTGTAGTTGAAGTTATGCTTGGGGTACATGTCATTCATGGAGAGGCCGTCTTCAGCAAAAGTAGACTTCTGGTCGTGCCCAAATCCGTACATGTCGGACGAATGAGACATGTTGGAAAGCGGGGGAGAGTGGTTGGCAATCATAGGGTCCGCAGGACTCACGCCAGAGTAGGGCGACGGCGCATGTGACCCGACGGCTGAAGAGTCGGAAGGTCCTTGCCCGTAGGGAACATTATATTGAGGCGCCATGCTGGCGACGGGAGTCGATTCACCATTGGTAGCACTGCTGAACATGGAAGGGCTGGCGAAGTCGGACGGCGACGTAGTGGTTGTTGCAGACATGGGGTTCGGGCGGAAATCGAGACCGTATCCATCTGTATCGATGCGCAGGTCGGTGGGCAGAGCGTGTGCGGACTGTGGAACTGGCGCATAAATGTGCGACTCGGTGTGATTAAACGGAGCCGGTGTCTGCGGTATGTTGAATGAGTTCATCGGACCCTGCAGTACAGAGAAGTCCACAGCCGCTGGCACTGAGCGACTCCGCTGGCGCTTATGTCCACGAGCAGCCGGCATGTTGAAGCCGAGGTGGTTGTGGTCTTGGTAGATATTCAAGTAGGCGGCGGGTTGGAAGTGATTGGGTTGGGAGGCTGGGCGCTGGATGAAGGGGGAGACATGGCACCAGGCATAGAAAAGTGGTTACCGTTGTTACCGTTGTTGTACACAAGGCGGTTCTGGAAAGACTCCAGAGAAACGAGCTTCGCAAGCTGAACGCTCAGGACTTTGGGGTGGCCTCCCAGGTGATGAACCATAATTTGGCTGGCTTGCTGTTCCTCGGTAAAATCACCGCATTGATAGAAACCACCAGAGTTGGACGAGTCCATGTAGAACAGGGGAGGGCGGTTCAATTCCACCACTAGACCACCAGGCCGGGGCGGTGCGCCATGGGGCCCAGGGTTCGAGTCTCCGGTTTCCAATGTTATGTTTTTGATATGCGCGAAGGGGTATTCGATCTTGTAACCAGCAGAATCATTGTTGATATAGTAGGTCATGCAGGCCTTGTCAGGCGAATAAAAGACCACCAGGTCCATGGCGTTCTGCCCGATACGGCGCCAACTTCCAATAGTCAAAGACCGGCAGGTGAAATGAGAAATCACAACTTTGCCGGTCGGGTTAGACTCATTGGGATACATGCCAGGTGTGCTGTACCCCACTGAGTGCCCAAAAGGATCCCGTGTTCCCGGCTTCGTTGGATCGAATTGCATTGCAAGATAGTGGCGCATTGACTCCGGAATTGAGTCGCAGCCCTCGCCAGTCTCAATGCTCTTCTTCGCGAGCATCTTGATTTTGGCGCGTCGATTTTGGAACCAGATCTGGACCGATCGCTCAGTCATGTTGATGTCCGATGCAATGCGTTCCCGAGTGGCCGCAGTGGGAGTAGGGTTCTTGTTGAACTCGACCTCCAGAGTGACCAGCTGATCCTGAGTTGCGCGTTGGCGTTTGTTGTTTTTCTGCTGTTGAGTCAGAGTGCTCTTGCGCGGCGGACGGCGCGAAGCAGAGCCTGAGGTAACAGTCGTAGCGCTCGAGGTGGAAGGAGAAGGTGTGGAATTTGGGGACGTGGATGAAGCTGTGGTGCCCGTGCCCGAGGGCTCGGGAGTTTCTGACGACAAAGACATGCTGCGACCACGATCCAGCAAGATATAGGCTGGAGAAAGTAAGATAGTGAGAATCAAAGATTTTCACAAAGGGGTTATTTGTTTGCGTATAGCGTAAGCGTTTCTTTCAAAGAAGAGGTTCAATGTTGTGACGATCCGGCCGACGAGTGGAGATGTGGGTGCAGAAAATGACGGATGGTCTTCGAAATCCTAGTCTCTCGAAGCAGCGTCAAGCGCGAGAGGTAAAAACGAGAAGAGAAAGAAACGAAATCGCTCTGGCGTAAGGAGATCGGATCGCGGTCGCGTTCGATTGCGTTCACGTCCAAAACGGGGGGGGTTGGGTAGTAAGGGTCACGTCGCAGAGGCGTCCCAGTAAAGGAAGGAATAACTGAAAAAAGGCTGGCCTATGCAGCTCTAGTATAAGGGCAATTGAGGCTCAGGTATCGACCGTGAAACTTGATAAAAGGTCGGACTTGGAGGAATCGCAATACCCGGGTTGAATCGATCAACTGGGGGAGGGGGGGAGGGTTCGAGAACAAGGTCGGGAAACCGAAGAAATGAAGTGACAGATGGGTAGAAAGAGTGGTCTAGGTCGCCGTTGAAAGAGTGAAACGAACGACCTGGCAAAAGAAAAGAATGGGATGGCGAAGGGAAAGGGAGGACACACCAGTGTGAAGAGAAAGAGGGAGATCAGGAGATGCTGAGTCAGTATGGAGATGAGCCGCGACTATTGGCACCTCGTGGAGCCCTCCAGTCGCCTTGGTCTCCAAACCACCAGGGCCTCGACTTTGGTGTATGAACCCCTTCTACACTCGCTCTCAAGCCTGCGTCTGCGTCTGCGTCTGCGTCTGCGTCTGCGCCGTGTCGTGGCTGTCGTTCCACCCTCCTGGCTTCTACCCTGCCCCTGCATCGGTCTGCATACAAACTTGCAGTCTGAACTTTTCCCCTGTTGTTCTGCACTCCTTACTCAACTCGGATCGCACAAATTTACGTCTGTACTACAAGTTTGTTGTACTGCGCCAGTTCACGGAAAAATAGAAGAATGGAAAGGAGTCCGCCCACGGACCTAGATCATACACTTGTCCATCAGAGTCCGTGAGCATTGTGGCGTCCCCTCAGTACCAAAGAAACCAGACAAACCACAGACACAATTCTCAACCATCCAGAAACGATAGATCGTCGCCAAATGCCGCCGAACGGCGACTCCCACGTGAGATTTGCGGGGATCTGAAACACCGGACCTATTTGTGACGGTTGACGCATCGATATAACCCTGTGCCAATGCATCGGGCTGTCTGCAGTACACTCCCTTATCACGACTGTAGCATCCACCCAAATCCTTACGGAAAAAATAAAGTCTAAGTCCCTGGGTAAACACCTTTCCCCCCCTGATTCGAGAATATGACCGCCACGACTCCAGTCCCCACCGTTGGACGCCCACGGTGCCAGGGGGTTGATCCATCAGGACAGCGCCAATGAGCGTAGAGTCTGTTTTGTGGCCCATGGAACCCCGAGACTTGCGACGGAGAAGGGGAACACCATTCAGGTACCCGCCCCGGGTTCACTGCTCATTGGTCTAGCACATCATGACAGGTCATTCCAGACCTTCAAGTCGCGTTGGACACAGTCCCGGACCAGGGTGCAACCCTGACCTAGGCCAAATCCCCGGTATTTTTAAACCCCCCCCACCCACAGCTTGGTCTCGAAAACGTTCCGTGCGCTTCCTGACGCGGTCCCATTGGCCCAATCGGTCCGAGGTGAGCAGGGATGAAGCCGTGAGTTCTCTGCAGTGCACGTCGCGAATACGACTCCGTGCGCGCCATCCGCAGCATCCGATGTTTCGAACTTTTGAACGGCAATAGGAGTGCCGAGACATCGCTCAGGCTGCTCACAATTTCCAGCCTGACTGTCAGGCTTGAACCGGTCAACCGGTCAATTGCTGACGCAACGAACAAGACCTGAATAATCAAGTTGTACCACCTCGATATGTGGTACATCCATAGAAGGTCTATTTCCGAGAAAAGGACAAGAATAGTGTGGGCGAACCCACAATCCTCGGTGGGTTTTGGCGGCGCCGCCAGTCCTTGCATGGGTATGCCCAACATGGACTAGTGTGCGCCTCCTCGTTGCGAACCACTCGTGCCGCAATAACTATCTCGCGCTACCTGTACACTATTGAACGCGGACTAACTAGCATTACTTCATGGGCTACGTCAAACACAAGCTTGTGTCCAGATTTTCGACGTTCTCCTTGCCACTGGAAACCGGTGGATACGTGTCGGAACCTTGCCACCGCGATATATTTAGAAACAGGCCTGTCAAAAAATGAACAGACAGCTTTGCTGATCCATGGCCCTTATCCTATCATCTCCATTCGATAGCGCAGTGACCGGCTGCGAACCGATAGAGCTTGCCACCTGGGCCTCATCACTAATATCCCATATTCTCTCAGTGAGATGCATTGCCATATTTCTCTGCTGTTCACGATAGTATTCAGTCATCGACTCATGCTTCTGCCGTACCCACGCGCGATCCTCAGGAGTGATAGCTTCCCGAGCAGCAAGATAGAACGGCTGCGGCAGAGACGAATCCGGTCCACACCCAGTAGACAGTTGATCCATGAGGCCGAAGCACGTGTGCATCAGATGTTGCACCCGGAGACTGCGGGTCGAATCGCGAAACACGCGACGTGCCAGCAATAGATGTGCCGTCCAGTAGAAACATTCGGTAAGGATATCTAGCGGCGGGCGCACGATGTCTTCTGCAATACTCTCTGAACCCGCGAATTCATTGCCCCAAAATCGAAGGTCACTTTCGAGCCGATATGCCCGTGCAAGGATATCGTTCATCGACGCAGCCTGCTCCAGCCGCTCTTGCACGTCGCACGCCAGATGTGAGATGCTGACGAGGAAGCACATTAGCGGCTGGGGACAGCCGGTCATGTTGCGGAATGAGGGCGTCGAGTTGTCCCATCGCTCGGTATCTGGCTCGTGAAGTACAAAGTTGCGCGGGGCGTAGGGTCGTCGTTGCCGGGAAATGGCTAGCATCACGTCGACCATGCCGAAGCGTTGTACTGCCATGCGTGCAAGCGTGCTGTGCGGAACATGTCTGAAGTGGTCCAGGGTTTGCATAAGGAACGAGGCGCATTTGACGTGTGGTTCTAGGACGCCGTCGGCCGACTGGGCCACCACCACCCCTGGAGGACAACTGCCGTGAGGAGTGCTTCGTGATCTATATTGTTTGCTGCGGAGCCCGTCATGTGGATTCCTGTCGCATCTATGCCATGTAGGCTATGTCCAATGGTTCTGAGCATTTGTTGCTGGCGCTGTGCTGCCGTTGACACCGTTCCCAGGCCAAAGTTAAGCATGTGCTCTGTCGCGATGCAGACAATAGTCTCAAGTAAAATTGGCGACGTCAACGCCGTGAATGATAATTGCCGGTATGGATTGTCGGGACCATCCAGCGCCGGTACATTCGAGGATACCAGCCGCACATCTGAAAGATTTGTTCAGTACCGTAGACATGGGACACTCATGGCACATACAATATTCCCAAGCATGTCTATCCTCCTCAGTATGAAATAAAACATCCGGGAAAATAAACGGAGATCTCTCCAATATCGCCATCTCATTCATAGGCCGAGGTCCTCTGCGAGATCGATGTCTCGAAGACATCGGTTGCGTCTGATGGACCCATTTCAGGCCCGATGGGTACTGACACTCTAGATCCCGCAAAGAGCAGAATGAACAGATAGGTCGATTCTCGTCGCACTTATGATGTTTCCTGCGACATTGTAGACATCCTACAGCCCCATGTTAGCGCCTGTCGTATGCTCCTCCAAGATGCCTCATTACCGGTCTTTGATCGGTGGAATCGATCGTCACGGGGCATCCCGCCGGCGAGATTAGTCTGTGCACTGATGATCGGATGTTCGAACCTCCATGACAATGCTTGCTCCACGTCTGGATCTCCCCCGCTTATCACGACCAGCCGATCACATGATGATGGAGCCAACTAAGCATAACAGCGTCCAAATTATACGCGAAATTTCAGCCTGAGGGAACAAAAAAACTGCGCAGAAAGAGTTGATAAAGTTAGCCCTCTACTTTTCACGCAGACTTCACACCCCAAGTTCATAATTTCGAACATCGTGATCATTTAAATGAAGCTCTTCTTCGATATGAAATCTCACTAAGTTTGAGCAGCTTGAGTATGTCCAGGATAAAGGAACCAAGGATCCGGGGGGGCATTTTGCAGGGATGGATGCTACTTGGCTGGCCCAAAGTATGCCAAATGGGAAATGCGCGCAGAGTGGGAATATGCGTGCGAAAACAGTGGCACCATCCCCGAGTTTATCAAGTCTAAGTCGGAGGAAAAGGTGAGATTTATGGCGGCTTACAATTAAAAATAGACACTTTTTCACAGTTTGGGCTCTGTATCAAAAGTTGATTTATGAGTTGTCATTTCAAGGCCAAGGGTCAAGACGTTGAGTACTTTGCACTTTACTCAGAACCTGGGTTGGTCACCCATTCGCCAGTGAACAGTCCTCGCTGAGGTCCAAAGATACAGCGATCAGCCCAATACCTCTCTAATGACACAAAATGTGCGTTCAACAATCATTTCAATCTCAGAACGAGTGGTATTGTATGGCGGCGCCAAGCAGATATGATCACCATTAATCCCGTCAGCACCACCATTACCGGGCATCAGAGAGATAGCATACTGTGGCTTGAGGCCAGTAGCATGAATAGTCCATGCGAGCTTCTTAGCTGGTGGAAACGGCTCCTTAGTTTCTTTATCCTGAACAAACTCAAGCTGCACAAAATTAGTGAGATTTCAAACCGCAGCAGAACGTCTTCACTTACAGCCCAGAAGAGTCCCCTGCCACGGACATCTCCAACATGAGGATGTTCATCGAACTTCTCATGGAGAAGTTGACCAAGGTAATCACCCATCGCGCGGACGTTAGGTAACAGATTGTCTTCCTGGATAATCTGTTGCACTCTGACCGCAGCGGCACAGGATACCGGGTGGCCTTGATAAGTCTGACTGTGAGAGAACGCGCCGGTGCCTTCTGTCAGAGCATCGACAACATGCTTGTTCAAGAGCAGGCAGGCGATAGGGGCATATCCAGCCCCGAGACCTTTGGCCACGGTCTGCAAATCTGGAACAACATCTTCCTGCTCCCACGCATGAAGCGTTCCTGTGCGTCCCATGCCAGACATGACCTCATCTAAAATGAACAAGGCTCCATGTCGCTCACAGACCTTTTTCATTGCTTTTAGGTATCCGGGTAGAGGGGGAACACACCCCAGAGTCTATGTTTTCTCAGGTCAGCGGGTTCCTCTCAGCACCTAATTTCAAAGCTTACCGCGCCAGCCATTGTCTCCGCTACGAATGCGCAAACAGTATTCGGTCCCAATCTCTGGAACTCTTCCTCCAATTCTTGCGCAAGCCTGGCAACATAGCTTTCAACCTTCTCATCAGACCGCATTCCGCGATATGGGTAGCAAGGAGCCACATGTCCAGTATTCTTCGCAAGGACCTTCTCATAAAGTGCCCTACGGCCAACGTGATGCCCGACCGAAAGTGAACCAAGCGTGTTGCCATGGTATGACTGTTTGCGAGAGATGAAGTTGGCTCGCTGGGGCTGAGGAGTAGGCAGCTCCATGAAGTACTGAACAGCCATCTTCAGAGCAGCTTCCACAGCCTCGGTGCCTGAGACGAAGTCATTGACTGAAAATGGTCGAACAAAGATGATGGTCAGACGTACCTGAGCTTACAATAAAAGCCCTTGTCATCTTCCCTCCGGTTGAATCCACCAGAATCTTGGAGAGACTTTCTGCAGCGGAGTTGGTGAAAAACATCGAGTAGCAGTAGGGAACCTTCTGTAGTTGCTCCATGATGGCCTCTTGCACGCGCTTCTCACTGTGGCCAAGGCAGGACACCGCAGCACCGCAGGTAGCGTCCAAGATCTCCAAACCATCTTCAGTAATGAGGTAGCTTCCACGACCGCCGACAATATTGAGAGGTCTTTGACGAAGCTGGTGGTATAAAACGCCGCTTTGCCCTCGGGAGATGTCAGCTTCAGGCTTGCCGAGTATGGTGGGGACAACCACATCGGCTGTGTCCGGTTGGTAGGCACCCATGATGATATATGATGTAAATTAAAGACTAAAGAGATATTACTTTGAAGTCGGAGATGTGAGAGAACAACTATGAACCTGTCTGCTCTAGGATGACCTCAGCCTATAAATAATAACGGGGCTTGGCGACAAGCAACCCCAATCCCGTATTTCCAAGCTCGATGTAACCGAGCATTATCTAAAGTAAATAACTATGATTGGTGCTCAACACCCGACGTAGAAGTAAACGTGAACCAAAGCAGCTTATCAGTCGAGAACTAATCCCAAAAGGGAAATCTTTGTCGGGCCCACATCATCGGGATGGGGTGTTGATGTTGGTCATCGAATCAGGAGTACGATAGACTGAACAGTCTCCTTTATCACCTCGAATCGTCGGGATTTTAGTTAACTAAGACAAAAGTTGGTAGGTGATAACGTTGGGCTTGTTTTTCATGCTGTGGGATTTGCTAGAATCTCCGAGTGCTCGAAAGGATGGAGCTGAGTTGGGTAAAAGAACGTATGATGGGTTATATAGAAACATAGCCATGATGCAATCAAAGCTCTGAGAATGTGCTTTTCAAGTCTTTCAGGTAGCCATGTAGTCATTGAGGAATATTCAGCCGCCCCCCCTTGACATTGCCTTGACTAATATGCCACTCGATCGTTTTCCGCAGCCCCTCTCTCAACTGAACCCTCGGCGTCCAGTGAAGCACCCTCTCAGCCAACGATGTCTGTGGTCGACGCAAAGTCGGATCATCTGCAACCTTTGGATGATAGGTAATTTGTACCTTAGCATGCCCTGTGATTTCCGAGACAAGCTCATTGACAATTTCAGCCAGTTGCTGAATCGTGAATTCCCCCTCGTTCCCGATATTCACAGGACCCTCGGCGTAATCATTGTTCATCAAGGTGTAAAGTCCGGCGAGACAATCGGTGACATACTGAAATGATCGAGTAGCAGAGCCGTCGCCAGTGATCTTCAGATCTTCCCCGGCCAAGGCTGCAGCAATAAAGTTGGACACCACCCGTCCGTCGCTGCTGCTCATGCGGGGTCCGTATGTATTGAAAATGCGTGCAATGCGAATATCTACCCCATGCTGTTCGCGATAAGCAAAACACAGGGCTTCTGCAACTCGCTTCCCTTCATCGTAGCATGAGCGTGGACCGAATGGGTTAACGTTTCCCCAGTAATTCTCTGGCTGGGGGTGAACAAGAGGGTCCCCGTAAACCTCTGAGTTTGGGTGCATGTGGTTAATTAGGACTTCAAAGTGTGGAAGATATCACGAACCGGAGGTACTCGTATGTAGGATGCGAATGTTTCTCGATTTTGCGAGCTTTAAGAGATTCTCAGTCCCAACAAAACACGTCCGCAGGGTTGAGACAGGCTCTTTTTGATATTGAATCGGACTTGCGGGGCAAGCTAGATTGTAAATTTGATCAATATGCCCTATGTCATCCAGAGAAGTCTGAATGTCGTGTCTAGTTTAGTTCAATATCTCTGGTCAGTATTCTCGATGCTTGAGATTGCGCTTTAGGGTCTCTACTTCATTAAAGTGAATCTAGGATGGTTCTCAAGATGACTCAAATTTCTCGGAGAACCTGTCTCAAAACTGTCGAGTCCGATGACCTCATGGCCTTTTTCTAGCAACATGTCAATCAAATTGGACCCAAGAAACCCGGCGCCCTATACGCTTTTGATCAGTACAATGTTTTCACGCAGAGACTGAATGATCTTGCTCACTCCGGTGACAAGTACTCGCAAATCACTCTTTGTGCCATTCATGTCGAGGTTCCTTTGATGTTTGTAAGGAGAAACTTTACGGGGACGTAAGATCAGTCCTAAAATGAGAAGGGAAAGCGGACAAAAAGCGTTTGAGCCAGAATTTGGGTGGACTTTCTCAGCTGAAAGGAACTCTTAAGGCATGCGACCATTGCCCTTTCTCATGCATGCAAACACCAAAATGTTGGAAATATCTGAAGGCCATGATCTATGATTGGTGACTCAGATCCCTATGACCGCATAGTGCTGTATTGAGGAGCTCACAACATGCAGGACGGTGGGGACGCTTGGCCAAAAATTGTATTGAAGCTCGGCGATCTTTGGCGATCTTTGGAACGCACGGCATATTCACCGCTCCTATGGTTGGGCGGTTGATGCAGCTACAAGGAAAAGCTAGGCCTCATAGCAAGCCCTCAACAGTGACCTGCATTGTCATCACGAAATCAAGTATGTATGAGCCGTGCGATCAGCTTATTCTGCAAACTACCTGGCTAGGTATAGAGAAGTAAGTTGACTATTCATTTCGACAAGTTCAGGGTGGTCGATTCGAAGTTTCAATCCACAGCAATCCGGAATCTCAGCAAGTCTTTCTTCAGAATTTCATCGAATCGATCCTTGAGTTCGGACACATCCCATTTGCAAGAGAGGAAGCGACCGTTGAGGGCCTTTCGTTGTTTTTCAGAAGAGCCGGGAGTCGACAACCAAACGCAAAATGCCCCAACCAGATCGGGGCTATCGTTTAGCACTGATCGGTCGCGATAGTCAGCTCGAAACGCTTGAAAATTTGTATAACAAGTAAGGATATGCCACATACTCTTCCTGATATCTTCAGGCACATCATTCTGGATGAATCCGCTATTCATGCCCCGGGGTGCACACTGGCACAAAAGAGTCCACGACTCGAATACTGCTCATAGATCATCTCAATTAACCTTGCCTGAGCAGCCTTACTCACACAATAATGGGCGTGACCGCTCATCCCACCAACAGTGGGCGTAGCCATAGAGCTGATCGCGATAAAAGACATGGCGGGCGACTGTGTGGCCTCAAGCAAAGGGAGCAGATGATGTGCCGCGTAGAAGAGGCCAATCGCGTGGACATCAAACGCAGTTCGGTAATCCTCCGGCGACTCTTTCGCAATATCAAGTATCATCGGGCCCGAATAGCCAGAGTTTACCACAACAATATCAAGGTGCCCGTCAAATTCAGACATGACAGTCTGTGCGACCGAAGCAATGTTTCCCTCGATGGTGATGTCGCATTCTGAGATGACGACTTTGATCGTCGAGCTGATTGAGCGTGCTTGGTTGGCTGTTTCCTCAAGACCCGAACGTGTGCGAGCAGCCAGGATGAGACCCGATGCCCCGGCCTGGGCGTATGCTCGAGCTAGTCCACCACCTGCTGCACCCCGCCCGCCGATTATGCAAACAACAAACGGAGAAGGCAGTTTTACACTTGACGGGTCTATATCTGGATAGGGTGTCGTATGAAGCTTGGGAATAAAGTTGCGGCAGTGCTGTGCGTTGAGCTGACTCGGCGTAGGCGTCATCCTGACGATAGATAATTCGCACAATGTCCTGAATGATGAGATGTTAAATACTTATTTCGGATGCTTAACGAGCTTTATAGATTCTTTTATCAATGCCAAAGTCAAATACTGCCCGGGCTTAGCCGGACTTAAGCCGGGGATTCACTGACGAAGGCTAGGTCCAAAAGTTTTAGAAGAAGCTGTGTACCATTTGACGCATTTCTAGGTACATTTGATTGTCACACGCTTCCGAAAGTGACTTTGGGAAATTGGATATAGACAGGTGATAGTAGGACAAACCTCGTGTGGTTGTACTCACCCAAAAATATAGTTCGGAAAAAACGGGGATCAATGCGTAAAACTCATGGGTGTCAGCATGCTGCTTATTCTCAAGGTCGCTTTCTTCGCATAGTTCATTTGCTTATACTGGGCCTTGAGACTAATGTGTTCAGATTTGGAGGGAGAGCAAAGAAATAAAAAAGAAACGACAGCAGTGCGGTTCGAACGCACGCCTCCGAAGAGAATAGATGCCTGATAAGATTTAATCTCGTTCAAGTCTATCGCCTTAGACCACTCGGCCATGCTGCCTCGTTTAGGGGAGATGCAAAAATAGAGCAATATAGCACGCCAGTATCATGGCTTAAAAAGTAATGTACGATGTCTGAAGTCGTTGATGGACTATCCATGACAGAAGGAATAAAGCTGGCGGAAGGTAGCAGGCGGTCAGCGGCGACTCGAGGCACAAAGCTACGAGTACAAAGGTGGTCATCTGAACCTTCTAAGCGATAATATTTGGCTTTCTTCTCACATGTCCTCAGACTCAAGTTATTCAAGGACGAGAGAATGTGTTAGAATGCTACTCGGGTTATGGAAATTTGATTCAGGGACCTGCTTGTGAGGTTCTGACTTGTGAATCGTGCCGCGACGATTTATTTAACAAATTCAAATAGAAATGGAATATCCAAGATACGGAAGATCTGAGAAATACATCCAGGAATAGAAACAAGTGGACTGGTCCAGCGAAGTAGCGGGCGAGGAATGATTCAGGTTCCGGAGGGGCCACTTGTGAATCCCACAAAACATGATCATGGCAACGTTCGCCATTGAGGTCGTACATTTGGGAGATGGAACGATGAGATAGCTACTAGCCTGCCGCCCTGATTAACGATTCGCTACTTCTGTATCTTCACAGTGGAAAGCTACCATATAGTAATTCAATTTAAGGGTATCTCTATTCAACTTAAGAGATGGAACACATGGACGGATACACGATTCTTCGACATACGAGTGTGCTTATTGCACTCAAGAATCGTGCTATAGCACCATCTGCCACCTCACCTTCTGCCCTCTGATCATGTCAAGCACACCCGTGGGCAAAAACTGCTTGTCCACCAAATTCAGCCCACCGAATTTAATCATAAGGTCCTCTACGTACAGGTACAGAGTCCACTTCATTTCTGCTCCTTGATTTCCGATGTCAAAAATGCTCTGGGCCATTGTGACCGCATCTTCTACTGCGCTTGTTGTCTTCGGGTAGGTCGAGCTAGGCACCTCCATGAAAGCGCCATATAGTCCGCATAATTTGGAGCTTTTGACTTCACGGAACTTGCTCCATTCGCCAAAAGATGGAAAATTGTCCTTCTTACCTGACGGGAAAGCATCCTTGAGCTCATCGAGCTCATGGTCGTTCTCCATAGTCTGCCAAATTCGACGTTGCTGAGTCGCGGTCCTCTTTTCAAAAACTTCTTTTTCAGCTTCGTAAATCTCACGTTCGTTGATTATGAAAATGTCCATGAGCTCTCGTGGCGAATATTTCAATCTATCGCGTAGCATGAAGATCGAAACGAAGGGGTTTCGTAGGCCAAGACCGCCAAGCTTCTCAGGAAGGAAGAAGAACGCATCTGGAACATCGAAGACGTTGAAGTCTGACTCAATTCTTCCTCTCAGATAGTCTGCGACGGTACGCCCGGTCTTGGTATTTTCTGTCTCAAATATGACATCATACATCTTTTTGTACGTGTCAAGAATGGCATCGATATGAGGACGTCCAAAACAGTGCGCCGGCTCACCAAACGTGTTCTTGAAAAACCGCCCAATGCAGCTGTTCCAGGTACGAACCCATGAAATGACGCTATTGCAGTTATCGAGCTGAGTCTTCAGCTGCCGAACATGTGCATCGACTTGAGAATGATCAATGACCCAGTCTCCGGTTACCGGGTCCAGCATCAAGAAGCCGATTTTGACCGGGCCTTGAGGCATGCGGGACTTCATTTCTTTGCCAACAGCGTCACCAAGACAAACAGACCCAGACTTACTTTCGTTGAACTGGAGGCCGGTGATGTTGGCGAACGTTTGCATGACTTCCCATGCCTGTGCACATTTCTCAGGATCACCAGACAGCCAAATATCATCATGGAGACGATACAGAAGCAAGCCTGTCTTTTCATTTACGGCGCAATCCATGAAGAATAGGATCAGTTCCCCGATGACTTTTTCAGAGGCATGTGCGATCGGAATACCTCGTCTGCGCTTGCGAGGTCCGACCTTCTCGTGCCCTTCGAATGCGTTGTCCATGTTCAAAGGCGTCTCAAGGTACTTCCGCAGAAACCTAATCCAGTCTTGCGAGAAACCGATGAACTCCAAGATGGTGCAGGCGGTGCTATGCGGAATCGACGTGGCATACCACTGCAGATCAGATTGGATCACAGCAGCCTGACCATAGAACTGACGACGGAAAATCGTCTCCGTCACTATCTTTCTCAGAAGCTGCTGTTTCACGCTTTTTGAGGCCAAGCTTCCTCGTTGACCATCATCTTCGTCTTCGTCATAACCACAAATACGGCCCGCCAATGTGTCTTCGTCTGCTGGCATAGATGCAAGGAAAAATGTATCGAGATAGTCCTGCTTACGACGACTTTCAACGTTGTTAGGATGATCAAGTCTTTCTTCAAGATAATATTGTCGTCGATGGCGATCACGAGTCGTCAATTCCGGACCTTGCGCGAACTTCCAACCAGCGTTACTCTGAATGTAGTCTTTTAGAATGGCTTTGAGCGTAACACAAAGCTTGATGCAGATGTGTTCCACGAAAATGGTCTCGAGGACATCATCATCCATCCAGATTCTGTATTTGCCATTCAGCTGCTGACGAGGAAGCACAGGGACACCCTCGTCATCAGCATGCCAGTCCCAATTCTTCAAGTCCGTGTATCGCATGTTGAGGACATCGGCAATCTCGTTCAGCACAACTTTGCTGTTGAGGAAGTGTTTCAAGGTCTCTTGTTTCTCTTCGCTTACAATTTCCTCTGTCTGAATGCCCCGGATGCATGCAGACAGCGAGTCGATCGTAAACGGGTTTTTCTCTTCCCAGATAGCCGCCAGATATCTCCGGATACTCTCACGCAAGGATTCTAGCGCATTCTTGCTCTTCTCGGTGGGGAACAGGCCAGACAGAAACGAGTCAATTGCAATTGGTTCTGTTTCATAAGGCTCGAAGACTGTTCTCTCGAACTGATCGCATAATTGCTTGAGTCTCTGCTTTTGCCGCTCATCAACAAAGAGAAAATCGTCGCCTTCGCTGGAGAATTCTACAGCCTCGTTGGTCTGATTGGATGGCGGGTTCATCCACTCGGTCAACAGCCGTGAATACAAATCCGCAAGACTCAGCTTTCGGCTATGGGCGTCCAAGGCGTTACGCAGGTGTGTTTCGAACTCTTCGAGCTTCTCTAAAGGGATCGATGAATCGTATTTCGCCTGTTCAATCCAGTGCTCGATATTGGAAATGGCGTTGTCATGGCTGGCGCCCGGTGCGAGCTCCTTGGTTCCAGCCAGGAGGCATGCGACTTTATCGCGAAGGATTGAGCGCTGAGCTGCGGCCACGAGAACTTCGGCTTTGCGAGATTCGTATTCACTTCGTTGTTTTTTCAGCTCGTGAATCTTGCTCCGAGTCAGCGATTGGAGAGTTCGAGAGAGGTATGGATCCATGAGGAGTAGCTTTCCAGCGTGTGTTTTGCAGGAACTCGTTGCTTGTGAAACTCAACCACCTTCGGTCAACGGCGACTCTATTTATCCTTGGTCCCTTAGCTGTAGATCTTTTCAGCCTCATGTTTGCCATTGCACTCGGCAGGCTACCCCTGCTTCGCTGCCTGCTGCGATCGACAAAAAAACCACGCAATGGCCAACGCATCGCTGGCTAAGCTTCGATCTGCTTCAAAACATGCTTTTCAAGTACAGAGCCCCATAATTTGAGGGGTGATATGACTCACCGACAAATGGGCCTCTTGTTTCTTACCTACCGCATAAGGAACATTCGCGGGGTCTGAGCCCTTGGTTGGATTTATCGAAACTCCTTCAATGCTTCATCTATTTCGCCAGGCAGCTGATGTTGAAGACGTTATTGCAAAAGAAGAATTCTAGAGAAATCTGTCATGTAAAAAGCAGTAGCTTCCAGGCTTTGGTACAGATCTCACGTATTCCAGGGTAAACTGCCGGCCGACGCTGCCCCGCATCCGGCAAACCCCCCCTTTTCAAGCTTTGTGAGGATCGAAGTTCGGTTCTTTTGAAAAGTTGATTGTATGTTTCGAGGGTCAAAATTTTCACTGATATCTAGGAATGGTGAGCCTCGGTCGTCCAAATGGCTGCGAGGCCTGCAAGCGACGAAGCAAGAAGGTGATTATCGTTGCGAAATATGGGGCCGACAACGCTAACAATCCTCCAGTGGGATGAAGCTCGACCAGTATGTTCACTAGAGCTGTGATCAATCTGAACTCTTAAGAAGAATGCTTCGTCCGCTGTACTTAGCATACTAACTATCAGTGATAGGTATGTTCGCGATGCGTAAATGCGCGGCGTACTTGCAGCAGCTACGAAAACGAGCAAGCGCTCACAATCCATGAGTTCAATGGCGGAAAGAAACTGGCTCTTCCGATTCGATCTGCCGCACGAAGAAGCTCTCTTCCAATCGGGCAAAGATTACCTAGGACGGTCGCGCTCGCAAAAGACGTTCCTCCAAAAGCGGTTCCAGACCGAGATGTCGATGACTCCACGCTCCAATCATTTCTACATGAGTTCTGTATTGTGCCAACTGGATCTGAGGTAACCCATGGCTTTTTAAGTGGTATGGAGCCAAGGCTACGCAGAGTGAATGACCGGTCCAACTTAGCGAAAGCATGCAAGATGGTGGCATTGGCCAACCACGGCGTCAAGCTCAACCGCCCCGATTCAATCGTCGAAGCCGAGAAGTTGAATCATGGTCTGGTCTCTTCTTTAGCTGTTGGTCTTCAAAACAATTCCGGTGCATCTAAAAAAGATGACGCCTTGGTCGTGACGCTTCTTGGAATCTATGAAGTGAGTTGTCCCTTTACATGACTTGTTCCTTGGTCTGATAGCGATAGATGATTATCGCGAATGATGCCCGAAACGGATTCCACAACGCACATGCAATTGGTCTCGCCGCCCTGCTTAAACTCAAAAACAATTCAAAGTCCGTTTTAGAAGCTCTACATAATGGCAGATCGCTCGGTATTCTCAGAGAAGGAATACAGGTATGTCCCCTGTCTTTGTCAGGATCGCTCATACTAAGTGACCTATTTAGAATGACAAAATGGGCCTACTCGCTATGCCCAATGTGACCGCTTCGACCGAATCATTGGATTCGCTATTGCTTGCACTTGTAAAAATCGGAGAAAAAGTAAAAATCACTGCTACGGGTGGTCTTTATGGATTGCGATGAAAAGAGTTGGCTTCTCCGAGAAGCACTGAACCTCGATGGAAAGTTCAAGCAATGGAGCGAGGCTCAAAGCCAAAGAAACAGACCCACAGTTATTGGCCAAGTGAGCAAAACCACTGCCCTTGAGTCCATTGTTGGCTATTGGCCTGGAAGGGTGGACGTGTACTTCGACCGCTATATCGCAGGCATCTGGAACATCTACCGGGCTGCTCGACTATATCTTTCTGAACTGATCCTGACACTTTCAAATGGGAATCGAAACCCAAGAACAGACCCCCGACACGGGCAAGACATGGACGACCTTGTTCAGGATGTGCTATCGTCCATTCCGTATCACCTGACGGAAAACCTGTACGGATTCCTCAATCAGATTGACAGCGGAGCCCCGCTGGCAAATGTTGGGCAAGCGGCCTCTGGGCTCTTTCTTATGCACCCTCTGCATGTGATATCGAATCTGTCGCTTGTAGACCTCGATGTGAGGTGTTATTTAAAGAGATGTCTTCTTTGGATTGGGAAGAATATGGGGATTGGACAGGCTTCTCTCTTTTCCAAAGTGAGTAATCGAGTTATTTGCTGCGCAATGAAAGTCCCAGGATAAATGATGCTGACACGTTGCTGATCTAGTCCTCAACATTCGAAACCGAAGACTTTGCCAGCGGCTGCATATTTACACTCATCGGAGTGGGAGTGTGAAAGTATTCCCTTCCGCTAATCCTACAGGAGTTGAGTCACGGGGCCTTCAGGATAGACATACAGTTCATGGAAAATTCACAGTTCAGTTTTAGTTCGTTAGAGCCCCAGTCCAAAGATACATGGTGTCATAAGACGGCCCCGCGAACATGAAACCAAGCTCTGGCCTTATCAGATCCTAGAATTGTCACCAGCAGCATTCTCCCAAAAACATCCAAATCATCAGGCTGTGCACTCGTCAAAGTCCGGGTGAAGTCAAGATCATACACAATCAAGTGATCCCGTCTCGCCCATGCAATTGCGAAGTCGAATGCATTCGGCGCAGTCCACAAATGAGCCGACAGATACCACGCATGATTCCCACACATCCCAAGCTTGCTATCACATTCAACGGGGACCATGCCCTGCAGAATTCTATAAACTCGCATAAGGAAATATGTCAACAGGACAGTTCGTCGAATGGACTCTTGTAAGACCCATGACTCCCAGAATTCAATGATCGGGTTCAGTGAGGAGGGGAGAAGGTCGATCGGCTGTTTTGGATTTGGAATACAGACCGTTCTCATAAGAATATTAACCGATGCTTCCAAGTGTGTGAATAGGGCTTCTGCTATTGGTTGAGTGCAGATGGCGTTGTCAAATAGACGCATGATTTGGTACAGGATTAGCGCGTGGGTGCGAGCAAGTAGTTCGCGGGTATTTCTTGTTTCTGGCAATTCGAGGAGCTCTCTGACTCTATTTTCGAAAAGTGACATGATGACAGGGGCGTTAATTTGGGTTTTTGACATGTAGAGGGAGCAGCAGGCGTAGGCATCTAGTTCAAGTCAGGTAAAAGATCCATCTAAATGGTATTACAATAAGATTACTGACCTTGCATTGCTCTTGGCAAGTGGTTTGTATAAAGAGATGGATGGCACCACGGAGTCTGGTTCCGAAGAACCATCATCCGCGGTGTGTCCTTGAGGACATCGATCGCAAATTGGAGATGGGAGGCGATAACTTCAGAAAGTGGTCTTGGCGGCCTGGTCCTCGACCCCACTAATTGGCGATTCGACTTGCATGCCGAGTTGTTACGACTAGCCAGCACTTCGCTCCGAGGTAGATAGGGGAGTGAATTTCGTGGCTGTGCATCATCTATGTAGCTAGTATTGGGCGTGATATTTGATTGGGGACAGAAGAGGGTATCCAGCTCCAAGGGCGACGAGAGCACCACTGGCTGTGATGTATTCACTGGAGCCAAATAGGTAGGCATCTCTTCGCAAAGTCGGGATAAGCAGAAGGCTGCGTCCCGGGATATATGCATGGCAAATTCCGGCTAATGCATCGAGAGCAGAACGGGAAAGCAAGATCACATCGTCTTTTAGACGTCTTGCACGCCTCGCAAGACTTGCGCCGCGGCGGAGCACCTGTCTCGTACATATTGGCGGCTCTATGAGATGAGGTGCCAGAATTTGGCAGTAAGACTAAGAGCATCGATAATATTTTCTATGCCAGGACTAGCGTGCGGAATTCCGCCAGCTAACAGTGGAGCAAGCCTTGTTGTGATCCAATCAAGATCCACTCCACCCTTCCCTCGGCGGAATTCCACGATGTACATATTCTAGAAAAGGAAGACGACGAAGGGCAGCATTTAGACATAGCATCGCAGCAAGGTATAAAGACGGGCAAGACTTTGTGTGAAATAGAATCAGACAATCTGTATGAATAACTTCGTCTCATACGCTCTACTCGAATAACCATGTCCTCGCCAAAAGTGTTCGTTTGCGGCGCAACCGGCAACCAAGGAGGCGCCCTCATTCCAAATATACTTGATCATCACATTGAAGTTCATGCCATCAGTCGGGATCTCGAGTCTGCTTCTGCTAAGAGCCTTCTCGCGCGGGGTGTCTCTCTTGCTGAAGGTGACTACGACAACGAAGTAAGCCTAGAGAAGAGTATGACCGGTTGCACAACTCTCTTCCTCAACCTGAACTTCAACTACACAAAACCCCAGGAAGAACTCGAACAAGCTCAGCGTATTCTCTATCTGGCCAAGCGGCTCGGTATTCAGCAAGTCATCTACACCAGCGCCATGGCCACCACGGATCCTACGCGCCTTACGTACTGGGACCCAAACAGTCTTGTGGCTATGGTGCTCCTCAGCAAGCAAGCCATTGAGAAACTATCGGAATGCAGGTTTCAAGAAGTGGGTCATTCTGCGACCGGGCAACTTTATGACCAACTTCCTCAATCCTGTGGTTCGAATGTACCAAGGCCTGGTGGAGACGAACACATTCACTACCGCCTTTGCTCGCGACACAATTCTGCCTATGGTTGACCCAGATGACATTGGCAAATTCGCTGCTGCGGCTATCCTGGACCCCGCCAGATTCAATCAAAAGGAGATCGAGATCGCATCGCAGATGATGGGAGTGGAGGATGTGATGCGGGATCTATCGGAAGCAACGGGGAGGAATATTAAGGCCAATTTCATGTCGGAGGAGGAGATCAAGATAAATGCAGCACAGGACCCGATGGTTCGTGCTCAGTTGGCAATGCGCGATCTGTCACTGTTTGTGGAAATGGAGAAGATCAAGTCTTGGGGGATTGAGCTGGGAAGTTTTGCCAACTTCTTAACGCGGGAGAAAGCGCGAGTGGATGCTACCTACCTGGAAACGTCGCTTACAAGTTGAAGATGGGGTTGGCCCTTGTATTGACATGTCGCGCAGGGTGCAATCAGTATGGAAGTAAAGTACATTTTGAAAGAAGAAATCGGACGACATTCAGAATTTTGAGTCGTAGACCGCGCTCTTACAACGACCCAAATGTAGACGTACTGTACAGTGGCGACCGCTTTTACCTTCCATGTCGAAAAACCAGAGATGCTCTTTCGAATCCTAATCACGTGATACATTAATCCCGATATGGTTATTCCTGTATTGAAAGATCTGCTACAGAGTTGAACGGTATATTACTAAGCGCGTAAAAAACCAAGTAGTTCTATGTTCATGTATTGTTACAGCTTCAAAACTAGACCTTGTACAGAACTAGCTGATGATATCATGACTGACATACAATAGGTAAGAAGTAATCATTATGACGACGGTACATATTCAACACAATACGCATATATAAGCTGATGACATCCTGTCCGCAACAATTTTAGCAGGAATCGTGACAGTTTATGAAAAGATACCAGCTACTGCTTCACTACTATCCTTCCCCATCAATCCCTTTTCATAACTCTAACAAAAATTATTCTACTGTATTCCACGATGCCTAAAGCAAGATTTATCAATGACGACATCGCCGTGTCGGCATTCGACATTTCGAAAATGGCCCTGGGTGATAGCGCAAAGGCTGACACTCGATTCAAAGGTATCACGGGAGAAGTTGAAAAGTTTACTCTTTTCCGCACAGATACCTCAAACGGAAAGGAATACAAGGATATCCGGCATATTGATGCTGATGTGAATTTCGACGCTAATAGGGAAGTTGTTCTGCGCGGTGATGGTGAGCGACCATATGCTAAATAATTGATAATTACTAACTAGCGAAATAAGGTGGTCACTACTACTTTCAACAAGGGGAAAATGAAGTTGTACTTCATCCTCATCTATAATGAAAAGGCCCAAGAGTATAACACGGTTATGGATCGATTGTATCACTCTTTTGATAATAAGTGACTAGCTATAATATTGATACCAAATTTGGCACCCTAATTAACAGCCTACTTTGGCTTATGTAATTGGGTTGTGTAATTCAATTGTCTTATTTTGGTCCTGTACAGAATTAGAGAAGACGGGATTTATTCACTCCTCGTTTGGACCTCCATTTTGGGACGTCGTACAGTACATGCGGCTTTTGACATGATAAAAGATCTGGTATTTATTACCTGGTTTTTTCTCAAAACAGGTCATTTACGCGTAGCCTATATTAGGTTTAGTTGATCATGTGACTAGGGGTTGAAGGACCGCTCTCTGGGTTTCCGACATGAAAGGCAATAACGGTCGCCACTGTATGCTTCAGAGTAATGATTATACAATCGACTCATCCTTGATTACAAAGCTCGCATGTCGTGAACTGTGCCGATGAAGTGCGTTCGGATCTCGTGTCCATTTCAACAGTAATCATCGTCAGGCCCCCCATTAGTGGGGACTCCAAGGTCTCCAAATAGACTGTTCACATTTGATCTGTTGGTGCAGCTTTGTGACAATGTGACCATCTTCTGAGACCCATAATACATGATCAGGCAACTTTTGAGGTCTCTTGCTGATGAACAATGAATTATTTACACGGATACAGCGATCTTATTATAGAGCCAAGCACAGATCTGGAAAATACGATGTGTTTGAGACGGAAATTACCAATCATATGCGCAAGCAGGCATATAAGTAGTCATATGAGTAGCGGGCCTAATGGTGAGCAGATTGCTAAGCCTCAGCCCACTGCATCGGAGGACACATTTGGTGGAATAGCGTGAGGTCGGTGTACTGTAGCTGCGGGTGGCAGTGTAAGCTTCTAGGTGGCACTGGTGGCATAGGTTGGGCGCCCGGATCGACACGGCAACGGGTATCCGCGCTAAGGGGTCCCCTGTTTCCGAGACCGAAAAAAGAACCTAGCGTGGAGAATCAATAAATGAGGAACCGGGTTTCTTGCAAAGAGGCTTTGCAGAGTATCATTGGCGACTTCTCCGAGGGAGGGTCCACATCATGTAAAACAAGAAGTGGAATTGGGCATCATACCGAGACATCTTTCCAAGATCTGCAAAGATCTGCTGAGACTTGGCGAATCACTCTTTGACCACGGTCGCCTTGGTCCTTCCTTCAAGCGTTAAAAATCCGAGAGTGTTTCTTGGAGAGCGGCAGATAAATAGCTGGTGGCCCGAAGCTCTATAATACTCAACCCACAATATTCTACCCTTAAATCTCAAGCTAATTCTACTCTCTTGTTCATCTTTCTATCTATAGAATGAAGTCCTTCCTTGCTCTTGCTGCCTTTGCTGGTGCCGCTCTGGCCCAGAGCGCCCAGATTGGTCTCCCTACTGTTGGACAGAAGCTTCACAAGGGCAGAGACGTGGTTGTCCAGGTTCAGCGTCCTGTATGTTCATATCCCCCCGGTCTTTACAGTCGCGATTTTAATCCCAGCAGAACACCATCACCGGATCTACTGAGATGGCCGTTGCTATTGGCATTTCCTCTTGCGCCTCTGATGTCTGCCAAGAGTCTGATGAGGTTATGGGAACCATTCTCTACAATGGCAAATTCCACCCCCAGTACCACGAGTATTACCTGCCTCCGTACCAGAACTTCTCCGTCAAGGTCCCAGCCGATTTCACCGCTGGGACTGCCCAGATCAATGTCGCGCACGCTACTCTCATCGGAGTAAGTCCTGAAACGCAACTCTGTTTAAACTCGGTTCTAACACAATTACAGGCCGGACCATTCCCCTTCCTCGAGGCTCTGAACCGTACCGTTGTCATTGTCTAATGGCCCTATATCTTGACGACGATATTTGATTTCTTAGTTCCCCGCAAAGCATTGTATATCTTGTCTTCGTGTTGTACCTATTTCACATCCTTTTTTGGCATTTAGCTTTGTCTATGTATAGACTAGTACAGAAGCGGAATTTCATTAACCAATTCTCATATCTCTTGTCCCAAGACCAAGTTCATAGCTTCGTAAGAGGCAATTCTCACGACTGCAAGATGCTAAAGCCCTTTGCTAGGTCATATTCTCCGTGTCGAATATTCGTGATTTCAAGCTGAGCATTTGTCCCTGTCAGTTGACCAACCGCTCGCCTCCGGTACCTGATAAATTTCTGTCTTCAGGGAACTACGCATGTTTTTAATTGAGCTTAAAGTGAGCATTTGATTAGACGAGCCTGGTATAAAAGTCCAATTAATCAAATGGCGAGACCCGAGGTATTGAAATAGTCGCCATGACAATAATCACACACAGCCGTGTAGACGCCCAGGAAAACCATGTGTCAACGGCGACCCAGACTAATCAAGCCTCAATGTTAAATGACCAAAATCTCGAAGCGCTACTTTTGACGCGCCTGCTATTAATTACCAATGTCAATCCCCAAATCAAAATCCAAATTCAGATTCTGCCAGACGCGCGCAATTTCCTGAGCTTGAAGTCCCGGCTAACTCTCCTCCGCCTAGTGTGACTTCCGTCACCGACACTCTTCCCAAAGGAGGCCGCAAGGGCAATCGCCCCGAAGAGGAGCTCGGCGGTGTCACCAACAAGGTGGGTGATGCCCTGCCTAGCACTGGCCTGACCATGCCCAATGAAACCAAGGGTGGCTCTGAGGGCAAGGAAGGGCGTCTGAATATCAAAATCCACCTCAGCCTCTACGCGAAGGTCCGTCTGGATCTCGATGCCCAGATCTATGGTGATATTGTGATCGGTCTGCTTTGAAAACGGTGACATGGGTATGTATGTCTGTAAACGGACTCGCTTGTGAAACCAATACAGATTAGGGTGGAGGAAACCTTGGATACCCCAAAACCGAGCATGATTAACGTATTCATATGACTTGAATATTAACTACAGGAGGGCTCACCCAACCTTGATATAACTTATTACTTTGCTAGTAAGCTTGACATCCATGATGTACCTCATTCGTCATGTAGATACGTAGGAAATCATGATAATGACGGGGAACGCTCGAAAGGCTTACGATCGTGTTCTCCCTGGGTAAACTCTGTTGAATGAAAGCAAAGTAGTCTCGACACCTTTGTCTTCAAAAAGCTCAAGTATAGGAGTGGGAACGAGACTGACCGGGCCCTAAGTCTATTATGGAGTTGGATACTCCTCTGGCTTTGCGTGTGAATGATTCCAGGCTGTATTGAGTGCATGGTATTATCTGGACGCCGAGATATCCGAGCATATATCGAGAGCTCACTCTAGAATTTTGAAAGGATTGGGGGAGTCTGGATTTCAGTGGAGTGTCTCCGCGGCGGGAGCTACGGTCTGGGGAGTCGAGAAGCGTAACAAAGAGGCTAAGGACAAGAGGTCGTAGGTGCAGTTGAAGGATATGTTCTGCGGTATGTTGCGGGCAGGTAGTGATGATTGGGTTGCTGAGGAGAGTTGGGAGCTGTTCAGGAAACTTCATAGGGAATTATATGAGATCTCTCATCAGCCTCCGATGAAAGCAGACTTGAAAGATGGGAAGGGGAGAATGAGAGGCGAGATTAGGGGGTTCTGGCTTTTTGATATACCTCTTTCGCTGGAGCTGGACCTTACGATATGTATTATGACTCCGCTCTCACGTCTAGTACTTTTCTGATGAGTGCAAGATATGCAAGTAACATGTAGGACCGTATTGTGTAGAATTGCAAGAGTTTGATATGTATTGGGATGAATCCCACCGAGAAGAAAAAAAGGCGTCCATCAACGGGGTATCTCAGTCTGTCTCGACTGCGCATGATAATAGAAAGGAACGTCAAATACACCAACACCTTCTGGTGGCATCGTAAAGGCAACAAATAAACAGACGCTATGAGGGAATGACAAGATGAGGAAAAAAGAAGGAAATGGAGAGCAACAGCCCCACATATGCACACTTTGTACACTTTCCATAAAATCATTTCAGTTGGCCCTTGCGAATAGCCCCGAAGCCCTTACTGAATAATTCATGGATCTCAACTGAGCGCCTCGGCGCACACGATTCTCCCGGAGACATTGGTTCCGCGTAAGTGACGGTGGCTGGTTCCGGCGCAATGTCTGCGTGACTAGCGTTGACGCTGACGCTGGAGTAGCCTTCCAATTCGATCTCGTGGGTAACGGGTTTAGACTTGGTCATGACGCGGGGTCGAGAAAGGAGTTCCTGGACCTGGCGTTCCCGAGCGTCCAATTCGGCGTTTTCGCGCGCGATTTCGAAGCTGGACTTTTTGTTCCCGTGGTCCCAGCCTTGTTGAAGTTCTGGAGCGGCGGCTTCTTCGAAACGTTTGCGGATTTCAAGGTCTTGCTCGTACTCTTGGAAGATGTCCACGTCTGTTGGGAAGAAGAGGGCGCGGAGAGTGCTCATGGTGAGTTCGAAGAGGAGGACGGAGGCGACGGAAATGAGAAGGACCACCCAGAACAGAAGGTTGTCGCCGGCGTGGTGGAGGAAGTTCTCGGGGACGTCGTAGACGCCTTTACCGGAGCTTAGCGTGTAGCGCTCAGAAAGGATGATGTTCCAGAGGAACCAGCCGCCAACGGAGATGACGATCACGATGATGGAGAGATAGGTCTTGTTGTGCACCTCCAGGGCTTGTAGCTTAATGTTGATCACCACTACACAGGCCGAGAATGTGAGGAGGCCTAGGGAGAAGGTATCGATGTCACTTGGATTGATGTGACACATACCGTACAGACCGTACATCGTAAAGAAGATGATCATGGCTTCGCATGCTGCCATAAAGGTCCAGCCCAGCCACAAGCGGATATTGAAGCCACCGTGTCGCTGACCTCGGGCGTACAGCTCAGGGACAGCGAGCAATGTCGATGCAGCAAGGTCTTTGGCGAAGATACCAAGGAAGATGACAGCCAGCGAGGTGAAGAGAGTATTGAACATACTCAGACTCCAAGACTCGTAAAGACTAGTTCCGGTGTAACCGTTCCAGCGCTGGTACAGCGCTTGAGTGAGATAGAACAGCATTTCCTTCCAGAATGTGCCGAGGGTGTACTTGCACGCCCGCATGTAGTTCCACCGTCCGTGAACGAGAAGCAGCTTCAACAAGAAGCGGAACTGTGCAATCGAGTAGTCCGAGATACGCGCAGCCTGAAGACCTTCCTTACCAGCGATACCGATACCAACATGCGCTTCTTGGATCATCGCAATGTCATTGGCACCATCACCAATGGCAAGAGTAATTGCATCTTGCACATGCGTGCGAATAGACTTCACCAGGAACGCCTTCTGCTTGGGACTAGCTCGGCAGCAGATGACGGAGTCAACACGAATGGCGAGTTGGAAGAAGCGCTTCATGACAATCTCATCTGCTTCGATCTTCGAAAGAGTCTGGCCGTCAACAACCACAACAGAATGAGCCACACGGTTGTGACTGATATCAGAAGTCAACTGGACAATAGTCTGCTCGACGTCTCCATTCTCATGATCCAGAATGGTCAAAGTTGAGTAATCCTTCACAAGACGGCAAGAATGCCCAACATTGATGGCAGTCTCGCGCTTGTCACCAGTCAACATCCACAATTTGATATTGGCACGGCGCAGCTTATCAATGGCTTCAGGAACACCCTTCTGCAACTTATCCTCAATCGCAGTGGCACCCGTCAGCTCGAGCTGCTGCTCGATCTCCTCACCAACGCGCTCAATCTTTTCCTGTCGGTCGACGATACTGGTGGACGCCTCGTGATACGCAGCCCTCCAGGACTGATAGGTAGTCTCGTCCAGGAAGCGATGACCATAAAGCAAAGTACGCAATCCTTCAGTAGCAAAGTCATTCAGGTGCTGGAAGCATCGCTCGAAGATGGCCGCCTCATTGACAACAAGAGCTTCTTCGACCAAGTCCTCGTCTTCCTCGCCATTCGTCTCACTGCCAGAGTCGGAGATAGCGGTCGAGTTGCGTCCAATCTGTGCAGACGGGCGCGGACTGTAGTACTCGCTATCAGCTCTCCGGTCAAGCATACCACCATCTGTCTCACGATCGCGAAGCCAGACATCGATGCTTTCGCGCAGAGCTGACGCATGGTGCCCAGAGACAGAAGAGCGGCGATGGTTGAAGCTAGGCCGACTCAGACTGTTACGAGCACCGCTGTCCTTTCGGCTATGGTGTTCGCTATTGCGACGAATTATCTGGTTCGCTTCAGCAGCCTTACGCTTGCTAACACGGCGCTCAATCTCGGTTGCTTTCTCCTGTGCCAGATCGGCCTTCTTAAACAGACGCATGAGAGTGGTATCGGCGCCCTTGCAGAAGAGACAGATGCGCTGATCAGGCATGCGAACCACGACTGACATACGCTTCCGGGCGCTGGAGAAATCTATTACATCCATGACTTGGAAGACTTCGTCTGGGCAGATTCTTCGGGGCCGTTGGGGTAGGTGCGGATCGTCAATGTGTTCACCTGGCGGTCAATGACCAGGTAGCCGAGTTCTTGGGCTGCCAGAACAAGAGCCAGCTCGTCGGGCGAGGCTGCTTGGAAGGAGACATTGCCATTCTCATCCTTCTCTGGGATACAAGTGTGGCAGAGTGCAATAGACATGATTAACAATTTGGCTTTTCGCGCGAAAACAGTGTAAGGCTTGCGCTGGATGTACTCGAGCATGTCGGTCGTCTTGTACGGCGAGTGACGAAGGCGGCGCATAGCTTCATAATTGGCAGAGATATTGGAAGGTCGAGGACCGGATGGCATGCGTGCCTCAGACGCAGTAGACTTGCGCCCCACAGCTTTCTTTCCCTTAAATTTACGCTTCTTGTGGATGAGCTTGGTGTGATCGCCTTCGCGAGCGGCCTCTTCCTGAAGATCCAAATCGTGCAACCACGCTGTGCCAGCAACGCTCATCTTCCGGAAACGCATTGAGTTGTTCGTCAAGGTTCCAGTCTTGTCGGAGAAGATATAGCTAATTTGTCCCAGCTCTTCGTTGATGGTGGATGTGCGGGCCTCGAGAGGAGTATCGGTCTCTGGGGTCGTACATGTCGATATCGTTGAGAAGGAACATCTGAACAACCTTGACAATTTCCATACTCACATAGAGTGAGATAGGGATCATAGTATTGAACATGATGAGGAACGAGGTAAAGATCGGGCCGTAACTAACGCTCGCGTTTGTCAAGTACCAAGAGCGGCTTCCCACATCTTGCTCCCAGTATTTGTAGCAGATGGTGCAGACAACAGCCAGGATAACCACGAGACCCACAATCAGCATCACGACGTGGTTCACCTTCGATTGCAGTGTGGGCTTCTTGATTCGAGGGTTTTTGTTGGCGTTCATGCGGATCTTGCATTCTTCACCAGTGTAAATGACCATGCCGATCGTTTCGTCGGTGTTGCGCAGAATACTTCCTCGGTAGACGATTTCGTTATTGGTCAAGGGCAGCTTCTCCTGGGCGTTGACAGTGACATGACCGTCAAATTTGTAGAGATCCAGGTTCGGGTCCTCCACAACGAAATGAAGCGAGTTACTGGTAATGTCCTCGACTGTAGAGCAGACCTTCGAAACTGCTTGACATGGCTGCTTGTTTTTCAGATTGGTCTCTCCATCCAAGGCCATGGTCTCGATATAGGCCACGCCATTGGTCCCATTTGCATGCAGCAGAACGAAATCAGCCGGTACTGGCTCATCTCGTCCGAGTTTAATGACATCTCCAACTCGAATATCCTGCCATTTGATCTCAACCCAGACTTGTTGACCGGCCTCGCTACACCGAAGCACCCATGCAAATCGATTGTTCTCCTCCTTGTCCAGACGATACCGGCGCCAGTCATCGAATCCTTCCTTACCCATCGAGATACCGACGAAAATCAAAAGCGGAACAATGGTTGTGTATGTTCCAGTAGTACTCAGGCCGGGTATCATTTGCAGAATCGCAACAATCAGAAAATAGAAGTTGGCCATTTTCGTGAATTGGGCAAACAGCTGCCGGGGAAAGAAACTCCAGAAACTGTAGCGGCTCGACCGAATCCAGTTGCCGACGTAAGGCTTGCCGGTCCGCTCGTCGAGCAAGTTCTCCACTGATGATGGATTCAAATCGATGTGGCGTCCGTCCTGCGTAGGTGGGATATCCTTGATGCGCAAGATAACCCTCTGCATGGCGGTCATGACAGCCTCTACTCGGTTGCAAATCGCCGCGGTGGCAGCCTTTTTCTTTACCCATGTGTCCTGCGCAGATATATAGTAGTCTATAAAAGCGCGCTCTGAAGAGTCGGTCGAAGGGTAGGTCGAGGTTTCCTTGAGAGATCCGACGGTCGCAGTCGGAGCAATGGTCAATTCGTCCTTGTCGTTGATAACCACATGCTCAATTAAAGCCGGCGCTGGACCATCCTCCGGCACAGGGTTCGGTCCCTTAGCTTCACCTAGCTCTGCATCGCCGACATCTGTTTCGGAGGTTGTCTGAATATTCCTATTGAAGATCGATCGGCGGAGAGAGTAACCACGGTTTCGCGAGCGCGATCGCCCTGTTTCAGGGCTCGTGGGGAGGTCGAAGGGAGGGGAGAGAGAGTCGCCCCGGGGGCAGTACTGGGCGAAAGAGGGGAGGTAGGCGAGCGGGCAGGCGATGTAACCGTCGGAGGCGCCAGCGCCGTATTGATGGTCATGGTCAGGCCACGCGAGCTGGGGCGTCGGTCCCAGCCTGCTTGTCGTTCATCGACCGGGGCTCGTTCGAGGTCTGTAGAAAAGCGCACATGTTGTTGGGAGGTGCGCCGCCCGGAGTCGGACATGGAACGCGAGACGAGAGAGGGGTGCTCCGCGACGTCGTGAGGCTCCGGGGGCTGGTCATCATGGGAGGACCTGTGGTTGGACATGGTGGAAAATGCTAAATGCTTCGGATCGTGCCTGCGCGGCACCGTGCCGATCACTGCGCTCGAGAAATGTAATCGACTTTCCTCGGCCTTCTTCCTTCAAAAGATAATCGGAACAATCGATTTAAGAGCTCGAGGAAAGATGAGGCATTCTTGATCGCTCACCACATGGCCCGGTGAGTTTTCCGATCGAATGAATGGTGCAGAAGATCGCCAACGAAAGTGTGTCCGACGCAAGGACAAGCGAGGGGTCCAAATGAATAGGTGCGGAGGAAAGCGAGTGTAAAAGAGAAGACGATATCTCAAGATCGTAAAGTTGCGAGTTGCCAGCGAAACAAGAAGTTTGTTGTGTCGAGGCGGTGCAAGACCGGAAGCGTCAAAGAACCCGAAACGGAGGCAAAAGAAAAAAAGGCAAGCAGATTTAAGATTAGAATTGGAGGGAACCAGAGGAGCGAAGACTGGAGTCGTCTGTCACCCAGGTGTCCAGACTCGTCGTGCCTGGGGGTGGTGGAGTACTGCACGCGCAATGGTGGGTAGGAGATGGACGGTTGCATCCACCTTTGCGCCAAAAGACCACACCGGGCCCTGGCTGATTGCGACGGCACTCAGCCACCCAAAAGTTGGAGATACGGGGTTCCGCCTGCCGCATCCATGGGCCTAACGAGGGCCGTGAACAGGCATCAAGAATTATTGGCCAACCGGCTGCATTCCCTCACATTGCGTGGCCAGAAATTGATCCATGTCAGTGTGGTGGCAACCCTATTTAATTTTAGCCATTCTAGGCGGCCTTTTGTACAGCACACAGTGCACAGTCCATAGTCTATAGTCCATAGTCCAGGGTGATGGACTACCAACTTTCCCCGACAATGACTCTACTGTTCGTATACAGACTGGCGATCGCAGCCTAAATTCAAGGTCCCGTTCTGGGTGTTCGGAACCCTGAGCGATGTCTCCACAATTTCGCTAGAGCGATTGCAAGGTCCGGGAGCCCCTACGGATCTCCGTTTTTAGAAGTTGGGACTTGGCAGCGGGAACATTTGATAACGTCCTACAATCTATTGTGCTAACGGTGGGATTGTTGAAAAGGTCCATAGGTTAAGGATAACATGAATGAAGAAGAGAGGATCGTGATCGTCCCCGTGACGTCACTGCCGTCAATAACGGCGTGGTGGCGCCTGTCCATGGGATCCGTAAGGCGGATAGCCTGATCCACCAGGTTGCGGCGAGGGAGCACCATATCCATAGGGTGCCTGGCCCTGGCCCTGGCCATATGCAGGGTTGCCCTGGCTATTGCCTTGTTGGTAAGGGGGCTGAGGCGGCTGTTGAGGAGCTTGCTGGTAGCTGGGCTGCGGAGGGTAGCCAGATGGAGCATTGTATCCTCCAGGCGGTCCCTGAGGTGGTGCTTGACCGTATCCACCATAGCCACCTTGCTGGGGTGGGGGTGCGTTGGATCGTCCGGCTGCTTTCTCGTCTTTGGTGTCGTATGACGAATCGATGGCTCCGAGCATGATTTTCGCGCACTGGGGAGATGATCAGTAGGGGGTCCATTACGAGCCATCATCAAAACCTACCCAAAGTTCGCGAGTCAAATGCACCGGCGGCACAGCTCGGGACATCTCATCTTGCTCCACTTCAAAGTCTATTCCAATAGTTAGTACGCCCAAGTGGCCCGCGGGACATAGTGCACAACGTACTCGAAGTGCAGTCAATCAGTTGGCCAATCTGAGGATCCTCGTCCAATTCAGACAAGAATTCACGCGCACGCTGGTCATTGCCAACCTGAGTGAATTGAAAGGAAACAGCACCGCGGCCATACCGAGTTCGCGACACCTCGTTCACGGCGTGTTGGATTACGTCGCGCAAAGCCCCGTGAGGCTCACCTGCGGGCTGTCCATCCGTAATCGTAATGATAAGGACTGGCTTGTCGAGGCGGTTGGCGCGAGCAGGACCCACCACCATGGGGTCGACGACCTTGTCCTTCAGGCCAGTACCCAGAGGGGTCAGTCCTGCGAAACGCACACGCGAGACCAGATTCTCAACATCCATAGCACTGCGAATGCCATCACCGCGCTCTTGGTTGTTCATGAATCGTACCGAAATTCCATCCTGGTCGAAAGTCGAAGCAGCGGTGGCCACAATGCCCAAGATTTGTCTCAGCTGGTCCTTACGAAGTCCCTTCTCCTCGAACTCAATGGATCCACTGTCGTCGACATAGAGAATCACGTCGAACAGAGCGAGCTTCATAACATCAGTGGCCACCTCCATAGGGACAGACCATTCATTAGTCAACTTGGCCAGCTTGCCAGGTGCATCATTGGCGAGAGTTTGGACGAGTTGGTTGAGTCTCTCTGGCGGGTAGAAGCTCTCAAGACTTTTCTCTTGGATGGTGCTAATCAACAGCTGGCGATAGGCATTGAGTTGCTGAGGAGTGGCGGGAGCAGCCTGGGGTGGAGGGCCACCTGGAGCACCATACTGGCCCCCAGGAGGTCCTGGCGAAGGTCCAGGACGACCTTGTCCACCGGGGTACGGAGCGCCCTGGTTTGGGTAGGGTGCCTGGCCCTGTTTCTCGTCAGCATTCATTCGCGTCCTCTCTGATACAACATAAAAGATGCAACAAACAAAAAGGAAAAAGAAGAAAAAAAAAAGAGAAACAGGGGCATATGGGGTTCAATGTACATAGGGCTGCTGCTGTCCGGGGTACTGGGACTGGGGTGGCTGCTGTCCAGGGTAGGGTGATTGTTGAGTGGGGTACGGAGACTGAGGCGGTTGTCCAGGATAAGGTGATTGTGACGATCCGTAGGGCTGACCTTGACCCTGAGGCGGCGGGGGGGGAGGACGTGCATAGCCCTGCTGAGACGATGCGGGGTAAGGCTGTTGCTGTTGCGGAGCCCTATTGTAGGCACCACCCGGAGGAGGAGTATTGTAGGACTGGTAGGGTTGAGCAAGTGAGCCGTCGTACTGAGGATAACCCTGGTTGTAATAGGGACCCGACATGATTTCGAGTTGTCCCACGCAGGTTGGGGGGGGGGAGGAGCCGAGGGAAGCCGATGGAGGGGTACTTGAAGGGAAGACAAAGACCAAAAAAAAAAAGAAAGAAAGAAAGGCAACAGGATAATATCAAGGGAAGCTTACCGATCCCTGAGGAGGAGGGGATCCTGGATAAGCCTGGTACTGCGCTTGTGGCTGTTGCTGCAGGAAAGTTCAACAACCCTGTCCCACCATGACGTCGCGAGGTTCACAGGTGACTTACGTATCCAGCAGGCCGCAGGGCAGTCGGGGGGCCTCCAGTGTATCCCGCAGGAGGTGCGCCTTGGTAGGAGCCCGTGTTGCCAGTGTTCGACATGGTCTGATTCTGACTCTGGCTTTGGTTTGGGTTCTGACTCTGGGAAGCGGCTATCTTCGAGGCGAACTGTGCGTTTTGAAGTCGCGTCAGCTCGGTTCCTCGCGGGGTAGAGGCAAACGGGTGAGCAGGTGAATAGGACAGATCGAATACTTACACCCATTGTGTCGATAGAGAGAGAGTTAAGGAAGAAAAGCGAGTGGATGAGCTGATGACGCCAGACAAGTTCACACCACACCAGATTGGGGAAAGACTACGGGGCTGTGGAATAAAGGTTACTTCTCCACTTCGATTCTGCCAGTTTTATATGAATAATCAACGTATCTAGCTTGTTTCGTTCCCTCAATACCGCGTGGTAATTTGTGAAAAGGGAAGGATTGAACCCGTCACGTAAAGTTAATACGTAGGCGGTATGTAATTAAAAGGAAAAGGCGGTGAACAGAAGTAACCTCTCTTCTTTGGTCACCCTGTACGGATACGTGAGCGTGAGTGTCAAGGTGAACATAAGATGAGTACTGCTCAGCGGGGCAGGTGACCTGGGCCCCGGCCCTGATCATCTATGTCTACACAGCCTTGGCTGTTCTTCAGCTCCCGGAGTACTTAATTAGTTACATGGCACTTACGAGTCGCCAAGTTTAGAAACAGGCGCCGAATGCACAGCTCATCAACTCTGTGCCTGTGGGACCCACCCGATCCACCTTCCAGAACAAGTGGAAACTTCCTGCTACGTTATACTTCCATTCTGCTTCATTGGAAATGGGGACCTGTGAATCACCTTCCTACATTGAATGTCCTTGACCAAAACTCCTAATGTACTCTCCATGCTCGCCACGGAGAGATTCGTCCTTGCGCACCAGTCCAGGCTTCGCCCCATGACCCCATAATCATAGTTCAGGTCGACACTCTAACCTCGTAGCGATGGCTTCAGGGGCGCTGATTCCCTTGATGAGCCGATCCATGGGAACATTCCGGGGAAGCTTCAGGGCCCAACCAGGTCTCAATTTAAATACCGTGGATGGCATTAGAGGCGACTGATGTCACGGCAGAAGTGGGATGCTGTTTTGCGGAATGGACAGCCTGGACATCAAGTGCATCTTTGTTCCTTCCTTTCTGTTTCTGGTTAATCAGACGCCTCTTTGTTTAGTTTCACTTCTGAAGTCACCGGATCCAAGGGACTCCCCATTGACCTACTCTATTATAAGCCTCCCTAATCCCCTCTGTCAAGAAGAACCCCCTTGATTCCCTTCTACATTCGCCACGCATCAAAGGACTACCTCAAGGCCCAGTCAAAAGCTCTCTCTTTCCGCGCAACCCACCCGATCCATCATTCCGGACCTTCGAACTTGCCACAATGTCTACCCCGGTTCTCCGCCTAGGCATCCTCGGCGCCACCGACGCTGTCGAAACAACTTACCTCCCCACTCTCACAACGCTCAAATCTCACTTCACCATCATTGCCCTCCAAACCAGTGACCTCGAAGCCATCGAACGCTGCCAAAAGCTCTTTGCCATCCCCAACATCACCACATCGCCCGAAGAAATTCTCTCCAATCCCCAAATAGAGGTTATCCTTAACCTCTTTCCTTTCGAACATCATGAAAAATATACCATCGCCGCACTCGAAGCTGGCAAGCATGTCATGGTCGAAGTTCCCCTTTCAATGACCATCGAATCCCTTCGTCGAATCCGCGCCGCAACCAAGAAAGGCCTCTTGGCCCGTTCACCCGACGAAACCACCTCCGCCCCTCGTGTCTTCGTTGGATGTGCCCGCCGCTACGCACCATGTTACACTGACATCTTCAAAAAGGAACTGGCGACCATTCCCCGGATTCATTACGCGCGATGCCGCAATATCTCTGGTCCACTTCGCGTCCCGAAAAACGGGTATGATGACACTATCAACGAACTACATCGATCAAACGGCGCTAGCGCTAAGGAAGGAAATGGACATGCAAGCCAACCTCAGTTCCAGAATTTGCTCATTGATATCTTCGGTTCCGATGGAGACATCACGCCTGAGCGAGTCGCGTTCTGCCGCTTTTTGGGTAGTCTCGGATGTCATGATTTATCATTGATGCGCGAGTCGCTTGGTTTCCCCGATGCTGTTTCCTGCGTCTCGATCACAGATCCGTTCTACTCCGCTGTTTTCCATTATACGGATGATTCGGGTGATGATGGAAATCCGTTTACGTTGCTCTATGAGGCCGGTGTGAATGCGCTGCCAAGGTGTGATGCACATCTTACTGTTTATGGGGCGAAGAAGACGGTCAGTGTGGTCTATGACTTTCCGCTGCCTGGGGAGGCGGCGGGAGAAAAGAGATCGGTGAAGGTCGTGGTCGAAGAGGTAGATTGTGGTGAGGAGATGGGAAATGGGAATGGAACTATGAATGCGAATGGAAATGCAATCAATGGAAACGGGAACGGAAACGGTAATGCAGCTGATGTCGTCCGGTCCCGCGTCAAGAGAACCGAGTACGTGAGTACCTGCAACGAAGCATACGATCGCGAACTGCGCGCCCTGCACTCCTATCTCTCTGGTGGAAATGGTCCGGAAGCGAAGACAACCCCCGAGGATGCCTTGAGTGATCTTCGTCTGCTGCATATGATCTTTGGACACTATGATCGGCAGTGTGGAACCATTCGGACCCCGTTGGGTTAAGCAAATATACGTTGCGGGGGAGTGCTTCTGCTGGACGTTGGAAAAGTGCGATCAGGGTCAATGATCCGTTAATTCTTAGTCTTTACAATGAGATCGGCGAAAATGTAACAGTAATAGGGATATGCAAGGCGGGTATTTATCCATATTTACCAACCAGCAATGAACTCCACTACCGCTTGCCCTTCTTCTTATTCTTCTTGGCGTTGTTTCCACCGCCAGACTTTTGTTGTTGCGGAGCAGGGGATTCCTCGACCCTTTCGCTAACGACGCCACCCTGGGTACGGTCCGCGGCGCGCTGCTTGTTCTTCCTACCCTTGGGTCTGTAGGAGGATCGATCACGCAGAGGAAGCCAGCGCTCGGGGTCGGGCTTTTTGGACTCGTCGTAGTCCTTAGGCATACGAGACTTGCGGACACGTTTCGTAGCGTGGTCACCCTTGTCCGTGGCAGAACGCTTCCGGGCACTAGCGAATGCGGCCGCAGCCGCAGCAGCAGATGAGGCGGAGGGTGCAATGCCTGCAGACTCGAGGGCAGAAATGTCGATATCGGCGACGAGATCGCTGATCTCAGGAAGGCGCTCGAGTTGCGATTCAACCTGGGAATAGTCTACTGTAGCCTGAGCAGCGATGTAGCCAGCGATGGCGACGCGGTCGCTGGAGTCTTGCTGGTACAGGGAGCGGAACAGGTCTGCGGCCATGGTTAGGTTGGTGAAATCATCGGAGTGGAGAAGAGAGGTAGCGGCGGCGCGCAAGAGGGAGGCAGGAGGCTCAGGCTTCTTGCGCCAGTAGTTCGCTGCTTGTGCCAGGGTGGATTGGATCTGGATTTTCCGGCCTTCGCGTTGGTAGAGAGAGACGAGAACGCTGAGCAAGCCAGGGTTAAAGCGAGCGTCTTGGTCGGATTCGGAGATGGATTCTTCGAGGCTGTGAAGGGAGCGCTCGACGGCGGTGATGGCGGAGGTAGTGTTGCCGACGTCGACGTAAAGCTGAACCACGGTCAGGAGGAGACCGAGGTCCTTTGGCCGCCTTTCCAGGACAGGAAGGATCCGCTTCAAGGCTTTCTGGCCGGTTTCGCCGCGCGCATGGCCAGCGGCGTTGTAGACGGATTGAAGGTTCACGCTGGCCTCGGTAGACGGGCAAGGGCTCTTTGAGAGCACCTTGGCTGTTGAACGAATCATACCATCATATTTCTGCACGAGGAGATCCGCTGCATGCGAGTTACCCAGCAGCGCATTGTTTTGGTAGTCGAACAGGCGGTCGTTGTTAATAGCATCAGGGGTTTCGTGCAGGGCCTTGTAGAGGGTGAACGGATTGACCGCAGCCTGACGGGCCAGAACAATGTTGTTACGAGCGACTTTCTTTGTGGAAAGCTCTTGAATGCTAGTTGAATAAGTTAGTTCTGAGGTTTCATCGTGTTAGGATTCGACATACTCATCCACGGAGATCTCTTTAAGGAGCGCCGCGGCCTCCTCTGTTTTTCCTTGCCGAATCAACACATATAAATACTGGACAGAGATGGGAAGCAGCTCTGCGGCCCTATCCTCGGGTGAGAGGTCCTCTGATGTCTGACAAATGTCTGCAAGTCTGTCAGCATTGACTCAGGTGGTCTTTAAGCGCGATACTTACTCTTCGCGCGGTTGAGGAGGACCTCGCCCTGCGGAAGAGCACCCTTGGCAATATTCAAGCAAGCCGCATTGTATGCCGTTTCAAATGCCTCCAGATCCTCTCTAGAAGGCCGTTCGTGGCGCACGTATTCCGCCTCGCCCTTCCACTGCAGCTGGGCATCGGTGGCCCATGAATTGATGCTCAAATCGTGATCTTCAGAGCTGGGAGTCTGGGAGAGTTTCTCGTATATCTCTGCAGCCCGACGGAACTGCTCAGCGCGGTAGCTCTGTTCAAAATTCAATATTAGCCTATGTCGCGAAAAGCAGCAGAGACGATCTGCCATACCACTTGAGCCTCCAAATGGCTGGCACCGCGGCTAGAACCCGCACGAGTCACAGCCTCCAGAGCCTGTTCCAATTTCGCACACTTGTACAGCGCATATGCATGTTCCAACCCAGCCCGCTGCTTCAGGGCATCGCCTCCGGCCTCAAGCACCTGCAGCGCATCCTCGTAGCGGTCCAGCTTTAATAAAGCGATGACTTTGATGTGTTGGGCGTGAATATCGGTCTTGGACTTGGCGAGGGTTTCATTGCAGGATTGAATGACCTCCTCATGATCATCAATCGATGCCCGCTGCAAAAGCGAGCTCAGCGACTGCGCGACCATGGCGGGGGTTGCGGGGAGATCGTCGAGAGCACAGATTCTTCGCAAATCTATGCGTTCAATTGAAATGCGATGGCCTCGGAATATCGAACTTGGTGCAATTGTCACAATCAGGGAGATCTCCAGGTTGTTATCCACCTCCACAACGCCAGAGTGTGCGGAAATGTCCTTCCCCATTGGGCAATATTGCGCATAGTGTCGAATGCCCCGCCGTATTTGATCACGTGTTGACGTTGCAAATGCCATATATCTGGCGCGCAAATATATGACACTGATCTCAATCATTAGTCAGGGAAGTAACTCATTTGAAACCTTGCGGTGTATTTTGAATCAGGCAATAACCGATGATTTGATCCCAGCTACATAATTGGTGAGATTTTTCGAAGTCCCCAGGTACAATGAGAGATATTTTGACGTATCATTAAAGAGACCAACGATTGCTCCCCAGTGCCTCTTAAGCCTGGTATGGGAATCTTGTATATCAATTAAGTCGAACGCTAGATATTACTGGGAAGGTAAGAGAGTTACCTTGGTCAGGCTGTACGATCCAACCCCACGTATCTTTCCTAGAATACACCAATGTGAAAGGCACTATCCCGGTGAATGCAAGTCCTTTCCGTTCGCCTATACTTTACCTCAAGATCTTTTTTTTTCATCTGGATGTCAGCCCAATCGCCTCAGGAGTGTTCCTGTTCCTGGTCGCTCTCTTCCGAAATTCCCTTTGACTCAGGCCCCGAGAGCTGGAGTGTGAAGACAGCCGTGGTTGCAGAAAGTATGCCAAGACACAAAGTCATCACCTTCCACCCATAAAGATGATCATTCAACCCCCCCCATTATCGGGCCTATCACCATTCCAGTAAGCTGAGCCGTTCGTAGAAGACTGAAGGCTTGCGCTGTGGCCCCATTCTCACCAAACACTCCAGGGGTTTCCTCTTCTAGCTCATCGACCACTTTTTACATCTCCACTAACAAAAAAGGTGAGATTCCATTGTTCAATGTACCGAAAAGTGCGAGTAGGATGACAAGCAGAGTTTTGTCCCGCATTGACTCCATCTCAATGAACCGTAGACATATCAACGATGGAACGATGAGTATGAAACCCGTTGTCGCAATTATACGGGCGCTGAGTCGACCGTAATAATACCCTATATAATTAGCTAAGCTTTACTAACTGTCACATGGCAGAGGTCACCGCAAAATGGCTGTAATATGACCGTGGCAACTATTGGAAAGAATATCATGCCGGCACCGGACGTATCCCAATGAAATCTGTCCATCACAAAACCAGGAAGCGTCTATCGAGATTGATGTTAGAAGGGGGATCTGAGAAACAGAATCTGTGGAAAGAAAGTCTCACTGAGTCTAAAGCGGAGTGAAAGAGCGATTGTAGGATGAATGTCCATGTGGTGATCAAAATTCGTGGTTGCTGAAGAAGCGCCCAGAATGCAAACATCCCACGTTCTGAGTTCAGGGACTCACTACTCTCCTGAATTGCGCCATATTACAGGCAAGGTGTGGGAAGAACGGGATCGGGCATCCTTTCGTTTTCCTCCGGCTCAAGCCAATACGTCGCAGCCTTTTTCTCAATGACTGCTAGTTGCAACACAAGGTCAATGCTAATAAGGCCAAAAGCGATTCCACACACCGTATAATATCCGGCGGTGTGGTATATGAGTCCGCCTAGCAAAGGGCCCAAGGCAAATCCCAGGATAAGGCCAAAATCAATATAGCGAAGCATATAGCCCAGATGAGCCTTATCTATTGTCTCGGTAACAATGCTAAGTCCAGCTACTGCGACCATAGCCGCAGCGGCACCCTGGAGAATCCGTGCTGCCAAGTAGCAGGCAAATGAGAATGCAGATGTAAGCAAGGCCATTGAGACCAACAATAGGAGCAGTCCAATAATGTATAGTTTTCGACGCGTCTCCGACCGGTCGAGGACGTACCTAAAGATTAGGGCGCTAAGGAAACTGGCTGTGGCTTCAGATACGAGCAGAATACTGTTTAAAAGTTCAACTGCTCAATTGCTCATGTATCAGTACAATTAACAATCAATGTGGGCAGTTCCTCACGATCACGCACGATCTTCGAATGCTATATTGGTGCGAGTGATCAAGGCAGTCGGCATGATGGGTATGATCTGCCTGCACATTAGAGCTGTGCATTAAAAATTGGAAAATCACACACCATTCCGTGGAGAAAGGTGTCCTTGGAAAAATTAGCTTTGATCTCGCGGAAGCACAAAGCTGGCACCCGCAGACATACCGTAAACATGGATAGCGAGATAGTCGCGACAATGAACATTTGCGACGATCGCATTTCGAGCAAACAAGGGCGCGGCCCACTGACAAGCTTAGCCCATGAATGAAGCCGTTGCGGATTCATGTTGTCCAAGTCTCACCACCGACTCATGCAAATGAAGATAAATCAAGTGAAGTTTGCAAAAAAAAAAAAATGCTGCCGACACTCCTAAGACAAAACCTGATTACCGCCGCATATGCAGAGGAGATCTCAAACCCGGCACATCAGTCTCTCTCATACTTTACATCGTATCTGTAATGTATGGCTCCGTGGTCTCCGCCTGCAAGGCTCCTGCAGGATGCCCACCTAGTGCATACATGGCTGAGAAGCTAATATTTGCATAAATAGCCATTCCTACTCACTTCGGCGTAGCTGAGCGCTGAACCCCATGATATTTCCAGCCAATGCACTGCCCATGGCTTGGTATGTAGGGACACGTGTTTTGAAAGAGCAACTTCGATCCATATTAGCTTGGATGGATCACACGAATTGACTAGGTATTCGCAGCGGGATTTGCTAATGGACACAGACCGCAGGATCTCACGCTCGCCACTTTCATGCATATTTGCGTTGTCTTTTTCGACCCCGCGATTGCGGTATTTCTATGTGTATCTCTTAGCTTTTTCGCTGGGCTTTGCTGCCTGATTCTCCATGTGCTGTGACGACAGCTATCATAGCCTCGACGACACTAGTTAGGCTCGATCAGGTTAATAGAATTTGAATGACTTGAATTGAATTGACGACAGCTATGCTCTTGGCATAACGCTGTGATACCTCACTGTACTTGATAAGGCTTTGTAGACGAAGTTTTCTGAGCATATTTGGACTCTTATCATCTTCTTTTCTAGATTTTTTTTTTCTTAAAAACAAACAAAGGCTAGCCCTTTGGGTAGGACTTTGCAGTGCAATCATGTTGATCATGTCGTGGAAACCCACTTGGACTACCCCCCCAATCTACCTAACCTTGCAAATGTCCCAGATTAGTGTATTCATATTTAGCCCACGCCCGAGGTATTCATGGCACGTGGGCCCAAGTTGTGTTCAAACTACAGGTCAGCCCGGCCAGCTGACGAGGGTCCGAGGTGATGAATAGTTCAAGATGCAAGAAGGTTCTTGAGAGCTGCGCCCGAGCATTGGACTACTTGAGCATCGCGTCGCTGTTCTTGACAGTGATGAATCTGCTTAGGCGTTGCTGAACATCCAGGAGAGTAAATATTTGGTAACCCGCCTAGTGGAGCAACGTGAGGCAGTGTAGATCATGAAACTCGACCCGGAATGTATCTTATATTCCAATACGCCGGAACAAATGCCAACGTTGTTTCTTCGATATGTAAGTAAGATCTTGAGAATGGGAAATCTTGGTGTGCCTTGGCACCACCATACGACCAGCATCCGCTCCCCATCCCACTTATTTACCGGATAATGTTTGTCAATTTCGAATTTCTATTCCTGGCTCAAAGGCTCACCTCTTGCCGCATTTTGTTGATTATCTAAGTTCGAGCACGTTCCTGAGCAGAACTCCTCATCGCTACATAAGCCAGATGGCTCGCTCAGTGAGCAATCCGATCTCCATCACTGACATGGCCTGAGCAAAGCGGGAGAGCAGCTATGTCAGCAGCCCATCTCAATAAAATGCATTACGTTAGTCCCATCTAATGCATTCATTCACCATCTTATTCTGACCGTTGTCCCCTTTACGAAAGGATAGTAGCAGTCATGTCTAGTCGTTTTGCCTAAAGCTGCATAGCGGGGCCACTCTTACTGGCAAAATCTTCCGGCGGCCTGCTCCAATTCAACGCGCCGAGTTTCGCATCCACGATTCTGTTTCTACATAGTTGCGCATGACTACATTGGTGTGATCACTTAGAGTCTGAGCCCGTACTGGCACCTACTCAGTGAGCCGCAGCCGAAGCACCCTCCAAACAAGCGATGGCAGCCCAGACTAGAAAGCCCCATCTTGCAGGCAATATCCTGCTTACTACAAAATGATATCTGCATATAGCCTGAGGTATCTACAGCCTAATGAACTGTCACTCCTTGAAATAACGAAGCTTCTGGGGCCAAGCTTAACCCTAGGTCAAGTCATGGAGGGTCGCCACGGTTTCACACTCGATCGTCCAGGTGGCAGATAGGCTCAGAAAGCCTAGTCTAGGCCCCATCATTCCTTGCAAGGGCATTTGGGACGGCGTAGCCCCCAATCCGCCCATTTGCCTAGGGCGCAATAATGGTCACCCCAGGGTGCGCTGAGACTCGGGCTGGACCCTGAAAACCACTTGCGATCCGCTTGGCCGCTAGAGAAGCTTCAAGCGGTCAAAGTATCTCCCGCCGGGTGGGTGTCGGTGAGTCGAGCTGGGAGGTCATCGACAGGGGCTGATCGACATCTAGATCACCTAAAACAGCGCACCACGGGGGGGGAGACCAAACACTGAGAATTTCCCATGTCTCAGTAGAAAATGAGTCTCGGCGGCATGCATAAAGAGCATGATAGAACATTTCGGACAGCCAACAGTACAGAATCGGACAGAGGTCAGTGCCAAGGGACGCGCGGACGTGGAGCTACGCGACGGGGTAACGGCGAGTGAGAGACTGCCCTGGTTCCGAGTCTTGGCACTCGGGGTTGATGAGACACTCGGGGCGCTATATACCTCTCAACGCGAAGTCTATGCGCAATTGAGGTCAAAGGCGTCGTAACCATGTAGGTGATCCCATTGCCTCCAATGATGAAAATACTTAAGAGTAGCCCAAAAGCTGAAGGCCCTGTGAAATATTACAATAAAGAATGGGCGTAAAAGAGCACGTGACCGTACGTCACCCCTTAAGGGCAGAGTTACGCCTTTGCCGCTTGGAGCGTCCACGGAACCATGATCGTCCCTTGACTTCCCGTCCCTCTTTGGAACCTGCTTTTGTTTTTTTTTCCTCCTTCGCCTTCCGTGTCGATTTTCTTTTTCTTCGGCCGGGGTTCAGAATAGCTTGCTCGATCACGGAGATTGTCTCCGCAATGCGGATGTCTACTCGTTGACCTTCTATAATACGACCGATTACCACTCCCGAATTAGGAGGAATACACCAGCAGCCGGGATGCTGTTCCAGAATAGGGAAGGGCCTATTCCGGCCTCATGGGCCTGGAAGAAGATCATGCGTTTTGCCATCATCATCGTCGCTGTCACGGGTTTCGCCGCCCTGCTCTGGCCATCCTCCCCACCTCGCTACAATGCGATGCACGCCTACTCGAACGTGACTATCTCCTCAAACGTCGAGTGCGACCTTGACCTCGAAATGCTGCACCGTCTCGACGTACGAAAGCTGGTCGCTTATACCCGCCGTGAGATGATTCTGGACTTCTCTGCGGATCCGCTCCCCATCCGTCAGGGCGTAAAGCAGCCGTTGCTGGACACAAAGTGGAAGCCTTCGGCCTCTGAGTCCGAGACTGGACAGTCGCAGGACGGCTGCACCGTCAGGACGCCCATGCAGGTCCAGGTGGTCCAACCACCCAAGATGGCGGTGGCTTCGCACATCGACTTTGGAGTCGCTACTTCAATTGGAAGATTGAACGACTCGCTTGACCAGTTTGCTCATTGGGCTGGGTATACGCGCACTCGCATATTTGCTCTGATCGAGCCCGATGAGACCAAAGAAGGAGTCGCATATGTCAAGCACAAGGCGGAAAACCTGGGAATCAACCTTTTTATCACCGAATCCGAGGATGACTACCTGCATCGCTACTTCGCGCTCATTGCCCTTTTGGAGGAGCACATGCGGGGGCAGACACAGTGGGCGTGCATCATCGACGACGACACGTTCTTCCCTTCCATGTCCGCGCTGGTGGACGCCTTGGCTGAATATGACCACACCAAGCCGATGTACATTGGCGGTCTCTCAGAAGGCACCCCCCAGATTGCAGTTTTCGGAATCATCGCTTTCGGAGGCGCTGGCGTCTTCCTTTCTCGACCCTTATTATCCGATCTTGCAACCGTCTATGATGAATGCGAACAGATGACATACACCGGCGACCGCCGGATCGCCAATTGCATCTACCAGTACACTACAACTCGCATGACAATCGACCACCGCCTCCATCAGCTGGACTTGATGAAGGATGCATCCGGATTTTTCGAGTCAGGCGAGAGCTCCCGCTCTCGGTACACCACTGGAAGTCATGGTTCAATGCCGACATGCCCAAACTTAGCGTAATCTCCGAGTTGTGCGGCGACACCTGTCTTTTGCGCCAATGGCAATTCTCCGATGGCTATCTACTAACCAATGGGTTCTCCGTCGTGAAGTACGGATTCCCGCCTGAGCCTGGTGACCTCTCCATGGAAATGACATGGGAGCCGCACAACGGCGCGACAGAGGAATCGTACCTCCACGAGCTAGGTCCTCTCCGCCGAAAGGACGAAATGAAAGAAAGCTATCTTCTCGAAGATGCCAAGATCCAGGAGAACGGTCACGTTATCCAGTGGTATATCAAGCGGGACTCGATCCTTGGCGACGAAATCTTGGAATTGACATGGCGCAAGCAGTAATGTGCATGGCTTAGCAGGTTTCATTTCGTTCTGTCTCTGCATTCTTGTTACTTTCTGCTTATTCACGCTATATGAGGATGGGTGGCATTCGAATTCGGGTTCTTCTCCTCATCTCATCGGTCCGGCGCTTGGTCTTGGGCTCTTTGCATGGATTCTTGTTTATAGATCGGCGATACATCCTTTTCGTTACACCGTTTAATGCTTAGGACGATCACACTTAATGTGACTATGGAATAAATTATGGCTATCTAGAACGATTCATGTGGCAGTACACTTTTTCAGTCAACTTGCTTTCCGCCAAAGTGTTCATTTCTTTCGAAGTCGAATTGTCATCTGCCGACCCCTTGGCTTGTTCTACAAGAACTTATCCGACTAGTCTTCATAGACCTCAGGAACGTTAGCCAGAATGTATCCGGATCTATTGGTCGGTGCCTCGTGAGGTCTTCATGGGCTCGAAGAGAGAACTGACCTCTTCTGCTCCGATGTCATTCTGTCAATAAATCTCAATCAAATCTAGGAGCAGACTCTCCAGCGCATCTTGATGTCAAAAATAACCAGTGAACAATGACCTTCGCAAACCACATCACGAGATCAAGGTCGAAAAATCCGCGAAGCACCGCAGCCCACGACCTGATTGCAATGGCAGCGGAACCCCCACACGAAGTCATCACCCCCGCGATCCCGGAGCGGGGGTTCATTTCGTATCTCATTACTCCGTTAACAGCTCTCATCTCGAAAGATATACTAGACAATTTTTCCTTACAAGTATCTGAAGAAGAATCCCCATGACCCGCCACGCAATCTACCCCAGCCTCGAAGGCAAGGTCGTTCTCGTCACCGGCGGCGCCGAAGGTATAGGCGCCGCAACAGTTGAACTATTTGCCCGCCAAGGCAGCCAGGTCTTGTTCATGGACATATCACAAACCTCCGCGCAAAACACAATCGATCACATTGCCTCTCTAGCTCCCCAAAGTGGTGCACCCCCAATCACCACCCCAGTATTCTACTACTGCGACATTACCGATCTCCCGAGCATCCAAGCCACGACATCCAAAATACTATCCGAATATGGCGTCATCAACATCCTAATCAACAACGCCGCAGCAACAGGCTCCGGTGCCCGCCGCTCCACAGCGGAAGTAACTCCCGAATCCTGGGATTTCAGCATCAACGCCAACTTCCGCCACGTATTCTTCCTCACGCAAGCTGTGTTGCCGGCGATGAAAAAAGCGGGCGGTGGGAGTATTGTCAATCTGGGCTCTATTACGTGGCGGATACCGGATCCGAGTCAGCCTGTTTACGCTGCGTGTAAGGCGGCGATTATGGGGTTGACGAGGGTGCAAGGGAGAGAGGTTGGTGGGGATAATATCCGGGTAAACAGTGTTATGCCTGGGGCGATAGCGACGAGAAGGCAGAGAGAGGAAGTGCTGACGGATGAGTATCGGGATACGGTTATGCGGAATCAGAGTCTGCAGAGGGATTTGGAGCCGGAGGAGGTTGCTAAAGTCATTGTATTTTTGGGGAGTGAGGAGGCGAGTGCGGTAACTGGAAGTACTTATACCGTTGATGGGGGTTGGTGTAGTGATCCCTGATCAATTTGTGTCTCAGTGCGAATGAAGTCGTGGATTTGGTATTCCAGGTATGTTCATGGACCTTAGGAGCGACAAGTACAACACTACTTGTGCATGCCAACACAGGCTTCGAATCAGATCTTGCCTTCAAAGGCTGAACAATGAATATATGGCTCGAGCGTGAGATCTACAGCGCTCAGAACTTACCGGGCGTCCTGAAGCACTTTGAAGGCGAACACCGTTGATCATCCATGGTCCTGCGATGCATGCAAGCGATCCTTAGACTACGTGTAGCGCTCAAGAGGTTCCTCGGTGCGAGATTGATCTGTCAGACTGCGGGCAGACCTCGCTGTCTGCCATGCAGGATTACACTTTTCATCTAAAATGGCTCGTCAGACCATCCGAGGTCCTTCATATCCTTGCTTAACCCAGATCACAGTGATATGGACGAGAAGTAGCGGTGTTCTGGAGTTCCAAAGTCAAGAGATGAGTCCTGTTCAAATATAATAGGAGTGGCACGCAAAATGGCGGCTCTCCACTGAGAGAAACGACTTTGACTAGACGTCAGGAATCAACCATTCTCTTTCCCTGGATAAGTTCAACTTCACTCAGCACCCATGCTCCAATGTTCACTTTGTGGCTTCTTAAATCCCGACAGATTATTAAATTCGGCCCGATATCCCAATGTGACCCGGGCCTTGAAGCAATGGCTTCGTGGGGTAGACTAGGGTTACCTCGCAGTCCCTGGACAATCACGCACGAGACACTTGGCTCCCAAACAGCCACCGAACAGCCACCGAACCCTCGGCCTGATACCCTTCCAGCCTACTGTACGAGTAAGACGCTCCACCCTAAGAGGCGGACAACTCGATACGGGCTTAGCCCAAAGGGCGTTCGGGCAGCCACAAAAGCGCTCTTCCGGTCCCCGCCACGTTTCCGATCTAAGATCGAAGCTACTGAGATCGCTCATGCTCTGAAGTCGTTCACCGAGAATCCGAAATTTCCGATAACCTGGCGAGCTAATGGCCCAGGACCTCCACATGAAACCTGTAGGTGAACGCAAGAAAGTGCGAGACGACAATGACCAAGTGACGGTAGATCAGAGGTGTGTGCGCAAGGCGACGATTCGGCTAAGCATGTCTCCTCTTTGGATGCAGATCATTTGTCTCGGGGGCACTCAGCATATTCGTCGAGACGATCCGGACAGGTCAGGGAAAACGGACCGAAATGAAAGCTCGCACTGATCGGAACTATTTAATTTTGGATGGGGCACGCAATGGATGAACCGCGCGGGCCAGTGCACGATTTCCCCAGTGACATCATGCAGGGCAACACTGGTTCATTCCCCTGGCCGTGGATTTCGTCCTAGCGTTAGACCGTTTTTTTTTTATATCCAGTTTCCTTGTTTTCAATGTTCTTCGTGGCTCGACACGCGGTCCACCCCCTGAGAAATCCTCTCGAGGTTACGGTGTCGGAAGGAGGCGCCCACCTCCTGTTTCTACTAATAGAAAATATGGAGACTAGCGTAGAACTTGATACACCAAAGCACGTCTCAGCCACAACCATGTGGTTCTCGCCCTTGCTAGGCGTCCAATAAACTCCGTTCAAGCTTCCGGCTTCCGACGATTCGATCATTCATGACAGGGTATTTTGGCACGAAGTGGCAGGCAATTCATTATGCGATGGGTCATTGGTTCGAAAGATGAGACACCTATTGCAACACGAATATCTGCAGGGCGAATAATTTCCGCAACGCGCCGTATGTCCGGAATGAAGACCTGCAACTTGGACAAGGTGTATGGCATCATCAACGGTCAGGGGGTGGTACCTGAACGGGAAAATACACAGCTAGGGCGATCACGACAAAGACCAGAGAAGGGCACGTGGCTGGGCCACTCGACCGCTTGACACGACTGTAAGTTGACCGCCAAGTTGACTGGTCAACTTCGTTGTGCCCAACCCGTTTCCCTTTGCAAACTCAGTGAACTCCTGATTTTGCAGTCAGGCACCAGCCACGGCTGCTCTCATGTCTATTATTACCCAACCTGGAGGGATACGCAGAGCCCAATTAAATTCCGGGCAACACAGCCTTGGAATGGGTCTCGGCGTTGCTCATCACGGTAGTACACAAAGTAGGGCTTGGACCCATCGACCGTGCAGGATGGAGACCAACGGCGACTTCTTTTTGCGGCTTCCACGGCCCTTCGAAATCCTTCTGGCGGCCTTCTGGAAGGTCAGGAGAAGGCTTGGCAGGCCAATCCAGAGTGATTCCTCCAGCCCGCCGAGCCGTGGTGGCAGACAAGTGGAGATTCTGGAGGCTGAACGCGGTCAGTGGTCCTTCTAGTGGCCCCGGAGAAAAAGGGGCAATGGACGACTTTGGAAGTGCAATTACCGACGCTCGGGGGGGAGCTTCATCGGACTCCACTCCATTTGGATCGTCCCTAGGGCTCGCACTTGGTCAGCAACGGGTTGTACGATCCGGGACGAACGAGAACGAGACAATTGAGTCCTGCTGTGCAACAGGCCACTTTGTGTCCCGTGTTGGCGTGTTTGGATGAGCGCCCCTCCTCTCGTAGAAACCTTCTAGAAGGAATCAATTTAGCATTTGGCCGTCTAGCATCGGCCGGCAATAGTGGGAAGCGGACTACCGCGATGGGCTCATCCCCTCCCCTTGACGTCTTTGATGATCTACTGTGCCGTATACAATCGTTCGTGTCGCACCATTCCCGCCTCTAGGGGATAATGCAAGTAATCACTATCACTATGAATTATAGTAAAACACCTCTGTCTTCTCATGCCCGAACTCGAGCAAACGAGAATCAAAAGCCATATCAAATGTCCACTATACCCTGTATAATTCTAACCCCCCTTGGCACTACTTTCCCCTTTCTTGCAGTTCTGGGGCGGTTGGGAAGGAGATCCACCGCTGCTCAACCATGTGAGATTTGCGTCATTGGCAAAGTTTCCCACTCGTTTCACACTAGTGCAGCGGTTTGCTTCTTAGTAACGTAGTGAAGAGAGGGATCTAGGACTAGTGGCCCCGTTCAGCGAAATTGTGATTCAGATCGGCGTCGCTATCTCGTATCCACTCTTTTTTTTCACGCGCAGGGACGGGGGAAACCGCACGTTGTGGAGCCGGCTTGCTGACGGGGGCTTCTGGTGCGGCCAGGTTTCCTTCTAGCGCACTTCGCTGGGGGCGACTAAAGAAAATAGGGTATCAACTAGAACGAGCGTGGCCGCCTGCAGGGATACGGAACTTTAGGGGAATAGGAGGTGACTAGTACCAGTACATCTGTACGGTCTAGCTATAGCTATATCGCTAGAGGTACGAAACAGGAAGGGTTGGGCATGGAAATGAAGCCAAAGCTAGAAGAAATAATACTGACTGATGAGAAGGAATACAAACCCAAACACCAAAAAGGGATTCAATTTCCAGTCCTTGACCAAACCTTCTAAACCAAGTGGGGGCAATGCAGCAACGGATTCTCGATGTAAATAATGATGTATGCCAGTGGCACCTACCACACCTAAATAACCCAAGCAATCATCACATAGTCCCATCATATTTTCTCTCCCCCTCCCCTTTCTCTTTCACACCCTGCATTCTCGATACTTGGTTCCGCCTTCCGCCTCCCCACTGACTTCCCTCTCTCTCTCGCCAACTCTGTTGTCGCGACTCTCCTTTATCTGACCTGGGACGTACGCCTACTGCCGCCCATCCTTTGTGCCTTATCTTCGGCCGTGCTAAGGTTCGTACCTGTCTTCCGAGACTCTGACCGCGATTCCCGCAATTTCCCTCCCCGCGTGGCGCGGCTGCCCAACGGGCTGTGCCCTTGCGACATTTTGCCTCGAGCTAGCCATCTGTCCGGGTCTGATACGGATGTTCACTAGCCTGGGTGCTGTCTTCCTGGGGAACTTTTTTTTCGCGCTGGGACCTCCTGCAAGGTCCACGGCGGTGGAGCACCGAAGACGTGAAGACTGCAGACCTGCGTCAAGATCCGGGCAACTGGGCAGCACTGGTGGTCTTTGATCCCTGGAAAGTGATTTTGAGCTGACCGTATTCTTTCGCAACAGGCATTCTGCCCTTCCTTCCTCCTCTCCCTGGCGAACGCCCCGATCACAAGCCATCTCCTCCGATTCCAGCCGATCGCCATACCTGAACTTTCTCTGCTCTTTCAAGCAGCGAGACTCAAACAGGACAATATTCCTGCGTCTCGGATAAGACTACGCCGCGAGCATCCGCTTTCGCTTCGGTTCGGCATTCAGCGCATAACGCGTCGAAAAGGCTCGGGAGCCGGATTCTACACTTGAGGACATCGCTTGTTCGTCCCAGCAAATAGCTGCTGCATTATTGCCTCGATTTCTCCGAGCACTTGAAAAGTAAGGCGGCAAGAACGCGCCTACGCTCATACTCACGCTACCAGGCAGGCGGATCAAGTCGAAAAACTCGTGAACACGACAAGAGCAGGACTCTGAACGGTTCGCGCAGAACAAGACGCTTGCTGAAGCTGACCTCCACCGCGGGCACTCAGCTGATCGCTGGGTCGTGTCATGGACTTCACGACCATTCTGAATCGAAAGAACTCTGCCGCAGCAGCTGTCGCCGCAGAAGCACAATTACAGCAACAATACATGCAGAACCAGTTTCACCACAATTCCGCCATGAAACCCGAGCCGGGTGCCTCCGACAATTCCGTCGGCGCATACCCTCCTCACGCTGTTCCCCCGGGAATGGACTCAGGACTGGCGGAGTCTTTCTACTATGCTCAAGCACAAGGTGCCACCCCTCGGAACATGGCATACGTCCCTGGCGGATATGCTAGCGATGCTCAGATGCAGCCAGCGCCCGTTCCCGTCGGAAGGAGTAGTGCTGATGCGCCACCTAAGACCTTCCACTGCTCTACTTGCAACAAGGGATTTGCTCGACGCAGTGATCTCGCTCGACACGGTAAGATGACTCGTTAACTGCCCTTCTGAATCAGTACTAACCTTTCGTATCTAGAGCGAATCCACACAGGTATCAGGCCTCATGCCTGTGACTGGCCTGGTTGCGGCAAGCAGTTCATCCAACGCTCTGCCCTAACAGTACACTCTCGTGTACACACTGGTGAGAAGCCCCATATGTGTGAGCGATGTGGCAAACCCTTCAGTGATTCTTCGTCATTGGCTCGGCATCGTCGTATCCATTCTGGCAAGCGACCCTACAAGTGTCCGTACGCCAACTGCCAGAAGACTTTCACTCGTCGGACGACCTTGACCCGTCACCAAAACCACCACACCGGCACTATTGAGGAAGCTGCTGCTGAGACCGAGGCCAACCTGCGTCAAAATAAGGAACGCCGGGGCCCGAGCGAGGGCATGTTCCCGGACCACGTCTCTATTCATTCTGCCCCATCCCCAGCCCAGTCTATGTCCCCTGGTGGTGATCTGCCTCCTCTGAACATGCATCGTTCGGCCGGTGATTACTACATGGGTAATGGCTCTATTCCCCCTCATGTACGCGGCGACTTTACGCAAGGCAGTCCTCGTGCTTCTCCCACAGCGACTTCTCCCTCTCTCTCCAGTTATGGTAGCGCTCCTCACGCGCGCCCAGCCATGACGTCTCACCCTTATGCTCCCCCGCAGCCGCTCGAGCCCCCGGCGAACAACGACCACCGGCCAAACAGTGTCGGCGGGAGCCCGCACATGACCAGTCTCGGTTGGGCCTCGCCTTCTCATGGTAGCATGCCCTCCCCTGGCTCAGCCAACGACTTCACCTACCCCGAGCCGAGCGGCCCAGCATACCCAACCTCGATGCCCCCTCACATGTATTTCCCCAATTCGACAATTCGGAGGCCCGGCTCAACCGAGCCGGACCAGTACGAGACCAAGCCCCGAATGGGCGAGCACACTTGGTCCACACCCGTATGATCAGTGCTCTATATTGCTTTACAGCTCCACCATTTCCTATGTTGACATCATTTCATTGCATCGTTCCCCTGATTCCCATGGAAACAAGTAACTTTCCATCGTTCGTTTGAGCTTTCGCATCTGTTATCTCTTTACACAACTTGTATCTATAGGTAGACAGTCCTCCTGGAGTCAGGACCGTCCATCTTTTTGTTTTTTGAGCACCTTGTCATCCCCCCACTATTCACCATTTCCTTTGTTCTTGCTTTGCGGATGACATGGCTTTACCGAGACACGACCAGACGAGGAAACAGCATAGATAGAGCGCGGGACCAGGGATCAGGATCTTTTGGGGTATCATTTGTACTGGATTGGAAATCGGGACTGGGCTTTCTTTGCTTGGGATATCTGGCCCTTGAGTGTGGTGTCTGGTTGGTATCTGAATTATTCTTGACATTTTTTCACTGCGTTCAAGTTTTGCATATTGTCTACATTTTGCTTCATATGTCCTTCGTCCTTTTCTTGTCTGTTTCATATACATCTTTTTCTGCCCTTAATATCCGCTGTTGCATTGCTTTCTTTCCTTTTCTCTTTCCTCTTTTTTCTCGATTATTTGGTCTGGTCTCATTGTTTCGCGTCAGGTTCCTTTCTTGTGTGGTTTCTTTTTTTTCCTCTTTCGCATCGAATACCATTTTGTGAGATGAGGACTTCGATCCCATTTATGTACTATAGCTGTGTATAATAGAGTTGCAGTTTATAATTTTCCAATCTTGTCTGCTTTACACCAATATATCATTGGAATAAGAAATTCGTAAAAAGTTGCGAGATGAGCGGATTGACTCCGAACGTCAGGGTAATCTCAAACACCCGCCTCGATCAAGCGTTCTGAGACCATTTTCACCCTATCACTAGATCCCTCAACACTTCCCGTCTCAAGCCAAGCTAGCTTGTTGTTAGGGACCCATCCTTTGTAATTTCCCCTATTCTTGGCCACCAAGCTTTTTTCAACATAGCGGACAAGGCTGCAAAAACGATATGTCCAGGGTCCTCAAAAAAACAAAGCTCCCAGTTCCGTCTCTTGAGATCAGCCCATACCACAATGATCTCATGAAACGCTTGGAAATCAGGAACAAAAAATACTATTTATGGTATAGAACCGGTGGACCATCCAGGGGTAGGTCGACTCGAGGCAAGAGACCCGCTTCATATCTAAGCCACGTCTAGGGGGCGGTACGAGCGCTACTGTAATATTTGGGGATTTGCATGATCTACAATTTAGAGTGTAGCGGTGGACATGGCTGAGTTGTAAGGAGGGATTTCTTGCTTTTCTTTTATTTGCTTTTTTTTCTTGTCGCCGAGGCTGGGTGGAGCTCGGTGGTCTAGGCTATCACGATTTGGGGCATTTGTATAAGTCGGTGAATTCGTACCCGAGACCTAGATTAGGGGAAAATGGATATGAATGAGGGGATTAACATGCAATGGGGAGAAGATACCGAATTTGTGGCATGCGTTGACACGGAGGCTATGGTTTTGTTCGTTCTCTAAAATTAGACTTGTCACTGCCCCTAAAAAGCTCCTTTTCAGTGCATCTGCGACTCAGGCGTCTTCGGAATCATGTTGGCGAAGCGGTCTCGGTCTCGAACTTGCTTCGCATTTGGTATGCTTTTGTCCCCTAGATGTGAGTTGAGGGTATAAGTGAGAGATGTCTCATATGTATACCAATTAAATTGTTGCCCGCAAGGTTGTTCCGTGTCATCACTCGTATTCATATAGCGCGTAGGGGATTTCGATGTCTCTAGCATGATGGCGCGGTTATTATCCCTGCTTTGAAAAGAGAAAATTATGGGTTGAAAGCTTCGGGCTCGGTCATCTGCTGCGAGAAATTTGACATTCTTGTTCGAGGTTGGGGGGAAGGGTGGCGCGTTCGAAGATTGGGTATATAGGTCAACTGGTGCGGATACCAGGATGCCCTTGCAAATCAATTCACGCACAAGTAACATTGATCAACAGGCAGAATCACAATGCAATTTTCAAAGTCTCTCGCTCTGCTGTTCTCGAATATTGCACTGGGCTGTATGTCATCACACATACCCACACGTCAGCCCTGCTAATCTTGACTATGTAGCAGCGGGGATGGGATGCGGCAACGCAAACGCCTGCCTCGGCACCGAGTTCTGTGCCACAGCTACCTTCACGGCGCCTACTTCTACCACTATCACGACCTGCATCCCGACACCCACTTGTCTGGGTGTTTACGGTAAGTACTAGGATTTGACTGTTGCCCTACTCGTTATTGACCGTGCGTCGTGCGTAGGGGACTGTTCGTCTGGCGGCCAACCTGTCGGCAATTGTTGTTCGGGATACTGCGCCGCTACCAAGTGCCGGTCGACGGATAGTAAATGGCCTGATTGTCAGGAAGATGGATATCCCTGTCTGAGTGACGGCAATTGTTGTTATGAGAATAAGTGTGTTGCCGGACGTTGTGCTCAGCAACTGAGTAGTGGAGAGGTATAAAGCCTTCAGGGCTCTATGGATTGCTTCAATAGAGCCCCGACAGTGAGGATGATTTCAGGAACAATGGGCTCAGTTCTTCGGTTCCTCCTTCGCATCTTTCAAGGTCTCTTCGTGGTTCTCTTTGCAAGACTTTTTGTTCTTGTCTAGTTGCATGACTTCGAATACGTCTGGGGTAATAAATCATGGGCGTCCGTTCAGAACCATTATTATCTTACTGTTAGTTCGGCTAGATTCAACTCACCTTGCTGTATCCCAAAAGCATTGTCGGGATAAATATTCAAATTGAAATGGCCTTAGCAGGACTTCCGCACGCTGCTGGAATGTTCTCATCGCTGCCTTCCACAACTCAGGACCAACACTGATCCTCGCGACACTAAGATCCCGAAGCTGCTGCACATCCAAGAAACTGTTCAACGACATCTTCACATTGACCATACCCAGCAACGCTCTCACTAACTCCCTACCCTCGTTACTATAAATCCCCCTTCCCCACGGCCCGCCCCAAACGAAAACCGTACACGCCCCCGCCTCCAAAAATGCCCGTCCTCCCGCCACCGCATCCGGAATACCCATTCCATCTTGGCAAAGTACATCCGTCCGCGCATTTACTACGCGATCAAGAATACTCGCCTCTGCAGCAGCCTTCACAACAGCCCGGACCCTTTCTACGGCATCCTCCAGCGTCCTCAATGCACCAGTCCCACTATCTAGATCTTCGAGATTACACCCCACCGCACCCAAATGAATGACTTCCGGGATTGTGGCGGAAAGCTCGGCCACTGAGCCGTAGTCGTCCTGCAGGTCCACCGTTATGGGTTTGGTGCAGTTGACGGCGTGCACGGCTGACGCGATAGATTTTAGCGCGGATATGTTTTTGATCTTGGTGAGTGCTGAGTTCTTTACGCCGAGGGTGGCCGCAATTGCGAAGGATGCTGTTGCAACGGCGTGGGCGGTTGGTAGGGAAGCGATTATTGTCGCGGTAGCTGCGTCGTAGGCGTTTGGGAGAATGATTCGGTTGCCGGGATTGTGGAGACTTATGAGGTGTTGGGCGATTTCGTTCTGAGTATTCATGGTCTCAGGCCTCAGGATGTAAAGGGATTTCTGTGGGTGTATTAAGTTGCTGTTTTGGTTAGTAGGCAATAGTTTTTGGCTAGATTGGCTTTTATTGCGTGGACTGAATAAATTGAAATGGGATTGAGATACGAGAACGTTGCTGTAAAGTATCCAATGAAAGCCGGTCCAGCAAGATGACCCACGTTGACCCATGTCTGGACAAGGAACACTAGAAACACTAGAAACACTAGGGACACTCCCGGGTACTGGGCATTACGTGCAGAGTCGATCCGAGTCATGCAATGCAGAACAAGTCTCGTTACTGACTGTCTCAGACTATTACGGCACTATTGTAGTCGCCCACACGGTCTAGCAGCGAAGCAGTAGCACAAGCAAGGGGACTCGGCCATTCCCCGCTTCCGTAAGACCGGAGCAAAATTGAGAAAATCACGATCGGTTCGACTCAAGAGGGCGGAAATACAGCCGAAGCGACGGCCCTCTGAGAAGGCCCGGAGCGCGACGGGCGCCATTGGGGGGCGTGCATGAACGAAGTCTATGCCGTGCAACAGGACTGCCAATCAATTTGATGTAATTCCTCTGTACGTGTATCCTCGGTCTAGAGATCTTGGGCACCTCCTAGGGCTTACTGTAGGTACATTCTCGCCCATAGCGCCGGGAAATTTTCAATCACGGGCGACCTGGTTTCGCCTCCTGCTCGATCCGTGCCTACGTGCATGAACGAGGGGGTACTGGCATTCCTTGGCTCGGTCATAGAGGTTGTGCAGCTCGGAACCCTATGGTATGTGCATACCATGGTAGTGGAAAGACAAGTACATCGAGGCAGACCAGGTTAGGTGCCTTGCCCAGGTGCTTTACTTAGGTGCTTGGGTGCCCAGGTATTCAGGCGTTCAGGGTGTTCAGGTGCTCGGGTGCTCAGGTGCTTAGGTAAAGGTACCTAAGTCGCAATAAGGCGACTGCCAACATTTCCTGACAACGTTTCCCGGCAACACCCGTCATAAATTACCCTGGACTCCGCTTGAGGGGAAGTGGGAAGTGGGTTCTGGACTCGGGAAGACCCATTGTTGTCAGCAGGTCCTCAAGCTCTCCAGGTGCAAGCGCACCGGTGCAACACCTTCTTTTTTGCCTTTGCCCGCTGTCTTCGAACCTTGGGGGTTGTACAGCGTTACAGCTCGGACTTCGGAGGAAAGGGAAGTGTAAGGGAAAACGTAAGAATTGTAAGATGGTACATCCGTAAATTGGTAAGATTGTAAGATTCGTAAGATGTGTACTCGAAACGGACAAAAGAAAAACGAAATGGCCCTACCAGGGAGGAGAGAGGCTATGGACTACGTTCCCATAGACTATGTCCCAGGGAACCATGGAATATGTACTATAATTATTTCCATTATGATTCCTGAAAGCCTGAAAGAAAGTTGAGATTGAGACAGCGCGGATCGCGCTTCCGAATGGAGATCAACCCGAGGATCACCACGGCCCTGCAGAAAGAAAAGAGGAAGAACGAAAATGGCATTGGAGTGATTCGCACGTTGGAACAAAAAGAAAATTGGGAAAAGAATTACCTGAGGGGTTTTTTTTTCCTTTTTTTCTTTTTCCACGCATCGGGAATCCCCTGTAATTTACCCAGGGAATCGCCCCGTCAGCTCTCCCCACTCTCCGCTTCGCCTTGCTCGCCCTCTCCTCATTCCCTCTCTTGCACCTTCACTCTCTACCTTGACTCACTCACCACCCAGCTCTCCTCTTTTTGCATTTGGATTTGCATTTTCGAACCCTCTGCCATTCCTGGCCCCAATACTGTCCTCGATCTTATGGCGTATGGTGTCGCCTCATCTCCCCGTGCAGTTGGCCGCCTGACCTGCAGCTCTCACGCTGCCATCCGACCCTGCTCGTACCTCCGAACCCTACCTTCCCAATCTCCCTCCCTCACCTTCCACTCGTCATGACGACAGATTTCGATATACCCGAGACCGGGCTGTCTCTCTGTGCCGGAGAGCAATCCGGCGAACCTGCCTCCAAGCCGGTTCAAATCATGCGTCTGAACCTAGTCCAGAGCACCCTTGACGAGCTGATTGAGAGCCTCCGAAATGATCAGCCTGCTCGAGTCCGTCTGGGGAAACACCCTTCCCTACAATACGCTGGGAAATCTCATTCCTTCCACACCTACCCCGAAACACACCGCTCTGAGATCTACCATAGCTCTTCCGACAAGCGAAATCTATACTTCACGGGTGTGCTGAGCCACAGCCTTGAGGTTGAAAAGGCCAAGGCCGCCACTGCCGCCACTGATCAGGCCCTGGCCAATCTGGAGGAGAGTCTCAATGCTTTCGAGCGAGGCAAGGAATCCAAGAAAACTCACATGATCCAACACCCGGATGAATTGAGGTCTCTTCGTGTTGCTGGTGGCTACGGTCAGCGAGGCCCTAGAAGCAAGGCTGAATTGGAGAAAGAACGATTACTTCGCACGGCTGCTTCCCGGTCTCTGACCTCCAGCCCCAACTTGGGGTCCGCCAAGTCTCCGGCCCCCATTCCGACGTCCGCACCGCTTTTGCAGACCAAGAACAACGCCCGGCACGAGGCTCTCAAGGCACCTTTCATCCACCTTCTCGCTGTCCGTGCCGTCTCCGCCAAGTTTCTGGCCCGTCAAACCCGTTCCACGATTGAAGACTGCATGGTCCTCGCCCAAAAGTACGGCAGCGAGAATCGCCTCAATCGCGAGAAATACGACCTCAAGGATAAGTCTTACAAGGACCTCGATGTGTGGGCCTTCCCCTACCCAACTCAGGACGATCGGCAGGAGGCAATTGAGAATGCTATTTCAGCTTTCGATCGTATGCGGATTTCCCGCACTGATAAGCTATGGCAAATGCTGCTTCCCAAGGCCGAACGGGGCAAGGGCAAGTGTCTGTCCCGACTGAACCTTAGCAATGGTCCTGTGAAGAAGACTACTCAGAGTCGATCTCAGTCAGATGGCGGTGACGATGTGGGCAAGAACGGTGAAACCACGGGCAACGAGACGGACCGACGCGCCGCCCCTTCGAAGACATCGGACACTCCTCGATCGACCCCCACCCAGAAGCCTACCGCTGGTAAGGGTCCTGTCAAGGGACCTGCCGCCAAAGGTCCCGCCAAGACCAAGAGCACCAACAACACCACATTGACCGGCCGGGTTACGAAGAAGACTGCCGCCAAGCCCTCAGCGAAGACTGAGACCAAATTCAAGTCTTCGGAGTTCGTGCATGACTCCGACGATGATGATGACACTCCCAATACTGCTCCTTCTCCGCCTACCCTGGCTCAACGTCTGAAGGAAGAGAAGATAGCACCTTCGAAGAAGCCCCAGGCTGCTATCAAGGCTCCGGGCAAAGCTCCGACTAAAGCTCCGGCGCCTGCCAAACCTCGTGTCACCAACAATGCTCCACCTGCAGCAAAGTCTACCAAGACTGAATCATCGGCTCCCAAACTTGACTCTTCTCAATCCCGCTCTACCACCTCAGCTACTTCCAAGCGACCTGCCCCTCGGAGCTCAACCTCTCCTCAAAAACCCTCCCCTCTTGGGTCTTCTCCTCCTGACAATGCATCCGATGCCGCCCGTCGGAGCCGTTCCGACAGCCAAAACCTGACCTCCAGCTCGTCTTCTTCCCCGCTTATCTCCCAACTCGCTCGTACCAACAAAGCCACGACTGGAACAGCTGCTGCTCGACCTTCCAAGTCTGTTGACTCAACCAATGGTCCCCCCAAGTCTGGGCTTGTGGGTAATCCCTTAAAACGCAAAGCGGAATCTGACCGATTGGCTCCGTCCCATGCAGTCACAGGACGCACGACTGGAAACCTTGACCACAAGCGCCGCCGGGCGGTCAGCACCTCTAGTGGGGGTAGCACCGGAAGCGCATCTCCACCTTTAAGCCAGGAGATTCTTCGGGAGCAGCTGCGGGAGAAGTCGATGAGATTCAAGAGATATTATGCAAAGTACCTCTCCTTGCATCGCAGCCTCGACACCTCCACCAATCCTTCATCAGCCGATCTCAACAAACTCAGTCGACAGCATGATATGCTGCGAAGCATGAAAGAAGAGATCTGGGACGAACACGCCAGACTTAATGACGGCATATCTCGTGATTTCTAACGATACCTTTTTCTGCATGGTGACGACTGTTCTCGTATTCACCCACATGGCGAAGATTTGAACCCTGAATTTACCAGATCGACAGCTCGGCGTTTTATTTCTCAATGATTACAATTTCCCTTTCCATTTCCTTTTTTTCCCCTCTGCATATTCCCCTTGCAAACCGGTCGTGCATTCCCTGAAACCTCGTGATTTGTGGCATAGACTTCTGCATTACCGCTCCCATCTTCGAGCACCAATACACATGCATGTTACCAGAACATGAACCAAAATTCCTGTGATGCAATTTCTACTCCCGACCTCGTACTCGTAGTGTTTGATCCACGCCTTACCCCGGATCAGCGAACCGAACACTCGCACCCTCTAGTGGATGTGGGGTCCCATCCGTCCCTTGTGATTCGCGGGCTCGCACGTGGCATAGTCACGAGACCCTGTTATATTACAGCCAACAAAACGAAAGAAATACATCCGTTTACGTCATCAAGTGCTCTTCCACTAACCTGTGTTGGGCCTAGCTTCCGTAGGAACTTGGGAAAGTCGATTCTCCATCTCTGAGCATCCAACACACCCGCCCGTCCCACCCTCGAGCAATTGAAGCTATCCTGGTGTAAGGAGCGCGACAATGACTCCCCCTTCACGCGGACGGGGCACCAGTCAGCGAAGTCCGACCGTTCTGGTAAGAAAGACAGGAGCCCCCTCCTCCCTCCTCCCAAAAGCAATTGCCGTGCATGGATTACTGAGACAGCTGTACGGAACATAGGTCACCGACTCCCGCGACCAACAATCTACCTCCACCACCCGACGCCGACGATCCCCGGCTACAAGGTTCATCACTGTCGATAATGTTCTCCAATATGCTTCCGACGTCCCCTCCATGCAGCAGCGGCACCCGCCGCCCATTTCGAGATCCCGCCGCCTTGCTTCAGCCACCGGTGGCTTAATTGGCGCCGGAGGCAGTAGCTCTACTGTGATCTCGGGCTCCGCCGGAACTATCGGGCGCCTTGCGGCGCAGCCGCGTCTGCCACCTCGAACGACTAAGGTTAGCGAGAAGCTGGTGCTATTACCTGATACTGGTGGTGTTGGAGAACCAGATGTTGAAGAGGATGAAGGAGATGAGGATGAGGACAATGATCTCCTTGACGAAGAGCTTGTTCAGCAGCTCTCAAGGGAGAGACGCGTTGATCCGGATGTCGTGAGACAGCAATTGCTGGCGCAGAAGCGGCTTGCCGGTGACTTTGGTGTAGACAATGATATGGCGCCTCTGCTGGCTGACGAAGAGCACCAGCGCAAACGACGTGTTGGGCCTGAGCGCGCGAAGAGCTACGCAGAACGTTTGCCTAAGGCGCGTCGCACAGAGAAGCTTGCGCGGGTAACGGCATATTGCACGGCGCAGGCGTATAAAATGGGGTCCTTGGCTTCTTTTGTGAAGGAGTGGCATGGCGCAAGGACGAAGCTTTATGATGATTGTCTCTACACTGCGTACCATCTCCCTCTACTGCCTGGTCACGAGGGGTATCGGTTGCGGAGCAGTCCGGTGGTCAAGTTCCCTGGTGGAAAGTCACTCCTGGACGAAGAGATTGAGCGGAATGAGCAGCGTGATCACCATGATGATTACGAGGCTGAGGATCATTCTGTTGGGGGCGATAATCGGCCTGGGGAGGAGCATCACCACGAAGCGTCTCCTCAGGACTCTGGGGAACATGGTCCTGGGGAGCAGCATCATCAGGGATTCTTGAACCGCATCTCCGAGGAAGACAGTCAGGTTCAAGATGACCAGCAGAATGCACCCAACCATAATGGTGGCCTACATAGTTTGTCCCAGTCTGGACCTGTCGAAGAGCAGCAAAGCGAGCCAACTCCTCGCCGCCGTCGATACAGTTCTGATGATGGTCATGCCCTATTCCGCGAGCGATCTTCCCCGCCAATGCCAGCCACATTACCCCAAGCTCCCGCACGAACTCTCTACAACGTGGCTGAGATGTTCGTCTTCAGCTACGGCGTGGTAGTCTTTTGGAACTTCACAGAGCGACAAGAGAAGGACCTGCTGGCAGATCTAGCATTCGCTACCTCCTCCGCGACTGGCACGCCCATCCCGCTGACCACCATGCCTCTCCATGAAGAGGACTTTGAAACCGAAGAGTTCCATTTCGAATACTCCACAGAAATTTCCCGCCCGCGCGTCTTCAACGACATGATCACCCTCCGAAGCGGCGACCACATGATCAAGCTTGCCATCAGTCACGGCATCTCTCAGAGTACCAAGCTATGCTTCTTTGAAGAGGTTATGGCCCGCCAAATGGCAGACGCAAAGGACGTTCCCCGCCGCCTCGCCATGACAGGCCAACTAGGCATGAAACGCGAAGAAGTCTTCCGTATCCTAGGCCGTTTGTTCAAAAGCCGCGTGGAGGTCAATCTTTGTAAGCGTCTATTCCCTTCCGTGTCTCAAATTGTACTAACAATTCACAGCATCAAACATGCTCGACGTCCCCAACTTCTTCTGGGAAAGTGAGCCAACCCTGTACCCCCTTTACATCGCCGTGCGCGAATACCTTGAGATCAAACCCCGCATCCAAGTCCTCAATGAACGCTGCCGCGTCTTCCTCGACCTCGCAGAGATTCTTTCCGACTCCATCGCCGATAATCGCACATCCCGTATGCCTAACCCCCTCCCCTTCACAATGTTGAAGAACTAACAAGTCCAGACCAAACCTGGATCATCATCATCCTAATTATCATCTCCATCATCGTAACCTGCTCCGAAGTCTTCCTTCGCTTCGGCCTCCTCCACTCTAGTCAGGGCACATCCTCTAATCCGGCGAGTATCATCGCCCGCGCAATGGGCCGCTCTGTGCCTCCTTCGCCGCCCGCAGGCTGGTCCTACAATGTGCCGAATACCCCGCCTGGGTGTGTTTGCCCTTCTCTTCCCTCCGCTACTGGATCGGAATTTAGTGGGTTGAGTGGGTATGGGCTTTGATCTGGTACCCTGCTCTATCCTTTGGAACGGATTCCAGTATATGTATCTTTTTTATCGAAATATGGAAATATGGAAATATGGTGTACTGGTGTTATAGGTTGGAACAGGACAAATACGATCAATTGGCTGTTTCAAGTGTTACATACTGAGTCTATGCGGAATGCGTCGATTGGGTTTTGTCCGCTCGTTAATTAATCTTTTGGTGAGATATTTTTAATCTAGGAGTTCTTTCGTTAAGACCTCGTGGGCATCTGTATTTCGTATTTACGTGATACCTGTGGATACTGTCATTCGGGATGAATATGTAGAAGATGACATTTGGCGAGCTTACAATGGACTGGAATTGGCCCCTGGGGACTGGCTGGTCAATCCAAGATATATCTAACGGCCTGCCGAATTTTGTTTCACACACGGTGAGCCCATTGACCTTATGGGCTAGCCTTTAACCCTCAAATAGACCTCGCGCTTGTGGACAAGAATCATGTTTAGAGTCTTCAAGCCTCAATAAATGACATTTGTGCCGATATCCCCCAAAGCAACTCAATCCCCAACACGCACCGATACTTCATCCAAATGTTGGAATGTTCCCGGGCACCACAAGGACCAGTCTCTGATGACTAACATCATAACAAGTCAGTTTGGCCGAGTGGTTAAGGCGACGCCCTGCTATGGATCACAGCTCCGCCTGTGAACTGTAAGGCGTTGTGTTCGCACGCACAGGTTCGAATCCTGTAGCTGACGTTTACTTTTTTCCCAATTTTATTTTATTTAATTTCTAATTCACCCTTTTTGAATGGGTGGGGCTGTTCTTGCGAAAGTGGACGTGGCTTGTTTGATAGAATCCACAGTGCATGGCTCTCTGATGGGCTGGGTCCAAGGGGGTCAGCAGGGGCAGGGTCGTTGTATCTATACTTGGCGGTGCACTTCCTCTACCTTACGCTACACCTTGGTACCTAAGTATCCGTCCTGAAAGTGATGCGCGTAGATACTAGGAGTTAGCTTGAAGTCTGCTAAAATAACAAGTGGTGATCTGGATATGAAGTGACCGGGGCAACCCATGAAGGAGTTCCTGACCGAGAGGCGATGTATGTCGGAAATAGTGCGTCAAGGCTGTTAGTGCAAGAAGATCATAGCGCGAGAGGCCACTTCTGACTCGAAGGCTAAACCACTGAAGAGACATTCTGCAAATATTGCCGTCTTTCGATGTTGCCAGCCTTGATAGTCAAAAATGATGGAAATATAGCATCTGTTCTTCAACGTCCAGATTAAGAAAATATGGGATTGGGAACCACTCAATTGCCCGCCGTCATGGCTGCCTGCTATGGACTTTCAGAGCGGCGGTTTGTGACAACTACTAGTCCTAGGAGCATTTGATGGCCGAAACCTGAGCTGCCGAGCTGGGGGATCCGGCCCTCCCTTAGTTCGGCTCTTCGCCTTTGAATACGTCAACTAGATACGCCAAGTACAAAGTGGCCGACATCGGACGCCGTCCAAGAATCAGATATTTATTTCCCCGACTGCTTACAGGCCTTAATCGCATCCTTGTACTCTCCACTCTTGCACCGCACGGTGTAGGCAGTTCCATCGGTACACTGGATATAGGACCGGGAGTTGGCTGGGTTGGCATAACTGCACTCAATGTCCCCCCACTAGCGCCCATGCATCCTTGAGACGCTTGGGCGCCAGAGCAGCCGAAGGAAGAGTTGAGAACGCCGTTAGGTGCAGGATGAGCTTCTTTCCCCTTATCTTCGAGGGTTTCGTTCTCATCGCCACAGGTGGAATTTGCTGGCTAGTCACAAACGTAATCTTGATTGTTCCATTCATCGCCACTTCGACATTAGGTACAGCATAGACTGGGAATACAGGATCTAGTGACTTCCGAAGATCCTTTCAAAGTCAACACTTGAGCCTACCACCTTTGAATTTCGAGACCAACGAAACGACCGGACATGCCCATGCAACACTCAGAAACTAAAAACCCGTCTCAAGCCCCAGTCAATCAACCCGCCTCGTTTGCTCATTTCAAGACCTCTCCGCTTAGTATGAATACATGGTAGAGGAAGTCTTGAGAGCCTCATGGGAGAGCTCGAAGGAACTGAACGTATCCTTTGAGATAATGAAAGTTCTATATTTACGAGAAGCGAATGAATCCGAAATCTACGTTGAGATGGACAAAGCCAAGCCATGCTAAATATAAAACACAGAGACATTAGATATGAGTACAAGAGCCGGCTTCAGCCAATGCGTAGCAGCTTTCTTCGTTCCCCCTTTTCACGATCAAATCGATTCCCCAAAGTTCATCGTGTCTATTTCCGCTTAACCAGTGACCTTGAAGATGGCCTCCGCCAGGCGCTTCACGTTGCCGGAGGTGATACCAGCGACGGAGATACGGCCGTCCTTGGTAGCGTAGACGGAGTGCTCCTTAGCAAGAGCCTCCATCTGCTCGGGCTTCAGACCGGTGAAGGCGAACATGCCAATCTGGCTGGTGATGTGGGACCAATCGTGCTTGCTGCCGAGAGACTCGAGGTTCTTGCGCAGAAGAGAGCGCATCTCGATGATGCGGTCGGCCATGCCCTTGACCTCACCGAGCCACTGCTCGTTCAAAGCGGGGTCGTTCATGATGGTCGAGGCAACGCGGGCGCCGTGGATGGGAGGGTTGGAGTAGAAGGGACGGATGAGAATCTTGATCTGAGACTCGACACGCTTCTTCTCCTCGTTGCTCTCGCAAACGAGAGAGAAGGCACCGACACGCTCTCCGTAGAGACCCTGAAAACTTGTGTTAATTCTTGCTTCTATACGACTAGCCGCGCTAGCCGTTATCGGACATCTCGTGACTCACCATGTTCTTGGCAAAGGACTGGCACAGAGCAATGTTGTGGCCCTCCTTGACGAAGTGACGGGGCGCAAAGGCATCCTGGTCAGCGTTACCACTGGCGAAGCCCTGGTAGGCCATGTCGAAGAAGGCGAAGTGGCCCTTCTGCTTCATGACATCGCTGATCTGACGCCACTGGTCATGTGTGGGATCAACACCGGTAGGGTTGTGGGCACAAGCGTGCAGCAGAATGATGCTGTTCTCGGGAGCAGCCTTGATGTCGGCAATCAGACCCTCGAAGTCCAGGCCGATTGTATCCTTGTTGTAGTAGCGGTACTTCTCGACCTCAAGGCCGGAGTCCTTGAAAACGGCGTTGTGGTTGGCCCAGCTGGGGTTGGGAAGGTAGATCTTCTTCGCGTTGGGGTAGAAGCGCTCAAGGAAAGCTCCACCAATTCTCAGGGCACCAGTTCCAGAGATGGTCTGGGTGATGACGAGACGGTCCTCCTTCAGAACAGCGGAGTCGGCACCATAGGCGAGCTCAGCGGCGGCCTTGGTGAAGGCAGGGATACCGGTGATGCCAGCGTATTCCTTGTCGCTGCGCGAGGCCACGACCTTGTCCTCGGCGGTGCGGACGGAGGGCAGAACGTAGGGCTTGCCCGCATCGTCACCTACACAACAGCAATCCAGTTAGTAACGTGCCACGGGCGTGATCCAGAACTACTCTTGATCTCTTCGAACACAACGTACGGTAGGCGCCAACACCCAGGTTGATCTTCTCTTTGAAAGAGTCGGCCTTGAAAGCCTCAGTGATGCCGAGAATCGCATCCTAGCACAACGACTACGTTAGCATTGACCCACGCAATTGTGCTGCGCGCACCAGATAGGTTGTTTCAAGCTTACGGGAGGGCCCTGGGGAACCTTGGACCAAGCCGAGGCCTGTCTAGCACCGATGACAATGGTGCGCATGTTAGCTTCGCGGGCCGCAGCCGAGCGGCTGGCAACGCGCAGAGTGGAGAGCATGATTGCGATGGTATCAGGAAAAGAAAAGACAAGACCTAGCTCAGAGAACTGGGATGGAAGGGGAAAGGGAAGAAACCGGGAGAATCTGAAAAGGTCGGAGATGCTGCGGTGCGTCGTTTTGGCCTGACTCATGTGACAGCAGTACTCGGTACCTTGTCCAGTATGTAACCCCACATAGCCAAGCAGGTATCTGATACATCACCGCCCAGCGAGAATAGCGACTACGCGGGATTGGCTGCGTCCTTCCGCGCAACGCGGATCATTACATTTAGACGGCAGGGGTTTCTCTTGGTATTATCCCTTTGCTTAGGGTAAAGAAATGTAGAATGTAGAATTGAGCATCTAGTAACAATATCCATCGCCGAGGCAATTCAATTGGAGCCATGGAACTGTTTGCCAACAGCGATGACCAAATCCAACGGTTCTCCAGATTTGTGCCCGGACATGGCGCGACATCGGAATTCTGCTGCCCCCGGTGAGCTGATCGAGTGCTTCTTGACTCCACTCACGCCTTTTTTCCCCTCACGGGTTTGGGGTAAGTAGCTGCCCTATGACCTATGACCTATGATTGACTGACAACATTTCCGACAGGGAGACTCAGTTGCTGCAATGGCTGCGATACTGTTATACTGGAGACACTCGCCCTAGGTGAATTTCCCAAGTACAACACGCCTGAAGAAATGGGTGAATCCACTCGGCTAAAATGCAACTTTTACCCTAGGTTACCCGGGCTATCCCCACACGCGGAGACAGGAGCAGTGGCCGATCCCTCGGCGGTATTACGTAGCACGCGGAGTCTTCTAGTGAATCGGGAGGACATGATAATTGAGAGAATCAACACGGCGCATGGAATTGCCTATCTGGGCGGGATATCGTAAGGGTTGATCATTGATCATGCAAGTTCTTTACACACACAAACCAAAAAAAAAAGGCGACAGAGTTCAGCCCAGGCGCACTCCGGCCTGGCGATTTTTTCGCGCTTGAGCGCCCATGGCGTTGTTCATACCTGTGTGCTGACTGCTGTCGAGCGCACTCATTGCTTCGCGTTTCTTCTCTTCCTCAATCTTCTTCAGGCGCTTCTCAGTCTTCATCTTTCCGCTGCCCTTGCCATGGAACTGGTGACTGAGGTGCTTAAAGGCTTCCTTTTGGTTCATTGAGCGGCCGTACTCATCCGTGTACTTGAGCTGTACGTCAGGCTTGTATTCCTTGTTGAAAATCTCGGCCATTTGTCGTGCATCTTGCTGGTCGCGCTGCTTATTCTCCCAGCGGGCGTGTTCTTCACGCTCGCGGGCGGACATGCGGTCCAGCTTGCCGGAGGCACGGTCGCGCTCGCGCTGGGCCCGCGCACGTCGATCGGCCTCGGCCTCGCGGTTGAGCTTGTCTTGAAGGAATTGCTGGCGTTTGCGCATGAGCGCGTTATGATCGGTGCTGTTAGTTTCCTTCACAATGCCACGCTGCTTCAGCATCGATAGAGTCGCTCCTAGACCTTGGTCCAAAGTGGCTTCTTCTTCCAGACCAGTGCCAGTCAAATCCTGGTGGTCCTGCTTGGATTCCTCACGCCTGATACGCTCCTCAAGATCCTCTTCGTCTTCAATATCATTGTAGGTCCGTTCCATGTCCACAATCTCAGTCTCAGCCTCGAGCGTCGGTTGAGCATTGGCCTCGTCAGCAGGGGCCGGTGTTCTTGTTCGCCGCTCTTCCCGTTCTGCCAATATGGGTTTCTGAAGGTTGGAAACAAACTCCGAGGTCTCGTCGATCACAAGACCGGGTGCCTCTGCGCCATCTTCATTTTCAATGTCCATTGGGGTCTGGGACGCCTCTTCACGAAGTTGCTGTGCAAGGTCTTCGGGACGCATCTTCTTGCGCTTCTTGAAAGCAGCACGACGCTGGAGCGCAAGTGATGCTTGCAGGTCATCGTCATCCACAAAGGAAATATCTTGGTTGATCGGCTTCTTGGGCACAGGCGCGGCACCGTTTGTCGAATCAATATCCATAGCTGTGCCATTCGGTTCGGTCGTCAGGGCAATATCTTCATCATCCATCACAGCTCTCTGTTTTGTCGTCTTATTCTTCTTCTTCTTTGGCTTCTTGATTTTGATCTCGCTGATATCCATGTAATCGGATGCTGGAACTTCAGGCTCAAAGTCGAGACTGATAATACCCTTTTTCAGTCGGTCCGAAGCCTCTTGTCGCTGAGCGTTACGTTCCTCTTCAGTTGAACCCTTGGCATCAAGTGTGAAACGTTTGCGTTTCTTGCCCTCAATCTCCTCATCGTAGTGTGAAAGAATTCCTTGGTTCTCGGCTGTAGGATCGTAAACAGGCTTGCGCTTCTTGAGATCGTTGCGTTCCTCGGTTCGCTCTTTGTCGACCAGATTGACATCTTCAAGCTCATCGCCCTCCTCGTCATCATCTACTCCGGTATCCTTGAGAGTAAGGATGTGGTCCTCACCACCCTCGAAGTCGCCGATAGCATGGCCGACCTTGACACCTGCCAGATCTGCAGCAGTGTATTCGACAGCCGCCGCTCGCTCTCGCTCTTCCAGCTCTTCGGCAAGTTTGCGCGCGCGCTCCTTCTCGATCTTCTTCGAGCGTTTCTTGCTCTGCATCAACCAAGCCTTAGTGTCGAGTTCTGCGCCATCCAACTCCCCGAGGGTAGAGCCTTGCAGCTTCAGATTTCTTTGAGCGATGTCGCGTGCTTTCTTGATGGCGGCATTCTTCTCCTCTCGTCTCTTCTTGGCGTTGGCCTCTTCCTGGAGTTTCTGCCAGTTTTCATAGCTCTGAGCCTGTCGCGTGTCGATGGTGCTCGCGGGTTCCTCTTCTTCGCCGGAGTCGCTGGAACCATTGTCCCTGAAATCAGGCCCGGTGGCGTCAGGCTCGGCGCCGGGGACGGGGAGTGGCTTGAGGCCAAGGGCCACTCGGATCTTGTTGTTCTGCTCGATGGATAAAGCGTCCGCCATTTTGACGGTATAGTCGACCAAGAACGCAAGTGAAGAGGGAATAGGCAAGAAACGAGCTGCCTTGAGAAGTCGCCAGAGTCGCCGACCCTGATATCAGGATGTGTCATGTGACTGACACGCTAAGTCCTAATAAGGTTAGCGCCACGAATTCTTAGCGCGCTTAAATAAGAAGACTCTTCTCTTTCCTTTTCCTTTCTTTCCTCACCACAAACACACCTTAGATCTGTGTCCAGATTTCCCGTTCACGGAGCGATCTGTGTTTCGGTTGAGAGCTGGGCAGTTCGACGACTACGGAGCCATACTCACTTGTGTATGGCACACTACGGTTTCCTGTCGACAGATCTCAGATTAAAGCTCCGCGCCAGGCGTGGCCCGGGTCTTGAGCTCCCACTGGTGAGCTCGGCTTGGGTCCTGGTTGTGGACGGCGTCATATTCCTGATCCCTTTGCCGATTGGCCGTTGGCTAGTGAGGCCAGGGAATAACCATGACTAGCCAACATACCCTCATTAGCTCTCAGAATTACTTCAATCGTAGGAACAGTCTATTTCAACTTGCCGAAGAGAATTGAGCAGTTGCTACAGGCAATTGCTTCTAAGGACTTTGCGATCTTTGCGCAGAATCTCTTTGTGATCACTTGAGTGAACGCTAAAATCTTGCAGAGACTAGGTCGAATCTTTAGCTACAGGTTGCATTCTCGAGGTCGGGTCGCATGCGTTATCATCATGAACGTCATTGTCTACACCGAAGGATATGTATTCTACAGAAGCTTCAGATGTCCTGTCACGCCGTCAATGACGCTCTTAGGGCCTAGGATACCCAACACCGTCCGGCTACCACTGGCAATCTGAGTGCGACCAGCATCTTGAATAATGCGTGCGCAAAGTCCCAAGCTCATAGCCTGGGCCTGCAGCAAAAGCAGCTCATCTTCGGACTTGACCTGCAGTGCGATCTTGGCTTGACCGTTGCGCTCCCAGCGGCGCAGGATTGGGGAGTCAGGCGAGTGCGCATGGAAGTACTTGTAACAGGCGAGTGTCGCGTGCGAGGCTTGGGCGGCGATTTTGCCTATAATGCAGAAGTCAGTATCATATTGTCTGCTTTTGCAAAGATTGTAGAGCTCGTACCCTTGGTCATGCCCAGGTCTGTCCGCACGACAAGCACCAGCTTCACCTCGTCGGTGTTGTCCTTGAAGCTAGCCAGTTCCTCGCCGTTGCCATCGTCTTCCACATCGCTCATCTCTTCAGATTCGGAGTCGCCTTCTTCGTCAGAAGAGTCCTTGTGGACCTTCACATCGTAGCCATTCGGCCAGCCCTGCTTCTCTTTGAAGAGGCCGAGCGATTTTCCTTGGCCAATGAAGTAACCTGCGACGCCGGCGACAATGGCGGTGGCGATTACGTAGGCAGTTGTTGTGGGAGGAATTCGATCGAGCGGCACTGGTGCGGCCATTTTGAGCTGAAGAGGTTGGGGTGGTGTCGGTGCAGTTGGGTGGAAGATACAGATAATTTGTTCCGCGGCGCTTAATCGCCTCACCGGGATGACATATCCTTCAAAGAACGCGCAACAGCCAAACGACTCAACTCAAGAAGTCCAATGTTGTGAAATTTCCTCCATTATCTTTCTCGTGTTCAAGGGTTCAGTAGCAATTTTCAACATACACGTTTTGGCATATGTGCTCTAGGATATGTGGTAGGCCTGAGATCGTAATGATGTATTTTTGCCGCCCTGGGCGCGACCCTTTATCTCAAGTCATCGGAATGCGGTCATATTAATTCTGAAATTAGGTCTTACCTCCATATCGAGGTATCTACATTCTAACGTCTGTGACAGCATCACTACGGATTATGCCTTGGGACTGAGCCTCGAGTCATGCGCAAGTTGATTAAAATTCCTACAGCCGGAAACTGCTTCCGACCATTGTCTTGGAAACGTGGGAAAAGAAAACCAACCGGGGTGCAGTTGACCCAAGATTGGCCGACCGCTTACTATGTACATGCCAGAAAAAAAGATATATTTGCCAGAAACAAACTCTTAGTTAGCACTTCCCGCAGCAGGAGCAGCGGCAGGGCGGTTAGTGCCCACGTTGTTCATACGGCGACCCATGACGGTACGGCTGAAGAAACTAATACCAATCATGAACAACCAGCTGGGAATAGCACCAACGGCGAAGATGACATAGCCAAGGGGCATGAGCAGCTGGTACTTCGCCAGCCAGCCGTCGGTGGGGTGGAAAGCGCCAGTGTACTCGGCGGCATCCTCATAGATCTTCTTGGAGTGGATTTCGTAGAAGTTCTCGGGAGTGACGGTGGTGGTATTCATGTAGACGACGTGCAGGGGGGTGGGCAGACGCTCCTCGCCCTCGGGCTGGGCCTTAGGGATCTGGTAGTAGTAGACGGAGGGAGCACCGGCGGACCAGGCAGCGCAAAGAACGCGGTTCTCCTCGCAGTCCAGTAGACCGAGGTTGGGGGCAGTCGGGTCGGCAGAGAAGAGGAGGACGGATTCCTAGATGATGATCAGATGCTGGCGACAGGTTGATGCACAAGGAGCGCGGAAGCTTACCTTGAAGGCCTTATCGGCACGATCGCAGCGACCGAAGCAGGTCTTGTTACCGCCGGTCACGTAAATGTACCAGTCCTTCGCTTCGGAGCTGGGCTCCAGGGTGGGCTGCCAGTTGCTGAGGGTGATGGGAGTGACAGACTTCTCCGAAACCTTCTCGGCCAGCTTCACGATAGGCTCGGACGGCACAGCAGTGGGAACAATGGCCTTGGCCTTGTTGAACCATCCCTGGACGCGATCGACGAGGGGAATCTGCTCCTGCGCCAAAACGACGGCAGGGAGGAGGGCGACAAGCGAAGTGAAACGCATCTTGATGGCTGCGACGCGTATGAGGGATTAGCGCGGAAAGAAAGGAGAGGGAGAGATGAATCTCGATGGACTAGAAGCTAAACTTACCTTGACTAACTATAGATCACTGCAACGGCACCTGAGAGGAATAGGGAGAGAAGGAATAAGGAACGAGCCCAGTGAGCGTTAGAACGACAGCTGGCCTGAGCGCCCGGGCCAACCACCGTCGCGTAATTCGCACGCGGGGAGATCCGCTCCACTCCGTGATCGCACTCCTTTTCGTCCGGAGCATTCCCTATTGAACGAGCTCGGTGCCATTCCCATCATCCACCTACACCTCTAGACCCACTGGAGTAACCCGACACATGAACATCCGCGGATAGTAGACATCATGCTGACAGTATCCCCAGCTACACTTGAAATATGAGGTGCAGCTGGAGCCTTCCCCGATCTCGCCTTGGGTCCCACTTAGCAGAGCTCCAGCGGCAGCATGTATGCTGCATAGCTTCCCATGTTTATGAACAGACTGAGATGCCTCGAAGAAAAGTGCAGACATGTTTCATGCTCCTGATTCACGCTATGTGAATATGAAAACTGCCAAGAATGGTTGTGGATAAACCTGGACGACAAGAAAGTACTGTGGGTACCTCCTGAGTATCGACCCGATGTTTTGCGACCAATGGATTCTACTCGCCTTTTCACATGCATCAGGGTAGGGGCTTTTTTCATAGAAATTGTGTAGCAGGCATCAATGAGTTTCAATATCGTCACAGTACATTTTGAAACCTCTTCATGAAAAGCGCGGTAGAAAATCATATTTCAAATGCCCTTCGGCGGATGGCGTAACGGTCACCTAACTTTCCGTATCTAGACCCTCCAGACCTCTGATAGACCTCTCTTGCCTTCATGCATCTCTTTGGGCTGCTTCTTTCTTCCCTTCTTACAATATCGACATTCAAGGCGTCCAGAAAAAAGCGCTCCGTCTTCCTGATCCGACAGAAACTCGTCTAGTTATAAAGTGAATTTCAATTGAATGGGGGTTTACGCAGCATGATTTTCAGTACTGTAAGTTCCTAATGACAGGATACATAGGGAAGATGTCAGATGAGACAAGCCTCTCGGCCACTGATTCTGCTTGAATTCGTTTCAAGGATATACACATGCCATAATGGACTCGGCCCCTAGCAGCTGCTACTTTGGCAGATTCGGACAACTTCTACCCATTCGGATCTGACCTTTATTGAACCACCACATACAGCCCCATTTAGTGACCCAGAATGGGTTGGTAAGAGTCCTAACAAGGCTGCGTTAGATCCAAGCAAAAAAGGAGAAATCAATGCTGACTTACGCCCAGGCATGCATCCGATTGAATATGGTTTTGCCGTTGGAAGACGATCAAACCGAGGGCCGTGTTGATGTAGAGTTTCCATTCGTCTTGGAGGTTTGGAAGATTGAGGCCTTGGGATTACACTCGATTATTTCTATTCCTGGAACCCAGCGGTGAAGACTGACTGCTCCGGCCTCCGAGCGAGTGAGTATGTTTGTGTTGGCGTATCTTCAGCGTGATGGGAACAGTAAAATCGACCAGACATCTTGAATGAGGCATGTCTTGGCACACATTCATACAGTTTGTTGGATACGCCGGTCCAATTATTGACTCTCAACCAATGACAAATAATAAGACTTTTTGCTTGAAGTCGGCTTGGTCTATCTTACCAATCAACAATTCCGAGTTCCACGAGCTCCTCAGACACATTGGGCCGAGTATACTCCGGTTCAAAAAGGTCACGGCTCGTCCCCATCCCGAACCTGGGGTTGCGAGTATTTTGTCCTTCCACGGGGATTTCACCAGAGCCGTAGAGAAAGCTTGCCACCTCGTCTGTAAGCTCAACGAACCTCCCCGGTATTCCGCGAAAACCTTCCATAGCGATTATGACAGTCGGTTGCAGAGGTGGATCTCTCTGAGCCCAATTCAGTTCCCCCCGCATCCTATTCAATAGCCCAGAGAATCGATCTTCATTATTTGGGAACTCAAGAAATCCTAATTCAATAGAATGTAATGAGTCCGGCACCACGTCGAATAAATCGATCAATTCTGACGTCTCGACACTAAAACGAAAAAGTCCCAAATAACATAGGTTTGGCCATTGCTTAATAGGAAGAACGTTCTTTAAGGGAATAGGTTGGCCCCCCGCTAAGGATTCATCATCAAATGTTGTCGATAAATGGATATGGGTTAAGTCCTTAGCCTGGCTGAAAGCCTGATAAAGAAGTCCGCTTCGGAATCCTCCCCAGTCCCAAATACCACTCGTACCGGTAAGTAAGGACAGATGCACGCGCCGAAAGCCGGGTCGTTTTATAATAGCCGCGAATTGATCGTATTCCTCGCATGGCTGGGCAAAGATCATATAATTTATTCCGGTAAGGAGCTGCTTTGCATCGAAGCTTAGCTCGGAAACGTTATATTTCTGTACCTGCGATAAAACGCGGAGAGCGATTCGAGCACCCCGCCATAGCTCCTTATATCCCTCGGTTGCTCTGACCACGGCACCGGATTAGCTACTTGACCCTCGTTTCTTTCTATATGCCATCCCCGCGGAATAGGATAGTTAAATCCGTATGGAAATGCTCGGATCATCGGTGTCTCGTATAATGGAGCAAAAAGCCACCCATGAGTCGCGGGCGTAACGGTCACTCTCTTTAATCGTGGGAACCGCTCTAGGCCATAACGAAAGGCATTTTCGTCGTCACTAGATTTGATCACAGTTCTCTGATCATGCAATATTTGCGAGTAATACTCCCAGCAGGCTTCTAGAGGCATCTCTATATCCATCTCCTCCTTCCGAGTAAGATGGTCAGGTCGGTCCACATTATAGGATTTCCGATGTTTCATCGTATACCGATTTTCTTTGCATTCCTCCACGAACCACTCAGGACATCCTTTATCGCGGTTGATTTGCAAGCTTCTAGGGTTGATTATTGGGTGCACATCTTCCCAGACCAATGGTGCGGAGACAAAACACGCGTCGTCCCAGATGATCTCCGTGATCTGTTGTCGAAATTTTGGGTGGTCCGCAATCGCGCGGAAAACTTGGATGTCCAACGGATTGACTCGAGACGATGAGAATAGCGTGAGCTCGCTGAGCGTTTTGCATCTCAAGCGCAACGACTTAATATCTTCATTCGATGAAAAGGATGCGATCGATGCGATCGTTTCGGGGGGGCAAATGAAGAAGCCACAGGGTGTTTGTTGCCATCAGGGGCCCGAGACCGCAGGGCTTGTGAAGCCATTGAAAAGTTGAAATTCCAGTGGGATAGAAGGTGTGCAGATGGGGGTGAACAGCCCACTAAATAGAACTCAGGCCAATTTGAAGCTAAAGTTAGTTAGGAAAGGTCAATTCCACCCGCATGTACTGTAATCGATGTTTAGCGTGGCCCGAGAACTCTGGAGGGGAGGTACTATGGTAGGTACCACCGGGCAGCCCGAGGCTCTGTAGGTACCAATGTAACGTGATCCACAGCCGAGTGGACTACTAACACGAAGTGTGCAAATCAGCTCAAGATGTTAGACCAGTACGGTAAAAGAACCTGGACCGTAAGGTCTTTGAACATGAAACGTAAAATTGATAAGAATACTACGTAACGCAGTAAATCTCGCCAGATACCTGGCCCGTAATTCTTTGTTGCGACAAGCTGTAGGATTACCAATTCCAAGGTCTTGAACCAGGGCATCGGCGAAGTCCACCAACATGACGCAAAAAATATTGACGGAGTAAGGCCCGGGCGTGCCGATGTCGGTTCCCCCTCCCTCTCGAAATCTTCAGGGCGGCGACGAGTGAGTAACCCACCATTCCTCCTCACAATTCACAGTAATAGTAGTTCAGGACATGCAGGTCAATCACTATAAGTCTTTTGAGTCATATTCAACGATTATATAGTACACAAGACTTGTTGCATTTGCACACAGGCAGGATATATCCAGTGAGCGAGAACGGCCGCTCCCCACACCCCCAGGCAAAAAATTTCACCTTTTTGCCGCCGAGCGAAGGTGCGACGATTACTACGCAAAAGAGGAACCACACCGCCCACTCCACCTATGACTCTTACTTCCTTTCTCCTCAGCACATAAATATCATCTTTGAATTGACTCATTTTTGCTTGGTCGATTTACCCTACTTTTGCATATTTGTCTAGTGCTATCGTCACTACAGCCCACCCGTCACTCCTCAAGCCCCTCCACCCCACTATCTACGCACAGAATGTGTCCCGGTGCCGACCCCGAGCCCAATGGGCAGACTAACGGTGCCAACGGTGCCAACGGTAAGAATCCAGCCGGCGGATTCGGACCATGAGCTCGCCATGCTAATCCCAGGAACTCTAGGTGACCACCCCGGCTTCACTGGTATCGAGACCCGCCAGAATCCTCACCCTACACAATCCCGCAACCCTTACGGCCACAACGTCGGTGTTACCGATTTTTTGAGCAATGTCTCCCGCTTCCAGATCATTGAGAGCACCCTTCGTGAGGGCGAGCAGTTCGCCAATGCCTTCTTTGATACCGAGAAGAAGATCGAAATCGCCAAGGCTCTTGATGACTTCGGTGTTGACTACGTGAGTCATGGAAAACTCACGGATGATAAGGTGATGAAGAATGAAAGTCTAACCATGATTCTGGCAATAGATCGAGCTCACCAGCCCGTGCGCTTCTGAGCAGTCACGTCTTGACTGCGAGGCAATTTGCAAGCTTGGTCTTAAGGCCAAGGTATGTGTTAGACCCGGAGGCTAGTTGCGCTCATATTGGTGGAGTGGAGTCTAAATCATGTATAGATCCTCACTCACATTCGCTGCCACATGGATGATGCCCGTGTTGCTGTCGAGACTGGTGTTGACGGAGTGTGAGTTACTAACTAAACTGGACACTCTTTGAACTATTTCTGACACTCGTTCCCAGCGATGTCGTCATTGGCACCTCCTCCTACCTCCGTGAGCATTCCCACGGCAAGGACATGACCTACATCAAGAACGCCGCCATTGAAGTTATTGAGTTTGTCAAGTCCAAGGGCATTGAGATCCGTTTCTCCAGCGAGGACTCCTTCCGTTCCGACCTGGTTGACCTTCTGTCCATCTACTCCGCCGTCGACAAGGTCGGTGTCCAGCGTGTCGGTATCGCCGACACTGTCGGCTGTGCCTCCCCTCGCCAGGTCTACGAGCTCGTCCGTGTCCTCCGCGGAGTTGTTGGCTGTGATATTGAGACTCACTTCCACAACGACACTGGCTGTGCCATTGCCAACGCCTACTGTGCCCTTGAGGCCGGTGCCACCCACATTGATACCTCCGTCCTCGGTATCGGTGAGCGTAACGGTATTACCCCTCTCGGTGGTCTGATGGCCCGTATGATGGTCGCCGACCCCGAGTACGTCAAGGGCAAGTACAAGCTCGAGAAGCTCAAGGACATCGAGGATCTCGTTGCCGAGGCTGTCCAGGTCAACATCCCCTTCAACAACTACATCACTGGTTTCTGTGCCTTCACCCACAAGGCCGGTATCCACGCCAAGGCTATCCTCAACAACCCTAGCACCTACGAGATCATCAATCCCGCCGACTTCGGCATGACCCGCTACGTCCACTTCGCTTCTCGTCTGACTGGCTGGAACGCCATCAAGTCGCGTGCTCAGCAGCTCAAGATCGACCTGACTGATGCGCAGTGCAAGGAGTGCACTGCCAAGATTAAGGCTCTGGCTGACATTCGCCCTATCGCCGTCGATGATGCCGATTCCATTATCCGTGCTTACCACCGCAACCTCAAGTCTGGTGAGAACAAGCCCTTGATGGACTTGAGCCCCGAGGAGCAGGCCCAATTCGCCGAGAAGGAGAAGGAGCTTGCGGCTGAGGCCGAGACCAACAATGTTGCTATCTAAGCAACATCATATATTCTGTGTTCAATAGCGTGCTTTTCGCCAGACCATTTCCGCATTCAACATAAACATTGGGTGTCGTGGAATCTCTGATGATTCGATGTGATTCATGTGTTTGGGACTTTCTTTCTCATTTTTTCCAGGTTTTCAAAAGTCGTTTTGTTTTTTCTGAATACCAAAAAAGAACGGCTGGACTGGTGTTCGGAGAGTGATCTCTCCATGTATATAAGCGAAGCCTTATCGGCTGCGGCAATCAAGAAGCATTCAAATGTCATTTCTTAACGTAGGATTGGGAATACCCTATATATCAGCATCAAGATAGAAAGTCAGATAAGATGTGAAGTACGATATGCAAAGTAATACATGAGCAAGCGGCTCAAGAATCATCCAATACAAGTCCCCAGGGTCTTCATGTGGCAGCCTCGGCAGGCGCTAGGAGAATCCGGACTCGGCGTCCGCGGGCGGAACGGACGTTACTTAACATCCACTTCCCCGACTCTGCGTCACTACACCTATCCATAGGGGACAAGATGATGAATCCAACACTCCCTGTCGCCCTGCAGAACAAGCTGCTGGGCTACGGCCGGGCATCTAGCGCGCACTTATCAGCCGTGAACCTAGACCTGTGAGTAGCGCCTCTCCGCGAAACGCCGAACGTCAACACTGACCGTTACCACAGCATCCGCAACATTGTGTTCATAATCTTCATTCTGCGCTACACGCGCAAGTCATTCTATTCGTTTCGCGGCTACGGCCTCTTTGGAAGCATCCGCAACGTCTACCTCGCTGTTCGCCTGTTCTGTTACGGTATCTTCCTTCGCGCTCCCGGTGTCCGCGGTCAAGTCGATAAGCAGGTTTCAGAGGCTATTGGGAAGCTTGAGTCAAAGCTTGTGCAGACTGGGCCGGATGTAACGAGGTATCTTACACTGCCTAAGGAGGGGTGGTCACCGGATCAGATTCGAGCGGAACTCACTAAGTTGGCCGGGCTGGAACATACTCGCTGGGAAGATGGCCGTGTCAGCGGCGCGGTGTATCATGGTGGCGAGGAACTTCTGAAACTACAGACGGAGGCCTTTGGTCAATTTGGTGTTGCAAACCCGATTCATCCAGATGTTTTCCCCGGTGTTCGCAAAATGGAGGCCGAGGTCGTTGCCATGGTATGTTGCATGTCTTCAATGCGCTGCGCGACATGATTGGGACGCGATGGCTAATGTTCGCAGGTCTTGTCTATGTTCAATGCTCCCTCGGACGGCGCTGGTGTTACCACCAGTGGTGGTACTGAGTCAATTCTCATGGCCTGTTTGGCGGCCCGGCAAAAGGGCTTCCTTGAGCGTGGTGTGACGGAGCCGGAAATGTGAGTTTGGCTTTTCTCTCAGCATTGGTGAGATGTAGTTGCTAACCATGTACAGGATCATTCCCGATACAGCTCATGCTGCCTTCATCAAGGCTTGCAACTACTTCAAGATTAAGCTGCACCGCGTCCCTTGCCCTGAACCTGAGTTCAAGGTTGATGTCAACGCTGTGCGCCGTTTGATCAACCCTAACACCGTTCTCCTTGTCGGCTCTGCTCCCAACTTCCCTCATGGTATCGTCGATGATATTCCCGCCTTGTCGCGCCTGGCGGTCAAGTATAAGATTCCTCTCCACGTCGACTGCTGCTTGGGCTCTTTCGTCATTGCCCTTCTCAAAAAGGCTGGCTTCCCCTCGCCTTACGAGGAAGAGGGTGGTTTCGACTTCCGCCAGCCTGGTGTCACCAGTATCAGTGTGGATACTCACAAGTACGGATTTGCGCCTAAGGGAAACTCGGTTGTTCTCTACCGCAACAAGGCCTACCGCAGTAACCAGTACTTCATCTACCCCGACTGGTCGGGTGGTGTCTACGCCTCTCCCTCCGTAGCGGGTTCTCGTCCTGGCGCGCTGATTGCTGGCTGCTGGGCTAGTTTGATGAGCGTCGGTGAGACCGGATACATCAACAGCTGCACAGAAATTATCAATGCCGCGCGCAAGTTCGACTCTGCTGTCCGTGGACACCCCCTTATCTCGCTCCACATGGAGGTCGTGGGTAACCCCATGGTCAGCGTGATCGCTTTCCGCAGTAAGAATGGCGCTATTGATACATATGACATTGCCGACGACCTTTCCGCCAAGGGTTGGCACCTCAATGCTCTGCAGTCCCCGGCGGCTCTGCACTGCGCTTTCACCCTTCCCACGGCAAAGGCTGTCGACCAGCTTATCACCGATGTGGTCGAGGTCATTGAGAAGGAGTTGGCTAAGGCCGAAGAGCGCCGCCAGCAAGGCAAAGCCTACATCCTGAAACGCGGCGATACCTCCGCCCTTTACGGTGTGGCTGGAAGCATCCCTGATAAGAGCATTGTGAGCCGCTTGGCCGAGGGTTTCCTTGACACTCTGTACAAAGCCTGAAGGCCTGAGTGTGACTTCTTTCTTGCACTGTACATCAACAGCCACAGCCACAGATATCCCTACGCACTCCTTAGCTCACGCGGGTCGATACAAAAACGATTGGCGCCTTTATTGCTATTCAGCGTCTATTTTAAATTGCACATGGTTCTTAATCCCAAGTAATTTTTGTTCTTGATTGTGGAATAATGTCCGGTATAGTACAGTAGTCGAGACAAATAGGGGACGTAGAGTACATGACATGAAAAATAAGCCCGCTCCATGCAATAAAAATCACAGCAAAAAACCTCAAAGAAAGAAAAGGCTGTATGCCCTTCTTCAACCAGCAACAAACCTGTTTCGAGAGCAATAGCGCCAGTGAAGCCCACAAGAAAAGTTATTTCTCAGCATTCAATCAGTATTTGAAAAACCTCCAACTCATGAGAGAAGATCATCCCATCTACTGACCCAACATCTCCCCCGTTCCTCAACACAGCTCTTTTCAATGTAATAACCGGGATCGGGCTTCCGTTCAAGATGGACTTGCTGCTTTGTGAGAGCCTGCTCGACCTCCTGGACCGAGACAAGCTCCTTCACGCGCATGATCTGACCGGCAACGGACGGAGACACGGGGTGGAAGACTGTGGCCATGCGCTTTTTGAGGCCAAGGGCCTTGAGGACGTCTGTTGAGCGGCGCGGGAGACCGATTGCGGAGCGGAGGAGGGTGATGCGGAAATAGGTAAAGCTCATCTTGATGGTGTGTGTGGGGGACGCAAGTCCGGTAATTCGTGGTTTTGGAGGTAGTGAAGTCTTCAGAGTTTCGTGCTGGTTCACGATGGATGAACCGTTGGGAGAAACCGTGATTTGCGTGTTACTCGGAACAACAATTGAAGTAGATTGATAGATTGCAGAATTAGACTCCGTGAGAGGCTGGGGATTCTGTGTTGCGCTGCTTCAATCAAGGTCTTAAGATGCGGATGTTTGGCGCGATTTCGCAAAATCTCAGGCGGTATATCACGTGTACATTTTGCCGCATCCCCGGGTGGGCAGCTCCGCAGCTCTGGAACGCGGGACGCCTACATTGCATACTTGACGGCTATGAAGCGTGTTTGGGCGTGACTGTTACACTTCAAGTGTTGCCCTTGCACAACAAAGCTCCAGGGTTTTCGTCATATGCCTGCCCTATCGACTTGTTCCTGAATTTATCATTGGAGCTAGAACAAGCGGCTCCGAATTGACCGCGACGACACCTTACCCTTCCTTGACCAAGACCACGCTATCACAATGGCCCAAGCGGCCAACACCGATGGCACGGTGGCCATGCCTCGCCTGGAAGATATTCTACGCCACCCAGAGGATCTGGACAAGATCAATGGTCTCAAAGCCGAATACTTGCGGAAGAAAGGCGCCGTCGATTCACAACTCCGTGAAGGCCTGCGAGACCAGTTGGAAGCAGTGCAGCGAAGTATTGGGATTTTGTCGGAAGGTCAGCGACAAGTTATGAAAACCAAGGATGAATTGTACGGGATCGACAAGTTGTGCGCCGAATCCCAGAACAGTGTAGAGGACTTTGCGCAGATCGACAAACTCGCTCGGATTCAACGAAATTTCGATGCTACTTTGTTGATGAAGAGAGGGCTGGAGAACTTCAGCGCTGACATAGAAGAGGTGGAAAATTTACTCAGAGAAGACGACGATGACCTTGAAAATCAACCCAATTTACTCCGAGCACATATGAATATCTCGCGGTTGCGGGATTTCCGGGATGAGGCGATGGATCAGATTCGCAAAGCGAATGATCCAAGTGCTGAGGAGACTTTGACAGAATATTTTGAAGGCTTAGACTCTGTGATCGACTGGTTTGATGATCACCTCGGCACGGCGTGCATGAACCTGATCCCTCTGGTTCAGGAAGATAATAAGAGTATGGTTGTTCGACTCGCAGTGGTGGTTGCCAACGAAGAGAAGAACGATGAGACCGTGAGGGCACTGCAAGAGGCTCAAAAAGACCACAAAGACTTGGCAAGCCGCTTCAAGTCGATGAATATCGGCCCCAAGACCGTTCGTGGGTACAAGGAGAAATTCATGCAGGCCATTGAGTTCTACGCGTCGAATCAATTTGAAAGGACCAAAGAAGAATTCTTGGGAGACCCTGACCTTCTGGAGAAGAGTTTCCGGTGGTTTTTCAATGATCTTTTCACAGTGAAGCAGGGGATGCAGAACCTAGTGCCGAAGAAATGGAAGATATTCAAGACATACACCAATATCTATCATCGGATGATGCATGACTTCCTCGTTGGTATGATCGATGACCCTGAGATCCCTGCCGACAATCTGTTGAAGATCATCCACTGGAGCGACAAGTATTACAAGAAAATGATGAAGCTGGGCTGGTCACCAGCTGAACTTCAACCCAACATTCTGGATGACCGTGAGCCTGAACTTGTGCGCCAGTGGCAGAGTGTTATTATCAACGCGGTGGAGGAGTTCATGGACCGCATCTTCGAGGCTGATAAGCAAGGCCTCATGGAGCGACAACCAGATGCCCTGGACACCAATGCAGACGGATACTTCCGCACCAAGACCCTTGCAGACATGTGGCGTATGCTTCACGAGCAGGTCATGGCCTCCGCTGCATCTGAACGAGCCGACGTGATCGAAGGCGTTATCGACGCCATGTTCCGCGCATTGAAGACTCGGATGAGCGCATGGGTCGCAGTCATTGACGAAGAATGTACCAAGCACAAAGCACCAGGTGGCGACCAAGCCGAAGGCGTGCAGCTTCTACAGGACTGGCTGATCGGAGTAGCCAACGACCAGATTGCCTGTATCGATGACAACAAGGAGACCGGTCAGCTGGGATACCTTACAAGATTCAAGTGTGACATTGAGCCGCTGGTGACACCCAAATACATGGCCACCCGGGCAAATGCCGAGTTGGACGCATTGCGCGACAGCTACGTTGACCTGAGCACACACTGTCTGGCGCAGTTTGTGGCCGTGATATTCACCGTGGATCTGGCAACCGTCATTCCAGACTTGTTCACATCGAAGTGGTATGGCGAATATACCGTCAAGCGCATTATCTCCACTTTCGAGGACTACATGGCCGACTACACACCCGTGCTCCACCCATCTCTCGTCGACATCCTCGTTGAAGAATTATCAGATGAGCTGCTGGTGCGCTATCTATCATCTGTCCGCAACAAAGGCGTCAAATTCCGCCGCCATGTCGATCCGTACACCGACAAATTCAAGGACGACGTCCTCACGGTCTTCGCTTTCTTCCAGAGATACGAGGATTCCTTCGAAGGAACAATCAAACAGAAGTGGCGATTGGTCGATTGGCTTGTCCGTCTACTTGATGCTGAGAAGGGCCAGCCTCTTGTCAATGTGTACGAGTCATTCAAGATGGAGTACTGGGATCTGCAACTGTCATGGGTGGAGGCTGTGCTGCGCACTCGTGATGACTTTGAACGAAGCATGATCAGCTCTATCAAGGCCAAGGCTGCAGAATTATCTGTGGAGCGTGGTGCGGAAACAATCATGAGTCGATTGAGGTAATTCGTATGAGGTCTTTGAAGCGGGTTTGGCTCTCGGACTTTACTATGAGTAAGGGATTACCAATACATGGAATGGTATTTGGTATGCTCAAGCTGGCTTGAGACACCCCTGCACCACTTTGAAGATATAGCAATAGTTATGAATAATAAAACTGGAATCTCATTTACATTGCAAACCTGACTAATTGTAAAATCTGGGGCTTGTGGCGGCCCACAAGAGGCATTTGATTCAATTACCCTTTTGAACCTACCGCCCTCGGTTGCGCCCTCGGTCGATGCCGAGATAGATGTCTGGAGAGAACTGGAGAAACATGCTGCAACGGAAGTGTTTTTAATATGAACATATTCTCCTAGGAAGTCAGGTTCTCCTACCCCTGGCAGATGGAAGAGCTGATTTCGCCGCTGATTGGTCACGCTAGTGGACAGCTGAAGAATACCAGATCGCTTTCGGAGCCTGGGATCGCACGGTATAAGATTGATGCTACCGTCTATGGGAGGCTGAGAGACTCCGCTGGGCAACGACAGTATACTTCTCCCCTAGCCGCTTATTCAAATCTGCATCTTCAGAATGGAGAGGGAGTTTCTTTGCGCCCATTTCACAGATGCAGACTGTGTCGATGGGGATATCTTTTGCCCAGACAAATGGGTACTGGGGACAGACTTTCGTAGGTTGACTCGCGCCCCTGTTGTCCTCATTCTGCGTAGCTTCCATGGCTTCAGAGTGTGAGGGAGGTCCTTGCCGGGGAATTGTTCGAGCTTCATCGAAATAGTAATTCTGGTACCGAGCTAGAATGTCTCTTGCATCGATTTCAAGAGGGCTGGGTTTGTTCTTTGCTCTCTTGGAATGCCCAACGTCAGGCTTAGCCTTTGGTTGTCTCCGAACGTAGATTGTGTTCACGATCGTCGCATGCAAAAGCAGAGGACGTGGTTTCGGAACGCGGTTGAGAGCCGCTGTGTACGGGTCCAATGCTTGAGGAGCTATTTTAGACTCCGATCGAGGCCGATCGTCTTCCGCGAATTGTTTATCGTGTCCCTGATTGTCTTTATTTTCGTTTCGTATAAATCCAGCTTCAATGAATTTATCCCGCAGCATCAGACAAAACGGATACAATCGTCCAGTCGGATCCTCAGGAAAAGCATGTAGAACAGTCGCGGCTTTTGCCCGTGGTAAGCTATGCAGTGACTGGAGAGTAACATGCATGGGGCCTAGATCCCGCGATGCCTCAGTCACAGATGCCCGAGACCTGATATGTCGAGGGTCATCCATTGCGGAATTTGACAAATTGTGAGACTTTCTTCTTTCTCGCAACTCGGTTGCAACCCGCCCCGTCTCGCGCATTAGACCAGCGAGATCAAGCGAATGAAAGAACCGCAATGCCTCCGCGAGCTTATTCACGGTCGGGAGGCTCATCACTCCAATAGTGAGGTGCAGTGTGCCCAACGGACGGATTGCGCCTTCGGGAATGATTGCGCGCGCATCTTGTCTCGTCGATGCATTTGACAGATTTGTGACCGGTACTGGCTGATAGTCTGCCTTGAAAGATGCAAAAGAAGACTCTAACTGTGATAATGAGGTGGGGTTGACTAGTGGAAGACACAGAAAATGCGTGAGGGGCGGGCGCTTCTCTGGTCGTTGGTTTTGGTTTCGGTTCTGTTGTTTCGGGGCATTGCGCTTAGCTCCCGTCATGACTGTTCGAGCTGAATAAGAATATTTGGCCTGATGGTTGAAGGTCAAGGTGAATATATACAAGGGCACTCGTGGCCATCTGGGCCTCATTGAGGTTCAGCTGGCGATCGAGGTAGTTGAAGTGATGTTTGAGGGTCTTGACTTGATATCGGACCACTACTCATCTTATTTTCAGCCTGTCTCCCGCGAGTGCCGCCTACCGCCTGGACTGGCCGGAGTTTCGACTGGACATCATCTCATATCTCATGCTTGATTGAGTGATCACAGGGTGAATAAGCAACAAAAAGAAAACAAGGAATTAAATGAGTTGGTTATAGGTAGCTTGACTGCTGTTTAGCTGTTAACCCGCTTCAGTCTCCCACAGCCTGAGGAATTTACCACTTCGCCCATAGTCGAACCTACGAAGTTTTACAAACGCTGCAAAATCCTTCAGCGCTGTCTGCCAACCCCAAGTCCGATCATATTCTGCTTTCCAAATATTGTAAAACCAATTCCTAGGCATGTGGAAATTACCCAAAGCTTCCGCAATGTCCTTGCCAGTTCACCTTCTTGTAGAGACGACGTCCTAGAGGAATCGCAGCGCGGGCGTCAGAGCTGTGGCTTAGCCCCTTGAATTTTATATCGAAGTGCCAATATCCAAGGACTATGATTCGGTACTAGTGGACCACACGTCATCAAATCAATGAATGGTCGTCTTGCTTCAGTTCGACAACGTGTCCGGCTGGGAACGATTTCAATTGTCTCTCGGCTCCAGCATGATGCTAGGCTATATTGCAGAAATCTCAAAGAAAACACACAGCGACTTCCAGAGGGATGTTAAGACGGAATCAAAGAATTAGGTATTTTGACCTGTTGGGATTATTGCCTAGGTCGAGCTGTATGAAGGGACTCGAAGACAAAATCAATATTACTCAAGTCCTCTTGCAGTAGACAGTAAGATAACATAGTAGAAATGGAATGTTGTATGGGGTATACAATAGCTGAACTGCATGAGAGAATATTGAGTAGTTCATCTACTCTCCTTTCTTCCGGCCCTCCAGAACACGCATCACATCATTGACACTGTCCTTGTCACCTTTCCTCTTCTTCGGACCACGCTTCCGTTTCTTCCCCCTTTTTCGTCCTCATTAAAGTCATGCAGAACAGTATCCTCATCCTCAGCATCTTCTCCTCGGCTGCCTCCGAAGCCCATATCCAGATCCGCAGCGTCCATGGCGTCGCGTCGCCGAGCTTCTTCAAGGAACTTTTTGTGACGAAGAGTAGCTTCTGGAGTCTCGCCTTCCTCGGTAGAAGGAGAACCCTGTCGTAAAGCCGCTGCTCGCTTCAACGCAGCCATGATAGTGGGATCTTTCGTGAGCGGGTTGGTACGATCCACCGAAGTATCGGATGCGGTGCTGGTTCCGAAGTAATTGCGCGGCGTGGGAGCTGCTTCCTCCGGTGGTTTCTGATCATCATGTGTAGGCACTTTCTCCTTTGTCGCAGACTTCTCCGGACTTTCTTCTTCATCGGACGAAGACGCGTCGTCTTCAATGCCAGCAAGCGGGTCATAGTCTGCGCCAACACCGGCGAAGATATCATCATCCTCCTCAGACGCAGCCTTGGCGGCTTCTCGAGCAGCAACCTCAGCAGGAATCTCCATTCCTAGGGGCTCTGCAGCCTTGTCAGGCATAGGAAGCGCACTAGTAGACCTCGCCGAATCGGAGGGTTTATCAATCCATCGAACCTTGCGTTTCGTATTACCCTCAGCATCAGTAATGACCAAAACCTCTCGTCGACGACCAGTAGGTTCATCAATCTCCACAAAGCGCTTCTTTTCCGGTTTACCATTCCCAAGCTTCTTGAACTTTGAGCCCAGAACCGGCGCTGGCGGCGGAGGAGCCGCAGCCGCAGCCCGGCTAGCCCTCAATTCCTTGAGAATCTCATCTCTCGTCTTCTTACGCGGCGGAGGCGGTGCCATAGTTCCTTTCTTCTTCTCCTTTGGCTCTTTCGGCGCAGGGACAACTTCTTCCTGCCCCTTTGCCTCCATCAAGCGCTCAAATTCCGCTTCCGCATCTTCTTCCAGTACAGGCTCTTCCGCGGGCTCTGATTCCGGCTTCTCGGGAGCCTGCGTTACGTCTTCTCCGGCTCTGACTCGCCGTAGAAGCCCCCAGTCAAGGCCTTTGACCATATGTGTACTGCCGACATCACCACCAACGCCAAGCTCAGCTTGCAACTTGTCAAACGTCGCCTGATCTATCTGTCCTAATTTCACCATCTCTTCCAGCGCCTTGATGCGCTGCTCGAGATCATCCTTGTTTTCTGCCTCGTCGTTCGCATTGCGCAATTGTGCTCGGTCTTGGTATCCCGTTGGTAGTTTGGTTCCCTTCGGCGCGGCGGAGGACTTGAATCGCTTGCTCGGTCGATCGCCCTCGCGGCGTTGGTCGGCGAGTTGGCGAGCGAAATCGACTCCTGACACAGAGCGCCTATAGCAGCAAGACTGGATGTTAGCTTGGCTTGAACACACGGGAGCGATGAGCGGGGAAGACGTACGGAGTCATGGGAATGCTATTGCGCATTCGCGAGCCGAGGAGCCCACCCCCACTCGCCCCAGATGATGCATTGCGGGCTGGGGCTGACGAAGTCTCGGAGCTCGACGAGGTGTTTAAGAGCCGCCGAAATTGCTCGTTGTTCATGGCTGGTGGTGGTCGTTCAGGAACAGTCGTCAATTTTAAGACGGGGAAAGGTCCTCCAGCGCCGGATAACGATTTGAGACCTTATCGTCGGGGTGTTGGGGGCAAGGGAACCATCGGTCAAGGCGGTGGGTGGACCAACGTCAAAAAGGCAACTAAGGTAGCAAGTACAATTGAGACGATGATCAGAATCATAGGTCTAGATTATCGTGGTCTTTTGTTGCACTATTTAGTTTATGATGGTCGAACTCGTGGAATTTCACATCTTCACATTCAACCCCGAGTCTCGATCACTAACATTGAACATTCACAGTCTATAACCGAACAAGCAAAATAAGATTGAAAAGAAGAGTCGTATTATCATAAACCCCAGGATACGAACAGACAACCTCGATATACATAGATACACAAGCGAAGCGATCATAGAAACGCAAAGAAAGAAACAAAAACAAATGATGTTAGCCCACCATGCCGAGTTCGCCCTCATAATCATGATTCTAGCGCAGCAAACACATAACGCAGTTTTATCGATAGGTCTGTCATTAGATCGTTTCCCATCCACCGTTGTTGATCTCTGCTTCCAGCTTGCGGCTGATGGTCGCGGGCACGGCATGGGAGAGCCATACATCGCGCAAGAGGCGATCGTACCGCTTTTGGTTTAGAATCAATTGGCGGTTGCGCCGGAGGCCGGGGTCAACTTCGCCGTGGCGGTCAAGATAGGGGGCCCAGTGCCAGGAGCCATTGTGATTGTGTAGGTATAACACAGTGCACTTGCGAATGTTGATGAAGAGGCCGATGTTCTTGCCACATCTAGAAGAGAGAAAGTTTAGATAATTAGAAACACACCAAGGAGATGAACTTGCTTACTTCTGGAGGTGCTGGTTGCAGCCACCTAGCTTGTTGTGCATGCAGCATACTGCTTGTGAGCAGAAGATATCTCCGCAGAAAAGACAAATACTCGGGTCACTGAGTTCCTTCTTGGAGTTGGGGCAGCGGCGTCGGTTCGCCTCTTCAATCAAGCTGTCAAAGTTCCTGGGCAGACCGACAAGCTCGAAGATAGCAGGATGGGGAAGGCTAGGCCACAATCGGTGATCCTCGAAGCGGATGCCAGAGCGTGAGGCGTTCCAATGGAAAATCCATCCCGAGACAACCGCATCGAAGGGGTTATTGGTGTTACGCGCCGGGTTGATAGTCATGAATACCTCGTCAATCGAAGGCAGACGCAAGACCTTGCTGAGTCTGTCCAGCTCCGATGCTCCGACATCAGCGAAGCCTGAGTTCGGGAAATCTACACCGTGCTGGACGTGAAGAAGGATAACGGCCTTCCGCAGGAATGTGAGAGCATAGCTTGAAATCAGGCGATGGAGAGCCATGATGACGGCCGGAGTAGCAGATTCCTCGCCATCCTTCACATATCCACTTTCGGCCGGGAACGAGGAGCCTTCAGCACGACCAACAGAGTTTGCCTTGAGCTCGGCCACGATGGAGTCGAAGAAATGTCTTGTCACATCGTATCGCTCGCTGGAAACTTCCGAGCCCGCAAGGTCTGTTTCTCCTTGCTGCGCCATCTCCTCCTTGAGACCCAGAGGCCACAAGATGAAAGTAACGGCAGCTTTCACGATCTCAGCAACGTAACACATCTGAATCAGATGGCGCATATCGATTTGCAGGACTGGAAGCAATGACAGCGAGCTTTCAGCTAGGAAAACAAATGTATCCATAGCCAGCAAAGGTTCGATGTTCCTGACATCATTCAACAGTGCGGTGCCGCTCAGACAAGGGTGCCCAACAAACAACTGGCAGATCTTTTGGCGATGCATTTCCTGGAACTCATGAGTCGGAAGGCTCTTTCCAATACCGCTGGAGTGAACACAGCCCACAGCAGCATATGTCAGGGCTGTTTCCGACAGGACACGCAGATGGGTCAAGGTCAAAGGAGGAATCTTATCTAGCAAAGTCGAGCCTTGCTCAGACTCAACTCCGCGCTGGGCAATCTCGACCGCAGCGATACTGAAGCCGAAGCTTCGTATCAGAGAGTCAATGTGCACGAGATCGTCATTGTTGATGGTATCCGGGGGGTTGTTGAAGATCGATTGGATGTGGTTCATCTTGATCGTCTTCTTGAGACGCCTATAGATCTGCAGAAGCTCAGTCATAGGGCTGTCTGATGGACTAGAGACTTGCTGTAAGGGACTAGATGGCGCAATGTCGTCTCCAGGAAACAGGCCCGGCACTGCCATTCGTGATGAAGAGGAAATGAAATGCGGGGGCGCCGCGCCCGATTGGCCCGACGAGTTCACAAGTTGGCCGACCTTTGAGGCAAGAGGAGGCACCAAAGTCTTCGAAAGATATTCGACAAACAAATCTGAATAAGGTTGCTGGTACGCCTTGTCCTTCTCAATCATGAGAACAGGGAAATTCTGTGATTGATTCAAACTCTGCTTCAGTCCAGCGCCCATCCAGTCGTCGAATGAACTCGACGTGTTTAATGCACCCGGATAGGATTCTTCTTTGCCCTTCCAGGTGATGGGAAGGAATGCATTGCCAAGCGCCTTGCACAGCGGGCATACGAATTCCTTGAGCAATGTATTCTCGGGATGATTTCGCGCGATTTGTTGTGTGTGGCGTCTCTGCGTTGCTCCATAGTAGACTTCAAAGCACGAGTAATGCATGATGTGGCCACAGCCAGTTGTCACAGGTCCACGTAGAGTGCACTTCGGATTGAAGCCCTTGCTGAGGCCAACCTTCTCACTGATGACCTCGCCTCCAGACGAGTCCAGTCGACGAATTGTGGTACGGTTTTCTCCGGCAACACCAAACGGACGAATATCTTCAGCAGATCGGTCCAGGCTTGTGGGAGTGCGAAGCACTTCACGAATCCTGTCAGGGTCTCTGATGTCGGTCTGTCGCAAGATAGTGCTGTCTTGGATCAGAGCAAAAGTACCATAAAGTCTCGAGTCATTGGTTTCTTCCTGACAGAGAATACAAGTCCCACTAGGATACTTCCACGTTTTCGTTTCAGGAGTGGCTTCAGTCTCTGATTCCAGGTCACTGAAGTCTTCTTCGCCCCAGTCAATGTCGCCTTGACTGTTCAAGAATTGTTGCTGCTGTTGCTGGAACTGAGCCATGACGCGTGCTTGTCTTTCCATAGCCTGCTTCTTCTTGGTCTCCTTCTCACCGTCCAGGTCGATTGCAGGAGAGCTTGTATCAATGCGGTCGAATGGGAACTTGAGAGTAGCAGTAGCAGCGGTGTATGTTTGCGGGCGCTTTTGCCACAGGCGCTTGAGAATATGGCGAATCTTGGGTCCACAAGCTGAGAACTCGTTCATCACAGATATTCTCTCCAAGAGACCGACAATGGTCAGCTTGCCCGATTTGATCTCGCGGGATTTGGACAGAGCATGCAGATTGAAAGACTGGCTCTGTTCCGTCTCCATGTCGCCATCGTGAGAGTTGTCCTCCAATACTGCAGCCAAGATAAGGTGCAGGATGACCTGTAGGAATGTTTCCACGCGTGTCGGTGGGATAGTCGGTGTGCACTCCTGGCACGAAATGACATATTCCAGGCACTGATGGACGATCTGAGCAAAGATCATAGTGCTAGTGAAGCGTGGGAGATCAGAGAAGACACCAGAGCTGATAGGTCGAAGTTTTGGCTCATAGACAATATCAGACGGCTTCTTGCCGGTCTTCTTGGCCATCCATTCTCTGTAAATACTCTCGGCCTCGTCTCTCTGGTTCTTGGTGTAGTGTGCACTATAAGGGTCCACCAGATCCAGGTACTCAGGCTTCAATTCGAAAGTTCCAGAGTCGCTTAATCCCTCGGGAGGACGGAAATTAGCCACCTCTTCCAATACATCCTGGAACTCATCCGCCTCAAGCAGCTTGTCACTAAGACGAGTTGAGAGATCAGAGAAGGAGAGGGGCTTGAAGCACAGTACATGAGCGATGTCGCGACTGATGTTCTCCTTTGTCAGATGGATACTATCGTCGATTGCAGTCAAGGAGGTACGATCCGTCAACAAAATAACCAGCAGATGGATAAATTCCTCAGCAACATCGACAATCTGGGAATCTTCGTAGCCAGAGCGAGGCATGTAATTTCGAGACATCCACTCAACCATTCCGAATCGGTGCGCAATGGACGCAAGGACACGGCTAGGATCGCATGTCACCAGTGCAGTTTGCAAGAGGAAGATGTCCCGGTAATAGGCAAAGTCGCGAGAAGACACACCGCGGTATTGGGACATCTGGTGTCGAAGACTCAGACCATTGCGCACCCACATACCAGCCTTCATTTGCGCGAGCCAGGCACACACCCTTAGAGGGTAATCGAACATGGTCAAAAGAAGATCTTCAGGACCAAGAGCGAGAAGATTCTCTTCAACGGGCTTGTCGGCAGCTTTGGCAGCGTGAAGCTCGTCTCTGGCATTTTGCGCGGCTTCAAAGAGGACACCGCGCATCGCTGCACTATCCACACTGCGGCCGCATTCAATGAGCCATGACAAAGTATAATGCAGCGCATGGTGGAAACTAATTGAGCCCTTCTCCACGACGAACTCGACCACCCGATGGCACGGAATCTGGCCGGAGCGACCGATTTCGAAATCGAAGGGCGGCAGAGTCTTGAAGCGGATTTCTTCCTTGATTTCTGCCTGCTCGAAGCGCTTGCGTTCAACACCAGTGGAGTGAATGATGGCGGTGAGGGTCGTGGTCTTGATAGCTCGCAGGAGATTATGGCCATCGTCGAGTTCAGGGCTGCGGAAAGCTTCACAGAATTGGCGGCAAAGTCGGTTGATCTCCCGCATGAGGATCGACGCGCTGATCCAGGCATCTGTCTCGTATTCAACGTGCTCGCCTACGGCGCGTACATTTGGACAGATACCTTGGGAAAGCTTCACGAGATCAAGGAACTGAGGCAGATATTGTTCCTCTGTGCGGACACGGTGCTGGACATACTCGGACTGAAGGAGATATCGCAAGTCAAGGAAGAAATGGTACAGGCGCCTGTTGGTCACCGAACCAGAATCAAATGCTAGGGTGGCATTTGGATTAACGGCTTGAGGTTCCCCGACTTGTCTAGTTGTCAAGAACGTATAAAGAATTGACATCACCTTGGTGAGGAAGTTACCACGATAGACAATTTCTTCGGTAATGGAAGGTGTGGTAAGAAGTTGCAGCGAGAGGTTGACGATAGAATGGTCTGGCTCTCGGTCCGCAATAAGATAAAGCTGGGCAAGGGCAGTGTATAAAGCAGATAAGCGAAGACCCATGATGCGCTTGAATTGAGGAACGTTGACAACGGTACTGATATAGAGATCTCGCAGATCGGTGCGCGTCTTCTTCCACAGCCGAAGGTCGAACAGGACCAGCCAGTCGAGGCGCGTGCGCTGCCACAAATCCTCGTACGGAGGGACCTTTTCGCCAGGAGCAGGCATAGGTGGTCGCACTTCCCAGTGGCCTTCAGTTCTCGCTGGGGGCGGTTTGACTACAGCATGGGGTGTCCTTGGGATGGACACATAGCTGGGGGCACCCGAGCCATTTGCATCAGCATGCTCTGGTTGGGGTGTCTGCTCTCTTGGCTCAGTAGGAGGCGAATGAGGGCGCGGTGGGCGAGTCAGGTTGGCCAGAATGCGCTCCGCAAGAGCAAGTTCGTCGTCGGCACCCATATCCATGTCCATGTCGTCGTCTTCACCATCGGCTTCAGCCTGAAGCCTAGCAAGCTCAAGTTCCATCTCATCATCTTCGTCGTCGGCGTCATCATGAGCCTCGACATAATCGTCATCTTCATCCTGCTCGTTACCTTCCCCAGCATCATCATCGTCATCTTCTTCCACATCGTCTTCGGTTGCCAACAAAATTTGACCATGTGGCGGCAGAGTAAGCATCACAGTCCGACCAGGAAGGTGATTGTCGAGTATTTGTTGATCATCAATGCCCTTCACGCCGATCTCCGCATTGTAGGCCCCGCTTCCTTTTCGCCAAGGACTAAGCATCTCTTCACAGATGATTTGTCTGAAGATCTCGTTGTCGCCGAGTATACTGCAGCCAGCAATGTCGGCCAGCCATTCGACAACTGTCCCGCACATTTGCTCGCGGAAAGTGTCTCGGGCGGAGCGTACTGTGACTGTCACCTTGATCTCTTCGATAATCTTGGACACTGCCAGCAGTCTCTGAAGATCCTTCGAGTATCTAATCACACTTCGACCGATGTCGTTGGTCTCATGTGCGCGGGCAACGCCGAAGCTGTCTCGTTCGCGACAGGCACGGGTGACTTGATGGGCCACATCCCGAATCGTATGCTTCTCATCATTCCATAGCATGACGGCAAACTCAGGTTCTTCTTCCTCCAAATCACCTTCACCATACCAGCCTGAACGCAGTCTTGAAGCTTCTTCATCTGCTTTGATCCCCTCGATGGTTTTCGCCAGGCGCAATTGCTCAGGCGAACAAGAGATGACATCGCAGAAGTAGTCCAATACACGCGAGATCGTCAAACGGATCGTAGATACCAAATCAGGTGGAAGTTTTCTCTGTTCTCTCTCTTTCTCCTTTTCGTGACCACTGTCTGTATGAATTGCGCAGAACAGCGGTAGCCGCCAAGCCTCCTCGTCACCACAGTCGCAGCAACCGCAATTGCCGGACGAAAGCGAAATCTGATATTGGTGAGAGGTGTGATCCGAAGCATCAAAACACCGACTGCAAAGCACACAGGTATCGTCCGCAGCGCAGGTCACGCAACGATAAGTGGCTTCCCCCGCTCGGAAAATATGACCGCATCGCTTGCCCCGCGCAGCCTCGCTATATTCGGCTCCTTCACGGGCGCCGTGGGCCTCAGCCAGCTTCCAAGGGCCATTTGGCACACCTTCAGGGAACAGATGATTTATCAGCTCCTCATTGTGACCGACCAGCGACCGGAAGAGAAGCTCTAGCAAGTCCTTTTCCGCCGTTGGGCTGTAGCGGTAGTTGTGCTGCGCAGGTAATCGTAGAAGGCCATCACCGAGGATTCTCTCACATTCTGCGAGCATGTGCATGGCTTGGATTTCGGAGGGAAGTATAGGTAGAGGCCGCACGGCTGCCACGGGCGAAAGGACGGAGAGCCGTTGGCGCGGTGAAACGAGGTCGTAATACTCTAAGTCGAGAGGATCGAGCGTTCAGTTGCAATGCAGGATCTGCAGTCCAGGAAGTAGTTCAGGTGGATTCGAAGAAAATTCAAATCCCAGCGCTGGGTCGTTTCAAAGGTCCCTAGCTTTCGTGAGGTTCTTTGAGGATTGTAGTGGGGGGGAGGGAAGACAGGCGAGAGGTGGATCAATGAGGTCGACAAGCAGCTCGAACCAGCCACAGTGCATCGGTCGAATACGCGAGAAATGATGCAAGCGATAGATTTGATCACACCGTAGCTGGAAACGCAAAATTTACAAATGTACAGAGAGAAGCGAGGATAGGGGAAAGTAGTTGGGCGAGGGCTAAGTATTTTTCGCTATGACATCGACGGCTGGGAGCGGTCTCCAAGCGCCACAGCGTTCCACGCTACGTCCACGTTCAGGTCATGGTCAATATGAATTGTGTCAATACAGACTTCAAAGTTCTATCCGTACACAAGTTCGCACAATAGAGTAAGAGTAAAATCACAGGGGTCCCTCCGCTTTTCCCATGTCCCCTTCGCTGCGGTATATCCCGCAGCTATCACGGCAAATCGATTCCTTTATTCATCGTCCTCCTCCTCGGCGGCAGTGAGGTAGCGGGGCTTAATGTCCTTCCATTGACGCTATAAGTGAGATAGACAGGTTAGCAAGTGTTTCGTGAGGCAGGTTCCGAGTATCGCCGCGGTCAGGGATGGGGGCCGAGGGAACATACGCCAGCGTTCCAGGTGTCCCAGATCTTGTTGGAGGCAGTGTCGAAAGACCTAAGTCGCCAGATATTCAGTCAGAAATAATGTACGGCATGAAGGGACGGTCGAATGTCACGCACAGCTCGAAGGCGAAGGCACCGGCGAAGATGGCAGTCAAGTAGACGGCGTTCTTGCGGATGAGGGTCCTGGACACGATGAAATTCCTCGGTTAGATTGAAATCAAGCAGAATCAAGCAATTGCGACCATGCTAGAGCGGGGAGACGTGCTGGTAGATAATGTTGGAGATCTGGAGATGCGACAAGTCAGTCAAGGGTCCTGAGTGCGCTGGGGATGATCGGATAGTCCCACTATGGGGAGGAGAGAAACGTACGCCGGCCATTGTGACGAGGAAGAAGACACGACTGGGGAGACAAGGGCGGAGAGAAGTCAGAATTGCGTGAGGTTAAAGAAGAGACGAGGATGGAAGTTCGCAGGACGAAAAGCTGCGGGAATTCCCGGCCCGCTGATTGGCTCTGCTCCAACGCTCAGTCCGGCCATCCGCCCTCGTTGTTTTTTACTCTTCAATTGCAGTTCTCTTTGACTACTTATTTCTTTTTACCTGCGCTGTCTTACGGGGGTTGAGTCTTCGGACTTATTGCTTCGTCCCTGTTTCTTTGCGGTTTACATTTCCTGAACATGGCCTCTAACGTCTCCAAGGCCGGTATCACCACCGACGAAAGCACCGGCGAACGATACATTCCCTCATCCATTCGTGCGGATGGCTCCAAGCGCAAAGAGATCCGTGTGCGACCTGGCTACAAGCCTCCGGAAGACGTGGAGCTGTATAAGAATCGCGCCGCAGCTGCATGGAAAAACCGTACCGCACGAGGTGGGGTGCCGGGTGCTGAAGCCCCGAGTAGCGAAGACGACAAGAATGCACAGGCACCTAGCACCACGGCCAGCAACAAGAATGCCAAGCGCAGAGAAGCCAAACGCAAGGCTAAGGAGGCCGAGGGCACTGACGCCACGATTGAGAAGAAGGGTTCGGACTCGGACAACTGGCGGGCAGCTCCCAAACCGGAAGAGAAGCCCGCGGACAAGCCCGTAGAGAAGCCGGTAGAGGATCCTGTGGACGTCGAGGCCGAGAAGGAGAAGAAGGCGCGCAATCTGAAGAAAAAACTACGACAAGCGCGCGATCTTCGTGAGAAAAAGAACTCCGGCGAAGCTCTGCTGCCCGAGCAGTTGGAGAAAGTCATCAAGATCCAAGAGCTTGTACGACAGCTCGATGCTCTTGGGTTTGACTCTAATGGCGATAAGAAGGAGAACAACGAGCCCCTGAACCCTTGAGCTCGTCGCTACGTGTGTTCTATTTGTACAACTCCCCCGGGCCGAGTCGGATTCTCAGCATGTTATCACGACATTGTTATGTGCGTCCGAGTGCATCGGGCTTGCGACCGAAAGGAAGTCGCACCCCGAACAATAATCTGCACCTACCAAGCTGAATGGTATTATATGCCAATTCCCACCTCGTTTTCGCAACTTCGGCCCACAGGCGCAGCTGTCAGGCAACTGTTGCGTCCATCTCAATAGGAGACACTCCTAGCACGTCTCGTCTTCTGCAAATGATCAAGGCGATAGATGGACATTATCACTCTGTTCAATAACCAACAGGGCCTCGGTTAGAGATAGTGAAATTGCATGACCTCGATCTATACAGGCAGGTCTCAGAAATCCAGAGTTTGGCATATGCCCATATTTTGCCTCGAGCACGTGTCATATGTATTTTGTCCTGGATACAGCTATATTACAAAGATCTAATGTACAACCCTCCTCAACGATTTGAATCTCCAACACGGAAGTCGAAAATCCGAATCGGCGCCGTAGGAATCCCGCCTTCGAACTCCCAATCTTTATAATCATAATCCCTCCAAGGTTCCCACGTGCGATCCCCCGCGGGCCGGTCGCCCAGGTGCCAATGACCAGTACCGAGTAATGAGGCCAGCATCCCCGACCTCACACAATCGCCGACGCCGACGCCGGAATACCAATTCCCAGCGAGAACGAGTCGGCGATTAAAGTCGTCGCGGACGGCCTTGGACAACGAATATATCCGGTCAAGGTGACCAACGGTATACTGGGGAACGGCATCTTTCTGCAGACGGGTTCGCGCCACCGTGGGAGCTTCGGTGATGCCCAGGTGTCTCTCCAGCATGGCGCGAGCCATGTTCACGGCTGAATCGTGGTCTGGATAGTCGCTGTCCTTCCAGCCATCCCAGTAATGGCCGCCCATCATGATGGTCAGCTTAGTTCCTGGGGCGGTATCTTGTGATTCTTCTCTGTCTCTGTATAAAGCATTCGTGCCGGAACTGGACGCAGAGGCGAAGATGACGCCTAGGCCGCACTCGGGGTTTTGCTCGGCGGGAATGGAGCGAGGAATCAGATAACCAAATCCTTCGACAGGGAGAAGATTGGGGTTCGGATAATACAGGTTGATCACCATGATAGTCGTAGCGTAGTTGTGCGATCGAAGTTTGTGGATAGTATCATATGGCGGGGCCTTTTGATGGGGCAAATTTGCTTTTGACTCCAAAATCTTCCCCAAGGCAGGTGCTGGAAGCGCAGCAATGACATGGTCAAATGATTCGGTGGATTCCGCGGTTCGGATCTGTAGATGGTGAGAATCGCAATATGTCAAGTGTGAGCAGGACACTTTACCTGTATTGAGTCGCGGCCTGCCTGCTGTGTCATGGATTTGATATCGGTGCCGGTCATGATCTTGACTTTGTCTGACTTATTCAAGGCCGTCTCTAGGCTTTCGACAAGCTGCTGTGTTCCTCCCTTCAGAGTAAAGGTAGAGCTCTCTTTCAGCACATTTCGCATGTGAGATCGAGTCTTTTCCGAGGCTTCATCCGCACGACCGCGAACTGCGTACCAGGCAATCATGTCATCCATTTGTAGGGGCGTCTTCTTCTCAATGGCGCAATCAAGCATGCCTCTCAAGATACCACCATCGTCCATGTTGCGAAGGGAGCCTAGAATAGTCTGGGCACTTAATTGATCAATATCTCCCGCGTAGATGCCATGCATGACGGCTGACACCAGGTTTTCTGCCATGCTTGGGTGAAATCGGCGGCCAATGAAGCTTGCGATAGACTCGTCTTTTTGCCATTCGGAATGGGGTCGCGGCGGCTTGGTAGGCTCAAGAATAAAGCTCGACATGACATTTTGAAAAACTGGCTCGGAGCGAAGTGTTCGAAATGTATTCATGATACTGTTTATACTAGTGGAGGGCGAGGATAAATCAAGGGTAGGTATTTTGACGAGATGGTCTGGGTAGTAGATGAAACGATTCCTCGCGGCCGGGCTCTTTCTAGAAGTCGTAATGATCTGGTCGAATATTTTCAGGTCCCACATCTTTGCAAAGTCAGCATCTTGGTCAAACGGTGCGGAACTTGCAAGGTCGCATTCACCATGGTGAGCAGAGGCATTGAGCCCGGGAACGAGCTTCGCAAGGTGCGCGGGCCATACTCGAACAGGACATGGCCGCCATCGACAGGAATCTTCTCGGACTGAAGCCATCCGCCGACTCGTGACTCTTTCTCGAGGATTGTGACGCTGGTGCAGTTCGGGTTGTGTGATGCTAACCACGCGGACGTGAGGCCGGTGATACCGCCTCCGACTACCGCGAGATTATAGGCGCGCCGCTGCGACTGGAGGATAGAAACGACGGTCGTGCGGCCGGTTCGGAGCTCCCTCGTAGCCCCTGTTAACCGCATTTCGGCAATGATCTGGTCTCTCAAGGTTGCTGGAGCTGTCTCGAAGGTCCCCCGGCCAGGGTTGGAGGTGGCGTGACTTACTTAAGCCGGCGCGGAGCACTGAGAACCCTGTAGGCCTGTTTTCCAATTTGAACTACGATTCAACAGCAATATATATTCTGAATGAGGCGGTATCGCTCGCGGCGCGTTATTCTTTTCGTGAATATCAGGGGATATCTATGTACAGAATGAGACTCGAAATGTCCTGAGACTAGCAAAAATGCATCGAAGTATGAACGCCCTCCCCAACCATTCATCATCACAGATCAGATTGTACACAATATGGCTCCTTTGCAGAGCTATCTTTCTTGGCTGCTTATTCCTTTCTTCCTTCTTGCTTCTGGCTTCTGTCTTCAGCATTGTATCCGTTCATATCGTCAATTCAGGCGCAGTCACGCAGTCATTTCCTGGCCCTGAGACCCGTCGGTCTCAGCCTCGGGCTTGATCAATTCCTCGGTTCCTTCTTCGCCATCGACAAATTTGCGCTCGCTCACATGAGTGCCGCCGTTAGGAGTCCAAACTTTGTCGTTGAATGCACCCCGCTGGCCCTCAGCGTGCTTGTACGGGCAGTTGGGGTTCATGCACGGATTAAACTTGCAGGCGGTCTGAACATGAGTGAACTTGCATCCCTCAGTCTTGCAGTCAGCTCCGTTGCGGCAGAGCGGCATGCTGGGGTGCTTAAAGTGGCAGAACTTGTTCGTGCAGTGAGGGAAGAATCGACACATCTCCTCGGCCTGGTGTGAAGATTTGACTGCCGGTGATGGGTGGCGGCCGGTACATTTTCGGTTTTTGCAAGCCGCGCCGAAGGAGCAGACATCAGCGGGGTCGATTGAGGTGCCTTCGGGGGCGGCAGGCGATTGGTGGGCGAATGGACAATCATTGCGCGTACATCGGAGGTTGAAACGGCAGACGCTGTCTGTGTTGCTCTCATCTTGCCCTCCGCTCATGGAAGAATCCATGTCGACATCGCCTCCATCATGGCGTGGCTTGTGATCGCCTTTTTGGAACCGTCCGCCTCTGCCAGGACGTTGGACTCGGTCACCGAGTGGGCGACCGGCCTGACCGTTCTGGAAGGATGGGTTGATAGCTGGAGATCCAAAGCCGGGCATTAGTTGGGACATCATCCGTGCCTGTTCTTCCAACATGTTCATGATCTGCATCTGATTCTCGGGACTCATTTGCATCATGCCGTTGGCCATGTTTCCTCCCATTCCACCCATGCCCATGCCCATACCGCCCATGTTGCGACCTCCGCGACCTCCTCTGCCGCCCCGCTGGTCTCGGCCGCGGCCACCGATGCGGCTGTTTCCTTGTTGTCCGTTCACACGATGAAGAGCGGCGTCGCCGGCGCGATCCATATTGCGGTTCAGATGGTTGAGCATTCTTCCTCGACCACCTCGTTGGTTTCCATTACGCATCGACTTGGGTCCAGTGGGTCTGAAAAGGAAAAGACAAGGTTAGCATAACACAAATTGGGTCAGTTCCAAATGCAAACTTACATGGAATCAGTGCCACCCATTTCGGCATCTCCGTTTCCAGAGCCTTGCGCCTGTGCGGAACCTTGTCCAAATGAAGGAGCCTGTCCGCCTGAAGTTTGACTTGAGACGCCATTGATCTGTTGGTTGAGAATCTCAACCTGTCCGAACAGCCATCTTGAAAACTCTAGCGCTTGTGTGTCACCTTCGTCGAGACCGAGGAAGTCGTTCGAGAGCTCGGTTGCAAGCTGTTCTTGAGACTTGCCGTTCACCAACATCAGGACAATGTATTCAATAAGAGCAGACTCCTGGCCAGCGTCGCTCCAGCCCATCTCCACCAATTTCGGCTGAATGGTCTCGGCGATGGCCGCCGCCAGCGGCGAATCCTGGGTGATTGTCGGAAGCATATTGAACTTTAAAGGGAGAGTGATGTTGGAATTAGGACTCCAAATTTGGAGAGGTTGGTGTTTCGCGCCACTCGAGAAGATGCGCTTCCGGCAAGTTCAGCGCACTGAAAAGTTGGCGTGAGACGAGATTCAGGAAATGCGCTTGAAGCTTTTCGATGAGGTAGGGTGCGCTGTGGGTTCTGAAGCAAGAAGATTTCCGAGCTCAGTAAGAAGTTGACGCGATAATCGAAAGCTTCGGGGGCGAAAATGCGATTATGATCACGTGACGTTGCTTGCAAATGAGTCAAACACAAAAGTCCAAAAGAGGCTTAACGCTGTCCGTTGCAGACGGAGGTTGCATTTTTGCTTATAGGCTAGGAATATTTTCAAGCCAAAAGATATCTGTACGCGTTCGACGCCGTGGAGCAGAATTGCTGATTGGCCTCTGGTAAACCCGAACAGAGAGGCACAATCTACATAGGTCTCTTGCGCACAACGCCTCTATTGGAAATATGAAGTGATTGTCGAATTCGTACAATGTCTCCACACTCAATAACCTGTGAGACAGATGGATTTGACAGGAAAAGCTGGTATTCGTAATTTAAGATTCATTTTCATGTTTGAGTTCCTTCCTACCAACTTTGACACCTGTGAAGGTGCGCTTGTGCCCAACTTGTAAGCAACATATGCCCCAGAACAAAAACGTTGTTCAAGAGACATGTCTGTCAGATTTAAGCAACATAAATTTAAGAGTATCCTTCATCAACTGGGCTTGTGGTTTAGTGGTATAATACTCCCTTAGCATGGGAGTGGTCCGGGGTTCGATTCCCCGCGAGTCCATTTTTTTTTTTAACTTTCGAATTGCTTCGCACATTTGAACAGGCTCCTTGCGCTGCCATGTTGTCAATTAGAGGTCAAATTAACGAAATTGGCAAAAGCACGACTTATCATAGGGGTCTGGTCAGCCTAAATCACTATATTCAGTGGTTTTCAGCCTCGATTTCTCCGTGAACACATTTCAATCTCTGAGAGATGATAAGGATCCAGAGGTATAAGTAATCAAAACGACGAATCTATGCACAAGGAATTTCCGTGCACGCGAATTGGGGCCGAGAGCACAGATCAGGCTGCCACGTATTTTCAAAGATTCCTATCATGTTTTTAGTTCTCTCATGCAGATCCAAGCAATTCAATATCCATTATCCGTAGCTGTCACAGAGCCACATGAAGTAGACAAGTACTGGTCTATGAAACAACTCAATCAATAAATACATGTGAAAACAGTGGATACACACTTCTAGCGTTAAAAAATAAACGTCGAGGGATCATTCGGAAAACTAGAAAGCGCCTATCAAATCAATCATTAGCAACAAATCCGCCAACAAGCCGGAAACCACTTACCCATGAATCCAACTGAGCCCACCAAATTGAGCCCTCAAGGTTCTCCAAAACCCCAGCCTCCTCCATAGGATTCATAGACCCCAATTCCCCAGGCTGTAAGATACTTGGCATGAAATCCACATTCTGAGCAGCGCCAACAGGCTCGCTATCGTGTTCATTCGGTGTCATACCCAGCCCCACCTCATCCTTCCAAGTACTAATCTTCGGCGTAGATGAATGATCCGAACCAATTTGCCTATGAACCTCCTGCCGCAACTCTTCAAGAATAATTCCATACCTTCGACTGGGACAATTTTTCCTCGTAGCTTCAGCAAGATGCTGCTGACACATCTCGGCGAGGGAGAAGAGGGATTGCAATTTGTCGGAATCTGCTGGACTTGAGGCTGACGGACTGGGAACTGTAGATTGGCGATGCTGTTGGATAATGTGGATATACACGACGAGGATAGCGCAAAAACACACGTAATGGGTGAACCAGAAGGACTGTGTTAACAGTGTTTGCTGAGCGAGACTATCGACTAGCGTCATGATGTCCTCTGCGGCGCCGATACATTTCTGTGCGTGTGCGCTGACCATGGGATGCGGGTCTCGTGGTCTACGGCTTAGGTCGGTGAAGTCGTTTAGGAGGAAAGAGCGGGTGACATGGATCATGGCGTGGGAGTAGGCTAATTGGAGAACTTGGCTTTGGCGACAGAGAGGAGGGATTAGGCTTGTTGGACGGACGCTGTTGAAGAGGGGCGGGACGCTTGCTTTCCATTTTTCGAGGTCCGCGGTTAGACGAACGGCTTTTTCGAGGGGCGAGATGCGAGATGGCGGGGTAATGCTGTAGAGTTGGCGGGATATGTCGCCGAGGACGAGGCCGAGACGGTAGTGAAGGATTGATGCAATCATCATGCTGTCGGTTGAGCCGGAGCGGCGGGACGGGTCTTCTTCGAGAAGATCTTCGTCATTCATTTCATCGGGGAGTTCTTGGTCGATGTCTTCGTCGTGAAGGAGACGGGGCCGGCCGAACATTATGCTGAGGTATTTATCTAGAGTGTAGACGCTCCAGAAAATGCGTTTCCGGAGTTCGAGTTCGAAGTATGTGCAAACTTTCTTGGATAGTTTGACAGGGCATTTGCGGTGTAGGCCAAGGGCGGTTACAATCTGTAAGGCGGTTCCAAAAGAATACCAGCACTCGTTCGCTCTTGATGATGAGAGCAGATACAAGCATTGGATGAGTCGAGCTTGAATAGTCTCTAGTCGCGGAGGTCCCGACTCTAAAGATGACATAAACTTGGAAGCTGCATACCAGCGCTCGCTATTTGTTGGTTAGCAAATTGAGTGTTGGTCCCGGTGAGAGCACAAGCACTTACCTTTCACTGTGCCCATCCACTAAATCTTCCGGGGCGAGGTCATTATGGATCGTGCCGATAGCAAAGATCATAAGAACGATAGTAGTCCGAGCAACCATATTCCCGACAGGAAGATTCGACATAGATATTTTACTTTCGTATACCTGCTTGACCCAGTTCTCCACACTCCCCCGATGTAAAAACCGATAAGTCACCATGGAGTAGTCGAAATAGATAGCCACCAACTCCATTGCCGTCTCAAACGAAGGCAACGTAAAGTCAACATCCTGCGGGTGAGAGTACGGCTTATCACCAAACATAAAAACGGCCGTATTCGCTGAAGACTCATTTCGTACTTCATTAGGTATATGCGCCGTCTCATCCTGATTCAATCGACTCCAAACCCGGTTGATGAACGAGACACCCGACGCAGGGCCGATATAATTGCCTTCAAAATCAGTAGATCCTGGCTCTGGCGAATTACGCAAGGACGAAGGGCCGCGACTGGAGAACGCAGGATTGCCTGAATTCAGGCCCGTCTCGGCCCCTGCACTGCCACGAGATCGCGAGCCGTTGGACACCCGGCCAACCCTGCGACATGCCGGCCGATCTTCCGACGGCAGAGGGTCTGGCGGGAGCCCTCGCGAGTAGGCAGCGGTGTATTCACAGGACAGAGAGAGTCGCGTACATCGGGTGCAGGGCAAAGTACCTGTGCAGCGCGTTTTTTTCTCTTTGCACGAATCACAGGCTCGCGTGATCTTCTGGCGGATGCCGTTCTTATATGGTAGTGAGCCGGATGATTTCCGTTTGCGACTGGGGAAGTCGTGGCCCGGGGAGAGCAGATCAGGACTCGGCCCCGGGGCTGTTCCTGCGCTAGGTGCCATGCGTGGGTGCTAGATGGTTCAGGGCATTTCCGGAGTGAGGGGGAGGAGAAGAATCCGGGGAGGTGGAGAGCCCCCCGCGATCGGAGTCAACCCGTGCGCTTTCTCCCTTTCTCTCCACTTTTATTCTCCGCAGATTTTTTATGTTGATATACAACTATATAAATTTTCTTGACAGTTATTTGAAACGGGGTCTGAATACGGGAACAGGCGCTGCTCCTGAATCGGGTGGTCAGCAGCGCAGAAGTGGTGTGATGAGCCATTGCTGGGTTCAGTTGCCATTACATACAGTTATCCCGGACGTGCACTAGATGAGAATCGAACAAGGTTGGGTACTTTTGACTTCATTTCAGCCTATGCGTGCCTGATTTGGCTTCACTTTGTTTTTACTTTCTTAAAGATATGATTTTCCCAGTACATCACTGACGAAAGCTGAGGCCATTTCTTGCTTCATTTTCTGTCAATTGCAATTTCATAGCTCTGAGTCAGTTTGATAATGGCTATTCAGAGTCAAAAAAACTGGACAATACCATTTGTCAGACCCGCGAGCCACAGTGCAGACGTCAACATTGGATCACCGGCGACTCAAGGTCAGTGTCACACGGACTGTCGAAGACTTGAAAGTCAAAAGCTTTTGTGGCGCAGGGTATTTCCCAGTGCAATTTCAAATATTCGTCACCCACGTCACCTTTTCGCAGACGTAACGCTCGAACCCAAGGGGGAAGCCATGAACACCATGACATCGCGTGACAAAAGCGACATCCATGAAGGTCCAATTGAGGAACCATATGCATCGTGATTAGTATGTTATCGTCGGGTATAGGAGAATAGAAAGGTGTGAGTCTACCACAGTAACTCGGACAAGGAGACAAGTAGGAAGATACAGGGCTAGGACTCGGAAGAAAAGAGAAATACAAGGCCGGAGAACCAATGATTTGTGACAAGTTTCAAAAAGGAGAGGTTCCGCACGGTGCAGTTTCGAGGAGCTCAATCGGGTTGTACCTCCTGTCATGATTATGAATAATGCATATGCTTCCCATTCCAATTGGAACAATCAAAACAGAACGATCGTATGAAGGTCAGCTAACAGGCAAGCAGCCATCCTGATTATAGAACCGATTTCGCGGTCGGGATGGCGTCATGCACGGAATCAGTTCGTGTATATGACCCCGACGGATATGACCGCCGTCTGAACGGATGATGGAAGAAAGGGACTCCAGATTCACTCCAGTGGAATGCAACGATGTCAAGGTCGAGACTAAGACCACACGGGAGTCCTATCGATCATCGAAGAAGTTGTTGTTGTTGTTCACCATATTGGGGTTGAGTTGACCGGTCTGAGTCAGGTATTGAAGGGTGATGGCGCGAATGTCTTCCTGCGAGGCACCGGATCGAATCCGGTGGATAAGATGTTGGACGGTGTTGTTGTCGCCAGCCCGTAAGAGATGTAGCAGTTGTTCTACGAATTCGCGTAGGTTGGCGAGATCTTCCTGGGTCCGCTTGGCCGCTGCTTTGCGGCGCTTGTCCGACGTTTCATCGTAGAGACACTCGCGACCATGTGTCTCACATTCAGTGCAGCTATTACTTAAGGGACTCATGCTACACTAAGTGGCAAGTGTTAGCTACGGACGGCAGAGTCATGATGGGAAAGGACAGGGAATCAGAGGTGAGTATACCCTTGTTCGACGTTTCTGGCACTCTTTACAGGCCGTCGAGGCCCTTTTCATCCTGCCGTCATCAGAGGCACCTCCGTTGCCATTCGGCGGTTGAGGGCTCCCACTTCCGCCGTGTGGAGGAACGGTCCGAGGCGCAATCGGCCTAAACTTGCCTACGTCGCCCATCGCGAAAGTAGGTGGAAGCAGTGGATGGGAAGAGAAGAATAGAATCACAAAAAGAAAAGCAAAGGAAGGATTATGGCTCTTGACTATCCGGACAAGCCACTATGAAGAAACATAGTCTATGCCACATGAATCATATTATCGAGTGGAAACGGAGCGCAGTTGATCCTTAGCCCCTCCACTGTATGGTCAAAGACAAATTCTGCACAGAAGCTGCGCACTGCTCCGGGCGCCAGAAAAGGTAGGTGGAGGAGGCGGTGGGGGGGGGTCGTCCAAGGGCCAAAAAAAAAAAACGGGGGGTGGGATTGTGTGTGGAATAGGGAGTGAATGGGAGAGGAGAGACTGGCAGATAATCAAGAGCGTGTGTGGCGGAAGTGTGGATCTTTCTCTTAAGCTGGCATTCCCCTAAAACTGTCCTGGGGGCTTGTTAAGGGCGGGAGGGGAAACCATGTATCAGTAATGGATTTTCAGAAAAGAGAAGGGAAAATTAAATCAATTAATCCATGCCATGGAAAGCTAGCCAGGAACAGCTATCTGCTCCCATGCACACACGTCGTACGTTGTACGTTGTACGTTGTACTGGGTGTGGGTATGTGTAAGTGTAAAGTGTAAGTGTATGGGCGTAATACACGTTCGGGTTTTCACAGCGCCACCACAGACCGATCATTGCCCAATAGTCCATCGTCGAGTTGGTAGCCCGGTGATAAGTGCAAGTTCGCGTGGGATTCCTATCGTGGCCTGCACCCCGATTCCGGCGCCATCTGCAGTCTACTTCCACTCCGCTCAGGTGAAGACGTTACCCGCCGTATATAGCAATTTGGGCTTGCTTCTCTGGAGCCTCTGACTTAGCTTTCGGGAGCCATTGCACGCGAGCTGACATGCAGATAGGCCCATCGAGGGAACCGCGGCAATCGAGTTCCACGAGCATCTGATTGGGAGGGATGAAAGGGCCCCGGCCATAGCCTGTTGGCTCTTATTTGCTGTTCTACAACACATGCCCATGTCTCCCCCTGGAGGCGAGACTACACATCAGGGTCAAAAGTGGATTCTGGCCGACTGGGGGATCGGAATCCATTTCCGAGGCTGGCCATAGGACGGGCATCAAGGGAGTGCGAGGACGGGCGTGTCACTTAGGCGTCACGAGCGAAAGAGTGCAGCCAAGGTGATCTGACTCGATCGGGAATCCGGACTCTCCTCGCTGATCATTGGAGCATCTATCTAATCATGACAGATCGTCTTCCAAGGTTGTGCAAGGCTTGTCCCCGGTGGTCTTAGCCCTGTTCCCCGTTCTGCCCCTCCAGCTCGGTACATGTATTTTGGTACGGTGTCTCGCCGGCCGAGTACTTGAGTCGCGCAAGCTCCTAGGCCCGCCCTCAGTTAAAGAAAAGCAAAAAAAAGCACCTGCATACCCCAGCGTCAGGCACCCGAGAAAGTCGTGACATGATAAGACTCGCCACCCTCCAACCTCCAACTCCACCACGTTGGCCATCCCCCACTGTGGCTTGCTTTACCCGAGTGTCGTAACCGGGCGGTCATCGTGGTGCTTGCAGACATCAGAGGCACGGCGCCTTGACGGCATCGCCTCTCTCTCGACGGGCCCCGCCACCATTGGCTGGAGTCATTAGCCGGAAGGTCCGGAAAAATGGTCGTCAACGATGAGCGAGATTTGCCACCGTGAGGATCGAACGAGTTAGTGTTGGTTCGGCTTGAGGAGCCCTTTTGACTGTGGCACATCACCCACTGTTCGACTGTTCCACTCGACTGAGCCCCGTGTGGCTGAACCAATTTCCCACAATGGTAGACTTACTATTCTAGGAATTGTCTCCCGTGCATAGTATCGTAGGAAAAGTCTACGTCTGCACCTGCTGCAGGACCTCTGATCTGGTGCAACAGATCAACCGATCGATAGACCATTAGATGAGGATGGGCACAGGAAGGGTCGTGCGATCGATGAGTCTCCCATGTACTCGGTCAAGCTAAACCTTCCTAGGGAGGTTCTTGAACTTTCCACTCCTCTGAGAACTTCATTGCTGGATCGAGATCGCCATGTATAGCTTGCGGATAGCATCGGCAAGATTTCTCTCCAGTCTCTCCGCCCCCTCCCCTGACCGAGGAAGTCATCGCAATCTATTACAAGTACATATTACTCACCACATGGGAGAACCACGTATGACAGACGTATAGTACCGCCCTCGACCCTGAGGAACAGATAGGAAAAAAAAGACTGGTCCCAGCAATCTGCTCCCCCCACTGCGGCGCCGCTTTCAGTTGACATTCCCGCCGATCTGAGGAAACCGTTTCCCAGCAGCATGATTTGTCTGCCCGGGCCGAACAGATCTGGCAGCCCACTTGGCAAGCCCACTTGGCAGCGTTAACCGTCCTGGGTCAGTGCAGCCCGGCCCAACAACCAGGTCCTGAAGCCACATTAGACTCCGATCCCGTTGGCGTCTGCAATTACCGAGGAAGACCATTGCCGGGGTCCGTGTCCTCGAGGTCTTTCCCTTGCGCCCATAAACTCCCAACTACCGCCCCTAGCCTTGAGGCCATTTCCCATATCGGAACTGACAGATCGGGTACCTGACACCTTCATCCTGGCTTTTGAAATACTATACTCCGAGCTCCAGGCCACCCTTGATACAGGTTTGGACAGGCAATGATGACTCGCTTACGCTACCGAGCTATACTAGCAGACCCGCGTCAAAGCCACCAACAGACTTCCCTAAACTCCCCGACTCCTCTGAGAGCCAACCCCCAAAGGAATATCGGCTGACCCTCGACACTTTTGCGATTACTACAATACAGTATGTAGAAAAGTGGGAGCGCCTACGATCTCGCTTCACGTCCAAAAACACCAAGGCGCCTCTTCAGCGCGAGGGCATGATAGGATACAGGAGTCCCGTTCCCAACACCTACAATACGAGCAGAGATACATAGCCATGGCATTCAGCCCGGCCAAGACAGACTCCCAGTGGTCAATCCGAAATATGCAGCTCCCTAAACAGACTAGGCGGACCCTGTCCATCGGAACACTAGCGACAAATGATATCCGTATGATATAATAAGCAAATGCAGCCTTTGCGCCAATCGCTCGCTAAATCACGCACCCTGATTGGATGCTCCAATCGGCCATTTAGAGGTATTCGCCTCGAGACCTCGTGCATCTGCACGACTCGACTGTGTCCATACTGCGCCGAACAAGGTAGCAATCTGCCAAGTAGGACAAATAACAGTCAGTGTAGATGCTTAGCCGAGAGGCCGCGTATACCGTCCAATCCGGCAATTGTCCGTGCCAACTATTCACCCTCCCAAAACCAATTGAACGCCTTCCGAAGGAATAGTCGGTGGTGCTACTTATATTGCATACCTCTACGCGCCCCCCACGAACCTGCGAGCCTGATATGATATCGGATCTGATGAGATGAGATGGGTTTGTACGGCATGAGCATGCTGTCTTTTGGTCTTTCAGGAGACGGCATATAGGGATGGTAGACGAGTTTGTCGCTTATGGGTAAGATCGTCGAGATCGTCGGTGAGATGACACGAATAGGCACGATAGATACATTTTGGCTTGTGTGGCTGTGGCTTGTGCATTCACGTTACTCGGTCTACTCAAGTCAATTAGTCAACCAGTCCGTGAGTCTGGTAATACGGAAGGTGGTAGCTAGCAAAGTAGATAGTATGTGGGTATTGAACATTTCATATAGAGCTAGTAACAACAGGAGAAAGAGGAATATGTACTGGAGAAATAAAAAAAAAGAAAATAAGCGTACAAAATGTGCAATGCCGTGTCTCGTGCACTCAGAGCGGGATATAATATCCAATGCATCTCAAGAGATGCAAGGATGCCCAAGGGGCCACCCGCTTGAAGGAAAAATAAAGCGGGTCTGTGCTCAGTAGATCGGACGGCCCTCGTCCCAGCGGCGGGCCTGTCGAGGACTTGTAGCTAGCTCGTCTTTGGTGTCGTCCATGTGATGCTGGTCCACGTCGGCGTTACCCGAAGGAGAAGGCAGTGAGAACCGAGCACTCCCGCGACTAGCACTTCCCTCAAGTTCCGCGCCATTACCGCCAGCGCCTCCGATGCCACCAATCCATTCCCAGCATCGCGCGACATCACCGCTGCGGCCTTCACGAACGGCTGCTCGCACATTGGCGTTACCTTCGACGACACGACGAACTCGAGTCCATAGCTCCTCCCGCCGTTTGTCCCGCAATTCAGAACGCAGGACATCATCACGTAGCTGGCTGATGGGAATATAGGGCTCTATGGCGCCACCGCGGGCGTGCAATGCAGCTTGAGTAGATAGACGGTCGAGAGTAGTTGCGACTAGCTCGGGCACTCGAGCCATGTCAGAGCGGCGGGCCCGAACACGCGAGCGGGCGTAAGCCAGAGCCGCAATGATCGTAGCTAGAAATGAAAGAGGGAGTCGATACGCGAGGAGAGCGAGTCGGACGTAGCGGCGGGCGGCACATGTGAGTGGGAGTCGGGCTGTTGATGTTGACGATAGGACGAGGACGGAAGGTCTGTGATTGCGAGGGCGCCACTGTTAGTTCCAATACACAATGTCAGAACCAAGACCTTTTTGTTTTGAAAGAAATCCGGCCACGGGATAGGGATCCGGAACAACATGCGGAACTAAGGAGACATCAAGATATCTATAGAGGGATAACTTACTGCTTGGTGTTGCTGACGACTTCCTCCTTGTCAACGATCTCGCCAATGGCTCCCTTCCACAGATCATCAAATTCACTGTCGCTGAGCCCTCGGCGGCGCTTCTTGGCGACTTCCTCCTTCAGTTCGGGTTCGCTGATTTCAGGCGATGGTACCTTTCCGTCCTCAGTGAGCTGACCACATTCATACATGGCTCTCCGCTCCCGAAGTTCCTCTACGGCCTTATCCGCAACCGCCTTGACACGGCGTGCCTTCTCACTGTCGGGCTCACATGTTGGCGGCAGAGGTACGAGGCCACCCAGGGCGAGAGGGTGAGGCTTGAGGATGAAATCGTGCTCACAACGAGCCTCGAAGTCGGGGTAGCAGAATGCGTGAGGCGGGCAAGGCTCGCATCGTGGCTCGAGAACATTGGCCCATTCAGGGACATTTGTCTCAGCGAGCGACCAGGTAGGTTTTCCAAGACCACAATAGCCGATTTCAATCTTCTCCTTACGCCACCAAGCACCGAAGCCACCAAGAACTCCGAGGATCACGAACCAGGACGCGATGATACTGGTCTTCCCTTGCTTGCGCGAGCGTTTTCGAACTTGGGTGAGCGGTGCATATTGCTCTGTCTCCAGGGCAAGCTGCTCTTCCGGCGTAAACTCCTCGCCGGCACCTATTTCACTTTCCTCGTCTTCATCGGACTCTTCATCGGACTCTTCGGACTCTTCCTTAGGAGGTTTTAGGCGTGAAGCAAAGTCGAAAATTTCACGCGTAGGAGCCCTGATCCCATCTTCTTGCTTAACGCTACCGGGAGTGGCCGATTTCCGCGACCGCAGTCCACTCTTACGGGCCGGGCTCTCAGTAGACAAGCGTCCACCACTTTTGCGCTTAGGCTCATAGCTGAGACCTTCGGCTCGCACTGTAATCCGGGCTTCCACTCTGGAAGGGATTGTCATCCGTTAAGAGCACATCGTCTCTGGGCTCGGCCTTGACAGGAGTATAGTCATCGGTCTCCATGGAAGGCAGAACCTCACTGCGCCGCATCTTACGCGCTGTAGATTTTCGCGGTGAGGTACCGACAGCAACGACTGGTGTTGCAAGGTTGTCATCGCCGGTTTCCGTATCCGAGGCACGAGGGTGCTTGCCCACAGACCGCGCTGTGCTTTTTCGCTTGGATGAAGCCGGTGTCGCTGGCGCGAGGTACTCCTCAGTATCGATTGTTGAAGCGCGGACGCTCCGTCGGGATGTACCGCGTCTTGTGCTTGTAGTTGAAGCAACGGTGGACGGCGTGGCAGGTGGTGGCATGGATTCTCGCTCATCCCTAGAGCTGACGACTGATGAAGCTCGACTGCCCATATCGGTGATTCCGGTGCTGGTCCTCCTCACCCTTTCGCGATCGCGCAATAGCTTCTTAGCCTGCGGCAGGACCTCGTCCTCCAGTATAGCGATCAGCTGTGCTTTCTTCGCGGAGGCAGGATAGGGAACATCGTGGTTGACAAGAATATTGCGCAGACGAGGCATAGTGAGGGAGCTCAGGTCGAATCCTGGCTGCAGGTATTCTAGTTCGTCCATGATGTATGATGTGGGGAGCGCGCGGACTCGACTGGTTGACTGAGGATGGTGAGGTTGCCAACGGTCAGCAGACCAAGATTGATGTGGCTCAGTAACGGGATGCAGGGATGGTGGCACGGTGCAGTACACGTCCAGTGAAGTTAGTGTTGCAAGAGGAGACAGCCACCGATCGCTCCTACTTCTAGCAGTGGGTGAAAAGTGCAGGGTTTGGAAAATCGAAGTGGATGTTTGTCCACTTGGCAATTTGACTAGAGACGGTTGGTCAGACTCGTAGTCGGGGCAACAGGAGGGGCGGGTGCAATGAAGCTTGAGCACAACCACCTGGGCACTTTGGTCAAACCTCAGATGGCAGTTGATCCTAGCCCTGGAGAGATCAGAAGTGTGCTTCTCACGCTGCGGAGACGAAGAAGGGAAAATGAAAGCTGATGACTGTTGCACGATGACGTACAAACAAACAAAGGCTCCACGTGATCTTGCCACTGAAAGACAAGAAACTTCCGTGGTGCCTCAATAGTACAAAGCCTCCATCGACGCAGGAGAAAGGTCTCCTACAATGTACTCCCACGTCTCATTAAAATACACCTAAGTCCGCACATAGCGTGTTTCAGTACCAGGTCGTATTGGCATTTTTTGGTTGACATGTGCTGAAAGCCATCTCAGCTTGGCAATGGCGATGGCGAATGACAAAAGGTATCACCAAAATGGACCCTCAAAACCGTCCCATGAAAGCCCTGGATGTATCGAGTTGTATCCCTTCGGTCGGAAATGAGTCATAGTTTAGTTTCTAAGGGTCATCATATTTCAACCCTTGCACAGCTGGACCAAGGAAATAAATGGGCCTAGACGTTCTCTTCTCTGGGCACACCAAATGGTCTCGATACACATTCCCTGTAGGATAATACTCGAAGTATCTCTTCAAATACATCTCGGGACACATCTTTGAGCACCTTGGGCATATAACACATGCCCTGGTGTATCCTCGCCTACTATAGATATCGCACAGTGGATGTCTCGGACACCTCTCTGCTGGTATATAAATAGAGAACAGGTTTCGACTGATAAAACGATTCATCATTTCTAAGTTAACACAACAATCATCGAAAGAGATCAGTGTACAAGTAATGACCATATGTTCACGTTGATACACACCATAAATAACATTTGCAAACAAAGTTGTAAAGAAGAAAGAAGAAAGAAGGAAGAAAGAAGGAAGAAAAAAGAAGAAAAAAGAAAAAAGAAAAATCAAATAGAAACAGAAATATCCCCCGTGGCTCCACGCCCCAGATGTATCGTTAATCGATCTGAAAGATTGCCCCCCCCCAACCGGTGAGACGCCGCCCACGAACAACAGAACCGAGATAGGGAAGTGAAGATAGTGCAAAGAAGCCGAATGAAGGCCCAAAGAGCCAAAAGCCATTATGAGAGTGGAGGAAATACGGATAGACCTGAATTAACGGGCGTTGTGCGGGAACTCCAAGTTGCGTGGGTTGTCCGCAGAAAGGTTGAGGAAGGATGAGGAGGCGGAGATGTCGTTGCTATGTCCACTGGCGGTGATGTGGATTGGGGAACCATATCCGGCTGGGGGTACGACGGCAAGACTTGTATCTGCGATGGCCATTTGTTCTTTTAAGGCGTTGTATTCGGCCAGTTGTGTCGCGAGTTGTTGCATCACTTCACTGATTGGGACGGCGTGGTCTTCGAGGCGGTCACCGGGCTTGAAGGGCCGCATCATGTGCCGCACGGAGAGTGTGTTGATGGTCAGTTCAATGCGGGTCACTTGTTGGTCGACTAGGCTGATTACGGTTGAATCGTTGAGCTCGCCGCCGTGATTCTTAACCATGTTGAACAGGGCGATGTTTGGTTCACGAAGTGTGGGGTTGATGGGAGTCTCAAGAGCGCTGCAGAGACGTTCTAGACGAAGGGTAACTTCCCATAGACGCCAGATCAGTTCGGGTTTGAGGTCGAGTTCTGACCCGGGCTTTAGCGTAGCTGGGCCGCTGGGCTCATTGCTCGCTTCCTCCATGGTTGTCAGGCGACCAGCAAGCGAGTGAGGGTAGACGAGGTATAGAGGCTCTGGGTTTTCAAGGCCCTTCAATTTTCGTTCACCCTGGTCCTTGATCACGAAGCCCTGGCTATTGAGTTGGTTCAGCTCCCGGCGAATGTTTTGTCCAAGGCTATCAACACGCGGGTGGCTCTCGGTTGAGCTTGTAGAAGCAGAGCGCTCGGCATCAGCAAAGATCTCAAGATTGCGCTGAATATCCGTCATGAAGTCAGACGAGACGAAGATCTGCCCACCATCGGCAACAGCGGAAATACGAGATGCTCGGTTCACCATAGGTCCGAAGTAGTCCATGCGATTGGTGACGGGGTCTTTCTCGCAGACAGGCTCTCCCCAATGGCCACCCATACGAACAGACAGACCGCGGAAGATAACATTTTCCTCCATGTCAACGACAACCTGACACTGCGGCTGCTCGAGAATCTCCGTAGGCCATTCAGCTTCCAACAGCTGATTTTGACAGTTGAAGCACCATAGCAATGCAGCAGTTGTGGTTGCAAAAGCGACCATGAATGCATCTCCCTCGGTCTTAACTTCGTAACCACCAATAATGCCAAGTTGTCGTCGCAGGATGTCGTTGTGAATTTGAATGGCCGAGCGCATAGCTTCTGGACAAGTCTCCCACAGACCTGTTGACTTCTTAATATCGGTAAAGATGATGACCAGTTCACCGATGGGGGCATCAACATAATCGAAGCGAGCCAAACGAGAATCTCCAGGAACATCACGAGGCCGCTTGCGAATTTTTGTTGTGGGAATGATCTGCTCATCAGGGAAAGCGGAGGGACCCAAAGACAGGCTAGGACGAGCCCACTTCTTCTGTCGCTTTTGAAGCTCGCTCACGCCGAGGATCATCACCATCAACTTGTTGTTCGCGCCAAAGGCAATGGCCAGATCTCGAAGCTTTTGAGCAGCAAACATCAAGTCTGGATAAACCGCTCTGGTGATATCGACCACTAATTCTGGTGCAACATAGTCCCAAAGTTCCTTTGAGGCCAGAATGATCATTTCGTCCTGCTCCGTCAAACTAGCATGCATGGTATGCGGAGCCGCGATGACAGCAGGCATCATTGGAAAGTGGCCAAAGCATCTCGAAACAGGTAGGACATCATTCAGCTTTCCATTGCGAGACACGAAGCCTCCAGCAGCACGAACGCGCGCTCGCTCTCGTGGCTCAGCAGGATCGTGGTTTTGCGTCAGATTGCGGAAGGAACCATCTGACTTCACAAGTATGGCTTGAGCATCACCGACATTAGCAGCATACAAATCCATATTGTGCAGATACAATACGGTCGCAACACCGCCAGATTGAATATCATCTTGATTGAGCTGCTTTGAACCAATGTTTCGCCTGTTATACTGGCGAAGCTCACGATCATCAATCGATCTGTATGCTGAGCCAGCCATGTTCTTGTTCAAAGCCAAGAATGTACGACGCAAAGCATCAGCTGGAGTCTCATCCTGATCCCGATGAAGCTTCTTCAGCTCATGAGAAAATGTCGGAGTAAAGTGCTCATGCAAGTACTTCGCAACCCGGGAGCCACCGCTCGACATTGTTGAACCGTCAAACATCCCCATCAGTGTCTCGACGTTATCTGGCTTCAAGCGTGGCACAATCATATCGATGATGGATAAGTGCTCGGTCCGGCCGAGTGTATCTGCCATACCATAGGCAAGTGAACCTGCCAAAGACGCAGAAGTCCGCACACGGCGATCCTCATTTTCTTCTGGAATTGTAGGAATCGTAAGAGTGACATCCATTAGACCGAGAACACGAAGGTGAGTCAAAGACGTAAAGTCAGTCAAGTCAGCTCCGTTTGTGACCGGTTGGCCCAGAGATGCAATGTTGGGCTTGATCTCGAGACGCTTGTTGCCCGAGAAGTTCAGGTACTTCAAGCTCCGATTCCAATTCCAGTTCCAGTCATAGGGCCAATTCGAGACGTTATATTTTAAGGCATTGCTTCCAACATCAAGAATGGCGAGCTTGCTGACTTTGCATAGCTCGGCAGGCAAGACTTGAAAGCGGTTAGCATTGATGTGAAGAACCTTCAGTTGGCTTCCCTCCTCGAGATCATCTGATGGAAGTGAGGTCAACTCATTGCCAGAAAGATAGAGTTCGGAGAGATTGGGCCATCGCTTGAGAACACCCTGGGGCAGCTCTGTAAGCTCATTGTAGGAAAGATTGACGACACGCAATTCAGGGAGACGCGCCAATTCGCGGAAAATGTCGTCGTCCAGGCGGTTATCGGCAAGGTGAAGGTTGCGCAAAGATCCGGCAAAGCTCATTGCTACACCATGCTGTGAGAAGTTTGAATCCTTTCGGGAAGATGAGCTTGGTTCTATGTTTCCTGTTCGTGATGTTGATGATACCTTTCGTCCTGCTGTCGACTGTCCAATAGATGGTGTCGTCGAAGGATTTCGATACGATCCACCTGGCGATGCCCCAGATGGTAAAGCCCCGCTGGATGTTTGACTATGTCGGCGATATTTCATTTCATCGAGTGGTCCCAATTCCTCATAGTTAGGGGTTCCAGAAACTCCGGGAGTTGTGGCAGGAGTCGTGGTCGGCTCTCCAGGTATCAAAGGCTGTGGGGCTCCATGCTTGGGGAAAGATGATAGCAGGTTCGTGGAGACATTGAGAGTTTCCAGCTTCACACAGTGCCAGATTTCCTCCGGCAAGACCTTGAGGTTGCACTCTCTCAGGTTGAAGTCCCTGAGCTCAGAAAGACAGCCGATAGTGGCAGGCAACGAGGAGAGGGGGGTTCTTGATGATACTGAAATGCTCCAGTCGACGCAGCTTGCCAATTTGTATCGAAACTGAGGACAAATGATTCTTGTCTAGGATGAGCTTTGTAAGATTCGTGATGTTCTCAAACATACCATCCCGAAATTGGGATAGTTTGCCAGATGCAAGATTGAGAGAAGTCAGCGTTGGCATAGGACTGTCAATATCAAACTGTGTCAATGGATTGTGATCCATGTGCAAACTGCGTAACCGGGGGAATGCTCCTCTGAACCGAGATATCAAGTTGTGACCGACGGTAACCTGCTCTAGTCGCGGTAAACGAGACAGATTGTCAATGCTAGTGATGGCGTTGAATCGCCCGTCGATCTCTTTCAGATTAACCAGGTCTCTGAAAGACTCATCAAGAGATCCGCTAATGTTGTTATTCGTCATCCAAAGACGCTCCAAAGTGGTCAATTTGCCGATATTAGGAAGTGACTCGATGCCATTAAAACTGATGTCAAGATCGACTAAGCTCTTCAGGTTGCAAATGAATTCCGGAAAGACCTTGAAGCTGTTCGAGGACATGCTCAGACTTCTCAAGGAACTAAAATTTCCAAAGTAGCTAGGCAGGCTCGTCAACTGATTGTTTGAGAGTTTGATACTGACCAAACCTTGGAGCTGGTCAAGCTGTGCCTCATCCAAATTCTCCAGGAAATTGTTTGACACATCCAGGTAGGTTAAGCGACTGGCCAAACTGAAACTTGTGGGAAGATACGAAGCCTCGTTTCCAACGAACTTGATCTCCCTTAAGTTTATGCAGCTCTGGATGAAATCCTTTGGCACATCCAGGGAGAGATTCCTGGACAAGTTCAAGGAAATGATCTCCGATGATTTCTTGTATAGTGTAATAGGGATTGTGACAAGGCTCTTGCCTTGGAGATCCACGTGGTTGAACTTTTGCATCTTGTTGAAGCCAGGGTCAGCTTCCAGGCTGGTGTATCCGCTGAGCTTCGTCGGTAAGAATATAAAGCGACAGAGATAGCTATGGTCCTCACGACCAATATCTTCTATCCGGTCTCTTTCAGTATAGCCGACTTGTTCCAGAAGTTGCTTCTGCATGAAGATTGGCCTTTCTTTATGATCAAGCTGCCGAGATAAGTCATTCTTTCTGAACACTATCTCATAGTTGTTGAGATGATCCTGCAAGAACGACTTTTTCCCAAGCATATAGAGGATTTCTGCAACAGTTGCGTTCAGGCCAGCTGAAAGAGTAGCAAAGGTGGAATCGATGCGGAAAACTCGGATGAAGTAAGATGAACCATTTCGATCACGAAGACTGGCAGTCGGCTTACGACCGCCTTCGTCGGCATCTAAAAGGTCGTTTTGCTTCTTGACATGCCAACTATCAGGCGCATGCCAACTGTCGGCACCCAAACTCGCCTGGGTATCAGGCCGGGTCAGAGGTTCATGAGGTGTAGCAGCTCCTTCCGTTCCCTGGAGCATGCGGCTTGGTGAAGTGGAACGCACAATATCATCCACATTCTTTAGATCAGTGTCGAGTTTGAAGACATGCTTATCTTCTTCTCCATGGTGTGCTCCGTCTCGCGGGCCAAGATCACCGGTCAGATTGCTGGCAAAGCGGCGATTGCCGAACTTGGGCCCCCGGATACCACCAAGGCCCTTCCCAGATTCCTTTTTAATGCTACCGGAGTCGGATGATTCCAAATTGCGGCCACTGCCAGAGGGCCCTTCGATGCTACCCTGCCTGTGTCGGCCGGGGACTGGTCACGCTTGGATTTTTCATGCGGCTTGTGTGACCCTGGCAGCAAGTGTCGTCCGATTCTGCCAAGTATGCCACTTTTGTTGGGTGGGCCCCCAGGCGAGTTTTGGCCTTGCTCACGGTAGACCGCGCTTTGCACGCTTGGTGTTGGGCTAGTCGAACGTCCACCGAGATTGGTAGAAGAACTCATAGCAGTATATGAGGTGAGGTGACTGTCATTCCAGGGTCTAAGGCCGACATTGAAGTCGTCGAACCCACCTGAACGGGCGTTGTATCCAGCAAGATCCCCTGCGAGCGTAGGTTTCTCTTCTTTGCTTCGAGAATGGCGGTGTCCATTGTGCGCTCTTCGACTTGTGTCTCTGTTGGCAGTACTAGGAGCGCGGGACGGAAGACGCTGACCGTCAGGTCCAATAGGCACCTGTCTTACCGGAGCTTCCCCGTACTGGGGAATGTCATGATAGCTTTGATACACCCATGGAGTTATGTCACTCGAAGGCAGAGAACCCTCAGCTCGTGGCCGTGAGGGCCGCTGCGACCCAGTTGCTTCTGCACCATCTGAGTTAGCTCTTTCTCGGGCCTTTAACTGATCAATTGGTCCCCCCACGTCTGCTCGGTGGATTTGATGGGCCATCTTCGGGCTCATCAAACCCCGAGTTGTCTTCTCCGACTGATGTCTTGGTCTTCTTTCTCAAGCGCTTCTGGCTTGACCTCGAACCTTGGCTGCTCGTCATGCTCACAGCGGATGGCCTTCGTCGGTCTCCATTCCAATCTAAATCGGCCGGTTCACTCGACGCGGTGCGCCCGGTCGTTGGACGACGGAATGTTGCGGATGCAGGGGACTGCTCGAACTCGGAATCATTGTTGAAGAACGTTTGGCCAGCTGAAGTGCCAGGCGTCGTAGCCCACGGAGCAATCGAGTCCATTTCATCGTGATGGGGAGGAAGATTGATAGGCGGGGGTCGCGGACTGTTGGACATTGATCGAGCGGCTTCGTCGCCGGCTCCGAGAACAGCCAGCGCCTTACGGTGACCGCTGTACCCGGAGCCTTTGCGGTCTTCTGTTGGGGAGACTTCTGGGGACCATCTGAACTGTCCAAAATTGATCGGACCTTGGGACGCGTTGGATCTGGATGAAGTTTAACATGTTAGCTGTAATCCCCACCACAGCGCGGCGCGTGTGCCGCGGTATTGATGAGTCGCAGAATAGAGCTCTCACCTGTCCATCAGGTTGCCTGGGAAGATGTCGTCATTGCGACCGTTGAAGGAAGCATTTGGAGCCCGACGTGAGTTCTCGTTGTTCCGTACTGTCTCCTGCGAGAATCCGGAGCTCGCTGAGCCTTGACGCCGGTCGGGTTGCTCGTGATCCTGCGCAGGCATGACTGGTCCTGAGACTCGGGTGAGTCCCGCCACAAAGGGCTTGATCAGATAAGTGCCAGCTGTGCTTCCCGATGATACAAATGTTCCGTGCAGGCCACCATCAATAACTGCGGATAGGTATCGGATACGTCGGAGGATCACGAAGCTAGAGGAAGGTTGATCTGGATCTCACCAATGCTTGCGCCGACGTGTGGAACCCGATGCGGAAGCGCGGCGGGGATTTGTATGGCTGGAAGTGGCGTGGACTTGGGCTGTCCGGTGCGATCGGGGATATTGAAGATGAGTGAGGCTGCGAGGCGGGTCTCATCGATGGGCGGGGGTAATCGGGTGTGGAGTCCCTGAAGCAGGGCGTGACAAACTATGAAGCGCGGATAGGCACAAAGGTCTGGGTACGACAGAGCGTGTCGCTAGAGTGTATTCTCGTAACAAAGTGTGGCGCGGTCAAAGGCCGATGGGGAACATGGCGCAGCGATGCGGATGGGCGTCATACGAAAGCACAAGGCAGGTCCCATGTGCAAATACGGCACAAGGCGGGGATGGTGATGCAGGACTGAGCCGATACCCGTGCCGATTGAAGAGAAGGTCGAGGTTCAAACGAGTCGGGTGGATGTAAAGCGAGGAAGAGTAAGCTGAGGCGGAGGAGGGGGAGGGAGGTGAGGCTCTCCAGGTCCAGTGGGTATTTGATTGGTGCTGGACTGGTCTCACAGTGAGACCGGCGATTTCATAAGAGGTAGCTGCAGAAGATCGATTGTAATGTTCATTATTCGCCAGGCCCTGGCTGATTTGTGTCTGGGGCAAAATGGTCCGTGAGTCCTGTGAGGCTGTCCGTGCTTCCTGCTGTGGAGCTGCACTTGTCACCCAGCGCTCCCGCTCCCGCATAACGACGCGGATGATTGGAATCTGACTGGTCTGACCGTCCTGCAAGCCCTGTACTGTACGATGAGCCATGGGAAAAATGAATCATCACAAATACAAAAAGGCGCGTAGAAAATTGTACAGGAAGCTCTTTACAAGCACTACGAGCATCAAGTGAGCATGCCTAGTCGTGTGGTTTTCTTAGACGAGCTATTCACAAATATCTTTGACTGCTTTCAAGCGTCCCTTTCTCCTGACATGACCCATTTACCCGAATCGAGCGGCACTTGTCACCCTATTACCACCCTTCCTAGGATTTCACTGACCAAACGATTCTGGCTCATCTCACGCTCCTCCTCTTCCTCTCTTCCTTTCAACAACCGATCATGCTAGTTCATGACATTTATCTTACTTTCCAAGGATCAACCTCAGCAACTCAATCGTGGATTGGCTCCTAGAAACTTAGACAGTAAATGTTGCCTTGATCCCTTTATCTCGTCCTTGAAATCCTTGACTAGTGTCAGCCTATGCGCAGCAAAGTTCAACCTGGAGGCCCATTGGACCCAAAGAAAACCCCACGGCTATGATAGACTCGAAGGCTACGCAGATTCAAGCTTTTTGACGAGAAGCAGTTGGGGTCCAAAGAATTACTTGTTTCGATTTTGTTCTTGATGTCTCGATGTGCACAACGTCCTGCTCGAGTTCATGTTTGCGGATATCGGTTAAACGGAAAGAGAAATTCATTTTGCGGCGAGAAGTAAAAAGCGTAGGAGCTCAAGACTCGGTTACTCGTCGACGAACGATTGACGTAGCTATTGCGGTTTTTCGGCCGTAACACCCCCGCTGCAAACCTTATCGGACCCAGGCGACGGGAGCACAACGTGAGCCTGAATTGGGAAACGCTGAATCGTCTATACAGCGGTCAGCGACCAGTCATTTTTGCAGATCATTGCCATGGCTTCTCAACAACGACATGGGCGTATATCAAGTGTCTGATCTCCGGGATAGATCGCCCGGACGCTTGCATGTAAACTTGCACAATCGGTGCCATCTAGCTAGATCCGGCGCGGTAGATCCTAATTATGATGACTTCAGGGGCAGACATAGCTCATGATTACCTTCGAGGATGGCACGACAGTCGCTTTATCATAAGCTTGCTATCCTGGTAGCGTCTCGTGAGCCGGTGTCTTTTTCTCTTCGTAATGCCCTGGAGGAGAGTCGCATCTCTGGAGATGATGGGTTCTTTCCCAGTGTATAAGAGACATGAACGGAGAAACTCAGGAAAGCCACTCGAGACGGTGAGACTCGCTCGGCAGCTGTTTCTCGTGGGAGCTGCTCGCAGGTGACGAGGAAACCAGTGTGGTAATTAATTCAGACGATCCACTCATGGCCACTATTGCATGTTTTGTATACAGAATGGTCAAATCCGGATTGAAATGAGACAACATTAAGTCGATTTACTTTGTCCTGCCAAACTCGTGCCACTGGGGATCAAGGGCATTGATCTGGGCATGGTGACAGGATGTAAAGTGTAGATCGCAATGCTGCGAGTAGACCGGAGGACTAGTCCGCCTCAAAAGAAAGTTATGAGGATTGCTCAGCATATCTCCGTACTGATTCATGTTGACATACTGAGTTGGAGTGAGCGTGTTGAGAGCATTGCCACTGTCCTGCACATGGCTCCATGGCTATCCTCAGATGACTCTGGTCGACTACTTGGCAATAGAAAATACATAAGCTCGCTTTCACGCCGAAGAGAGGACAGTCATTCAAGGCAAAATCAAGGATGTTTGTGCGAAGGTTTAGAAAGGATATATTTGGTAAAAATGTTCTTTGGCTGGGGAATAATCTACAATCTACTGCAAGTTAGGGGTGGGGAGGTAGCACCAAGATAGCAAGGAAGCTTCTTTCCCCTAGATCGTGAGCTATTGACGTGCTCCAGCAGTTGCCAGGTTGTCCAGTCGGTGCAGCGTGAGATCCATCATCTGTTGTGTTGATGGATGCACAGCACCACCGTGGTACGGAGGCTATGCTATTAATGGCGGGGGAGTCCCCGCCCATGTGGCACCGAGGATCGCCGGTACAGCTGGCGATCGGTATTTTCAAGTGGATAAGACATCGAGACCACGGTGCAAGCATCTGAAGGATCTTGAAATGTCAGGACCCATTGCGGTCATTGTGCTTTGCGAGGTCCATCACAATGGTGCATCGTTCTTCACACTGTCCGATCGAGGGGGTGGCAAAGCCAACCCCCATGCAGATTGATCTGGACACCGATGCGATCTACAAGGGTACACAACGACCAGCGACAACTTTCCATCCGCACGACAGCCTGAAACGCGGATGTTGATGCAGAAAATGGGGAGGCTGGGATGGAGGATCCACTTGCCGACCCCATCTCCCCAAATTCACATCTTCAAAGATTTTCAGTCACTGAACACGGATAATACGGAGATGGCAAGGAGAGTGAGACATATGAGGGAATTCAACATTGATAGCCCGGTAGGGGACACAATAGACACAATAGGCACTAGCGAACCACAAGGGAACACAAAGGAACAAAGGAATCCGCGAGTACTTCAGACTCATGGATATGATTGGGCCATTAGGCAGGACCCACGGATGCCCAATGAGGAAGCGATGGATCTAAAAAAGACGGAGGCTGGCTCTTTCCTCTTTCTCAATGACGAGATCGATCCTGCCATTTGGGCAGTTGGGCCAGTGTTGATCTCGACTTAAGCGTCTGACTTTTCCTTCCTCTTTCACCCTACCCTCTTCATACCCTACGCCCCCCAGATCTTACAGTATCGTTTGTTTCTATATCATCATACCGCTGTGAACTACATCATGAAGCTCGCTCTGACTGCAGCCGTGGGCCTGCTCTCCTCCTCCGTCTTGGTCACAGCCCAGACGTACACTAATTGCAATCCGACCGAGAAAAGTATGTGGTCCAGATCTTGGTGCAACCTGACAGTTCGCTAACCATCCATACAAATAGCCTGCCCCGCGGATACTGCCTTGGGCCAAGCGGATGTCACTTACGACTTCACCTCTGGTGCCTCGGAACAGTTCTCTGCCTCCGGGACCGTGACTTACGATGACACCAACGGCGCCACATTCACCGTGGCAAAGAAGGGTGACGGGCCCCTGATCCAGTCCGGCTGGTACATCATGTTCGGCAGGGTCGAGTTCACCATCAAGGCTGCTCCAGGAACAGGCATTGTGAGCAGCGCCGTACTGCAGTCCGACGATCTTGACGAGATCGACTGGGAGTGGCTCGGAGGCAAGAGCTCCCAGGTCCAGACCAATTACTTCGGCAAAGGAGACACGAGCACCTACAACCGCGGCGCCTTCCACTCCAATCCTAACAACCAGGCTGAATGGCACACCTACTCCGTCGACTGGACCAGTGAAGAAATTGTCTGGGCCATTGATGGTGTCACCGTTCGCGCCCTCACGCCCGCGACAGCAGACACCAACCAGTACCCCCAGACTCCGATGATGATCAAGGTCGGCGTTTGGGCCGGCGGTGATTCCGACAATGCCCAAGGAACCATTGGTGAGCTCAGGATTTCAATGCAAGCGAGGGCACAGCGATACTAACGAGCTCTCTAGATTGGGCTGGTGGTGTGACCGATTACAGCCAAGGTCCTTTCAGCATGTACATGAAGAAGCTGGTGGTGACCGACTACTCGACCGGCAAGTCATACAGTTACGGCGACAAATCTGGCACCTGGCAGTCTATTATCTCTAACGGAGGCAAAATCAACGGCAACAGTGCCGATGAGCCTACTGAGACCCAGTCCGCTCCCACAATCACGTCGACCGCCTCTGGAATTCCGATTCCCTGGAGTGGAACACACAAGGAGACCTCGACTTGGACCACCCCCGACGTCTGGCCCTGGGTTGCCACTGGTTCATCCTCGGCTTCCACCTCTCTGCCCAATGGTTGGGAATCTGCCTCTGGCCGCATCTCACCACCTGGCGGGAGCTCAATGAGTGAGCAATACCCTGTACCCTTCGTAAAGAAGACCCTGGAATCAGCCACTAAGACGAAGTCACTTCCACAGTCTACCTTCCAATCTACCTCAGTGTTCTGGGCTTCACCCTCGGCTGCCTTTTCCCCTTCTGGTGTTGAGACCTCTTGGGGCAATGGGACCCGTCTTGCCCCCAGTATGACCTCGAAGAAAACGAAGACGAAAACCAACCCAAACAAGACGAAAACCAAGACAACCACGACACAAACCGAGATTAACAAGGCGAAAACCAAGACCGAGCCCACCAAGACCAATGAGCCAGCCACTACTTCGATATCGGCCACTGCTTCTGCGGTGAACGCGGGAATCAGCACGCGCACTCCAGCCATGCTCAGCATTTTCTGCGCTCTGATTGGTAGCACTTTTGCTGTCCTTTAAACCCGGGTCATGACGACCAACGACCTGTATTATTACTCATGATGGGATGATTTTTTGAACAAGGCGAAAACGACACTTTCACTTCACGACCTGTAACATGAGACGCGAAACGTTTAGGCGGTACCTGATTGCACAGGTCCACAGCATATTGGCGCTTACGTATTTTGCTTTTTTTCAGTATTTCATTCTTGTCACGCATAGATACCCAAACTCGATGGATATCGCGTTCGGTGGAGCAATATAGCCCACCACCCACTTTCATGTATTAATCATTGACAGTGTTTATAGATATTCATACATCATACACGCAGAAATGCAATTCTCAAGCTACCAATCGACTTACCCAAACTGTAAATAGCTACGTTGAATCACTCACAACTGCTCGCTACTAGCGGCATATCACGCAAAAACCCCTGGATGACCCTCCCCCGATCCCCCTCCAACGCATTGGAATCGCCCTTCGCTAGTTCAAAGCAATGATACCCAATAGCTACACTTCAACAGCAAACAAGCCCCACGTCATGCGCCATAGTCCGTCCAATCCTGGTAATTGGAGACACCTGATACGTAACTAAATCACCTTGCAGCTTGAGTCGCGAGTGAGCACCAGCAAAGCACGCAAGTGGGGCTTGTAAAAAATGTAGACAAAATACAAATACACATATCCAACGTTTATAGATGGACCAAGCCGCACTAGGACCGCGTCAACTGTCACTTGCGTTAACCCATGCAGACAATGTTGACGAGAAGCTGACCCGGGTCTGAATCTTACGCCAGGAGAAAGTTCATCACATGAAAATGATTTTTTTGACCCAGTAGACTGATTTTCTGATATTTGATGACAGAAACAGAGCTTTACGGGAACTGTTACCATCAAGTTATTGTCCTCGAAGCCTTTGAGCGACCATGGTCCAGTACATAAACCGTCCTCTACATGTTTCCAGGATCTGGAAGGAAATATACCCCGGTAAACTCTTGTCCCACCTGAGCATCGAATACCACCAGCTTGCGCTTATTTTCCACATTTTCCTCAAACGGGATTCTGTAGTGCCAGCTTCTTCCGGTGGAAGGGTCCAAGGAGACGCTTGATTCCCATCCAGGGTGTATTGATTGGACTGTCGAGACCTGTGTATAGAAATAGGTCGTAGATCCAGCCACCGGAGGTGCAGCCTAGAAATGGGGCTACCATTGGGACCTATCGTCGCATAAATTCAGCACAGAACAGGCAATGACAGACGGTGTTTTAAAAAAAAGGGGGGGGAGTAGTGTATACCCAGAAGTAGTAATTCCCCGCAGCCCAGACTTCATGTCCGTAGCCCAGCATGTAGGATACAAGCCTTGGACCGAAGTCTCGGGCCAGATTGATAGCGTACCCAGTCTCCCAGCCGAAGCAAGCACCGATTCCGAAGATGACGAAGAATAACGCCAGAGGCGTGAGAGGGCCGGCGCCTAGATTGCCATCATCTTTCAGGGCGAAGATCATGAACATCAAGATTGCACTGGCCAGAAATTCAGAGAAGAATTGTCCTGTCTTGCTCATAAAGTCTGCTGGATATGTGCAGAATATGCCCGCTGTGGCGGTGGTTGAGTAACCTGGCACAGTGCGGATGTGGGCTCCTCCTCAAAGACGTCGATGGCAGTTTTGTAGTTGCCATAGACAATTGCTGCGCCGCACATGGCGCCAAGGAGTTGGGATAGTGCGTAAATTGGGAATTTCCGCCAGGGAAATCCGCGGAAGACGCAGTTCGCGAAGGTTACGGCTGGATTGATATGGGCTCCTGAGGCGCCGCTGGCGTATACTCCGAGCATGACGCCTAATCTGGAAATGGAGGTTCATGAGTATTACGGGAGTGGCCGCAGAGTAGGTAGACTTACCCCCACCCCCAGGAGATGGACTGGTAGTTTCCCTTCTGACCGTGGCTGAGAAGAACCTGAGCCACCACCCCGTCACCGAAAAGGATTAAGATCATCGTTCCGAAGAATTCGGAGAATGCATCTCGGCCGTATGCTCTCAGCCGGGACCAGAGTAGCGGCGGCGGAACAGGATCATCGACAGAGGAAGAGAGATCATGAATCGAAGTCTCATTTTTACTCCCCAAGTAAAGAGAAGTACACCCACTATCCTGACTCATGTTCGAACCAATCTCTTTATGTGTCTTCGTCTTTGGCTTGTATGTGACAGTCCAGAGCATGAAGAAAAACAGAGATGATACTCAGACTAGCAGCGTATCTCGGAATCTCACCCCTCTCCAGCAGAGGGAACCAGCACACCGATATATCAGCCTAGCAGCCACTGACTCGGTTGCCAATGGTGTAACCCTCACAGGTAGAGTTTGCGCAGTGTCGTCTCGCGTAAATTGGCTCAATTGTACGAATGCAAGCCTCGGGAGAGGCGTGTCTCTCTCCACGCCCGCGTGAGCCGGCCGACAACCAGATGCAGATGTCAAAGTCTCGGGGTGACCGTGACCGGCGGTAGATGTCACAGCCAGGATTGAGTAGCCAGGACGAGCGACTTCTTCGTTTTTTTCCCCTTTTGTTTTCTCTCAGTTGGGCGGTGCCAGAAAAGAGAAAAAAACCCTCCCCTCCCGATATATGCCATTGTTGGCAGTCCCACGAGCGTTTGTACGGCCGTTTGAATTGTGTAGCCGGAGAACACCGGCCCTTTTCTGACTTTGAAGTTTATTTCAGGCACTCCTTTTTATTTTATTTTTTGCTTCTTTCTTTCCAGACAGGTTCTTTGAGTGACACCGGAAATTTGCGCGGTATTCCTACAGGTGGGACGGGTGCCTGGCATTATTGATTGGAAGAATGTTGCGGTATGAAGAAGTTTCCATTTCTTCTGTTACTCATGAGTAACTCGGGAGACTGAAGCCCACGCCAGACCGTATTGTGATTTCTAGAAGTTCGAACTGTACCACCAAGACGACGGTTTGTACAATTCTGGTTGGGAAAGTGACGGTGTGTGGGCTTGGAACGGCTATTGTTCGGTATCCATCCCTCGATCTATACCCTCTTTCGCCATTTCGGGGCCATATGCGCGACTGATGGTGGCATTGGGAGATGTTCGGCTCTTCGTGATGACACCCGTGCTCATCTCCTGTGTGATGCCTTTCCATGCGTGTCGCATCACCAGGTCCAGGATGGATCAGACTTGATCTCTTCTAGGATCGGACAGGGGGTGTAAAAAATGGCTAGAGGTAGTGTCTTCCCAGAGGTGTATTGTCAGGGATAGACTCACCGATAGAGCCGAAAACGGAGAGTAAGTGCATGTTGCATACAGAGCGCAGAGGTTGAAGTTTGAATGGAGTTGTAATTTGGACCAGACGACAATCCTGAGAGCGAGATGCAGCAGCCAGAGCTGTCATATCGCGGGAGTGGAGTAGATACTCCATACACTCCAGAAAGTGCTAACAGTAGAGTCTTCCGATGCCTCGCATCCTTACATTGGTGTCAAGGGTGTTGATCCTTGGTTTTGGGGAATAGTGTCAGAGGTTCAGACGATGTGGCTATACAGGCACCACGGTTCGTAGATGACATTTCCCTGGATTGATTACCGAGGAGACACCCAGGATAGAGTCTATAGTAAAGGTTGTAGTATAGAAACATGCATGCACTGCTGGTAAATGTGAACTCGAGTCTGCAATGCATCCTGCACAGAGTGGTCGCTGTCAGACCCATCCCGATCCCTCCGGTCTCAATTCTCGCAACGCTCAAGCCTCAACTGGACGAGTTTGCCGTGGCTCGGATTCACCCCGGGTCGTTCATAATTCCACCAATCCATCGGCCAAAGACCCCGCAGGCTGTGTGACCACGGCATTTATTTAACATGGTCGCCCTGGGTTCGATAGGAGTCTGTTCTCTGTTCTACCTCTGCTACCCTGCTTCGATGATTCCATAGACCAGTGGATTTGCTTCCCTCCGACAACCCTCACTATGCAGTCCTCGGAGATCTTTATCGGCTCAATCGACCAGGGCACAACTAGCACCCGGTTCCTCATTTTCAATCGAGATGGAGAGCCCGTGGCGTCCCACCAGGTGGAGTTCCCCCAGATCTATCCTAATTCAGGGTGAGTAAGCCATGGCAAACAGCCTGGTGAGAGCAACTAATAATCTTCGTTGAAGATGGCACGAACACGATCCCCTCGAGCTCGTCACCTCGGTAGAGACCTGCATTGAACAAGCCGTACAATCATTTGAAGGACACGGCCACACCCGCGCCAGCATTAAGTGCGTCGGGATCACTAACCAACGCGAGACAACCGTAGTCTGGGACCACGAGACTGGCGAACCCCTTTACAATGCCATTGTATGGACCGACACACGCTCACAAGCTATCGTGACCGAGCTGAAACAACGAGCCGGCGCATCACAGCTCCAGAGAATATGTGGCCTGCCGCTGTCGACCTACTCATCTGCCACGAAGCTACTGTGGATGCTAGCTCATGTACCTCAAGTGAAAGAAGCATTCGACCGCGGTACTTTAGCGTTTGGAACGGTCGACTCATGGCTTGTCTATCGTTTGAATGGTGGCGTGAGTGCCAACGTCTATGTCTCGGATTCGACAAACGCGTCGCGCACAATGTTCGTCAATTTGGAGTCTTTACAATATGATGATACGTTACTAGATTTCTTTGGGATCAAAGGAAAGATTCATTTGCCCCAAATTGTGCCTTCATCGGATGCTCATTCTTATGGTGCTCTTGCATCAGGCCCTTTAAAGGGTGTGCCAATAATGGGATGTCTTGGTGACCAGTCCTCTGCCTTGGTTGGCCAGAAAGGGTTCTTGCCGGGTATGGCGAAGAACACATATGGTACCGGGTGTTTTCTGCTCTACAACGTTGGTGACAAGCCTGTTTTCTCTACACACGGTCTTTTGGCAACCGTGGCGTACCATATTGGTGAGAAGGCTGTGTATGCCTTAGAGGGAAGTATTGCTGTTGCGGGGTCGGGGATCAAGTTCTTACAGAATAACTTAACCTTCTTTCAGGAGCCAAAAGATGTCAATGACTTGGCTCTCTCGGTGGATGATAACGGCGGATGCATTTTTGTGACGGCTTTTAGCGGTTTGTTTGCACCCTACTGGATTGATGATGCTAAAGGAACAATCTGTAAGTTCCCGTCCCTGTTGATATCCAATCGAAGACTGACGATATATCTCCGTAGTCGGAATTACCCATTACACCCAAAAAGGCCACATCGCACGAGCAACACTGGAAGCGACTTGTTTCCAAACCAAAGCGATCCTAGACGCAATGGAAAAGGACAGCGGAAAAGCACTCTCCGAGTTGGCCGTGGATGGAGGAATGAGCAATTCAGACTTGGCCATGCAGGTACAAGTCCCATAGCGCACAGATGCTTAGGTATAATCTGACTTGACCGCAAAACAGACGCAGGCAGACCTTATTTCAATCCCCGTCTACCGCCCAAAAATGCGCGAAACTACAGCTTTAGGTGCCGCAATTGCAGCCGGTCTTGCATGTGGCATCTGGAACAGCTTTGCCGAACTAAGAGATATCAATCGCGCTGGCGGAACCGTATTCGAGCCAAAAATCTCTCGTGAAGAGAGCGCAAGAAAATCTGCAAATTGGGAAAAAGCCGTACAGATGTCAAGAGGATGGGTTGGAGGGAATGACATCGACGAGCCTGCCAGCTCCACTAAAGCACCAACAAATAAGACCCCCGGAGCCTTGGTAGAGAGCCGTGTTGACCCAGTCCTCAAGACTCAAAAGCCAGCCCTTTCATCGTTGATATCGGATATTGCGGCGATGAGCGGAGTGGGTGAAATGCCCAAAGTGAAGACACGGACAGTGAACGGCGGGCAATTTTCACCGGCGAAAGCCCCATTGCTTAGTATTTCCGGAGATCTAGATGATGACGCCGATGAAGAAGATTTGTTCATGGAGTTAAGGAGGGTGGAGATTTTGCAGAAGTTGAAAAAATTGCGTAAATTGAAGTTGAGCTATTACTAGCTTTGAAAAGCGTTGGTTTAGATCCTACCACTGCTCAATAATATTGATTTCAATAGCGAACCGAGTATCTCCTAGAACCTATTTCCTGTTACCGTGTACTGCCAAGAGCAGAGGTATTCGATCACATTAGTCTATGTATTCTGAGGCTGAGCCACTCTTGAGAAGTTTCATCAATTAGCTCATGCCCGTTCTCTGAGAACCTGAAAAAACGGTGTATAATACCATTCTTCGCCATGTTTCAAACTCCTCTCAAGTCCCATGACTTTCAATGTTGATTGAGGTTGATCATTCGTGTAAAGCTCAATGTGTGTATTCATTCTCGTATGATATCAAATAGTTGCCCCTAATTTCAAAAGAGAAGAGAGAGGAGACGCCCATTCGCCATCGCCCAGCAAGCTTTCCCTCCAAAGCATACAAGATCCAAGATCCAAGATCTCGACAACTCAAGCAGCAACCTTAGCTTTAGAACCAAGCCGAGTAAAGTCCTCTCCCTCCTTCAAGAAGACACAATTCAACTCCGACCCAGGACTCAAGGTAACTTCAAAGCGCAGAACGGGATCCTCGACGCGATCCTTTCCGCTGACCGGCAGCGCCACAATCCGCTCGTAAGCCTGCAAGATCCGAATAATGGTATATCCCATCTCAATAGTCGCGAACTGCTGCCCGATGCAAATACGTGGACCACCATTGAACGGGATAAACTGCCACGGCTTCGGCGACCATCCGGAAACCCAGCGCTCAGGAATCCATTTGCCTGGATCGAAATAATTCTTCGATTCTGGTCCATCGTAAAGATCGGGATCGCGCTGCATCAGCATAGTTGAGTAGATGACTCGCGAGTGCGCGCGGACACCGACGGGCTCTTGGCCGTCTGGACCACCGCCGCGAGGGAGGGTCGTGTCGCGGAGTGAGTAGCGCACGTTGAACGGAACGACAGGGTAGACGCGCATTGTCTCGTTGATGACCGCGTTGAGGTATTTCATCTCCTTGAGGTCTGTGTATTCGGGTTTCTGAGCGTCGGCGCCGACGCCTGAGACGTCCGCGGATTTCTTCGCGCAATTTTGTGACGACTTCGGGGTTGCGAGATAATTCGAAGAGACAGAAGGATAGTGTTCCGGCGGTTGTATCTCGGCCTGCGAGGAGCACGGCGACCAGTTGGTCTCGGAGGACTCTTGGGTCGCGAGTGAAGCGAGCCAGGGCATCGAGGAATGTCTCACGCTTTGAGAGCTTCTGGTCCAGTTCGTCGGTCGATAAAGATAGTACAGTTTCAATGTATGGCTGAATGAATTGGTCCATGATCTTCAAATTGCGGCGGAACTCTTTGCGCGACATGGCAAAGTTGAAGACGCTGTGTCCAGATTAGATTTCCATTCGCCAATAGACTGATTTCTTGCATTGCACAAGATCGGGAATACTGACCCAAATCGGAACAACTCGGCTTGTCGTTGTTGCACATATCTGAAAGCTTCCGCAAAGCGTGTCGCCGGGTTTTCCAAGCTATCAGTGCCCTGGCCTAGCAGGTAGTCTGTAGCTGCATCGAGCGTATATCGGAAGAAGAGCGATCCAACGTCGACCACCTTGCTTCCAAAAGGAGATTGGCTTCCGCCGAGAAGTGGAATGAGCTTCTGGACATGCTTCTCAAAGATCTCCGTATCGACGATGCGGTCTCGGACGAACATAGGCCGGATTAGCTGGCGCGAGCGCGACCACATTTCACCATCTGTAGCGAAAATACTGTCGCCTAAGAATTCTTTCCAATCCCGATGGAAAGGCTCACCTTTTCCATAGTCGGCAAATTGGCCAGTCAATAGCGCCTTGATATTCTCCGGGTCCAAGGTCATTATCGCTCGTGTCGAGACACCAGCATCGACCTCGGCAGTCTTGACATTTGTTTTGCCTCCAGCGGACATGATGGTGTCCCCCCAGAACTGAAGGTCGTTGTGTGCAAGGTTGGCGATCTGGCCCTTGTAGATAAAGTCGAGGGCGTATGGAAGACGAAATGAAACCTTGGGCGCCCTAGCACCGAGGCGCGAGATCTGGATCTGAGTCTGAATTCTCCGAAGCATCAAGACCACGGTAAATACGCCTAGAGACCACAGAATGGCCTGTCCAGGCGTCATGCCCTCAAGGAGCTCTTCAATCATATTGGTGATTCGAACTTTTGGTGTTGTGCTCGCGTGGTTGTGCTGAAGAATGCCTCGGATCCAAGTAGGAGTTTGAAATAGGACCGAAAACCAGACTGAGATCCAAGCTACATGCACTGATGGCAGATCACAAAGGCAGCTAGCAGGGGACCGGCACGTTTAAAGATCAATGCCCCAAGGCGTCCGCGCTAATGCACGCTTGTGTGAAAATGGTCCCGTCGCGGGCTTGGATCGATTCGGGTCCAAAGGCTCCGGTGTACCCAGGAAAAGCACACGAGTGGCCCTATGAGGAACCACGGATGATTCCCCTTAGCTGGATTGGACTCCCCTTCGAGTGTTTCTTGCGAGGTGCTTGCGAGCCCCGCTCGATGATCTCATGCCGAGCTCGATCCACTTGATTCACTGCTGCTTCATTATTTGCAGTCGTTGAGCATATCCTTTGTGTTTTCGGGAATCAATGCACCTCTAGTCCAGGTTATACTCGGATTCAACTCACAACTACCAGGGGGTGGGGAAATCCGGGGAAAGGGCATCTGTGGACCTCGGTTCCAAAGGGGGGGTTTCATATGATTCTGATGTGGAGAATGCAATGACGATTTGAGTCAGTGCCGCGAATTTGCCGCTAACACGGAAGTGATGATCATCAGACAAAGAGCCTAGACGAGTTTCCCTAGGTATGAGGATGATAGTTTTCCCGTAGTTGTAGGAGATCTGGTCAAGTCATGCTGAGGCCATGGTGCAACGATTTCAGGGTTGAGCCCCGACTCGGGCCTACGAATGCTTAGAGGGATTACGGGATTAATTAAGCTCTGCGTTTGGATTTTGGATCATAGAAAAATCGTTGAAAGCAATTGAGGGTATATCATCAAACATCACATCGTGACCGGTAACTATCACTTTACCCTATTTCGAAATCCACTGGCGGCAATCCCCTTCTATCCAAAGCACGCTGTATACTCCTTTGCATAGTATCAATTGCATCGGCCCAAGTCACAACGCCCTGTCCAGATCGGGGAATTTGATTCTCTGCAGAATCCTGTGAGCCCTTGTCTTCATCGACAAGCCACATTAACCAGCGCACCACAGAGACGGCCTTGTCAATATCCTTCTCTTCGGCAACGACACGTCGCAGGTAGGTACACAGAACCTCGGTATCCTCGAAATATGGACCATCACTTGCAAATGCAGAATACCAAGCACCGACGGCGTCACGAAGGTCTGGGAGAGTGGACAGGCGCTTTGAAGTAAAAACGGGTCGCTCGGGGCGAGGAGGAAGAGGAAGTCGTTTCTCGACCGGGACAGGCTCAGGTGTACTCCGGTGCTGGGATGTTGGCCGAGAATTGGTTGCAGCGGCGGCATGGGAGCGTTGGAGCATGCGATTACGCTTCTGCTCTTCGAGGACCTCTTGGCGAATGTCTTCTGGTAAGGCGGCCAGGAACTCCGCCGAGACTTCGGGCTGTTCCTCAACGGCTGGAGACTGATGCCTAGATGGTATATCTTGAACAGACGTGACGGAGGTCACTGGTCGGCCAAAACCGAAGCCCGTCTGTTTTAAAGTCTTATTGCTGGCACTTGCCGACTTGGGCGGACGACCTCGCCTCTTTTTCAGCGGTGATATTGGCCTTTTCAATTCGAGAGATCTTGCCGCAGGTGTTGGATTAGAGATAGAAGGGGCGGACACCATTGGGGGTGGAGGCGATGGTGGCTCAAACGGCACAGGCTGCTTGTAATACCCCAACACTTCGTTTCGCAGATCTGGTGGCAAAGCTGCTAGAATTTCAGGATCCAATTGAGAGTGAGGCGGGAGGTCGTTGGTGGTGGGTTCTGGCACTCGGCGTGGAGGAGGGCATGGTGACCCAGAACGGGAATCTTGTCGAGACTTTTGAGCGACGAGTCTTGATCGGATATCACTCGGGAGTTCTGAAATAACCTTGGGGTCGGCTTGGGTTGGCATTATAAATTGAGACCCGGATATGTTCAAAGGCTTGTGAGCACTGTTGCTGAGGATCGGATCGACTTGGATTCGAGTGGATGAGTCCTTGTGCGGACTTTCCAGCTCATCAGGATCAACATCTATAACAGGGGGCTTGCGAGATGGAGTCTGCATTTGCTTGCGGGATGGGGACAGTTGGAAATTGAGTTGACGTTGGCTACTCTCAAGGGTTGCTGTAGGGCCGGCCTTGAGTGGCTCAAGTTTGGTCATTTGAACTCCGAGGCCGCGTAGATCGCCCGGAGAAATGTTAAAGCTTCTTAACATCGAGACGGCCTCTTTGCCCAGGGTGTCAGGTGCATTGGTTGCCACGCCGAGGACAACGCTTTTGTTATATACATCGCATTTTCCATGGCCGAGATGCTTCACTGGCTCGAGTGGCGCATCCATTGAGCGTCGCATGACTTTGAGTGTGAGCTGTCTACCTTTGACCAAGTTCTCAACGAGTCTCTTGTTCAACTCTCCGCAAAGAGATCTGACAAAGTCTTCCGCCTGGCTCTGATTGACGAATCGAATACCCCAGTTGACTTCCGCCGAAACGGACTTCCTGATCACTTCGTTGCCAACTTCTGACTTATCAATGCCACGAGCGAATTCCCAAATCTTGATTCCAGTTTTCGGTCCCAGACTGCTGATCAGTTTTTCCTTCGTGACATCTCGAGCATCCTTTACAAACTTGACCCCAAGCTCTTCAAGCTTGTTGCTGAGACTATAGCCAACACCCGGAAGATCTTGCATCGTGAGATTTCCGATAAAATCCAGGACAGCCTCTGGTTTCAGCTGAAATTGCCCAGCTGGCTTTGCCTTTCGCAGTGCGACTTTGGCTAGCAAGATGTTGCCGCCGATGCCCACAGAGACTGCGCACCCGGTCTTCGCTTGGACAGAATCACGCAAAGCCTGGGCTATCTCCTCTGCTTTTGCTTGTTCGCGATACATGGAACCCTCCGATATGCCTCTCCCGTCTGAGCCGCCAGCTTCCAAACACTGGTTAGTGACATCGATGAGGGCTTCGTCGATGCTCACACTCTGAACAGTTCCGTCTATAGACAAAACGGAGCTGTAAAATTTCCGACTGGCATCTTCGTAGGCTGGGAAGTCATAGGGCAGCACCTGGAGTTCGGGACACGCTTGCATCGCACCTTTCATCCACATCCCATTCTTGATCCCCCGTCCACGAGCCACGTAATTGCAGCTTGCAATTTCAGAACCTGAGCCAGGACCATGGGCAATAGCCACGGGCTTATCTCGAAGCTCGGGATGTTTGAGGAGCGAGACAGCGGCAAAAAAGGAGTCAAAGTCCACGTGGAGGATGTATCGTCTGGCACCAGTCACGGGCTTTTTTTGGGACATGCGAGAATTGACCTTTTCTTTGGTTGCCGCTTGAAGTTGAGCCTTCAACTCGGCCTTCCATGTTGATAAATGATGAAGTCGCGATTCTCGATAATATTGTTGCAGGAATTCTGGATTGACGACACTTGACTTTCTCATTCGAGGATCGGACAATAATTGCGCGTTATACTCTTCAGAGGTCATGTTTGGATTAACAGCAATGGCCTGGTTTGAAGGCGAAGTCTGCGACTTGTTGTGAGGAGACACGGGTACGTCACTGTGCTCTCGAGGTGTAATATTAGAAATTGGCGTCTGAATGTTGGAAGACGTATTTTCCTTGGCTTGATGAGGAGTAGTGATTGCATTTTGGTCCTCCACTGAGTCAAAGCTAGGAAAGTCGCCATAGTCTGACTGAGTGGTCTCGGTCGACTCTGCAGTTTGTAAAGGAGCCGACTGCGGTGGATTAGATAGCGTGTCGAGTTCCGCGCTCATAGCTTTCAGTTGGGAATTATACCAACTTGTGCTTGATTGCTCCTTGTAGCCCACCTGTGGACTATTTGTTTGACTTGTGAAGCGGCCATCATTGAGTTTCAGCACTTTCTGAGACCGGCCTTCATCTACGACTCGAAATTCATCCCAAGGAAGCAGTCGTCCAGCTTTCACGCTTTCGGTCACCCACGCGGGCTTCACAATACGGTATCGTCGGAACTCTTCGCGTTTCTTCGGAGTTAAAGAACTGGCGATGATGTGCGTCGCGATTGTCTTGCCATCCAAATATTGTAGGAATCCACCACCATGACTGACAATCAAACGGTGGAGGTCCTGGAGGGAGGGTTGTGTGTAGCCGTTGACGTGCGCGACGATACCGCGAAATATCGGCGGACGATCGCCAGCCGAGGCTCGGATTTCCGCATCTAGATTCTGGAGTTTAATTTTTTTTCGTCGCATATAGTCTCCAAATCCGCCAAAGGTGGAAGCTTCATATTCCTCGCCCCCCCTCATCGTTAAAGTCATCTATATAGAAGCTGATTAGAGCTTGCTCGAAGGCAAGATGGACAGGTTCGGTGCTCACGGTTCTCAATGCGTTTGCGCACTGCGCTAGAGTTAGCGTCAAGACGAGAGCCCATGCTGGGCCAGCAGCACCAACATGACACTCAGTAAATGAGGACTGTGATACACAGGGTACTTTGGCCGATGCGACGCGGCCGAAGGCAAATCACGCGTCAGCGGCAGAAAAGCGTGACGGGGTCAGGTGATCAGCAGCGGTGGACATAGCGGTCAATCAAAGCAAGTAGGTGAGCGGTGAGCTCATTCACATTGATATCATTGGTCGATGAAAGCAGTCAGAAAAATTAATTAAAAAAAAAAAAGAGCTCCTACGATCTCTGTTGCTGCGGCTTGGGTCGTATCTTTTCTCTTCTTCATCCACATCTGCTTTCACCCGGTGGTTCAGATTTCTCTCTCTCATACCCTCTTTCTTTTCTTGTTCAATTTGCAAATATTTTTTCAAACCAATCCCTCAAAATGTCTGCAGTCCAGCCTGTCGCAGTCTACGCCCTTCGGGTTCCTGCCGGCGCTATGGTTCCCGCCGTGCCCAATGCCGCCGCTTCGGTCAGTACAAACTTTCACAGTGAAGTACAGAGTGCATACTGACTGAAATAATAGTTCCGCGTGAGCATGGCTGCCATCGACCCTGATGAGACCCCCGAGTTCGAGGATGGCGACTCTAGCAAGCCCGCCCGCGCTACTCTGAAGATTGTTCGCGCTCCTCCCGGTCTCGACATGGGTGATGATGAGTCCGATGATGAGGACTACAGCGATGTTGAGGAAGACGATGAGGAAGACTCCGATGACGAGGAGGTCAACGGAGGTCCCAGCGACAAGGAGAAGGCCCGCAAGCTTAAGCAGCTCGCTGCCCAGAAGGAGCTCCTAGAGGCCATGGAGGAGGATGAAGAGTCTGATGACGAGGAAGATAGCGAGTTCGACCTCAAGGCCGCCATCTCCAAGCTTATCAAGGGCAAGGGCCCCGCTACCGACGGCGAGTCTGACGATGAGTCCGAGGAGGGCCTCGACCTCGACGAGAGCGTTATCTGCACACTGAACGCTGAGCAGGTAAGCGTGCTTTTCCTCTATTGCAAAATGCGATAGTAACTAACAATCGTGCAGAACTTCCAGCAGCCCCTGGACATCACTGTCTGCGAGGGCGAGACCGTCTTCTTCAAGTCTACCGGTAACTACACCATCTACCTCACCGGTAACTACGTCATTGGCCTCGATGAGGCTCACGACCACGATCACGACGACGAGGATGATGAAGATGAGTACGACCTGTCCCCTGATGAGGATGAGCTCGACCTGGACGAGATCATGGCCATGGAGGATGACGAGAGCGATGACCTTGACGGCATGGAAGACCCCCGCATCACCGAGGTCGAGAGCGAGGAGGAGGAGGCTCCCAAGCTAGTCGAGGCCAAGAAGGGCAAGAACAAGCGCGCCGCTGAGGAGGAGAGCCTCGACGACATGATGGCCAAGGGTGCCAAGAAGGCTGAGAAGGCCGAGCCCACCCTCACCAAGGCCCAGCAGAAGAAGTTGAAGAAGAACAACGGCGACGCTGCGGCTGTTGAGGCCAAGAAGGAGGAGCCCAAGAAGGAGGAGCCCAAGAAGGAGACCAAGGCCGACAAGAAGGTTCAGTTTGCCAAGAACCTCGAGCAGGGCCCTACTCCCTCCGGCGACAAGCCCACCGGCACCCTCGGTGTCAAGGAGGTCCGTGGTGTTAAGATCGATGACAAGAAGCTTGGCAAGGGTGCCACTGCCCGCAGTGGTAACACTGTTGCCATGCGCTACATCGGCAAGCTCGAGGACGGCAAGGTCTTTGACTCCAACAAGAAAGGCAAGCCTTTCTCCTTCAAGCTTGGCAAGGGTGAGGTCATCAAGGGCTGGGACATCGGTATTGCCGGTATGGCCCCCGGTGGTGAGCGTCGCATCACCATTCCTGCCAATCTCGCCTACGGCAAGAAGGCCCTTCCCGGCATCCCCGCCAACTCCAAGCTGATCTTCGACGTCAAGCTGCTGGAGATCAAGTAAATGCCTAGCTTAATCATATAACGTTTGCAAGGGTGTTGTTATGGGTCTGTTTGATTGCATGATTTCTCGTGATATCCGGCTTGTTTCTTTTCTGTTTTGAGCCTCTCCTGATTGAGGACGAGGCTATCACGAGGAATTTGTACCCCTGCATTTGAAAAGTTGCCCAAATTTGTCATGTAATGCAAGAACTTGTCATTTCCCTGTTAATATTATCATCTCCTTTGTAGGTCTCCTTAGACGCGGTCCACGTAGCTTGTTCTTCCGTCGATGCACTCCCTTGGCCCTGGAAAGGACGGGTTTTGAATCTACTCTATCTGCAACCAAGCCTGGAAAACGGTAGAATCACTGTGATCGAATCAAGGAAACCCGGCCGTCAGCGATGCTTGTTGCATATCAGCCAATATAGTCAACCGCAGACTAATACACAATGTCGAATTCAAAGAAGTTGGAAACTAAACTCACTTGACTCAAGACAAATGCATAGAGCCCGAACCGTTAACTATAGTTTGAACTTGGTCCAATCGTCCCGATCACGGAGCAAGCATTATTCTCCCATGGTTCCAGTATTGCTGTTCTACAGTCGCCCTGATATGGGGGCCGTCGATAGCACTTGCCTTTGTATGAAAACAGTCTCCTTTTGCTTTCTGTTCTTGTAAAGATCCTACGCCAGCTTCATCATCAAACCTACTTTCTCCAGGTCTTTATTCCAAGCATCCGCGCGTCCTATCTTTACCAAAGTTACCGAACTTTGGACGTTCTCCCTCTACATGACCTCCGTTCCTTGACGCTTCTTGGGGAGCTCCTACAATGACAGCATCTTATGGGAAGAGAGAGCGCAGTCGACGAAGCGTTTTCGGTCTTTGGGTTCCCAACAAAACGAACAAGCCCGCAGGGAAACTCGATCCTTGTCCTGCGGAGTCTACAGTATCAGATAGTCCTGCATCTGACCACAACCCCGGCTCTACAGCTGGCAAAGATCGCCTGAGAATCCGCTTGACACGGAGTGGATCCCAAAATTCTATTGTTGTTTGGGCTGGGTGGCTCCTCGAACAGTAAGCCTGTGTCTTCCATGACAGATATGCCCGGGCGTTGACGATCTATCCAAGGTCACAAAACGAGCGTCGAATCTGTTTCATGCGAAGACACTCATAGCGTCGAGAGTCCACGCCTCCCATCACTTTCGATAGTAGAACATGGAAACGAGATTTCTTTGGTGGAATGCTTGCTAGAGAACTCATCACCCGAGATCACATCCTCAGTCATTGCGCTGCCCGAGTCTCAGGAGCCCGCCCAGGAGAAGCCTCGCCCTGAGATAGGAGTTGCATCTGTCGTACCGTGCGATTCTGAAGATGTGGAAAAACTTTGCGGCAATGTGAACGAGCCACAATGTCCATTGAACACGAAGCTGGTCGACCGACTATCCCTGAGAGTTTCTTCCCCATTTGGCCAGCCGACAGTCATTCGTCGTACGCACTTGCGTTCGAGACACAGTATACCTTTCATTGGATCTCTTATATTGAAAACGCTCATGAAGCAGCACGGCGATGGTGCTGATGACAGCTCGGATCCTTCAACAACCCCCAGCAGCAACGGCTCGCCATTGGGATGTTCGACTCCTCCTACTCCAGTAAAATCAGCAGAACCTTCACCCTCGTCCGATAAGTTCACGGACTCGCCCAACTTTACCTCAATCTCGGACCACGTTGCTGCTGTGAGTACCACACAGGGCAACACATCTCGAACTATTACAGCCTCGATCAAGACGGTGGAGGCCGTCTCCGTGGCCAAGATATATCTGGAGCTCTATTATAACTCCATTTTCCAGAATCAAGACCCACGCTTGCAGCGCCAGCATGAACTTGATCAATATATCTTTGCCTTTCAGCTTGTACCTGGTGAGCAGGTTCAGATCAGACGAAACTGGGCACTACAAGAGAATGAACATTTGCGACAAGTCAGAGCTTTGAAAACCAGGATGCGGTGCTCTCGAGATGAGGCTGCTGTATCAATTGCTGGTTACGAGGTCATCAAAGTCCTCGGTAAAGGTAGCTTTGGCGTGGTTCGCTTGGTACGAGATAAAAAGAGCGACAGGGTCCCAATCGCAGAAGATCACGTTCTACCAGAAAGTAGCCTATCTGTTTCAAGAGCTAGGTCTCATGGCGTACTCAGGTCCGCGGTGGATGGAGCCAAAAACAGTAGCGAAGATTCATGACTGGAGAAAAGAAGGAAGTGTACGCTATGAAGGTGATCAGAAAGTCTGAAATGATTCGCAACTGTCAGGAAGGTCATATTCGAGCGGAGAGGGACTTCCTCGTTGCGGCAGCAAAGTCACGCTGGGTTGTTCCGTTGATCACAAGTTTCCAGGATAGCACTAATCTATATCTTGTGATGGATTACATGCTTGGTGGAGACTTCCTCGGTTTGCTCATTCGCAAGGATATACTTCGGGAAGATAGGACCAGATTTTACATCGCCGAAATGATTCTGTGCATCGAAGAAGCCCACCGACTTCAGTGGATCCATCGGGATATCAAGCCTGATAACTTCCTGATCTCTGCATCTGGCCACTTGAAGATATCTGACTTTGGTCTGGCCTTCAATGGCCATTGGGCTCATGATCAAACTTACTACAACAGCCAACGCCACTACCTGATCGAGAAACTCGGCGTGGATGTCATCGGCGATGCAGAAGACCAAGCTCATGCCGCGGAGATAAGGGAATTTTCTGAGATGAGCTCTTACGGGGTAATGGAGCAACCTAACTCTCAAGTCCCCTCGACGGATGTTTTGGACTGGCGCAACAGTAGAGGCAGGCGCAGATTTGCAAAGAGCGTGGTTGGAACTAGCCAGTACATGGCGCCAGAGGTCATTCGAGGCGAGATGTATGATGGGCGATGCGATTGGTGGAGCCTGGGTATCATTATATTCGAGGTGAGTGCTAATAGTTAGGTCCAAACTTGCAGAATAAATCTCTAACTCGAGTTGTGCAGTGCTTGTACGGCTATACACCATTCGCATGCGAGACTCGCCATGACACCAAGATCAAGATCTTAGTAGGTTGATCGAGATCTCGAATGTTACGGTAGAACCTGACAATCTGTTACAGCAACACAATAAAACTCTGCAGTTCCCAAGAGAGAAGCCAACGGACAAGATGGTATCTCCAGACGCCATCGATCTCATGGCACGTATCTTACAGGAACGCGAATTTCGGCTCTGCTCTCAGAAATACTACGCAAACAATGTTTTGACTGGCCGGCCAGTCTCCGCTCAATTTCTTTACTCGATGGATTCCCGGCACATGAACATCCCCAGTTACTATGTTTATCCCAATGATGCCGCTGACATCAAAGCTCATCCTTTCTTCAGAGGCACGCGGTGGAGCGAACTTCATCTGACCCAGCCACCGTTGGTCCCCCGTGTCAAAGGCTGGGAGGATAGCCGGTACTTCGATGATTGGAAGGGGCCCGGCAACATCGATGAAGCATCTGGTGACAGTGACGCACCAGAAAGTGATGAAGACCTTAAAGCAAACCCTGACGGTACAACTGCATTGCCTCAGGGCCGTCAGTCTCCAGGTCATCCGCCAGACCTTCTAGCTCCTGAGGAGCGCCCAGTTCCGGATACAGGTCCCGTGGAAGCAGAACCGTTCGACCAACGACAGCCAGAGCTTGCCCAGAAGAAGGAGAAAAGACGGCCTCGCGACAAAATCCTTCGGGATAAAAAAGCTGGCCGAGCTGCGCTCGAGATTCGCAAGCAAGGCGCATTCCTCGGATATACGTACCGACGACCGAAAAGTCCAGCCCTGGCTCTGAGCACTGACCGTGGACGGCAGCCATTTGCGAGAGGTCAGTTGGGTAACCTGTATTTTTCGTAAGGCAGCTGCGAGAAAATGAGCTTTCCTCCGCCAGGTGCGACCTAACGACAATCCTTCACTGGTCTTCAGAGGAGCACCACCCTGACTATTCATATACGTCCTTGGTCTCGCAGGACACCACTGTACAAACCTGTTCTGTTATTACATGATCCTTCTGTACCCTATTCTTACGATCCACTTATGACCATGAACTAAATCAGTGACTCTCTGTCATATTCAACAGTCGAATAGTTCCTATGTCCATGGAAATAATCCGCACGAGATGCTCAACTTGACACGGCACCAGGACGAAGCTGGCCATCAAATTAAAAGATAAGAATTGAGTCAAAAACAATAATTTTCTCTAGTGTGAACGCCCCAGTCATGTTTCATTCTTTTAGAACCGTTGCGATGACGCTTGTAGAGAAAGGCGTGGAAAACGATGTGAAGTCCCAATGGGAAAAATATAGTGGGATCAGGGGTATCAAATGAAAGATGGAGCGGGGTCTTGAAATCCATCATGCCAGACTAGGTCAGAGTACAGGTGCACTCATCGAGAAAGCCGAATCCGTCACGCGATCTTCAGGTTTCATCGTACCATTGAGCAAGGGACAAAGCTTCTTATTCGTCTTGATGTGTCCAACTTGGCCACAGTTGGCGCACTTGCGCTGAGTACCAGCCGGTTTGCCATCAGCAGGAGAATCGCCAGGGCGAGTAATACCCTTCTGCTTCTCGCGAGCGAATCGACGCTCTTTGTTGCGATTCAGGCGGCTGAGCTCGGCTTCGATGAGCTTACGGTTGCGAGCGTCCACTTCGGGATCACCGGTTGGTTGGAGAGATTCCAGCTTGGTAGTGAGGGCTTCCGTGCGGTGGCGATGCTGCATGTAGTGTCTGATAACGCGGGGGTCCCAGACAAGCTGTTCTTTCTGCAGAATTTCTCCATTTGGAGCCTTGAACTGACGAGTAATGCGCAAGACCTTGCCTTTTTGACTGGCGAAACTCATGCGGCTGTACTGACTGGTTGTTTCGTCGTCGCCGCGTCTATTGGGTGCCGGGGTAGGTGCTTCGGATCGTGGGGTGGGCTTGTTGAATTCTTCTTCCTCGCCCTGGTCGATGTCGCTCTCCTGGTCGGAGTGCTCGACGGTGGATGAAAGACTAGCCTTCTGCGCATCCCAAATTCGGCGGATAGATGTCTCGTATGACTTCTGTTGGCGGGCAACATTGTAGCTGTGGCCGCCGAGTTCCTTGAGACGCTGGGCATCCAGCTTGTCTTCCACACTCTCGCCGATGGCCTTGAATCCACCCTTCATGGATGTCTTGATGAAACTGAAACCTTCGCCACGGCCGGTAGGATCGCCTTCACCGTGAAGCTTCAGCATGGCCTTGCCCTGTGATGCTAGCAGGAAGTTGCGGGTGGCCTTCCAAGGAGCCATCTGCTGTTCAAAGCTCTCGCTTTCCTCATCCTCTTCATTGTCCCCGCCGGTCTCGGCATCATTTCCAAATCCAGTGTCGTGGAGATGTTGTTGACCAACTTGCATCGATTCTAACAAGCAGACATCTTCAGGTTGGACCCAAGAGCGAATAGTGTCTTGATCTGGGAGGACAGGATCCAAAGGTTTCCAATACTTGGTATCCTTGTCATGTTGGAGGAAATCCTTGACTTTTTGTCGATTCTGCATATCAGTGGTACCGGGGATGTGGGCAGTAACGTCACTGATAGCGAGCCTTTCATCAGCACTCTTCTTGAGCAGCCGGTACACAAGCATCTTCATCCGATTCTTCGCAACGGTAGTGACTTTGCGCGAATGGGGACCGGGGATGTCGACGGATGGGAACTGCTGTCCAGCAACATAGAAGTTTTCAATGTTGCGTATGTAATAATTGCTACCCCCAGAACCAGTGCTGTTACGAATGACAAGGAAATCGTTTCCTTTGGCTTGGTGGGGGAACAGGGGCGCTCTGTACATGGAGTTGGATATTGCCGGGGTGATCTCGCCAGGGTCCACATGACCAAAAATAGAGAATGGACTCTTGTCCTGGGGAAGCAGGACGGCTGTTTCTCCAATCTCTGCCTTCGGGCGGGTTGGATCATCGGGATTCTTTCGTCGGTAGTAGTTGATAAAACGATTGCACATGCCAAAGTTTGAGAGAACGAAAGGCGCTTCCTCGGAGTATTCAACGAGCAACACATTCGAGTTGTCGGCCATGGACAGGGATTTTGTGTTCTCATATAGGGCCTTGGCATCTTTGCCCTTTTGATGCTTGCGCTTAATATGCGCAGAATTCTTGAACCAAGACGTTTGTCCAACACGGAACGCCATGGCCGGACGGTGAAAAGATCTAGCCTCAGTCTTTCCTAGTTCTGTCTTGTAGTATGGCCACTGCAATCGTAAAGCTGGCAAAGCGTGCTCGAGGGTGACATTGCCAAGAGTCGATCGAATCTTATTCTGATGGTTCTGCTTTAGCATGTCGTATGCCGTATCGTTTGAAATGTTGTATCGCTGTGTGAGTCGGCGAGTAACATTCACGTCCATGTCTTCTCTGGAGCGAAGAAGATTCTGTCTTGGCTTGTGAACAGTTGCGTCAGGTCGTAGCTCCTCGACAAGAAGATGAGGGTCGTTCATATCGATCGTAACCTTCTTGGCTATTTGCGTGATCGCTTGCTCGGGGTCATCTAGTAGCGGTATATCCAGATGGGCTAGCCCAATGACGTCCATGGGAGATGGGCCAGTCTTGCGCTTCTTGGATGGGTGATCCTCATCAAACATCCAATCTTGGTCGTCCTCAAAGGGTGCAGACTCGGTCGGTGCAGATGACTTTTGTTCCTTCTCAGTGGAGGGATCCTCATCCTTGACATCCCAGTCTGCGCAGATGGTACGAAGGTCTTGCATGGTAAAGCCACCTGGAAGTACATCTTCAGTATCGGCACCGCCCATTTCGAAATCTTCCTTCGCTTCCTGTTCCTCTTCTTCTTGCTGGGTGGTCTCGGTGATCACGACGACACCAAAAGACTCATGGTCCAGACCACGCTTGTTCGGCTGGCCAGTCCTGAAGACGCGTTCCTGATCAGGAGCCAATTCGATATTGACTTTTGTAGGTAGGACTGGTTTCGGAACTTTGAGGGGTTGCTTTCCGAGGAAATAGGCCCTCTTCTGTGGGATAAGCTCTAACCAACGCGGTAGCGTGTCACGGTCGAAACTGGGAAACAGAGAATGGAGAAGCTCCTCGTGGTTTTCTGGCGGCGCGGGTAGAGTGTCGGGTCCAGCAATCGATGACATCGCGAACAACTGCTGCTGGAGCTTCCAAGCACGGAGGGTTGCAGGATCCATCTCCTCGGACTTGACACTGGCATCATCCAAGATCTCGCTGTCGTCGAGAACCATCTGTTCTGCTAGAGGCTCTGGGCCCGGAGGAATGGGCGGTAGCTCAACCGGCTGATCTGTCAATGAAGGTTCCTCATCTTCGAAAAGACCATGCATCTCATCAGCCTGACCAGCAGGAGACGCAGCGCCTTCGCCGAAAAGATCATCTAGGTTATCTTCCTGAGTCTGTACTCCCTCGCCATGATCACCAAAGATATCGGCGTCTCCAAAGTCTCCTCCCATCCCCAAAGAGTCCAGCGTCGTCATCGTCTTGAAGGTTTGCGAAAGGATCCTCGCTGTCGCCTGTAGGCGGAAGACGCGTCGAGATGGGAGCAGCTTCTTCTTCCGGGAGTTCGTCGTCATCGAAATCTTCGTAGTCGACCGCATCGTCTGCCTTCTCTCCCACTTCTAAGTCACGCGACAAGAAATCGAACTGCGGGCCACCGTCTTCGTAGTTGTTCAACTGTCGCATCACATTTTCGAATGCGTCATCCGGCGGGGCCTCGGAGGCCGAATTCTGGGTAGCATGGGGCATTTTGAAGGGAGACACGATGAATGAAATGAAGGAGGGCGTGAATGAGACCAAGGGCTATACCGAGAGTCGGTCTGAACAGGCCAGACGGAAGCGGGCGCAGGCCAGGCAGGCAAATAATGCGGTCAAGAGGCACTCATTTGATATTTGCTGTGCTGTCCACCGATTGCAAAATAGAGACCGCCCAGTCGAGATCGGGAAAGAGAGCGTGTGTAGGGCGAAAGTGATTCGAGAGTTGTTGGAGGGAAGAGCGTTGCGCGAGATGGCGGAAAAGGCACCGACACGCTAGCCTGATTGGGCAATCAGCTTCATGCTGTGAAGACAACGAAGTATACCACAGCTAGTCGTATAAAGGGATTAGGCAGTAGAGTACATAGAATTTCAATCGCTCAGAAACAAGAAATAAATAAGACGTTATTGTACATTAAGATCACCGTAGTAAATGCATAGCGCTTTGCTGTGACCTTCCATGCAATAGTGCATCACCATTGCCTTTCTACCATCAGGAACAAACTTTGCCAGCTGTTTCACGTCCGATGTTCTCAGGAAGGAAAAGAGCCATATGGGGAGTGAAGACCGAAAACTCCTTGTAAAGTGTTTCTAAAGAGTATGGTTCCATGGTGCGGAGATTGAACACTTCATCAGATCTGTATCCGGGACCTGTTATAACTGGGTCAGCGTCATCTTCTTCCCATGAAATGAAGGACACTTACCACCCCAGGGAGGACTGGCAAAAATGACACTGTAAGGGGCCAAGTCTTTGAGTTGATTTTTGAGAATTTCGAAGCAATCACCCTCAAACCAAGTGATTTGCTTGTCGACGCCATAAATCTTAGCATTGTGCTTGGCGCATTGTAGAACAGCCGGGTTCTTCTCAATCGCATATACTCTTTTCCATTTGCCTGTCAATGCGAAAGCGATACTGTTCCCACCAGCGCCTGCAAAGGCATCAATCAAAATGCTGCGCCCAGTCGGCGCCGCCTCTGCCATGTGTTTTGCTATTTTGCTGTTCAAAGAGTAAGCTAAATGACCTAGGAAATGGAAGAGAATTTGACTGACTTGGCGACAGGTTCCGCAGTGACCCCAAACCAGGCATCGTCTGTCAGCCATACTCCCTCATCATACTTGGAGAAGATGCGGTGACGCTGGTTCCAGTAACTAGAGAACAAGTCAGTTCCGGCTGGTGAGATCTTCGAATGCTCTTACTTTTGGATATCCCACGGGACTTCCTGAATATCTTCATAATGGTGCACTTCTGGAGGCGCTTCCTCCGAGTCTGCCATCATGTCGACTATGCAGGTGTGATGTAAATCGCAAGTCTTCGATAAGTGATAAATGCGATAAATGTTTGTTGTGTTTGCACCTATGTGGCCAGCTCGCATGCTTGGAGTTCGAGGTCAACAACATCCCACCTTCTTACATCTGTCGCCAGAACTTGATCGTTCGTCACAATGTTCGGCGCACTAAATCGATTTATGAGCCGCTTGGATGGTGAACCCATTCAGCAGTCTCGGAGCGGACCGAACGATACTGCCTTTGGTTTCCAAGTCCTCCGCAACAAAGACGCCGAGATCCCCTTGGAGCCATGGTTTGATTTTATTGTTGGAATCAATGGCCATACAATTGTAAAATTACAAGCCTGGGCCTTGATTTACCCCCAATAGCTTTGCTAATACATTACGCAGGAAGATCCGGACCCGAAGCTCTTTGCGACGGAAGTCCAGAATTGCGCCGGCTCGAGCGTGACCCTGGAAGTCTGGAGCGCGAAGGTAAGGAATGCTCATAGGGGTTTCAATATGAGAAAGCCGTCTAAAGTATGAGTTCTGCAGGGCCAACGAACGCATACCGTCAGCGTCCCCGTACCCACGACCAACCCGTCCCTCGGCGTCGCACTCCAGCTTGCCCCCCTTTCATCTACACAGCACATCTGGCATGTCCTCGGGATTCCTTCACCTCTTAAGTCCAGCCTACCGTGCAGGACTGCTTCCGCATTCAGATTATATTATTGGAACACCAAGTGGGACATTACGCGGGGAATCGGCCCTTGGAGAGCTGGTGGAAGACCACCTCAACCGCACTTTAGTCTTGTGGGTTTACAACAGCGAGTTTGACGTTGTGCGTGAAGTCGAACTTGTACCTACTCGAGGCTGGGGTGGTGAGGGCGCCGTTGGTGCGGAGCTAGGCTACGGTGCTCTGCATCGACTTCCTGTGGGTCTAGGTGAAGAGGTGGAAGGACCTGGCGAGGTCGTCTTTGAAACGCGTGAAGATGGCTCTGCCGCAGGTTTCCCAGGTGCTCATGATATCGGAGCGCCTGGAGACTTCTTAGTACCTGCGAATATGGTCGCTCCTCCACCGCTCGCCTCACAAACCAGAGTGACGTCTCCCGGGGACAGCCGCTCACCAGCAAGCCGCCGTTCAGCGAGGGCGCGGGCCGGTATGTCACCCAACAGGGCATTTGATGATTATTTTGCCGAGGGAGAGATGAAGAGTAAGGAGCACGATTATACGCCGTCACGGAAGGGTACACCGCTCCCTCCGCCGCCCAAGGCTGGGGTCTCGCCAGCTGATTTGAAGACCGCAGTCCCCGCCTCAGAAGCAAATGAAGGTGCACCAGGGCCAACGCATGAGGAATAATTCGCATGATCCGCCTAGCCAAATTTCATGTAGAGAACGACGAGTTGCAAACAATATATCAACTGGAATTCCTTCAAATATATTGACCGCTTTGGCTTTCTGTCTATGTGAAAAGCTCATGTTGATTTGTTCATTGGTTGCCTCCGACTTGTTGGGCATACCGACTATACATCATGTCATAGATCTGCAAATCCTGCTTGGCATCAGAAACCGTCGATTTAATGGGCTTGCCATTGACCAAGGCTTCATATAGCTCTTGGAGCTCAGCCGTATACGCATCCTCATACGAAGATAGCACCCGGCGGTGCTGAGCCTCGCCTCGCTCATTCACCTCATCAACCTCCACATAGATCGGTAGTCCCTTGACATATGGACTATCATACTGCAAGGAGTTCAGCAAAATGTCAAAATTGAGGGGAACCGGGGTTGCATACCTTGATGATGACCCTCTTCTTAGCACCATAGACAGCCATGTGCGCATCGAACATTGGAACCTCATCAATACCGCTCTCGTAGGTTGTCGAGAAAGTGGAGCCATCTGCGTTACGGAAAGTCATCATGGCGGTATAGAATGGGTCATTGACGGACACAGCCGCCACATCTTGAGGAAATCCAAGGACTTCGCGCATGAGCGAGATATCGTGTGACCCCAGACTGCCCAGGAAGCGACAATATTTTTGTTTCTCCTCGGTGATAGTCTCATTAGGGAAGGCCTCGGCAAAAAGGGCATTGAGACGAGCGTCTCGTTCCCCCGAGGCTTCAGGTGGGTAGTCGGAGTTCTTGGCTTGGAATGTACCACTCTGGTTAACGAAGCTCGTGTTTGGACCGCTGAAGTCGCGGACGCGAGCGTAGAGAATTTTGGGAATCGTCGCAATCTCTCTCTTGAAAGCTTCCAAGAAACTTGGTGCATAGCGACGCATATACCCAACGAAGACGCGAGCACCATTGGGAGCGTTCTTCTCGGCATCAATCACTGCATCCAAAGATGGCAGGGAGAGCGTCACTGGCTTCTCGATAAAGACGTGCTTTCCGGCTTGCAGACTGGCACAAGCTAGTGGAGCATGGCTCTCATCGGAGGTTAGGATGAAGACCACGTCGACATTGGGGTTGTCGATGACCTCCTGGGGCTTGGTGGTCTTGTGCGGGATGTGGAACTTGGTGGCACAGTGATCTACTGTTTTCGCGGACAAGTCACAAATAGATTCGATTTTGAAGAGATGTGCGAGGAGTAACAGGCATGGACCGTGGCACACCTGAAAGACTTCCTACATCATATCATGCTGTTAGCCTGTTCGAATAGCTCGATAGGTGAAGTGGCATACCCCCGCACCAATGATGCCCAATTTTAATGTTTGAGTCATCTTTTGAAGCTTTTTGCGAGGCTGACGCTTTATCGTTATTGAATTATTCGTGGATTGATCAAGGAGATGGCTGTCAAGCTTAAATCTGTGTGCGCGTTGAAGTAAACTTGGTTTGGGCTCGGTTTCGTCATGCTATCTGAGGTCGCCGATGTGGGGCGCATGCTCGTACCAGGCCACGAGCTATTTCGCCATGAAGAAGAAGAAACTCCTGAGAAGTGCGTTCTCTCATATCGAAGCACCTGAATAGCCCAAAACGCCCTGATCTGACTGGTAGTGGCGTGGGTACTGCATTTACTTGGGAGCAAAGCCAGACCTTACTCTACGGGGGCATTGCACATTTCATGAAGACTTTGGTCAAACAAAGGGGATAGCCGGGTTATACTTCGGATCTACGAGTTCTAAACGTACATATGCAACAAATGAACACCCCTAACCACGGGTAGTAACAGACGATATCAAACCAAAGCCGTTCTAGTGACCCTTGCTGACCAGCTGCTCGAGCTTCTTGCGAGCCTCACCGATCTTATCCTCCATCATCTGACGACCCATAGCGCTGTGCGCAATGCCTGTATGCCAGATGTGCTCCGCACGCTCCCGAGCGGCTAAGTGCTGGTTCGCAACAGCGGGGAATCGCTTCTCATACTCCCAAGCCAAATCGGAGACATTCCGCATAGTCACGGGCAGGAGAGTCCAGGCAGCGACGGTACCGAAAGCGAGAGGGGACAGGGTGCGAAGGATGATGCCGCGGTTGCGAGACACAATGGAGCCGGCCATGGCGGCAACGACGACGTAGATACCGCCGGGGGTGAGGCGCTCACCAGACTCGGGAGAAGGAGCGAGAGACGCAACAGTGTTGGTGAAGGCGTTTTCGATGTGCAGGGCTCGGGACAGGAAGTCATTGAAGCCATTCTCCGCGGCAAGGGAGTTTGAGTAGAGGAAGAGACGGGCTTGCCGGATCTGAGCGGTCAAGATGTCTGTCGGAGTCGGCGAAGAGGGCTTCGTTTGCAAGGGCGCCAGGGAAATAGTCTGGTTCTGGGGAGCCGGGGTCTCGGGCTCGGGCGCGGCGGCGGGCGTGGGCTTGGAGACTTCGGGGATGTCAGATGGGAAGTCGTCGTAAATGGGTTTCCTCTGTTTTGGGCAAGCAGTCATGTGTCAGATCGGATTTCTTATCGCGTTGCAGTAGCATCAGAATCAATTGGATTATCTAACCTGGCGAGGCTCCTCAGCAAAGGCCGTCTGCTTCGGGTACAGAGCCATGCTTCCAGCGAGGAGAGTGGCTGCGATCGGAGCCACAGCCCGCTAGGGACGAGTTAGTACGTGATTGACACGTCAATGGGATCGGAAGCTCGCGCCACTGGAGACAAGGAAGCATACTTGGTTCAACATCGGCCGGAACGACATCCTGGGGTTGTGGGGTGGAGGAAGCAGGAGGGAGTTGATTGAGGATGAAGCAAAGTCGGGTTCAAGCCAAGACGGGAATTATTCGGCTCGGCGGAAACGCATGAAAACTCCGTCATTGCCCGTCTCCTTCTCTCTCCACGTTTCTTGCCCCGGGGTTCCTTTTGCGTGTTGGCTTTTTGAGGAATCTTTGATTTTCTTGCTCTATACCCTCCCTATAATGCTACGCCCTCTCGGGCGGCGGCCGTGGACTTGCCGCAAGTGTTTGCAGCTACAGTCACGAACTTTCGAGAGCGCCGCATGCCCTGCTCCCCGAGCTCATGTCGACTATGTCCCCGCAGACAATGTCGCACCGAAGAAGAACGCCGACGATGATACCTTACGACGTGTTTTCGACTCTCAGCCATTCTGGAAAGAGTTCTCGCATCCGCGCAGCTCTGCAGTCCCAAAGCGTGCCGGGTTGGTTCAGAATCAATACTTGACCAGCCCAGATGGCTTTAGGACTTTCGCTAATGTGTCGCTGCAAAAATGTCAGGCGATTGTGGCCAAGGTCCTTGCAGCTTCCACTCTAGATGAATATCGGGGATTGGCAAGGAATTTGGACAGGCTCAGTGATCTTCTCTGTCGCGTGATTGACCTTTCGGATTTCATTCGGACGATACATCCCGATCCAAAGATTCAAGAAGCTGCAACGCAGGCGTACGCACTCATGTTCGAGTATATGAACGTTTTGAATACAACTACAGGCCTTCACGAGCAACTCGTCAAGGCCATGGCCAACCCTGAAATCACATCGTCCTGGACCGAGGCGGAGATGATCGTGGCGGAGATTCTCATGAAAGACTTTACAAACTCTGCGATCCATATGCCGACAAACGAGAGACAACGATTTGTGAACCTTTCGAACGACATTAGCCAAGTTGGTTCCAACTTCTTCAACGGTGCCGAGCCGGCTAAGTCCCAGTTGGTCTTCAACGCGAACAGCCTCCAGGGGTTAGACCCAATGGTGGTCCAGAAAATAAAGAGATGGAATAACAAAGCACCAGTGCCCACCATGGGTATCATTCCCCGTCTGGTGCTTCGATCTGTACGGGAGGAGTCGGTCCGAAAAGAAGTGTATCTTGCTAGTAGGACATCGAGCTCGCGCCAGATCCACCGCCTCGAGAAGCTTTTGATGAAGCGATCTGAATTGGCAAAGCTGTCTGGCTTCAATAGCTTTGCTCACATGACACTGAGCGACAAGATGGCCAAGACACCGGAATCGGTATCGAATTTCTTGACCTCGCTCATTTCAAGCAATCGAGGACCTGTGAGTGAAGAGCTCGCCCAATTGCAGCAAATGAAGGGCAGCTCGGCGCTTCAACCCTGGGATCACGCCTATTATGTTCATAAGCGCGTGCTGGAGTATTCCCAGGCCCGTCGTTCTCGTGAGTTGAGCGCTGTTCCCGAGTTCTTCTCCTTGGGGACTGTTATGCAAGGTCTTTCACGGTTATTTGATCGTCTGTACGGTGTGCGTCTTGTACCTCAAGAAACGACTCCTGGTGAGACTTGGCACTCAGATGTGCGTCGCCTGGACGTGGTGGATGAGAATGAGCAGCATATTGCTGTGGTTTACTGTGATCTCTTCTCACGACCGGAAAAGCACCCCAACCCGGCTCATTTCACTCTGCGCTGCTCACGCGAGATTTTGGCCGATGAGATTACTGAATGTGCCTCGATGGACCAGTCGGCGCACCCGAACGATGGCATGGCGACCGCGGTGGATCCGCGCACGAAGACTCTGCGTCAATTGCCAACGATCGCACTCGTTTGTGATTTCCAGGAACCGAGTTCGAACGGCTCGGGCCGTCCAACCCTCTTGAGTGAACAGAGCGTGCGTACCTTGTTCCACGAGATGGGCCACGCGGTGCACTCCATTCTAGGTCAGACCCCTCTCCAATCCATCTCTGGAACGCGTTGCGCGACAGATTTTGCCGAGCTTCCCTCTGTGCTCATGGAGAGCTTTGCCACTGCCCCTGAGGTGCTCTCCCTCTATGCCCGACATTGGCAAACCGGGGAGCCCCTCTCCGAAAGCATGATGCGCAGCATGGAGATGGATCGAAATGCGCACGGTTCCATCTACGGTGCTGTTGAAAATGAGGCCCAGATTCTCATGGCTCTCGTCGATCAAGCCTACCACGCTATCCCGTGTGATGATGCGATCAAGGGCGTGGATACTACCGAAATCTACCACAAGGTCTTCTCCCAATATTCCAGCTTGCCTGATCCGGACAATGTCCGCCCGCGGACCTCATGGCAAGGGTTTTTTGGACACTTGTACGGCTATGGGGCTACATACTACAGCTACATCTTCGATCGCGCGATCGCCAACAAGCTTTGGCAAGACGTGTTCGATTCAGGCAAGTCGGCCGTGGACCGAGCCGCCGGCGAACGCTACAAGAACGAGGTCCTACGCTGGGGCGGTGGACGCAATGGCTGGCAATGCGTGGCAGGCGTTCTAGGGGATAAGAACCCCTCGAATACCAACGGTCGATTGGTGGAAGGTGGCGATGAAGCCATGCGCGAGGTCGGTCGTTGGGGCCTGGGACGCGACGGCATCTCCGGATAAGACAAGGAGAAGCCCCTTGTAATATTAAATGATATCCAACACATTAGCTATAAATCGCAGTCTGGGGTTCAGCCCCTGGCACACTACCTACAGTGCTGGCAAATCCCAAGGTATAGCCCGTATCTTGACAACCGCAAGGCCGGCAAAGCTTGCCAATGTGCACATGAGGATTTGTCTCAGACGCTGTGAAGCCACCCCCGTAGGGTTGGCGCAAAGCAACGCAGAATGTCTCATTTTCTTTCGCGTCTGAGCGCGATTAGACTGCATTTTTCAATCTATAATCATACTGTAATGGATCCGTTCATTGAAAAACATTCAAGCCATTTACATTTATGAAATCATGAGATCTGGACGAACTCTGGAAGCGGAGACCGGCTCGCTTGGTAAGACATCTGCCCTAATCGTTCGCGCGCCACTATGCACTGGCTGCATGGTGGCTGGCTGTCGTAGCACTCCTGAGGGGATGTCCATGGTCTAGCGGGGACTAGGCGGGGGCTCCTGATAGCATTCTCAAGCTTCCGAAGCCGCCTACATTTGGTCCTAAAAGTAAGTGATTCCAGGGTTCGCGTTGTAGGCTACCTAGTGTTCCTGCTTGGTGTGCGAGGTTCGCGTTTACATCACCTGGCACCAAACCTGTCTCCCTTGGCATGCGTCAAAGCTTTTTCAATTACAGATATCATTCTATCACAAGCTTCTCTTCAGATTCTCTTATACCTCGGAAGGGGTTGATGTTGCCAAGGCGTGGGTTTCCCGTCATTCCAGGGTTCAACAAAATGTCGCATTCGAGCTAACAATAATACAAGGCACAAAAGAGACATCAGTACTTGAGAATTCTCCCGTCGGACTATCGAGATCCTGAGTACACGGACGATTCATGTGTGAACTGTTCTCCTTCATCACCTATTTGTGATCACACCCAGGCGTCTGAGCAATGTTATTCACCGCATCTCTCCAAAGCCCTGGGAAATGTCCCAAAGACAATGAATCCGTGGGCTCTAGCTCTAGCTCGTCTTTTAACATTGCATATCCATCTTTTGCACCTCCGTCCCAGCTACGCCGGGTCAAGACGGTTTCACAACTCACCAGATGGGTATCAAAGAGGTTGTCCCGATCATCCTGAGCGGTATAACCGACAGAACAGAGCTCAGCGAAAAAGAATCTCAACAATCTTGAACTCGCGATCAACACAAGCGCGGGCACTGGTCCTGAGACGAACGGGAGCTTTGACTCCGCCAGGCCTTTGCTGCGCAATTCAACAACCAGAGCATCCAAAGCAATCAACACAATCGCAGAAGACTTAAAGTCATCGCCAAACCAAACACCCGAAAAAGCACAGGACATCCGACTGCGCGATTCATATTCGGCTTTTTGTGAACAGTTCACGATGTCAGGACCACAGAGACCGAAGAGAAAGTTCGACATCTCTATGGATACGTGCGAGAAAGAAGAGGAGATTCTAATCGATGGATATCCCAGGGTCGGTTATAGCGACTCGCCAAGCGATGATCAGAAGAAAGCAATCCCCGAATGTCAACAAACCGTTTCCAAGGCTACGAGCAGCATCGTGCTAGACAGGACAAGGTCCCTTGAAAGTATCTGCTTGGGCCAAAATATTACCCCTTCCATCATTCACCCCCAACCACCACCCCAGATCATGACGCCGTTGATATACCGAGACATGCAGCAAGCTGCACTCAAGTGCAAGCCAGCGAAAAGAAAGAAATTACTGGGACCATTGAGATCTTTGTTTTCGAAGGCGCAGCCTTTCCGGGCACATCGGTTGGATATCGAGACGTGACGTTGATTTTAATGAATAGACGATCAAAGTAAATATAATTCAATTCATTCATAAGAAGAAAGAGAAAGACACAATACCCACTGAGACTGTCATGTACATGATGGCGAGGGTTTTGATAGTTACGGTGATGTCCTCGGAATCTCAACACAATCGAGTGGAGGAAACAAAGACACATGAGTGATGAAGAGTCTGTCGATGCCCTGTCGATTATCAGCTAGGGCTCTACATGTAGTGTTACTGTCTTTAAATTTCCTTATCATTGATGAGTTGAAGTGCTCCTTGCTGTATCGTGACGTTCTTAGGAATCCTCGTTGCTCACATCTAAGACCTGTGCTGTGACATGTGAATGGCGTCGATTGAAATTTTGCCGACCAACTCCCGCTAGGGGCGGCATAAATTTCAATCAGACGCCATTCTCAGTGTCCACACATTTCTTCGGAAGATCCTGCTACGTCTGAATATCCTGTTTGCGAACACATCCGTTCATGCGAAGACAGACTTCAACGCTAAGCTACTCATAATCTGGTGTAAGACTCTCGACCGTATGCGGTGGAAGCACATAAGATATGACAGGCTCTTGATATCCATATGGAACACCTGATCTTCCCATCAGATTGGAAACTACGCCCTTTATTCATCTTCATCTTGGTCTTGGGTAAAAGCAGCCAGGATCCTCTTTCCCTCTTCGACATCATCTTCTTTCCACGGCTTCAGGCCAAAAGATTGCATGAAATGCGTCCATCCTCCATACGACTTCACGATCGCTCGTTCAGCGGGGGTGCACGGCGGTGCTGCAGGAGTGTTAGATAGCAACGGGCCAGGGGTGATTTAGGAAGGACTTACCGAGTGCGTCAGTACTGGGCATTTCGATAGGCTGCCAGGGATGGTTGAAGCAAGAGAAATATTGGGGTTTGATGAAGATAGAGTGAAATGATATCTTGGTTGTTGTGAGAAGGTGTTGGAGAAGATGAAGTTCCTCAGTTTGATCGGCGGTGACGGAATCCATGGGATTTCTTCGTGATTCTATGCATGTTTATCTCATTGTAAACGTGACTAGACTGCAGAGGGACCGCGCCACGCCACAACATACAATATAAAGAATCAAGAATCCTAGAGAATCGGAGCATGCCCGAAGACGTTACTGTCCAGGCAAGGCCTTGGAATGTCAATTTCTTTAATTACAACATTCATTTACAGGAACCTGCAAACCCGTGAACGACACAAACAACACAAATTTCGACATCGATAGCTGCCACTACGGCCAGGTGAAATAAACTGTTGTGGTAGGGGAACTGCTGACTGCATGAAGAAGCGGTCTATCGGATGACTAGGGCTTTTGTGATGTTTAAGACTTTCTGCGCTCAGGATAAACAAGACAGACACACTTTCTCTTCCAATCCGACCCTATGTGTTCTCCTCCCCTATAGTCCTTCCTCTTGTGTGTGTGTGTATGTGTGTGTGTTGCTCAGTCTGCATTGCCAGACAGCCATCGAGCCATTCCCACTTCAGTATGGAGATGACAGCATCGTTATTCGAGTACAGAGTGGTGCACTGCAAATGTACACATATCCCCATTTGGTGAAGACGCTTGAAGACTGAACCAGCTCACTTTGTCGTTTACATCTTCACAGTTTACCCATTTACCCTCTCTATCCGAGCAAAAGCCGCCCAACAGACAAATTTCGTAGACTCGATCGGCCATATCAACGGCTACCTGATAATCTACCGTAAGACAGCCGATATGATTTTATCATAGCGAGGTTACGGTCAAGGTAAGCTCACTCCTGGAGGTCGTTTTAACCAAGACGCCACACTAGAACCAAGAGGTCCGAATGGCTCCTGTTCTAGAAATATCGATTGGCCCCAAAGGGATTTCCGAATTACTTTTGTCAAATTCGCGGGACGATACTTACGCACGAGCTGGCAATTCATGTACGGAATCTTGAGTAACCCACCGAATCATTGCAGGTCCAAACCTTGGCTGATGTCGACACCAAAGCGCTAAAGATTGACGAGCATTCGACAGAAAGGGCTGGAAAGTAGATCATTTCGAAGCATACTCAACAACCAGCCTACACGAGATATGCAGACCAGTTTATAGCAGTAGGCGATATAATTAAACATGGAGAGTCGGATTTAAAAAAGTCCGAGCATAAGACAGGGTATCCTGGGTCCTGTTACATACATCGAAGCCGAGGCCAAATGAGTGAAACAGGATCTAACAAAGAGCGAGCATGCAAACGCTAGCGACGGATGATTAAGTGCATTCGACGTGCGAACACGGGTACTACCGTGCAGAGGACACCTCTTGCTGACTGCGACTACTGTCAGACTCAGGGCCGGATGCGAGCTCAGGGCGGGGAGTGGATGAGAGGCTGCGGGTGTCAGGGGTAGCGCGGCGGGAAAGCTGGGCCAATTCGCCGATGAGTCTGCATGTGATATCTGTGAGCAACCGAAATGAGGGAGGGGAAAAAAATCCGGTGAGTAGGTACTGACTTTTGATGCTCGCCGTACCACTCGTCGTTTGAGAAGCGGATGTGCTTAATCTGTTCCTGAATGCTTGCCATCTACGGAGAAGATGATTAGTCTATGAACGTAATGTTTTTCATGTAAATGGATGAAAGTCGGGCAAATATGAGGAGTAGGAAGACTTGAAACGGGGATCTCCCACCGTTCCCTCGATGGATGAACCAAGGTCAAGGTCCTCACCTTCTGTGGCTGGACCTCCCTCAGCTTTCTCTTCGCCCTCCTCTGCGGAGGCCCATTTGCTGGCCTCAAGGCCAGATGAGGAGCTCTTAGTGTTCGATGCCTTTAAGGCAGCAAGTTCGGCCTCAAGCTCACGGACGCGGCGACGGCTGCCAGAAATTGCAGCATCCACGTCGCCAAGTTGATTGAGGAGTTGCATGTTCTTGTCAATCTGCTCGCCAAGGTCACGCTCACCGGCGGCAAGCTTCTCCTCCATGATCTTGGCGGTGGCTTGGTACTCTTCCAGCTCTTCGCTGGTGTTGGCGTGCTTCATCTTCAAAGTCTCGTACTCCTCACGGTACTGAGCAAGCTGCTTCAAAGCAGAGTCCAGCTCTGATTTGCTACTGCTCGAGGCGGCGGCGGATTTTTGCAGGTCTTCGACCTGAGTGATAGCCGCGTCATGCTTCTGGCCGAGCTCGGCGTGGGCGGCCTGAATCCTGGAGATCTCAGCAGCGTGCCTCTCCTGGAGGTCCCGCAAAGCAGAGACAGCGGTTTCTTGAGCCGTAGCATGGGTCTTCTCCGAAGCAATCAGTTTCTGCTCGAGCTCTGCAATGGTCGCCTTCAAACTATCGAGAACGGAGGTGTCTTGAGCAACAGCCGTAGCCTGGGCAAGCTGCTCATTGACGCTAGCCAGAGCAGCCTCGTGAGTTCGCTGAAGCTCATCAATCTTTGTGTTGTGCGATGCCTCAAGCTGTTCCTTCACACCGGCCACCTTGGCTTCCTGGAGAGTCAGGAGCTCCTCGATGGCCTTACCATGCTCGGCATCGGCATCAGCCGCCTTAGATGTCTGCACGGCCTGAAGCTCGATCTGCAGCCTGGCCTTGGTCTCCTCAAAGCCCTGCTGGAGGTCGGCAACTTGCTTGGCGTGAGATTCCTGGTCGACCTTGCTTGAAGCCCGAAGAGATTCAAGCTCGGCTTGCAACTGGGCCTGGGTCTCAGCGAACTGCTTCTGGAATTCAGAAGTCTGCTTGTCACGAGAATCGGTGTGAGCGGCAATTTCTTCAGCGTGGCGCTCCAAAGCCGACTTCAGCTCAGTCTCAAGCGCCTCAACGCGAGTGGCATAGGTGATGTGGGCAGACTCGAGTTCTTTTTTCTTTAGAAGAAGATCGTCGTGCTTCAGCTGGAGCTCCTCCAGAGCACCTCCCTGAGAGCTGGAAGCCTCCTGTCTGACACGCTGAAGTTCAGCAGCGTGCTCAACCTTCAAGGCCTCCAGTTCCATGGCGTGCTTCTCAGCAACAGCGGCAGCCTGAGCGGTCTGCTCATCCAGAAGTCGAGTCGCCTCGGCAGCCTTGTCTTCTAAAGCCTTCATCTTGCTATCCTGCTCCTTTAACTTGCGGTCGTGCTGGGCGTCCTTCTCCTGGAACTGGCTCTCAACATTCTTCAAGCTGGTGTGCAGCTGCTCAGCCTCAGCCTGCTTGGCCTGAACTTCCTGCTGCAAAGCCTTGATTTCGCCAGATCCAGTGGCCAGCTGTGTCTCCAGCAATTCAACCTTGTGGCGGAGAGCATCAATTTCTCTAATCGCATCCTCTTGAGCAGAAGCCTTGCCCTCCTCAAGAGCGGTGCGGTAATCAACAAGGGCTTTCTCGGATTCCTCGAACTTTGCCTGCAGAACCTTGAGCTCTACCTCATGCGCAGCCGTCAATTCTGCAATAGCGCTTTCGTGGTTGCCCTGGGTGGCAGACTTAGCAGCCTCCAATGAGTCGCGAAGCTCCTGAAGCTGCCGGGAGTTCTCGGTGCCAGTAGACTCGGCCGCAGTCTTAGCGAGAGCAAGTTCCTCGGCGTGGGATGCAGAAAGAGAGCTCAAGGCGCTGTCATGCTCTGCCTTGAGATTTGCAATTGCAGCCTCGTGAGAAGTCTCCAGCTCCTTCAGCTGGGAGCTAATGTCACTGGTAGCGCCATCCTGAGCCTCCTTTAGTTCGCCCTGGAGCTTCTCAAGTGCCTCCTTGAGCTCATTAATCTCAGTTTCCTTTTCAGTGAGCGAGCTGGTGATCTCCTCGGGCTGCTGGGCAGCAGACGCCGCCTCGACAAGCTTGGCTTTTAGTGATGTGACCTGCTCCTGCAGTTCGGAGATCAAGACGTTCGACGCCTCCTTGGCAGCAATGATCTCTGAATCCTTGGAAGTAGTGAGCCTCTTAAATTCGTTGTTCAAGTTATCGATGACTTGATCTCGGCCGTTCAGCTCGCGCTCAAGGCTATCGAGAGCCAAAGCCTTCTCCTCTTGTTGGCTAGCCTTCTGCGACTCAAGCTCTGACTTCAGCAGATTGATCTGCTCTTCAAATGAAGCAGCGGCAGCCTTGTGATCTGCGACCTCCTTCTCTATGGCATTTAATTGAGCCTTGTGGTTCTCCTTGAGTTCCTCAAGAGCAACAGCGGTCTCGCGATCGCCGGAAGCCGTGGCAGACTGCTTGGCCTCCTCCAATTCCTTCTGTGACTTTTCTTCAAGTTCCTTATTCTGAGACTCAGCCTCCTTAAGACGCGCCTGTAGGGACTGAAGTTCCTCCGCATGGGCAGAGGTCAGCTTCTCAAGCGCTGCTGCGTGCTCTGCATGAACGGAATTGGTAACGTCGTCATCCTTGGCCATATCCTCTCCAGAGACAGACAACTGGCTAAGCTTCTCGTTTACGGAATCAAGCTCGGCCTTGAGGCTGGCAACCGTCTCCTCACTCTCCATAAGCTTGGACTGGAGAGCCTGCAACTTTTCCGTATCACCGGCATTTTTTGTGGCACTGGACAGAGTGCTCAATCGCTTCTTGGCAGGATCTGTCGACGAAGAAGACGTGCTTGGCCGAGTGGTAGTGGACGTAGTCGCCGGGCGAGTCAGAGGTCGAGTCGCAGTAGTAGATGTGGTAGTACGGCTGGCGGGTCCAGTCGCAGAAGTGAGTCGACCAACGGGCTTGCTGGTAGAAGTAGCCGCACGTGAAGCGGTGGTGCTAGTGGCTGGCTTCTTCTCCAGACTTGAGCCAGCGACACTCGATCTGCGGTCCAGAGTTGAGGAAGTCTTCAATGGGGCCCGAGTTGAAGCTGTACCAGCCATAGACATGCGCTTGGCTGTGCTGGAAATACCACGCTTCTCATCGCCAGAGCTGGCAATTGACTGAGGCTTCTCATCCGCAGAGCTGCTGACGGAGGGTCGGGATCGATGAGATGAAGTTGTCGACGAGCTCAAAGGCTTCCGAGTGGCTGAAGTTGTTGTCGGCCGAGTTGGGGGCTTGCTCAGCGAGCTCGTAGAGGAAGTCGCGGCCCGCGTGGTCGAGGTTGCGGTCCTTGACGTGGCCGTCGAAGAGGATGTGGGCCGTTTAGCAGCCGTGGAGCTCGACACTGGACGCTTAGATACGGAGGTAGTACCAGTGGAGGTCTTGACTGAAGATACTGGGTCATTCTCCTTGGATGCCTCGGGGCTCGACTTGCTGGCATCCTCGCCGCCCGAGAGCATTGACAAGTCTACCGGGGTAGCCGGGGGCGCGATTTCGACATCCGTATCAACGGCAACATTCACAGGCTCTTCGGTAGACGACATTTTTTATCAATTGAAGCAATTAGGGTAGGTGGTGTGTCAATGTAGACAGAGGGACAAGCGCGGGCGCAGAAATCAATTGCACAGAAAAGGGGTCTGAAAAAGAAGAGATCAATTAGCAACTGACAAACAAAGACAAAGATACGAAGTCTTGAAACGGCTGTCATGCAGGTTTCTGTACAAATTCCAAGCACTCCAGGGGCCCATGCATGGGTATACTCATGCAAGTCAAGCCGCGAAGCTCAGTGCCAGCAGGAAATGACAACCCCGACAGACCCGATGATATGTTTCGGCAAGAGATCTGACAGCTGGCAAGATATGTGAGGTGATACAGTCGTAGAATGAAATGCTTTGCGAGCCTTTCGTCCGCTGCCGAGGAATTGGGTCCAAAAAAAAACCAGGAGTACTTACGCGCTACGCACAGGTCAGAAGCCTCAGGGGTGAGAGAGAGAGAGAAGGTCCTCAGCAAAATACCTGACGTTCCACCAGAATGGTGACCAGGAATTAGAACAGAAATTATCAAGAGTCTCCAAAGGCGCAAAGATGCTTGGACGTAAAAGTAAAGAGGGAAAAGGAGAGAAGCGGGAAAAGTGAAAGCGGTGTCTCGGAGGAGGGGGGGGGGATCGTCGTTGCTCCATGCACTGCGCACTGGTCTCAGGGCCGCCTTAACTATATCCCAAGACGTGTTTCTCAAGGTTGGGAGTATATTGCTCGGTTCAAAATATTGAACAAACAGACTTGTTTCATAGTCTGTCAGTATGAGGTACAGCCTTTGTGCCACCCATCGTGCCGCTCCATCAAAAGGAGGTCTAACCTATGAATACCATTTAAACTTTTGCCCGGATTCAGTCAACTGCAGCCATATAGAGTCTGCTGCATATTCCTAGATTCATCAATATCGGGGTAACGATGCACGATTCGAGTGCTATAACCTGCAAAAATTGGCGTGAGAAGCCCTGAAATGGACTGACGCGCCTTTGTTTTGACCAAAACAATGTCATCCATGGTTCATGTCTCTACCCGAACGGGTTCCATCGGAACCAACCTTACCTGGAATACTCAAGACTGGACATTTATACAACCCACTATCATTTCATATACTGTCCTCCCAAGAATACAATCTCAACGGCCCTGTACATTTGACTCCACAGATTTTTCTCGACATACGTTTGGGCACTCTATTTAGGTGCCTTTTCCAGAATCTCCCTTCATAAGTCTTGGAACTCCTCAGGTGTGATCAGTCACGGTCGCCTCTTGAAATTTCATTTATATAATTTTCTTGGTCAGGCGTGGAAGGAATCTAAAGCCGGTGTATCTCAAAGCGGAGAAATTGAGACTTCATTGAGCCCACGCGGTAGGGTATATAGCGAATAAACAAATGTAAATAAACACGCCTGCAATGTCCAACAGTGGATCATGCTTGATGCAGAGCGATATCTGAAACTTCCCCCAGCCAAGGACATTGACGGAGAACCCCGGTTTGGCGAGCTTGGTCTAACAGCCTCCTGGTCTCATCCTCCAAATCCCCAATGGTTCGCCGAAAAAGTCGGTGCCCCAAGTGACGTTTAATCAACACGTAGCGATCGTTTCCTAAAGACGTGATGAACGTTAGACTAATCATAGTTCACGGGAGACCATAACTCAGGATACTTACCGTGATATTGCTGCAGTCCTTCCATGAGCGCCAGTCCTTCCTGCCGGGTCCATGGCTCTTCTGGCTTCGAATTCACATTGAAGATTGTGGATTCCTCGCTCTGGGTCCTAGCGTGCAGATAGTTGAATATATGTCTCATAGGGGGGATAAATGGGCCGAGTCCAGTCGGACGCATTTGCAAAATCGTCTTCCTTGACTAGGTATCTCGACTCGACTGCCTCCCTGATCTTCAGACTGATTTGTATCAAGAGCAATAGAGTGTCCTGGACTTGGGCGTTTGCTGATTCTCCTAACATTCGATACAACTTGAAGCCGTAAAGCATCAAAGTGATGATCCTGGGTATGATATACGCTTGAAACTGATCAATCAGATATGCGCTAGGCTCATCCTTCGTCTCCCACATAGCGTAACGCCTTAGCCGCACAAACTCCAGGAATAGCGAGTCTTTGAGGTTTCGGAGATCCCTTTTGAGATCGGATGATAAATATTCTATCTCCAGTATCTCCTTGTAGATGTGACGAAGCTCAGAAATTATGGCAAATGCAGCACTCAGTTCGTCGGGCTTCGGTCGCGATGCCTGTTTTCTTAACCATTTTGACTTCTGAAGTAGGAATCGCGATTCATTTTTCAAATCTAAAAGCTCCATCTCTTGGTCGAACCACTCCTGCAACTCTCGGCGGTAAGCTCGATCAAGATTTGTTTCGGTTTGGTGTTGTTCATTGAATTGTGAATCCACAAGTTGTGAATCGAGAAGCTCTTGAATTTCCGGGCTTCCTTCAGCTTGATGTTGATCGGAGATTTCAGGGTCGCTTTGGACTTCAAACTGCTCAAAAAACTCGGTGGGAAGCTTGTTTCTTGGCTGAGCGGGCGCAAGTCGCGGGGTCTCTGGGATGGAAGGGGTTGAAGATGGGGAACCAGGCACGTTGTTGTTGGCATAATTCACGTCGCCGTCATCATAGGAGCGGCTCAGGCTTGCGAATGAACCATGGCTACCGAGTTCCTCCGACTGTCGATTCTCAGCAGGCTTATCTTCGTCGTCTTCGCGATCTATATCTTCGCTCGACCCTGCGGAGTCGTCTGACTGCGCATCATCCTCCGGTTGCGCGGTGTAATTTTCTTCATCATCAGATGAACTGGGCTCGGGTGTCGAAGGGCGATTCTGGCTCCGAAGGCCACTGCGGAGTGGTCTCGAGGGCGTTTCCGGTAATCCTGCGGGTTCAGGCGAGACGGGGACATCGTAGATATTTGCGCGATGCGTCGTGTGTCTTCTCTGCGGCGCTTTGCTGGCAGTAGCAGGGGTCTTCTGAGTCACCGAGTTATTGACATTGTTGAGAATATTCCAAGGTTCCGTCTGACGTGCTCTTCGCGTTCTAGCGGGTGCCATCGCGTGGGGTACGCCTCTGGGATTGAAAGCAAGGGAGGTGGAGAGCTGATGAAATAGCTCCGGTGGAGAACCTCAAAACACGTCGTCATCCCGCTTACCCCTCCATCTTCAACCTCCCCTCCATTCAGACTTCACTTTCAGTATGGGTACCGACGGTCAAATCATCCGTGTTCTTCAGAAATTGGACCCTTCTACTACTCACAATTTTATCGCGCCCGTCAAAAAAATTCACGAGGGTCAAGATGTGTCAACCTTCCTCACCTCCAAAGCCTACGCGGACATTATGACCTTTTTGCTCCAGTTAAACCGGTCAATGTTCCCAACGAAACTTCCCGACGGTACAGTACAAACGTGGCAATTAGGTACAGAGGATGTTCAATTCTCTGCTCCGGTTCGACAGCTACAGGGTCTTCTTTCGAAACTCGAGGATATTATACAGGAGGTTCCCCCAGACACTGGGCCGAGGCGATTTGGAAATATCAGCTTCAGAAGGTGGCAAGAAGTGTTGGTGAGCCGAGCGTCTGACCTACTCCGGGAGTTCTTGCCCGCAGAGCTCTTAGATACGCCATCTTCCACAGCCGATGGTCCTACCGCCGAGTCGGAGTTGAAGGCATATTTCCTGGGCAGCTGGGGTAGTGGTCAGAGATTGGACTATGGGACTGGTCATGAGCTGAGCTTTCTTGCGTTTCTGGGCGCGATTTGGAAGTTGAATGGGTTTCCCAACGCCGACCCTGGAGTCGAGGAGCGGTCTATCGTGCTTGGTGTGATTGAACCGTGAGGAATCCTACAAATCCGAGTGATCTGACCCATCTGACTAGGTTTTTAGATATCTGGAACTTATCAGACACTTGATTAAAACATATTCCCTTGAACCCGCTGGCTCTCACGGAGTCTGGGGACTTGACGATCACTCATTCATTCCATATGTCCTGGGGTCAGCCCAGTTCTCACCTGCCATCGACGAATCCGATCTGACCCCCGAAGAAGGCTCATTACCCGATGCACCTGACCCGGCTGGAGTTATCAAATCCAACATCGTGGAACGGGAGAGGAAAACAAACTTATATTTCTCGGCCATTGGCTTCATCTATGATGTCAAAAAAGGTCCATTCTGGGAACATAGCCCAATGCTTTATGATATCTCGGGTATCAGAGCCGGCTGGGGAAAGATAAATAAAGTTTGTCATATCGTTGACTTGTACCTGCTTTATAGCTCTTTAAGCTGACAATTTCTATTTAGGGAATGGTTAAGATGTACAACGCAGAGGTCCTATCCAAGTTTCCGGTTGTGCAGCATTTCCCCTTCGGATCTCTATTCAGCTTTGACCATGATCCAAACGCTATTCCACCCCCAACGACTATCCATGCAACCTCCGGACCCCAGGGACGCCCGGTCGTTCCTGACGCTGGCCATGCTCCCGCCGCTCGGCCGACTATGGACGCAGGAACCAAGGCACCTTGGGCCAATGCGGGAGCTAGCACTCGCGCACCTCCGATGGGGCCAACAGCAGCGCCGTGGGCTACAACAAGGTCGAGCTCGGCGTCGACCACAGTGCTTCCAGATACTCCGCGAATGCCTCCAGGACCCATGGCCCCTACAAGAGCTCCTTGGGCAGACGCGCAGGCCACGCCTCCACCCGGCGGCGATGCACCTATCAAGGCCCCATGGGCCAAGTAAGATGAAATAGTGATACCCAATCTAGCTCGCAGAGAGCGTGAAAAAAGAATACACGATGAACGTTTCAAATGACGCAAACGCCCGTGGGGTATCAAATTTAAAGAATTTCGTAGCAGTGATCTTCGACTACTCAGTATCGGAGGAATAGCCCACCAGCGCTGAGGTTGGTTCTACCGAGCCAGCGAATGGTTCCTGTTTGTCAGTGACTGGTGTAGTCTCTGCTAAACAGCGGGCATCATTCTTCGAAATAGTGTCTGGGTCGGTTGGTGAAGACGGCTTCTTGCGCTTGACACTTGGCCTCCAAATATTCTTTTCATCTCCAACATCGTTGAGAAAAGGATCCACAGCAGCGCGCGTGTTCCCCTTCAACTCATTACGCAGGATTGTCTTGCGTTGCGTAATCAGATCAACCGTACGAGTTCCTGAAACACCACGCTTGCTCTTGTCATGCAATTTGCTGTCAGACAACTTCTTGACCTTTTTCTCTTCGAACATCGGTCGAACTCGAGTCGCACGCGCAGCCACATCTTCCAAGGTTGCCTGATCATCCCCATACTCTATCATTCCCGCTCGTTGACGATCTCCTTCAGTCTCATCAACGAGGTCAAAGTCAAGACTCATCTTATCCTTTAAAGCCTCGCGGTTCGCTTCCAACTTCTCCAGTCCCTTCCTCTCCGTTCGAAACGAGCGCCGTAATCGCTTCGACTTCTCATAAGGATCACCCCAGTCCCTACTCTGTCGCTCCTGCAACTCCAATATCCGACTCGCCTCCGTCCTTGATCGCTGCTTATCCTCGATCTTTCCCTCAAGCTTTGCAAATGGATCTTTCTCAGCCGGATCCTGTGTATAACTAGGCCGAATAGCAATTTCACCAGGTTGCAATTCCTTGTTTTCCCCCGTGTCTCGTTTCCGCCCACCTTCTACAACCACGTAGGCCGTGTTCGCCGGGTCTGTTCGAATTTCGATCCATTTTCCGCATACGGTGTGTTTCATGCGGAAACTGTAGATGGGGGTGGAATGGTAGTTGCCGACTTTCTTCTTCTCGGCATTGAAGCGTACACCTTGCCCGATTATGATCTCGTTCGGTTTGCAGTTTGTGCACCATATTGCGAATGGCATTTCAAAGCGCACGATCAATGCTCCGGTTGTTTTGAGATGGCGCGCGCGCGCGCCCAGCGCATGCTTGCCGGCTAGCTTGTTCGCGGACGTGAGACCTTCTTGGTCTGGAGGGACATACCTGCCGAAAGGTTAGTATGGAGTGTATCAAAGCTAGAGATTCCCAATGCAGCGACGAACCGTCCCATGTCTGGTATTCATGTTAGCTGGTCATTATTGCGCGACGGCGGGGTTACGACATACTGAAGCCCTGCATCTTGATGGGTGGCTGTCGAAGCCAAAGCTAGGTCCCAAAGTCGAGCGGATAAGATAAAAAAAGCGCAACAACAGGCTCGAGCCCTGTAAAGACTGTTGACGGCCTGCGCTCACAAACGGTGTGCTGCCTGCAGAAGACAACTGTCAGGGCTCCGCCACGGAATCTGCAATCGGACTTAACGGGCATAAAATGGCTTACTCAGCACATACAAAATCTATAAAAAAGATCACTGCGTCATTAAGAGAAATGTTTGGTTGAGGACAATTGTGATATGCATGAAAATCGATGAGAGTATCGAAAACTATGTTAAACAAGAAGAGTGCCACCATTAGACTCGATGACGCTACCCGTAATGAACTGATCCTTCATCAAGTAAATGTAGCTCTCGGCCAGATCCTCCGGTCTACCAACAGTACCGGTAGTAGATGAATTCTTAAACATCTCAAGCATGCCATCCAGCTGCTCCTGAGGTAGCCAGCCGAACAACTCAGTATGAACTGCGCCGGGCGATACGACGTTGACACGGATCGGCTTGAGGTCCAGAGCCAGTCCTCGAGCAAGTCCCTCCACAGCAACACTCACAGAAGTCGCAAGGGACCAGCCAGGGGCAGGCTTGCGACCGCGAACACCCCCAGTTATTGTGTATGAGCTCGCAGGCGACTTCTCGACGTACTTGTCAATATACTTGGCCATGACGGCCGCTGCGACAAAGCGCACGTGCATGCTCTTCTGAACAATTTCGGATGTGATATCAGACAAGGGAGGCAATGACAGAGCATCACCGGCGGTAGTAACGACGTGGTTCAGCTTAATAGTGCCGCCGACCGTAGCGACTTGAAAGAGAGCTTCGAAGTTGGCGTCCAGGTTGGCGGAATCAGAAAGGTCGCAGACGTGGGTGGTGATGGTCTGCTTTTCAGTCTGGATAGGGTAGGCTTCCTTCAAGCGAGCAACAGTCTTGTCAAGCTTGGACTGGTTGGAGCTGGAGATTATCACGTTGGCTCCATGCTCGATAGCTGCTTCAGCGACGCAGAATCCTATACCAGAGGTTCCTCCGAGGATCAGGACCCGCTGCCCGGCGAGTTTGTTGGTATACTTGAGAGACGGTGAGGCCATGTTGTATAACTTTGTCCTGGCGAGTGACAGTCAATGCTCGTTAACTATAAAATGGGAATAAAATGGGACCCATGTCCCATTTTATAAGGGGAGGACGTAATGGTGAGTTTCGCCCGGAGATAAAAGCAAGTCACTTCAAGCTCCATGATTAAGTCCGCTGTGGATCTTGACTCGATTTCACAAGTCTGCAACTCGCCCCGAGCCTCCGCAACTTACCCTTGCAACTTGCCCCGAGTCCCCGAGTTTCTTCGGAAGATAGATACTGTACTGCCGATGATTAATAATGCCATTCCCATCGAATGTTCCATTGGTTCTCATCACCCCACGCGACTTCTATACCAAGATGCGTCTACTCTTCGGGCGAAAAGTTCTACCGCTCAACCGTGGCCGCTCAACTGTGCCGAGAATTGTCCGCCTTCTCCGAAGTGCTACAATGCTGTGATTTCCAATAGCAAAATATTTCTCCAGTACAATCTTTGCGAGATCTGAATTGGACCGAGTGAAACGTCAATGTTGGGAGCTTGTGGTCGATTCTCCAATCCTAGGTTGTTGTCTGTGGAACCGACGTGTAGGCCAGCTGATGCGTAGAAAAGTGTCATGTTGAAAATTATTTATCTGGGCATTCCGTGTTATATTGACCCAAGGAAAGGCAAGCAAAGAAATCTACAATCATGAGTCGGAAAAAGTCTCATGACATCGAGGTCTGGCGCTCGTTTTAGTCGTCGGTAAGGTCGGAAGTCTGTCATACCGGTTGAATTTCTAAATTGGTACCATTGAACAGGAAGAAAGGATCAAAAGTAAGGATATCCGCCTTGTTAATCATGTCATGTCAACTTGAAAGTCATGGGGCGCAATGATGCCTTTCTGAGGACATTCTGAGTTTGGTACATTTTACCAGATTCAGAGGCGACGTTCAAAGAATTGTTCCCAATCTGGTCAGTGAGGTCCAAGGTGGCACCCTTGATGTATCAACCATTTCACCAGAAATCATTCTCGTGACCCGACTCGATGGCTAAGTGCAGTGGATCATGTGAATAGTAGACCGCGTGAAAGTACTATTCAGGCGATTATTTCAGGTCGAGAAAAAAAGAAATCAAGCCCGCTCATGGTTGGTAAGTTGCTGTGGCAGCAGCAGAGTGCAATGCCTTCTTCGATCTCTCAATCGAACCACGGTTGGAGTCAAATCCATCTGAGCTCACCATTTGGCGTGCAACGATCATGCAACGGGTCTCTATGGCCCTTGTCAAGAGCAGTAGATGATCTAGATTCATAATGCTAATTGTCAAATAGTCATTTTGAAAATGTCGCGTGAAAAGAGAACCAATCTCAATTGGCAAAGGAAGGGCTTCGAAATGTGGTATAAACAATAGACCATGGCATATTGGCGGAAAGGTAACCTTTTTCTGGTTCCATGAATCTCGCTTCGGGTATCGGCAAGCTTTGGGGCAAGATTCAAGCCGGAATTCGTCTCGCTTTAAACAAGCGTAAGTGCGATCTCATCGAGCGAAAGATGCAGCTGCGGCGCGACTAATCCTGTGGGGGACGCCACCAATATGTGGCAGCGTGGACTTATATTAGCCAACACGAGCTTTTTAGTCTATCGACCTGACTACCAACTATGCAGAGTAAGATGCGCTCTCTAGTGCGATCGAGACGAAGTATTAAACTGATCTGGGGCGATCTATTCGAATATGCGTCCTTCGAACAATTCGCGGATCCTAATCGATTGACCAGGCCATTCCGCAGCGTTGGGCGCACAACTTTGCATATGATGACCATTTTCTGCGACCTAGCTCACTGCTATATTCTCTCCATGAGATATCTGCATCTTTATCTCGATAGATGTTACGATGTCACTCCATTCTGTTGGTATCACCAAATATCCAATGCCTAAATTGGGAAGGTTTGTTTATAGTGCTGATCAAGATGCCGTCACACGAAGCTGAACCACAACAAGTATGCCATGCTTGCAGTCTCAAGTGATGATTACGATAAAATGATGATTGCAATCGGAAAGTTTTTGTCCATATGTTGAGTCGAGGCCTGAGGTATTCTATGCTTCAGGATCTTCCCGGAATCTCTTATGAACCCGAAGGAGCCCCTGTTTCTATCTTCCTTTCCCAATGTTTCTTCCAGCCATCGATCCTACCTTCTTGCTCTCGGTGTGCCTCTCCATTCTGACACTCTGCCGCAAAGGAACATTCGCTTATCCGTGTATTGCCTTTTGTCGTTCTTACTGTTGCCCTGGGGAAACAAAGGATGGTGAAAGTGAAAAGGTATGACAGGCTTCGTACATCCGCTGATTGGAGGAGACAGGGCTAAAATATACGAGATGTTTAGGAATACAACAGGATATGTCATGACTCGGTCGAGAAGAACCGCTCAGTCAGGAAGGGTTCTAAAGCTCCGAAATCGAACCATCCTGAAAGAGGCCCGACAAGATCTCAGGACGAAAAAAAAAACCGGAAACCGGCCGTGAAAAGCCCCAGGGATATTTGTCCTGCTTGTCTTGAAGAAAATTGACGCATACAAATCTTTACCCAAGAGACCTTGTGGCCATCGCTGGTGCAAAGACTGCCTATCTCAATTAGTCGAACACGCCATAACGAATGATTTGTACTTTCCGGCCCGTTGCTGTGGCCGTCCAATCCCGCTTAGGTTCTTGACGGGGAAAAATAAGCGCCGATTTGGTCCAGCGTTACAGGAAAAGAAGGCTGGAATGGGACGATGCATCGTCAACGTACTGTTTCGCTCCACTGTGCTCTACACTCATTCCAGCCGAGAACATTCAGGACCATAGAGGCCCGTACGGAGCTTGCGGCAAAGAGACCTGCACTTTATGCAAGTGCGCGGGCCATGATCTGGATTGCATAGAGAGTAGCATTTGGAGGCTGATCAGAAAAAAGCAATGGCAGCAATGCCAAGGTTGTCGAAACGTAATAGAGCATGCGGGAGGGTGCAAGATGGTGTTGTAAGTCGCTTCCTGCAAAGTCGAGAGCCACAAACGCTGATACTCAAGCTTCAGTTGCCGATGCGGATATGCATTTTGCTATAGGTGTGGCACTAAAATCTCTGCGAATGTCGTTGAATCAGAGGAGCCACCGCTACCCCGAGTCCATCTCGAATCGGTGTCAAGAAATGACAGATGTTTAGGTCAAGGCACAGGAATAGGTACAGACGAGCGGAGTCTTCACAAAAGGCAACACTCATGTCCTTTGCTAGCCCAAGAATATCAATCGAACAACTACTCACGTTTTCTATCTCGTCCCCTCGCCGCGCCTGGAAGACACAATTCGCCGAGGTAGCAGCCAAGAAGTCCCCGACACATGACAGGAAGAGACTATTGGCGCTAAACCGACCGAACTATTGATCTCAGTGTGTTTGGAAGGCCCACCAGTGACCTAATTTCCAATTTTCCGAATGAAAGCAGCGGGGGAACCGTGACGTCGGGCCCAGACTTGAAGGATTCTCCACAGGCGCGCTTCAAATCTCAGAAACTTACTATTGTTGACCCACAGTGGCTAGTACCTGGGGGGCTTTGACATCATACCTCCTATTGGACTCTGATCCCTCGTGCTTCCCTGCTCGTGGCCCTGACGATCGTCCGATCGATTCCAGATCGGCCATGCGAACTTCATGCACGCGCCGATCACAATTGCTGTGCCGCGTCCGATACAATTCATTCGCCCATCACAAATAAGGAATCCGCGGGAATAATTTCCTAAGTCAATTTGGCGTGGCTCAAGGTCATACAGACCCGGCATGGTCGACGATCTTATCGTTCTTCTTAAAGAAACGGATCCCCAGAGTTCGACGTGCGCACACATCCCCAGCATTTGCGCATCGCCATGGACATTCCCGATATTCCAGACAACCGACTGGTCAGAGGAGGCTCGGCGCTTTCGTTCTCGCCGACCATTGTACTGGATGAGACCATCGACACCAAGTCCGAGTACAATCAACAGCTCGACACGCCCCCTAATGAACCCCGAGAGCAATTTGTACCTGAGGACCACCAACCGAGGACATTTGACGAATACTGGTGAGTGCGAGTAGCGCATCCAAAAGCGAGCGCGGCTGACAGATCAGTTCCACTCCGCCAAACGATTACGATACAGACGAACTCCGGTCACATAGCTCGGGTATCTCGCGCCGTGGCAATTATTACGTGAACGAGTTACCTCTTCTCCAAGCGACGAATCCTTATGATGGTTCCGAACAATTCAACCCGGTCAACGAAGAGCACGAAGATGGGTCTTTTGACCTCGTTGCGCCCTACGAGAGCGATGAGACCCCACTCCACTCGCTTGAGCGCCAAGCTGATACTATGTTCTCCTCCGAACATATGTTGACGATCTTAACCAACCCGCGCTATCTGGCCCGCTTTCGAGATTTCCTTGTCGCCGAGCGGCCCAAATCAATTCCTGTCTTGACCTATTACCTCAATGCTAAAAAGGCATTGAAGGCGCTCCAGTATGCTAATTCTCTTGTTCGTTTGTCGGTTGATGTACCAACTGCCGGTATCAAAAATTCCAAGCAACCGGTTGGCGACACTGTAAATGCGGCGCTTGAGGCTCGTGTCCAGGATGCCCTAGAAGCTTTGACAGCGGAGGAATTGCCTGCATTCATCACATACACATGCATTACCATCACCAGCAAGGTCGTCGAAGAGCGGGTGCGAGGAACGCTTCCGGAGAAGTTCCACGGCACATCCGATGCACTCGCCGAGGTATTCTGCTTGACGGACCCGTCTCGCCCCGATAACCCCATTATCTTTTCCTCTGGAGGTGAGTGCATATATTCTGCCCGTATCGCATCAAGTCGGGCTGACCAGATGCTCAGAATTCCATCGAACCACACAATACGGCGTAGACTATGTGCTCGGCCGAAACTGTCGATTCCTACAAGGTCCCAAGACCAACCCAAACAGTGTCCGACGTATTCGTGAAGGAATTCAGGATGGTCGCCACCACTCCGAGCTTTTTCTCAACTACCGTCGCGACGGCTCTCCTTTCATGAATCTTCTCCAGTGTGCTCCTCTTTGCGATAGTCACGGCAAGATTCGCTACTTCATCGGAGCGCAGATCGACGTCTCGGGTCTGGCAATGGATGGCGCACAAATGGAGTCGCTTCGAGAACTTCAGAATCTCAAAGAAAACCCCGAGGACCAATCAGAATGGAAGAAAGACAAAACCGAGTTCCAAGAATTGGGTGAACTCTTCAGCCCGCGCGAGCTGCAAAACATTCACGCACACGGTGGAAATCTTTTCCAGCCTGTTCTCGACGATATCAACCCTCAACACAGCCGTCTTTATATACCAGGTAGCCCGGACCACGAACACGAGCCACCGATTAATCTCAAGTCTCCTTCGCCGAGCGCATCTTTGACAGGTGTCTACAAACACTATCTCCTTGTCCGTCCATACCCATCTCTCCGAGTCCTCTTCACATCTCCATCTCTTCAGATCCCTGGAATGCTGCAATCATCATTCATTTCCCGCATTGGGGACACTGGAGAAAAGCGTGACAGTATCCTCCAAGCCATGAAGGCGGGCCGTAGTGTCACAGCTCGCATCAAGTGGGTGACCCGCTTCAGAAGTGACGAGGGACGTTACCGGTGGATTCACTGCACACCACTCCTCGCCAACAATGGTGAAGTCGGTGTCTGGATGGTCGTGATTATAGATGATGAGGATGAGACGGGCAGCCATAGAAGCTGGAAAGGCAATTGGCCTAGCTACTAGGACTTGGAACATTGCGATCCTATGAGCTTTTCACCTTCTTGTACATTGTATCATATTGAGGCCCTTTTTGCACACGATATGGCGTTTTCGAGGAAACATGGATTTCCATGAGTTCAGTGTCACGTTTAAACACACCCTTCACGTTTCACATATACGCTTCAACATTCATGATGATTTTGCTCACCAATATGTACATAGTTGAAAAAAAACTTCTCACTTGAGCTAAGAATTGCCTCCGAGAAACTCAATAGTGAAATAGGAACGGCTCGATGGCTGTTTGACAATGCAGACTGGACGAGACACACACACACACACACACACACACACATGTATAACACTCCCTAGTAGCCCCCCCCTGTTCTTAGCATTAAAGCGAGCGCGGTAATCAATATTATCATAAAAATATCTCTAATCAAATCTAGACCAAAACGACCTAGCACCTGGTAGTTCCCAATTTCTGTCCGTCTCTTTTACGTTTCTCTTGGTTCTACAAATTATTCCATATTCCAGGAGCTTTCACATCCTCAGTGGCAAATAAGCTCCAGATACGGAAGTAAGTTTGATCCTGTCCGCACCGTCTAAATGACCCAAGAAATTCTGACCTGCGAGATAATCGGTCTTGATTGTCATTTCGCATGTGGTGTAGGTAGCCTCACCAGTTAACCTCCGGCCCATTTAATCAACTCTGTTTAAATACCTCGCCGATTAGAAACACTTTTGTGTAAGAATGGTCAGATAACTGGGCTTGGCGCCATATATTTGACGGTCTTTGTTAGATTTGCTCGCTGTGTTATCTGTACCGGTGCCCAACGAATGCATTCCCTCTTAGTCTCTACATAATAATATATTCAAAGCTGTCAAAATAGTGAATCTTTATAGATCAACTAGCTTATCAATGCTATAGTGAGAAATTAAAGTGCGCTCGCTTGCCTGACGCATTTTACTTTCCAAGATGGCGACAATATTACCTCGCTCTTCTGCACTGAGCAGACCAAGCCGATCCTGTATCGTTATAAATAGACTATAGAATCTTGAATCAATAAAACTCCAGTAAATCTCATCGAATATAGAGCTGTGACGTGAAGCGAGACAAATCCAAAATAGTCCAGTCTCTAGCGACTTCTCTATAGTAATTGATAGCCGCTAAGATTCGGATAAAGAGCTATCTTAGATTTTTTTGGCCTCACAATCACTAAGAACTTCAAGGAAAGTGCGCAGCCTTAGCATAAATCGCAATAAGAACTGATTGAGATTAGGTTCCTAGTCCTCTGGACTTTCTAGTAGTAGCCACTAAGGAGCAGTAAGTGTAAATTTAACATAAGCAGCATAGGTATACTCCCAGTTAACCACACTAGTGACAGTAAGGCCCGATATATCAACAAGGACATTTTCCGGACGCAAATCATCGCAGTAAAGGCGAAAAGGGCCCCTACAGTGTTTTTTGGATATCTCACGTGAAAGTTTGCGGAAAAGGCAACGCGCAATATACTTCTTTCGGTAATCGAACTTATCTGTAACTATATTATTTCGTTGTAGCTCGAGATAGAAAAACTGATAACGAGCAAGCTCCTCGAAATAGTCTGCTGCACTGCTAAAGCGTCCTCGTTCGAAGACTTTAAGAGATATATTAGAGAATTGAGTAAGCCAATTTATATTAAAAGTGAGCGGTCGCTTCTGTACGGTCTATTTACCTAACTTATCTTATTTAACGGCCCTAATTTGGGGAACTCGGGCTTAGATAGCTCTAATAGGATTTCCGCTATATCAGAATAAGCTCTCCTTAAGATAGGTATAGAAATACCTAGGCTAAGCGTAACTATTAGCTAGGACGTATCTATAAGGTATCCGCTTAGCGGTTTTCCTTCCACAAAATCTATCATAATATACGGGCTAATAGCATACTTTCCCGATCCCAAGATATTAGGTATTGGAATTACTATATACTAGGCGAGGTATTATATAAGAGTAACCTCGTCTTTAACTTTTTCATTGAGAGCAATGACTCGACCAAGGCCAACAAAGCGAACCATAACTCGATAGCCATTTTCAAAAGTAACTCGGTAACAAATATTAAAGGCGCCATTCGGGAGCCGCGAAGCCGTAATAGGTATGCTACCAGGGCAATGCCGGGAAGCAAGTTTGCCTACCAAGTTCTCCGAAGAATTTCCAAGCATGTTCTGTATCCGCACCTGAAAGATCCGATCTGACTGTTGCTTCGCAAGATCATCGGAGTCCATTTTGCCGACGTGGGAAAGATGATAAATGTAAACAAGAGGTAAGAGAGAAGGAGCACCTTTTCGGGATGGAGACCCTCACCGCTGCGGCTGGGCATTGGCCCGTGCCTATTGAACGGGTGGGTTTCTAAGGCTAGGAGACAGAATAGCACCCAGTCTATGAGCTACCTGGAGTAGCACATTTTCGTGTTCCAGGCGCCGGGTATCGATCTTCACGTCAACACTTTCTCATGTTCTGTTTACCTCCCGAAGTTCAGGGGACCTCACTAGTCACCTCTGGGATCTATCACAGTTCAGTCAGCTACCCTTGCTTTATTCGATAGTTTATAGTATACACACCTCTTCGTTTATTCGTATTTTCATTTATTTATCAGCCCGTTTAAGCACGCTGTTTAATCATGCTGGTTAATAACAGTTACGTTCACCCCCTCTCCCATTGACCACACCGCTTAAATTTTCCGATTAACCACCCCGTTTAACCACCTAGCTCCGCTCTTTGGAGTATGAGTAGGTAGTAATATGGTTATGGTCAGAGTATATAAGAGAACGGAGAGGTAGGATACGGTCGAAAGGGCCGGTCGGCCTAAGCATTAGGGTAAGCGATTAGGCTACCTAGGGAGTAGCTTAGGGCGGCGGGGTGACTTTACTTACCCTACACTATGGGAGCCGATCACTTCCCGAGGCGGCAGTTTTACCGTCACTATTATTACACTCCCAGAAACAATACTTCGTAAAGATAAACGGAAAGACTTATTAGAAGATTCTATTAATCGTATTAGGGTTTTATTACTAATTAGAATATGCCTTTCGAGAAGGCGGTCCTCCTTTCAGATAGAATCGCCTATAAAGCTATATATATTTGGTTCGGTATACGGATAGGCAGTTAAGCGTCTGTGATCGCTATTAGACTTATATAAAATAATATAGTAGGATATAGAAGCAGAGCAGAGGGTTTATAGGCCTAAATACGAGGCGATTAGTCTATAAAAGAGCGAGAACTCTAGCTTATCTGCGTAATATCTTAAGACTCATAATTACGTTATTTATTGCGTATTTTAGTGAAGCAGACTGAAGTTAGCCTAGTTAGAAAGTAGAGAGGCGGGTCTGATACGCCAGCATACAATATTAATAAAAGAGGATTGTAGTTAGGGCTTTCTGATTCCAGTAACTCTATCTTCATATATAGATCGAAAAGGTGTTAAGAAACATGTTCCTCTATATCCGTTTACTTAAATATTGAAATGGGAACGGCTCGATGGCTGTCTGGCGATGCAGACTGGACAACACACACACACACACTGCCTGTCTGGTGTAGAGGATGCTGGATGAGGCCGTACTGATGCCCTGTTGCGGCCGTGCGGGATAATCTTAATGCTGCATCATGGATAAAAGAAATTGGGTGAATCCTGAATGAATTGGGTAGATGACTTGTCTCTCTCCAAGTGTGTCTGGAGATGTACTACTATGCACTGCAGACATTAAATCATGCCTGAGGCCACACATAGGCTCCTTATGTCACCAGTTCTCCCACTACAATATTTATTTTTAGAGAGACGCTTGGCCATTTCACCGCTCTGGAAGGTGGCACCTGTTAAGAGCTCTATTGCTAAAGTTGCTCTCAATTATTTAAATGCCCTTGGGCACCGAAATCGTGTGCATTTGTTGATTTATATGTTGACCTCCTTGCGCCTGCCTCCCTCTTTCGCGTCCTCTTCGCTGTCGCCGTGAAGACAATGTGCCGTCAATATGAAAATGCTGCAGTATTTCTTTCAGCGAGCCTTCGGTGTTCTCTTCGTGCTCTTCTCCTCGGGATTCGCATAACCATAGAAGGCCACTCGTCCGTAGAGACAGAGAGCGGTGGCATCGATTGAGAAGCCTAAGACGATGGTTTAATTCCAGCCGATACTCTGACTCCGCTCACGCCTATCTCTCCTCTGTCGGCACCCTGCAACATCTCAGAGCTATTGTCGTTCCTCAAGTTAACGACGGAACCCGGAGATTGTGTCCGCGTCGCCCATGTTTAATGCTAATCGTAGGAACCGTCTTCGAAGATAGGAGTTCAGCGTATAGGATATTAATATAGTATGACTTAAGGAGGTCTTATAATGGGGTCACGATGTGATGTCGCATTTGATTGTCTCCTAGGGCTAGCTACCACGACTAACTGATTAGTGCCTAGACACCAGTTATTAGCTAGTGTATTTATTTTGGACATTAAGCTAATAACGACCTACTTCAATTCTCCTTTAATATTTCTGCCGCTTAGCTTGCCGAATAAAAAGCTCCCGTGCTATTTAGGAGGGTTATACTTACTAGGCCTAGAGATAAGGCTACTACGTATAAGGCGGAGGTGCTATAGGTTCCTAAAGACTATACTATGTGCGAGATAAAAAAGTCTATATATCTATTTTCTATTACTCGTGAATAGATAATGAATCTGCAGGGTCTCGGGCTTCGACCTATCCGCCACGGACCGTTATCTTAGGCGGATACCTATAGAAGGCAAACTCCTAGTTTAAGGCAATTATAGGAAAGTACTTTTTTTAAGCTATCTAAGTGGCAAACACCGCGACTTTATAACGCTACGATACCAGCTACTCTGGATAGCCACACGAAGTATATCTATTCGCACACGTGGCTAGGGCAGAAGTATTAGTGGGCGTTCGTTTATGAAGGCACGATTTAAACGTCTCGCGCTAGCAGAGACCTACCTGCCTCCCCGTATAGCAGTTTTGACCGCGCAGTAGTACACCTTTCTTCATGCAGCATAACATAGTATGCTAGCTGAGACCGACACGATTTCCGAAACGACTCTATCTCGTTATCCTCCCACGTTATCACTAGCCCCTTGACCGGAAACAGTTGCTTCGACGTGATGCTATGGAACGGCGGTGGCTCCTCCAACTACACCGAGATTCTCGCCAAGGGTGGCTACAAGTCCCGCTCCACTGGCACCACTGTTGAGGACGTTGAGACTCGCATCAGCGGTCTCGTCAACAAGGCTGAGAAGGTCATCGACCAGGAGCTTGGTGCCATCTACAGTGAGATCAAGAAGGCTGTTATCGTCTAGAGTAGATCTCGGACCCGGTCCTGTCTGTGACGGGACTCTACACATAGGCATTTGGATGAAGGGTTAACGGCGCAGATCATATTTTGTTTGGCTTTTATCTATTTTTCGTTGGTTTGGGTGGTCCACGCATATCCTGCGTAGCAGACTGTCGCGTCTCTCTTTACCACTACGTACTATATTTGTTGACATCCATATATTTCAACTCGATTTAAATGTGTTTCGGGTTTCCGTCCAGGCCTTGCACTGTTATAATAGCGGGAGTAGTGTACCCCATTCATACACGTCTAGAGGCATATGAAGCTATTCCTGGCCATCTGATGCACGTCCTCTGTAGAGCGCACTTCGGTCTGCTTCTCCCAGACCTGGGATTGGTCATCCGCTCCAGCTCTCAATCCATCACCGAGCTCCACTGCCGCCAATCCCTCACCCCGCTTACCTGGAGTTTTGCTGCAAAATCCACTCCACACAGCTCAGGTGAATGTCTGATGCGTGGTATACATCTAGTCGGGAGCTTCGTTGGAAGGTGCGTTGTTCGAACTGAAAGTGGTCGTGGGGAGATACAAACTGGTCCAAAGTTGCAAGGATTATATATTGTTAGATGATTCTTCACCTTCTTTGCGTCTAGTCTTTTCATATTTAGACGGTGGCTGTAGAGGGTCTTGAGCAATGCTAGCTATGAGATGCATGCTAGATGTTCTGCTCACTTAATTATCTGCGACGCCTTACTCTACTCTTTCTTACAACACGACGACGAACCCTGTCACCATTACGAACTCTACTTGGCCACCTTCTCAAACGCAGATCGGCCAACCTTCTTACTGTTAGTCCTCTCTTATTAAGTTTTGATTGTTCACAACTGACCTGATTTTGAGGTGATAATTGGTATCAGGCAAAGCAAGGCGATACTTGTAAGAGTATTGTGTTCAGGTACTCCACGTGGATGGATCAAGAAGATTTGTGAGTGATGTCCCAATGAGAAGTGAAATGTTAGACCAAAGACTAAGATCAAATTTGCAGTCTGGACTGGAATCCAGCTGTTGGCGAAAACTGCACGAGTATATATTTCGGATACTGGTACTGTGTCGGCATCAAACCCCAAGTCTCAAACTATGACAATGGGACAACCGCAGCCTGGTACCCGACGTGGACATACACTGTCCCTGTAGCAACAGATACAGATTTTCTCCCCAGCCCTACTCAAAGCGGCATTGCCACTGGTTGCCAGGACTATTATATCGCAGACGAGGTAGGTCTGATACCTTTAGCCTCATAAGGTTGAAACTAACAGATCACAGACCGATACCTGCGCTGGTATCGTTTCCTCTGAAGGCTTTTTGACCGAAGATCAATTCATTGAGTGGAATCCTGCCGTTGGCACGGACTGTTCCGGTATTCAGTCGGGCTACTACTACTGTATCTGGAACGGGACTTCCTTACCCATGCCATCAACAACCACCGTGCTGCCATCACCCGTGCAAACGGGAATCACCTCTAGCTGCACAGCGTGGTACCTGGCTAGCGATGGTGATGACTGTGATCTGATCCCAGAAGAGTTCGGTACTTTCTCCAAATCTGATTTCCTCAATTGGAACCCGGCTGTCCAGTCTGATTGCTCCGGTTTGGTTATCGGCGATTATTATTGCGTTGCTATTCCAGACACGCCCACCACTCGAACGGCATCCTTGACAGCCCTTCCAACTCCAACTACGCCATCTGATACAATTTCAGATTGCGCAGACTACTGGCTGGTCGGAACGTAAGTTACCCTCTAATCCCTTGATGCTATAGGCTAATGATGAAAGGAATGATAATTGCACTGCAATTGCCAGTACCAATGGAATCTCCGTGACTAATCTTGAGGCCTGGAACCCTTCGCTTGGACCCGATTGCAGTGGATTGACCGCAGACACCTATATCTGTGTTGCCGCTCCCAGCAATACCAGCACATCGTCAACCTCGAGCTCAATTTCTTCAGGGAGCACTATTACGCCGCCATCATCCACACCCGCTCAGACTTCCGCGACCGCCACATCTGCTGGGGCCAGCCCATCTCCTGTCCAGGTATGTAACGATAGTACATTTTATCTCTTTCGGTGCATGACTGAGTGATCTACACAGACTGGAATGGTCAGCGGCTGTATTCGATTCTACAAAGTCGAAGATGGGAACGACTGTTATGATATTGCGCAAGAGGCCGGCGTGGCACTTGCTGACTTATACTCTTGGAATCCTGCACTCAATGGCGACTGCTCGGGTCTACAATCGGGAGTATTTGTTTGCATTGGCGTGTCAGGATACGCAACTACGATCACTACTGGCACGCCTGTTCCCGTAACCCCAACCCCAACCCAAGTGAGTCTTCTTCCTCTTCCCAATGGCTGAATTAGAGTACTTATACGATTCTAGACCGGTATGGTGTCTGGGTGTCTTCGATTCTATGACGTGCAGAGCGGAGAAGGTTGTGCGGATATAGCATCTGAGGCAGGTGTTGCTCAAACGTACGTTACCCGTTGCTCTCATTTGCAGGATTATACGGCCCGGTGACTTACTAACAATGCACAGTGACTTTTATAATTGGAACCCGGCCGTGAGCACCAACTGCGCCGGATTACAAGCTTCTGTCTTTATGTGCATCGGAACTACCGGTCCAATCACGACAATCACTAGTGGAACCCCAGTACCAGTCACATCCAAGAGCTAGAAAACAATTAGGGGATAGAATGTCAAGATAGCTGGTAGGAATAACTCCTCAAATAATCTGATTGGTAGTATATATTCACCCTAGCATGGGTCTTTCCATCACTAAGGGGTCCGTCCATACAGTCTCTGTAAGCTCCCACTCCGCTTGACAGGGCATAGTTGCTTTGAATTGTTGGAACTGAGCATGCCAATTATATGGAACACAAACTTGTAGTCGAGTCCACTTGCGGCCTTTTGAAAGTCTTTTAAGTGGCGCAAGAAGTTTTCTCAGCCTCTCATCGTTGAAGAACTCGGACAAAACCTCCCAGGACAGGACTCGAAGTTCCAAGCGTAGCTGATGCACACCATGAAAATTTTGCTCGAATAACTTGAAGAGCGCCACATAAGTTGCTATCCAATCGCTCTCGTATTGATCTGGTCTACAGATATCCACAGAAAATGAGATGTCCATAGCTGTGATCAGAGATACATAGCGCGATAATAAGAGTCGCGACATAAGAAACGGAGTGTCCATGGCCTTATTCATCGCGAAGACATTTGTCTCATAAAGAATTGCTGATGCTTCCTTATAGCTGCACCAAATATGAGACACGGTCCAGATATCGAATTATTTTCCACTTACCCAATTTGGCAGCTCCTTAATAACTCTACGCCACCAATTTTAGATCTTTTCTGTATGAGGCCCGCCTCAGTACTCCAGTCTGGACAGCAATCAATATCAGGGTCCTCAGGGAAGCGATCACATTGTTCGCAAACAATGTGCCACCAATCCCAGCGGGGCCCGCCACGTTTCGGCTGCGGTCGAAATGGCGACGGGTCCTTCCAGAGATACCGGATGTGCACTCGGCGACCACCCATAAGCTCAAGATATATCTGCCTCCTTATCTCAGCTGGTAGGCGGAAAAATGGACTTTGCGGTTGGGGATAGAGCCTTTGAGCACCAAGTATGCGCAGGCGGTCTTCTGGTGGTGGAATTGGAAGCTTCCATCGATTAAATATATCGCCATTGATCTCACAGGTAGAATCTGAAATTCCTATTGCGACTGGAGAATTTTCTTTCAGTGTGAATTTGGGTTCATCTTTTTTCTTGCCCTTGAATAGTTTAGAAAAGATTCTGGGTGCCATGACGGTGTGTGGATGAAGGGGCATGGCAGCGTGAAAGGTGAGCACTTTATATGTACCCGTGGGTGGGTGAATGTCAACAGTGCGTGGCAAAAGGCCTTCCCGAGGTTGGGCCAGTGCTCCCGGCGGTCAGGGGGTGGAGACCAGAAAAGACGGCTGTTCCTGGCCCATAGATGATCATTTTGGCGTCAATTCCTCAGTTGTACAGTCACCCATGGCAGCGTAATGAAAGAGAGATCACTTGAAGCAATCTCGTCGTTTCAAGCTTTTTCGTGACTGAAGTGACGAACGGGCCTTGTCGACAAACGCCACAAGGTCTTCATTGAAAGAAATCTTCCCTGATGTTTTTCAGACGGTCAAATTCAAGGCCAATAATTGTATATTCAGGGGCATTTTTCATCGTTGTCTCAGGCGACCGAGCTTGGAAGAATTGTTCAAGAGGATGTAAGGGTTTGAAAGGGACTTGGTCGAGGATCGATGAAAGGTTCGAAAGGTGGGCTTGAACGAAGAGGACATCAATATCAAAAAGCCTTACAGGCAAGGCCTGCTCGAGTCGCGAGTAGTGAGATGAATATTATGAAAGGTAAAGCCTTGGGTTGGGGGCATATATAGACTTTGAGGCTTGTCATGTCATCTACGTGATCATTTGAGAACAGAAGATGAAGTACACGGGTGCCTAACCTTATTAAGGTCTGTTAAAAAAAAGAGTCTTCATCTTCACCACCATTCTTTGGGTTTGTTTACTGGCTCCTGGAAGGTGCTATGCTCTAGAGGTTGTCTAGTGCGACGAGTTGTAGAGCAGAGAATACCCTCACCAGCTATGTCAATGAATTGAAGGGTCAGGGCCACATAGATTGCTGGTTCAATGGTCATTTCCTGGATATTCATCTTGACTAAGGCATGTTTTCCAAATCAGGCTACGATGAAAGATGGTAACTACAGAACAGTGCCTCTCGAACACGGTTGCCCGCAGCTGTGTGACCCAGCATATCTCTTTGACAAGAATATGGACTTGATAACGCATCTATTAAGAGATGTCCGCAGCTTGATGGGGCATCATTATATGAAAGAGATAACAGGTTACTGCCAACAAACGGCACCGTTGAGCTTTCCCAGAGCTCATTATTGCGGTATCAGGGACGGGCCGACTAGAGATTTTGGCGGTGTTTAACGTGAAAACAGAATAGGCAGTCTATATTTTATGAGGGCGTTAGGAATTTCTTTAAAAGCCCGAGACATGACCGCCTAGCATCTATAGGTATAAGTAGAAGCTAAGTCGTCGTTCACCTATGCTCTATCTACCTCTAGACCTTGTCGAAGGCTTTGTGCGCAATGGCTCAACCGAAATTATCCAATGGCGTTCCTCCCAAGGCCGCTAAATCGAAGAAGCAGCAAGACGAACTGACGGAAAAACTTCGAAAAGTCGAAGATACCGCTAAGAACGGAACAATGCCTAGTGCAGTAGTTAAGAGCCTAAATAAGTAGGTCAACCTTTCGAAAACTGCTAATAGCAGGCCAGCGTTAGATCCACACTCGAAACCCCTCTTCGAACTACCAGAGGGACAATCTATACCCGATGTGACGCATGAATGTCTTGTGGCCTGAGAGAGGCCTGAAGACTCTCACAGCATCCAGTCGTTATGCAATGAGGAACGATCATTCCAGGCACACGACAAAGATCATTGACCTAAAAAATATCTCCGGTCTTATATTTCCCGCCACTGTCTCTGCTGGGAACACTCCTGACTGGTCAGGTACCTGGACCCCCTCCACCCAATCAATTCTATCCTGCTCCACCCTGCGACCATGCATTTCTGTATGCACAGCTTCCATGATGATCGACCACTTCCCTTTCTGCAAATAATTTGTCGACATTGTGTCAATCTACATTGTTTTCGAATTGGTCTCTGAGGTGCTATCCTTCACTGAACTTGAATGCTCTTTGTCATTGCTTTATGTTGTGTTGTGACTCGTGGCTAATACTTGATTAGGTACTTTATTCCGAGGCTCTATGATATATCTCAATCTATCTTAATGATTAATGAATCCATGAACTTGGCGTGTTCCTTCACGTCGAGTGCCTTTGATTTGATATAGCTTTCTCTCATGCTATGGAGAGTGAGCGTCTTCAACTATCCAATCATTAGATGCACGTCGAATATATTCAGCCTGAATCTCTTGAAAGTCACGTAGATATGCACCGTATTCGAGCGCCATGCGATTTGAATTAGACTCGGAGGGGTTGTAGAGTAGGAGAATCACAGCAACTTCAATGGCAGGGATGATTATGGGATTCTGTTTGAGTTTGCCTTGAACATGCAGACTAAGAGGATGGAGGTTGCTGAAGCCTGCTGCAGAATTTGCTTCGATTTCCTCGAGTTAGGCTCAAACTTTCAGATCTGTTTATGGGGATTTCATGCACGGTAGAGAGACTTTCCAGTCATCTGTTCGGCAGATGTCAATCTTGATGGTGGGAAGAGTAAGGCTTTCAATGTCATCAAACTCCCGGGGAAATATCTAGTTGTGGGCAATTTTGTATCTCTAGCCGGGTCCATAAAATGATTTCAAGAAATGAGAGGTTCCGCGCATACCCTTTGGTACGCGTGAGGAAAGGATGATTCCGCACAGGGCCTCATGCAAGAGATGTTTCTTAAGGGCGGTTGCAAGCGGGATCCTGCTGGTTCTTAATATGCGCGATGCCCTTTGAATCTTTCCTAGAAGCACCTGCCCTCTCTCCAATCACAGAAAACACCCATGGTAAAATGACCACTATCCTGCCACCCTGCATCTTCGAACAAAACAAGTCCGCATTTATGACCACTCTCTTTAGCTAGTGCTTGCATCAGCAAATGATTCGAGACCTTCAGCATTGAGCAAGATGGTTGAGTCTCCACCTGGTTCCGCTGGGTCTAGCAGGTGTGAGAAGACTAAATGATTGCATAGAGCGCGTTGTATTCATTGTGTCAGATCTATTTCACATTACAGAATGGCCAAGAGTCGTGCATATGTAGATGTGTGGGGTGAGTCGCCACGGCGAATGCTTATATGGCTCCATCTATCGGCGGGACTCGGCGCATCTCGGTGTGCAGTTATGCCTTGGCGAGAGCGAGGCTCCTCTGGCTTGGAGCTTGATTGATTGTAGGGAAAAAAAAAGGCATTCACCAGAGAGCAATTCAGGAAATCAGACATAAGTGTGCTCAGCGCTATGCTCTTCAGTCTTCTCGTTCGCGGTGGACTCGACAATTAATGCTACCGTCGCCTTTGGTCCCAAGTGATGTGTATCCGCGTACTCGCGTCAACACACCAAAAGAGTCTCTCGAAATGATAATCACAAGCTTCCACTTTAATCCTGTCCTTCAAAGCGCTATTTTCAACAAGTAACATCTCACGGCGACTCTCATCTGCCTCAAAGCTGCGGCAAACAACGGCCCAGTCAGCGCTGCTAAATTTAGATTGTCTAGACCACTTGTTCACATCAGAGAGGATTACAGGTCACAACTGTTGCAGATAGATTGATGATTATTGCACACTCGCTGCCTCTCGCGTGCTCATCACCCTGCAGCACGCGTCAGATCACCGCCAAACATCCCCCAACCTGGTCAATCACAAATAACAAACATGATCCATAATTTTAATCCCGATCGACGAACGCACGGGTCACGTTGAGCCAAAACAAAATTTCTCCCAGCCCATGAAAACTTGAGACACTCGAGGTCGAATCCTGCGAGTCGCAAGCGGGTCCTCAGTCCCACATGTCTAAGACAAAACAAAACGGCTTTGAGAATTGGTTCCAAACCCGTGGCGAAGCCGCGACGAACCGGTAAACAATGCCCCAGGCACCAAGTTCGGTACCGGTCTTCAACTGTCCTTTTTTTGTTTTTTTGTTTTTTTTTTTTTCCGAACCGAATCTACGCTCATCCGGCGACCTGATTTCTCCATCTGATTGGGTTCATCTTGAGGATGGCCCGCGTGTGCTTTGCATTCTGATTGGGGGGGAGGGTGTGGGCCTCGAGATTTTCCGTTTTTGGATTTGGGGTTGGATCATTCGCCGTGCGGAAAATGATGATGCGAGGACTTTTCGAATCGAACCCTCGTCCATCGCTGGTTTAGGGTGAGATGGTCGTATCGTCTTGGCGGGGGCCAAGCATGTACCCCTGGCTAAATCGCTGGGCCCATGTCAGGTACGCAGGACCAGCATATGATTGCAGGAACGATGACATCAGGGATGTTGCATTGCTTGTCACTGCACTTTGAACGAACTGAACACAGTAGTGCAGCAGGTATATGGAACATGATCCCCTTGGTGAGAGACGCCGGTCGGGCCTACGGGAAACGAGAAAGTTTATGGTAGACAGAATAATATTCAAGCGACGCTAATCATGCCTGGATGGTTCGTAAATGCACAGAGGATTAAGTAACAGGGATATTTACACAGGTTCTGACGATCATGAGCTGGTGAGGTCGATGGAGAATTTGGGGACCCAGAAGGTGACATTGGAGTCGGAGTAGAAAGCCTCCGTACCAAAGGAGAAGACTCCCAGGTAATCGTTGCTGGATGGGTAGAGGTAGCCCGACAACGAATAGAGATCGGTGATCAGCTGGTTGATATCACCCACGAAGCGCTCTGTTGTGTTCTCTGCAACCCAGGTGAAGACGTGCTGATTTGCCGAGTTATTACCAGCCCAAAGATTGCTAGAGAAGGAGTCAGTGGGAGTTCGAGAGAGGCGAAGCAATGTACTACTCACAACTCGGTACCATTCAGTTCCCTGTTGGTGACTTTGTCACCGATGGGGTCGGTGGCAGGGCCGAATTGGGCAAACCAGATCATGACTTCGTACTTGGCGAGAGAACTGTTCGTAGCGGTGTCCTTGTCGCTGTCAAAGAACATATCAATGGCGACGTTCGTGTTGACGTTTTCGGCGGTTAATGCGGCTTCATCGGTAGTTTCGACGGGCTCGTTGCCCACGCCATAGGTCCAATGTAAATCGAGGTCGAGCGACTCCATTTTACCCAATTCAACGGGCAGGATATTGTCGACCATGATGTTCGGATAAGCGTGCACAGGCTGGGTCTCTGGGCCCGCCTCATATTTCCAGGTGACGGAGAACTGAGGAGCGGAGTATTTGGTGGGATAGGTTTCGTTATTGTTGGTGGTCACCTAGTTAATGTCAAAAAAGCTGATCAGGAGAATTGAAATAGCAAGTACCGAGTGCTTACGTTCACACACAAGGCGCCGACCGATGATGCGATGAGACCCCACTGATTGGGATTCACTATGGAGGTCAGTTTCAGGTCGTGATCACGGTCGCAGATAAGGGAAATTCGACTCACATGTGTAGAGTTGTCCATCAGACGGTGGTGAGATACCATATGAGTCCTGACAGTACATGGAGTTGGTGACGCCGTTGTTAGTGATGGTTCCGACCGCTCCAGAACCACCTCCTGTGCTTCCCCCGGCCGATCCATCGCTGCCATCATTGCCGGTGAACAGCGGAGCCTGACCGGTGGCTGACCGGTGTGCATCGATTCCAAACAATGCACCTGAGACTTCCTCCGATCGGAATCACCAGCAGACCGGCGTTCACAAGTAATTTGAGCGCCATTATGAGGGGGCAAATTAGTACGAGAGGATAAAGGAAGAGGCGTGAAGCAGCGATCAGAATCGCGCGACCTGGAAAAAACCGATAAAGAGGGTTCCAACGGGTCCGATTCAGGGCCATTCGGGATGATCGAAAGGGGTTTAGACGCAAGTACTAAAGCGGGAGCGTAGACCTAGTGGTACAATCATTAAATGAGTACCTGACAACTCCTTCTCTCGTTGGTCCGATAACCTTCCGGTGGAGACGAAATCTGACCCACCAACGCTTTTGCCCTTTTTCTTTTTCTTTTTCTTTTGGTGCAACTAATTAATCTTATCCTAGGCCCCCCCCCTGCGTTGCACTGCAAGTGGAGGATCTGGAACTGAACCAGTCACATTGGCGTGTCCTACTTTTGGCCAGCACTTCTGCCAGTGTGGGCGAGCCTATCATGACTCTCTGACCACAGAGAAATCATCTCCAGTTTCTGTTTCCGTCGAAAATAGTAACTTCCGGCACTGGGCCGTGACCCAGTGCCAACCCAGGTACACCGTCGTAGTTCCACTCGCCACACACCTTTTATTTTCTTTCTCCTTCTATAGGATGTACTGTGCACGATGACGCAAACGGGCGCACCACCTAGCCTTTTGGTGGAGAAATTAAAATTTCCCATTAATACTCTTGGCAGCAACGCACATATTCATCTCTACTCCGCCTCAAGGTTTTACCGATGGGCCCAGAGCACTAAACCAAAAGAAAACCCGGATCGACCACTACCTTTTGATAAGCATGGGCACGCGTAGTGGCTAAGCCTCCTCCCCGTCTCTTCTCTTACTTCCTTGCTCTCTCTCATCCTAGCTGTTCCTGGGGGGGCTATACACTCGTTTTGCTCTTTGCTACTGGGTTCTGCGTTGCCGGACCAACCTTCGATGATCTTCTTGTCTTTGAGGTCCCTTTCTTCCTCCTTCTTAATACTCCCATACAGCCCGAGACCGTCTTATCGCTACCATGAACGGGCACTATGGGCAGGCACCCCACGGCTACGCCGGTCACGAGGAGACGGAAGAGATGGTTGAATTGAATGCCGCTTCTCCGGGATACCGCAACCTGAGCCACAATAACAGCAGCAGTACCTTTGACTTCCAATTCAACGATGGGGCCTCTCCGGGTATCGCCTCTCCGCGGCCGGTGATGCCTTACCGTCCCGGTCATATGGCCCGGGACGATCACGACTCTCCATATAGCTCTCCTCAACCGGGTTGGTTGCAACCAACGCCTCGCTCTTCGGTTGGACCCGATTCATTCTCATATGGTGCGACACCGTATGATTCTCGGTCCGCTTCCCCGACTCTGGTAAGCTAGAAAGCCTTTCATACCATCTTGTCATCGTTTGAACCCCCCCCCCAAGGACTCGTCTAACTGTGTCATGAAATCCGCAGGTTGGGCAAAGCCACCAATCTCTAACAAATCTGGTGGATTCACCTCCTTCTCCGGGTCTCGCCAAGGAGTGGGTGAAATCGGGGTCAGTTGCGCGCATCAATGATCGCGACGATGCCGAAATCTGGAAGGGCTGGAAACGCTATCTCTTTGCCCTGACTCCATTCCTCACCTTGGCCAACACTGGTGTTTACTTGTTCTACTTGGGTCTGCGCATATATTGTATTATATCGGCACAAAATCTCGCCGGGGTCAGCTATGCCGGTGCTTGGGTCTTCGTCGCAATTGAGGTCGCCGTGGCGATCCCATCTCTTCTGCACAACTGCTGGACTATGATGGCGCTGAAGAAGCGAGGCAGGCCCCGGCTGCGTTTGACCGGAAACGACTGCCCTACTGTTGATGTCTTTATCACTTGCTGCGGGGAGAACGACGAAGTTGTTCTTGATACCGCCCGTGGTGCGCTCGACCAAGACTACCCGGTGGACCGTTTCCGTGTCATCATTCTGGACGATGGCAAGTCGTCTACTTTGGAAGAGTCTGTGAACCAGATGTCTGTGAACCACCCCAACTTCTTCTACATGGCGCGCGAGAAGATTCCCGGCAAACCTCACCATTTCAAGGCTGGTAATCTCAACTACGGTCTCGACGCGGTGCACTCTTTGCCTGGTGGCGCCGGCCAGTTCATGGCTGCCCTGGACGCCGATATGGTAAGTTCTGGTTCATAATAAATCCCCTGCATGGAAACTTTGCAGCAATTTGACGTATCTATTCCATGCTAATTTCCTGCAGATCCCCGAGCAAGAATGGCTGCGTGCGATCCTTCCCCACCTCTTGGTGGACCCCAAGATGGCCCTTGCATGCCCTCCGCAACTCTTCTACAACACCCCTGACTCCGACCCCCTGGCACAGAGCCTGGACTTCTTCGTGCATGTGATCGAGCCTATTAAGGATGCTATGAAAGTGGCTTGGTGTACCGGTTCCGGCTACGTCGTCCGCCGTGAGGCTCTTGATGAAATTGGCAACTTCCCTCTCGGTTCTCTCGCCGAGGATGTCGCGACTTCGACTCTGATGCTCGGAAAGGGCTGGAAGACGGCCTACGTCCACGAGCCTCTGCAGTTTGGTACTGTTCCCGATGATTTCGGTAGTCACTTGAAACAGCGTACCCGATGGGCCATTGGTACCGTCGACACTGCATTCAAGCTCAAGTTCTGTCTATGGGGGAGATGCCGTTCGGAAGATGACCTTTGCGCAGCGTTTCTCTGGTTTTTTGTACGCGACCCTTAGTCTGTACACCCTGCTTCTCACGGCCTCCCTGTTCGCCATCCCCATTATTCTTCTCTGGGGTAAGCAGCTCGTGGCCTATGCAACCACGCAGCAGCTGCACTGGTTGATCTGGGCATGCTTTGCGACCACTATCATCAACCGTCTTTGTGAATTCGCTCTCTTCATCCCAGCCGGCTATCACACTGGTCAGCGTGGCTCCCGCTACCAGCTGTGGATGTCACCTTATATCGCGCTCTGCATCATTCGCTCTTTCATGCTCCCCAGTTGGCTTGGAGGTCAAACCCAAGCCTTCAAGCCCACTGGCTCCCTTAGCTCCGCCCTGAATGAGCGTGACCCCAAGCAACGCAAGAATATCTTCGTCCGCCTGCGCGTCATCCTGTTCAACTACATGGCCTTTTTTCACCTTGCCTTCGTCTACGTGACCCTCGTCGCTGTGGTGATCTCGACCTACCGCTGCTTCGCGATCCAATCTAGCTTCAAGGGCATCGTTGTCTGTCTGATCACCCACGCCTTCTGGCCTCCTCTCACATTCCTCTTCCTCTGCACCTCCCTGTGGACCCCTGTCTCCTACGCCATCGATCCTCCATCTGTCCCTGACCGCGAGGACCTGCTGAAGCGGGACCCAAAGACCGGAGTCGCCCACCCAACTAAGAAGAGCAAAAAGATTGCCTTCGGAGGACAGGCGGCGTGGTTCGAGTTGGAATACACGGTCGCCACTGCGGTCACGATTCTGATCTTTGTTTACTCTTTCTTCTTCTAGTATTACATCCATGTACATTATGCATAATGAGTTCATACGGCTTGGACGCCCTTGAAAGGGCTTGGTTTCGGCAACCTCATGATTCCACTTATGGAGAATATTTGGAGTAAAATTTTGAATATCAAATGATCTGTTCCTTGCATTACACATTACTCTCAAGTCGATTATTTGGTCTTTTGCTTCTTCTTGCTAGGTCCTTCGTCAATCCCGAACGCCTTCTTCCAGGTTCCGTCGAGGACTTCACTATCATCTCCGTGTAGGCCAATGCTGTATGCATTTTTCATAGCATCCATGCAAAATGTGCGTCTCTCGTCAAAGTCAAACATGGGCTTCGGATACGTCTGCTCTTCACCTTGCTCTTTCATCTTTTTCTTGGACTCGACACTTCCATCCCCAGTGACTCTGCAGCCCCATTTCCGTTGATCGGCAATAGGTGCCTTCCATGGCTCATAGATATACTTCTTATCAAACTTTGCGAGCTCCGGACAATACTTTCTCACAAAGTCTCCCTGGGGATCCCACTTCTTGCCGAACGAAATAGGCGAGTAGCAGCGATAGTATTGGTTGTAGAAAGCTGTGCATGACAGCCACATCCAGTTTCCAATGTTGCAGGCCGTTTCATCTAGGTATCGTTAACACCAGAATAACACACGATGATGGGAGTACTCACGATCAATCAGCCATTCCTCGAAAACTTCAGCACCTCGCTCCCAGCTTATGTAGCATCCGCCTCGCGTCAGGAAGCAGGCGACACTGTGTCGTCCCAAGTGATGAATCCATCCTTCCCGCTTTAATTGTCGCATCAAGGCGTCGATCCACGGGAATCCAGTTCGGCCTTCTCGCCAACGATGGAACCATTCCTCGGCCTCAGGTGAATCCACATGATATGGTTGAGCACTCGGCCCTTCTTTCTCCATTTCCTCGGGAGTCTTGGACTGCAAATGCCAATTGATGAATCGGACCAGACTGTTGCCATATGTCCGCTGATACTCGTATCCCAAAGCTGCTTGCGCAGCAAAGTACATCTCCCGGAAAAGAAGCTGACCAGGGAGGTTCACCGGGATCGGTGCATTCTGCTTCTTCTCGTTCTTCCGTTTGCTGAAAACATCCTGAACATCCCAGAAGAACTTCCGCACAGACAGCGATCCAAAGTGCAGATGTGGCGACAGTAAAGTCGTCGACTGGGGCTCAAAAGCAGCCGGTGAGGTATTCGGCTTCTCAAATGTACCAACATACTCTTCATCCTCAATATAGCCGGCCAAAATCTTCAAAGCAACCGACTCTCCACCTTGATGCGGACCCTCCACTTGATCCTCCCCGATCCCAATCTCCTCTAGTGTCGGAACCCCGAAGTCCCCCTTCGGACCCATAATCCGACTGTACTGCCTATCCTCCCGAACCCGATACCCAGCATTCAGATCTCCCTCGACCTCGACTCCCTCAAACTCAACCCCACTCAAATCCATCTTCTTCTCATCCCAGGGATCTGGCACACTCTTCGGCGCCTCAACAGGTCTATCAGGCTTGCCCCCATTGATCTTATCAATCGCCCTCTCAACCTGACTCATACTCACAAGCGGTTTGCCCTGGTTATTCCTGACTAGCGCATCTGGATCAAAGAGCGTCCGACCGACTTTAACAATGACCTCAATTCCCTCCTTTTCCGCCAACTTCATGACCCCCTCATCTCTATCCCGCGCATACGCATCCGTATCTTGTTCAAAGACGAGATGCGTAATCCCCCACGCTTTCCACAATTTCGGAAGGACAGTCGTTGGCGCTTCGCGCACGACCCATAATTTTTGCTTGGGATTCAGAGCGGTGTAGGATTTCGATAGGTCTTTTTGGCTTTCAAGGAGGAAACGCCAGCGATTCGGGCCTACACGAGAATGGTAGACATAGTGCGGGTCCCAGGTCCAGATTGGGATGAAGATGGAGGGTTTGAGGGAGAGTGCGCTTGTTAAGGCTGGGGAGTCATGGAGTCGAAGATCGGTCCGATGCCAGTATAGAACTACTGGCTTGGTTGCTTTAGGTTTCATTGTTGGAGATTGATCCTGAGGCGGAGTACAATCTTGGAGCTTGAAAAGCAAGGTGAGATTTTGTTGCGGGAAAGAGGTGAAGTGAATTAGGAAAAAATCACTGTTCGCTTTCAAGATCGCGATCGCGATCGCGATCGATGTTAGCTCCTTGCGGATCGAGATCGAAGAGTGCATGACGTCAATCGTGATAGCTACTGCCGGATACAATCGTTCATGATTGTTTCCGTGGAATTGCTTGTTTAGCTGCCGAACCTTATTTTGGCACTTTGGTTCGATCGTAGATCTAGTCTGAGATTCGTTGGACATGGCCAACGTGAACTATCTTCTAGGCCGCGTCAATTATATTTAATTCGCTTTACAGGTCGAACCCTCCCCGGAGCGAGAGCACCCCGCAGGACACGGATACGTTGAATCATATTGCCAAAGGAACAATGGGTCGGTTTCATTGACGAGCAAATTGCCCATCAGTCGAGCGGTATTGGGCAAGTCAAATGAAGCCTGGAAGACATCAATCGAAGGGATTCGAATCTGACCCCAGCCTTTTTCGATGAGTCGATCAATGGACGTGCCGTAAATATATTCACGAAACCCCGCCCATCGAATGCCAGACGCACACTGTCCGTAGAAAATGATCATCAGTCAAAGAACTCTCTAGCCTGAAAGCTCACCATCGAATTGGGACACGAGGCCTACCATCGGACAGCTCTCCGCGTTGGTATAGAGGGACAGGTCACTGAACGCAGCCTGGGCCTCAGACGCAGTCAAATTGAACCGGCCGTTCGGGTCAGTCAGAATCGCGGTACAGTTCTTGATAGCGGCCATTTCTCCTATGGAATAGTAATCAGCTTCGGCGCTCTCACGCAGCCAGACTTCGGCACCCGCTAACCATGCAGTGTCGGATTGCCTGTGAGACTATTCTCATTGGCACCCATACAGACGAGATCACCAAGTCCATCGGTATTGGTGTGGTTCACAATCACGGTACCAAAAGCCGCAAAAGGGCAAGGTGACCCGGTGACAACTTGTAACGCAGCGTTGGCTTGGCGCATCCAGTGTACTCTCGTTGAGAATGGTATGCTATTCAGCGACATTTTTGGATCGGAGAGGACAAATGCCATACCGACCGAGGCATAGCTAAGCAAAATGCCTGCAAGGTGCATTTCGTAGGATTCAGAGAGTGCAATTGAATTAAGCGCAGGAAGTTGGGCAAGTCGGGGGTTTGGAGGGCGGGGGGCGTGGCTGGGGAAAGGCGGGGATAATTTGAGAGATCAATTTTGGTCCAAGAGCATTCTTGACCCTGGCTAAGTATGCCTTTATCCAGGTCGGCCGTCCGCAGCGCATCATGTTTCGAGATAAGGCAATCGTCACTTGGTGAAGAAGCCTCGGCCGAACACGGCCGGAGGTGGCCGATGCGGAGCCCCAATGCGGTGGCAGATGCAGAAACATTGGATGACTTTGTTCAGGTACAATGAGATCACTGATAGAAGGGTCCAGGTGCCAATATTTATTAAGTCGAAGATGGGGTGAGAATTGATCATCACATTCGATATGATCTGCTCCATGTTCAAGTTCAAAGCATACATTCAGCTTTCAAGGCTCCCAAATTAACAGCACTGTGGTTGCATATTTGGTGTATTTTGCACCAATGCAGTCACATACGCCCCAACCGAGAATCAAAAGAATGTAAGCTGTGAGAAAATAGGTCCAGTGTTAGGGCATCTGCTAAGTTCTTATCTCAGAATTCACCGGTAGAAGATAAAGAGAGAAAAAAGCCTCAAGAAAAAAAAATTGGTGCGTTGAAGTCTGAAATGTCTCGGCATAAAACTCTTCGCAGTACACGAGGAACTTCGCAAGTGCTGCGGAGTTGGTCCACGGGGCAGGGATGTTCGAAAAAGCCTAACCTTTTCACTTATTCGATGCACGAACGATCTCATCCCATACTGTTGTATTGTCATCGGTATCTCCACCCGTTTTCGAGACGGAAATTGATCACTCTTTAGGATACCCCCTACGAGGGTCAACGATAAAAAGTGGAATCTGGCTTGCAGATCTTTCAGATTGAGAGAGCTATCACGCTACTTATGACAAAACATGAATCTAAATAGGGCACATGCGCAGATGGTTCAAAGCAGTCGAAACGGGCAATTTGGAAAAATTTTCTTCTTCAGGTGAGTAGAGAGTAGTGGAGTAATCGCAAATTTGTCAAATAGTACCAATCGATACCCCTCAAAGCCTGGACTAAAGCTTGAAACACGTGCGAAAAGATTCTTTGGTCTCTTCCCCAATTTAAGCCGTAGCCGAGACATGTAGATCTCCGTTGAGGCATTGCCGCCAAATGCCGAGGACCCGTGCAGAGCAGAACAATAATACCGGGTATCACTTTGCCTGGTTTTATTACTGCTTGTTTGGAGGGTGGCCGATGGTTCCTTAACGATACGAATCGGTGTATCAAAGGATACTCTCCCGTACAGTGTTGGCAAGTTACTACAGAACCAACCATTGGATTTTGATTGACGAAACCTCTGTCAAGGTGATGTTGCCCTGGACTCAACCATCTTGCAAATCAACAATTATGTTAAGGCTCACCAGAGGACAGACCTTTCTATCATAGCGAGATTCACGTCTTCCCGGGGTCTTTCGGGGCTCATGGTAAATCTTCAATGTTCTATTTCCATGTTGTGCGGGTTTAATGAAAGATCTAGCCACTCTCGTCCGAAATTGCTCGGGTGGGGTCATGTATTGTATGTGATCGTATCTACACCTTCACGAAGAAGTATACGCCATACATAATCTCGCAACTCCCGAGGCCAGTTTGGGGTTATCGAATATCTAATTTTAAGGCCAAGTGCATGGGCGGCCTTCACCTGCTGACAAAGGTTGGAGAGCTGATCTTTCGAAAGCCCATTGTGATCAATTTGCCCCAGAGCTGCGTGGAAGCTAGCAGACGCATAGTAACTGTTTTGATTGCTGTAATCGAAGTTTTGAGGCGGGTTTTCCGCGGAAAAAGAAGAAAGCTCCAACAGGGGAGCATCGTAGAAAACGTCCCTGAAGGTGCTTCGCTCTAAGATGCGCGGGAATGGCACCTTGCCGGTAGCAACGATCGTGAGAGGGCCTTGCACTACCGCTGACCCATTAAAATATGTGAGAAAGCCAGCTTCTCGAAGAGGTTCAAGGTGCGGGAGAAGTAAAGACCACGCACGCTCCGGGTCAGCTTCGAAGTTCAGCAGGAGCACAAGGGACTGTGAAGGGTCTTTATCGAAAACTCCAACAAGCTCATCTTCGAGTCCTTTGGGGGCAAATCGCGCAGATTTCACCTCGGCGTTGTGTTCTCGGATTATCTTCAACAGAGGATCAATGTAGAGACCACGAAGGGTGATGGCTCGTGACAGCATCTCAGGATTGGGCCCAATCAAGAGTTCATTTCCAGCAGGAAAAAGGTTCATTTCAATGCTCAGGCAGCCTGAATCAAGCGCGGACTTTAATGAGATGCGGCGGCCACGGGCATTGTGCGAGTGACAAGTCAGAGGATGTTTGTCAAGTGTCGTCCACTGTGAGAAGGCTGAGATCTCATTTTCGAGAATTTCAAAGCTCTGGAGCGCAGCTCCTGGATTCTCCCGAAAGAAAGCATCGTCGGCTTGTTGGGCCAAGTAAAGAAGCTTGTAGATACCACTAATTCGACCAAGGAGTTAGTTCTCTTCAGAAGGGGACCTTTGCAAGTGCAGGGAACGAGAAAGAACAATCCTTACATGAAAATTAACAAGGCCCAGCAACAGCACCGTGCTGCTCGGCTGAATAGCTCTCGACGTGTGACCAGACATCTTTGACAGTCTCTGGCGCCGATAGGAACAAGACCCGATGTATTTCCCTCGAGTCTTGTCCCGGGCGGTAGAAGCTCCCACGAATTCGAGCCCAAACCGTGTAATGACATGATGGCTCTTCGTAAATTGGAAGATCAAGCGGCGTCACGGGCGTTAAGGACCATACCCCTTGGGATGCACGTCTCAGGGAGTATATCCCCTATCCCCTATGAAATACTCAATCATCGTGAGCTTGGGGGATTCCAATTCCTATTTTGACGCAGACAAAGCAATAGACAGAGTTCCAAGGCTTACGAGTACTATTGACGTGCGGAATATGTCTGCCTAGGCCCTTGAAAGCAGGGCGGTACTCCGATCGTAGTGGCGTCCAGCCAGTGTCCGCCAATATTGGTTGTGACGCACGCTAATACGTGGACGATGCAAAGATCGGCAGGTGTGTCCCATGTGGAGCCAAGGTCTGCTAAGCTCAAGTCTTCCGGAGACTTTGACCAGCAGGACCAATCCAGAGCCGCCAGTGACATGCTCTCGTTTTCGTGTAGAGTCGGCGCCAAGCAATGGTGGAGAAAACAGCCGGTAATGTTGCATACAGTGAGGAGATGGTAAGAAACTGGTTCCTGTAGTGCTCAAATACAAGAAAAAAAGAGGATTGGTAGGGGTACGAACAGCATACAATTAATTACGATGCAAACAGTGATGAATCACAAGCACGGCATCTTATTGCCGGAGAACCCCTACCGAAACGCTTCACTCATCGATGGTGTCAGTGACAGGTCTCAAGGACAATACTTGCCTAAGCCGGGTATGTCCAGTGATCTGTCGATTCTAGAATCGGCCTTGGAGAGAGCATTGGCGGGGCCGCCCGTGAATAATACGTGACACTTGACAATCGAAGAAAGAAGATGAGAGTATCGTCCAAGGAGTCGGAAGGGTTCATTCAACAAGAGGCCTCTACTTGACACCTCTAAGCTCGTAAAATACATCGATAATGTTTCACGTTTTGTTCATAAAAATCGCCGTAGAATGCAAGGCTTTCCCGACCGATTAATCTTAGCTTCTGGCCAGTGTAGATGACCTCGTTGTCTTATACTAAATACCTGATAAACGTCAAATCTCCATATCTTTTTTAGACTTGCTCAATGGACCACCTAGTAAGCCCAACGTTTCAACTTCCACCATCCCTTAGTCACTTTGAGGTTTCCAAGACCGAACGAAGTTTTGCAAAGCAGACATTCAAAGAGAGCCATCAGCACACGGTTCAGCACGTACAGATAGAGGCCAAGTACGACAGCACCCATTGTAAACCAGGTCCAAGGTCGAGTGCCAAGCCACATCAACGTCTCCGCATCAGCTTGATGCCAAGAGGCACTTTCCAGATCCATGATGAAGGGATGTAATTCAGTTGCGTTTACGACACCAATCGTTGGTGAAGGAATAGATGACTGCTGTAGCAGGTAATCTTTGGCAACCAAAGTCAAGAACATTGGCCCTGAAGCTATCATGATAGCACAGTAGGGTTGCCATCGAGCCCACGCGCGAGTGATAGAATTGTAAGCGGGCAGTTTAGCAATGGCGGCCGCATAGACAGGATGTCTAGCAGTTGTGATCATGAAATCATTCGTGACGCCGGTCGGTTTCGTCGACTTAAAGAGAGCGTATTCATGATCAGATTCGAGTCTGTCGATAGGAACGCTTCTGTTGCACCATGTATCCATGTCGAGATAGATTCCGCCGTAGTGGTATAGAATAAAGTAGCGGAGGGAGTCTGCTCGCTGTATAGGGAAGGCATAATTGTCCCAGACATCGACGAACCAGGGATAGTTGTCGGAGAGAAAATCGCGAGTTGATGCATCGGTCCACAACTAATCTCATGAGTTCTACCGTCAGAACAAAGAAATACTCCCCGATTTTCGGGATATTCCAAGTTAATGAGAAGACTCACCTTGTACTCAAAGTCTCCGTAAGCCTCCTTGCAACTCTTCTGTGATTCGACCCATTTGTCCGGGATCACATCTGTAGCAGCAGTCTGATGGAGAATTCGGGGAATGCGCTTTGTTCCATTCACTTCATGCAAATCACTCAACCCGTCTGTTCCCTGAAGACTGACCCGAGGCTTGAAAAGCTCTTCATTCCTCTGCAAAAGAGTGATAAGAGGTTCCAGGGTATGGATGAGCAGGACAACAATTAGGACATCGAGAAGGAGGAGCAGGATAGTCGATTTTCGAAGCCGTTTTATGCGCAAACATGTTCTCTGTCGCTCCCACCAGGGCCCGACAGAACAACCAAGGCGCTCTTCATCGTGTTGTGAGTTGAAATGCTTGTCATCGTCGTCCTGGGAAACCAAGCGGTAGGAATGTGGCTGTATATCGATCATCGTGGTAAAGGAGCTAGTTCCCATCAATATATTACAATGAATGTGAGATTGTGGGATGAAATGGACTTTTCATTCCCCGGTCGCGTGAGGCACATTGTGCGCCTTGCGCGTCTTTAAGCTACGGACCCTGAAAGGCGAGGATGCGTGTATCGCTGCCAATCAAGGCGCCCATTGGGGGTTCCATCCACAAGAAACACAGTATCCATGTTTCCGGCCCAGTCTATAGATCTGACCATACGAGCCTAACTTACTTAGCTGTGGACGCGTAATCATGCCGGCTCAACCGGTACACGGGTCTTTGAGCCCTTTTTCCCGAATCGAACATCTCTCTCCCTTTGAACCATGGGACGTGCATTAACCTGCCCTGTAGCTGTTCCGCGCTGGATATGCGTCGTAACTCCATCATATGACAATATAGCTGTTGGCGGCTCGTAATTGTTCTCGGCACACGTGTTCTCCTTCTCCAGACATTCACCGGATAACCTTGAAGAACTGGTACAGCTTCGTTGCCGGACTTGTGAGCATATCCAAGATACGGTTTGTTACACGTATTGCAAATACCGTAAATGGAAGTTGGACCCTTCATGTAACACCAAACTCCCTTCTGGAACGCCAAGAGAACTGAAAGCTTGATCTGAGCTTCCATCCACGATTTGCACTCTCCACTCCTGGTTACGCATGCACTTCTATCGTGAATAAGACTCGCTGTCGAGAGTGGATCCTGCTAATTTCCGGTGGCAGACGAGAGACGCGTGAATGTATGCGGGCCTCTTGCTACCGGTCCGGAAAACTATTGAAGGCGACTGATGTGGGTTTTTGTTCATGGGGTTGAATCCCTGTGGGTTTGAATCCCTGGATTTACCGCCTTGATTCTGCCAAATTTTCTGTCGGAAGTCTGAATTCTTCTATTCAAGAACCCGCCCGGCCTGTTAATATCTCATCTTGGCGCGGGCACGCTGATAAGGCACTCGCTGAGCATATAAGAGGCATAAGAGTGTCGAGAAAGTCAGGGTAATCGCGTGGTCTGGTGCGCGTTGGAAATCGAGGTGGGTGGTAAGGGCGGTGAGCCAGGCGGTCACAAGTGATAATTCAACTCATACAAACCCACTGTAGGCAGCAGTATTGAAGGTGCTGGAAAGTCAGCCCGGGGCTACTTTTAGCTTCGATCGGATATCTCCGCCTTTCTTATGCTTTGTCAACGTCTTCCTGGCTTTTAAGGCGAAGATGACATGAAAAGATCGGGCGCCATATTGATACTCCATGAGAAGCAGGCCGCCACACTTATTCCGTTGAACTCGATAAGTATTTGCTGCAGAATCTGAGTGAACAAAAAATAGGCGGTCCTCGGGCTTACAATTGAGTCTTTATGTCCATTGAATTGGTAAGTCATAAATTTCTTCAAATCATGGTATGGGCCATATTGCCGAATTTCAAAAGAAGCTACATTGCGTAAAAAATGTACCAGCCTTTCAAGCCATCTCGACATGAGTAGCAGTCTGCTTCTCCAAGACCCGCTCTTCCAGACGGCGTTCTGCGCCCGCGAACCCATTGCGTGGGAGTGCCTTCTCCACCCTGACCGGATCAAAGATCGATTTCGAGCGAATAAAGATCTCATCAATCTCCTCGAGAGTGCGGCCCTTAGTCTCAGGGTAGAAGGTGTAAAATGCCACGAATGCCACAAAGCTGATGCAGGCATAAAGAATGTAGTACCTGTAGCCGATATTGGCGATGGCGGTTGGGGAAGCTTCAGCAATGAGGAAGTTGAACAACCAGTTCGTGCAGGCGCCCAGAGCAGCGACCTTGTGACGGATGGACAAAGGGGCAATTTCTCCGGCATACATGAAGGGCAGCAGGAAAAGACCCACGGGGAAAAAGAACATGGCCACGAAGTAGAAGAAAACAGCAGCCTCGCCCGCCGCTTTATTCGTGAGGTCGGACATGAGGCCGGCCAACGCAGTCTGTGCGACACACATACCTGCTGCACCGGCCATCAAAAGCTTGCGCCGCCCAATCTTATCAATCAAGATGACAGCGAGTCCAGCGCAGAGGAATTGCCAGATCTGGATACAGCCCGAGAAGATGCGGGCCTCAATGGCACTGTAACCGAGATGGTCCTCAAAGATCTGAGTAGAGTAGACTGCAGGTGGTTAGCTTCATGAAGAAAATAGCACTCAGATAGCCTGAAGAGCAGCTTACAGGTGACAATATTAACACCTGTCATTTGAGCAAGGAGAGCGACAAAGACAGCGAGACATGCACGGTGGAAAAGTCGCTCGGGACCCATCGTGAACAAAGAGTTTGAGTTTTGCTTCTCCTCTTGGTATGTGTCGCAAATAACGTCTAGCTCGGCGTTGATAACCTCAGAATCTTGTGGCATGTCTTCCAAAGCGCTGAGAACCTGGCGGGCTTCCTCTGGGCGGTCACGTTTGACGAGCCATCTGGGCGACTCTGGTAGGAACATGATCAAACAGACGACGATGAGGGCAAAGAATGCTTGGAAGGCGATGGGGAATCGGAAGTTGACCTGGCTATCCTTGACAAAGTAGAGGCCAAATTCAATCCAAGTGGCCAGTACAATGCCGCCGATAGCGAAAAATCCTTGGAGGAGCACCATTCGTCCACGAGTGGCGGCGCTCGCACACTCTGATACGTACATTGGGGCGGTACCGGTAAACGCACCAACACCAAGACCTATATAGACCAGATCCATTCAGCCTGAGTTCTTCGGATCCAGAATTGCATAGAGCTTACCGGTAATAATTCGCGCCACGATAAGCTGGGGCAGGCTGAAGGGCGTAGCTTGTAAAACAACACCAACAACGACGAAGATGCCAGCGGTGAAAAGCATGCGTCTTCGACCAAGGACATCACCAATGAAAGCACATGAAAGAGCGCCAATCGCGCATCCGATCTCGTAAATCGCAACAACAGTCCCTATACACAGTGTGTCAGCGTCACTACCGCAAATGAGAGGGAGTGGTTCTCACCTTCAATCTTTGATTCCTTCATTTGAGGAAATACACTAAGAAATGTGGGCAGAGTTACCAAACCATTCATTACAGCTTGGTCGTATCCTGTTGTGCCATGTTAGCTCAGAGCTGAAGAGAGACATGCGAATCTTGCATACCCTGTAGCATGAAAGCGGTGGCCGCCACCAAACTGACGACGACGCTCAACCGCGAGCCTCTCAAACCAAAGTAAACCATCTCGTTCAGATTCTGCTAGCTATGACCCGAGATGAGAGTTAGGGGAACGAAAGGAGAAGATCCTGGGGGAGCAAGAGTAGGTAGCTAATAAATACCCAGGGCTTTCATTATTCTCGGGATACTTCCACCTCTTTCCCCGCGCCGGGGCCCCAGATGGACCCGCTTTTTCTTCGAAATTCTCTCGCATCAGGTGCGACTTGATCTCCTAGTTCGGTCAGGCCACATACTCAAGGCTGAAAGTGAGATATCACCGAGGCTTTAATGCGGATGAGACAGTAAGCAAGTTGTGTTATTGGGTGGCAAGGCCGACAGCCACGAGTGGGGGTTCCATCTTTCTGTGGACAAGCTACACGGCAATTCGTTAGCGTTGGTCTTAGCAGAGCTTCTTTCAGGCCAAGCAAGACAAACTCTAACACTAATCTGCGCCACCAGAATCTAACGAGAAAGACTCGGAATTCCAAATGCCCGTTGCAAGCGTCTATGAACCTGAAAGTGGTGTTGCAATACAGGATAAACAGCCAAGATCTGAGGTTTCGAGGTAACATAGGGCTCGAGCGCGTGTCCTGGAATGAAGATAAACTTGAATTGGGCTCTGTTGATCTCCGCATTCGTAGACTATGCGATGATGTTACGGGCGACCTGAACCCCGGACCCCGGCCGTGCCACCCCCACTGTGCTCGGGAGTTGGCCGAGCGTGTGGAAACCCCGCCGAAATATCGGGGATTTTGTCGGGACCAGCTAGGCTTCGTCTGACGGCAAGATGATTAGCCACTTATTCCGAACAGCTTCACTCTGATGTCCTTTTATGATATTGCTGGATAAACATCTTGAAACAAAATTATTACTGCCGCTTTCATTGGGGCTCAAAAACATTAATGCCACCACCATTGATTGGTTATAAGGGAGAGTACCCAATGCAACGACTAGACAACCAAAGGAGGCGGGGTGTGCCAGACTCTCGGCACATCACCCACTTCTTGAGGCGGCATTGGTCAGCTTGTGACCGATCGCCTCCGCCAGCGTTTCCGATTGCACCGGTCATATTAATCCCGGGCACGTAAGTCGTGTCATTGCAAGGAACGAGACGTCGAGATCAAGACCCGTAGTGCCATCATACGGAAATGGTGCGGTGTAGTAATAGGTCGGCTTTTGGCCTTTGTGAGCGACAATCACAGCCTGGAGAACCGGCTGGACACGAATCATTTGTAGTCGGCACGGGCCGGAGAGATCGATGTTTGGAATATCCCGAGGCCTCCAGTGGACCAAGGCAGAGATTCATTGAGATACAGATTCGTCGTGTTCACAATCCAATTGGTGTTAGTGATTGCGTCAGCCGCAGGTCCGAAGATATTGGCGCCGCAGTCCTAGCAACCGAGTGAGGGCAGGCCCAAATTCGCTGAAACAGTGGATATAGTAGAGTAATGGGTAAAACAGGTGTGGTCGCGGATTACAACAAGTTGTTCGGGGATTGCGCCCCCGATAAGGATGGAGAACACGCGATTTGGTTCAGCGTACGTCCTGATCTCGTCGAAGGTGAGAAGGATTATGGTATTATTCCAGAAATATGTGTTGCTCATCAGTCCTGTTAGTGAAACTACTCATCCAATTTGCAGCGTAAGCAAGGCTGGTATCATGGCCGTCGTTTGTCATGTTCGGGGTCAAAAGGTTCACTGAGGTAGGTTTTGAGCCTTGAGACCATCCTCAAAGCTTGAGAAACTCTTGATCGATTTCAGCGCTGTGGCATTGTTGGTGAGACAGACGAATTGAATCAACGGGTCGTGCTTTCGACCATATGCCAGGTCATGATGCTTGTTTGTGAGACTGTCGCCCTCAAGTCCAGCCGAAGGGACGTCCTCCTGGTGTTCGGCCCAAGAATCACTTTCATGTTCAAAAGGTCCACACCACGGTCAACATATTCCTGGGTATCTGATAGGCATCATCTTAGATGTGGTTAGCCGACCTTACCCTTTGATCACGCCCCAGGGAGATTGTTTACAATTATCCATGCCATAACTGTCGCCCGAAGCATCGGCATAGAAATTAGGCTCGCTGATATGGCTGGTAACAAAGTAGTTGTCCGCCAACCACTTCGAATCGGTGTTATTGGCAGCATCGGCGTAGTCCTACTGTGTGGTGAGCACCGAGCGCTGATTGGCAGGGCGTTTGAGGGCAAGTTGCGATATTTTCCAGCCAAATCTGATAATATGACCGCAAAAAAGGCCTGGGACATACCAGGCCACATCCTGAGGTGCTACATTGCTCTGAGAAATGCCAAAGCCGTCGGTCACGATGAGGAGGTCGTTGACAGAGTGCAAAATGCGGATAGAATGAGAAACGAGGCGATTACGAGCGGTGACGCCATAGGCAAAACGTGAAAGGCGACAACGGGAGCAAGTCGCTCACGTTAGGCTCATGCATCTGTGGCCCGTTAATCGTCATCAAGTTGTAGATGTTGATCGCATGAGGACACCAACCTCGAGATCGAGCCTCGCGCGAGTACGCAACCAGATATTCCCAGCTATTGCTTGCCTCGGGACGGTGTAACAGGATACAAGGGCTGCCAGTATTACAGGCGGGACGCCTCACGCAACCGACGCGGCTAAAAGGTTAAACGAGCTATAGACCACATGGGCGCCAGACGAAATGAATCATCACTTCTAAATAAGGAATTTTGCATGGGTAGTGACCGTGAACCTTGGACAAGTGTGATCGCTAGTACCGGCAAGGTGTTCGAAATATATGCACCCAACAAGCTTCGAGAACGCGCCGTTCGGTTCTGTATGTGCCTCGGTCTGGTTGACCTTTGGAACACCACCGAAAGAATGTCCTTCAAAGATCCGGCCTAGCAGATAAGTTTCGCATCCCGGAGCTTCAACACAGGCGACAAACTGTTGTAGAGCCATCATTCATTATCCATCTTCGGCCTCCGCTTCTCAGGCATCCTCTTATGAAGATAGTCCACCTTCAATAAGATAAGACTATGCTTTGTTTGCTGATTATCAATGTGCACAATCTCACCCTCACTCTCTCCCTTTCGTGATTGGATACGGAAATAGGTTGTTGCTTATCTTCACCTTGCTGTCAATAATGACACCCCCCTAAGTCAAATGTAGATTAGCCTCTCTTTCCCTCATTTTTCTTGGGATCGTGTTCTCACGAAGCTCAACTTTCTGCTCCGCTAACTGCATCCTTCTCTAATCCTCACTTCAAGCGCGAATAAATTCTTCGTTTTATAGACCAGCCCGGAGAACTGAGCCCAGATAAGATGTCTGTAATTGAAAAGGGGAGTGCCATCTTACGGCTCCAAAACGTGTCATGCAGTTTCTGCATGCAAGGTTTTCAGCTTGTAGGTCAACTCCATGAAATTCATAGCTTTTACGATGATGAACAGACTGTGAAAGAATGGGATCTATGCGACCTAAACACCTAATTAACCACCTTAAGTGATAGTATAGCAGGCGGCTGCCCAAGAGAGATCGGGCCGCTATCGAAATATGATCAGTCGTTGGATAACCTCCGCGCTACTCGCTACTAGTTGCCTCATTCTGGAGACTGTTTTATGTCGCCTGGAACTTATACAGACCTTTGGGCCTGGTTCAATCCTTCATGTCGGGGAATTGAAGATGCTTTGGCCCTGAGAACATGTGGAAGGATTAGAAGAACGAGTAATCTCTTTAAAGTTGGAATTGGAGGTGGCGATTTCGTCAATACAAGGGTAGGTTCCTGCATTTTTCCTGTAGCGGTAGTCCTTTCTTGGGAGATAACTTTTCTGTTCAAACAGTTCAGTCACCGATCGTGAGGCCCTCCTCTCCTTGGACACTACCCGAAGCAGAAGAGCGCCCAAAAATCTCCTCGTGCCGGACCTAAGAAGAGAAGGGAGCGAGAGGTCCTCCAAGCCTAGCATTGTGACACTTTTTTGGCAAAGAAGCCCCTGGGAAACAGAATGGAGTGGCATATGAGGAGGTTGATAAAGCCTATACGATCAATATTTGAACCAACATCCCAACGACTTGGATGACTTTTTCACGCATTTTCTCTTCGAAGCTGTATCAGCTGATCAAACTTTGATCATGTCACGCTTATTCCAGCTCCTTCAGGCCAGGCAAGATGTATGTTACGCCACTCGGCAGCAAGATGCAGTATCGATGAGCCTCTGGGATTTTGCTCTCGCCGATCAATTCGATGAGATTGTGACATACATCCCCAAAGATGCTCAACGGGCGAGTGAAAAGACCATCACCCGAATATGTGAACTGACCAAAGCCCGGCTGTTCAACGAGTGCGCAGGATCGATAGTCACTCACGCCTCAGGCTTGTCAACAAGCATGCTCCGGCGTAGTACACCATCGCCGGCACAACAGCTCAGTCATAGTAACATCTCTTACGTCCATCGGACTGTTCAGGATTTCCTCTCACTGTCCCATATTTGATCGCGAATTTTGAAGCCCACAACAGGATCAGATTTTGAGCCGCGTACATCGCTGCTCGCCTCTATTATTCTTCAATTCAAGTGGCCGCTAGATGAGTTTCATGCCAACCGACAGATAGATGACTGGTGGCCCAACATACTGCTGGCATTTACTCATGCACGACTGTCCCCGAATCATCAGCAGTCGCAGCTGGTGATGATCCCTGAGCTGAACCAAGTTCTGTGTCAGCATTGGGTGCCCCGCGAGTCAATTGAAGATGATCATTGGGCAAGAAGTCTTTTCTCATCGTACAAGAAGCGAAAAAATCTCAAACTTCGTGATCCATTTCTCTCGCTCTCTGCCAAGTTCGGCCTCACATCCCTGGTACATCAACGTGTACGGAATGATCTTATGCCTATTGAGTTGTACAATGCCATTCAATTGATAGCAGACCACATGACAATGCTAGTGGTATACCCCTTCTCAGTCATTGTATCGAGATGCTCGCTATTCGGCGGCAAACTGTGTACCCTTTATCCAGTCCAGAGATGATTAGTGAAATTCTCATCAGTGGCTCTGATCTGAATCAGCCCTACCAAGATCTGAATGGAAAGTTTCAGACGCCCTGGTTGGTTGCTCTGGATTATCTATGAGAGGCAGATCGCCGCCAATGGATTGGGTACTACGACACCAGTGTAAATGGCACTTCTCGTCTGGCGGAAATTATATCGCTGTTCATGCAACACGGCGCCGACCTCAATGGGTTACTTGTTGAGACCAAGTTCGATCCTTCAGCTACTGCCCTGGAGATAATCACTGCCGTATGCCGGAAATATGCTTCTCCGGAATTCGGCCGACTTCACAACATATTGATGGACAACGGGGCCCGGGAACGAGAAGGACATGATTTCATGTATCATAGTGTATGGTAAATAGTATGTCACTGATCTCATCATGGGATAGAGACGCTATGTGTGATCATTATTCCTTCTCAATATGGGCGAGAGACGACATAATCATAGGAAGGATTGAAGAGACAGATTGTTGATGAGCTCGGATACCTCAAGGCGACGAGATCGGAGACACGTACTACCGCACTACGGCCCTTGACTATCGACGAACAACTTATGTCAACTGGCAGCAGAAATTTTCTTCAAGTATTGAGTCCACGATGGATTGGTGAAAGTGTACTTTTTGTTGCTGCGGTGCAAGCTGTTCCAAACTAAACTGCGATACATAATAACTGATGTTTCATGCCATCGAACTTCGTTTACCATGGAGGTCATTCTGAAGAAATAACGCAAGGGCCAATTTGAGAAACAAATAAGTGTATGGGCACTACCAGACCTCAGAGTACTAAATCCATTTTTCATACGGTCATTTTGAACGCTTGATCGAATGTTCACTTCTGCATATGGAGACGTGAATGAAGATAAGATTATACAAGCAGCTCAATAAATAGTGAGTCGTACGCTACTCACGATACGAGGCACTAGACCCCTTGAAGAGAATAGTATTTGCGGAGCAAGCCGAGCATCGGACCCACCCGTCAACGTGGATAGGCGGGGTCGGAACTAAGCTCAGAAAAATTTGCCAGGGTCCCGATTATGACTCTTCTCCTTCCGATGCCCCAGCCTTAAAAGACGGTCATCTTCACAAGAAGACGAAGGAAATAAAAATATGGCTTCGGATATGTCAATCAACGACACCCCGCTGGAGAGGCGGGGTCAGCTGCGCATTTTCCTCATCATGATCGCCCTCTCTGTAAGACCGCCCACCGGCCTGACATTCGATTGAAAGGATACTAACCCTAATCTAGTTGTCCATGTTCGTCGCAGCTCTAGATCAGACAATTATGGCCACGGCGATCCCTACTATCGCGGCTAAGTTGCACTCTGCGGCGGGTTACACATGGATTGGAGGTGCTTATCTACTTGCTAATGCGGCTGGCGCGTGTATCTGGGCGAAGCTTTCGGATATTTGGGGTCGCAAGCTAATTCTGCTTATTGCGGTTGCGTGGTTCTTTGTTAGCTCCATCATTTGTGCGGTGGCAGTCAATATGCAGATGTTGATTGCTGGACGAGCGCTGCAGGGTATTGGTGGTGGTGGTATTCTGCAGCTTGTCACCATTGTTATCTCTGATTTGTTCAGTGTCAGGTATGTTCAGAATTCAACGGGTCTGTGGGTATTGCTAATATGTGAACAGACATCGGAGCTTGTATCTTGGCTTGATGGAATTCATGTGGGCTCTCGCCGGTGGTACAGGTCCGCTGCTTGGTGGTGCATTCTCCCAGTATGTCTCTTGGAGATGGACCTACTGGATTAATTTGCCAGTGTCAGGCATTGCCTTCCTTCTTCTCTTCTTCCTTCTGGATGTGCACAATCCAAAAACGAAGGTTATGGACGGTATCCGGGCTATCGACTGGTTCGGCAGTCTGTCCGTCCTGGGCTTGACTTTGATGCTGCTTCTCGGACTCGATTTTGGTGGAGAGACATTCGCGTGGAGCTCACCGACTGTCATCTGCCTGATTATCTTCGGGTCGCTCTGCTCTCTGCTGTTCATTTATAGCGAGAAGCGACTTGCGAAGTACCCGCTGATGCCGATGAATATCTTCGCCAGTCTTTCCAACATTGCCGCTCTTGCTGTGGCCTTTGCTCATGGCTTTGTACGTTTTCCTTAGTTTCAATTCACAGCTAGAGCTAACCATATACTAGGTTTTTATTGCAGGGGAATATTATATCCCGCTCTACCTCCAATCCGTCAAAGAAGCTTCACCCTTGCGATCGGGAGTCTTGATCCTCCCCCTCTCCATCGCAGAGGCAGTCTCCGGCATCGCCACCGGAGCAATTATTCACAAGACAGGCCGCTACCTGGAACTCATTTGGATAGGCATGGCCCTCATGGTCATCGGAAATGGTTTATATATCCACCTGGATGCATCCTCTTCTGTTGGTGAAATCGTTGGCTACCAACTCATCAGCGGTGTTGGTGCCGGATTTCTCTTCCAGACACCCATCATCGCACTTCAGGCTATGGTGTCCCAGGAGGATACCGCAGCAGCAACCGCTACTCTCGGCTTCATCCGAAATATCGCTATCGCCTCATCAATTGTCATTGGCGGCGTAGTTTTCCAGAACAGCATGGGCAAGATGGAACCCAGTCTGTTGGCTACGGGCATGTCTGAAAGCCTGGCAGAGAAACTGACGGGAGACTCTGCGGCTGCGAACATTGAGTACATCAAAGATATCAAGAATCCGGTGCAGCTGCTTGCTGTTAAGCATGCCTTTGCGTGGAGCATGCGGAATATGTGGATTCTGAATACTTGCATGGCGGCGGTGGGCCTTATCTGTTCTGGCTTCATTTTGAAGACGCGATTGAACAAAGAGCATGTTGAGACTGTTACTGGGTTGAAGAGTGAGAAGGCGCCTCTTGGTGAGGATTTGGAGCTACATGCTGTGCAAAATCTCCCTGCCACTGTATAGATCCAGGGTTGGATTGACGAAAATTGTACATAGATTCCGCGTTCATTGGTCTATATATATGCTGCTCGGTTTGATATTCACATCCAGTTTCACATGTATACATTGGGTAAAAAATGTTGTAGAGTGACTGAAAATGCCGCTAGAAGTGAGGGCACATAAAGACGGTAAATCGAAGGTAGGAAAATAACGGTGGAATCTGCGGAGACAGAAAGAAACAAGTAAGACTAAACGGGAAGTGGTGTCTAGTCTGAGGAGCATCCCTCACCAACAGTGCAAATTATGGGAAGATCGGCGACACTGTTGCCAACCCAGAGTTTGACACCCTCGCCATTGACAGGTGCCTTCCAGTCTTGAGCCACGACATCCCAGACACTCAGATCTTTGCGAGTGACAGTGAGAGTAAGAAGTTCGCTTTGACCGGGTGCCAGCTCTTTCGTCTTCTCAAACTGGCGCAACTGTAGCTCAGGGGTGTCGAAACCCAAGCTAGAGGGTAGCTCAACGTACAATTGGGCAACGGCCTTACCCTGACGAGATCCTGTGTTCGTGACCTGGACCTTGACCGAATACGCGATATCGAAAAGAGCGGGGTTTCCGCCTTGTCCACCGCCTGCGCGTACTTGAGGCTTGGGTGTTGTGGAGTAGCCGTCAGGGTAGGCATATTTGCTGGAGGCGGTAATGGACTCAGGGTGATCCAGGTAAGGATAGAGATAGCGCCAGATGCGGGTGAAGCTGGTAGATGACCAGGCGACCTCAGAAGCAGCAGGGATTGTGTCGCTATACACCGGAGTAGCTCCCTTGGAAGGTGCAGCTGGAGGATAGGCGGTATCGAGTGAATTTACCTCAGTAATTGTCGGGCTGGAGATGTTGAAAGTTGTATACGACAGTCCATGCCCGAAGGGATACCGCGGAGTAATATTGGCTTTTATGAAGTGGCGGTAGTCCATATACAGTCCCTCGGTGAAAGTGTCTTGGATTTGGCCAAATGGCTGGTTGATAATGCCGACACTATCCGGGTAGTCAGATTCGCTTTTCGGGATGGTGTAAGGCATGTGGCCACTAGGGCTGTAGTCGCCGAATAGGACATCGGTCAGAGAGTTACCGGCTTCCTGGCCGGGGAGGTGTGCCACAAGAACAGCCTTGACAGCCTCGAGATCAATCCACTCTTCCATGATCACGGGCCCGACGGTGTGGTAAATGACGACCACACTGGAGAACTTCTCCGCGGCAGCCTTGACGAGGTCATCGCCACCGCGCCAGGCGTAGAGGCCAGCTTCGGTGCGGTCGCCGGGGTTGCCTTCGACTGTAATATAGTTCTCGCCAGAGTCGGCGTTAATAAACACAACAGCAATATCGCGAGAATTCGCAGTTATACCGGATGGAAACGAGTCCGTGATATAGAACTCAGCGTTCTTTGTGATATTGGAGATAGCCTCCTGGGGAGTAATGAGATAAGGCAGCCTCGCAGTTCCGCTACCCCATCCCATGGTCAGAACACCCTTATCACATCCTTGGTCACTGCATGAATTGATACCATCAGGATTGCCACCTGCATCGGTGCCAAAAATCTTGATTGAGTCATTACGGCGCAGAGGAAGGATGTTATCTTCGTTCTTCAACAAAGTGATCGCCTCGCGGGCAATAGCACGCGCAGTGATGTTGTGGTTGCCCTGGACGTCAACAAATTGGTTGACAACACCACTGGGAGAGAAAAGGGCACCGGGATAGAGTGGCCCAGTCTCGTCGAGAGTATTGGTCGAGAAATTGGGTAGAGGGTAGTCTTCATCCTGACCCATCTTGTACCACGTCGCCACGATTCGAGTAACCTACAGGACTGATTAGCGCATTCGGAGTGTTCCATTTGGTTTGACACATACCATGTCATTGAGTCGGCCAACCGGAACACTGCCATTTAGAATTGACCGAGACAACTCGGAGCCCCAGTAGCTATCACCAAAGAGGGGAACCGCGCCATCACCGGGCATAGCCATATCGAGACCGGCGAGCGCGGATGCCACACCAGCGTAATGACCGAGCCAATCGGTCATCACAAATCCCTGGAAACCAAGTTCGTCCTTGAGGATTCCGTTTAGGAGCTTGCTGTTCTGGCTTGCCGCCGAGCTGTTGACCTGAAGCAAGTTAGCAACCTGCACACCCCAGTCGCAAGGTGAATCCCACTCACATCATTGTATGAAGTCATTAAAGATCCGACACCGGCCCGAACGCCTTCAGCAAAAGGCCACAAGTAAAGTTCATGCAGGGTGCGATCATCAATATTGGATGAATAGCCCTTGGTAATGATACTGCTCATGCGATACATCTCCTGCTCGTAACCGATGAAGTGCTTGATTGTCGCAATCACGCCTGTACTTTGCATACCCTTGATCGTGTACGCTCCTCCAATCGCTTGTAAAGTAGGATCCGCGCCGAATCCCTCCCAGCCACGTCCTCCTCGAGGCTTTCGCCCAAGAGGACCAACTGCAGGGCCCAGTTGCACATTGATACCCTTACCCCGGGATTCCTCACCCAGAGCTCTTCCCCGCGCATACATGAGATTCTTGTTGAACGTCGCACCGACCGTGACACCGGGAGGGAATGCTGTGTTATGGTCTGAATTCCGGATCCCCAAGGGGGAATCTTGTAAACAGAGGTTCGGGATACGGAACCGCGGGGCACTGCCTGTTTGACCGACACAGGGTCCCATATAAAAGCCCGTTCCAGTGGTCAGGTTGACCTTCTCGGCGAGAGTCATGTTGCCAACGATTTGCTGCGCTTTCTCATAGGCTTCAGCCCAGTCGGAGACCCAGCCGCCATCGGGTGTAGGATAGTAAGGCGGGGAATTGTAGCCCTCTGCCGCACGTATATTTAAGTATGAGGCTTCATGGTCTGCATCTGGCGTGGGAGATGCGACAATTACCTGCGCGATAATCGGCACGAGGGCCAATCGTGTCCAGGGCGCCATACCTAGGGTTCGGGCGTCGGTTGCACGGCCGATCAGATCCAATCACTCGGTCAACCTGTACTACTCGCACAAAGAACGAAGAACGAGGCTGTACAGGTTGGCTTACGAATGTCGGGAGTTTAGGGCTCGGGTGTCATTTTGAAAGGAGAGGAGTCAGGGCGTCCACATGCCATCCCAGTATGCCAAGCACTCCCTGTGTCGGAGAAACGATCATCGAGATGTGAGCTCGCGTGCATAACCGAGCTTGTAGTCGGCTCAGATCGTTTTCCCATAGGTGGAAACCCAATTCGATCAGGCATTTTCTCCGCTAGTGAGACATTGCGGACTCTTCACGGTTAGGATGAACGTCGATCCCCGCTCCCCGCTCCCCGGAATATCATTACCCTAACTAGCGGGTTTGTCAGGGGTAACAAACAGGCACCTGGGGGAAGATAGTGGAAAAGAGGAGTGGCGTGATGGTTTGTGTCTATACGCGGCCGCACTCATGCCATTTGTTACTCCATGTGGCAGAAAAGCCGTTGTGTTCGCGAGAGAGCCCACGCGTGGTTGTGCCGAGCATGTCGATGTTTGATTTCTGATTTTACAACTGACTAGTACATGAGGACCTATTGAATGGAGGCCGAAAATGACCGCCTACTACTCTATGACACCACTTTGAACCTGGGAACCAATAATCAAGTCATTTGCGGTTTTGCGGTTTCGCGGTTTTGCGCGGTTTTTGGCGCATTCTACTGCCGGCCACACGCGCTCACCCAATTTGTGGGTATGGGAACATTGGGAATCAGATAACTTCGCTGAAAAGATAATTTCGAATACATTATCCGTGTTTTTGTGGAAGAAAGGCTGTTTATAGTATATGATGGTTCATGAACCTGGCGCTTGATTGTTCAGAATTAGTTGTCTTCTAAGAGGTTAGTTTGCCGCTGCCTGCTTGCCGCCCCGATTCGATGGCCCCGCTGGTCGCCTTCCTTGGGCAGCGCCAACATAAAGACTCGACATCACCATTGTCGACCTGTCTTTCACGCCTCCTCCCACCCCCCCTCAAAATGTTTGCACCTCATTTTGCTGCCCCCTGAAAATTGTGCCAGCCAAAATGTCAAAATTGACTGTATCTGCATTCTCAGACGAGCTACCTGATGGGTCGACACGAGACATGAATTTCTATGACTCTTCCTTCTTTAAAGAGCCAGGCAAATGCCTCCCGACCCCAGCACAAGTGAGAGCTCTATCAAAGGACGCTGACACGAGCCCTCAACCGCGACCTTTGTATTCAAAGATTCCGGACTGTTCGTCAAGTTTGGCCCTTATGTCACAATCTCAGAAGCACAATATCTTTGGATAATCAGACGGGTCTGTGTGATGAGGTCCCGTTCCCCAAGATTTTTGGGTGGCAAGTCGACGGGGAAAACTATGTTTTTAGTTACATGGAGTTTATCCAAGGACGAACATTGTTGGATCGCTGGAATGAGCTCACTGACCTAGATAAAAGCTCTCTCTGCAATTAACTATCTCGGATTATCAGAGTCCTACGCCAAATTAAACAAGACCCATCTCACCAGTACATCGGTACACCCAGATTAAAATAGAAATAATCGGAATATATGACTGACTGAATCATTCTAGATTCCCTAAGCCACCAGAAAGTTCAAGATTATGTCTTTCAATCGTACTCGAAAACCGGCCCTTTCTCATCCATTAAGGAGTTCAATGACTGGTTTTCGTGTTTACCATAACTGTGGCTTCCGCTACGGAAAAAACACAAAGACCCCTATAGGGACTTTTTACCAGACAGTGAAGACATCAGTTTTACTCATGCGAACCTCCACCGAGCCAATATCATTGTCTCTTCTGGCAAACCTACTCGCGTTCTTACGATTGTGGATTGGGCGCAAGCGGGGTGGTACCCTACCTACTGGGGATATTGCAAAGCGCTCTATACCTGCTAGTCCGAGGACCAATGACGACGGGAATGGATTGACAAGATTTTACGCCCACGACCACTAGGAAGAATATGTAGACGCTAGTCTAGTAGTAATTGGGAACAAGATCAAGCCTGATGGAAAACGAGAAAAAGGGTAGAACTAGTAGTGGAAGCTGATGGCTGAATGCCAGGGTCTAGGAAGAAGCTAAGAGCCGCAATCGGCCTTCCCAAGGAAAGCAATAGCCTAAAGAAGGCTATTATTGGCTCATCAACCCAGCCCTGGAGCACAATTTGAAGACAACTTGTGGGAAATGCATGGTAAAAATGCTTGAGATACAGTCTAATACTCACAGGGTTTTTAAATGAACCGATGGGATGCTTAATAAAAGTATTCACGTCCCGAAGTATAAGACATTGTCCCTGGCTATAGCTAATATACAATCTCGTTACTGGGGGTGCTAGGCATAGCGAAGATAAGAGCGAGGATCGGGCTTGAGGGATTGAGATCTTGTGAAGAGCAGCCATCTGACGGGAGACACGTTCGAAGTTATGCAATCGAAAGTCGCAGTGATCAACGTGTAGGGCTCTCCCACGGGGCAGAAACACTCCGAATTCCAATTATAGATGAAACACGCTCTCGCTGCTAATAAAGGCAGCTCTACCGATAGATCTAGAGCGAAAGGGACACAGCTTGCCCAGAATGAGTGCGTCATTGATTTCTGCATGTTCCAACCTGCCTTCTCTTGCCAAATGTCGGGGCGATGTGAAGGAGAGTGTTTTAGGGAGCTAAACCAGAAGCGGTAAAACTAACCTAATCTGATAATTTACAGGTCCGCCGTCTACACTGATTATTCGGAGACTCAAATTTTAGTATACCGCAGGTAGGGCTTGACCTCGCGAACCTCGCCAAACTTCTTCTTCGCATCCGAGGTGCTGACCGAAGGGGGAACGATCACATCGTCCCCGACTTGCCAGTCGATCGGGGTGGTAACACCTTTCTTATCACCGGTCTGGAGAGAATCGATGACACGCAGCACCTCGGCAGAGTTGCGGCCGGTGGAGGCGGGGTACATCATGGTCAGACGGATCTTCTTGCTTGGGTCGATAATGAAGACGGAGCGAATGGTGAAGGCAATGCCCTTCTGATCAATGTTGTCCAGGTCCTGCTGGTCGATCATGTCATACAAGAAGGCAACCTTGCGGTCGGCATCGGCGATGATGGGGAACTGCAAATCGGTCGAGGAGATCTCGTTGATGTCCTTGATCCATTCGCCGTGCGAACCAATGTCATTCGCGCTCTAGTAAAGAGAATTGGGTCAGCTTGGGGGTTGCGGCATGCGGTAAGGGCTACTCACCAGGCCAATCATCTTCACACCACGCTTGTCAAACTCGCCCTTCATCTTCGCAAAGGCACCAAGCTCGGTGGTGCAAACTGGAGTGAAATCGGCCGGGTGGGAGAAAAGGATGGTCCAGCTGTCGCCGATAAACTGGTGGAAGTCGATCTCGCCCTTGGTTGTCAAGGCCTTGAAGTTGGGAGCTATCCTCTTCTGTTAGCATTACGTTCATGCAGACATCGTCCATTGCAGCCATACCGGTCGAGCCTAGACGCAGGCGCGGCTGTTCCTGGGTGGACGCTGCGTAAAAGCGGCGGAAGGCAGGGGCGCGCGGCAGCTGGGCATTAAGACTGGCCCAAGGGGCGGCCTTGGGTGCAGCTTTAAAGGCACGGAGAGCCATCTTCGAGGACATGATGGAAGCCATTGTCAATGTCAAAGGATGCTTTCTCCGGACTCGCGGAACAGCTTGTTCGCATTTACATCATCGGAGATTATCTCAGCAATCACGCAATGGACCTAGGAATGAATCTAACGCGATCGGGTAATAAGCTTCAAACCGCCTGGGAAGAATTTCCTTTACTTCGTCCTCGCATTATTTCCTCGATAAGTTGTTAAGATGAATTTCAAAGAGAAGCTCACTTATCCAATATCTCATTCAACCATTGCCGTGGGGCCAGCCCATCGCCGCCTGACTTGGTATTGAGATTATCTCCGCGTTCGGCTTCACGGCAGCGGTCACTTTTTTGGTTGCACAGATAAGATCAATTCCCAGTAGGGGAGACACTTATTTACAAAGTCGATTGCTTTTGATCTCACCGGGTTGTGATAGGGGTTTTGAACTATGAGACTAGCAGATGTCGGGGGTGATCTGCACGGTACGTCAACCGCCATTCAGATCAAGTCAATTTTGATGTGGCTTCGATGTCAGGGGGATTGGTTCTGTCACGTATTCCTTCAAGGGGATATTATCCACGGACGCTCTTCACATAATCGGCAACTGGACGCCACATCGACACCCTTTCCGAAGACCCTCTAGGTGCAGGGACAGTGCGAAGTGTGGAGTTACACTCAAACATCGCTGATGAACAGAGCCAAAAGTCAAGCATTATTCGCATACTGATGCCAAATTGCGGATTCCAGACCTATCCATCTTAGAAATGTCCCCACGCGAAGATCTCGCATATGTTTTCGCAAGAGACAAAGCTCAGCCACCGTCTCAATCAGAAGATTATCAGCCCAAAGTACACTATCCTTGGCCTTAGGAATCGGTCTTGGTCAAAATATCGGTGCCTGTCAACGAGGCCAATATGACGTATGCAGTAAATGATTCCTTAGATGAAATGATAGCATGCCAGATCGTAGGAATCCGGAGTATGAAGTGGCACCCAAAAGTGGGAAATGATCGTTCTTAGTAGCTGCTAATTGGGTTTCCAAATTGAGAATGTAAGCAATGTGCATTAGCGCCGGCCCAAGCCTGTGGCGCAGAGAGTTCCTGGAACCATCCGAGGCCAATCTGAGGGTTCTTAGCACCAAGAACAACGGCTTCTGACGCCGGTTCTTGGCGAAAATGACCTTGAGGATCACGGATTTAATATCTAGACATTGATAGCCCCTCTTGGCAACTTGACAGCATTGAAATCACGTCACTCTGCTCGTCACTTATGTTATAAAACCGAGGAAATTCCTCTTGATAGAACTCCATTCTAGCAAGTTATTCTCTTTACCTACTTGTGAAATTGTCACCAACCAGAGAGAGCATCATGATGAAGAACAAGGCCAACAGTATTGCCGCACTCGGCATGGCGATGTCAGCGATGGCGCAGAATATGTCCTATGGGGCAGACAATCTTTCTACGGCAGCAACAACGTGGCAGTTCAGCCGATCAACTTCCCGAGTCAGTACAAGACGACTGTTGCAGGCAATCTTTTCTATCTCAAAGACATAAATCACAGCACGAATTGGCCAGCCGTGGTGGTCGGTCATCCTCTGGGAGCTGTGAAAGAGCAGAGCGCGAATCTTTATGCCACAAAGCTGGCCGAGCAGGGTTTCGTCACCGTCTCTATTGATATCCTGTTCTGGGGCGCTAGCGAGGGCGAACCGCGCAACGCAGTGTCGCCCGATCTCTACGCGGAGGCATTCAGCGCGGCTGTCGATTATCTTGGTAACCCAGGACTCGTCGACTGCGAACGGATTGGTGGCCTTGGTATCTGTGGCAGTGGTTCTTTCGTGATCAGCGCGGCGAAGGTCGACCCACGTCTGAAGGCCATCGCTACGTCGAGTATGTATAATATGGGTGCTCTCTCTCGCGATGGAATCCAACATGCGCAAAGCGTTAGTCAACTCAAGGAACTGATCGCCCAGGCCGCAAAGCAGCGCTGGGTTGAAATTGATGGCGGCGAGGTCCAATACACAAGCGGCACACAGAATCACCTTACTGCAAACTCGACCGCGATTCAGCGTGAGTTCTACGATTATTACCGCACTAAGCGTGGCGAGTTCACACCTGTTGGCTCTACTCCGGAGCTTACTACCCACCCGACACTCTCTACTTTCACTAAATTTGTGAACTTCTACCCCTTCGACGGTATTGAGACAATCTCACCACGCCCAATGCTGTTCATCTCGGGCGACCAGGCACACTCTCGTGAGTTCAGTGAAGATGCCTATTCGCGCGCTGGGGAGCCGAAGGAGCTGTACTGGGTGCCAGGTGCCGGCCATGTCGACCTTTACGATCGTACCGAGCTTATCCCGTTCCAAAAGCTCACTAACTTTTTCCAAACGAGCCTCGTGTGAGAGGAGCGGAGTCCGACCGCGAGCACGACATGGCAGGTTCATTTCCGACTTGCAGCAGTTTTGTGGTCGCCTCATCGGCCCTTGGGGCAGACCTCGTGCGGTAGATAGACCTACCTATCTGGTTCAGCAAGAGAGCCGAGAGCTATGTGTAATTAGTTATTTGAAACTAGATATTTTCCAGTACTTTTGCCTTCAGTGAAATCGATAAGACAGGTCTGCCCAATCAAATTACCCTTCATACTTGGATTATTGGCCCCTGTCTCTCTCGCAGCTTCGGCAGGTGGCTGGTATAACCCGATTACAAGCAAGTCTGGCACGTAGAACTAGAGAATCATGGTACTCATTTTGCATGCTTGGCTGAGTGATGGACCAATCAATTGGTGGACATTTGCTTACATGGGGCTATCCATGGATCTGCTATCTCCAACCGCTTTTGGCTAATCAGAGCAATCCTACAGTGGAGGCTTGGCCGAGGCGGGCGTCCATTAGGCAAACAAAAATTTCAGGTCTAGCCTTTTCATAATCCTCGTGGAGACACTGGTCAGCGAGACACATTCCTGGCCCCACTCATTCTTTATTAAAACATCTACTGCTCCTCTAGCTTGTCATCACATCGCATGAAATACCAATCACAGAATGGAAGACCCCTCGGCAAAAGCGCAGATCATTCCACTGGACAGAATGCCCCAGCAAGCTGGCGTTCGGAGAGCTCAAGATGATTGGACTGGAATCGTAAATCGGACAGAAAGAAGGAAATTACAGAACCGACTCAATCAGCGACGCTACCGTATGTACTGTTCAGTTAATCCGAGAACATAGTAATAACAGCGGTCAATTTCTCGCTAGGGTTGAGAAGACAAAACAATCAAGCGGAATCGCATGCTGTCGTCACTACTGCTACTTCCTCTGGCGCATCCTCCAGTTCGTCGAGTATCGTCATGCTACCGCCTGATGTCCAAGCGGGGAGTGAAGAAGTCTTCGAATGCGCACATGCCCCTCCAAATGCATTGCAATTCCGTGAACGCTTCATGCAACTTGCGTACCAAAGCTATATTCAGGGTTCACCTAACAGGGATCACTTGATCAGTCTCAGTCGGCTAAATGTGCATCAAGCCATCAACGAGAACATTGCTGCAATTGGAATGACAACCGCGTGGATGCAAAGCGATGAATCAATCTCAATCTTCAATCTCCAGCAACCCAGTTTTTCAATCGAGAAGATTCCGCCTTGCTTACGTCCAACCTCTCTTCAATTGCGTATTCCCCACCATCCTTGGTTGGACTTTTTCCCATTCCCAAACATGCGCGACTGCATGATTCTTGCTGGCGACGCATTCGATGACGACGATTTGTGCCATGATCTCATGGCTTTCTGGGACACCAAAAACACCGCCGCTACATTACTTGTATGGGGAAACTCATGGGAGGCGAAGAACTGGGAAGTCACCGAGGCATTTGCACATAAGTGGAAGTGGTTGCTCCGTGATTCACCTGAGCTACTAGCTTCCACAAACTTTTGGAGAAAATCAAGAGGAGAGAAGCCGATTACCTGGAAATATATCTTGTCAGATCCATAGAATTGGTCGGCATAACAAAGTTATCTTGAACGTCTTTCCTCTCGTGTCTAGGTCTCTTCCTATCGCCAATATCACGAAAATTGTGTATAACAATGCAAAAATTCTGATCAGCACATCTTGGAAATTTTCTACATTTATGTGTTCTGATCTGATCTTTTTAGTTCACAACATTACCTTATCTTCTTCATACAGCTCTTTAATGGAAATCAAATTTCATTTTGCTAGAATTCAAGAACGACGACAAGAGTGAATGATGATTTCTCTCCAGACGCTAGCGACTGCAGCACTAGACGAAAAGCCCCATCTCAACGGGAGCCGATTTGACTTGATCCTCTTGAATACTCTCAAGTAAAGGGTTCCCTCGGTAATCTTCAAGATCCAGATCTATATATCCCTGCGGAGACCATTTCTTGCCAGAAACAAAGAAAGAGCGACCGTTGATAGAGCTGTCCCTGAGAATGTGCAGGAGACAATCGCCCGCTTCAGATGCTTCTGCAAGTTGAACACCTACGCTGGTGACGTGCGCAAATGCCTCCTCAGATAATATTCTTGTCTTGACATACCTGAACTCGTCAGCAACAGGTACGCGACTATGACCAAGGGGATAGCCTTACCATGGCGATATGACGTTCACGCGGCTCCCGTAGTAAAAGGCTGTTCTCCGCAAAGAATGCATAATACCTCGCATAGCCCATTTCGTGGCGCAATATTGAGGAGCTCGTGGGCAATCCAGAAACGCCGCACCCGACCCGACCAAGATCAAGCAAGTGTCTTCCTGTGAAGGTGACGGCTGTTGTCCGTTCTGCGCGATAAAGTAATGCGATGCCAGCTTTGAGGTGTATAACGTGCCGATGAGATTGACGTCGATGGTAGCGAGATCTGGCTTTTTCGGCGTGTTGCCATCGCCGTCATATGAGAATACCTCATCCTGACGGTGAATTCCGGCATTTGCGACTACATAAGATATCTTGCCATTTGGAGAAAACAAAACTGCTTCTTGAAACACACGGACTTGGTCATCCCAGTTGGTTGTGTCGCACTCGATGAATTTGGTACTAGAGAAGGATTAGAGGAGAGGGTATAGCTGGTAGAGTCGCAAGCATACCTGTGAGCTCTTCAAGTTCTCGGCCTCGTGAAATATCACGGTCAGCGATCACAACTATCGCTCTAGATGAAGTGTGATTAGATGGCGGCCAAAGTGGGAGAAATTATTAACTCCTTACCCTGCTGCGACAAGAGCGCGAACGTATGCCTCTCCAAGGCCATTTGCGCCTGATACGATTGCGTCAAGCTCAACCCATCAAACAGAAATGAAGGAGCATTTGGGATGATACATACCACCGGTGACAATAGCGGTCTTTCCTTTGACATTTTCAGAGCCCATTTTGCAGCTGACAGCAGAAACGTGGTCAGAGCTGGCTATACAAAAGACGCACTTGAATAATGAGAATGCACAGAATGGTTAGAGGAAACACAAGAATAAATGATAGGGACGCAAAAACTTCCTTCAAATCATACAGCCACATGGAGGAGCCGTGACGTAGAGGAAAGTGCTTGAACAAGCGCTAATGCAAGATGCTTACTCTCGCCCATGGAACCATTCGGGATTCGACCCACTGGCAGGCCTTGTGCATCTCCTCCACGATGCATATTTACGCGATCGCTGAAGTGGCCGAATCAGCATATTTTGAAATTCGTGTCCTGCCGTTCGAAACATAAGCTGCTAAAGCTGCTAAGTAGAAGTCTTCGAGACTTGGTTTTGGTACTCCCCAAATACTGCGCATGGTGGCCGGGAGCTAATGTAATGATACCAGGATCTTTCCCTCACGCATTCGAAACACTCAACACCATTGTGAGCAAGTCACATGTGTCCAATGGATTAAATGGACCATTTAAATGAGTCATTCTTCCAGAAAAGTCCCCGTCGGCTTAATGGGAGAGCCAGGTCCATTTTGGTTGCAGGTTATACACGAATGAGGCCCGCAATAGAGAGTAGAATCCGTGGAGATACACCTTGTCTACGAACTTGTCTACGAACTTGTCTACGAAAATCCTTCCCTTCAGCATCGGTGTATCGATGTGTAGGCGAAAATTGAAGGGACGGAGTGTGTACGTTCTATCACGATGACTTGGCGTTTGTACGATTCTGCCCAACTCCCGAGGGCGGTGACCTGAAAGAGGTGAGTGTCCTTCCGGCTTACGTGTTTCTTGGAATCCCCAATGCAAGATAGTGAATGTTCTAAATCTGGAGTTCCCGTGATTAAGTTTGCGAGGTCCAGGGAACAACTCTCCGTATCCAATTCTTTGACACTATTTTTGATTCTAAGACCCTGTGGTGGCTTATCACACGCAGGGTCTGCAATAGGGCACCTGGCGCAGCCGCCATTGACGGCTCGCCGAATGCGTCGATAGATCGCATGTCCCCCTAAAAATGCTCCTTGTTTCCCCTTCCCTTGATGGCATTCTCGATGGTTTGAGAATAAACAAGTACTCGCATGGATACGCCCTGTGCAATGGTAGACATGAGACCATGTATAAGTTTCCCACTTGGAGAACACTATTAAAATATCGGCATGTGTCGGCTGGCATATCAGGGCGGTATCTGGAAGTTCAGCTTACGCGCCCCACCGGGGTCCGAACTCGTGCTTTTTCCCGATTCCTTCATTGGACCCCTGGTCTGGATGCATGCGATGGGGTCGAGTCTCAGGGTCTTAGCTTCTATTAGTCGCCATGTCTGCTTTCAAGTATTTTGCCCCATTCGACACTTTCTTTATAATGGGAAATTTCCCCTGAATCGTCTTTTTTCAGTGTCGCCCGGTTCTTTGTCCATCATCACAGCAGGATCTGTGGTTTTCACTCGCTGCTTCTCTGACCAACACCCCGAGAGGGCACCCGACCGTCATGGCTCGCTACTCTCACTACTTGCTAGCGTTGCTCTCCGCATTTGTCGCAACTCTCTTTTGGCTATCATGGGGCTTGAAAGATTCAGTCCCATCTCTAGCACTCACAGTAGGATCAAATTGCATCCTGAATGAAAACGCCACACCTACCACCACACCATATGCCTCCGAGACTCCCAGTGCTCCGGTCAGCTCGCCCACCAGCTCACCCGACGATATCGATGAAGCCTACGCCGGATCTGCGGCGTACAAACTCCCCGCCATCAAGAGCAAACAACACCTCGCGGCAGCCGCTTTCCCCGCCAAGTTGTGGCAAAAGTCCGGTACCCACGGAATCGACGAGTCCCGCCGCGAAGACATGCGATCATGGCAAATTCAGTCGCCCAACCTCCGACACGAGATTCTCACCGATGGCAGTGGTGACCAATACATGCGCGAACAATTCGCCGACTACCCCGAGCTCCTCAATTTATATCTCCCTCCAAGTCCCGATCCTCAAAGCCGATCTCCTCCGCCAATTCATTCTCTACAACGACGGTGGAATCTGGAGCGACCTCGACGTCACATGCCACGTACCTATCGACAAATGGATCCCGGAACAGTACAAGGCTAGAACGAACGTCGTAGTCGGACTTGAGTTCGACGGAGCCCAGTTCGCTAGCTGGACGGTCATGGCTAAGCCCAGAACCAGCCACATCGCATCTGTTCTTCGGTATATCATCCTCGCGCTTGAACAGTCTGCACTGGATTACAATACGACTATTTCTGGTCTGACGATGCAGACCATTAGTGATGTGGTTGACGTTACAGGCCCTCAGGCGATGACTCGGGGCATCATTCAGAGCCTGGAGAAGGAGCTTGGTCTTCCGGTCGGAAGGCCCAATATCTCGGAACTTTATGAGCCAGTCCTCCTGGGAGATGTCCTTGTGTTGCCTAATGCGGCGTTTGCTGCTATGCAAGGTGGCTGGCCGACTGATCGAGGTCCGTACCTTGTTGAACATCACTACGCTGGCTCGTGGAAGAATGACAAGGGGGGCGAAAGCAAGGTTGAGGATAAGACGCCGGAGCTTCAGGCGCCCGAGGTTCAGGGCTCAGCAATTCAAGCCCCAGAGACTCAGACCCCGGAGATTCCCACCTCGGAAATCCCCACTTCGGATTTTCCAACCTTAAAGGCACACAACTCAGATATTAACCCAGAGACGGACAAGGGGGTGGAGTTGGCATAATTGGGCAGTAATTTCATTCCGTGTACTTTAATCATGATGGCGTTGGAGGCATTTACTTGGCTGCATAGGGATTATTAGACTGTATATGTGGCATTTTGATACCTCACCTGAATTCAATCTATTTTCAATCTTGCTACACCACTGGGATTTTTGGCTCTTTGCACCTCAACCTATAAATTGACACTTGCTGTGAGCGAGCCACCTTTACCCACATGCATGCGGTGTTACTTCGCAACCTTGGTGTAAAACATATCAAGTATCACCAGTTATGGAATTACATGTCAGTAGGGTGGGGGGGGGGCAACTGCCACCATGTCACACAGTCACACGCGAAGATTAACAGTTAATTTGCAAATGACCGAGCATAGTGTCATGTCTATGATAGCCACATAACAAAGGCATTAACTCAAGGATCAAAACGCGAGGATTACAAAGACATCAGGATCATCCCCAACCGTAGGGAGTGTAGGTTGCTATATTAGACAGCTAGCCAGAACAACGGACCCATGGCGGACTAAACGAACATTTATCTTGTGAGACGTCGGGGTCTTTGGGCTGTAAGCCAACTTGATTTCAGGTTCCAGCCATAATATATTTTGAAGCTTCATTCATTTAAATGTATTTATATCTTCCAGCTCCACCATGGCAGTATTGCCTCTAAAATCATGATGTACGCTCAGGTGTAAATGACCGACATTACCTGGTGTGACAATCGAAAGGACCTTTGGATCAATATTCCAAAGTCTGCTTGATCGCATCAAATATCCCTGAGTACGGAAGTATTAGATCTTTGAAAGAAAGAAGACAATTGTGGGGAATCACTCACTTGCAACGTCAGGCAAGATAAATTGTTCGTAAGTCAAACCCGTGTGTGTACTCCATCCAGCGACACGCTTAACTGGGGCTTCCAGTCGAAGGAACGCACCCTCTTGCAGGGTAGCGGCAACCTCGGCTCCCACGCCGTAGTTGACCATACTTTCGTGCACCACAACGGCTCTTCCTGTTTTTCGAACGCTCTCGAGAACCGTCTGGCGATCCCAGGGATAGATAGTGCGTAAGTCGATCAACTCAATGTTGACGCCCTTCATTGTCTTTTCAATGGCGGAAATGGCGGCTGAGCATCGGTAGAGCGGTTGGCCATAGGAAATTATTGTGAGGTCTTTGCCGGGCTTGACCACCTCGGCCTTGCTGAGAGGAATGGTATAATACTCATTCGGGACGTACTCTGCTGCCGCTCGGTAAAGACCCTTTGGCTCCATGAAGATCACTGGGTCATTGTGTTCGAAAATGGATGATAGCAAGAGGCCTTTGGCTTGTGCAGGTGAACGAGGCATTACTACTCGGACACCAGGAATATGTGCGAAAAGCGACTCGGGCGATTGTGTATGGTAGCTATTTAGGCTGTCAGTTGTGGGTACGGGGGAAACGGCCGGCGCCACAGTATACACACTCACAGAGCACCATGACCCACTGCACCACACGGCATACGAATCACGAGTCCTCCCACATTTACTCCAGTATTGCCTTCTCTGTATCGAAACTTTGCCGCCTCGTTGACAATCTGGTCGAAGGCTGGAAACATGTAGTCGGCGAATTGTAATTCAGCTACAGGCTTCATGCCCTCTGCCGCGGCACCGATAGCGAACCCTGCGATTCCTTGTTCCGTCAACGGTGTATTGAAGACACGATCTGAGCCAAACTCCGACTGTAGGTCCATAGAGCACCGAAACACACCACCGAACGCCACATCTTCGCCGAAGAGTATGACCTTATCGGAGGTCGACAGAGCGGTTCGTAGAGCGGAGTTGATGGCTTGGAACAAATTCAGGCGCTTGCTTGTGGCTCCAGCTGGGAAATTTGGGACGCTCGACAATGTCGCCGGAGTGTGGTGCAACAAAGGAGTCGTCTTGAAGTCAAGGGGTAAGTTGAGCTTTGCCGCGGGCGAAGGAGCTGAGTAGTATCGGCGCGGTATTTGGGAAGTCAAACACCTTGGGGCGCGAGGTCGTACCATCTCTACGATAGTCGGGGTATGGAGACGGGTATGTTCAGGGGAAACATCAGAGACAAAGTTTCAAGAGGCCTTTTCTTTATAAATGAGATCCTGTTGTTCCGTCGGCCTTAAAGAATTGCGGGGGATGCGCCGCGGATAACCGAAGGTGCAAACAGCGCAAATGCGGAGGAGTGACGAAGGTTGAGAAACGCGCCAAGTCTTGATAGATCGACTCTGGTCGTCCCAGGGTCCTTGAGAAGCATTCTTTCCAGCAAAAGTACCTTGCTGGTTCTTCGAAATCCCTCGCCACAATTGGTCTGTACTGAAGAAGGAATTTCGTCCCGGTTATTGAGAATCGGAGCTCCGTTTCCACTAATACTACGTATGCTTTTTAACTGCCCCACCTCCAATTGTCCCTCTGAAACGAGCAACATAGCTCCAGCCAAGGCCCGGTTATCAATTGTGCAAATTGATTCACCCCGGCAGAATAGCTCGAGTCAAGCTGATACATAGCATAAGTATGATTGTAGTAAAGATCGTCCTTATCACGGGCTTATCGGCCGGTGTCGGCGGTGTGACTCTGCCGCACCAAAAATCCGCTTTTCTCGAGTGACTCAACCTCTCGACCTTCTTCTCAACTCATTGTTTCCCAATCCATTTTCATCTACAACACAATCACAATGTCCAAGGGAAAAGTAAGTGCTTTTAATGTCTTCTGATTGCCATTGCCATTATGAATCCCTTCCCTAGCACCAGACCACCAGTTCACCCACCCTTCTACACTTTCAATTGGCCGCATTGCCTTCCCGACATCACTGACAAGCTTCTCGACAGGTTTGCCTCGCCTACTCTGGTGGTCTCGACACCAGCTGTATCCGTATGATATACTCCGACTTCCAATTCCAATCAATTGTCATCGCTGACACCAGATCCAGTCAAGTACCTCATCGAGGAGGGCTATGAGGTCGTCTGCTTCAGTAAGTTGCGCGCATTGCTTCAGGAAACGATATAAGCAACATTTTACTGACTTTTTCTTGCAGTGGCCGATGTTGGCCAGGAAGGTATGGTGACGTCTATGTCGGGTTTCCTGCAATACGAGACTAATGTTTCCCCGCAGAGGACTTCGAGGCTGCCCGCGAGAAGGCCCTCGCCATCGGTGCCTTGAAGTGCGAGATCATCGATATCCGCCGCGAGTTCATTGAGGAGCTCTGCTTCCCCGCCATTGCTTGCAATGCCGTCTATGAGAATGTCTACTTGCTCGGTACCTCTCTGGCCCGCCCCGTCATTGCCCGCGCCCAGATCGAAGTTGCTCAGGTACGCTCTATTGGCTCATCTCACTGTTGACAGATCAGTGACTAATTCGTGGTATTTCTAATAGCGTGAGGGCTGCTTCGCCGTCTCTCACGGCTGCACTGGTAAGGGTAACGACCAGGTCCGCTTCGAGCTTGCCTTCTACGCCCTCCAGCCCAACATTAAGGTCATTGCCCCGTGGCGCGACCCTGTCTTCTACGAGCGCTTCGTCGGCCGTAACGATCTTCTCGAGTACGCCGCTGAGAAGGGTATCCCTGTCACCTCCACCAAGTCCAAGCCCTGGAGCATGGACGAGAACCTGGCCCACTGCTCCTACGAGGCCGGTATCCTGGAGGACCCCGACACCACTCCTCCCACTGACATGTGGAAGCTCACCGTGGACCCTCTGACTGCCCCCAACCAGCCCGAGGACTTCACCGTCTCCTTTGAGAAGGGTGTCCCCGTCAAGCTTGAGTATACCGAGAAGGGCCAGAAGAAGACGGTCACCGACTCCGTTGAGCTCTTCCTGACTGCCAACGCCATTGCCCGCCGCCACGGTGTTGGCCGTATCGATATCGTTGAGAACCGCTTCATCGGTATCAAGTCTCGTGGCTGCTACGAGACCCCCGGTCTTACCTGCTTGCGCTCTGCTCACCTTGATCTCGAGGGTCTCGTTATGGACCGTGAGGTCCGTGCCCTCCGTGACCAGTTCGTCACCTTCAACTACTCCAAGCTCCTGTACAACGGCATGTACTTCTCCCCCGAGCGTGAGTTCCTCGAGGCCTCCATCACCGCTTCTCAGAAGTCCGTCAACGGCCAGGTCCGCTGCCGCGCCTACAAGGGTACCGTCTCCATCCTCGGCCGCTCTTCCGAGACTGAGAAGCTGTACGATATGACCGAGTCCTCCATGGACGAGATTGGTGACTTCTCCCCTGCTGAGACCACCGGCTTCATCAATGTCTCCGCCATCCGTCTCAAGAAGTACGGCCAGATGAAGGCCGCCGCTGGCGAGAAGTTGTAAATTGTCTTTGAATAAAAAATGATGGTTTGAGAGCCAAATGTTGAGCATCACTGGCTTTCTACGGCAGCTCACTGGGCTCGTTTCACATTTGCCATCCGAACCTACTTAGGTATGGTTTCCCGGTTTGAATGATTGTATAATGAAATAGAAAAAAGTTGCAATTGTGGGAATTATATGAGCACAATGCTCTCTGTAGTCTTGTAATTGTACACACGTCCGATGTTGAATCTGACTCCAAGATAATCATCTGGCCGAACGTTCAATCTATCAAAGCTCTATAATATCACGCTATTTATAATGCCCTCTCAGCGAGGAATGTTACAAATTGGCTTTCTCGTTGGTATCTTCCACCAAGTCTTTGAGACACGATCCGAATTAGCTTTGGATTTCACGCACTGGGACAGGGGAGACATACTGTTCCACGCATCTAAGGCCGCCTTCTCAGCATCCCATCCCCACAAGAACTGCTGCGTTGCACGATCAGACCATTTATCAGGGTTCGAACCACTTGCCGATTCCAGGAATTGTGCGTCCCGGGCGAGTTGCTCTGGGCCGTCCGGCAAGTGTAGAGTGATCCGATTCTCAGATCCAGAAGCTTGAACTGTCTCTGCACGCTGCTTTCGAGACTGCTCATAGACCTTGAGTGCGTGTGGAATTTCTTGCCGTGATGAGATTGTTGAAAGTAGGACGCCCAGTGCTGCTGCGTCTTCGACTGCCTGTGCTGCACCTTGAGCAACATAGGGGCTGCGAGATGTCAGTGTCACTCACGGAGCACCAAAAAAAAAGGAAACAGATCAACATACAGCATAGGATGACATGCGTCACCGATCAAAGCTACTGATTCTCGAGTCCAAGTCTTGAGGGGACGGTGCAGACACAACTTCCACTCGAGGACCTCATCTTCCTCCACGAGATCAATGATCTTTCCGATCTTTGGGTCCCAGCCCTTGTAATTATCCACCATGGCCTGCTTCGAGCCCTTTGTCGTCCAAGATTCTTCGACTTCTTGTCGGTCTGGGTGAAGCAGAACCACATTGTACAAGTCGTGATTGCGCACGGGGTATGCAATGATGTGGCGCTCAGGACCTAGCCAGCGAGTTGCCTGCGGCTCATCGATGAGCTCCTTCAATTCGGGATCTTTCTCCATGATGCTGCGGGGAAGCAAAATTCGATACGCAGCATCACCGGTGGCAACGGCCTTGATCGACGAGTCCTCCAGCAACTGGCTACGAACGGTTGATTTGATACCATCGGCGCCGATAACAACGTCTCCACGAAGAACTGTGCCATTGGCTAGCGTGACGGATGTAGGGCTGAATGCAACATCGGTAACGACAGAGTTTTCGTGAAGATGAACATTCTCAAGAGCAAGTGCACTGTCGATCAAGGCGTTGTGCAGATCGGCACGGTGAATGACAACCTGCTGGCCGAATGTCTTATTCACCGGCACGGTGGCCAGAAGCTTGCCGTCTTCCCACCGTCGAACATGGATATGCTCCAACGCCACATCTTGGGCGTGTATCAAGTCAGAAATACCCCATCCTGGTGTCAAGTCAGTTCAAACTGGGCACTACTTCTCGGCGCCCGGAACAAGGTATTTTGACTTACGCTCAAAAAGCCTTAACATGTTTGGAGAAACTTGGATACCAGCTCCAACCTCTGCAATCTATTTCGGCCAACATTGATTAATATTGCAATACTCATCTCTTGGGATCAGGTGCTAGCGCATACTTTGGGAGCAGCTTCGAGGACCACCACGCGGTGACCGCGCATTCCTAATGTTAACGCCGCGGCCATCCCTCCAATGCCTAGCAAATGTCAAATTTGGCTCAATTAAACCCCATGCAAGTCCCATGCAATTCAAGAAGAACATACCGGCGCTGTTTAATGTTAGATTTGGCCCCATTGTCTCGAATATGGAGAGAAAAGAAAAAGACTCACCCGACTACAATTACGTCCAAAGGGACATTGGCTTGTGGCACGTCCATCATCTGTAGAGCAAATGGGAAGGAAATACAAGAAAAAGAAGAACAGAAACTTGCGTGGCAGAGCTTACAGACGAGCACGCCACAAGTATTTCAGAAAATTTACGCGCGAGAGCTTACCTGTCCGAAGGTTTGCCGTCCCACCCGTGCCACAGAAACCCGCTACGGTTCGGCAGAGAGTCATCTCCAATTATGTCTACGACAATCATCCCCCGGTGAGGCGGTGCATGTTGGATCGTCGCTCTGAAATTGACCGTCTCTTCTCCACAGGTTGGGGTCTTACATGGAGCGACCTGTCTGGCCCCCATTGACCTGTCCTGATTCTCCATATTGTAGACCACGGCACTTGCCGGCTCCTGGCGGAGCGGCATCAGACAAATGTGTGGGGGAATGGTTCTCTTCCGTCTTGATAATCATTCAGTACAACAAGGTCTATTCTTTTTTTTTTCTATCTCAATAATCCTCCATGATTGCTATCAAAGGTCGATTCAGCTCCGTACCCTCAATTTCCGGGTTTTGGGACGTGCAGAGTCTCGAGGTCGCCGCTCCGATCGGAGCGCGGGCTCCACCGCCACACTGGCTTTGTCGTTTCTCCGGGGAAACTAAGCCCGGCTCTTTTGCGGGTTTCTATCTGCCGACTCCTCGCCCGAGTAATAGATGCAACCCCGAATGTCTACTGTCCTCTTGCTTTTGCCATACTGGGAACCCCCAGACCCCACTACGGGGTCGCGACCATTTTCCCCGACTCCTGATCGTGTGATGTCAATTCCCACTGACTCTACAGTAACTTCACGGCAATTTTAGACTTGATCCAATGCCGATTTTTGGGTTGACTATCAAATTTGGAAGTGTTGTGCTCAATTGCTGGGGTGTTATTCGCATAGTCTACGATGTGTGCCTTGCTTGAATGTACGAGAGGCATCGGAGAAAGTATGGCCCCTCCACCGGTCGCTCCAACAGGTTCACCCCGTCCATATGGAGCAGAGCAGTGTTCAACCCTTGTATTCCTGGAGCTCCTCTCTAAGCGGTGACGTCCCACTACCCGGTCGAATTCCCTCCATGCTTTCGTGAATGGTTCGGGGAAGGCGCAGCCAGCGAGTACGAAGGTGAGTAGTGTAGAGCTTGGAGTGTCGCTTCCGACACCGAACAGGTTCCCTGAGAGAGAGGAGTTTCCACACAGGAAAGATTGTGCTCGGGTTCTTCTTCAAAGATCTCTTTTGCATAATAATGTTCAACATTAGGATTATTGACTGCTTCTTCAAATATCTTCTTTGCATAATATCATTCAATATTAGGATTGTTGACTACTTCCTCGGCCAGGGCCTAAAAGAATGGTCTGCCCCTTCCTTGTCCCTTCTCTAGGCCTTGGTTCCATGGCGCCATCCAATTTGGGAACTTGTCGAGAACTATGCTTTACTGAGCATGAAATATCGGGGTATACCATAGGACACTGGGTAGATCTCACTCACAAGGAAACGACTCCCTCAACATAGGAAATGTTCTGCCAGGTACATTCAACTCCGTCGCACGTTGCATATCAGTAATAATAGAATCCCTGGACATAGACACACGTCTCCCGAAACCAATAATAGATACCACACTGGTCGCATATCGCTCAAAATGTTAATTTCTGTTCACCGTATGTTAAATCAATCCAGAGCGTCTGAATTGGGGGGACTAGTTATGGGTATATTTGGTTTGCTTCGAATGTGCTTTGTGTGGTGTTATTCTATTTCTGAATCCCAGAGATGAAATATCGGTCTTTGGAAGAGTTGGATGATATTTTTGAGGCGCGAACTTCAGCGAGGAAGTTTGTGGATTATCGAACTGTTATCAGAGGTGGCGAGGATTGAGGTTCCTAATACTAAAGGAGTGAGTATGGATAAGAATGAAGTGGAATGAATTTTGCGAATGATACAGCTTTATTTACCTCCTTATTCGCCGGACCTCAGCCCAATTGAAGAGTTTTTCGCCGAGCTCAAGAGCTTCATTAGGCGTAACTGGAGCCATTTTGAAGAAGACCATGATCAAAGATTTGATTCTTTTCTTGAATGGTGTATAAACAAGGTGGGAGCAAGAAAGGAGAGTGCTAGAGGCCATTTCCGGCATTCAAGCCTGACTATTGAAGATTTGAGCAATTGACAAATTCCTGGTGGCATCCTTTCCGTTCGGCTTCGAGTTCGGGATGCTGCTATCCAGTTGCCCCACGTCCACATTGAAGTGCACTGTTTCCATAATCGGGATCCCATCACAAATTGATTTCGAAATGATAACCAGAAAGACGCCAAGGTTAGTCACTCACCTTTGCCAACCCTGCGCGACAGTACTTGGTTGGCAGTGACAAATCAGACATTATGCTGAGATAGGTATAGCCAGGATCTGGATAGATTGTCTCGGTGGGCAGCATGCAGCCGATGTTTTTGGGACTTGTGATAGAATAGTGGAAGACATGGTAAGACCGTCATAGCGCAATGAATGAACTAGCGTATGGACAATAAGTACATGGGAGACAAGTCAAATTCCTGAAGCCAAAATTTCTAAAACGGACCGAATGGGGGTTTGGCGGTAAACAAGTACAATCAATAGGGTGAGCATACCCCAACCCAACGGAGGCCGGCGCTAAAACAGAAAATTAGAGGCTGACAACAGGGCGCAGCAAAAGACGGAGATCGTAAAAACTTTCCGCCATCCGCGAACTACGTTTTAAACTCAAATAATCTTGCAAGCTCTTGTCCACACTGATCAATATCAATTAACATTTGTCAACGCCATGGCCGAGCTAGTCGGCGTCGTTTCTAGCGCTATCACATTCGCGACACTTGCAGTTCAAGTTGGCAAATCCGTTCAGACACTCAAAGGCTACTGGGATTCGATGCGAGATGCGCCCCATGATCTCAAGTGGCTATTGCGTGAGGTTGAAATGTTCGGTTTAATAATGGCCGATGTTGAGGCGGACGTATCACAAAACCCAGTCCCGTTAGCTCTGACCAACAGTCAGCATGTTTCGCAAAGCTTGCTGTTCTGTAAAGAGGCCGTGGAACGATTAGATGCACTTTGTAAGAATTTATTGCAGGATTACGGTTCTTCCAACCGACTGCGCAGGTCCTACCAAGCCGCAAGAATGGTACTACGCCAAAGGACAATTGAGAAGCACGTCTTAAATCTACATAATGTAGTCCGACTACTTACGCTATCCCAGCAATGCTATGCCCGGTGTGTCCTACCAAGTGTGCCTAGAAGATTCCATGGGTGACTTTGTACTGATGAAACCAGGTCGCTTTTGCGGGTTCAACCCGACTTAATTGCTGAAGCAATCAAGCATCTGGAGGTAGTTACCTCTAAGACAGCTGCTTCGAACTTTAGTGCAGCACCCCATGGTGGGTCCAAACTGGCGATTATATTTTTGGAGCTTACTGATTTACTCAAGGTGAGACCTTGATTCTGGCTGAGAAGTTGGTGGGAGTGTCAAAATTGGGAAACGATCTAGCTCGCACCCGCAATGGCAGCTGCATTTGGCTTCTTCGCGCCCCGTATTGGATGACATCTCGAGTTTCGGAGGTATCGGGCATGGAAACCTCCTTCGGGTGGGACTGGAGCCTTCGAACATACAACGAGGTCCGTTGGAGTTCGGAATTTCACTATTATTTTACGCAAGGGACGGTTAAGGACCTCCAGGCTCTCTTTGCCTCTGGCCGCCTCTCACCTCTTTTCCGCTCGCAGGGTAGCGGACGAAGTCTACTTCATGTGAGTAATATATTTATTCAAGATAGATCTTATCTCGTCGGTGCGTTCTGACTTATCAGTATGCGATCTGCACAGACAGAAAGGAGGATGTTGTTGAATTTCTCCTGGATCAAGGAGTGGACCCAACAATTGAAGGTGGATTTTGCACCTTGAAGACGCCTCTTCGACTTCTCTTAGAGATTGGGAAAAGGGCGGCATCTAATAAATTATACCCGCTTTTACCAGTCTTACGTCCGCTACTTCGTCATTCCCAAGATCTGGTCTACGATAATGCCCAGGAAACAGTCGAAGGGATCTTATCGGAGTTCCATGGCACGTCTGAAGAATTCATGTTTTGCAACAACACTGCTGTCCCACGTTTTATCAAATGCCACGGTGGGCCCGAATAACGGTGGCGGCACAGATCATTTGTGACGCCCCCAATGCCCATTACGCCGAAGAAGCAAACAATACTCCCGACCTGGTCAAAACGATCCTTAGAAAAGATATATCAGAGGCCAGAGACTTTCATACAATATGTACTTTACCTCTAACTGCGAAACAAACAACCATAATGCATTGCATTGCTGAAAGGTTGGGAGCCAGTCGGGCTTTTCTACAGATATCGCGCCGGAGAAATCTATCCGTTTGTAAGGGATGGCAAAAATTCTCCCGGCCTGCCGACATTCACAGTCACGCCAAGTGGCAAGCTATTTGCGAGTCGTGGAATAGTCTTTTCTTTTATTTTCTGCGCGCTAGGGTAGATATTCATCAAATTGTTGATGGAAAAAAACCCTGTTCATCGCATTTCTAGAGGGGTATCTGGCTTCTCAAGTATCTCTCCCGGAGATGAAACCTGTTCCGTGGTTTGACCAGGAAGATTTCCAAGAAGGTTTTCGAGCCTGGCTGAAGGATGTGAAAGCTGCCGGTCTGGATCTGGAAAGGTTGGGCGCAATCGAGTGGTGCATTTGGAAGAACGAAAGTACCCAGAGAGAATTCAACGGCGGTTTGCACAGAGTGACTAGAATCGCTTACGGTCCACTCCCGGAAGATTGGGGCATTTGGCTGTCGGAGCCATCTGATCCTTTCGCACGGGATTTTTGGGCCTTAGTCGCGCGGCCAGCTGAGATCATGCCAGGGGGCTGGCCAGGCGAATAATATCAACAGATATTTGATATCTGACTGAAGATAGGGATCTCCCGTGTAATACTTCGAGAATAATGGTCAGACTAAAGCATATCGATCTCCGTGTCCACTCGAAAGAGCCGCATCTCATATAAGCTGCATATTGTTTCAAATATAGAAAACACCAACGCCTCTTCCCACCCCATCATAATTATTCTACATCACTTGGAGAATGGGTACCGCTTTCTTCACATTTTCAACCCAATTGCGAATTTTCTCTACAAATGTTCGAGCAATGCCAGGCTTAACTCCCTTGCCCACGAAGAATTCTGGATTTTGATCCTTATATATGTGCACAATGTCAAAACCATCAGATAGCGTCACATCGGACGCTTGCCGGAATGCGGCTTTGAGGGTATCATCCGATACAGTTGATGCGAGCCACTCACCCTATTCTTTGACGGCTACGTCTCGGAATCCCGGAATTTTCAATGGACCTGTCTCCTTCGAGCCGCTTTGGTCAGCAGCTGCATTGGAAGCCGTTATATCCAATCCAGGAGGGTGAGACGAGAGGACATTGATGTTGATAGGTAGATACGGCGAACCGTCCCCGGAAATGTGACCACTCTTGCGGTTGGTTTTCTCCAGTCGCTGCTGCTCTTCCATATAGGGGTCGTCTCGGATTGCATCAGGGACATCTTTATGCGTCTCCAGAAGACCGCCTTTCTCAGCGTAGGTAACCAATCGCTTAAGGGTTTGCGTGCGCAGTCGATAATGCTTTTTTCCCGCTGGATGCAACTAGCAATAAGGGCCGAGGTGGCATGCAGCTGAATCACATTTTATTATGTTATAGACGTAACGCCAAACTGCTTACTGTCCACTTATATGTTCTTTGGTATCTAGTTGTGCGTCTCGATTATTGAGTATCCTCCTTGTCACAGATGATTTGCCTCTCTTCTCCCCTTTCCGACCGGCAGAAAGAGAAATGTCATCTTCTACGTAGTTAAGACACACCTTTAGCATAAGTCTTTTGCCACGGGAGAATTGACCAGACCATATCTGAAGTTGTTTCTCGATTGGTGTCCAGATTATATCAGTTTTGTTGAAACGTTTGGTCAGATCACGCTGAGAACGATCATTGACCGACACAATAATCGCTGTGTCATCGACCCTGATCCTCTTATTGCGAGAAACTTTCTCCCGAAGGGCTTTCTGTAGCTTCTCTTCCAGCACCAAACGGCAGTATGCGCTCGGGGCCAATACTAGGTCTTCTTCGGTGTCCTTCACCACAGCCTTATTGTTGAGCGTGACCCGCCATTCTATCAAGTAGTGAATACAGCTTGGCGGGTCCTCGTCATAGATCTTATCTTTCTCCCACTCGGATTCCTGAAGAAATGGTAAAGTATTCGTTCGAGATCGGCATGCGGGATTGAGCTCATCGTCGAGGAGGATAGATAGGGAGGGACTACAAGCGGATCGCGTAGCATAAGGGCTTCGGAAGCATCCCGGAGTAGGGGCATACAATGAATCCTGGTCCCATTGTTTGGGGGTCCTGGGGCTGAGAGATGTAGTCAACGTGATCTGGGCTGTCACTTATATTTACACCGAATCGAACCTCTGGAGATCTGCGTTAGCTTACGCGGGGACCAGCTGTCAGCAGATGTCGTGAGCGAATAGAAACGGCAAGAATCGAGTCGAGTGTATTTACTTAATTGGCTTCTCTCTTTATAAAATGATTTAAGAAACCTTCATACGCCAAATAATATGAATGAAAGGCTGTGAGAAATGCAGTAACACCTTAACATGCTCGCATCGAATGAAATGAAAAGAGCGCAACTAAACACGATATAGCCCGGTGAAGCAAATGAACAAAGACATAGAGGGGTAATGTGGGGTCGGTCGTGTGGGGTCATGCGAGTGTGTTGAAGTCGTTATCATGAATGCTGAGTAGTATGTTCAAGTAATGGGTTCGTGGGAAATGTACAAAGATAGCTTCTTGAAGAACATGAGCTCGCATGAATGTCAAGTCACGACCAGAGGCGTTGTGGTTTGGCTGATTCGCGATAATGGAATCTGTCGCTGGGTGTAATCGTAGTCTTTAGGCGGTAAACATGAGTCGTAAGCGGCTGGGGCCTTTTTTCTTCTTCTCCTTGGGTCGTTTCTCTTTCTCAGAGATGTGGCTGCCAGACTTGGCAGGCGCTCGGCTTGGGGCCTTGCTGGGGGCTTTGCTCGGAGCTTTGCTCGGAGTTTTACTGGGAGCTTTGCTTGGAGCTCGACTAGGTGCCTGGCTGGAAGCTCGCGGTGGAGCCTTGGATGGCCTGGGAGACGTGGTATCGTAATCGGCCCTGGAACGCCCAGCCGAACGGGCACGAGTGTGCCGAGATGTACGCGAGCGACCAGAGCGGCGAGAAGATGCAATAGACTCATCGTCGAATTTGAAGCGCGGATCCCGCTCTAGCCGGGCAGTTGTGACATCGATGCCCGACATCGCTGCTGCCTTAGGCGTGATGAACTCCCCATCGACTGAGGTCCCCACACTCCTAGCTTCAATATCTGCAACGCCCCGTCTCCACATTTCGACATGACTGAGTTGTTCCACGTTGATCTCCATCATGTCATCCATGCCGATCAACTCTTCTTGCTTCTCCCCACCGGCAGGCTCGCCCTGGATCTTCTTGATGATCTTGTATCCCCCCAGCATGACGACTGTGACACCGAGTCCGACACCGGCGGCGATGAGGAACTGTGGGCTCGACAGGAGGGCGAACACTGCGGGGCTTGCAGATTTTAGCGCGGATAGCGCGGCTGGGGCCATCTTACTGGCCAGAGTACTGATCTCTGCCAGAGTAAGAGCGACCGCAGCCATCGCATCGGGGTTTTTCTGAAGATGCGATATGGTAGCCGTTGCGCTGTGTTGGACGCAGTGCGCTTCCTCCAGAAGCCACTGTGCTTTATGCACCAGCCCATCGAGCTGATTCTGATCATTGGGGTCAGGAGGGCTGTATCGCAACAAGGCAGCAGGATGCGCTTCCCCATATGCAAGGTCCATATCGATGTGAGCATCGGACTTTGACCGAGCAGTCAATGAGCGATCCTCTGTTTCTCGAACGGCGATTTCATGGTGAGTGTGTCGACGAGAAATTCCCGATGGAGCATAGTGAGACTCCCGGCCCGACACAGATTGCAGGTCTTGTTCATAGCGAGAAGAGGCACGACCGCGATGCACACTGCGACTGGCATGATATTGCGACTTGGACCGGTGACTCCGTCGTGAGCCTACAGACTTAGAGTCGTCAATTTTGTAGTGGGCAAGCGCCTGGAGGGCCTGCTCCTCAGCAAGCTTGGCATTTCGCTCCGCATCGAAATGCGCCTTGCGCTCCTTGTAGGCGGCTTTGGCCTGACTAAAGACCCCGAATAGTTGTTTGCTCTGCAGAACAATTAGCTTGGGGTCCGAGGGTGGCGTGAGTATTTGTATCTGGGCGGAAATACCGTGCTGACAACCTTGCCGGACTTGTCAATCACGGCGATCGTCTGGCCGAGCGGCGCCATGGCAAATGAGAAGTCGATAGAAAGTAAAGATCATTCATGGGGATTCAAGGCGACGATCGCCGGGGCCACGAGGAGCGGTGTACAGCCCTGGCGATTTTACCCGGGGTGCCTGGCAGGCAGGATATAAATAATGGGAGTCGCACGAGGCAAGTGAGTATCATATAGAACAAGACAAGGAAGAGAGAATCGTGCCCGGACGTCAGGGTGCAGCGACGACTGCCCAAGATGATTAATCAGGCCTCTTTTGTGCCACCGAAGCAGTGATCAGCGCAAAGGTCCGATCGGAGGCTACTCGCACGTAGAAAAAGTGATGCGGGAAAGCAGGAGGCTGGGGATCAGAGCGATTGCATGGCATCAGCGTGCAGAGTAGTGCAGATGGTTGGGCAGAGCAGCGAACGGCGGCTGCAGGAATTCCAGGGCCAAGGATCCAGTTGGGTGACAAGTGATGCGAAGGCAGAAGCGAATCAAGACTCGGCTACTGGATTGGAAGCTCACATCTCATCACACAGCTCGTTGGGCGCAAAAGGGTTCGGTGGAGAAGTAATTTGCTGTCACTTTCTGATTGCCCGAGAAGGGAAACTAAGAGCGAAAAGAAAGAGGACGATAGATTGTGATTAGACTGGACATCCATAATTTCGGGAATTCTACTGTACTGTGACTTAGTTTACAACAAAGCAAAGAAGCGGTGACCCACGGTTTGTGATTGGCCCACTCTGTCACCGCCACTGGGGCTGGTGATTAACGCCACAGATCCTGCGCTGTGGCGGTGCTGTTCCCTTCACACGGTTTTGCGGATCTCTCTATTGAATAACCTCCTTACCCATGAAACATAGGCGACAAGATAATTCCACGGAATCCGACTGGAGAAGCTACGTAGGTCCAATTGCAATGAGGACGATTACGACGAATGGTGCGATTCCTCGTACTACTCACACATTCAATCCCTGGGCGTAGATTGGACAATGCACTTCGAGTCCGATTAGGGGTGCGTCTCGGGTCATCTGTCTTATCTGTCTCTGCTGATCACAGTCGGTGGACTTGGTCTCAACGTGTACCCCGTAGGCTAGTCCTCTTTCTTTCAAACTAGAGAGTCCCAAGTTCCTCTTTGACTCCATTGATAGCTACGTTCGATCCACGATGGCAGTACTCAAGAGCCATCGAGCTCAACCTCCGTTAGCTCGACTACTATGGGAGCCCAGGTGAGTCGCACTTCATCAGTGGGCGATCAGATCCTCATTCTGTAGCGATAGTGATAGCATGAGGACAGACATGCGACCGTACAATGCGGGGACCGTAGTGGCAGATCACGATATGAGCCCCTGAAGGACTTCAGCTAACGGTAGATCCACTAGGTCCGCCTGGTGCAGGAGTCATCCACGGCATGCTAGGGGTGGTGAGTCGAATATTTTATCGATGGTGCAATTGTTGTGTTTTGGGAGTTCCCGCACCGCCTCCCGAGATGATTCATTCGGTTCGGTCCACCCTTCACTTTGGCTCTTCCACACCCCGGATTGCTGTGCCCTCAGAGAAGGGTAGTAGAAGTGAGCCAATTGATACAAGACCGGATCCAATCATCTCCCGCCGGCAGATCAGATCACCCTGCAATTGCACCTTTGGGAAAGACGCTCGTTGGCTAACGCTGTTCCCACGATGGACACAGTGGATTCAGGAAGCACCTCCGAAGCGGAGGACCCGACCAAAACATGGGGTTCTGACACTGGACGAATTGTTCCGACTTCTGACGATGCGGGCAGCTCTCTGCCTAAAAGTGACTGCGGCATCGGACACCGAGTCGTAGCCAGTCGCTCTGTTTTGGCGTTGGTTATTGACGAAGAATGTGTCTTCGCTGGTTTGCAAGGCGGTGACATTGTTGTATGTTTGAACTGGTCGAGAAATGCATAACTGTCAAAGCTTCTGCTAATTTCTTTGAGCAGGCGTGGTCTTTGGAGACATACGATCTGGTTCTATCCGTGCACGCTCACAAGGAAAGCGTGCTAGGACTCTACCTGTCAGATGACGGCAATCTGCTATTTTCCAGCGGTGGCGACTCGGTGATCAATGTCAGTACCTCTATCAACAATACAGTGTAAGTTGTACTAAAGCTTTGGTAGGTCTGGTCAACGAGGACGTTTGAACGGCTCTACTCCATCCACTCACACCACGACGTGGGTGACATTTTCACGGTGGTGTACTCCAGTATGAATCAGACCATCTACTGTGGCGCCCAAAACACCAGCATTCAGGTAATGAAGCCCTTTCTGTCTCTCGCGTGACTCTTCACTGACCCATGCAGTGGTGTGATCTGTCTGAGGAAGGCGCTGCCTTGAACCAGACCTCATCTGGCAATTCACCCAAACGGACACATCGCTTCTTCGACTCCAAGGGTCCCGACGGATCTCGTGCGCCCGGTTCCTCGGACGGCGCCCAGTCTGTCTCTGGGGGCGGCCGCACCCTGACGTTCAAGCGTGATCATCATAAGTTGTTCGCCCACCATGGGTATGTATATTCTATGCTACTTGTGAAGGGTCTGATTGAATCGGCACCTTCCGAAGAGGCCTTACTTACAGGTGCGGGCGATGGTGTGGTAAAAGTGTGGCGTCTCGGCGAAAAGCCCGGGGCTGTCCCGGCTCAAATCGCTAAGCTGCAGAATGGGGACTCTGTGCTCTCTGTTGCTGTAGAAGGCTCCTTACTTTACTGTGGTCTTGCCGGTGGAGCTCTCAACATTTGGAATCTAGATTCCCATCAGCTTGTCAAACGCATCGCTAGACACACGGGTGATCTTTGGTCAGTCGAAGTTATTGGAGGCGTTGCAATCTGTGGAGACTCGACAGGAACCGTCAAGGTAACTTCCAAATTGCGTTTCTCACTTTCCACGCATCTGCTAATGAGTCCAGAAATTTAATTCACGGTTCGAAGAGGTTGGCGGATGGGCTGCCCATGAGGGCACCATGCTCGCCTCTGCCGCAGGTCGTTTCAAGGACCGATACATCTATGCCACTGGAGGCAACGACAATACTGTTGGAATCTGGGATCTGACAGAGTTCTTCCTGATACAGGATGAGTTACCTCCTATCAGTAATGGTAAGAGGCGTACCCATTGTCGGAACTCGAGAATCCTGCTAATCCAATTTGCATCCAGACGAAATGGTCAACAGTCTTGCTAAATTCGTCTCGTTCAAAACCATTTCGGCAAGCCCCAAGTTCTCCGGAGAGTGCAATCAGGGTGCTGCCTTCCTACGTCGACACTGCAACTATCTTGGTGCGAAAACAAAACTTTTGCCCACAGGCCAAGACACCAACCCCATAGTCTTTGCTCGGTTTAATGCTACTTCGGCTGACAAGGTTGAGAAGACTGTTCTCTTCTATGGCCACTACGACGTTGTTGGCGCTGACACCAACCGACCTAAGTGGAAGTCAGACCCGTACCAGCTCACTTCAATCAATGGGTTCCTCTATGGACGAGGTGTTTCAGATAACAAGGGCCCCATCTTGGCTTCACTATACGCAGCAGCGGACCTTGCACGGACAAAGTCTCTACGTTGCAACGTCGTGTTTTTGATCGAGGGTGAGGAAGAGTCTGGATCCCAGGGCTTCCATCAAACTGTCCGAGAGTATAAGGATGAGATTGGTGCAGTTGACTGGATCCTTCTTGCCAACAGTTACTGGCTCGACGACTATAATCCATGCTTGACCTACGGACTCCGAGGAGTCGTGCATGCCAACTTGGTCGTGACGAGTGACCATCCCGATTTGCATAGTGGGATTGATGGTAGCGCGCTGTTGGATGAACCGGTCAAGGATCTTTCGCTTCTCTTGGCTACCATGGTTGGACGCAAGGGTCGTATCAACCTGCCAGGCTTCCACGACGCCGTTCGCCCTCTCTCCGATGCCGAGCAGAAGCGGTTCGAGGCCATTGCTGATGTGCTGCTGCCTCACCACCCAGAGATTCCTAATAGCCAGGCTCTGATCAAATCCCTGATGTACAGATGGCGTGAGCCCTCGTTGACCGTCCATTCGATGGAGGTACCCGGCAAGAGCGGAGCCACCACGATTGCGCGACGAGCGAAGGCCAGCCTCTCCATCCGTATCGTCCCTGATCAGCAAGCGGATGAGGTGGCAGCAAATCTGACAGCTTATGCGCAAGAACAATTCGATCTCCTCGAGTCGCAGAATGATCTGACCGTTGAAATAACCGGCAAGTCAGACGCGTGGCTCGGAGATCCCGATAATCAGCTCTTCGCGACCCTCTCACAGGCCATTACCGCCGCATGGACTCCCGACCAGCAGACCTCCAAGCACCAGTACCCCGCGCTTCCAGCCCTCTCCAATGGCCGTACGCCCGCGAAGGCATCCGGGCCAGGCCTGTTGCGCAAGGATTCCAACGACAGCCTCGCCTCGCATGTTGACCGAGTGATCAGCTCCACCACCACCTCCTCCGCCGGGAAATCGGGCGTTCACAAACGCTCCACCACCTCAGCGGCTCCCGTGCCAACTTCTTCCACGCTGACCAAAGCGGCGACCGACGATCCGGCCTCACTGCCGGTCTGGGACACATCCGACCCGCCGCCCGAGAGGGGCCCGGTCGCCGGAAACACCTCATCATCCGCTTCGGCCGTGAAACCCATCTTCATTCGCGAGGGTGGATCCATTCCGACGATCCGGTTCCTGGAAAAGGAGTTTTCCGCCCCTGCGGCTAATTTGCCATGTGGCCAGGCTAGCGACAACGCTCACTTGGACAACGAGCGAATGCGGGTGGAGAACTTGTACAAGAGTCGAGAAATCTTCCGGTACGTCTTTGCCAACCTGGTGGATTAGCTATTGCATTGGATGAGGTGCATTCTGCCTGGTGTTTTGTCTTGTGGTCTTTGTCTTTTCGTTTTCCCCTCATTGTGTAGACTATCCTTCTCTATCCAAAAACCTGATGGCTAGGTACTTTTGCAAATGTCTGTTGAAATCGTAGTCTCCCCGTAAACCATGTCCTATCTTTCTTCGCATGGATTCCGAGTCCTGGGATCTCATCCCAGGGCAGTATGTCACGAGTGGGCTCATGGTCCATGCACGTACGTTGACCAACGTCTTGGGGGATTCGCGCGCCCCCTATTGCTCACCGCGGCCAATTTCCATCTCCGCTGTCCACTTGGGTTCCCCGCATGAAGATCCGTTTCATTCGCTGGCATCCGGTGAAAGTATTGTGATCTGCATTGTTTTGGTCATATTCTGATTCCTCTGCATCCTGAGCCCTGGTATTTCTACACATAGCTAGTTCCCAATTCAGCGGAAGCCAATGGCTAGGAGACTCGAGCTTGCTCCTCTTCCGGCTCTCGGATGTTGTGACCCCGTCCCTTTGTACGTGCGTCGTCCGTTTTGCTCACCACGTTGGCCTTTTGGGGGGGAAAGTAGACAGGTCACATTTTACCACAAAGAAGGCGGGGTCCGTGACTGACTTTCCGCCTTGGGGATGGCATATCCATCCTCATTGAAACATTGAACGGAGACTGGAAAATATTCGTACAGGGGAACAAAGGCAAAACGGCCCCTGGCTTTAGATCCGTCGTACTTCCGAGGCCGAAACTGGCGCCGGAAGTGTTGAAGCTGAAAGTATAATAATGATGTTGGTCATCCCGAAAGCAGATCCCCTCCCGTCTTTTTTTTCTCAGAATTCACGTTTTCCCCTTTTCCCTTTTGAAGCATCTTTTCCATTCTTAGTCATGGGAAGCCACGGTGATGATCATATCTATCTGCTGGGGCGAAGTGAGGCCGAGACTACACGGTATGTTCAACGCACTGTGCGTGTGCGTCGACGTCATGACCCCACGTTCTCTCAATGCCCCCAATGTGTCCCCTAATCCCCCCTAATCCCACAATCTCCAACACCAAAACCAATGTTTGAGTACAAGAACAAATTTCCTCATCCGGGCCCTGTACACATGCTCGAGAACGGGCTGGATCGGGCCATGATCTCCTGAGTTGATAAATTGATGTTCCTTCAAATATCACAGTTGAGATAATGGGACCTGCAGGCGACCCGACCCTGTGGAATCCAATCTGCAGGTCGAGAGTCGCTCGAGCAATCCACTTTTTTTTTTTTGATCAATCCAGATCATGGCTAATGATTCCAGTCTCAATAATCAACATCGCTTCCTAGTGGCCATCTCCGGCGATATTATTCATCCATCTATCCCTATCGACACAATCACGGCTGTGGCCGATGTCGGCACTGGAACTGGGTATGTTTTGATTGACCCCACGTGGGCGCCATGCATCAACCTCTCTATACTCTCAAACCATCACAATCCGTTGCCTGCTTCACATTCAAAAAAAAAAAGAAAAGAATTCACTACATATCAGCAATGCCTATTTCAATCAGGAAAAAACAACTATGAAGATACCCAAACTAACCTAAAAAAAAAAACCAGCATCTGGCTCGCAGACCTCGCCAAACGCCTGCCGAATGCACAATCAGTCTACCTGCACGGATTCGACATTTCAGACGCCCAATTCCCACCCGACCACACAATAAGCGGACCTCAAGGTCGAAAGATCCCATTAAGCGTTCAGGACGGCTTGAAGCCATTCCCGCCAGAACACCTCGGTCGCTACGACTTAGTCCACATCCGATTATTGACAGCAGGCCTACTACAAGATGGGTACGCCACCGTATTGAAGAATGCCCGAGACCTCCTAAGTAAAACCCCCCCGCCCCGTCGCAATTCCGCAAAAGAATTCCCCCACGATTGATCAAAAAGAACACCCCCAATCTAACATCAAGACAGCCCCAAACGGGTGGATCCAATGGGAAGAAGTCGACCACACCACATTCTGCACCGACAAACTCCCTGAACACCCCGCCATCACCAAACTACGCAATGCCACCATCGATGCCATGCTCAAAATAGGTATGTGGCCCTTTGCGCCACAGCGCGTCTTCGATGAGATCTCCAAGGCGCAGTTTCAGAATGTGCGGCGCGAGACGTACACGACTGTCGGGAAGGAACATTTGCATGAGATAGCGCCGAAGTGGGTGGCGAATGTGATGCGGGCATTGGTTCCTCCTTCGATGGTGGTGAATGGGCAGGCGAGGAATGAGGAGGAGGCAAAAGCCAAGGTGGAGGTTTTGATTCGGCAGTTTGAGGAGCATTGCGAGGGGGCGTTGCCCTTGGTCAATCTTGGAGTCACGGTTGCGCAGAGGTGTGAGTGATGATTTGTCTTTTTTGGAAAGGATTCACTTGATCGCTTGCACGGGTGTTGTTACTTCTTCGAGGATCACTGGGTCCGAATCTTGGGGTTTATTTTTGGGGTATTGTTCCTACAAGCATAGCATTACGGATAGTCTGGCCTTGAAAAGCTTTCTTTTTTTTCCTTCGTGATGTTGTTCACTTGGATAGGCATGCTACTTATCAAAAGATTGTTTACCATGGTCGCTTCCAGTTACATTGAAAAATGGATAATCGCAGTTTCATTTATGACTTCAAGTGAATTGCGGAAGGCTTACACAGAACCAAGCAAGGAGGAACTCACAAATTTGAAGGCGTATTGAATGTCTCTGAGCTCTAGCCAGCAATCAATTCGAAAGGTAAGCACAATGCCCCCCCCAGGCCTAGATAGAATGGACCCATGTCTCTCTACGGACCCCAAGGTCTCCCAGGGTCGTTGAAGTCTTGGGTGTATAGCTCCACTCCTCTTCTACAGGACATCGTTTGTGATGTCTTCCGACACAACTTCCTAGGTGGTTTACGATTCGACATGGGACCTAACATTATCGAAAGTATTCTGTCGAAAAACCTGGGCTTGGCAAATATACTACTGTATTTACTCTGCACTGTGAAGTGTTGTCCTCGTCGCTAAGCCTGTAACTTTGCGCTTAGCAGTGTGGATTGATACTGACCAGAAATTAATCTAGGGTGGCGGACATGAAAGCTCTTCGCGTATACGCTAGTGACTAAATGAGTAGCCACTGAGGCATTTTCCTGAGCACGCTTACTCTATCGAATCGCTTACTGGCAGATTTTTGCGAGGTCGTACAATACAAAGGACTTAGACACTAATGGAAACGAGCAACAAAGACCTGCCTTCACCGGCAGATAAACCTGGGGTGGAAGGTAATATCCACAAATTTGGTCTGTCTTACACTTATGTCGTGCTAAGCGCCGGCCCAAATACTCTAACTCGAAATAAGCGATTCCTGTTATTAGTCCTGTAATTTTTCAGACCGGAGGAGATGAAGTAACTTTTCTTTGATCTCAGGATTTTGCTGATGCTTAGCGGCCGCTAAAGGGGGTTCGCTATAGTAGCGCTTACCTACAGATCGCGCTATGGGGTCCGCACCCGCGTCCAGTAGTAATTTGACGATATTTGGCTTACCAATTCGAATAGCAAAGTGCAGAGGAGTGCCCCAGTCAGCGTTAAATTAGTTAGGACCGAGGCCCTTATCCAGAAAGAACGAAGTTATAAGCTGCGGTTGGCGTCCGCGTGGATATAGTGTAACAAAGAGGAGATCCTATTTAAGTTTGGCACTGTATTCAAGAAGTACCTCGACCAGAGATATATCTTCGCTAGTAATAATAGCGCCAGTGAGAAGAGATATCCCCCGCACGCTAACCTAATTAAGGTCCGCCCCTCGCGAGAGTAATTCGCGAGCATAGATAGGATCTAATATAGAGCTATAATCAGAGATAAGTCTTAAGACTTGAATAGTGACTAAAAAGGCTAGCATATACCTAAGGATAAGCTCTAGGATAAGCTCGCTATTAGATTAAACAGCGTTTAGATTAAGGCTATAATTAAGAAAGAGTCGTATCAAAGGTAGATCCTGCTTCGACCTACCGTAGAGAGCGCCTATCGCCCAGTCTAATACGCTAGCACCGGTATCGAAGAGTGTAGCCACAATCTCTACGTGCGCCTGTCTAGTTACGGCCCCGAGTCCTCGATCGAGATCCTCGGCAGTTACGCGCCTGCTGGCGAGGAATTCCTGGACCCTTAACAGTTCACCGGTATAGCAAGCATAAACTAAGGCTTTAGAAGAATAAGCCTCGGGACTTAAGGAATAATCTAAGCCCATAGTGTAGGTGACTGTGACTCTTAAGAATAGAAATAGGGTGATCTTTTTCTCGGCCCACAAAGGTCAACCAACGATACCCTTTAATACTAGTCTAGAAGTGGGGTTGGTAGGAGCGGAAGCGAGCCGGAGGACCGGGGGTACCTGTGTAAGAGTACACCCAAGGAGACCACGGCGTCAACCGTTTTGGGTTCCCGGATGCGCTTTTCATGAAGCCAGCCCAGTTTCAACAGACTGGGGCGGAGGTTCTGGCAGCTATTGATTCGGTGGGCACTCACTTAGGCCAACAGATTGAATCAAGCCATCAGCACAACCCAACTCCGGTCCTTGGCCGTTAGGGACTTTGCCGTTTCATGACTTTACCACTATAACGGTGCTATCACGACAAATAATCTTATTCCTTGGCCTCTCTCTAGGAGATCTCTAGTAGTACTACGTGTGAAGAGCAGACAGCTACCTAATATGATGTGAGGTGCGGCGTGATATCGGGGGGATAGAAATTTGACTGCACTACCAGATGCTCGACTGTCATAAGCTGTGGCGCTGAGTCGACCCTCACGACTACTAAACCCGCCTACGGTTCAGCAACAGGGACTCTTTCTAGTCAGCAAATTGCGGTGGCATATATATCTCCTCTTGGAGATCCGGCTACCTGGAATCGGCTTGATTGGATATCCTACTCAGAAGATGCCCATATTGATTGCCAATATTGTAAATGGTCCGGACTCAGCCATGGACTCGGATTGGGCTAATTCTATTCAACGGGCTTCGGCTTCTGGTAAACCGGTCCTCGGCTATATGAGAACGGGATATCTTGGCGTCAGCCAACAAAAATTTGCTTACACGACTAGGCCCGGGCGATTTGGCCAGCTGGAGCGCTCAGATCGAAGAAGATGTCGATATGTGGTACAAGGTCTATGGAAATAGCATTGGTGGCATCTTCTTCGACGAGAGTTGGCCCGAATGTGGCGACAGCATGCTAGAGAGCGAGCGGCTAAAATTAAGAAATAGTAGGAAGGTATTTTAGATCAGCTTCCCCTAAAACGCCTGATTTATCGTTCTTTAGATCTATTCTGATCCGCTATGCAGAATAACCTTCACTAGGGTTATTACTTCTACGCTAGCCGTTAGAGTAGCTCTAGATACTATATTAAAAATATCATTGGGTAGATAGATACCCGAATATAGGTTAATTAGAGCGGTTTTTGAATCGAACTTTCTATATATTCTTATCTTAGTCGCAATAGTTCTAGAAACGGTACGTAATTCCCTCGTTAGCTTACACGGTCTTACGATAGAGATATAAACAATATACCTAGAATGACCTATCTAATCTACAAGATAGGGGTAGGACGAGAAGCTTACTTTTATACTTTCTATCTCTTTTACTTATCATTAATTATTGTAAATTTGGGAGCTCATACGTCAAGTACCTGATATATAATGAAGTAATTACTTCTAATTAGTAATACCTCACTATCAAAGAACGAGGAGTATATATACTGCAACCACACTGGAAAGTTTTTTTATATCTCCCTATCAACTTCACTGGAAAGGGTGCCGTTCTTAGCAATGAGATTGATATTAGTGAGGTCTGCGTATGAAATAAAGCGTAGCGGGATGCATATAATATCCATGTCGTATTCGCACAGCCCAACTCTAATGAGATTCACCATTTCGACTTTGCACGTGCCACCTAGCCGAACTGGGTAGAAACGCATTCCGCTCTCTTTTCGGGCCAGACCCGAACATATTGGGATGAACATGACTCCACCCAGCTCCACCTGACGCCTTTGTGCGCTGCTAAGATGAGGGTTTTTTCTGTACAACCATGGATGCCATGCCACTTTACCATTTTCCTCTTAGTTCCGGAGGCTCAAATGAAGATTTTTGTCGAGTGGGACCCCCCAAACTGAACCCAATCGCGCTTTTGGCTCTAGCCTGAACTCTTTTCATTACATTTGTCCCGAGACTTGAGATGACCAAGCACTTGATCAGCGCACTCGGTGTAAATTTTCTGAGCACGTTCCAAGTGGGGGAATGTGCGGTGCGGCGCGGCGTTCCGTAGGCCCACGTTCTAAGGATCCTTAGCCGGTGGATGCCCAATTATTCTCTCGCATGAGTGATCGGTCCTAGTCTCGTTCGTCCGGCATGAAAACTCGAAAAGCGCAGCAGCTGATTGGTGCATCTGATGTGCGTGTGAAATTTTTTTCAATCGGAATTTTGCTGAGCGGCTCAAGACGGCACGTTCGACGCCCAATCGAAGAAGTCAATAAAGCGCTCATACGGAATGGTATGGAGCTGTGCGGTGGACGGCACCTGCCGGAATTGATGTCAATCGCTTGTCAACAGACGCACCCTACGTAGATCAGCCTGACTAAATAAAGTATGGCAAGTGCGCCTAAAATATGTTTATCTCTCGGTCCTTGCTAGCCGACTCTGCAACAGTCTGGGAGTCTTTCAAGACACTATTTTGTGTCCTTTTCAGCCCTCCTTTTGTAGAAAGAAAATACCCATACGACTATTCGGATCAATAAACATGGCCCGCCTAGAAGACCCACTCGTCGCTCTCTGGGCCAGGCTGAAAAATTCAATACCAGCATGACCAAATACGAGACGTAGATGAAGAATGCAATCATGTCTTTCATTGCAGAAGATCAATGATTTTTGTATATCCGGGATGAGGTATGAAAACATAGAACAAGAGTTTGATGCATTCGCAGAAGAAATAAGAATCAACAATGAATGTATGCAAGCTTACACGGAAAGAAACACGCTTGAAAAAAGTATTCACAGTTGCAACATCTCACTGATCATTGCAGGCACCACCAAGTCTGCAAGAGATCGCCATCCGTGAGCTTGGATTGTGGTCCACGGCCCTTATGACGTCAGGATTGGAAACTCTCTCATGAGTGATATAGAGATATCAGCTTAAGAGAGGTTGATCCTCAAAAGGTCCGCCATCGGCGGGTTTGGGGTGCTGGCCATGCTTCTTGCGACGACGGCGCTTTTTCGACTTGGAGACTGTTTGTGTATCAGGGTTCTCAGAATTCAAAGTATTTGGATCTGTCGCGTCGGTCCTATGACCAGGCGAAGAGTCGCGAGTGTAATGCGCCGAGTGCTCGCCATCTGATGAGCTCGTGGCGGTGGTGTGAAGGACGACCTTGCGAATGCCGTTGACGTCCACGATTTGTTCTGTGATACTACCGCTTCGGGCTGGACCGCGGTGGTGGTATATAAATTCTGTATGAGATTCTGTAGAACGAACACTGCAGGTCCCCGAACTGCTCTTGTGTGTGGATCCAGAGGCAGGTCGGTCTTCACGCTCTTCGTGAACAGCTTCGGGGATAGAGAGATCGGAGGGATATCCTTGTATTGTTGGGAACTCGTACCGTTGGTAACATGATCGACAGATTGGCCTTCATGCGAATTGTAGCCATGGTGATTAGATTCATCGCCATGATAGTCAAGAGAGGTATTTTCGTGGGGGGTGAGGTCTCGGGGACTATGTTCGAAGGTAGGTATGGTGCCGTAGCCAAGCTTCAGCGCGTGCGCACCATCCTTGGCTTCGACTCCCGAGGTAACCAGGCCGGCGCCGATTCCACCCTGGTAGGCGGTGTTTGTGAACAGACGCTGAGAATCAGATGTGCTCTGCCCAGATTCAAAATCGGTCTGGGCTGAGCGAGATGGGGAGTTGCCGCTCCGTTTGATTTTCACTGTGTTGTAACGAGTTTGTCGAGGACGACTGGCGAGATTGGAGGGACCGAGGTGCTTGAGGTGTTCACGGATTTCATCCGTGGCACCTCTCTGGGTAAACCACGGTTCATTGGAATTGGAAGTGTTGTCGGCATGTTGTTTGCGCAGCTGGAATCGTGGAGGAGGCGGTTCCACAGAGCTTCGACGCCGAAAAGGGTCTGAAGGCCTCTGCGCGGATGTAGATCGCGGTTCGTCCTCAAACAACTCACCATCTGTGTGGGAAACAGACATAGGTGGTTCTTCGACAATTTTCCCCTTGGGAACACGGGATTTGGGTGCAGGTGCCATACGGCGGATGGCCTTGTGAACATCGACGAAAACATCAGATTCATCAATGATTTCTCTGTAGGGGCCTGGTCAGTGGAAACAAGCCAGATAGAAAGTCGCAGGGAATCGTACTCGCCGATCAATTCTTCAATCACATCTTCGAGGGTAACAACTCCGAGAGCCCCTCGATCTTCACTTGGATATTCGGATACAAGTACCATATGGGACTTTCCTTCCTGGAAGAAGTTGACGATATCCAAGCAGCTGGTCTCGGGTCGGGTTTCGGGTAGAGTTGCCAAGGCGAATTCGCGAACCCGCTTGCAGTCTTCCGGGTCGTAGGTGATGAGCATTTTTACAAGCAGCATGCCAACAAAGTTCATCGGATTCTCAGGCGCATGGATGGGTATGCGAGAATATCCTTGGGACAATATGAGATCCATTGTATGCTCATCAAGGATAGTATCGGCAGACATGGTGAATACATCTTCCATTGGCGTCATGATGCTTCCGACGGATTTCTCCTTCAGGTCAAGGACGGCACTGATGATAGTGACTTCATCTGAGTTGAGCTGCTCTCCGGCTTCGCCCAGTGTTTTGTGCAAGGTGACGAGAGTCTTCAAGCCGGCCTTCTTGTAGATGGTACCATGGTCTTCGCCAAGGAGCCGGTCCAATAGCTTGGCGACCGGCCAGGCAACAGGTGACATGACATACATCAGGAGCAACACACAGGGTGCCATCCAGGCGCCGATCGGTAGCCCGTAACGAACACAAATAGATTGGGGAACGATTTCTCCGAAGATGACGATCAACGCGGTACTTCCCAGGACCGCCGGCCACCCGCCGCCGAGGGTTCGATCGAGAACGATCGGCAGTGTCTCATTTGTGATCACGTTACTGAGCAGGAGAGTAACAAGTACCCAGTGTTTCCCACGTTTCAACAATTTCAGCACGCTGGCAGCGTTTTTCTTTTCCGAGTCCTCCCCAGACGTCTTGATCACCTGTAAGTAGACCTCATCTTGGCCCATCAAGGCGATTGTCAGTCCCGCAAAAGCTCCACCACTCAGCACAAGGGCTGCGGAAATTCCTAGGTACAGCCATAAGTTGGGATCGGACGTCTCAATCGGAGGTTCGGCATCGATCGGTCGGAGAATGTAAGATGAGAGAACGGGAGCGGCCGATGCGAGAGGAAAGTGACAGAAGGCGAGGACGACGAGCTTGGCCAAGCTTAGCACAAGCGGCCGCGCGGCGAACAGACGAGTCGCGGGCGAATTCATATCAGGGAGTGTCCAGCCACGGGGAGTAATTTGGGGTGTGTTCAATCTCAACGTCACAGCGGGGACATTGCCGTGATGAAAACCCGAGTGTTTGCGGGCGATGGAGGGAAGGGAAGAACGGTGGAATGGAGGGACGAGGAAGATGTCAAGGGTAACGACTAAGCGAAGGTGGGTTTAGCACCGGTATTGTTGCGAGGTCGAGACTCTGACGCTGAATTGGGTTTCAAAGCGAATGGCAGGCACAGTCCCGTGCACCATCGACACCTGGTGGCTTAGGCTCCCAACCGTGGGTCCTCGTCATCACCACCGTCAACTCACTCCACTCCATTCCACTCCACCAAACCTCCACCCATCACTCGGAACCAAGCCGTGTGCTAACGCGTTTCCTCCCGAGTTACGGATAATTTTTTTTTTTCATTTTAATTTTTTTTGTCTTAGTGATATTGAACAAATCATACATCCGTAAAATTCCTCGGGACCTGTTGCCATGTCTGACTAAAAAAGATAAACCATGCTTGAGCCTTGCGAGGGAATGTCGCGAGCTAGAAAAGCTGATCTAGCTGCGAACCACCCATCTTTACACTCCTCGGAAAATATCGAATACAACCGACAGAGCCGCATGGCAAAAATTAGAGGAAACTTTCTCGGCGTCGCGAATGGTGCCGACTAAAAAGTCTTGTGGCTGATCTTGTGCTGAACTAAATTTTTCACCGTTGGGCATCTTTTCACAATGTACGGACTAAGAACTAAATTTAAACTATGTGCCGGGAGAGCCACGAAAACCAAGCCCATTCGGGAAAAGAAATGGGCTACTTCCTCCTGAAGAGTACCTGCCACTGGCCTATGAAGGCCCAGGACTTTGCAGAATAAATTTAGCGGTCAATTTTAAAGGCGCAATCTTTTTCTTGATATGAATAAGTCAAGTGATCTCGTGAACCAGACTGAGGGCGACAAGACGCGGCCGTCGTACGAAAGGACCCCGCCGGAGTTTGTCAAGGCCAGCAGCGACTTGAACAAGATGGCTAATTGACAATCAACGAATCATTGAGTGACAGCTGATGGATGGCGACGTGAGAGTCAGTGGAGAGCATCATGGGCAAATATAGGCAATCATGGGATCGTATACGATGGAAATTGAGTTTTTATGCAAAGATGGTTATCCCAAAATGTAGACTTGTCTGCATCGTAAAATTTCGTAAAGAACCAAAAGCAATGAAGCGTGCTCCGGATGTGCAAACCAAGAACGCCAGGGTATAAGAGAAAAGCAAGAAGAAAGGTCAAAACATGGAACTCCGCTTTTTATCCAGTCGATTTCGGCTGTTGCTCTCTTCCTTATTACGCATAAACCCAAAGAAGCTGCTTTTTTTCGGCTGCACTTGATGTGGGTTCGGCCGTTGAGCCGCGGGCAACGCGCCACTACTCACAGGGGTGGGATGAGAATCCCACGTGGGATTGAGGTCTGGGCTGGGCTTGAGGACTGCCTTGAACCTGCTGTCGAGGCATGAGTTGGGTTGTTGACTGGGCTCGCGGGTCCATGTGGCCCGAACCACGGAGGTAGGGGCTGTTGGCAAATGTTGGAACTGGGCCGCTTTGTGCGACTCTGTGAGGGCGAGGTTGTCGAGGAGGGTGGAGTGGTCCTTGAGATGGAAGGTGAGAGTGGGACTGGGAATATTGGTGAGCGTATGGCGTGGAGGGAACGCTGTGTGGCGGGGGCAGATGCGATCTTGGAGGCGAGGCCGGGTTGGGTCTTTGTTGGCGCGCCTGTTGCTCCTCCATACCGTAGATGTGTTGCAGACGCTTGGTTTCATTGTCGACTTCTGATTGACGCTGGCGTCGGGCCTTTTCCTGAGATCGTTTCTCCGCTGCAAGGAGCTCTTGCGTGCGGCGGGCATTCTCTGCTGCGAGTTCATCCTGTCGAGTCCGGGCCTGTGGGCCTGGTGGCTTTGAATTGAGGGTGTTCAATCGTGGCTGAGAAGGCCTTGTATTCGGCACGACCACCGCCGCGGCAGCTACCGTTTGAGACTTTGGAGTCTCCCTTCCTGCAGGTGCGGCTCGGGGCCGACTGCCGACCGCTGGAGGGCCGGCTGCAGTGATGTGGAATGCCTCTTTGGCCGGACCAAAGAAGATATCGCGAATCGCAACAGATGCGAGAAGCAGCACAACTTCCAGGCCCTTAAAGTCCTCCATTTCAACGCGATAAAGATTCGGTTCATAAAGAGTGAGTTCTTTCAAGCCTTGGAAAAGAGCCACCGTAATATCGGGCTCCTTGCTCTTGCTACGTGTGTCTGGCATGCTTGAGGTCTTGCCATGCAGCAAGCAGGATAGATCTTTCGACAACTTTCCATCTTTGCGCCAACTGAAGCGCAACTTTGGGGTCACGTCTGCGACAGATGGGTCGCTCTGTGTTCGGTCCAGTTTTGACGAGGAGGGGACCCTAAATGTCCGCTGAGGCATTTCGAATTCCCATCTCGCAGGTCTATTCCATGTCTTTGCCTGATAGCGTACAATGACTTCCTGGTCCGGGTTGTAGAGCTGGATTGTGAATTCGTTAGGGAGAATCGGTTCGGGGAGTGGCGGGGCACCGCCATTTGTGCGGATTGCGTCTGCAGACAGACTGGGTTGTGTCCATTCTGGAACCACGGCGACTTCGCCGTAAACGATGTCCGATATGAAGGGGTCATACAAGGCGACACCATAGCGATTGTTCGTGGTGGGGAGAGCGGGATTGAGGGCGCGGAGGGTATAGGCGGGCTCGGGGTCATTTCCGTGCTGTCGATGATAAATAGTGCTCTGCTGAGGATTCTTCGAGTTATTCTTTAGGAAGAACGCTATTGAAGAGTTAGTGTCATGTGCGGAGAAGTGAAGCCGAGGATGACGTCGGGCGTCCAGAGGATGATCCGATCCAGGGTTCAAGGGATAGAGCTTACTCGGCAGGTTTTCATCAATCATGTTGACACTCGACTGGAGACTAATGTGGCCAGCGCGAGTGATATATGATGCACGAAAAAAAGGCCTTGAAGCCGAAGCGGGAGACGCAGCCACAGATGATCGGCACCTATTTTTAGCGGCAGGTTATAAACACCGCCCGCGTTGGAGTTGCCCGGTCGTCTATAGACGAGGCAACATCATTACTCCGTATCCACACGGCTATGTACTCTATCTGATCGCAGGTACCCGGAACCTGGCTGCCTACTATTCTTCATTGGTAAAGCTCACTCGGTCTGTGATTAACTCGGCCATCTATCCAAAACAAGTTTGATTCGCGCGTGCTATCTGTCGAGCAGGGTACCCTTATTCTCGCTCCCCACTTATTTCGCAACAGCCTTGCTTGGGATTATCCGAGTCAGCATTTGCGCAAGGACGAGAGAAAGGAGGGCATCGGGAAACATTACCGTCTTTTGAAGCGCCTTAGCCACCATCCTCCACTCTAGCAGACCGCGTGTCGAAATATCAACAATGGGTGTATTTGAAACCGGTCTTGGCTATGTGTTTTCGCCCTGGAAAGTACAGTCTCCTACGACATGAACGCCTCGCTAGAGCTATGCCAACGTTCAAAAAATTATAAACGTCTCTTATGCAAGGCCCTGCGCGCTTAAACGATGTTTAAGAACCCGAAGTTAGTGAAGTCTGTACATGATTACCTAGTAAGTAGGTGCTATTTTTTGAACGGGTCAACCTGCAAACGACCCGCATATTTCTCTCTCTTGCTTGGTTGGAGCCTAGGGGCTTTGGCTCCAAACCGAAGGAAACAGCAAAATCCTGCCCTTCAATCTCTGGAAAAGCTACTTTCGCGAGCCCACCGGTCAACCGGACGGAGCAAGCAGATCAACAGGGCACAGAAAGACTTCCACTACATCGGGGTAGCGAGTCGCATGGGGATCAGTTGAGGAGTATTCATGATCAGCTCGAAGGCAGAAACCACGTTAACAGCTATAAACTTCTCCACGCAATTCTTGGCTGATGATCGGGAAAATAATAGGTCGTCAAGGGGCGCTCTGAGGTCTTTACATAGGATAACCGAACAACGGGTTCAATTCTCATACAAGATGATCAGTCTGTCCAAAAACATATTCATGCTCGCTAGAGGCGGGATTGTCGGTCTTCGTCGGTCATCTAGCAACCCGTTGTGAACAATTGGTTACTAGAAGAAATATAAAAGTACGTTGAAAAGCCACGGAATGCACGGTTTGCCCAGCAAACTCAATTAAAACAGCTGTGTAAGACTTGAGGCGTCGGGGATGGTTGAATGTTTATCAGGGAAATAGAACACAGATCGCTCCCTCAAAGACGAGATGCTTGCTCTGCACCTCAACCTGGGAGATCTTGCTGGGTTTTGGTGCTACAGCGCGGTTGATCATAAAGGGGCGGCGTTAACATACTGACACGAACATTAAGACTCTCTATTTAACTGACTACTAATAAACGTGTCCTAGAGGTTGGAGGCCAAGCAAGGTAGCTAGCGTTCAGTGCAAACGACGCACTCAGCTAACAGGCACTACCCAAAAATCATGCACAACGTTATAAACGGATAATTCTCCGTCACGTGTAAGAACGGTCATCAATGGAAGTGCAGCAAATATCTAATTTATCGCATATGATGTCTTCTAGGGTCATTTGTGCGGGTCGTGCGCCCAGTGGAATGAGAGTTGGTCAAGTTTTATATGAACAGCCCTCGGAGTAATTGCGAAAATGCCAGGAACCGGAATTTATGTATCTGACTAGCCAAATATGTCTGAATTGTCGCGAATTAAACGTTTATATACCGGGTATATACCGCAATGGGAACACAGTTTATCAATTACTTTCGGATATTTTGATCGTTCGTGGGAATTTTGGACGGTCTCATGTCTTTGGGGTTGGCCGTGAGATTTCGCCCGAAAGTTCCGAAAGTCCCGACTCTTCTACGACACGAATACCGCCTTAAAGTGCCAACGTTCAAACAATTAAACGCCCCCACAAGCAATGTTTAAGAGCTCGGGGCAAGTCAGCTTGGTACATTATTGCCTAATGGCAAGTGCTATTTTTGAACGACTCAACTTGCAAAACGTCTCTTTAATTTTCCTGTGCTAGTTCGGGGCATGTAGTCGTCAAACGGAAAGTAATAGTAAAATCAGACTCGTCAAAAAGTGAGAGTCACTAGAGCTAATCTGTTAAAGTAAACGGGTGTAGCAAAGGCACCGTAGGTCAACAGGGCAAAACGAAGTCTTCCACGACGCCCGAGCGGCGAGTCGGATAGGGACTCGTTGACGAATGTTCTTGAGCAACTCTGAGACGGAAACTAAATTCACGGCATAAACGTTTCGCTCAACGCACTTCTAACCTGGCTATTAGGAAAATGATAGTGGTGAAGAGGACTTATGTGGCCATCTTTACACATGACGGCCGTACAAAGGAATTAGTCGTCATACATGTCAGTCTGTCCAAAAATGTTTTCGGTCTGGCTATGAACCAGGATTTTCGTATGTCGAGCTTCGTCGGTGGTGGAAGCACGAAGGCAACATACATATTACCTCCACCTATGTTATGTCTACGATTGAACACATGCTATGGGTGTAGCTGTCTTATGCCCGAGACTCGGTGAACGGCGCTCCATTCTCTCGCCACAACTGGGCAGCAGTAGAGATGCGCACTAACAACAAACGTTGATGGATCTGTAAGGCAAGACGAAAGAAAGGCGTAATGACCAAGTCTTGTCGAGCCAGCGTTGTGAACATCCGGTTACTAAATTATACTAGAGGTACGTGGAAAATGTGAAGGAATGCACGGTTTCCCCGGTTCAGTCAGTTTAAAGCAGCATCCAAGATGACCGTTTATTTACCCACATACTACCTGAGGGCGTCGGGGAGTTTTTAAACGTTTATTAGTGAAAGGCAACAAAGATCACTTCACTCCGAGTAAGGCACCAGGCCGGGTTTCTCAGCACATCAGCTGGTTTGTACGGACTCTATATCTGGGTTACGCGATCTGGACATTACAGAAGAGCAATCACAGACGAAGCCGCCGCAGAGAACGATGGCAGTTCTTGCTTTTGAAAATGAATGTTCTAAAGTGAGAATCCATTCCGTGTAAAATTTTGAGGACAGATCTTAGCTTCGTCAGCCCGTTTCGAGCTGAGTACTGGTCTCCGGCACCACGAAGAGGTGTCTGTCTTTCGCTGGAGGGCGGGCGGGGTGTACCGGCCCTGGTGCCGAGGTAGACCAACCCCGAACGGGTTCTCACTACGGCCCGGCATGAGGGAAAATAGCAAATGCAGGGAGTCTCGATCCATTGGGGGGCTACCAAGCTTCGACGCGCATGGAAGAGTCAAAGAGCAAATGCAAGAAAAACCCTCTAGTCAAGGCAGGCCAACCCCGAGCGGGTTCTCTCTGCGGCTTGACTTTACAGAGGTCACAGCCTCTGATCGGGGTGCGCTTGTAGCGGCCCGACATTGTCGAGGTAGGCCAACCCTGAGCGGGTTCTCACTACGGCCCGGCATGAGGGAAAATAGGCCAACCCCGAGCGGGTTCTCTCTGCGGCTTGGCTTTACAGAGGTCAGAGCCTCTGATCCGGGTGCGCCAACCCTGGAAGGTTTGTAGCGGCCCGACATTTGTCAAGGTAGGCCAACCCCGAGCGGGTTCTCACTACGGCTTGACTAGCCAAGGCAGGCCAACCCCGAGCGGGTTCCCTCTGCGGCTTGACTTTACAGAGGTCACAGCCTCTGATCGGGGTGCGCTTCTAGCGGCCCGACATTTGTCAAGGCAGGCCAACCCCGAGCGGGTTCTCTCTGCGGCTTGACTGCCGAGGTAGGCCAACCCCGAACGGGTTCTCACTACGGCCCGGCGTGAGGAAAGGTTCCTGATCCTCAGTAGAGCACGGGGGGTCCTGGTGTCTTTTATGCTCCCGTACTACGGTAGCCAGGACGGACCATTAGCGCAGCGCTAGAACCAGCCACTCATTTTCGCCAGATATGATTTAAAACCAATCGAATCGTGCTGATGAGAGATTTTCATAGAGATGTAACCGGACTGGACAAATGGAAGTGCAAATCTTAAGGTACGAATCCCAAGCGAAGCCCAGTAAAAGACACCCAGTTACACCACCCTGCCAGATCTCGACACTCGAGAGTGGTGACATTAATTACCATCGACTTATCAATTCACGCACTAGTCACGTTTAATCCGGTTCAAACCGTTCGAGATGGCGCTCCGTTCGAGATAGGCTATGGCGAAGCACCAAATACGAAAGAGAGCACTAGTCATATCGACTAGGATTACCGAAATATTCAGAGCTTGTTTGTTCTCAATTGTAAGACCCTAAGGGTATTCATTCTTGAACGAGCGGGTATCTAACAGTGGTAAACCTCGGAACCAGTCTGAATCGTTTTTATCGAGGATCTGCTGAGGCCAGGACTAAGACATCCGTATGGCGGTACCTTATCCGGGAAATCTCAACGTCAATAACGCTGGTTCTTCCTTCAACTATCGCTCAGATAATACAGTACATCTTCCTCGCAGCGCGCCACTCCCAAAGCCAGACACAGTTCATCACTAAGTCTTCGCAAAATCTTGAGCGCGTCGCGCAAGCGAAATGGCCTCTTTGTGCCAGAGGCGCAATTCCTCCTTCATATCCTTAACGTAGTGCCAATAGAACCTATTCTGCCGCTCTAGTTCCTTCTTTTGCTGTTCTAGCCGTCGAATCTTCTCCTCACATTCTTTATACTTCGCGGTATGTGACTTATGGTTTACTGTCAGATTTCTCTCTATCCGACGCGACAGTCCCTGGTTTTCCCGCAGGCGTCGGTGTAGTCGACAACGAACGTCCTGCGACTCAGTAGAGCCGTGCAACGGTAAACTCAGTGTTAAAGTTTCTGAGAGAGCGTTCGCCCGAACTACTATCCGTTGCCAGCCCTACATAATATATAACGCACCATTTATTAGCGTGTAACGTGGCTCGAGACGGAATCGCGCGTT